ACGAACGGCAGGAGCTGCAGGTAGGAGAATGCACACTTCTCCAGCTCTTTCCACCAAAGGAGACGCTTTTCGCGAACCCTTCTCATACCACCACTCGACGAATATTTAACTTTGGTATATCAGGTTCAGTTCAAATGTGATTTATTTACATGAATCTGCTATTCAGAAATATTTTCCATACTTCCTTTATTCGCTATCGTATGCTTAAGTTTGACCTTGGCAATCTATAGGTGGAGCAGTGTGCATTCTCCCGCTTGCAGCTCCTGACGGATGTTTTTCTTTCTTTCTTTCTTAACTTCTTTCTTCATAGTATCAGTCTTGATATCAAGTCATTGTACATTGTTTTTACACAGTTGTATTCGCCCCAAACTAGTCGCCGCGATGAATGATAGAGAAGAGGAACTTCGACCTCTTGCTCGGGACGTATATTTGCTACTAACAGCCGACTTTCAGAATGTTTGACCAATCTTCCCCGGATTTGCGCCCAAATTTCCAATATCGAAATGGAACGTGGCGTTTTCCGGGATCATGGGAAGTCCCCTAGTACTCCTCGATCATGTACCATAGTATCAGTGGTTTGACCCTGGTTGAAGGTTCTGAAATCGAGGCCTTCAAAGTGTAGTAGTGATTGACCATGGACCTGGTCTCGCACGTTTTGGTGGTAAAACCTGCACCGTACTGAGCTCCGTTCAAGTTAGTTCTATTCATGCAGATAAAAAATTGTGATATTGGTACAAATGTCGTCGTCCCTTGTGACTCAATCCAAGATCGTCACGAGACCTGTTCACCGATGCAGTGGATCACCACATGCCTCCCACATTGCTGTCACTTATCGAGAGGGAATACCAACACTGCCGCATTCGCCGTGACGTGCTCATCCGGAGTCAATCCCGGTGTTTCTATGCCTTAACCAAGTTTAGCTCGGACTCTCCCCACGAAGTCTGGAGCTAGGCGAAAAGTATACACACACTACGGATCCCTACGAAGAAGCAACTCAAAGGGAGAAGCCAACATGACTCATTGGAACAAGATAAACCCAAACCAGGGAACGGTTGTTCTTCTGAGTGATCCGTCTTATCAGTGCCGACACTCATCGAAAGATGTGTGTCGTCCTTTCTACAGTACGAACGACCATGGCGCTTGGACCCCAAAAGTACCCTCGCTATGCTGTTTCGCTGGCCACTCAACGCCGCTAAAACACCAAAACAACACTTGCTTCGCGGAAAGCTGTGGGAAATAACCCAAAGCTAGTTCCAAGAGATTTTGTGGCGCGGGTATTTCGACAAGCCGTGTGCAAGAGCGTTGAAGCTAATCACTGCAGAGCTAGTCATAAGCTTGAGAGCCAATTTGTTAATGGAACGTTGCTTTCGAGTGCCACTGCGTCAAAGTCAGACAAATAGCGCCCAAAGGTACTAGATTGGAACTTGAGTCAAGACTGCAGCATTGAAATGGCCACAGAAATATTGAGAGTCACGAGAAACTTTGGAATTTCTTTGCAGCGAATCGTGGCTCGCTATTGGCATGTGCTATTCAACGGCGGCAAGTGTTGCACAGACTCTGACCTGGACAGATATTTGTCTTGTTGCTTGTTGAGGAAGCAATGATAACGGGCGTGATTATACATGGGTGGGCAATTCGTCGTGCACCTCGCATTCTTCCCGGTCTGTCAATGTATGCCGCAGCAGACTGGTTCGATATCGGGCTTGTAACGGCAAATCGTTGATCATATGGGACTGTCGTATAACCATCGGGTCGGCAAAGTTCAAGAATCAGTGGTATCAAAAACCACAAGAGAACATGTCGAATGAATTTCCAGATATATATGCTTTGCCGATGGGAAGATCTACGGTAGAATGGTTCAAGCGCTGGGGATCCTGCGATCACCGCAGGCGATACGGCTGTTCGGCACAGTCCATGAATCCTAGTTCACAAACCAACTCGACCTGGAATTGTTGTTGTAGATCCGGAGGAATGCGAAGAAATAAAGTAAACATCGTTACCAATCCCGTGGTAATGATTGTTGTTAAATAAATTCATTTATTTGAAACGACGAAGCAATCAAACTGACGCATTAAGTGCTTGCCGCCTGTTCGAGACACAGGCAAAGTGCATTTCGCGGTAATCTATTTACAACCGTGGCGCTCTTTCGACTGTGACATTGCCCACCAATGGTATTTTGGTAACGATTGAAGAGAAACTAACATACATTCACGGAGCCGTAGCGATTCGGACTTGAACGATGGGACGAAATCATTGCAGCGGTGGCGCACAGCTATCAAGCTAATAAGTTCATAGACATACAATGTCCAGTCCATCGATGAGGATTATAAGGGCGACAAACCCACTCAAGAGGCTATCCAAATATTCTATCAAGCCACTTCTCAAAGGGCGCAATAACCATATTCTACTAGTGGAATAACAAGTGGGTGAGATTAGTATGATTACGTACAGCACGTATGGAATCGACGATCATTTCAACCTACATTAATATAGCCACTCTGCAGTATTCTGTCCGGAACCAGGCAACAACATAGTTTATGATGTCTTGTGCATCCTACGTTGCTGACCGTTGAGCAACGAAATCTATGCTTACGGTAAGTGACAAGGCTGGATGCTCGCATGGCACAATTACAATCTAGCAGAGCCAAGCATAAACCTGCTACATCGCATGATTACCGAGCTATTTTGCTCTCTGAAAAATTAACATGCCAATGTCGTCGCATTATTATTTTGCTCTGTTCCAGCTCTCAAAGAGTTGTGCAGGAAAAGCGACCTAAGGAGCATAGATAACATGGTTGGGTGACACTGGACAGAACGTTGTGAGCGCTCGTAGCCCATAGACTGGGCCTTGTATGTTCTGATCATTGTGACTATTTATATACTAAGACTTGCGGAGGCACGTCCCTCTGGGAGTTGTAGGGCATGGTACTCAATGGGGCTCTTATTTCTGCATCCGTGACTTGCCTATGCTGCGTGCTTATGCTGTGGCATTCATACCACTCGGATCGAAGGCACCTTTACACAAATCTTGTCTGTTGAAATCATGGGCAACCCGTGATAAAAATTACTATTGATAGCTACGAATGTCTCGATTGCGGAATGACTACACTGCTACGTCTTAATTGAGGCCTGGCTCCCCGTGGTTAAGTCTAAGCCAATTCTCGGTGTTGCCGCGAACCTCAAAGGAGAATTCGTCGTCATTATTTTCGTGTATTACTCTAACGCTGTTTCCATGTAGACTAGAAGGCAGTTGACTTGAGAAAGCCTGTCACCATTTGAAGACAGCTTACGAGGTTGGCAAGTTGACAACATACACGAAATCATACTAGAATGTCTCTTAAGCATTTGCCATGTTATCATCGCACCTCATAATTTATGGTCCAACCACGATCCAGAGCACGATGTGCTGGTTCTCATGCTCCTCGGTATGCGGCTCGTTACTCACGGTCAAATTCATTGTGGCTCAAACCACACTAAAAGCGCATAACTCACCACGAATAACTTGCAACGAAGATGATATATTATTACTACTATCGAGTCTATAGCAACGCCCGACTATGTATTGGCTGTCATGGGATGTCTCTTTCTCCAAATTGATCGGTAGACCTACCTGATTGAACACATACTCTATCAAACCGCTCCTCCTGTATCCGCTCTTTGGCTGGGTTGTTTTTGAAGATAACCGGTACTGCTTCGTATTTAAGAAGTCTGGCTCCTCGGAGGAAGGGATATCCGAGAACTTAAGGCATGGATAGTCAGGATATTTATGGCGACAATGCCAGCTTGAATATCACATAGTACAAAAGTTCATTATTTTGCCCATTATTGGAGCTGATGTTGGCGATGGATGAAATGGCCACGCGGAGAGGTAACTAAATGATATTTGCTATGACAGAGACAATATATCAGGCCAGTACGTGCAGGAAACTAGCTTGTCGAGTAAAATAATCTAAAGATTCCATACGGCTGATACCAGGGTGGATAGGTCTATAGCCACATTCTATTGAAACGAATGATGCGGCCATCCTTGTTGGTAGATAGCTATAAAGTAAAAAGTAACCACAGAACTGGAAAGATCAGAATCATTGTGTGCTGACCCAGACAAAAGTTTCCGGGTGAAATGGACGGTCAAGGATATTTCCAAACCTTTTGCGTTTGATGACCGAGGCATTCCGACGGTCATCGTAATCCTGAAGCGCCAAGACTTGTAAGTTTGTGAGCGACACGGATAAGTTCAGCGCAATGCAGATATGGACAAACTTTTTGGGAAGCCGTTTGAAAACCGAGTATGGTTATTTCATGTCACCCATTGGTCGACGTTTGTCTTCATCCTACGTCCTTGATGGTGGCTGACAGAGGACGTCGGCTCCAATCTGAAGAAGCAGTTAACAGTGATATGCCGTATGACCAGATAAATAACAGTTAATTCAATTTATTTTCCGTGCGATAAGTTCTGGCTTACGACGATTTGTGGCATCATGGAGTAATTTATTGTCTTGATTTGATAGTCGTGCTCCATGGCTCACTCCATACGTGACTAGGCCTAGCCTAAAAATAGATTTAGGCTAGCAGCCTCTTGATTAAGATAAACATATACATTTTCTATCGCTTAAATCATGATCGCTTAGGTTAGCTGGTCGTGCTATTGTGTTAACTTATCTATTTGCCACAAACGCAAGTTCGGAGTGACCGCATATGGAGTTCCGTGATATTACAAAATTATGGCTAAAGATTGAGGGTCATTTCAAGTCTCTGGAGGCGTAACCCTGGGCTGATGAGTCAGCGCCAAACGGGCCCTCGATCTAGAACACAATTCATCAAGGCTCATGGCCAGGGGTCTTCACAGGCAACGAATGAACGCATCCAGTGTGGTGACCGTGCATGGCGACTATGGCTGCAGTGTAACACTCAGGTTTGAAGCGAACGAGTCACAGTTTACGATTACTAACATTGGCCAAAGCTAAGAGGAGTCAACGTTGACGGGTGCTAGTTCACATGATCACCATGGTCTTCGCAACTATTTGACAAAAACCTAGCATGCATGGCCGAATCGCCTTATAAGCTCTATCTAGACCTCGAAGAGACAGATTCCTAGCTATAAGAGGTGTGAGTCTCTGTTGCGGCTTAAGTGATGGTCTTTTGGTTGATGCTTACAAGTCCTCATTGTTATCAATAATTGTGTATGTACTCTGTCAACATTGGGTGTAATAAGTACTGTTCTCCCCAACGCTGAAAAGGCCCGCCAGATCTTCCTGTGTTCATTTGTTATATGATTTATTGACTTCTGTTCTATACTACTAAACTTACTAATTGGTGTAGATCTAGTGTTATTGTTCGTCGACTGTATGTGCCAAAATGCGCATCAGACGACCCGCTCTTTCCATTCTTCTACTTCTCGACCTTGGCTTTGCTATGTTCTACTATCCCACCCCACAGATATCGCTGCTAGAGCACATTCTCGTGGACAACTGGGATTCTTACGCATCAAATTTCTCGTCAGCCATCACACCATGCACAAATTACGTGACAATGACCGGAGAGCCGTCGCTCAAATCTGGCCGAACCACTGCAGCTCAGTGGATGCGGGTCGCGTTCCACGATTTCATTACAGGAAATACTACAGCAGGCACAGGTGGTATTGATGCTTCCATTGGATTCGAAACTTTTCGAGAAGAGAACAAGGGTAGCGCTTTCAACGATAGCTTCACATTTTGGAGACCTTTTGTAAATGAGTTCGTCCCAAGTATGCTATATTTATTTCCGTATAAATGCTCTGATGTTAACGGATGTGCTTGACAGTGTCTGACCTCGTGGCGCTGGGTACCGTCATGTCCGTGAACCTATGCGGAGGAAAGTACATTCCTTATCGTCCCGGTCGAGTAGATGCTATTCAAGCAGACCACACGACTGGTGTGCCCGAGCCCGGGACCAATCTTGAGGAGACACTGGCACAATTTGGGAGGGCTGGTTTCAACCAAGAGGACTCCATCGCATTGACCGCTTGTGGACATACCATGGTAATAAATCCTCCATCAAACACTTATAGTATTGCTTCCAGGAGTATCCTCTAACGCTTCCCAGGGATCGGTACATCATGGTGGATTCCCGGAGGTCAGTCCAGAGTCCGCGGTCACACCTAACAACACAAACGGTGGAGTTGATTTCGACAGTAGTCGAGGTGCATTTGATACTCGTGTTGTGCATGAATATATTGACGGCACAGGCCAGATGGGTGGACCCCTGGTTAGCAGCTTTAACGAAACATCCCGCTCAGATTTGCGCCTCTTCGAAAGTGACGGCAACAAAACTATGACAGACCTATACAACAGTGGAGAGGGGTTCCAAGAGGTTTGCATAGAAGTTATGGGTCGTATGATCAACACTGTACCTTCTGCTGCAAAACTTGATAGCCCCATTATACCATTTTCCATCAAGCCCATCAATGTTACATGGGACTTCAATTTGGACGACAGGATTGTCCTTTCTGGAAAAATAAGAGTTAGTATATTAATTGGAGTGGCAGTGCAAAACTGACTGTTTCAATTTACAGGTACTCAGAGATCTCTTAAGACCCACGTCTCCTGTGATTTTCATGATCGGTGGCAAAACGGTGCAGCTAGAAGCTGAAGAAGGCAGAGGGAAGACAGTATTTGGGAGCACTGGCACATTTGACGACAAAGTATACGGGTCCGCAATATACTACCCTTTCTCACTTCCTGGCGTCGGCCTGAGCAATGTCACATCTTTCACAGTTGCTGTTGGTGAGCAGGAAACGACTTTCCCGATCTCTTGGGGGCCATTTATCGTTCCCAGTCTGACATCTTCAGATGGCCGAAGCGTATCTTTCGGCGTGGCAATCCCTCAAACCCTCATTGATGCTTTACCCACAGACTTTGAAGTGAAGATCGTCGCTCCTGTCCCCCAGCCCTTAACACTGGGGCCGCGGATTGTTAGCGGAAGTGGATCCTGGACGGCCAAGTCTGGTTCGAGAGACGGGTTTATAATATGGAATGGCACATATGAGGTTGGACAGCAAGTTACAGGGGCAGTCAGCCTTCATCTCATACATAGTAACAGAACCACGGACACGCTGATAGTCAATGCTGGCGTCGCGGGATGGTAACATGATTGACACAGTCAATACACATTAATCAGTGAGAAGAAGAAAAAGTTCCTTGGAGTAAGATGAAGCTTTGGGTGAAACTGCAGGGATGTTGATAGGCGTACACGCCAAGTAGAAGGTGGTATAAGAACCAAGTTTCTAGTCTGGATAGCTGCCTGGAAATACAGAGGGAAACCGCGTCAAGAGCTTGGAGTTATCATGAATATAAAATCAGATAATTACCGAGCCACTTTTAGCCTGAGCATCTATATTCAAGCGACACTAAGAAAGGTCGATATGTGGAGAGGAATTGTGTAGAGGACTGCTCAGCGAAAGCTTCAGCTGCACTCCACTGCTTAAATCGTCATCTTGAAGCTCAGCTAGGGCCACAGCGATCTCTAGATACTTGTTGTCTGAACTACTGCGCGTCTCTACAATCCTACCCGCAGAAGAATAATTAAGGGCGTCTCAAAGTATTCGTCTAGAGTCCGAGGCCGCTTATTTGAGCGTACTAAATCACGTGCATTTCTCGAATTATAACGTGAAGTTATGTAAATTTAGTTCAACTTGAAAACAATAACAATATCTTGTAACGTATAAAAGATTTTATCTTATGATCTTAATTAGTTTCTTTGGAATTTTTCTATTTACTTTAAGTCTAGCGATAGTTTCCCGGTCGTATCTATGCATTCAATTCTGCAAACAATATTCTAACCACACAATTGATTAAAAATTCCACTGACGATGGGCCTTCGGTGTGATTTGCGAGAGAATCTCCCACCATTTAAATCGGCTCATCACGAGGTTCGATTAGGACCTCGTTGACGGCAACATGCTCAGGCTGGCGTAGTGCATATATGATGGCTTCAGCGACATCTTCAGGATCCAAGACCTTCGCGCCAGTTGGCTCGCCAAACTTCTTGATAGCTTCTGCATCCGTTGACATGCCTAAGAGCTCCGTGGCCGTGTTACCAGGCTGTATGCTAGTTACGCGCAGACCTGTTCCTGCAGTCTCGAGGCGTAAGCTTTGCAAGGTAGCCTCGACAAAGAACTTGCTTGCTGAGTAGACGCCCAGACCCGGGAATACCTTGCGACCAGCATCCGAAGAAATGGCCACAATGTGACCACTGCCGCGCTTCAACATGGGAGGCACGCTTGCTGACAAGCAGTGCAGCAGACCCTTGCAGTTTACGTCAACGGTACGCTCCCACTCCTCGGTCTGTACATTGGCCATCATGGTGAAGTACATGACACCAGCACAGCTAACAAGTATATCTACACCCGAACCTGATTCGGACAGAGAGCTTGCTGTCTTGAATAGAGAGTCCACATCTGTCTTACTGGTAACGTCCGTCTTGTGCACAAGCACCTTGCCTGGCGTAGCGGAAAGTTTTGTCTTCAGCTTCTCTAAAGCTTCAGTACGGCGGGCAGCAAGCACAACATGCGCGCCTTCTCTTGACAATGCCGAAGCAACAGCCGCACCGATTCCTGAAGAAGCACCGGTCACAACAGCAACTTTACCAGCTAAAGGTCCCTTCGCCTTGGGCGTTGAAGTGCCTGATGCTTCCCTGACAGGAGGTCTCGGTAACCATCCTCTCGCATACCAATCGCGCGTATAGGTTTCAAGTAGCTTACTGTCGATCTTGGGGCGCTCTAACTCGTAGACACTAAGGGCGGGTTGCGTCTTGGCATCATTGAGCACTGTCACGGCTCTCAAGAAGTCGACAGTTGGCATACCTCGACGGAGGATACCAGCAGTGAACGAGTCGTCGCCGGCCTTACTAGCGCCACGCTTCTCATTCCAGAGTGTGACCCAATCGTCCCAATCAAGAGACTTTGTCGGGTAACCAAGCTCGGCGAGGTCTTCATATAGCGCAGCAGCAGTGACAGGCTTAGGGTCGCCAACGTGGAAAATTGGCTGGTCTACTTCGGTATGGTTGGCCAATGTGACGACAGCTTTACTAACGAAGTCGACAGGTGTCATTTCAGCCAGCCATCCTTTGATATCTGGAGCATAGCCGAGGTGAATGGATTCAACGAACAAAGCCGTTAGCAGATCGTACGTGTTGGTAGAACCGAGAATACTGTGGCCACTAATCGTTCCCGGGCGGTATATCCTGACAGGCAATCCCCGACGACCAGCCTCAAGAACGAGCTGCTCAGCTACCCATTTGGTCTGGCCATAACCATCGACCAACTTTTCTGGCACCTCATCAATACTGAGCATAGCATCTTCGGACCAACCTTCAGATGAAGGTGGCAAGACACCATTTGTGGAGATGTAGTGGACGCTCGCTCCGCTTTGACTAGCTAAACGCAAAATCTCTCGCGTGCCACCGACATTGGCAGATCTCATAGCGGCATAGGGGTATACGAGGTTGACAGTAGCACCAGCATGTATGATGGCATCAACCTTAGAAGCGAGCTCGTCAAAGGTGTCAGGCGTAAGGCCGAGCCGTTTACGACCCAAGTTTCCAGGGAGCACCTCCACACGTTCCAGGATGGATTGATTCCAAATTCCAAGATCCAATAAGTTCTTGCGCAGACGCGACATACCCTGACCCCTGTCTTCGCCGGTTGGGTGGGTAAAGCGTACGAGACAAACCACCCGTGCGGATGTATTCTCCAGAATGGATGTCAGGAGGAAAGCACCCAGGTAACCAGTGACACCCGTCAGCAAGATGGTATTCGCTTCGCTTAGTGGGCACATCTTTGCGCCCGTAGCTTGAATGTCGTCAGGCAGTGTTGAATCTGCTAATAGTACCTTGGGTAAATCAGCTTGCACCGCAGCAGTGTGACCATCACGCGCGGCACGGACGGCTTCCGCATGTCCTTGCAGAGTAGGGTTTCCGGCAAGACGCGACAGAGGAACTGGGAAGCCGAATGCCTCCGTCAGGCGGCTAGCTAGGTCGGCAAGTGCCAGAGAGTGACCGCCCAAATCAAAAAAATCGTGCTCTTCTGTTACCGATTTGGCGGACAGGTTGAGAGAAGCGGCCCATAGTTTGGCAATGGTCTCAATTCTGACTTCGGTATTACGCCCGTCATCATGACCATTAACGCCGCTTGGCGACTTCGGTGCTGAGGGAGTAGGTAACGCCTTCAGATCTACCTTGCCCGAAACCTCGTGGGTAGGGATTTCGCGAAGCTCACACCACAGGGCTGGTATCATGTAGTGGGCCAGGTTCGAGGTAAGCACCTTTCTTGCTGAAGGGCTATAACCCGACTCCTCGACTGTAAATTCAGCGCGGTCATTCGCTTCTGGGTCCCGCACGAAGTATGCAACAAGCTGTCGTTCTAGGCCATCGCCGTGAGCAACAACCGCACAATGGCTAACTGCAAGCTGCTTCATAATGGTATGCTCGACGGCACCGGGTTGTACAGTATAGCCTCGCACTTTGATCATGCCGCCGACACGGCCAAGAATTTCTAGAAGGCCTGAGTCGGTTATTCTAGCGAGATCGCCCTAAATTGGTTGGGTTAGTGAGTACTACGTTCAAGTAACGATCTTGTCTTGGATACTGCAATTTCGCGACAATATTCCGGTCGCAGCTGCGATGAGAGATACAACAAAATTACTTACAGTACGATACATACGCTGGCCGGGGTTGAACGGGTCCGGGATGAAAGCTTTCGAGGTAACCTCAGGTAAGTTCAGGTATCCTCTGGCTAACAACCCGCCACCAATGTGCAACTCCCCACTGAGACCTGACTCGACCTGCTTGCCGCTTTGATCAAGAATGTAGGCGTGCTTTGGGTCCAATGGCGGACCAACAGGACATACGGTAGCACTATCATCGAGCATGTCCCTGATGTCACCACAAGCAATTTCGTGGGTTTCACTAGCGCTGTAACAGTTCAAAAGCCTCGTAGCTTCAGGTAGCGCTTTCAGTGCCCTTCTTGCTAAGTCTGTCGTCACGACTTCTCTATGGCGTTGTTAGCAGCCGCTGGATTTTGCAGGCACCAGTGGCACTCACCCGTTCAGCCACAGCGTTCGCAAATTCTTCAGACTATTCAGCTTGGTGTTGCGAGCTAGAATGGTCGCCAGAAGCGTTGGTGTCATGAGAGTTTCGGTGATATTTCGTGTAGAAAGCAACTCAACCAAGGCTACTGGATCGTAGCTTGCCTCATCCGGGATGGTAAAGACTGTGGCACCGCGGATCAGTGGCCTTAGTATCTCCCACACGAAGAACACATTGCACGCTACTCTGTCGCCTGGCTTCAGGTCGCTGAGAACGAAACGCAGGTCATACGACCGTACAGGGGCACTGTGCGCGTTAGCAATACCCTTCGGCCGCCCTGTGGTTCCACTTGAATATGAGACAAATGCCAGTCTGTCTAGGTCGTCGTCCGCTGGCAAGGGCGGAAGTACATGGGTCGTGCTGTTTGTGTGTGTTCCATTTGTGTTGGGCTCAGACTCATCCATGATAATTATATTAGAATGACTGGAAACCTTTCCAGCGTGGGCTCTGTGCGTTAATATCACAGCCGGGCCAGCATCGTCGATGACATCGGCCAACAGTCCAGGGGGGTACGCAAGCTCTAATACGAGGAAAGCGCCTCCTGCCCGGAGCGTAGCCAGACAAGCAACCACATAGTCAGCGCTTCGTCCCAGAAGAATTCCCACTAATTTATCTCGGGTGACACCCTGAACTCGAAGCTTGTGGGCTAAAGAGGCGGTCTCTCGCTCCAATTCAGCGTACGTAAGTGCCCGCGTCTCGTCCTCCAACGCAATGGCGTCAGGAGTTCGCTGTGCTTGCTGTACGAACAGTGCCGCCAGATCTTTCGTTGTATCGATCACTGCCATGTTGGTTTTTCAAACACGGATATTGACGGGCACAGATGCTTAACGACCAGCCGATTCCTCAACGCTTTATACGAGGGCTGCTTTTGGCCGAGAGCCGATCCTGAACCGTGGACTCTCTAGGTTCTCCAGTGGCGAGATTCAGCCTGTGCAGGTGCCAAACAGGGAGTGTCGCGATTGGCCAAAAAGCACTAGGCGCAGAAAGAAGCGGGATGTGCGTGGGGGAATATTGTGCGGGCTGAAGTTGAGTTTCTTGATCTGAATAGTGGCGTACAGTTGCTATAAGGTCGGTAGATTCGATGTACCAATTATTGTTAGATGGGCCGTTTATATATGTGCCCGGTAGCCAAGCCGCAGGAGGTTGATATGCAAGGCAGACTGGTGCTAGAACCGTTTCTGTGGCACCGCAGCACGCAAGTTTTACCAATCTCTATTTCGTGACGTCAACTCAACAACTCAAATCTTTCATTCCGCGTATATGGGAGTCTTCATACCCGAGCGAGGCCGTCTTGCTGTGGGGATCCGGCGTAGCGTAACGATGATCAACGTTCCGAGACGGGAACGAAAGCTGTGCAATACACGTCTCAGGACAGGTGCGCAAACGGCTATCGGACAGCCGTAGATGTGTTGCACGAGCGTCCAGATCATACCGACCGCCGGCAATATCTCGATCAATTGTGGAATACCCATCGCCGGCACCGGCTTTCAGCGACAAAAACTCAAATGTGGGTGTCGCCTGACACCTTACTGTAAAAGGGATAGTATCTTCGCCTCGATGTGTGGTGCCAGCCGTCCTCCAGCCCTCTAAGTTTCTGGGACCAGTCAAACGCATTGGTCCAACAATAGCTACTCGGTAATGTGTCCAAGTTCAGACTAACTAGTCTAACCTTAGTCTAGTCTAGTCTCGCAATTCTGTTCGCTTTCCGACGGGCAAGACTGGACATACTCGAATTCTTTGCCCTGAGCAGTCCGGTTGAGTTTAAAAAGTAATAATAATAATAATAATAATAATAATAAAAAACACTACGGTGTGATTGTAATATTTTCAATGTCCTAGGCTCTATATTTGCATTAAAAAAAAACATGGCAAGCCTGCGTCAAAGCCGAATAGTTTATCTAGGTTCAACGCCATGCCAAAATTTCTTCAACTCCAACCGTACCATATCCTGGAGGCGACCGCAACGTTTTAACCTTAGGCTCATCGCGGTATCATGTAATTCACTCAAAGACTTTGCTTAGACCATATGTATTTAAAGATGTTTGACCAGGACATGATCTGTTTGAATACATGTTCCTGTTGCAAAGTCAATCTCACCGGTCTTCTTGTATCCAAGCCTATTGTAGAGTTTTTGCGCTTTCAGATTCTCTTCCCAGACCGTCAACCACAGCTGTGTTAATCCTTCTTCGCGTGCGAGCTGCTCTACGGCAGATATCAGTTTGCTGCCAATGCCCTGACCGTGTACGCTTGCGTCGACGTACACCTTCTGCATCTCAGCTACCTCATTTGCCGGCGCGTCAATGCTGGAATGTGTTGCACCGCGGAGAAGCTGTGCAATGCCAACGACTTTGCCCCCCGAGGTCTTTGCTGCTAACCAAGTTTTCTTAGGCTCTGCAAACTCGGCAGCCACAGCTTCAGCTGAGTAGGTCGTTGTGAGAAATTCCTCCAGGTCCTCCTTTGATACTGAGTGACCAAACGTTGCAGTGAAGGTCGCACCGCCTATTGTCGCCATAGCTGGTGCATCTTGTTTTACGGCCTTGGTAACGGCAATGGTCCCAAGCAATTGGACACCAGCGATCGGGTCGGGTGCTGGTGTGACGGGAGGGGTTGGCACCGTTGTGGTGGCCAAAATGTTGTTGGAATTAATTGTCATGACGGCAAATATGGTTGTTTCTTCGGTGAAGCCTCAGTCGGTTCAAGTGAATGATCGTAGACAAGCGAAATCAGCACAAAGACCTATGTTCAAGAGCCACGCCTTTAATACCACGACAGGAAGACGGAACAATCAATATACGAAGGATGATAGATATAATGACTAAAATGCATCTTTTAAATTTATACTCCTTGGCCTTCTGCTCAACTTTTAAAGACCAATTCATGAGAACATTGGCTTCTTCCTTTGGCATTAGACTGCGCGCGCCCTGTTGTCAATCACTAGACCCACTGATGGGCACTTAAGTTCTAGGTTACAAGTAACCTGTAACCTAGATAGCTTTCGCGTGTCAGTTGCAGCGATTCATCTGGAAAGCGCTGGAAGAATATTTACCGCTCAGCCCCATTCTTTTCTTTTCCATCTTCTTTTGCTTCGGGGCTTGGCGGATGCTCAATTGCACGTCCCTTCCTCTTCTCAAAATCTACTCAGGAGATGCACTGCAGTTCCTGTGGGGTCCCTAGCTTCTTTCTATGAAGGCTCCGGCCAACGCAATCGATACTTCGGTGGGGTACAGCTGCCAGCAGGGCCCCAACTACTTCGTAGAGAAAACAGACTATGTTCCAGGTTGATTTCCTCCTCGCCAGATAAAACAACTGCGTCTATCCCAGTGCGGACAGAACCATATCCTGAGACAAGGTCCAGAATGGGCTGCAGTAGTTTTGATATTATTGTTATTAGTACGGAGTAAAAGAAAGGTGCGAGGAGACAGCGAAGTTTAAAAGCACTTCTATATACCGTATCTGGTCGAGATTCTTTTCTTACTTGATGTATAATTACTGGCAAGGCACAGTCTCATGTATGAGAACCTTATTCGTTCTACACAGGCTTGTGGAAGTGACTAATTTGGGAAGGAGATATATGCTCGGCTACGACCTTGCTGATCTCGACCACTTGGGGTGTACTGCATCAGATGCAACTGTATCCGACACTTTTCTGCCTTTGTGGATTCTAGAACAGAATGAAGGTACACACATATCTCTTAGTATTTCGAGTCCGCTATCTTCGACCGCGTCCCATTAGCGATTGCTTTTCATTGGTATGGAAACCGTCCTTGTGAAAGGCGACTGTGATATGGTTCTCAAAGGCATGTGGGTGAGCCTGACAGTCAGTGCAAGCTTCAGTGACCTGAATTTTTCCCTTTTCTTAGTGAACATTACGGATGGTGCTAGTAAAGTAGGAATTGTACATGGTACAAGCCATAAAGGTAGCAGTTTATTTAGAGAAATCCAGCATAATTTCTATGAAACATGGACACCATTGCGACTTAGCGCTTCCCGCGATTTGGTTCGTTACGAATGATATAAATATCGATTATAGGATCAAACTATATGATTAGCTCCCGATCTGGAGCCTACACCTCCCAGGCTTGATTGACGCTCTCTCAATGCGGCCTTGACCATACTGCTATAGCGTAAAAGCGTTACGGCAGAGCTTGAATCCTTTGTCATGAGTCCAAATAAAAAGGCCCCCCAGCTCTTGTAAGCTTTTGCCGTTTTCTCACCCTTCCTAGGACAGCTTATATTGACTTCTGTCTGACTCCACGGCCCTACTCGAACATCAAAAACTACTCCCAACGATATAAAAGTGACATTTGTTTATTTGCCAATTTAGTGAATAACATGTTCAATCAAAACCTCCATATTTTGCATGTATATGGAAAATAGCCGTAAAGCGAAAGATGTAGTCGAGTGTATGGGCTACCGTTGTCTCTTCGACATGATTAACACGTGATAGCCATTGACTCTACCTAGATCGAACGTTGAGGAATTATCAATTTTATGCCAAAGGGAGATATCAGATAAACATGGGCTATTCCATCAATAGTCTCTTAGGGATATAATGAACTCGGAAACTGCGACGCTTACAAGAAGCGATTCAGAATGACCTTGCCATAAACAAGAATTTTCAAAGAGCATATCATCAAATGTAAACACAGATACATCAAATGAATTTGGTATCTCTACAGAAGGCTTCGAGCAAGTATTAATGCTACCAGAAAATCAAAATTTTCCACCTCCATTTCTCAAATACGTGCTCACGTCTTCGTCGAAAAGACGTCTTAGAATGACAGTATCCACTTAGAGTAGGACCAAGAAGGTTCTTTCAGGATGGAAAGATACAGGTTTAAGCCGTATTAAATAGTTGATATGCAAAGCGAGGATAATCGATCGACAGACCCGAAATAGGAATGGAACGGGGAGCATGGTTGAAAGAGACAGCGCTGAAGGACGTCTCAGAGTTGGGTGATTATCCAAACCATCCAGAAATTCACCAACTCAATTGTGGCGGCGCTTTCAATGGTCCCATAGCATAGCCAAGATTGTTCCCGTTGCTAAGCTCTGCCGACTTTTTCGCATAGAGTCCAACTACAGCTTGGGTGGCTTCAATAACTCCCGCGTCTAGTATAGATGGGACGGAGAACTACGAGACCGTCCATAATCCATTTCCTGATCCAAACCTTGGTATCTCGTACGTGGGTGTTCATGTAATTCTGGTAGTAAGGAACAAGATGGTGAGCACTGGGTTCTGAAAATATATTTAGGTTACTTGTTATTAAGACTAAGTTTCAAAACAACTACTTCAATGTAAAATCAACGCAATAGTCGATTTTAAGATTAATCGGAGGTATTAATAAAAATAGGGGCTCTAGCTATGGGCATTACTATTCTGATCTAACACTTTAATAGTTGTTCAATGAGCTTATATCTACTACCCGCACAGTCCCCTCGCCAAACTCTGAGACAAGAAGCCTGTTTCCGTCGGGGCTAACCGCAAGAGAACGAGGGAAATCTCCAACAGGAATTTGAGGAAAATCTGACTGCCCTTTACTTAGAGCTCCTGCAGAATTAATGACAGTAACACCCGTGGATGCGTTACTATAATCAAATCTATTCGAGTCCGCCGTGAGAATATGGTTTCCAACTACAGCGATTCCAATGGGGGACGTTCCTGTATTGACAGTAGCCATAAATACGTCCGTTGTATCATTATTGGCCAACTTCTGGGCATCGAACACAGACGCATGGTTGATATCGCGTTCTGTTACCCAAAGCTTGTTTCCATCTGGTCAATTCGTTAACGGAATATAATTTGGAAAGGTTCTGATAGGATTGATACGCACCTGTCGAAAGATGGCAGCGCACTGGACGACAACCACTCATATACTTGGTAATCAATGACTTGCCAGGCGTATGCTTCAATTTATCAACGTCGAGAACACTTAGCACGCCTGTTGTGCTATTCGGTGCCGCTGTCGTGCTATTCATCTCGCTAGTGACAAAGAGTTTCGTATAGTCCTTCGAGAATTGCTGCCCAACTACAGCATATCCAAGGGCGATGAAACCCCTCCATTCACTGTTAACTGTTCCATTAGCCAATCGTGTCACGTTGAAGACCTCGATAGCTCCGCGGTTATACGATGAGTTACTCCCGAACTCTTGGCTTATAAAGACATATTTATCATCAGGGGTGATAGACAGTTCGATAGCACTTCTGCCTACATGACCGTTCGAGCTTAGCACCCCTACAAATGAGTCGTCTCTGCCGGCGATAGCTCTAGGGACATCGAAAATGACGGCTCCGTAGCCAGTGGCGACATAGAGATTGCGTTTGTCGTGGGTGATAGAAAGCTCACGGTATCCGTAACCATCCTCCGTGATGTTTTTATTGCCCATATCGAGATTCGATGGGAAAGGTATATTGTTTATTAACTTTGGCGTAAACCCTGTTTCGTGTCAGTGCCTCATTTTGATGGAAATTCAAAGTATGCTTGCCTGATGTATTAAGAACCGCAACAGAGAAGTTGACTGCGACGAACGCCCAGTTATCGTTGAGATATGCAAGTCCCCATGGACGATTGCCAACACGGATACTTGTCGAGTTGAGGCTGAGGATATTTTGCGGCGGTGCGTTCGTCGCACATCTATAGTCCGGATAATGGGTTGGGAAAGATGTCACAGAAAACGGGAACAATACAGCAGCAACTGCTGCTGCAACCAAGAAAGAACCGGTAAGACCAACCATTACTGGTGGGTATGCGAGAAAAGCACTGGATTACTGATAGAAAAGTAACATTGTGTAAATAATGAAAATCAGAGCTGAACGAGATCGCACGCGGGGCTGTAATTCATATATACTAACCTTAGCATAGTTCGTTTCAGCTAAACGTGTGGTGTACATACACAATACCGGGCAACTGGAACGCTTACTTCCGACCGACATGCTGGTTTGGGTCACTTGTGCCGGTCAGGATTCACGTGCTTGAGAACGCGGAAGAAGCCGCCACACACTCTTCCAACCTTGGGCTGTGACGCTCTACGACAGCTAGGAGCATTATGTTTCATGCTGTGAAGCCTTGATGGGGGTAGCAAAGCGGTTCTTGTTACGCTCTAACTCTATGATGATAGACCAGGACGCCAAAGTTGTGATTGTGCTCAATGGAGTTCTGCTAAGGAAGTGCGAGAATTGCTGAAGCTCAAACACTAATCACCAAATTGAGGTTTAAGGCTTCATTTTCATTAGAGTTGTCACAGCCCGATGCCAAGAACGTCGAGCCTGCAAATAGAGTAAACTTATCGTGGGTTTCTGGTCAGCTGCATCTGCAATGAAACCTGTGGATGACTGATAATTCCGAAACTGTACTGTAAATGAGAAGCATCGCTGCCCAAAATGGAAGGTATTCACTTTAATCACCCCGCAAATGGACCCCTGAAACTGTTAACACTTCTAACCCTGAATGGACCAGTATAGGTGTACGCAGCACATATGATGTCTGTTATATCTACAAAATGTGCCGATTAGCCGAGACACTTTCGAGGGAAGAGTTTTTGAGCTAGATGGATATGCGAACCTGGCGACTTCATCAATCGGCTTCGGAAAATTATAACTACTGAAGCTCGGGAATCACTGGTCTATGATGAGTGATGGGCAAATCACGTTCAACATAATGGTAGAAATGCCTCGAGTCTGATCGTTTGTTCCAATGGACTCGTCCCAAATCATGAATCAGAAAAGTCCTACGGTGTTATCAATCTTTGAACATGCGGCTGAAACCTTTTCGAAAAATCTGATTATACAGGCGGCATCACTCCATTCTATAGAGACCCTTTGAAATAAGAAGTCTAAGAATCGAGAAACGGAGCCGTATAACATATAGAGAGCTAGTACCCCAGATAATTTAAGACATTGCCACCCCGCAAATCACGACAAAGGAACTATACTAGCCTTAGTTATCATTACAACCATCGTATAATTTACCGCTCACAAGAACTTTTCCAGCATTAAGCTACTAGTGTAAGAAGTTTGACAAAACTGAATATAAGTTGATTTGGCACAGGCACAGTCATTGTCGCTTGCAATCTTGCGCAGTTGAATCGTCCAGTGAATGATAAGATCAATCAAACAGCTTTAAGTATATTCAAATTCATTGGACGACTAACCGCGTTCTTGCTGCGCAAAAAGTCGGATCCTCTGTTACAGTACGCGACCTGCAGCATACAAACTATCAAGCAGAAATGGTGAACATAAGTGACCAGACACTTGTAGCCTAACTCATCAAAGTTAGGAATAAGCACACCTTCTCCACTTCTATAATTAACCATAACGCGAAATATCGATGTAGTTCAAACTCATGTTAATTATTGAAAATACGCCAGAGACCCTCGGTAACGCTGTGCTAATCCTATGACTTCACTGCAATTTTCCAAGGACTTATTAGATCCCACAATGGGGTGGTAACGAACCCGCAATTCATGGTGTCCGGGCGCTGCATTCTGTCAAAGTGTTGGGTATGCTACTGCCTGCTACCAGCGTTTGACTCCTGGACTATATTACGGCGCCGGACTTCTCTAAACCTTCAGAATTGTGCTGATTTGTAATCATCTCCACATCCATGATGGCTGCACCAGCGCTGGCCAACCTTCTAACGGAAGCCGTTCGTCAGATTGCAGAGTTTATCTATCTGGAGCACCTACCTAGTCTGAGCTCGTTCGCATTGATCTATAAGACCTGCCACGCCGCTGCCACGACATGGAGATTGCGGGATATTCACCTCAAGATCATCAGCCGCGAACAGCTACGTCGCGATGTTACACATTATTTAGGTATCATCAATCGGAACCAGAATCCAAAGCACGTTCGATGGGTGGAGATCAAAGGCGAGATGCCGCGTAAGCAGGAGGACGAACAACACACCGAAGCTCCCGGCTAGACGCTTAACAACAAAACCTGAATAGGATCTGACGAGGTTTTTGGCGGAAGCGAGAGTGAAATCTTCGTTGCAAATGGCACAAAAGATGGGGCCTGGACAGCATTTGTGGAATAACTTCAAACTCTGCCACATCTGACGGACCTGGTTTTCCAGCCATCACAACCAGTTCCCACCGATTATTCCGGATGCCTTGTATGAGTTTAAGCTTTAGTGCCGTTTACATCTTCCCAAATTCTGCTTTCATAGTTTTGAATAGGCAACCGTGGATGAACATGAGAAGGAGGTCGCCACCCACCCACAATTGCGTAGCCTTGGTGTGCGGTGAGTATGGCGCAATTCCAGGGGTAACGATGACTATAATGGAGAGGCAGTTATGCGTCTCATAGGAGGTCTGGCGCCGAATTTGAGAAAAGGATGAGATGATACACTTGCAGGCAGCATCGTCGATATTGCTACACCGCAGTTGAGGAATTCCGCGCAAGCCCAGGGGAGGTCTTAGTGACGGCTTTTGGTGGAGTTCAATCGACGATGACCGCTCTGTCAAACTGGCTTTACTGGGTTGCATCAAGTTGACGGGCTTTGGAATTATCAAAGCGGAAGATCTCATTGACTAGCAGAAACACGCGTAAGTGCGACTAAGGACTGTGTTTAACGACGCAGTTGAAATGACTTCAAGATCTCACAAATATTGTCCTATGTAGGGTTTTCTCAGCAAGTGCTAAATGCTGGCCTATTCTATACTAGTTTGCTTTCAGCGCTGCGCTATTTTGAGCTTTGAGACGGGTAATAGTGGTGAGGCGATGCAATGAATGCTTCGTTTCCCAATCTAAAAGACCTTACGATCAACGTTGACCATGGTGACGAGCAAACAGATCAGCCCGACTTTGACTCCGCAGCTGTCGCCTTTTTGTCAAATCTACTGCCTCTTGAGACTTTGCATATATTGGGATCTATTGGCTGAGAGGTATTTGACTGCATCATCGAGAGACATTGTAATGACTTTGCAAAAGCTTGCCCTCCGTCCGTATGAGTTGATGTATTCCAGCACCCGCAGCAACAGACCCTTTGTATCTAACATGGAGAATATCTTGCAGTTGCAGAGTTTTTGTTCTCTTACAAGAAAACTTGACGATTTCGACCAAGCGCTGTAAAGGCGGCGCTGAAGAGGTAAGAATGTATCAGGGTCTGGGTAAGATGAAGCGGTTGGCTACTATCTTCCTGACTCTTGACTGCTCTAACCCTTCCATCATACTAGACGGCAATTAGACGCCCAATGATCCTTCGTTTGATTATTAGATGTAGGAACCCGGTGTATATGCAATCAACGCCGTTCCAGAAGAGGTCACAGCCGTGATGCGCTCCTCAATTCTGCTGTCGATGACATATTGGCCCTCTGCACCTGTGATGCTATCAGCGGCGGCAAAACTGGCAAGCCCTTGGAGACTCTAAAACTACACACGACTGGTGGTATCAGCTTTGGTGTTAATGATTACCAAAACGACCTCATGGACGTAGTGCAACAATTGAGTCGATCGTTTCTGCTTGAACAGAATCCCCAAGATGATCATGATAGAACCATCTTGCGAGAATTGGGCCAGCGTGTCAGGGAGGCGAGAAATGAACTCGATTGCCAAAGCACAAAAGAGTTCAAAGTCAAATAATGAGACAAGCACTCTGAGCTTTTACTTAGTCTTGGTTCAGCTATAGAGATTTTCAGGAGGGTATGGCCACCAAATGATGAAAAGTGACGATGATTGGACTAGGGTGCAACTTCAACATGGGCTTAATTGAAATGACGCAAAAGATCCAAGCGAAGACCTTAGCAATATATCAACACATCGGCTTCCTCACACTCAAATGTAATACCCTTATAAAAAAGAATTAAAAGTTCTTCAGGGGATTCAAGGGGAGAAGTAACCGGATTGTAACACCAATTTTATGGTACTTGTATGGCTTGGAAGCAGACAACTTTAGATCAAAAGCAAGCATGGAGAGGTTATAAGTATGCAGTAATTTACTATTTTATATAATGATTCCTCGATGCAGTGTGGGGAATTCAGTGGTCTAATGCTGGCACCAGTGCATAAGTTATGCTATTTTTTTTGTGGCATCAATGTGTATAGAAGAAGCTGAGGCCTGACGTATAGACGGTATTCCAGGAGAACAGATATCAGATAGCATCTTCTGAAGGTTTTGATAAACAATCTCAACGCACATTGGCAATTTAGTGAGATGTCTAGTAAACGATCTTCATAGCTGGTCTCCATACACTAACCCTTCTACGGATGATTCGATTATATTTGATTTCTCTCGAAAGCTTCAAGAAACTGTGCGCGGGGGCCTAGTGAATAAAATATTCAGGAAGCTTCACACTCCAGAATCAGACTCAGTGACTCTCACTTCCAAGCCGTCATCCACCCAAAGGACAAAGCTCTTTGAAGACATCGGATTCTGTGGGTCGACCAGTTGAAAGTCGAAGTTACGAAAGAGCTAGAAAGCATTAAGTGAAATTATTTTGACGCCTATTCATTAATATGACCGTTTATTAACCTCAAAAGGTAGCTTATTCAATTCCATTTGTGCCAGCGGTTTTCCCGCGCACATCCATCTTCCATACCCGAACTGTAATTCAACATTTCTGCACATCTCTGACAGTGTAGTACTATTGAGTTTCATGAACCTTTCTGGGCGGAAAATGTGCGAGTCTTCTTCAAAAATATCTTCATTTAGGAGGAAGGAAGGCAAGTTGGTGCCAATCGCGGTCCCATCTGGTATAAAAGTTCATTTGATTGTGTCACCGTTTGCCGGAACTTCCTTAAAGACGAGATCCGAGACAACGGGACGTATGCGCAGACTTTCGTAAATCACGGCCTGACAGAGTTAGTCTAACGTTGAATTGCGGTGTAGAGAGTTCGATGATGGACGGTGACGGCATGTTCATTAACTGTTGTCGTCCAAAACGGCAGGGGAGACAAATACACACCTGCAGATATGGTAAAGCCCTCGCTTCTGCATTAGTAATTGTTGATGAAATCTTGCCATCTGTAACTGCGCGTTTGATCTCCTCCTTGAGCTTCTGGTACACTTGTTGACTGGAAAGAACATGGGGCATTGTGATTCTGATCACTGAAGCAGTGGTATCTGATCTAGCAATAAACACTACAGCGTTCGGTATCAGTAATTATTTACTCGAATTGCTTTGGATAGATCTTCAGCAGTCTTATCAGACATTTAGAAAGAGTTCGATTACTCTTGATAAGAAATTGCGCTTGACATACGTGCAAGAAAGAAGAAGAATTGATACCAAAGATTAGTTACTCAATAGCGCTTCGCTTTCACAATCCGCCTGGCTAAGTCCATGCCTGATAAACAAACCCTCGTATGTCTCAATTAGTAAGTCATCCGATATTCTGGCATGGAGAAGATATATATCTGCGTATAATTTTCTGGTGTGGTACCAGGAGAAAATTGTTCTCGAACAGCATCATTTGTCATACCCATGAGCTTACCAATGCTATAGGCATCGGTCTCTTTGGGTCCCATCAATCTCAAGAACATATCCGAGCAAAACAATCTCCGGAGCCACGGCACGTCAACGGCTACTGACATGAACGGAATGTGGACATGAAGAGTCGAAAAAAAAACCCCGTGAATATCGGCATCGTTCTGGAGACAGCCAAATGCTGTTCCCAGGGAGACACTTGAGATAACGTCGAGCGCGAACAACCCGGAAATACGTCCGATAGATAGTGTTCGCGAGTCAACAGCTCGATAAATGCACTTGCGACGGATGAGATGGATCAAACTCTTAATCTGCTCATCAACATTAGACTCGAGCCCCGGAGTATCTCTCCCACTGTACGCTGCGGCAACCTTGGCCTTCATTTGATCGTGCCGCTCAGGTTCTAATATTTCGAACATTGTCTCGTTGTATGGATTGAATCGATTTCCCGTGTTGGCTTCTCCCATGCGGTATATGCTTTTGGCGCTCGATATCATGCGAATAACATCTGGGTTGTCTGTAGTCAGATCGTTGGGCCCGATTCTAACTAACGACGAGCCATATCTCTTGCAGAGTACCCGCTAAATCTGGCATTGCCGCTCGCTCTTGCTAACGCTTGTAATCCAGAAATACGAGAACGATGCTAGAAGAGGTCCATGAATGTGATGAAGTCAATACCAAGCAAGTAGGGCAGTTGTGATGTACCTATGCGACTATCAGAGACCAGTAATAACTGTATTTGGACACGGACAAAGGTGTTTTCAGGCCGCCTCCCAAGACAGTAGTGAGATATCTAGGAAAGTAATGGGGATTTTGAGGGTTACATACCAAAGTAGCATGCAGCTTAGCGCCGCAGGCATGATACTATAAAGGTGTAAACCCAACAAAAGCAAAGCCATGATTTTGTTGATAACTTCTTAGTATCCTAAACTACTAGCTGCTGTGGTTCGGGTTTTTTGAAACAAGGTAGGAAGATTATTCAATACTGCAGCTGCCAATATCTGTACTCATAGTGGCGCTGAACTCTGACTTCACAAAATGCGAGTTACCTCCGTAATTGTAGGTATTTGAGCGGAAACCCCTGGATATCGACCGCATATCATTTATGAGTCATGGCGATCCGGGCCATTCTTATCAAAGCGCCTAAATCAATTCACTGACATGACAAGATCTCCGGAAAGAGAGGCGGGGTGGATAAATCTGTGTTCAGGATTGCATTGGATGGCGGCCAACCATATCCGAGAAGGTACAACATATTCAACGTGCATACTAGCAGGCTCCCCCGCCGTGATATCGTATTCAGGACTGTATATCTTCGTTCGGATGGTACATGAAGCAACATACTGGAGGCTGTCATACCTGGAAGCATACTATTAATTTATAGGAAACAGGTTTTGCGGTGCATGCGAAAAACTAGTTGAATTGCTGATCAGTGTGTTGATGCATTTCTCCCTTCTTTCGGGCGACTTGTACATGCTTCTTGTCATCTACAGCAACACAGCCTAACTAAATCTATCATATAGAGTGTAGCAGACCATAAAGTTTTCTTAACATCTCTTACAGCCCTATAGCTGGAGGCAATTGTTCTCTTGAAAAAGAAATGAAACGAAAAGAAAGGAAAGGGGAGAAAAAAGTAAAGCAGGCTTGAACGCCTAGGGTATATCCATGTCCTCGTCGCCTCGTCATAGAGTTTGAATCTTTAAAGTGCTTCGATACCCGCCTTTGCCTTCTTTATTGCCTCGTCGAGCGTCCAAAGAACGTCGCTGAGATGTTCCATCTTTTTCCAACCCGCTGCCGTTTCGTCTTGTTGTCGTATCTTATGTCGAATGACACTTCGCATGATGTTCATCTCATGGCTGACACCTTTGAGTAAAGGCTTCACGTCATCAGCAGATGTGTATTGCAGGTACCTGGACCCAAAATACTCAGACTGGTGGGACAATCCAGGCTTCAGAGTCTCCGATAGCTTGGGCTGTGAAGTCGGTTGGGATACGGTGAGGATATTGCATTGAGGCATGAAATTACATGCCTGATTCAGTGATTGCAACTGTGCCTCGACTTTATTCAGGCGGCATTCCAGCTGGTCAGAGCGCTGGTCAGACTGCGAGGCAACGACTGCAGCCTCATTCGTGGTTTGGTAAGCCGATAGAAGAGGACCGAGTCTGGCCTTCAGCTTGTGCAGATCAAGTCCCGGCAGGCTTACGGGTTCGACGGCCTGATCATTATTGTCTGAAATATTGTCTAAACCACCATTGACGGAATTTATTGTGTTATCGTCAGTTCGGGTACCTGGCTCGTTCGTAGAACTAGGGGTTGAGCATGATTTGTCTAGTGGTTCAGGCCAACCTGTCTCATCGGCAAGATCAAGTTCCTGCTTGGTCTCCTGGATTTCGGCCCCAACAGCCAGCTTAGTACACGTATCTTCGGGTAGAGTGTCGCGCGCAATTGAGTTCGATCTCAGTCTTTTGCAAACGGTCGAACCTTGAGGCGATGCCTGACGCTTACGACGGTGTCTGGCGGAAGTGGGACGATATCCCTCGTTCTCATCATCAGTTGACACAAGGTTTACAACCTGCGTACCAGAGGTTGCTCCAGTTTTCCAGCGATTTGAGACCTCTCTCGTCTGCGATGATTCTTGATCGTGTTGCGGTTCGCCCGGGCGTGACAAACAGTGATGAGCTGTCGTAGATTCGCCAACCTGGTCGGGGTAAGGTAAAAGACTCATTTGAGATGGGCCAGCTGAAACAGAATTATTCTGGCACCGAGGCGTGCCGGTACGTTGCGCATCATTGTTAAAATCAAGCGGTGGTGAATGGTCCTTCACAGTAATCAGGTTTCCCGGGGCCTGCGAGCTGTGGCTCTGTGCAGAGGAACTAGACTGTATTTGACCAGGAGGTGATATAAGTGCAGCATTGTCTTTGCTATTAAGTTTACTTGCATTAGCTGATGATTGATACGATGTTGATTCAACACCAGGTAGGATATAGCGTGAGATTCCGTTCTTGGTTGCAATGTTCGTGATGCTCTTGGACCGGGCTGTTCCAGAATGATGTCCAGGACTTCGACCATGTAGTAACTCATCCAGTTGCTCATCTGAAGAAGCCACATGTGGCCTGGAGCTTCTCATGTTCGCCTGGGAAGGGAGAGTGGCAGAAGAAGCCGCGCCATCAGAGAAGTGGAGGGGTAGACGCCTTCGAGGATTCTGATGAGCCATAATATTTGTGGTGAATTGTGGCTTTATAAGATCGCCTCTAACTTCCTTTGAGCGACTATTACGCCATGAATCGACATGACTCTGCCAAGAATGCTCGGCCGCCTCCTTAGAAGTGTGATGCGAATTGCCAAAAGCCTCCATGCTAATGATGGCGTCGACGGCTTTTACCAACGGCGAAGGAGCATGTTCTCCTTTCGGAGCTAGGCGTCCATGAATATGTTGATATTCGCGATGATAAGCTTTCCGACCTTCACAGTAGCTGGATACGATGTCTTGGAGGATTGGTTCAGTGTTTTTCGGATACCCTAGCACGAGTCGTAAGCGGAGCCAGAACCAATCCTGGGTTCGGAATGTAGCCAGCCACACGACAGCTTCGACGACAAACCGAATGTTGAATTCAATTTTTTGTTGTGGGAGTGCGCTGTGCTTGAGGCCGGCCGCAGCCGGATGCAAGAGCACAGCAGCGTCTTCGCGCAAGATTCGACATAGAGCTTCTTTGGACATGGAAACCCCGTCGACACGGAGATTCTCTGTTGTCGCGCTGCCACTCATGCCGAAACCGCTGTAAATGCTGAAACTACGCTCCATTTGTGGCCAACGAGCTGAGTCTCCTGCCTAGTCGAGCTTGTGCAGATTTCGTGCTGGACACATGTTTTTGGTGGGTGTTGGGGCCAGTGGGGCCTTAACGTCAAATGCCTTGGGTTAGGTAGGTTGCTATGTAAACCGTCCGCGTAAATCAACCTTCCATCCAAGAAAATTGACGTAGCGTAATCTAGCCTATTGTACAGGGCTCTCAAGGGTTTTTGCATTCGTTCACCCGAATGGAGTATTTCCAATGGACCGGCAAAACTTGTCCCGAGTCGACATGACTGATTTTCGAAAAAGAGACGCGAGCACAACTCCGATGTAAAGGTTGTCATATCCATTGGCGATTGGGCCTTCTTAGACAACGTTACAGTCACGCAGCCTGTATTTGGTAAGACTGCTTCTTGACAGACAAATCGACAGAGGATGCGAATAACTGTGTCAAGTTTATGAACAAGTGCAGTTTCGATGGGTTGGACATTGATTGGGAATATCCCGGCAGGACACCATTTTACAACCTTTAGTTCTCAAACGTGCAAAGGATGACTAGCAATTGACGTTAGCAACGTAAGTGCGCCTGATCGTGATGGGAAAGATGACGACACCGACAACTTTGTCGCTTGATGTAAACTTTGCGCACCACTAGTGGTTCATATCCTCCTGGATGGCGCAGCGGACTGACACATCAAGGGCATGCTGGCCGACAACACTAGTGGTGCCAGGTGCGATCCTGAGAGCGGTACTGGTTATTGTACACGAGGAGAGAAAGTATTTGGTGCAAGGCGAGTGATTAGAAAGACGCAACGAACATATATTACTAGACAGACCGGTATGTTGTATCTCTCAAATGAGCATACCAATACAGCGGCTGACCTTTGTCAAGCACCAGTAGTTACAATTCGGTTAATAAGAAAGAAGTCGCTATATCATGTAGTTAATGCAATCTATTGAAGCACAAGATTGAATCTCTCCTACACAAAGATATCATATAGCCAGGCCTTTGGTCCTTGTGTCCAACTTATCGTGAATGGCAGATGTGTATTGCTGTCCAAAAGATAACTTTCTTAATGATTGTAGTTAGCGTGGTAGTTTTGATGACTACCCAGATGTTGAATGTAAGAAAGGCGAAGTAGTAATTAGAATGGTGTATCAGGAGGTTGGAAAAGCCGGAACTGGCATTGAGTAATTGCCAATAAGAACGGAAATCTGTTTCTGTGTTGACTCGATGATATTCCTGCAGGGAATATATCTTGAAATGGTGTTGAACTGGAAAGAAAACGTACAATCTGCTGTAAAGTCCCTATCGCTCCTGTGCAGAAAATCATGAAATGCGACTTGACGAGACGCGACCTCGATCCGGATTCTTGCGATGGAGACGCATTCGACGACACGGGAGCCCTTCTAATGAGAAATTTGAAATTTGACGACCCTACACCCTTGCTGAGTGGAATGACTTAGGGCTCGCGAAGCGTGGCAAGAAGCGGGACTTCAAGTGGTGGACAGTGGATGGTCGCGTACTTGCACAGTCTTCGTGAGCGGATAGCAGCACTCAATACGAAGGATTTGTACAAAATCGGCTCTTGGAACTTGCAAAGTGGTAGTGGCAGATAAGATCGAGAAGCTGTAGTAACCCTAGTGTCACAGCAACCGATGGGGAATTTGAGTGTCCGACTCCTGTAAGAGAAATCTTTAACTCGCTATGCCTCTTCTTGCGATGGCCTTGACGAGTGATAAAACTAGAATAGCCGCCGTGATAAAACTCGCAGAGACAGCTAGGATATGTGGATATGCACGTTGGGCGTTACCTGACCGTGATTATTCAGCGATTCTCAAACACCAGAACCCGAACAGTTCCGTGGGCGGCTTCCTGCTTATAATTCAGACGGCCCCTTAGCCTAAGAAACCGGATTCTTTCGAGGGGTAAGCGTACACTTAGACAGCAATAGCTGTGGCACTTCCGACAGATAATGAGAACCGAGGAAAGGGAAAGGCGAGTAATTTACCGATGTGGATATTTATCTTTGAGCTGGTGGTGCAGATGCGTTGACAGACGAACCTTGGCGTCTGGATTGGTTCATCAAAGTCATATTCAAGGGTTGGCTTTATAATATTTCTTAAAGGTATGGAACTGGTGTATGACAGTGATGCATATGTCTTGGTCACATGATGAACAAAAAGCCCCCGAATAGCAAATGGTTTGGCGTGTTTGCGTGGCTGATCAAAATATACCTAAATGAGAAGAAGAGCGGCGAAAATCAGGTATATCCCCAAGTCAACCAGTCAACAGAGTCTCGAGCGTTTGAAACGTATTCCTGGTTCTTCACGCCTATTACCATCCAGTCCCAGATCACAAGATTCCCCAAGGCTGATCAGTATCTGTAGACATCCAACGAATTGGCCATAGAGCGTGGCCCTTGAGTAATTGCAAGTGACATTTGAAACGTATTATCATGATGAAAAGTGCTATTTTGCAGCAAAAACTCGCATAGAAGGCCCACAGGCAGATTCGACATGTCTACTACCGTGATGATAATCGGGACCACCTCATGTTTCTGCGTGCTAATTGACAGAAAACAAGCATAAAATATACCGGGAATATTTTCAAGGATGAAGTCAAACTCCACACACAGACTGAAGCAGAACCCCTCAACAAGTGTTCAGCATACTAGTCAGAGCTGTCTTCTCACTGCTTGTTATGGTAAGATCCCAATAATACTTGACAGCAACCCAACTCTTGGCATAAGTGCAGTAGAAAGAGGTCAACGGTGGTTTCCAGTTGGCAGGATTCTTGTCGCTCTTTGATTGGTTGACGTTATCCGCTACAGCCCAAAGCTGAGGTCGAGTCAAGTCGTTGGCAAAACTCTGGCGCTTCGATGTCGTCCATGAATTCGCACCAGACTAGGGAATGATAACATTAGCTTAAACGCCTCACTGACTGGCACAAAGTCAGTAACTTACGAGCCAAGCGTTCTTCAGAGGAACCATGTGATCAATATCAATGTCGGACGGTGCAGTCCATGTTGCACCGTCATAAGGGCTACTCCACGATCCAGCTGTTGGGTAGCAGTCGGAACCGACAGTCACACCAGTGCCATCGCGTTTGAGGACAGACTCTCGAGTACTACAACCGCCGCTCTCGATCCAATGAGGGAACAAGTCACGGTCGTAGGTGCCATCATCGACCTGTGTGACAACACTCAAGGCGGCCAACTGAGTTTTGGCATTGGCCGTCGTGGGAATGCCACCCTATTGCATTTGGTCAGCCACAGCGCTTTTTCAATTTTTTAAAGCTAATGGATAAAGTCTATCGTGAACTGGGGATATATGGGCATGCCACTTACAGGGCTGGGCTCGGGTGTTCGCTCCTGGACAGTGTTCGGCGCAGAAGCGGGTGCCGCAGTGACCGATGAGATCAGGGCCAGAATGCCCACAACCTTGAAGATGGACTTCATGATTATGATCAGGCTTGAGGGATGTGACTGCCGATGTTCTCGGGTAGTCGAGGGATCCTTGGTACTTGCTGAACTGAAGCTGAACCACAAGTGCGCAACGAACGGGATCCCCGTGAGTTTATATCTTCGACGTTGGTCACCTGTCCATCCGATCCAATACGCCCCTCTCTACATATCTCTTCTTACTGGCTCCCTAATTGCTGCTAAGTAGTATCATATCTCTGCGGCGCAGATAGTTGTACAGTAATGCCAAGCAGGTTACTCTGGCCTTTCTAGACCAAATCACAAGGTGCCAGAAAAACATTACTACCGCCGTTTCCGGCTGGTTCATACCAAAGCGCCAGAATCCCGATAACCATTCCATCCATAGACGTTGACAGAATGAGGCAGGTGCCGAACCATGAAATTGGCAGTCCAAGTTGAAGGGCCACAGAACGTGAGGGTTCCGGCAGATGATGCAGGGAATCCAAAGCTTGGCATTGCAAGCGACTTGGCGAACCCCGTAACCCGTTGCGTACCTTTGTGCATGGCAACGACCCTGAGGTATTCTCCTTGGTGTTCCGAACAGAACTCCGCGGCGTTCGGCCTACGGTGCTTATATTAGCAGAGGGATATTATACTGATACAACAAAGGCGGCGGCTAGCAACACAATCGGTCAACAGTCCTAGTCGATCTGGCAAAATAGAATTGACGGCTCAGGCCTCATTGCAATTGTCGAAAACGAAGCACATTGTACCTTAGAATTGTATTCATCGTGCTTGTGATCGCCAGGGGATCAGCTATTACAAGGAAGCGATCCGGACAAGCTATCACCACGTGTATGAGAGATGATACAACCAATAACTTGGGCCGCTTATCATCAGCGTTCTCGCATTCGTGAATAATTAGGAGGTTGTACTTGTATAGAGACCATCGAGACCGCCGGTCAACGTTGACTCCCGTCGATGAGCGACATATCCAGACACCATTGCTAGACCGTTATCGCAGACGCAGTTTATAGTCGCCTTGGCACTTGGAAAGGCACAAGAATGAGAGCGAGAGGATGGAACGGCATGTCTGTTATCTTTCATATCATTGGCTATGCGCCAATCGGACGAAAGCGGCGTCGGTCAGAAATAGCTCCTTGGCGGGCCGGTCGTGAAGCTCGTTGGCTATCGATTCAATCTCGTGGGGTTGCATCGTCCAAAGACTGCAATACCCCACACGATCGATGGTGCTGATACCCGAGATGCGATGGGTTGGCCAAATACCAAGACGGAGTTGTTCCAGCTAGGAAAGACACAAGACCACCACATAATAAAGTCGTGCCCTGAAGCGGCCATTTTGAGTCCGCAGAAGACGATTGTGCATGGCATAAACTGGGTGCTCTTCAACTCAGACCCTATTCATCAAGAACACACAGTATTACCATCAAAGAAGACAGGCAATCTGAACACGCTATCGATTCTGATCGAGTCTGTTTTCCATAACTCCAACGCAGCCACCCGCGCACGTAGCGCAATGAATGAGACATTGTCAATACTGGACAAAGTTAAGATTCGATCTGCGGACTTGCGACTGTGCCACGGTCTGTGTCGCATAATATACAATTCACGTGGGAGATGCTCGACACGTGTGAATTTGGGGATAGTTATAGGCACGTATACAGCGACCAGTGCTACCCGATAACTAAACATATAGGTATGTTAAACGACGGCCAAAGTTTCTGTCAGTTCTCGGACCAAAAAGACCGCTGCCAACTGGGTTGTTGTACCTTGTTCGCCCCCTTTGCAATAGTGCTTCAGTTTTGTCGTTTCATCATATTGATATATCGAAACCTAGGTGCAGAAGCCTGAGAGCAAGATAACGAATCTACACATTTGTTCAAGAATGTATCAGCGTGTCTCATGGAAATCTAACCAATACCATTTCCAGAAGTGCTCGTTCTCGGTAAACTACGATCACGTCAAGGCTGTGATATCATAGTCTGTAGGACCTAATCAGGAGCAATAATAATTGGGATGAATCGATTGTTAAAGAGCCACTCGCTTCGCGAAAATGATAAATAATTCCACAAGTGTAGTCCCGTCAAAACCAAATAGCCATGAGAAGAGAAAGCCCAATACCGAAGCTCTACATTTCCAGGTATGAACTGCCATACCAAGTAGGTTTCGTGCCCGTCCATTATAACGCAAACCCCGAACGCCATACATAAACACCACTGAGACAAAATTCGTCATCGAAATGACCCACGCAACATTCCACACAGCGCTTTTCAGATCATCAATTCGTTATGACCACCGGGGTTGATTCCGGTAGCCTGTGTTCATGGTCCCTTTGTTGAGACCGTTCTGGTCGTAGGTCCCGTTCGTCATCGTAGGATTAGCATATCCAGTACTGGCGTTAGAAGCGTTATTGTTGCGCGGAACGTTGCCATTGCCGATATTATAGGGCCCGGTGCTACCCAAGCCCATACTATTCGCACCACCAGAGTCAAAACTCTGAAGATCTAGGAAGTTGTTGTCTGGAAAAGAAGCGAAGCCAGATGCCACGCCAGAATGCGACGAGGCAGGTGTTTGCCGAGTATTGGCAAATGACTGGGTTGTCACATTGTTCGTCCGGTAAGAGTTATCCATCGGGGAAGCAGAAGTTGTACGCCTAGGAGCGAATCCTAGGGAAGGTGACCCTCGAAACGCGTTGTCGTTGTTCAGAAGAGGAGAGTTACTGCTCTGCGCTCCGTACTGGGGAGAATGTGTGACATGAGACACTAGGGCAGTCCCTGGTGAGCTTGTGCTCGTGTTCTGCGGTTGGCGCTGGTTTGTAGAGTAGGAAGAACCTTGTTGGATGGTAAACGCTGGAGTCGCGCTCTGAGCGTAATAGTTGGGTAGATTCGTAGCAGTCCTTGCTTGCTGTTGCGATGGAAGTGTTGCTGCTTGAGTCGATTTCGATATCTGAGATGGCGCAGGCGAGACGGACTGGGTAGCTTGTTGCGCAACCTGCCGTGGCTGTTGCCGACTGCCAGTACTTTGCTGGGGAGATTGCTGGTGATTCTGCAATGCTGCAAAGCGCTCATAATGCGCCTCCAAGCCACTTGCTGGTGCTGAGGAGGTAACGGCAGTAGTGGTCGGCGTTTGCTGCTGCTGCTGCTGCTGTTGACTGCTATATGGTTGATTTTGATCACTGCTCTGTAAGGAGGCAAAACGTTCATAGTGGGCCGCAAGGCCTCCAGCGGGCTGACGAGTCTGAGCTATTGGGGCCGTAGTATCATTTGTCTGATTCGGCCGTTGCGGGGGTAAAGACTCCGCCACAGAAATCGAGGTTGTTACGTCGCTCGACAAAGCCGCAGTGCTCTTGCGTTTTGTTGCACCAGCTTGGGATTTCCGCGAGCGTTTAGGAGGGGGATTTGTCGCGCCATCATTGATGATCGTAGCACCGACGTGCGACTGAGATTGAGCCGTGGTGCTCGCATCCAAGACTGGATTTATCAAGGGCCCTGGTAGCGAGCTGCTGGGTCCAATGCCAGTAGATTCGGCGGTTCCGTCTGTGCCCGCGAAATTTACAGTCGGTTTGTTACTCTGACGTTTCCGCTTAGCACCCGTGATTGTGGATTCCTTGACCGGCGGTGTGCCTTGTGCCGGCTCAGAGGACTGGTGTGCGTTTGGGGCCTGAATTTGAGATGGAAGCTGTGTACGCTTTGCTTTACTAGTATTTCCGTTGGTGACGATTTGCGCCGGTGCGGCCACGGCCATTGCAGGTCTGGTGGCGGCCAGGGGTAAAGTAGGAGGAGGAATATATGTTGTACTGGTCCCAACTTGTGGTGCTGGAGGATGTTGGGCTGTGGTATTATTCCCCTGGGCAATGGAAGTGTTTGCATTCTTCTTCTTACCGCCTTTCGACCGCCCTCCGGTGGGTTTCTTGTTAGTCTCCGTTACAATAGTTGTTGGCGCTGAGACGACATCGGCAGGGAGCTGGAATGTTGCAGCGGTTGTCGGAACCGTCGTAGGTCCATGCTGAACCTGTTGAGGTGTATCTGGTGCGCCTGGTTCCTTCGGCCTGTTCTTCGAGCCTTTCGGCCTTCCGCGTTTCTTGTTGGATGACGCAGAGTCTGCGGCAGCCGGGTTTATAGACGTGAAACCAGTCGAGCCGCCTGTTGCTGGCAGAGCAGTTGGAACAGCCGAGCTTTGGGGAGGAGTGCGCAACAGAGTGAGCACCCGGGTTTCCACGCTCTCGGCCGCCCTGTCCACGTCCAGAATACTGTCATTCATATCTTCCCAACCTTCGTCCTCACCATCCTGTTGGTCCGCTCCTGGACCCAAGGACGCTGTGCCATCACCTGCCTTTCCCTTTTTCATGCCCTTATCCCTACGAGCTTTGGATGCCTTGCTCCCCTTCGGACGGCCCCTGGGACGCTTTGGTGGGGCAGATAATTGAATCACAGGTCTGCGGGGGTGTTCAAGATCTGGAAAAATCTCAGACAGCCAGCCTACAAAAAGAGAACCTGCCCCGTTCGCCTCGCCGCTGTCCGGAAATTTGCCATCCTGTGGAGGGGGCGCGTCCGGGATGCCACCGAAGAAAGCCAATGCTTTGCAAATCTGATCGACAATATTGGCATGCGGCAGGGTGCGAAGAAGCGTTAGCAAACGCGCTTGTTCTGCCTTGACTTCTTCCGGGGTAAGTTGCTGAGTTCGGGGAGGAAGGGGAGGCGTAGGGGCCGGTGTCGCGCTGTCCGTGCCACCCTTTGTTCGAGCGTAGTTTGCTCTCCTGTGATGTGACACGTAATGGTCCGTCTCAGCCATCTTTGCTTGGAGGGCAGTGCTCTCGCTACTACGCTTAGCCGCGTCATATCTAGCCTGGCTTTCGCTGGCGTTCGATATATCCATGTGCATAACGTTGAAGTTTCCCTTCTTCTCATCGGTCTTGCCCTTCAACTTGCTCGGGATTGGGTTCCGCACGCGGCCATCCCTCTGCGGGCCGTTCGCATTTCTCATGTCCAAGCGGAGACCGGGATGCATGACGCCCTCGACCCCTGGCGTAGAAGAGCCATTCGGAGGGGCATGCTGCTGGTTATTTGCCAAGACCGGGCTTGCAGAGGAGTTATGCGGTCCTTGTTCGGCGACAGCTGGTGCAGCTGCGCTTGTCACGGCGGTCGCCATCGAATGCAGTGACGGCCGGGCTCATGGCCATACGGTTCTTCCTATCAGATATGCGGATACACCAAGGGCGTATTGGCTTATCAATCGTCGTGTTCCCTGTCAGTGCGGCATGTTCGAGGTAACTGGCGCGGCTGATTCGTTGGCGCGGTGAGTTTTCGTGTTATCCACCGGTTAGAGTGCGTGAAACATGAAAGGGTCGAAACAGGGGGGTGTAGTATGAAAAGACGCTTCTTCTATATCGGACTCGTGGTTGAAAATAGCAAAATGTCTGGCAGGAGGATTGACAGTGGTCGACGACAACGTTGATGATGCGTGTCGCGATATTAGGAGGGGTCGCGCAAGGTTGTCGCAGCTATCCGCAACCGACGCCGCAGCGGTGTTTTCGTGTTCGTAGGCCGTTCGCCGGAGCTGTCAGGACTAATGTGCTTCTTTAAGAGCGGATGAAGCCCGTTCAATTCAAAAGCTGGTTGCAAGTTTCGTACAATGATGTGGAATAGGGCAACAGAAGCGACTGAATGAATGTCCTTGTTCTTGCCCTTGTCCTTGTCCTTGGCCCAATACTAACGTTAGTCCTAGTCCTGATGTTGCTCAGCCCGAGCGCAGCTGCACCACTGCGGCGGTTGGCTTTCCACGTCGACCCTATCGACTTGTTTGGGCCAAGGGTCGTGTACCACTTCCTAATGTCGCCTAGACCGGGTGTGAAAGGATGTGACAACGGGATGGGGTGGCTGGCGCATACATATGTACCCATTCCCAGCTGCTACAAGTATCATGGTCGGGGAGGAGGAGGCGGGTTCTCACGACCTGCAGCTGCTGAATGCTAAAATAACTTGTTTGTTTTGTTCTATCATGTGTTACGAGAACATTGCTCCAGACTAACGGAAATAAAACAGGAGAGCTCTTCGCCGGGTACTCACGTGTGCAGCCTACTCTTGTGGTGGTTGAAGCCTCTGAATCTTTTAATGATAAACACAGGTTTCACTACAGACGGCATATACCATACGTAGAAAAGCTCAAATAGTCAACGCCAACCCTGTGCCGTTGCAGAGGCCCGCCTTAATTGCCTGGGCATGTATCAATCATTTTCTCGCCGCGACATGTAATTTATATGCCGAAGCCCTTGCGTGAGCTGCGCTCGTGACCATACGTACTATGTATTGGAACAGCAGCTTCCGCGTCGCATACCCGTCAACCCGGTGGTCAGATGGACCGAGACATGGGGATTGATTAAACCTACAGTACCCCCATCTCCATACATAGCAAGCCTCACATAGTAAAGCTGTGCCTTGAAAGCGGGAACACATATCAAAGGCCTTTTGATGTTCAGACGGCAAAATTCAAACATTAATTGGCAAGTAAGGATAAGTTTGTTGGTAATAGAAAGCACAAGGATCGCCGCGGCCTCTTGCAGCATCTCAGCTCAGCCCTCTCCCCCTTCTCTCGTCTCCCTCTCTCCCTCTCCCCCCCTCTCTCTGGGTTGGGTGGTCGGAAAGGCATTGATTTCGAGAGACGGCGCTCGAGTTCAAAACAATCATGTATGATAAGTTAATGTTGGTGCGTAATGCTTGATGTTTTGCCTGGTTTTGATGCACGCAGCATGAATTGGAATGTGCTGTACTATGTAGGTACATGCAGTAACTTATGTACACCCCCGGGAAGTTGAACAAAGTGGAGAGCTGGCAGCTCCCTTGCCAATCACAACACACAACCAGCAGTGACGACCTACCGCGGAGCCCATCCCATCAACGTCAGTGCCTCCCTCCCACTTTGAGAGCTGGCCCAGCTCTCCAACATTCCACCAAGCACTACAAACACCATGCAACGATGAGCGCAAAGTACATCTTCATCTCACTCCCGGAAGATGCCGACGGCCTCAAAGCCGCCGTCGGCGACAACGGCTCAGTGCTGCCCTTTCAGATCCCCAACTTCAAGATTGGCACATTAGATGCACTCGTCCAACAAGCCGATGACCTGACCAAGTTGGAGTCGGCCTGCCAAGGCCTCGTCTCCCGTGTCTCCGACTCCCTGCGAACCCTTCTCGATGGAAACGACGATAAGATCAACCAGCAGAAGACCGTCAACGACAGTAAGTCCCCCCCAGACACAAGACGGCAGCCAACACCAAACACTAATCTTACCGCGCCGCAACAGAACCCACCGATAACTACCTCCGGACCTTTTCGTGGAACAAAGTACGATACCGCGCAGACAAGTCCATCGGTGAACTGGTCGACAGCCTACAGAAGGAACTAGTCACCATTGACAATGATATCAAGGGCAAGCTCAGCCAGTACAACAGTGTCAAGAACAACTTTGCTACCCTTCAGCGAAAGCAAACGGGCAATCTGGCAACCAAGTCGCTGACCCCCATTGTGGACCCCTCCGTCCTCATCAACGACTCGGAGTACCTCGAAACGCACCTCATTGCTGTTCCCACAACCGTTAAGAAGGAGTTCCTCAAGAGCTACGAGGGTCTCTCGCCAATGGTCGTGCCTCGGTCCGCTACCGATGTAGCCCGCGACGATGAGTTCACCTTGTTTGCCGTCACAACCTTCAAAAAGCACAGTGCCGAGTTTGTGCAGAAGTGCCGCGAGAACAAGTGGACGCCTAGACAGTACAAGTACGTCGAGGGCGGCAAGGAGGAGGAGCAGCGCGAACTCGCCCGCGTTGAGAAGGAAGAGAGAAAGGTCTGGGGAGAGGCTCTTCGCTTGTCGCGTACGGGCTGGTCGGAAAGCGTCATGATTTGGGCTCACCTGATGGCATTACGCGTTTTTGTCGAAAGTGTTCTCCGTTACGGCCTGCCCCTCGAGTACTCACCTAATCTGATTGTAACAACCTCCAAGGCGTCACAAAAGGTCAAGGACGGCTTGGACAAGGCGTTTTCTCACCTCGGAGGCAATGCTTTTGGCCGCGACAAGCGTGGTAGAATCACCAAGGACGATGCGGCACTTTCTTCCGAGATGGCGGCGGCAGGATTGGGCGACAACGAATACACAGCATATGTCTACTACGAGATAGAGGTATAGATACGAGGCAGGAGACAAGCGCAATCATAGCAGGCCGTATATCGACGTCCAAATAGCACCCTTACAATGGAATCAAACTTGTGATTGCATTGTGCCAGCCATACTCGTCACAAATACTTCACGGAGGCTGGAGCTTGGTCGCTGATGGATTTTCACCGAGTGGTATAATAGAATAACCTCATTCGTCTCAGAATTTCACCAGGTGCAGCAAATGGGAAGTCAGTGGCGACGTATTGTCTGGAATCCAGGTTCTTCTCAGCCACACGGTCCGTCGCTAAGGGTAATGCGACTGCCTGAACTTGTGTTTATACCTCGCGTGTGGTGGACGCTACAAGGACAAAATCGTATTACGCACTGGGGGGAGCCTCCGGGCCAATCTGACAGTTTAGCCATTGGTTTTCAAGCAGCCATTCTTGGTGATCCGTATCTAACCCACAGGCCCAAGCTATGGCAAAAACATTCTAGACGTTAATGTAACCCTTCTGGCTCAGCCACTCGACAATCTGTTGTACACACTCCTCGACGCTCTTCTCGTGTGTCTTGATGACGATTTCTGGGTTCTCGGGGGCCTCGTACGGGGCACTGATACCCGTGAACTCCTTGATCTCTCCAGCACGCGCCTTCTTGTAGAGACCCTTGGGGTCGCGTTGCTCGGCGACCTCAACGGGAACATCGACGTACACCTCGATGAAGGGAATGGTCTCGTCATCGGCACCACCTGGGCCAGCCGCGGCGTGCAGCTCCCTGGCGACTTGACGGTCCGCCTGGTATGGCGAGATGAAGGAGGTCAGGGCAATGGTGGAGGAATCGGCGAAGAGCTTCGCAACCTAGAACAAGAGTCATGTGTCAGTCCGCATTCCACAAGGATTTCGTTTCCCTACATATTCACTCTGCTTCTCTTTGACGTGGGGAGCCTGAAGATGTAAGAGTGCAGAAAGCATTCAAGTACGTACCTCGGCGATTCTGCGGATGTTCTCGTTCCTGTCCTTCTCGCTGAAGCCCAGGTCCTTGTTCAGGCCAAACCTGACGTTGTCGCCGTCCAGACGGTAGGAGGCGAGACCAAGGTGCAGCAGGTGCTGCTCCAGGGCCGTGGCGACGGTTGACTTGCCGGACGCGCTGAGGCCGGTGAACCAGATGGTCATGCCGCGCTGCTTGCGGGACTCATTGCGCTCCCGCCGCGAGAGGGAGGGGTGCCATGTGATGTTGCTGCAATTTCATGTCAGAGGAACAATCTTGCAATAAGCTCCAAAGCAAGAAACAACAAGCATCCGGGCCATTGGCGCCCATGTTACCGCGAACAACAGAGACGTGATGTTCTGGGTGAGTATCGCCATGGTAGGGTTGGTGCAGTATAATGGAGGGGCATTCTTTTTTTCTGAGCTGAGTCTCAAGCACTTACGTAGCCATGTTTTTGTTTTTGGTTTGTTTTTTCTTCGGTCTGTTTTCGTCGTCTTATATCAATTGTTCGGTCGGATCCAAACTAGAATCCAGAAACCTTTTAGTGTTGGTTGTAGTTTATATCAATCTTGCCTAACACGTGCAAAAATAGAGCATATGCAATCGTCCTTAGGATGCGAGACACAAGATAGAATCGTCACATCCCACTACCGATCCCCGGTCCACAGGTTAATACCTCCTGCCCAAAGAAAGATCCTGCCCCGCTAGCTCTAGTCCCCGCCTTGCCCGTACCGGATGGCGATGGCGTGATCGCCGAGATCCGTCATTGAATAGGCTCGGCGGCTTTCACTGAGTTGTTTGTAGTAATAGTTTTTGTGTTCCTACAGTGGGTGGAGTATACAGGAGGGAATTTGTGAGTTAAGACGTCATTTGAGGCGCAAATGGTATATGTACTTTTGGTACTTGCGTTCCCGGCCTTGGCGAACCTTCCACAGCATGTGTGGATGGACCTGTAGATACTTGCAGTCTGCATAAGTATGTGGTTTCGACAAACCATTTTGCACCTTTACACCACAGTTGCAGGCTTTTAATACAACCATAATCTCGATTCAGATGCCATAAAAGATCGGTGGGTCTCACATCACGCTAACAGAATTGTGACTACAGTATGAACATGGCGGATAACCCGATCAGCTATATCTCTGTTGCCGAGCCGTCAGCCGGACTTTCAATCAAATATCACACCACGTCAGTAGATCAAGGATTCAATCCTTACAAGCTGTTCGTAGCATTTGTTTTCGTTAGATCCTTTCGAGCAATCTACTCGCGTGGGCAGTCTTGAAGCCCTACCCACGAAGTCTCCACTTGTCCTGCTGGGTATAGTTGTTGACGATTAGCTAAAGAATTACTATACCTAGGCAATGCGGTTTGAGCCTCACAGCTGTTAGACTATTGATTTTATCCTCTTCACAAACTCCATGTCAGCAAGTGTGCCTCAGCTCTTTGTAGCGTTAAAAACACAATTGATAATCTGTCAAGTATCTCCTTACGATTTGGATTATTCCTCGGACACACTACTACTTGCAAGCAAGTTTCAGTGGAGTGAAAGACAACCCATTCGGGCCGCTCCTTTAATCTAGACATGCGGATAATGGTACGTGGTCTGCCAGATGCAGTCTGTGTATTTTTGCCAATGGCAGCAGAAAACCTTCCATGTCAAATTCCACAATCTACTCCTTTGATCTAGAAATTGCACGATGAGCATGTTGGCAGCGTACCATACAGTCTTAAATCAGACGGCGTTCCATGATGAAACCCTATTATAACATTGAGACGCAGTGCAGTATCCATGAAAGTGGGGTACCGGGCTTTCTTTGTGCACCTCAATAGCACTTTTGACGGCCCAGTGTGTGTAAGCCCATAGGCTGCGCCTTGGCCGATGAAAAGACAAACGCTACACAGAGGGGTTGTATTGCATTTATCTGAGTACGGAGGCTGGTATACTAAAAATGTATCGGGCATAGTGTTGAATACGAGCTATGCATAGCAGTGAAATGACAAATTCGAATCCGCGAATATGTGTTTCTAACTGGCTTGATCTCCCTTGGATTTTAGAGAACCCGTGTTATTATGGTAGAAATCATGTTTCCTGGTGGTTACTAGGTTGTGATTGAGAAATTCGCAGTTGTCAACACCAGCTTGAGGTCACGCACGTTCGCCATGAGTAAGCCACCCGTGCCTTCACGGCCCTTACATCAGAGTGTCGGTTTTCGCATTAAAGTCCGGAGTCTTTTTCTCAGTTGAGAGTATGCAAAATGGGTACAGGCATATAGGTACTACACGGGGACGTACATATAAGCAAAATATATACAAAGAATCAATCTTGAGAACATCTGCATTATTAGCAAGACAAGAGCATTTGCAAAGAGGAGAGCCGTACTTCCAAGCTTCATGGTATAACTTATTTGAACCTCGGGCTCATATACCCAGGTTCTCTACGTAACCTTTGTTCGATGTTACTGGGACCGCCGAAGCTGCGCAACCACTCACTGGGTAGGACCGTGAACCAGAGGATGGTAGTATACCAAGACCAATGCCATAAAATGGTCAGCCATGTGTAGACCGGTTGTTGCTCATGCAGGGGCGGGGAAGCTGGACCATAACCACACATGCAGGTCCAAACTCACTCAGTTGCTCCGAACACGCACAGCCACTGGGTTCCATGGTTGAGAGTGATGTCACATAAAGGTTCAGATTTTTGACACTACAATAGCTTAAAATAGTCACAGTGGTCTCCTTGGCATACATGAGATTCAATACAGGATAGTGGTTACAGTCGATATCTATCCAGTATTGACCAGAAGCCAATGTCGATGGAAGTTTACGTGGTGCTTGTATGGATTTGGCGTGATGTTGACTTCTGGACCAAAGCTCAAAGTTTATCAATGGAGAAAGCCCATGTATAGGTACGATATAGTTTTTGTTTCCTCTGTACTGGATTCAAAGTAAGTTGAGGACCTGCATATTTGCAATAATATATTGGCCCAAAGAGGCATCCTAGCCGTTTCCTTCTTCACATGACAACGAAACATGCGACGCTGACTCTGTGAGAATCCTAGCAGTTATGAATTCAGGAAGGTTTATGAAACTAGCAAGGTAACCTGATATTGTCGTGCTTCTAGATTCTGTCGTCAACACATAACAAGTCTCTATCCAAGTGTATTTACCCTGTATATTTTTTTTTACTTCAGCCAGGACAGTAAACTAACGTAAACTTGCGAGTGCAGACTGGTAATTAGTAAATATGTAGCTGAATGTAAGTAGCTATTAATCACCGCATTTTTCGTGGTTTGCTTCGAACCAACGATCATCAGTTGGCCAACCGTACGTATCCCAACCACGAGTTCATTTCAACTGTTAAAGTTGCCCTTCACCCAGGCACACTGAGAGAGATGTTCGGCTCATACTCTATCAAGCTGAATATCACTTCGTGGACATAGATCACAAATGCGAGGTACGCATTCTGGCACCATTTGATTCCAGGCATCTGGTATATTTAAAGAGCCAGAACTCCCGCTGCTCCAAGTTTTGATCTTCGTTCCATCATCATTCTACAACTTCATTCATCGCAACCAAACACTCAAACTAACTAGATCCTCAGATCCTCACACACCGTCAACATGGTTAACGTCAGCCCTCTTGCCTTCGCGGCTTTCACCATGATTACCAGCGTCGCCGCTCATAAGGACAAGCAGCCACCTGCTCAGAGCCCTCCACCAGTGTACCCGAGCCAAGCTCTCGGCAACCCGCTCTTGGCCCTCGCCTTTGCGGAGAATGGAAACCCCGGCGCCTTCGATACCGCCTACAAGCTGCCGCAGGGCAGCGTTGAAGCTTGCCTCGACTCCTTCTACCATGGCGACGATAAAATACAGTTCGACGTCGGCTCCAACTTCGTCGTTGTCAACAACGCTCCTGGTGTCTGCACCACCCTCGTTCGTGAGGCCAATGACCTCCATGAGAGCCAGGGTGTCACACAGGAGAGATTCGCCGAGCTTGTTGGCGAGAACTCGATCCGCCTCAATAGTTGCAGCGCCGAGGATGTTGAGTTCCTCGCAGCTCTTGAGACCACCCATTTTGACGTCCGCGTCCTCTAGATTAGTGGGTTACTTTCCATGACATTCACAATAAGTGACCCTCTAATGGACCATCTTTGTGAGCAGGAGAATCGATGTTATTCAGCGGTGACCGCAGCGATGGGGGTCGGTACCAACTTTAGATTGTCGGAGGAAGCGGTAGACGGCATAGGATTTGAGGCAGAGTCAATTACTGCTAACCGGCAATGGTGTCGGTTCAATTGGACAAATTACGCTCATTAACAAACTATACGTTCTCTGAAACAAAAATCATCGTCGTTTTCACGTTTCTATGATATCTTACTCCATTCATTGGTATTCTGAACTATACTATACTCTTGTTGAACAGATTCATTTTGTTACTGAAGCAGGCATGCTCGGCATCCTCTTCCTTCCATTCCGAACTCGTAATAATCCCCTTGACATCATTTCGGGCGTGCACCCGAGAAGGGAAACAGTGGTGATTGTTCTGGATTCCCTCACCTATAGATTTTCTTGCGAATACTTCCAGCATCGAGTGTCCTTCCACCGTTAGCCCGTTAAGAAAATGGTAATCCACGAAATGTATGATTCAACGTGAACAACGTCGCCATTATGGTAACTTCAATTCGGAAATCGTTTAGTTAGCGGTCGTCAGTCATTCAATAGCGAGTTGCTTAGTTTATTTAGCTCCTGTCGATGGCTTCCTTAGAACATGCAATCCAGGTTATGGAAGGTTTCGCTGAGATAAGGGAAGACGTGTCTAGCCGTATAGTTCTAGAGAGAAGGTATCGAATCTAACCGTTATACCATGATCAGAGGAAACACTTCAGATCGGCTTCGACCTACCTGGACAAGGTTCGTTTGCAGCAAGCTGCTCTCGTCAATTTGGGTCATTGTCTTGTGCAAATGCCTTTTACATCCAATCAACAAACCTACACAGAGCTTTATACGCGAGAGAGACTAGCACATTTATTCAATTCTTGTTGTGTAAGCCAAAGACTTCCATAGTAGACACTTGGAATTTATCTTTTGCGGAAGCTAAGAGAGGAAAGGAAATCAAAGCATTGTCGAACAGCCCATGAGAGAGTATTGCTTATCTGGTTTTTGAGAAAAACAAAAGAAACAGCTTTCCGCATCTTGAATATTCCACAATCAAAATTCAATGGAAAGCCCGAGTTAGCAGTTTCGGCTTCATTTGTCGAAAACGTGAGCGAGCTTCAGTGGGAAAGTCCCCAGGTCCCTTAAAACATTACAGGTGAGGGGCAACCCACTGGAACCGCTGGCATACCCCACTGTTGTGACGACTAAGGTAGATTTGTAAATTGTCAGGTTCCCAACGTCAGAATCATTTAAACTTGAATACATATTCAGTGTGCGACCATCAGCGTGTTGACTCCACTGACGTGCGGGATTGGGAAAGAACCTCGTTTTCTTGCATCAACCAGAACAGGGAATTGTGCTTCCTTGTTTGGCCTCTCACAGCCAGTGCTATGGCACCAGATAGATCGGGCTCACCGGTCCCTGACGCCTCATCTTCATCCATATCAGAATCGCAATCGGCTTATAACGATTTGCGGCGCCTGATTCCTGCGCTCGCGCTCGAACTGGACCACCTTCGCGCCGCGCTTCGCGAGCACAATCTCTGGCTTCAGAGATATGGCCATGCGGCGAGGTCAGAAGATCCATATGCACCGCCCGCAGCATCTGAGACGTCAGGTAGCAACGACCCGGAGCTGCCGGCTTACTCAGCTTCGGATGTGCCACCATACACTGGGGGTCCAAACTCGGTATCTGCGTCCACGTCGACGAGGGAGGAGGTGCAGCAACGCAGAGATCAACTGACCGAGTGGCTTGGTGAAGGCGAGGATACGTTGAGAGAGTATTCAGCGCGGTTCGTGCAGTTGCAACAGGAGCTGGAGATGCCGCCTGAGGATCTACTGGGGACGTGGAACGAGGCCAGTCCAGACAACGCATTACCGGACTATGAGAGGATTGAGACGAACGAGGAACTGATGGTTGGAGGTGTCGGAGAGGTTCCGCCGCCATATGTCAGGGGCCAAGCCATGGAGAAGGGACATCATGGTTAAGTAAAGCTTCACAGCACTGCGGCCTATGTACGAAGGATAAACCACATGAAGTTACAGATGGTAGTTGTTGAGGAGAGACGAAAGATGGAGTATCATACTAAAACAACTATTTCTCGCATGATTTGATCCGCAACATCCCAACAAGCATTCAGGCTGTCATGGTTCATCACCTGGGTACCTTGGCAAGCTGCGTTTGATCAAGCGCGAGCAGATTATTACAAGCTCTTCCTCAGTCTGTATAACATGCTTGCGAACCATCGAACATCTGAATCGCTTTGGTAGGCCAAGTAAAGAGGATTAGCCACCTCGTACAAACGAAGCAGCAACTCGAAGCGACAAGTGGTGGCGATAGAGGAGAATCTAAACTATCCATCGGAACCACAATTATCGATGAGGAGTAGAAGTTACCATTTTCTTTGAAGTACTATTTGTACTAGTATTAGTTGCTGCGAAGTCTGATGCAACTGATACAAGTAGAAACTATCAATTTTTTGAGTTATTTGATTAATGCGGGTTTTATTTTATTTTAGGAATGGCTTAGGTATAACGCCTCGGCGGAAAAAAAATTGCCAGTGAATGAGATCGATTAAGGTGGCATGCCAATATTACTACATGTGTTGAAACGTCTCGGAAGTTATTCTTATGGGTATATGCTTAGTCACAGCCTACGTATGGAAGGTAAATATAGACGAGAGCGTGCATAAAACCTTGAGATCCATAATCTATACGGAGTACATTATCATGGCCACAGCCATTTCGATTTTGCAACGCTTTGACTTATAAAGTCTTTTTCCGACCAACCATGTCTTTTCTTCTAGCGCGTTCTAGGCGGATGGTGATTCGTTTAAAATAAAGTGCATACCTACATGATATCAATTGTCCTGATGGCGTACCAGAAGCAGCTCGTAACAACTTCGGCCAAAATATGTGGTATACCGGCAGTGGTGGTACTGGTGTGAGCCGCTGGACTGGTTAAGCTAGGCGGCCCAAGATAAGCGGTCGGTACCTTGCAGATCAATGCCGAGATGACGCAACTAGTATGGTCCCTGAAAGTGTGTTTGTAAAGTGGAAAGGGGAAAAAAAAAAAAAAAGGTAGGACAACTGAGGACGCAAGATTCAAAGGATGTCAGTGTGGACGGGGTTTCGATAGACGGACCAAGAGGACACTGTGATAGACTAAATGACACACCCGCAGGCCTTCACGAGCTTACGAGTTGTCGTGATGCCTTTCAAGTATCTCCCTTTTGTTGGGATTGACCCCATGGCCAGGCACCTAAAGGGAAGTCCGGGCATCCACAATCACATGCGAACACTCGCCATTTCACATCGGGGACTCGTCTTGGCTTGGACTTCATTGACGTAGAGATGAACGACTCGCTCGAGCAGACGAGACGGGAATGCCTTGGCCGCAAAGACCTCTCTCTCTCTGCGTTGCTGGCTGGGCTGACTCGCAAATGTAGACGGCATCGGATCCATAATCCACCGATGCCTCGGCAATTTCCTAAATGAGCGCTCAACCCCGTGCTCTAAAATCAAACTGTCCGCGATAGCGTCAAGTACATGCGCATTTTCGAGAAGAAAGCGTTGGGATCCCTCTATAGCCAACAACCCAACGCAGCGGATCCATGTGCCAGTGCAAACAAAGACTTGCAAGATCTCCCTCGGATAGATTCTAAAATAAAATAAAAAATACCCTTGCAGTGGAGTCTAGAATCCATTGCCTAGGCCGCTAAAAGATGAGTGCAGTACGGGTAGCATACCGCACTTCGTGTGCTCTGCCGACGCCCTCCAGAACGCCATTGTTCATGATAAATAAGTCGAGCAGTCTACTCCGCCAGGTCTCAAGGCCATATTCCACAGCCAGTCAGTCTTCATATCTTCCCCTCGACACAGCAATCAAGCTGACCTAGGCTTCAAGCAGCTCCCATCACAGGCACACCGGTGAAGCCTACCTTCCTCAGACGAGCTCTCAACGTCCTAGCCATTGGCATATCGTGCACAGTACTCGGATTCACCATGACCGCCGCACCTGCTTTGCCCGCTCTGAACGGGTTCCTTACGCCCCCTACCGACGAGGAGACGCTCACCATGTTCACGCCCTCGCATCCAAAGGAAATCGAGGTAGAAGCACATATCAAGAACCACTGGCTGTCGCAGCAAATGCGCGCAAAGCCCGGCTTCACGGAAGCGCGACCGCACATGAAGATTCCCGCCCCCTTTCGGACAAACAACCTGACGGCAGGCACACTGTTGGGACCAAACAGGGTGCCTGTGCCGCCGGTGGTATGGGTCGAGGAGGGAGGCAAGAGTCTTGTCAGTGTTTCGTATCTGGGCGAGGAGCTGTGTGGTCATCCCGGCATTGTACATGGTGGGTTTTTGGCCACGATGCTAGACGAGGGCATGGCGCGCTGCTCTTTTGGCGCACTGCCGCATGGCGTGGGCATGACTGCGAACCTGAATGTCAATTATCGGGCGCCGGCTATGACTGGAAACTACGTCGTGTTGAAGGCGGAGACGACCAACGTCGAGGGAAGAAAGGCCGAGGTCACTGCGAGAATCGAGACGTTACCCGAGAATGAGGGCGACAAGGCCGTTATTCTGGCAGAGGCAACAGCATTGTTCATCTCTCCTAGAAATGCAGCCATGATGCAGAAGATATACCCTGTACAATAGATAAGCATAACGCTATGGGCTCAGAAAGAGGATAGAATACACATAGACTAATGAAATGCCATGAATCAAAGTCATCAGGCTGCTCGGCGTTGCGTGTCGTTACTCGTGAGCACAAAATGGGGATATCTGAGCGATGAAGCACAATAGTGGTGCCTTCTCCCAAGCTGAATGTTAATTCCTATATTGGTGCCCCTGGCCTCATAGTCTGGGGTCCGGCAAAATCACCACTCACATACCATACCGAATGCCCGATTATCCTGTCGAATTGTAGTTCGCCTTCTGGAAAAGGCGCCACTCCTTGTCACAGAAGCATGTGATGTTGAGTGCCACACACCAAGCCAAAAGCCACTGAACCTCAAGGAAACCAATTAGGTTACCACAATGATGGCGATGCCTGCACCAAAAGCCGAACTAGTCAACCCACCAAGCTCTAAGCCGGCATCGGTAAGGGGAAATGAACTCTAGGTACGCACAACGGTAAGAAACCGTGTATGTAACTAGAGCGTTGTAGGCTATGAGCCACCACGTTGCCCGCTCGGCGATTGCCTGGTAAAACGGTCATTGTGTGATGTTGTCGCGGGTCTGATGAACCGGATGGTTGTGTTATTATCGGAATCTTCAGGGACGATATTTATACAAGCTGCATACGACAGTTGAATAAGCGTCGATTAGGATGGTAGCCTACTAGCCGCAATGTAACGATAGTGCTAGACATTTCAACACAGCAGGATTGCCCTGATATATCGTCTCGGTTGATTTTCTTGATAAGCAGCTTTCCTTCGATGAGGTGCTCAACTGACAGAAAAGAAGGATTAAAAGAAAACTCTAAATGCATAAACATGAAGAGTTTCTTCTTCTTCTGATAGTCGTTTCGGCTCCGTCAAGGTCTGAATCTGCAAGCGAATAACGGTTTGGTAAGAAATACACAGCCCTTACAATCAATATCGTTTGCGAACATATCTAATCAATCGATGAAGAACCCAGACATGGGGGACGCTATGTAAGCCGTCAAGAACTTTTATTATATCCCATACTTTTTTTTTAGTAATTTGCCAGACCTAGCTCAGCGACCATCTTCCTCCTGCTCCAGCATCTGGGCATAGTCATCAACTGACGCAAATGTTGGTAGGCTCTTGAGCATCTTCTTTCTCTTCCTCGACTCCGCCCCAGGCTTACCATCACCATCCTTGCCAGTCGGTGCCCCTCCTTCCTCCTCGTCCTCACCTTCACTGCCGAAATCGAGAGACGAGGCATCCGAGAAATCCAGGGCGCTGCCCTCCGATTCACCGTCCACGTCCATTTCATCCAGGCCAGCATCGGAGTCGTCATCAGCCATTAACTCTTCGAAGTTGGCGTCGATTTCGCTTTCCGAGTCATCTTGCACTTCTGGTCGCGAAGCCTTAAGAGCTTCCCAGATTTCATCTTCACCCGCGTCACTACCTTCGGCGCCAGGGTCCGCTGCATCGCTCTTGATCTTCTTGGCACGCGCAGCCTGGGCAGGCTTGCCGATCTGACTGAAATACTCGTGGAAGAAGACGTCCTCAACAGCCACATCCTCGGCCTTCTTGTTCCAGAACGCAGCAGAGTTGACAGTTGCGGCAGTCTTGTTGCCAGGCTTGCCAGAAACCAGAACACTGCCTTGACCAGTAACAGCAAGAGGTTGCATGAGCGAGCTACCTCTTGTACTGTCCGTAGCCTTCGGGTTCTTGTAGACAAATTTGTCAAGGAAGTTAATTAAGGTATGGCTTCCGAGATCAGGTTTCTGCGCCGGCTTTTGACCTCTCAGCAAGCTGGATGCATAGATGTCGACCGTTGGATGGAAATGTCTCAAGAAAGGCATGAGCTCCCAGAGACAGCTGCGATGAGCGTTGCTGTACTCGGGCACTCTCTTTCGGCCATCGTACACGTCTGTTGCTTTGGAAAATGTATCTCCGTTGGCAGCATCTGTCTGACCGATTGCTTCGCTCTCATCGTGCTCTTCTGGTTCATTCAAAAGGGTGCTCAAGTCGGGAAAGGTAGTCCAAAGTTCCATGATCAAATAAATAATACCACAAATGAAAGATGGTTGGTGCAGGTTCAACACCTGAAGCATTCGCTTGACAAAGGCCTTAACCCGACGGACGTCAACGTCTGATTTCAAGCTGCGGTACAGAAGATTCAGGTAAAGGGCCTGTTTTGACGATGTTGTCAATCGTGGATCCAGCAGAGACTCGTACAGCGTGCGGTAAAATCGTTCTGTTGCAAGATGTCGTGTGGTAGCCATCTGCTGAATTAGCATCAGAGCTTGGATACTTGTGTTAAAATTTGACGAATGAGTAATGCGGAAAAGGGTATCCAGATGTGTTTCGAGTGTTGATGAGTCGGTCTCCGAGAAAGGTACTGCACGGTTAATTCCGGTCAAGATTGCTGCGACCAACTTTTCAGCTGACTCTCGTTCAGCTTGTCCGGCTAACGTTTCCTCGTCGGGTTTGCTAGACGGTCCGGCACGAGTACGCTTTCTTTTCTTGTCTTTTGCTGATTTGTCTGTCTTCTCCGTCGCGTCGAAGTTCTCCACTTGACCAAGATCACCGCTCTTCAGCAGAGCAACGAACATGCCAAAGTAGATCTTCAGGAGTGAGTCTGCTACTTGGGGTTCTTTGCTGCTGAGAATTGTTTGGTTGAGCGTATTGACTGCATAGTACTTCGCCCGGATTGTTTGACCAGGTCTGAATATGAGCTCTTGCTCTACTGTCTTGATCGCCACTGCCTTCATGCCCGGGTGCATGTTCAAGAGCTGTAGCATGAGATAGGATGCTCTTGACGCAATCTTCTTCTCACGGTCTCCCAACTTGTTGACAAGCAAGCGAAGGAGGTTGGACTCCTGCTCTGGCTTGTCCTTCAACAGAGCGTAGACCATATCGATGGCCCTTACACGGGAGTATTCGATTTCATCATTGCACCAGGTTTCTATGGCCTGGATGATTCTGAAATAAGCTTCTTTGAGCCAATCCTCAAAGGCCCAAGAGATAAGATGCTCCTTGGTAATTCTACCGGGAAGTTCTTGTTTGTCGGACCAGTATTTAACTTTCTGCTTCTGGAGGGTACCGATCAGGCCGGGCTGGGCAGTGAAAGGCCGTAGACGCCGATCAGATGGAAGTAGGGAACCAGGGCCCAACAGATCTACCAAAGCGGCCGCAGCGGCGAGTGCTTGTCCACGACTGCGCTTGGTCGCAAGGGCGATCAGATTCTCAAGGGCCTTGATGCTATGAACAGGCGATTCCTGAATGGCAAGGGTCAGGGCCGAGGTCTTATCCGACATGGTACCAGAAGACATGATCTCCGACATGAACTTGTGCGAAGACGACGAGGACAAGGTGGCACTATGAGTCGCACTGTCCTCTTCCAGGAGTGACTTGGCATGCGTCTTCAGACTGGCGATGGGAGAGAAATATGCAGAGACATCTTCGGAAATGGGCTCAGGTAGTTTGACCAGATTGGCTGCGTGCCAGTCTGAACGAGGCTCATATATCTAAGAGATGGCGGAGTTAGATGAGATGCTATTTGGCCATGGTACGGCGAGGCTTACTAACCGTTTTCCATGTCTTTGGGGCTGCTGGCACCGTTTGCCCGGGCTTCTCGGCGACTTGATCATCCTCATCGTCCTCGTCCGAGGCTTCCTCCCAGTCTCCCTCTCCTTCTTGCCCCCCTCGGCGTCTAGCTGGGCGTCGTCTTCATCTGCCTCTGGAGGCTGCACCTTTTCAAATCCCAGTCCCAGGGCGAACTTGGCTAGTTCTGCCTCGAGACCTTTGTCCAGGGTCTTGCTCTTGGCATCCTCGCCAAATGTCTCATCCTCTGACTCAAGACCGTCCACGAGCTCCAAGTCCTGCTCATCACCACCCAGGGCCCTTATCTCGTCAAGAAGGGCGTTAGACGATGATGCGCCAGTTTCCTGTGGGCTGGATTCCTGGTTGAAAGACTTGTTCTTGGAGTCAGGCTTGGGCCGCTCATTCTTGAGGTCACGTTTTGGGCGATCACTCTTGAAGTCACGCTTTGGTCGGTCGTTCTTGAAGTCGCGCTTAGGCTGATCATTCTTGAAGTCACGCTTTGGTCGGTCATTCTTGAAGTCGCGCTTGGGCTGATCGTTCTTGAAGTCACGCTTAGGCCTATCGTTCTTGAAGTCGCGCTTGGGGTGGTCGTTCTTGAAGTCACGCTTAGGCTGATCATTCTTGAAATCGCGCTTGGGCTGATCGTTCTTGAAGTCTCGCTTGGGCTGATCGTTCTTGAAGTCTCGCTTGGGCTGATCGTTCTTGAAGTCTCGCTTGGGCTGATCGTTCCGCTTCTTGGTAGCCTGCTCGGTCTTGTCGTCCTGTCGCTTCCTCTTGAGATCGGGCTTGTCCTGCTGCTTCTTGTTCGGCTTCTGTTTTTGCTCAGAGAGTTTCTGGTCAATCTTTGCTGTCAGGCTTGACAGGGCCGAGTCGTCAAAGGATGCCATTGTGTAGGCTGACAATGTTAGCACCCCAAAAAGATTCAGGACTGGTCGGTTCACAACTGAATGAACTCGGGCGTCGAAGTCGTCAAGCAGCAGAAGAAAAAAAAAAGTTCCCTGTACCGAAAAATTATTGCGGGGCGGATAAGCCTATCCGATAAGTCCACCTGCCCTGGGCTGCTTCCACTCCAGCTAGCTTATCCAGCATAAAAGCCAATGACAGACCCCCGGCCACGCCATGAGCTAGCGGGCCCTCCCCCCTGCAAGACTGATGGATGACCTGAGCTTCATTTTGTCCCAAGGTCAGTCTAGTCTAGGGGAGTGCTGAAGCGAATCAGTTCACGGCATCTAGAAGCAGAATTCATGTGCATTATGGGCCCGTAGCCATGTTTTCAATTCGGACGTCATGGGCGTCTCGGCCCAGATCAGGCCGCCTGTATACAGGGTTATTACGATGTCATAGCACAGCCTCACCTCAGAAGTCCTGGGATACGTCTCGAGCACGGCTTTCACGGTTATGGCTTCCGATATCAGGCTTCACGGCTGCTTCGGATCAAGAAGGCGGCCATTCGAAGCTGATTCGTGCTGGCTACCTTCGCCAATCCCATGCCGGCATCTTTCACATGCTACCGCGTGGTCAAAGGGTGCAGGAGAAGCTTGAAAAGCTGATTGACAGGCATATGCAGCAAGTCGGAGCACTGAAAGTCTCGCTGTCGTCAATTTCATCCCAAGCGTTATGGGAGAAAACCAACCGACTAGAGGGTTACGGGCAAGAACTGTTTCTGTTCAACGATAGGAAAGAGACGGGCTATCTGCTGGCCCCGACACACGAGGAAGAAATCACCTCTTTCTTCTCTTCTCATCTATCATACAAGAATTTACCCCTGAGGATCTACCAGATTGGTCGTAAGTACCGGGATGAGCTTCGGCCACGCCATGGGCTTCTGCGATCACGCGAATTCACCATGAAAGATCTCTACACATTCGACGCTGATGTCGAATCCGCGTTGCAGACGTATGACGAAGTACGAGCTGCCTATGATCGACTTTTTGATGAGCTCAAGCTTCCGTACCTAGTCGCTGAAGCCAGCTCAGGCGATATTGGCGGCGACTTGAGTCATGAATATCACTTGCCTTCTTCTGTTGGTGAAGACAATGTCATGAGCTGCGACACTTGCTCCTACGTCGCCAACGAAGAACTCGCCATTGCAAAGCCTAGGTCACCGGACGACGGTACCTTGGTAAAGCGGACCTGGTATGGCATCACCAAAGACCGTACTACACTGGTAGCAGTCGACTTCGCCACACCATCCGGCAGCACGGGGTCTCCGGTCAATACACATGCTATCAAAGCCATTGTGCCGGACTTGGACCCTAGCATCGATGATGCAAGAGCTTGGTACCACTCTTCTCGGGAAGGAGGGAATGGCATCCAGAAGACCATCTGTCTGGTAGACCAGAGTTATCGACTCGGAGAAAAAGAGGCAGATATACCAGCTGAAGGCCCCACGGAAATTATCGCTCGTCACCCCGAATCCGGCGAACCACTCAGTCTCCTTCGGATCCAGGATGGCGACAGCTGTGCCCAGTGCGCATCTGGAAAACTCAAGGTGCAGAAAGCTGTCGAGCTCGGGCACACGTTCCACCTTGGCACACGGTATTCAGAGCCTTTGAATGCAAAGGTCCGTTTACGGGAAAATGTCATTGTTCCTATGCAAATGGGTTGTCATGGCATCGGAGTATCTCGCATCATCGGGGCTGTGGCGGACCATCTAGCCGACACGAAGGGTCTGAACTGGCCCCGCGCTATCGCACCTTACGAAGTGGTTGTCATTCCAGGCCGCAATACGAAGGACGAAGATGTCGATCTCGTATACGATCAACTTCAAGGACGCAAGGAGCCTGAAACAAGTCAGCCATTGGATGTTGTGTTGGACGATAGATCTGAGTCCTTTGCATGGAAAATGAACGACGCTGACGCTGTGGGATACCCCGTCATTGTCTTGCTTGGCCGAAGATGGGACGGCGAAAGGATGTGCGAGGTTCAGTGCAGAAGGCTTTCTGTGAAGGAAAATGTACCATTTGACGAACTACCCGTGTATATTAGTAAACTGCTGTCGCAGCTGTAAGATATGGATATGATATCCTTAATGTATATTTACATTTGACCTGTTTCGTATAGATGGACCTACTAACCACGAGATGGGGAATGATTTAGAAAGGGAAATTGTTCCCCCTGTGTTGTTGAACCGGTCTCTATGGAATTCCGGTCGGCCAGTATCACTCTTTGTGGTTGTTTGTTCAAACTCCGCTAAACATATTGCAACCTTCTATTATACTATGAAACCAAGTCGTGGCTGTGGCTTGGAGCCGCCAATATCCCATCTGATATGAAGTTAGTCTGCAATCACCCCAAGGCTCGTGCGGAGCACCTGTGCTATACCACGATCTGGCATATTAGTTGGATGACTACACTCCTATTCCCCTTCCTTTGGATATTTTGCATGAAACCGTGACAGTCATTCGAAGAAATTCCACATAATATCATTATTTGTAACGGATATCTGGCACCAAAACTTAAGAAAACAAGGATCAGACACCCTCAGTCTTACCCGTGTTTGGCCAAAATCTTTTGCCCATTCTGGTAGTAAGAAGCTTTAGCAGATAAAGAATTCACCGTGCACAAAGCCGAGATGTGTCCCGAGTTGTTCTATTGTTCTACTGTCCAAATTTCGATATAAGGAAGCTGCCATGACGGGTGTTGGAACAAATGTCTTTGTGGTGGGGGGACTAAACGCTTATACCATGATCCTTTGATGGGCAAGATATAAAGATTCTGTGTAGTCATCCAGACCACGCGCCTGGATGGAGACTCACTGAGAGTTACCACAAAGTACAGCCAAGATCAGTGCCATTTGTTTCCAAGAAAAACCATGCCCGTCTGTTTTGCTGTCGACCCCGACCACTACGACGATCTCGGCGTCCGTAAGGATGCTTCAGCGCCCGAGATACGGAAGGCCTACTGCGGTCTCGCAAGGAAGTGCCACCCAAACAACTTCGCGTCGATCGTCTCGGACGATCAGACGCGCGCGGCCAACGAAGACCGCTTCAAGGATCTCGAGCACGCGTACGGGGTCCTGAGAGATGAGACGAAGAGAGCAGTGCATGACGAAAGTCTCACGGACAGCTACGTGGTCGGTTATTTGACGTTCAACGGATTCGAGGTGACGACTACGACGACGATCCAGGAAGTGGTAGCCTTCCTGGCGCGAAATGGCTTCCCTGCATTCATGAGGGAAATCGGCCTTCCCATCGAAGGTAAGAAGCTCTTTTTTGGTGGTCAGATCTTCGAGATACAGACGGAGGTACTGGGTCAGCCCGAAAGCGTCTTCGAAAAGGCCACCAGTGCTAGGCCTGTTCCCGAGACGCAATCTACCCTTCAAAAGCCCGGCAACGAGGCTGAGGCTGCGCCCATGGCCGCACCCAGCCCAACGCTCGATCCCGGCGAGGCACCCCATCAACAATCGGGATTCACCCCTACCAAGCATAGCCATGTGTCTCTCCGGTCGGCCCTGTTGTGCTTATTCCTAATGTTGAGCATTCTCTTCGAATGCCACAAGGCTTTCCCGAGGCTGACTCGTGTGTTTCCGAAGCCGAGTCATTATGAAGTCCTAAATATCTCTACGTATGCAAGCGATGACGAGATCAAGCAAGCCTACCGACGGGCAGTCAAGATGAACCACCCCGATAAGGCACATGGCCGAGAAGCTGCCGCGAAAGCCCTGGAGAACATGATAATGATCACGGACGCATACGGTACACTATCAAGCGAACTGAAATGCGCATACGACAGAAATATTGCGCAGTCCGCCAATATAAGTGAATATCATCGTTGTCTCCTGAAATTTCAAGCCAGCAGCTCTGAACGCCAGCGCGAGGCTGGTGTCCGCGCAAAAGGGGCAAGGGAGCAGGGAGATGCGGCTGGGAAGCAAACACGAAAGGCTCGAGATGCGGGGCTGCGAAGATCCAAGGAGGGGTCTCGTCAGAGTAACTGGCATCGTGCGCGGCATTATCTCAAAACCTTGGTGGATGTCGCTTCTGAAGAGTCCGAGATTGAAGTCGTGATACCACTGTATGTACGGACAATCATCAGCAAGAGTGCAGTTACAGCTGTGAGGGTACGTACTGGTGTGGTTGAGCTTTTGGACAGACTCGGCGAAGAATATCATTGGATCTGTTACAAGGACGAGATTATTCGACTGCTCGCCTTTACGGTCGGTCGATATCTTGGCTTTGATTTATGTGTGTGAAAGGTCTAAGTGCACGCGAGCTGAACAACTGTTTTACTGTTTTGAACTAGTCATGTTTCTCAGAAAATTACAATATGATATATTCTTCAAGTTAAAGATGTCACCATACGTGAAGCAGGACTGAAGCATAATTGTAGCAACAATCTATACTCAGAAACTTTACTACATGAATCAAGTTTTAGATTTCAACTTGCAACGCAAAAATTTGAAACTTTATTCTCATTTCTCTGATGACTTGGTATTACATAATTGTAGTGATTTTCGGGAGAATTGGTAAAGCTCACTACGTGGCTCTATCCTGTTAATTCTTTTGTACAGCCGATGGCAACAAGAGATATTGGCAAACAAGTATCGATTGTAATGATGCTAATTAGCTAAAGATCTTCCACGCCCCTTCCACACCTACTAACTTTCTGTCAACCTGCGAGCTCCTGTACCTGTAGCGATCTGTAAGACTTCATTGCGTCCGAGTCAATCCGCAACTTCGCCCCTAATAATCTTCACTGTGTAAAGCAACACGGATTTACGCCTCTTGTACCAAGTAGTGCAATTACTATCACATACCCTTCAACTGGTTTCGAGCTGCGCTGATGCAATCTCTTACCAATTCAAGGCGCTGTCGTTTCTGTGATGATATGACATCTAAATTCCTTCGTTTCGATAGAAGCTGGTCTCGTAACCCGTTGGTGATCTTGCACGCATCATCATAAGCGGTGAATAGTCTGTGAAAATCCTTCCTGAAGTCAACAGTCACATCGTTGATGTCTTCCTTCTGTCGCAGCAACAGCTTTGCGGCTATTTTGTGACCGTTTTGCTTGTATTCCTTGGTAATTCCCTTCACGGCCTGTTCTCTTGAAAACAGATGGCGAAGCAGTGACTATTACACATTAGAAATTTGTCACTGTTATTTGCGATATTGGACATACATTTGTTACGCTGTGCATGGTGTCAATAAGACTTCGTGAAGTGTCGTCAACAGCCATTTCCCAGCGACGGACATTGAACGCCTGATCAATATTTTCCTCCCGAGGAATCTGTTTCTCTGGTCTATGGAGTTCGACTCCGCCATTCTGGCGGAGTTGATATCTATCGTCAAGGATGTTCCCCTGGCGACTACCTCCAGCTGTGTTTCGATGGGAATTGCGGAATCCATGGTTTTGGATTTGCTGCCCTAGGTTTGCATACGGCCCGCTGGAACAATCACCCTTTTCGAAAGCCTCACGCTGAGATAGCTTTTGAGAGAAACTGTAAGACTTCGGGTGCATTTTTACGGTGTGCTTCCGGTGTCCATCGGTACTGTGTACCATGGGGTCGCCCGGATATCCGCTCGCTTCAGCAGAAACCTCAGGGAGATCGACTCTGTTGAAAAGATTTTGGGCGAACGCATTAGATTTGGGATGGAGTCCAGCGACCCCAGTCTCGACTCGAGTTTGGGAATCTTGCTTTAACCTTCCCTCAAACAACGATTGCTGCCGCTGGGGATTGTGTCGTTCAGTAGAGAAGACATCATCCCGGTCATCGTGTATCCTTCCCTGGTTGGCGCCATTATTACACTCGAACGAATGTGAGTTGTAAATGTAACTCGTTCTTGGAATTGCAGCCCTTCTTGTTTCATCATGACCTTGTGGTTGCAGATGCAAGGCTTGATTGGAAGGTATATCTCCACATGTATCATGTACAGACTGCGACTCGGCGATTTGTCTGGATGACAAAGCAACAAAATTTACTTGTCTGAGTTGAGCACGACTGTGATGATTGTTATTGGCAAACGGGAGATCCTGCATCTGCCCTTGAGCTGGTGCAGAGTTGTTCTCTGCAGGTGAGGACACATTTTCTGCTACCTGTGAGATGGGGCATGATTGTTTAAGGGTTTTTTCCCATGCTTCTCCACGCTTACCATGTCGCTGGTTTTCAGCGCTGTCAGGAACCAAGCTGGGACTGCCTGTATCGTTGATGGATAGTTGTCGGTTTACTTGAGCGGTCGGCAGTGTTGGTGCTGTCTGCTCCACCGAACGAGCTGACGTTTGAAGTGTGTCTGGAGCGTTTCGCTTCTTCGTTTCTAATGCGTCGATATGAGCAATTCGGTGTGTTCCTCTTTTGTGCGTATTGGTTTCGAGACTTTCAGGAACATCATTCTGCGCAAGGGGCTTTTTGTTTCCTCCCTTTTCGTTTTCAGCCGCGTGTGGTAGTACACCACGCTTGCGGAAAGGGAGTCGCCCCAGAACAGGTGCTACTGCCTCCTGCGGCTCAATGAAATGACTTTGCGGGCTTGCATGGGTGTTTTTTCCAAGGGAAGGTGCTGCTCCTGTCTCTACACTGAGATAAGCAGACTCGTCACCAGCTCCAGCAATGTTGCCATCGACATTCAGATTATTGGAGGACTCTGAAACTTTTTCAATAGTATTAGGTTTCTTCTTAAGCTTTTGCAACTTGATTGGGCTAGATTGGCGATCAAAAGGAATGATTTTGGCCATGTTCCTTCTCTCAATCGGAGGTTGTTCCGTTGGACCCGGTGCTTCCTCTGAGGAGGATTCAGTTATAGCAGGACTTCGCTTCTTTTTGGAATGTGGTCCTGCAGTTCGTGGTGCCCCTGTGGTTTCGTGCAGAGGCCTTTTGAGTTTCGAGGTTATTTGTTCCAAAGGTTTGGCAACACGCAGTGGAGGCTTGCTTGGACCATCGTCCGTCTTCATGTTTTGTACAAGACCCTGCCTCCTTGTCATTGTTGGAAGCTGCTCCTGCTCATCCATTGTAGGGTCCTCGATATCGAATGGGTCATAGACATTATGCGCCTGAAATTTAGAAACCTTGCTACGACCGGTGACTGCGGCTTTCCCCTTGGTGGAGTTACGTTGAGCCTCTGGTTTTGACCTGGATGCATGGGTTCTGGTAACTGTATTTGCATGATGTGCAGATTGTTTCTTTGTGGAAGTGTTTGGGGACTCTTCAAAATCATATGGATCGTCTGAGTCTGCGCCTGTGTGCTTTTTTAGCACAGTCTGGGCCGCTGGATGCTTCGACTCTTTTTGGGGGGCTTTGCTGCCATTGGAGGTAAAGGCGCTTTTGCTTCTATCCATAAACACGTTGTAAAGAGACTTATTAACGGGGGCTGTGGCTTCAAGAAAGGAAGGCTTCGCCACTCGCTTTGATGTAAGTTTTGGAGGCGAGGGCTGAGTGACCTGATTCTCAGGGACGATCTCCGAGTGGTCATATGCTTGGGCAGCGCGCTGCTCGTACAGCCGTTGTGCTAAGTTGCGCGTAGACAAACGATTTGCACCAGTGCCCTGTTGGAAGTTTTGCACATGCGCAGGTGGTGTGCTGCCGGCAGTTTGCTTTGTCTTCGTGATGGGCACATCCTTGCGACTTTGAACTTTGCGTGCACTCTTTCTGATAGGAACGTCATGTATCTCACCCTTTCCCGTGGCTTGAGTTTTGCATCGCTTTTTTTGCATTGCTGCAGATACTTTGCTGTTGGGAGCTTCTGTGTCGCTGGGATGGTAGGACTCTGCACCTTCGCTTCTGACGCTGGAATCGGATTCATCTTCAGACTGGAAGCCATCATCCAAATCCTTATTTCGTGCCAAGTGTTCTGGAGAGTCCACATCCTCGTGGTCATGTTCAAGCGAGTCTAGATGCTCTGGAATGATATCATCCAGGGGCGATTGTGTTAGGCGTATGTCATTGTTGTCATGTAGCTGACCCCTTGGAATGGTATCGTGATGATCAGGACTACGTCGTGTGGAGGAAGGTGAGATTGTGTCATGCCCGGTCCCGTTTGCTGTGGTTGAGCATCCGGAACCACCACCAGGAGTGCCACATAGTGATGACGAATCATCCTGTCCAGGGCTCGTGTAATTGCTCATAGAGTCATAGCCAGCAACTCGAGGTAGTCTGGACGGCTCTGGGTCGCCCGGTGGTTCGATCAAAGGTAGTCCCTGGGTTTGGGATAGTACCCAGCGACCACCAATGCACACGACCTGTTTTTGACTTCCTCCAGGATCAGGCATGCTAGGATTTTGGGTATGCGCAAATGGTTTAAACAAAGGATTGTTCGGGAAAGTTGGAAGGAAAGATCTATATGCTTGACAAGTGCTTACTTGCGAGATAGTGTGCTTTGTGTTGCAGTTAGTGTGGCCGGATTTCCCTCCACAGAGTGTGCAGAGTGTACAGAGTTCAAGAACTTGATGTTGTAGTGTGCGGAGAGAAAATGATTGAGGAAAACTTGAGATGTTCTGCATGCACGGGAGGGAGTTGAGGAAGGCGCACCTCCCACCATACTCATCCGTGACTTCCTGCTCGAGCTTTGATAGCACTCAAAGACATATTTCCACGAGAGACATCTTGCCCAGTTTACATGCATCAGACTTTCCTGATATCTCAAAAATACGACAGTTGTTTGGTAGTCAACCAAATATAACCTCGGTGGCAAACTGAGGGGCGTACCCTGCTATGGGGAGTGCAAGCAGACAACTTGAACCAGATAGCGCTCATGGCAATGCTCGTAATGATCCGTACAAGCAAGAGCATATTGAATCATACATATTCAAGAACCTCGCAGGTTGTTCCCCAAACCCTCCACCGTAGGGCACTCCGAGTATTGCGACACGGTAAGCCATGAACTCACCTCCTCCGATTGGGCAATGGAGTTTACTTGGCCAGGATCACCCGGAACTTGGACTGATACTGTTCCCGCGTCGTAAACGTCGTGACGGCCATGTGGATCAGCAAGTGGTGTATATTGACGTGCCACAATACCTGAATTCGTTGGGCTTCCATGACTAGTATTGCGAGGTATTCTTGCCAAGAATTGGCGCTCGACGTTCATGAGGATGTTATCATTCACCATACCAAAGACGCAGAGTTGCAAGAAGACACTGTGACTGGAAGAAATGCATTTCTGCAATAACAGTCAATTCAATCAATGCACGAGAGGCCAAATCAAATGTGGTAAAGCCGGCAAGATGCCGGTCGGTCTCTGAGGCCGTAGCTGACTTGATTTAAGTCTGCTGATCTGACGAGCTGACGCTTGCACATATACAAGGCGTACTGCTCTCGCGCGATGTACAGGAATGCAGGTGGTTCCGCAATGAAAAATCAACCCATGCCATCCAGCCAACGCCGTGTTCATGACCTCAATAATGGTATTCTTTTTTACTCCTTCACCTTCCAAGCGCTATCCGAAAAGTGTCGAGAGGCATTTATCGGACGATACCATCGAAGCGAGACTTGAACCACTTGACGGTCTCGTCACGGTGGATCTTGTGGGCGGCGCCGATCTTGCCCTTGCAGCGGCGGCGGCGGCTGACACGCTCACCAGGGCGAGTCATGCAGCAGTAGAAGTCCATACCGTAAATACCGATACCGGGGTCGTACTTGATACCGAGATCGATGTGCTCGGAGATACCGAAACCGAAGTTGCCAGTCTCGGAGAAGTTGCGCTTGCGCAGCTCGTACTCCTTGACCTTGAGACCACGCTCGAGAATCTCCTCGGCCTTGGGGCCACGGACAGTGACGTGGACAGAGATCTTCTCGTTACGACGGATACCGAAAGAACGGACGGTGTAGCGGGCCTTGCCTGTTGGAAAGAGAATATTAGAAGAGCTACGGGTGAACGGGGACAGAAGAGGGGCAAACGTACTGTAGACAGGAGTCTGACCGGACAGCTGCTCCAACACCTTGGCGGCACGGGTCAATCTGTCACCAGATTCACCAACGGAGATGTTGAGGACGAGCTTCTGGATCTTGAGCTCCCTCATGGGGTTCTGGGACTTGTCGGACGACTGTCGCAATTGTTAGCATTTCGACTATTCGTCATTTTCGTATGACGACGGTAGTGATCTTTTTTCTGGCGTACCATCTTGGCTGTTTGTTGTTAGTAAGAACCGGGGAGGTGGGTTCTGCGTTGATGATCGATGGACTGACGGTCGAAAAAAGTTCGCGATGCCCAAAGTTTCAACTCAACTCAAATCGAGAGACAGCCAATTTTGAGGGTTTGGGTACCCTCTTTGTGGGTATGGCCCGTGCCCCTTCCCTTTCTCCATATGTCGAGATGAGGAATTAGGTCGGGGACGAGATGGAGATGGCGGAAACAGCGCTAGAGCAAGAAAGGCTTAGCCCAGCTAGAGCTTTATTAGCGCATTGGAATTTGCATGTCAGCTCTCCAATTGGCAAGTGGCTCGAGCTCCCGTTTTCAGCCTCGAAATCAGAAGCGTTGCCTTGCGCCTCAATTAACTACTGCAGCATAACATATTTCGACCTTTGCCTCTGCTTCTTCATACCAAGTCGAGATCTTGAAGGTATTCTGTCCACACAGCCATACCACCGAGTTCGCGCAGAGGCTCGTGAAGTAACACGACTTCATCAAGTCAAACACCAATTTTTGCAAATCAAAAAAGAGTAGCTCCCTGAAGGAGCAAACTCCAGACAGCATGTCCAACAAACAGGGCAAGATGGTGAGTGCTCCCCCCCATCATACCGCTCGTATATCTCGAGGTTGACATTGCAGGCTGACGAGACGTGTTGTTACAGGCCGGTTACGTACGTGCTTCTTTCTTTTCACCCAAAGCGACGCGCCATCGCTAAATCACTACGCGACCCCATCTACTAACTCGTTTGCAGATCAACTACCGGATGAGAGTAACTCTCTTGGACGGTCGTCAGATGACTGGCCAAATGCTCGCCTTCGACAAGCACATGAACCTTGTGCTCGCAGATACCGAGGAGTTTCGCAAGCTGAAGCGCAAGACGACAAAGCCTGCTGCCGCCCCCGGCGCATCAACCCCCCAGACTCAAACCATCGAGACCGAGGAGAAGCGCACTCTTGGCTTGACCATTGTCCGTGGCGCCCAGATCGTCTCGCTCTCCGTTGAATCGCCTCCCCCACAAGATCCCAGCACACGACTTGGCAAGACCACAACCGGCGGTCTTCCCTCCGCACTCACATCCGGCCCCGGTGTGGCTCGACCTGCCGGGCGTGGCGCTGCTCCTGCGAGCTTGGCCGGTCCTGCTGCTGGTGTTGGTCCTGGTGCTCCCCCACAGTTCCCTCCCCAGTTTCCAGGTGCGCCTGGTTTCCCTGGCAGAGGTGGACCTCCTGTCCCAGGCTTTCCAGGACCACCTGGTGGCGCCTTTCCACCTGGGGCTTTTGCTCCTCCAGGAGGCTTTAACCCCCCGCCAGGTTTCCCAGGCGGCGCTCCTCCCCCGGGTTTTAACCCACCTGGTCGCAGATAAGACAGTACGCATGGAAGATATTACACAATCAAGGGGTCTACTTTTGGGGATGAGTTGAGTTGGAGGCGATTTGGTTCCTCCTCAGAGAGACATGTGAAAGTCACCGTCGGCGACCAAGGATGAAAGACTTGTTATGTTGTGCAGATGGCACCAAAGCAGCGAGCAGGAGTCAAAAGAGGTGCCCCTGCTTCGACAAGTCAAAAGCCCCGACGACTATGTTTCCATAACAAGAAATGAGAATGGAGAAATGATGGCCTTGCACAATCACAACTGCCCATCTTGCAATCAGCTATTTGTCTTCTGTAACAATGCCTACACGTGAAGGTACAAATGGCTAACTATCATGCGTCCTCGTATCTGGGGCCCCTAGACGAACAGACAACATACAAATGGGCAGAGCTGTGGAGCACAATAAGGTAACAACACCATGGAGGGCAATATTTGGTCGAATTTTGGCGCTCTAGATGCTACCACCCCCCATAATCTTGCTCGGAGCACTGATCCACACAAGAGCGCTTGGATTGCACTTGGCTTATACCTGGTCAAGTTAACGCTACTTCGCTCATCTCCCTTTGGGGCCGCTATCGCTATCGTTGTGACTTAAACAGTGGACGGACTGTACTATACGGGAGAGCTACTTCCCATAGAATTGCAAGCTAAAAACTAGTGAAGCTCTTTCAACAGAATCACTACCTTATTTTCTTGCTCCTTATTGTTTCTCTTATTTCTCCCTATTCCGATTATCTTCTTGCCTTGATTATACTTTCTCCTGCTTTCCTCTAACCTTTCTTACAGTGCTCTCTGATACTCCCCCCTACGTAAAACAGGTATCTCACAGCGCAAACAAGCCTGTTCTAGTTGTCAATTTCTGTAGAGATCCTCATAATTAGTAATACGAGCACAGTATTATAAATATTACAAGAACTCGGGAGTCAACCTCTTCTTGGGGTACACCTCTTGCTGTATTAAAGCTCTTCCTAGAGTACACCTCTTCTCAGAGGCCATAAAGTCGTCATGTCCATCTAAGTTTAACGTCATGCTCTCACACAGCCTGTACAGAGGCGTCACTAATAGTCGTAAGTAATAAAGTCAACTTGTCAAGCCAACGGCAGACAAACATACTCTCCCAAAATGTCCATTAGGTAATCAAGCATGTTATAGTAAATAATATACTACTGTGTTTACCTCGCCAGAATGCCAGTCTCATCTTGTCCGATCTTTCTTTGACGTACTTGTCCCTCCGCACTACCTCAAAGACTTAGAAGCCCCAGCCGTGATTATCATGACAATAACATGCGGTATCACTATTTCCAGGAAAACGCCAAAAACCAGACAGTCTAAAAGGGTCGGTCGGAATAAGAACAAATGTAATCATATCTTCATAGTACTGCAATGTCCTTCTTAATTAACTCAAGCCTCAACGCTTTTCCCAGCTTCACTGACTATGCTCTCTAGGCCTTGGCAATCCTGCAAACCAAATCATTACCATCAACCGAGTCACCCTCCTTGACCTGCAAGTCGCTGACTTTACCATTGTGCGGTGCGGAAATAACCATTTCCATCTTCATGGCACTGAGTACAGCAAGTGGGTCGCCCTTCTTGACGTCGGAACCAGCCTTGACTCTGAGCTCAACAAGAACACCAGCCATTGGAGCACCAACCTGGCTGCTATCGCTGGCATCGGCCTTCGGCCTCGACACGTTCTCGACGGAAGCCTTCTTGTCATCAACAGTAACCTGTCGTACTTCCCCGTTCATCTCGTAGAACACCTCACGCTGACCAGTGTTCTCCGACAGAGGACCGATGGCGAGCATCTTAAGGATGAGGACCTTGCCCTTCTCAAGCTCAACGTGGAACTCTTCGCCGATCTCAGGCCTAGACAGGAAGTACTTCGTGGGCAGGACGGACAAGTCACCGTACTTCTGAGTGAACTTCTTGAAGTCGTCGAAGACCTTGGGGTACATGAGGTATGAAGCCAAATCACACTCCGTGACCTGTCCCCACTTCTGGGCAAGCTCGGTGCGAGACTTCTTGAAGTCGACAGGGTCGAGGTAGAGGCCAGGACGCTTGTCGAACCTGCGTCGGTCACGGAGGGCCCTGGATCTCAGGGGTTCCGGGAACCCGCCGTAGGGCTGACCCATCATGCCCTCGAGGAATTCGTACACCGATCCAGGGAAATCAAGCTCTGCGGCGCGGTCGATGACATCTTCTGGAGATAGCTTGTTGGAGACCATGAACTGAGCGAGGTCACCGACGACCTTGGAGGTAGGAGTAACCTTGACAATGTCACCGAGAAGGTCGTTGGCATGTTCGTAGGCCTTCTTTGTCTCAGCCCATTGAGAGCCCAAACCGAGCTGCTGGGCCTGGAACATCATGTTGGTGAGTTGACCACCGGGAATCTCGTGCTCATAGACCTCAGGATCAGGACCTGCCAGGTGTGCCTCGAAGGGTGAGTACAACAGACGAAGTTGAGCCCAGTATGAGTCAAGAGCTCTGACATGAGCGGGGTTCAAGCCGGGATCGTGTTCGCTACCCTCCAGAGAGGCAATGATGGCGTTGATGCTGGGCTGCGAAGTCATGCCTGATTCACGAACAAGAGTCAGTAAAAGTTGCCATGGTACTAATAAAAACAAGAGGCATCAGCGACATACCAGACAAGCTGTCAGTGGCAGCATCCACGACATCGGCACCTGCCTGAGCACAGGCGATCATGGAAGCAACACCGGTTCCAGCACTGTCGTGAGTGTGGACGTGAATAGGCAGGTCAGGGTATCGCTCGCGGATCGCACCGATCAGGATGGTTGCGGCACGAGGCTTGAGGACACCGGCCATATCCTTGATACCAAGAACATCAATATCAAGAGCGACCAATTTCTCAACTAGTGACAAGTAGTACTGAAGATTATACTTCTTCTTGGGATTCTGATTAAGGGGTTAGCTATTGCGGGAACTGCTGTATGGTATGGATGCGCAACTTACCAACATATCACCAGAAATACAAACTTCGAATATAGTTAGCAAATGTCTCTTGAGAATAGTGTAGGAAGTGAGTTCAAACCTGTTCCTTCGCAGACTCCCCCTGCTTTCTGTGTCGCTTTAATACCGACCTCAAGCTGGTCAATATCGTTCAGGGCATCAAAGACACGGAAGATATCAACACCATTCTCCTTGGCCTGCTTGACAAAGTGGTAGATGGCGTTGTCGGGTAGCGAAGCGTAAGCAACACCGTTGGCACCACGCAGCAACATTTGGAAGGGAATGTTGGGCACGAGCTTCTTCATCTTGCGAAGACGGTCCCAGGGGTCCTCGTACAAGAAGCGCATGGCCACATCGAATGTAGCACCTCCCCAGCACTCCAAAGAGTACAAGTTAGAGAGAGCATGGCTAGTCTCCTTGGCGATGCCCAAAAGGTCAACAGTTCGTACTCTCGTAGCAAGAAGAGACTGGTGCGCATCACGCCAAGTGGTATCCATCAACAAGCAGCCCTTGTTCTCGCGGACAGCCTTAGCAAAGCCCTTGGGGCCCTTTTCGAGGATAACCTGTCTCCATCCGTGAGTGGCGGGCTGGGAAACATCGAGCTTTGAACCATCTGCATTGAGGAGCTCGGGTAGGATGAAATCGCCCTTGAACTTGGGCTCGCCAACTTGTCCCTTGATGCTGGAGCCATTGACGGCCACGTCTCCGAGGTAGGCAAGAAGCTTCTGAGCACGATTCTGACTGCCCATGAGATCGAAGAGCTGAGGGGTATCATCGATGAAAGTAGTCCAGCAGTTGCCGTCGATAAAGGTAGGATGTGTAAGTAATGAAGCCAGGAAGGGAATGTTTGTCTTCACACCACGGATACGAAACTCGACAAGAGCTCTGAGCATCTTCCTGCGCGCGATTTCGTATGTGGAGCCTAAGCATGTGCACTTGACCAGCATGGAATCGTAGTAAGGCGTAATGACCGCACCAGCGAAACCATTGCCACCGTCAAGACGGACACCGTTACCACCAGCAGATCTGTACACCTCAATTTTACCTGTATCGGGCTGGAAGCCCTTTGCGGGATCTTCAGTGGTGATACGGCACTGAATAGCGAAGCCCCGGGTAGAGATTCTGTCCTGCGTCAAACCGAGCTGCGCCAAGGTAGCACCAGCAGCGATCTGAATTTGAGCGGCAACGATATCGATGCCGGTAATCTCCTCAGTGATTGTGTGCTCGACCTGGATACGGGGGTTGATCTCAATGAAGTAGTAGCGGTTCTGCTGGTCCACCAAGAACTCAGCGGTACCAGCGTTTCTGTAGTTGACCGACTTGGCAAGCTTTACAGCATCGGCCAAGATGGCATCTCTGGTAGCGATGGGAAGATCCTTTGCAGGTGCAATTTCTACGACCTTCTGGTGTCGGCGTTGTACCGAGCAGTCACGCTCGAACAGATGGACAATGTTGCCATGGTTATCACCAAGCAATTGAACCTCAATGTGCTTAGGCTTGTCCAAGAATCTCTCAACGAAGACTGTGCCGTTGCCGAAAGCGCTCTTGGCCTCGGAGGTGGCTCTCTCGAAGGACTCTTTCAGTTCAGATTGGTTGCGAACCACTCTCATACCACGACCACCGCCACCGTAGGCAGCCTTGATGATGATAGGGAAGCCATATTCGTCGGTAAACGACTTCACCTCTTCGAACGTAGCAACAGCGTCTTCGGTTCCGGGGACGACAGGGACGTCGGCCGCGATAGCAAGCTTACGAGCAGAGACCTTGTCGCCGAGCGCGTCGATAACATCAGGTGAAGGTCCGACGAACTATACGCGCACATGGGTCAGTGCCATTGGCTCAAAGTCGCTAGGTTGTATCGATTGTATACGAGTGGGGATCAAATCAGCACTTACAATGAGTCCGTTCTTCTCGACATTGCGAGCAAACACTGCGTTCTCCGACAGGAAACCATAACCTGCACCATGAGTTAACTTCGTGACTGGTTTCAACGCAGTGTAATAAGCTTACCCGGGTGAATCATCTGAGCACCATGCTCCAGAGCAATCTTGATGATCTCGTCACCAGCCAAATAAGCACCAACTGGTGTATACTGGCCACGCTTTCCGATGACATATGCCTCGTCGGCCTCTGTAGGAAAACCGATTGTCAGCACAAGCATTCAATTTGTGACGTGTTTTCCGGATTTCCCATCTCGTCGAGCCAGCCCCCGAATGACCCCGCCAGAGGTCTGTAGGAAGTAGGGACAACGTACTTTGCCTGTGCATGCTCAACCGATCTTCATAACTGAATACGGCAATGGTGTGCAGACTCAGTTCGTGAGCCGTTCTGAAGATACGAATGGGGATCTCGCCACGGTTGGCTACCAGCAGCTTCTGCAAGTGCATGATGGTGCTGTTGGCTCGGACATGGTGGATGGTCTTGGCCTCCTTAGGAGCCTGGCCTTCCTCGAAGACATCTTCGGTGTCGTCGCCAGCCGCCTCCTTGGCCGCCTTGAGATCCTTGAGATCTGGGATTTCGGCCATTTTGATTTTATTTCTTTTGGTCTTGATGCGTATGCGTACAGCCGAGGGGTTGTTGGCGCTCGCTCAATAAGGAGCTAGGACTGATTAAGGTGGGGTGAAGCTCGATAAGGAGTTTCGAGGTCAGTGAAACTCTAGGTTCTGGAAGAAACCGAAGAGCTCAAAACACTCATATAGTGGTAATCAGGGGATCGGATATTGGAGAGTTCGACTCAACGACTTCACCAGGCCGACCAGCGTAATATTTCGGCTTTTTGTTGGGTGGTTGGCACAGCCAAATCAGCGCGCGCGCACAATAAGAAAGAGCTAGTTGGAGAGCTCCGTTGTCTCACTGACGTAACAGCCACTAGAACCCAAGGGCTGAAGAAGCTCCGTAGCTCCGTCCTGTCGCTTACCGTGGGACAGGTAGGTAGGGATTAGGGACGTGGGGTTGGAGTTTGATAAGTCGAGTGGACGGGACGCTGTAAGTTGTGCTTTTAAACGCAACCAACAACAAACCCTCTTGTTGTAGTGAGTCCCGGAAAACCTCTGGACCGCAACAGATAGACAACGGCAATAGATATGCGCCCGGTCTAGGAGTTCAGCAAGACTATTACGCAAGACAATGGAGTGATAAGGACAAGTGAACAGGACCGGTGCGAACGAGGAGGGGGATCGAAGGGGTCTTATGGTTTGACACTTGAGAGGCTAGCCCCGAGGAGGAGGAGGAGTACCAAGAGAAAGGTAGGTTTACCCTCCTAGGCGCGCAAGGACCCTTCCAGGTTATTTAGTCCGTCCAGAGCAATACTTAGAGACCTGGCGGCAATGGGGCTCACTACCTTGATGCAGCGCAAAGCAACGCCGAGCATCTTGTGTGGACGGCCTTTTTAGTTTGAGGGGATTTTCCTATCAAGTCTTGTATTGTAGTCGACGGATCCCTGCTTGATAGAGATGGCATACCCCCCCGTTCGTACATACCAAGCGGTTGGCACATATGGGTCAAAAGTCTTGGAGACCGAACTCTAAACATCTGAGCCCTCAAAAGCCAAAATATTTGTTACAGCCGATGCTCAAACAACATCCTAGCTGAGAGGTACGCCGCAGTCTGAAGCAAATCGTGTCATATCATGGACATGAAGACAGTCGAACCATCATCTGGACTCGATCGGTCTTGATCCGCTTTATCACGGCACATGCCAATAGCATTCGGAGACTGGAGCCGAGAAACTGTGTCACAGCTGCGATCGCGGGGAGCATTTTCATTTGCACTTGCGCGTGGGGAGGTTTGGCGGGGTCATGGAATTGTTCACCCAGCACTACGGTTGACATTATAGTATTACGAGGTAGTCGTACCTACACACTCTTGGGTTTTCCACCTCCCCGGAGCATAATTTCCTGCGGTTTTATTTTTTCCAAAAAAATTTTGTCAGGTCTCACAGCTTTGTTTCCATGTAATTCAGGATGCACAGACTCATGTTGATGCCAGATCCCAGTGTCTAAACCGGTCACGCTGACGTAAACCTTGAGTAGATCCAAGTATTACCGGGGCACGGTACTAGAAAGAGTGCCGCAGTGATCCAGATGGCATAGTTGTAGCACAGCACACGTAGCTGCAAGGGCCGATCAGGTGGCCAACCAACGTCGCGGATTAGTGCGGCTTCAACTTGCCCTCCAATAAGATTTGACACAATTACGATCCAATTCATCCAAGAAACACTGAACAACCCGACGCTTTCTCGTCGTCGACAAGACAATCGGGTATTCAAGGTCTTCGTGGCCTCGATAACCTAGGTAAACCAGAGACCCTGACATGTTGTTCGGGGATTCGATAGGCACATTTACTCCCGAAAGGCGACGAAGCTCTCGTTGTGTTTTCTACCGATAAGCGAAAGACGAGCGTCGCAGTCACTGGCTCTGGTCGAACACGTACGAGGCTGAGCCGAGGATATCTCCCAAACCCAAGCAATTCACGGACACGATTCCGATTGCTGGTAGCCACTGTAGCGACGGTAGGATAAGCGGGGACCTCTTTGCTCCGGGCACTTTAGACTACGGTATGGTATGATTTACCTCTTCTTTCCTCTTGCTCAATTAGGACGCTTAGTTGATGAACATTCCCGTACGTCCGTGAAATAAATGTTTTCGTAGCACCGCATCTCTCGGCTTGCTTGGCCATGTGACACGACGGGCACGGCGTCTCTCACCATCCAGACCGGACCCATATTGCCTTCCATGTGCTGCTCACCTCAGCTGAGCTAGCGACTGCGATCGGTTAGCCAGTGTAATTCTATCTCCTATGCACATGCATGGTGATATAAATCACTCAAACATCCATATTTGGGGGGAGTCGAGACCGCCTAGCTCTAGTTTCTGTGTTACAGAGACTCCAGGATGGGACGCGCATGTCTTTGCCGCCAAGCGAGCTGCTCGAGCATTCAGAGTCCTTGGCTCATACTGCAGTGATCTCCACGGGGCGATCCGCGGTGTCTTGGCTCGTCTGCGATGTTTCCTTTTTCACCGCCCACCGAGACCGATGGACGCTTTTCGACCACAGAAATCACCTCTGCGTTCAGTCTTGGGATCCTGGCTATGTAGTCAACTATACTCATCATGGGCGCTGGTAACAGTCGCATATGTCATTCTGGTTGATTTCTTGGCCGACTTCGGCTGAAGCGATGAGGCTGAAGCGAGACCCTTGCTTGAGACATTTTTTTTTTACTTTTCTTTCTTGCAGTGATCCACCCTGGAGAAACTCATCTGCGATGACATAGGCCGCAGATCTATTGCTTGGCGGCCATGAGTCAAACGCCAAGCTGATCTTGTTGTTCCCTTTGCTTTTTGCAGAAGGAAACGGCCTATGCAGCCTTATCATAGTCCGTCCGTCAACCGAGCAGGAGCTTGGGGCACCAATGCCGAGAAAGGGGAGCGTTTTGAGCGTGGGGGCAACTAGGAAAAAACGCCGAGATGATTGATGATCGCTGCGGAATCTGCGGAATATTGCTGACGAACCATACAACCCCCGTGATCATGTGAGGAGTTGAAAATGTTTTTCGTGTCAAACGAAGCCTCTGCTCGCCGACCAGATGATTCACACTCAACGTTTGAGAAGGTGTCCAGGGTGTTTTTAAGTATGCTATAGCATGCGCTAGGGTGGGGACGAAATGCAATTCATCGGCGTAGTTCCCCCGCCCCTTTGGTACAACTGTAGGATTGGACTATTGGCTCCTTCTCTTTATACACCTGTCGGATACTTGGTGTATATGCTTGTGCAAACTGAATGAGGGACTGTGGTGTGCAGACAAGTGTTGGGAGTAGGCCTAAATGCAGATACTCCAAGACTCATCATTGTGGGCCAGCACATTCAATAGCGCAGCATTATACTCATTCCAGCTGCTTATAATATTTCCCTATCTTGAATGGTCATGAAAACAACTTGCCTGCGGGGTACACCACGAGGTTACATCCATTGTAAACTGCACTTCAGTATGTCAGTTCGGTAAAATCAACACACATATACATTTGGGGTTACAGATTTGCAGATAAGGATCCATACCGACTCGGTCTGAAAAATCCTTCAGACGGGTTTTCTAAGCAGATTGCATCAACGCATTGGGTGATTCATGGTCCGTAAGATCGGTGTCGTGTCCGGCAGGGGGTATGACCACATGCATGCTGCAATACCAAGCCGCTCAAACGGGAGGAGCAGCAAATAAGAGTGACTGGCAGACATATCCATCATTTAGCAGCTGGACGAGCGGAAGCATGGCAACGCCGGAGGGCAGTCGCAGCCCAACAGGAGTGATATTTGAAGATTGTATGAAGAGATTATACTACACGATTGTCTGCAAGTGATAATCACAGCATTACCAACAAAGACTTGATCGCCAGCGGGTATCGTCCGCCAAACTTTCAAACACTAGACCAGTAAACGGCACCAAGCCATGATATAATATATAGACTCTACTAGACAGAAAACTCGAGCCTATGTATGCAGTAGAAATACAGAGCTACCTCCTCCACTTGTCCGTGGCTGCACTCTATCGTCGACCACTCGTGATCAATTATCGATCTCGAGGCCCCTTCGGCGTTATGTACGTAGACCTATTCAACATATCTTGGCTGCCGGCCCTGGTATCTTCCCATTCACCCCTTATATGACCCCGTCGCCAACTCTCAGCTCTTATTTCGTGACAGCAGCCTTGACCTTTTCACCCGCCTCGACGACCTTGTCCTTTACGGCATCTAGGTTACCCTGGGCAGCCGCAGCTTCCTTGCCGCCCCAGTAATGCCAGTTGACGTATCGGTAGCCCTGCGTGAGCTGCGAACCCTCGTTGATGAAGTGGCAGGCAAACAGAAGGTAGTTTGCAGGCGAGACAGCCATAGAGTATCGCATGAAGGTTGCCGAGTAGATGGCGAGAGCACCGGTCATCTGGCCAGAGATCCTGTGTTGGAGGAGCATATGTTAGAAAAGGCACCGCTCGTCCAAAATAAGCAATGCTTTCTGCTCGAAATCAGACGTACAGGTCGGGCGACTTTTGCGCATCGGCGATGGCGGCCAAGGGAATACCGAAGTTGGAAGCCGGACCCCAGAAGTCTGGTATAATCTGATTAGCCATAGGTTCATGCCTCCAGGTCACTCGAGAGTCAAGTCATGTGCCTGGGAGCTACACGGTTGGATTCGAAAGACATAAGCGACGCGGCAGAAACGGCAAGCGCCAGCTGAACATGATCGCGGCCGCAGAATCCGCGTGCTCCTGAGCTTGGCGACCATGTAGAACAGATAGCCCTCCACCGTACATATGACATGGTCGCATTGCTCATCAGATCATGGCGCTGCATGAGTACAGCTTCTTATCCATTGTCTTGAGCACCAACCGGACTTAGCGGGACAGGTCCGCATTCGGGGGGACACTTTGGGTCAGGGCTCTGTTCACGTACGTGTTGAGCAGAAGTAGCTCAAGGTCGGGTTAGACCTAATCTTGGCATTGACTGCTTTGAAAAAGGCGGCCATCTTGACTGATCAATCGGTTGCGTTAGAAGGCGGGAGGGTGAGAGAATGGTGAACGGGCTGTGGTCAGTCGCGGGCTGGAGATAGTCGCAGGAATTGGAAATCAAATGGCGATTATCAAAACGTTGGCTCCGATTTGGAGAGCCTTCGAGGGACCTGGCGGGAAAAATTTAAGGTGGACCTCCGAGCTTATTAGCATCGTCCGTCCCCTTGCTTCTGCTAATGTACAGCATTGAGCAACCTTGCTTTGCTTTGATACAAATCACGTGCCTGGCATCATCTTCAACAAATGACATGTCTCGGAACTCGAATTGAAAGTCGCTCAAGAGCTTTTGTTTCTGGACATGGCTGCTTCTCAAAACAAATAATAAAATATTGACTATCATACATTTCCTGACGCATGTCTTGATGGACTCCAAATAGACAGAAATGCTCATTTTCCTGCCCTAGAATTTTAGTATGAAGAGCAAGAATTACCAACTATCCGTCCATCCTGTCTTTCCACACTTGTCTTTTACTAGAGGTGACATATGCATAAGGGTATTCAGGTTTAACTCCGTGGTTTCCTTCCTCAGTCAGCACTTCATCGGCACCGCTGCGAGTGCTGGCTGCCTTGGGACAACTGATGCTTCTCTTGCTCAAATGCCTGGCGCCCGTCCTGATCTACGCCACACCCGTGACTCGATGCGAGATAGGGCCCGTGGGGCGTATCTACAACCGAGACAACCCGAGGGAAGTAGGCAACAGTGGGCATCAGGACAACAGCCGGCCTAGGTGCTGACTAGAAGCCGAAGCCGGTAGGCTGCGGTGCAAAACCGTTGGTCTGACCGAAAGGAGCCGGCGAGGCCCTTCCGGCAGCACCGGCTGGTCCGGCTGTAATCATGAGGCGGTTGCCACCCAAGATTGGCGTCTGCTCCTCGTCCTTCTCCTGCGACTTCTCCTTGGCCTTGCGCTCTTCGTTGTCAGCCTTCAGGAGGGCAAGTTCCTTGGTGGTCTGCGAGAGCATATTGATCATGTACGGCATGGTGAAGTCGTGCAGTCCATGGCGCCAAGACAGTTCCAGAATGATATCTGGTCGAATGAGATCGTAGCATGCATACAGCATACCGACATAACATTCCTTACTGCCAATGTCGACGAACTATAATCTAGTAAGCATACATAACACAATATTAGACAGAAGGGTGTGACTTACGTAGCGTAGCAGCTCCTCGACAACCTCCGACTTGCCGGAAATGGCCGAGGTCTCAATAGCGTCCTTGTACAGCTTGTCTTGCTTCGATAGGGCAATGGACTTCTCCCATCTCTTCGTCTTGCGGTAGATGTTAGCTGCAATTTGTCGGAAGAAAACGAGGTCATGCTTCTCGAGGCGGCTGGCGAGGTCTGTAGCGTCGTAGTTGTCGTAGTTCTCTACCGAGTCACGAAGAGTCTTGTAGTCTTCCTCTTCAATGAGAAGGTCGTTGATGGCGTCGTTGACCGTGCGCTTGTTCTGGTGCTGCACATTCAACAAAAATGGCTTGATCAGAGGCAGGTTGTCAGATTTCTGGAACATCTTCACGACTCTGTTGACATCGATACGAGCAGTCAAGGCTTGCAAGAGATCTGTCAACAGCGAAGGGTGCTGCTCCAGGTAGAAGTTGATAGCTCGGTAGTAAATCTCCAGGTTGGCAACCTTGACAACGATGTCCTTGAACTGTTGGTGCTCCCAAGAGTTCTCGGCGCGCTCCATCACAGCCAGAGCAGCGTTGTCAAATTCGTCGTAGTGGTAGTAGCAGAACACAAGCTCAGGCCAGAGGTTAGCCTCTTCGCAAGCCTTAATGAGCTTGGGCAGGTTCATCCTGCTCCAGAAGAGCTTGATGTGCTCCATGAGCCTCTCGGGGTGATACTTCGACAGAGCAATACCGAGCTCTGTGAACATTCCCATGTGTGCACGCTCTAGGCCGAGTCCAGACTCGAGAAGTTCAATGAGCTCATCAAAGTAGCCCTCAGACTCGTACTGCTTAACGAGGGCTTGCAGTTGCTCGGCATCAACGATAAGATTGAGACCGCAGATCTTCGCAAGACGGAACTCCTTCTTGCTCACGCAAGCACCGTGTACTTCGCGCCATACCCGGATGTTGTTGGCTTTGCGGGCCGACTCCACAGCAGCTTGGTAGTCATCCAAATGTACGAGTGTAGTGGCAAGCTTGGCCCAGTTGGAGATGCTAGAGTAGAAGATCTTGGCAGCTTGGTAGTGGCCCTCGTTGGCAGCCTTGTCACCAGACTCCTCAATGTTAGCGACATTGGTGCCACGCAAGAAGTCCTCGAGCTCGCCAAGCTGGTCGGTTCGGGCGAAGCAGAAGGCAAGAGCTGTGTCGATGGGTGGCTCGCGAAGAGTCTTGCGAGCCATGCGCAGGAACTTGATGAGGTCTTCGTCCTTGCCCGCCTGGGTACCGACCTCAATGACTTCCTCGTAGTTGCGAGGATCAGCAGCCTTGATGTACGACTCGATCGCATCCGTAACGCGAAGCCCATCCAGCTGTGCCTTCGCAACCTTGCTCCAGACTTCCGGCGAATCGACTTCGTCAGCGAAAGCGCTAGCACGGTCGATACTGACGACATGCTCAACCAAAACGGCGACGGCAGCAGTCTGGTTACCTGCCTTCTTGAAGATGTCAAATGCCTCCTCGTGAAGACCAACATTGATACACAGTTGAGCACACTCGTCGGGGTCATAAGCGTCTAATCGCTGAATATAATCGGCCACCTTGCTCTTGTCGGCACGTGCTGCAGTGAGGATAAGCAGGTTTTGCAGACTGGCGTTGTCGTTGAAAGGCGAAGGCTCGAGGACAATCTTCTCTAGAAGCTCGATGAGCTCACCGGGCAAATCTGCTGCCAGGAAAGCAGCAACTGCCTCAGACACCTTGGCAGGGTCGCTGCACTCGGGCACTGCTGTAGCAACAACTTGATCAATAACGGACCGGCGATGAATATTGTTCTCACTCAGGACGAACGTCCAGAGCTCACGGTCCGAGCGCTCTAAAAGGTAACGGGCTTGGGCACGGTACATTGAGTTCTCATTGGTAATGTTGATCAGCTCCAGATCGTTCTGTCCCTTTTGGTAGGCAATGAATGCCAAGTTAGGGTCACGCTTTTCGCAGTACTTGCCCACGCTGAGGGTGTCGTATTGATCGTTCTCCTTGAGGAACTTTTCAGGATTATTGTTCGAGTCGATGTAAATCTTGGCCAAGGCATTGTATACTGCCTGCTGCTGGTTGCCCGCTGCCAAGGTAGCTTCGAGGAAGGGGAGCAACAGCTTGAGGCGGTTTCTTGTTTCGACCTCATGTACGAGAGCATCGATAGGGATGGACGCAGGGTTGACAGATGCGAGCAGGCTCTTGATTTGAGATTCATCACAGTCAACGTCCAACAGACCACCAACAACCTGAGGAGTTCTGCCAGGGTTAATACCCTGAACATACTTCTCAATCGACTCAAATTGTTGTTGTTGGTACAAGAAGAGGATCAGATCATGGACCATATCGAATCGATCGCAGACAGTGATCAAAGGCAATTGTTCAGAGAGACGGGCCTCCTTAAGGAAGTTCTTGACCTTCTCAGGATTGTAATGTTGGCTATCGCGGCAGATTCTTTGCACCTCGTTGAACTGGCCCATCTTGGTGGCAGCCTCGATGTACTTGAAATGCACATCAGGATCCTCAGACATGTTGACAACGCTGCCAAGGTAGTAGAAGAGACCCTCAAAGGTCTTGTACTTCTCGAACAAGTCGATCAGGTGAACGGGGCCAAGAAGATCGGAGTACTTGGTGGCAATTTGGACAACGGACTGGAGATTTTGTCGGATGTTGCTCTTCATCATGGCGTCCAAGTTCTCAAGGGACTGCTCAACGGAAAGTTGACCAAAGTAGTTGACCAACCATTCCTGGTTGAAGTTTGGAGTGCCGGCGATGCCGCAAATTACACGCTTGATTGCGGCAGGGTCCTCGTAGAGCTCTAATGCCTTTTGGTACAGACCGGCTTGCTCGCACAACGTCGCGATTCGGGACTTGTCGAAATGTGTGAACATTTGGTTACCCAAGATAGCGTCGGCAACCTGGGGCGCATTCATGAGGTTCATCTCCAGAAGTCGGGTTTGGAGCTCGGCATGCTCTGGCTTGTTATCCTTCAGTGCGTCCAGTAAAAAGGCTGTGGCTTGCTGAATCATGCCTTGGGACTGGAAGACATCGACAACGCGAGCGATATCAACCAATGCTCCACCCTCACTGTTGGCTAAAGCACTGGCGAACTCGGCTCCCTTTTCTGGGTTCTGGCTCACAATGTGTCGCAAGAGACTGATCCAATCTGGCTGGTATCCAGTCTGCTGGACGTAAGGGAGGATCTTGTCAAATTGGCCAGTCTCAGCAAAACCTGCGACGACCTTGTGAGGCACGTTGGCCTTGAGATAGACGGCCAATGCAAGATTGGTATCGTGTCCTCGGATTTGGTCACCAAGCTTTTCGGAGTAGTCGAGCTTGCCTTCCTTCAACCACTTTTCCAGGAGGTGCTTTCGACCCTGCGCGAGGACAGGAACCGCAAGCTCAAGAGTCTCGGTCTCGTTGAGAGGGGTCGTCTTATCGAGCAACATGCCAAAGTATTGGAGAATGTATGACATCTTGCCAGGCTCCTGGGGCAGACTCTTGAATCTGTTGATGGTTTCGTTGGTTCGTAGGAAGCCCCTGGGGGAGTTGGCGGCGACCTTGGCGGCGCCGGTATAGTCGCCGCTTTGCATCAGCTGCTCGAACTGTCTTCCGTAGAGCTGGTCAGCTCCAGGGAGACCAGCTCTCGAAGCCATCTTGATTGCCATCTCAGTGTTGGCAGGGTTCTGCAAAAGGTAGTTGATCATGTTGTTCTCATCCACCGACACAAATAGCACTTGTCCCTTTCTGTTGATACCGAGCAGACCGGTCGACTCAACATCTGCGGCAGTAGCGAAGATGGTCTCGCTAGAGATACGGTTCATGAAGATGGTGGAGCCAGTCTCTAGATCGTAAAGATGAATGAAGCCGTACTTGGTGACCATGTAGATGAGACCATATTTCTGCGAAACTTGCATGGCGACGGGAAAGTCGTTGGTAGCCTCGGGCGGGAAGTAGATGTCCACGGCCTTCTTCTGGAAGACGGGATTCGTTTCTGGATGGTCGATCTCGACGATGTGTAGCTTGGCTCCAGTAGCGGTTCGGACAGCAAATGCAAAGACCTTTGTGTCGGCAGGGGCGCCTTCCAGTCTGAGTGTACCGAATGTGGCAGCATGACCCTCAATGGCCTGGCTGATGCCGCGATCTTTCGAGTATAGCTGCAGACTGCCAACAACGCGGCCTTGTTGCTGGGAGATGCCCACGATCGCCATCCATTTACCATCACTATTAATTCGGTAGTTGATGATTTGGCAGCCCTAGCGCTAGTCAGCCCAAATCCCTTGCACAACGGCAGCGAACGAAGCCGGCACACACAGGGGGGGTCCCTAGTAGGGGCCAGTGTTGGAACCCAACTCACATTCATGTTTTGGTTACGCTTGAAGACTTCCACAGGTGCGGCCTGAGTGGTATCGAAGATGTCCCAGTGGTAGACGGCGGTGTCAGTCACGAGGCCTAGTTCTTTATCACTGATCCACTTCCAGAAGACGACGTCCTCGTTCATTGTCGCGGACTTGAGCTTTTGCTTGGCTTCAAGATCGAAGATCTGCAACGTTCTGGACTGTGCCCGCAGAGCAATGATCTGCCTCGTCCAGTGCATGATGGCACTGTCGGCTTTGATGGGGCGCCGGGTGACATTGTTGCCGTTCTTGAGATCGACAATGATGACCTCTGGTTGCGCAGCCTCGTTCTTCTTTTCTCGTATGCAGATGAAGGAGTCGGACTCTAATGTCTGTTGCGGGAAGCATTGGTCAGTTCGAAGCTCGAGTTGCGGAGGATGCTAGAGTGAGATAAATAGTGCGACATACGCATGAGTTGAAGCCAATGGCGGAGCTGTCGACGCCAACGTTGCTGAGCATCAACAGCTCCTGGAACTTGATGGGGAGCTGTCCGGCCATGGCTTAGGTGCACATGGGCTGGTGTTCCCTGACTAGAGGCTGGACGAAGTGGCTACGGGATGGAAAGTTGTTGTTGGCGAAAAGGCACCACGAGCGATGGGATGGGGATCAGAGAGGTTGATTCGGTCGCAAGGGGTGAGTCGGTCGTGAAAGATTCGTCAATCGTCCTGGGAAGGTGTGTACACAGGGAATAAATGAGCGGGCAGGTTATTAAAGGCCTCGGGTTAGCAGAAAGAAACCGCCAGGAAGTGATTATGTAGCTTGAGCTTGTCTAGGTCGTCAAGAGGCAGAGGAAGACGGGTGAGAGGAAACGCCGTTGCTCGTGAATCCCAATGACGAAATCAATGAGACAAACTAACAGCTGCGACTCGTAGTGTACAAAGCCTGGTGGATTGGCACGTAGGGGAGGGTGAGGAAATGAGGTTGATGTGTCTGATGGAAACGGGAAATAAGGTGTTTTCTTTGGAGGACGGGTACGGATAGCAACTGCATTACCTGTTCGCAAAGGAGAGCCTAGTCCAGAGCCAGGAGCCAGGAGCCTGCTGCTGCGGCTGCTGCCCAGCTGCTGGTGACGCACGGACCCGGCCAGCTGTATAATGGGGAAGCTCCTGAAAACCTGTGGTGGCCTGAGGCTGCAACCCAACTCTACATATGTAGGTCCAGACTAGCCCAAGTCTATGTATTCTGTGATCATGATCAAGAGGTGTGTATTTTGTAAGCTTCACCATTCTTTCGCTTTCAATGTTCATGGCAGACTGGCTTGATGCTGCTTGGCTGGCTCAGTTGATGGTGATATTTGACCATTCCAGCATCTAGGGAAGCAGTCCAGAGAACCGCCATGACGTTTATTCCTCAGCATGTCTATTACCTTGGCACGACCACAGTTATCAACACCTGTGTGGCTATGAGGGACGCCGGATACGGTGAAGCAGCCTGGTCGGAGCTATGCCGACTACAAATATCCAATAGAAAATGGTGGCATGTACATATGTAGGCTTCAACTTCGAGTACTGAGCCGCTTAGACACGCAGCGCAAACACGTAACAAAGTAATTCGCTTCATTCAGATGCGTTAAGCGCCGTGTACGGATCAGGATGAGTTCAAAGCAAACAGCACGGTCAGACGCAGCCATGGCCAAGGCCGACACATTGGAAAGCCCGGGTTGCGTGAGCGCCTCGGAGGTCATCAAGATGGGAATACACAAATTGTCTTGTGTAGAAATGGGATGTACGTTCAATCATTGCGATCCTCCCCATCGAGGAAAAGGGAAGCACCGCACCCAAGATTGTTCGTTGGGATCTTCTCTCCATTCTGTTCGAAAACTTCAGTGGTCTTGGGCCACTGTAGAGCTACCTCGCACCAAATATCATGTCTCGAGAATGTTGTTTTTTTGCGTTGTTCATATTTTTAATATGAAGAAGAAGAAAAAATTCCAAACTCTGCGCGGCTCAACGAAGTTTTAGTAGTTGCAAGACCGGCAGCTGCCTCAGGTGCGCTAGCGATCGACTCCGCAGTGCCGGACCGGCAGACTGCCCAGTGGAAACTGGATCCAGGGTCCATCCACCTCATTAGCGTCACCCGAGGGGATACGATGCATGACATGGACATGACATGACATGACTGTTGACCTGCAATTAAACAACCCTCCCTACCCGTTGAGATATCAGTCAGCTTCTTAGCAGCACCATCATACGTACATTTGGCACCGCGATCATGGCGCAGCCCGGCGTGCATGCTGCTCAGACTCTTCCAAAGTTTCTGCTGCCTCGCCTGAGCTGGCAAGCACCCGTCAGCTCCTCCTCGCAGCAAGTTCTTAGGACTGTGGTAGCGCGACCGGCTCAAGATCGGACACCATGGCAGCCAACTCAGACCTCGGGCATACACACGGAACGTCGACTGCCAGGCCATACTCGTAGGACCAGCAGGAACTCTGCTATCCTCCGGAACCCGGAACTCAGACGCTCATTCCATGCCACCGCCCCGCGAGCCCGAGACCACCACTTCGACACTTTGAAGTTCGTCCAGCGTTTACAAGATGAGGGGTTCACAGAGGACCAGTCTGTGGCCACGATGAAGGTTTTGAACGATGTTATCGAAGAGAGGTCCGTTCAGGCCGCCTGATCCCCGAGAGCCCCCAGTTCGCTGAAAGTTCCATGTAGCATACAAAACTTGACCCGTACCATGGTTCTCCGCGAAGATGCTGCTAAAGCAACCTATACCCAAAAGGTCGACTTTGCTAAGCTGCGCTCCGAGCTGCTTTCAGCAGACAGCACCGAATCAAATACCACACGCGCAGCCCATGAGCGCTTGACAAATGATATCACCAAGCTGAACAGCAGATTACGAGACGAAATTGGACGGACGCAGGCGTCTGTTCGGTTGGACCTCAACCTCGAGAAAGGCCGTATCAGGGAGGAGGCAGTCAGCCAGGAGCTTAAGATCAAGGAGACTGAAACCAAGATCGAGCAGGAAGTTGCCGCACTCCGCGAGAAGCTAGAGCAGGTCAAGTTCCAAACTCTCCAGTGGCTCATGGGTGTCTGCACCGGTTTTGCCGCTCTGCTACTTGGTGCTTGGAGATTGCTTATGTGATTTGTTCTCACCGGCCACTGGAGCGTCCGGGGCACATATCCTATGATTCGTACTTTCGAGCCTATACTTCGGGAAAGGATTTACAACATCGTCGCGCAAAGGTTCACTGCTGAGCGCGCAGCTACAGACGCATCACCCGGCAAAGACCGACTACACAATATATCGAAGCCGTTCTAGCGCGATGATCGATCAGCATCCACCTTTCCCGGTTAAGGGGGTGCGAGAGGCCAACCAGGGGGCCATCCAATACCCATTTTCTAGAGTCAAACAGCTCAGGCTAAAGATAATTATTAACCAATATATCATGGTTCCCTTTTCTCCGTCAAGAAGAGCTCATACATGATGTCGCTCTTTCTCCCTCCGTACCGTAGTCTGACCTATGATGTGTAAGTCGGGTACTGGAAATTAATGGCCAATAATGAGGCATATAAGCCAATAGCTCTCAAGGCAACACAATGTGATGTTTTTAGTTGCCGTTTAAGTTCACTGGAGCACTCATTTAGTTACAAAGCGGCGTCCGAAATACCTCTGGCTCACAGCTCGATGTAAGGCCAGACAATAGATGCGGAAGACACGAATTTGTGATAAATGATGGCTCGAGCAGTACTGCTTTAATGCGATTTTATCCCTCGAAAAACTGCCTAACTACCTACTACACAGGCCAAAAGTGACGGGTGGAATGCTATCGTACTGTGCAGTATTAGCAGTTGTCCCGGGACGCATTAAAAGTTCCGAGCAGAAGTAGATGGGGCTATCGTGAGAGAAAATTCTCATATACGATTAATTCGTCTCCCAAACTGAAGTCCGGAGCAAGTTGGTTTCCTTCGCAAAGATTCTGGGAGTAGCTGCAGATTTAATGCAATACGCATCCCTGGTTACAGCTCACTTTCCAGACAGAAAGAGACCCGAGGCTGACAGTCGGCATGTCTTCAACAACGCACCAGCATCCCCGAAACAGAAGGCGTTTAATGTCGAGACGATGAAGACTGAGCCGGTCAAAACCTGGGAACCCCTCAGGTTCTACGAACCAGGAGAGGCTCGGCGACCTTTGAAATACAAGACTAAAAAGTTTGCACCGAATGGACGGTGGAGGAGGCGATCTCTGTGTTGAAAAGGAAAGGTCTTATAAGGTACAAAGCAGAGTTTGGATATAGTTGTTACAGGTTTCTAAACAAACAAGGACCTAATCTTAAAGCGCCAATAAATTCAGCCCTAGATGTGTTTTGTTTTTCACTACAAGAAATGATTAAATGAAATTTGATTACATGACCTAGTCCTTGTTACTAATAATTATACTTATGCTTACTTTCTACTATTACCTTATTCCTTTATAATGATATTATCGATAAATGGATCACGTCTTGCGTTGCACGCTATTATACGGCCTTGGATATAATCGCATTACGGATGGCATATTTTCCAATGACATTCTCTCAGGAAATCCCTTAATTGCACGTTTACTTGCCCGCCTATTACCCGTTATAACTCACCATATGTAAACACGCTCTCATGACTACTAAGTACGGTCGAGAGATAGCGAGAGAAGAAATCCGTTATCTATAGTTGTCGTCCCTATTCCTCTTAGTTTGCCCGAGATTTTAAGGCTAAAGCTCAGGAAATGTCTCTCTTGTCGTCAAAGGTTCCTAAGATAAAGGGATCCCTTTAATACGAGAAGAAGAAGCGGTAAGATAAAGGACTACCGCGAACTTGAACTTCATTAGACACAGTCGACCATATATCGCTAAGGGGTACGCTAGCGATAAATTCCATGATAAGAAAGAGCTCGTCTCCTTCTCGATACATTATATGTAAAAAGGGAGTAAAGAGTTCCATATTTTCTAAAAGCAAGAGCGCGGAACTCTCGGTTTCAAAAACGGCAAGACCGTATTTAACAACAAAACGGTCGCTGACGAGAAGGGTTTATCGCGTAGTCGAGCCAAAGATGCTAACCTAGGGAACTCTATAGTTGCCGCTTTAATTTCAGCCGAGGTCAGAAGGGGATCTAGTATCCCTTCCTCTTTACGGATCCATAGAAGCGTAGGAGGAAGAAACGACATGGTCGCTATCTCGTATGGCTGTCCGAGGGCGATGAAGGACTAGCGTCAAGTATCTTTCGCCTCACGCATTTATCAACGTACCACACCCAGCACTTGACACCACATGGTGCAGAATGCCACCAAAGCACCCAAAACACGATATAATACTCGAAATCATTTCTCAACGCGCAAGGCTGTTCATGTACGGATCACCATCCTTTTCGATACATCAGAGTGCGCGAAAGGTGAGCGATAAACTGATTTACAGAAAGGAGAGGTTGCTAGAAGTGTGCGAATTCTGTGTACATGGGACCGGAAATGCTTCCACTGCGAAGCTAACGAGGCTGCCAAGAGGAGATCGAAACGAACTGCCAGTTTCTAGAAATCTGCTTCCAAGCCGAGAAGCAGGGCAACGTTAGTAATACACACTCACGTGGGTGACCACTGGGCAATCCCCGGTGTTGTATGTTTTTGCATTCTTGTGTGATTCTGTTCTATGCTACTAGCAAATTTTGCCATGTTCGACGGAGTGATATTGATCATTATACTCAGATCTACACTCCGTATCGCCCATGCTCGAATCACTCCCCTCACTTTTGAAGATTCCTTAGCCGTAACGGTAAGGTCAAAGTAGTTTTCTGATTTTCTCGCTTTCATTGAACAAATATACCAGCTAGTCAAAACCACCACACTTGCTCACCAAGAGAGCTTCCGCCTTGTGCATGTTCGTACGACGCCGTTTTCCATTCTTCACGTTCGCCGTGGCTGCCCCTAATACCTCGTCTGCGATTTGTTCCTGTTGGGAACTCGATGCTCTCGCGCAATCGCGTGGTTGACGGCGATAAGTCTTCTCTCCCCAATATCCCGCCATCCTTACGGTAGAAGACCAAGCTGTCAGGCCAATTTGACCTTATAGTGTCTGTTTTCCGTGATTTGGAACATCAATTGCTTGGTGGGGCCACATCGCTCTTTCGAGGCCGTAGAGAGAGGTTTGTGAAGCCAAGGCGGCCTTGAGGATGTCCCAAAACTGCTTCGTTCGAGCTTGATCATGGCATGGGTCATGGGTCAGTAGTGCCTGCTTCCGCGAAGCAACAATAATGACAGCCAAGGACGATAAAACCAACCACGTAGGGTCCTCCCGATCCAAAGGTTTGGATTTGGCCACTTCGATAGCAAGGATCCAAGCAGCCGCGGTGGTTCCCGCTTCTTCAGTGAACTCCTCGACCTGGGAAAGCTGGTCAGCTCGCTGCTTAACCCTGCAATAGCCGTTCCAAGCTCTGCCATCAAGCCTGTGTTTGTTTTTTCGTGTTGCCGTGGCATCTAGGATATCAGACAAAGCGTCTTGAACCTCGGAGATTTTCACAATTTGGCGTGGAAGACTCATGATGGCTTCTGGAACTGTTGCTTCTCCCAACCCACGTATTGAACGATGGAAATGCGAAATCAAGCTGCAGACGTCCAGCACCACAAAAGATGACACCTTATGTATACACCAATCGAGATGAACCGCAGGCCGTGAACAATCCCGGCAGTCGTATTATGTTGGTGTCAGTCCTGCCATAACATGAAACTCCACCTCTAAGAAACAAAGAAACGAGCAACATTCGAGGTAATGTAAATCGGTCAGGTGCCAGGGCTAGAGACATGAAACAAAGAATTCAAAATCCGTATTCAGCCGCGTTGCTGAGTGCGGCTTGGAATCATGTTTCCAACGATCTGTTGATGCAAACAAAAGGCCCAGACAACCAGCACAAATGTCCAACAGTTTGTTCTCAACGCTAACCAACCCCCTCTACGTGGCTAATCTGTTTATACCCACGAACCAGACATCAGGCATTGGCTTTCAGAGAACGATAAGACGAGTATAAGATAACGATGAGAACATGGAAACTGTCTCATTTGAGGCATGGCAACAATACGTCATGGATAAAGAGGCACTGCTTGAAATTGTACCAATTCATGATTCTTTTTGATTCTTCTGGTAGCTATGAGGTACAAAAAAGAAGCTAGGCAATGCTGCTGCCGTGCGGTATCTATTCTAGGCATATCGCCCGAGCCATTCGACCTTCATGGGCTAATGTCCATGCCCTCCGATATCCAGTGAAATGCATCAAACATCGCAAGGTGTGAGATCCTTGGTGTAATAAACAGGTTCAGTACATAAGAAAGTAACTCCTATAAGTTTCGCCGTCGCCATCTGTGCAAAAAGGCCAGCCCGGGTTTTTCCCGTGTAGCTCGCCAAAAACCGAAACGCCTGGAAATGCTCACGCCATGGGTATAGAAAAGAGTATGTTTGAACGTGTCGTAGTAGTAGTAGTGGTAGTAGTAGTAGGTCGGATTTGCAATACGGTGAAGTCGATCGAGGTTTCCCTTAATGTGAAAATGACCCCGGCTCCTATTCAATGGGGTCTTCTTCGATTGCTTCCATTGGCGGACGAATCGACTCAGGTGCACCTGTCCCGTACCACCATTCGTCTTCCATGGCAGCACTATCTTCTCGGATTAGCTCCAACATTACTTGTGCGTTCCGCCTGATATCTTGGGGCCTCTCCACGACCTTCCTGTCCATGATGAGAGCCTCCGCTGTGGGCAGCCATATTTGTTGTAAAATGGGCACGTCTGGTGTGACGAGACGTGATTGTTCTTTGGGCAGGGGTCCCATGGGCATGCCTGCTGCCAAACTGGTGTCGAAAATCCAACTATCGGAAGGTCTCCCTATTCCAGAGACGTCGCTTAGCCGCCGACCTGTTTCGGAGCCCCGTCGACCCGGAGCGTTCGAAACTGATGGTAAGGGTGATGTAGGTTCATTATGTCCTATAGAAATATCCGTAGTACCAAATGTCGACTTTTTCCGGTGTAAGCCCATAAACCCGCGGCGTGGCTTAGTTGGGGCATCAACGCAAGGCACATGTGGCCTAGGCTCTACAAAGCTCTCTTTCGACTCTTTCATTAAGCCGTTGTACCATCTGTCAACAGCGCCTCGTCGTGCAGAATAACCTTTTATCTCCCAGAACTTTTCGACTTGTCGCAGACCACCCACGCATAGGGCAGTTGCATATATTTCGTCAGCAGGTTTGTCCTTCAAATAACCACGGAGAGTACGTTCCAGACGACCGGCATAAGACGGTGGTCGTAGGCGTCGTACGAAAGACGCAACCACCATTGGGAAAATCTGGTGAACCTGTAATAGTGTTTTGTCGTCATACATACTCATTATCTGGGCTTCGACGGGGTTAATTGTATAGGGAGCCTTGTTCAGCCCATATCCATGTTCCTGTACAAACTTGACATGAAGGTCCCGATAGGTTTCGAAGAAGTGGAAGACCGTAAACAAGAGCGGAATGAGTCTTCGACGCATTCGTTCATGTTGTTGAGCAAAATCGTTGCGTTGTGCTGGAGTATTCCTTAGAAATATCTCTTTCGTAATCCACTCGCATATCAAGAATGCTAGTTTGGCCGCAACGTGTAATCGATGCCATATCCCGCATAGATAATGGAAATTGACCTTGGAAAACTCAGGCACGGGGTACAGTCGTAAGGCGTACGCCGGGATGTGATGCTCGATGTGATAGCGAGTAATAGGTAACTCGTTGAAAGATACCATAGCATGCCATGATCGGGACGCCAGCCGCAGATTCAAGATGTCCGACAGAGGTAACGATGCAATGATTTGTATCTTGAGCTCGTTTGGTAATACCAGAAAGAGTTGGTCGAATGAGGCACTGCAATGAGTCAATAAAACCGAGACTTATGAGAGGTTATGAGCAGACGAACCTCTTCTTCACGCCAGCTTCAGTGGATATCCTCCGCTCATGGTCGACAGATGCCCGTGACGGAAGTATAGAGCGTAGGCTAAAGTTGGCCCGCTTCTTCTTCTCCAAGGCATCGTTGATAAGCTGATCTTTTGTTCTTCCGATGGGAAGGATAAACGTTGAGGACTGAGAAATGACGGAGCCATCTTGAGGAAGCGCTTGATCCTTGGTCTCAGTAAGCTGTTTTAATTTATCGAAGTATCGCTGCGAGGCGAATTCAGTAATGTGAGGGGGGTCCATCGTGACTACTCGCTGTGATGTAGACATGATGGGTTTGAAGCAGGGTGGGAGACAGGCAGGCACTGCTGGTGCTTGCTGTCTCCTACAGGGCAGGGAAAGCCGGGAGAACGGAGTGGTCTGAAGCGACAAAGGCCGGTCGCGAACTAAACATATTGATACATCAGGCCGCTAGAGTTGTGGATGCCGAGAGCAAATAATGGGATTCAACGTCGGGCGTTTCGAGTGACGGTTTTAACGAGAGTGCGTGATCCCCTCCGCGAAAGCCGACAGCCACTGCAGTAACCTGTCGAATCGATTCTCTAACCGACAATATCCTCCTGATGGCGTTTCTAACGTACAAGCAGCACCTGCGCTTGGACTTGAACGAGTTTCGGGGACACAAGAACACAATTATATGCTGTGCTCCGATACCACGATAGCGACGTCGATGGGAATAGTCCACACTGAATTGGCGGGTAAGGTCAACAGCCGCAACCCTCCTCTGCTTCGCGTTCGCAGCTCTGCAGATACGTGTTGCAGTCTTGGTCGTGAATAGGTCGTCGCGAAAGTCGGTGGTTCACGCCTGCGACAATGGGAATGAGGCAAGTGCCGGAGAAAAAGGACAACCGGTCGATCGCAATCCGATTCAGTCCAGTCCAATCCAACCCACGAAGATAGGGCGGAGCAGGGGTGGTGGTTGTAAAGGGAAGCACTCTGTGTATGGCTTTCGGTTTGTTGTAGGTATTAGATGGTTGAGAACAGGAACACCAGTCACCAAGGTATGTGAAGGGGAGAATAACGGGAGAATAGAGACTGGTTGTCTCGCAAGCCAAGGTTTCCAGGTTGGCTGAGGTGAGGGACGCCTCTGAACGCAAGAGAGCGAAGCCCAGGCTCGACTTTACTCGACTTGGCAGCAGTGGGAGCGGATCGAGACAGTGAGGAGAAAAGGAAAAGAGGCCGAGAATGGAGAAGGGGGGGGGGGGGCGTGTCTGAGCGTTATGGATTGGCCGACAGCAGTAGTTGGAAGATACGCCAGGCCCAGTGTGGGTATCCTATGTACGCTGAACGTGGTGGGCGTGGGTATTCCGCAACCTAGAGCCTGGAGCGTACCTTGTACAGCGTAGTGGACATGGGCGTGGATTTGACCGTCGGGTGGGTGTCTGGCGTGAAATATAGGAGACCGCCGCTACCAATTGGATATCCACACTATGCTCTTTTGCGTCCTCGCCCCGGGGAAGGCGTCCGCGGTTCAATCGGTTCAATCGTGGCTGCAATGACCACGATTCTGGGTCTTCTTCTTTTGGCTTCTCCCACTACTTGGTAGATTCCGTCAAGGTTCCAAAAGAATTCCGGTCCATCGAAATCGTGGAGTACAAAACAAATCTGTTGGACCCTATGGGCTGGGGGACTTGCACTGCTGCGTTTGAGTCGTGCTGATTTGGTGTTGGGTTTAACTGTATCTCAGGGACCGGACCAAGATTAAGTGACTAAGCAGTCACTGGGAGGAGGGACGCGGACATGCGCTATGTACGTACGAGGTCAAGCACATCGATTGCTCACGCGCACCTAATGCTTATGGTTGTGCTTGTGTTATTGCAAACTATGACTATTTTTGCATCTTGATTTCATGAGTTGGCAGGTGGTAGTGGAAGCATATGTATTGTTCAACGGTGTATACTGACAATATACCGATCCTGTAGTCGTATGGTGCTAATCGTGTCACGCGTTTCGGGGGCATTCTGCATACAATGCACTGTATGTGGTGAGCAACGGCTAATGGGAGGCTAATAGGAGACGACTATGGTCACATCTGGGTCTGAAGAGTGTTGGATTGTTCGAGTGCTGCTCACGGCGATTTGACCGGCGAAATAGTGGAGACCCACAGATGGCACGAGCGAGTTATGTTCCGGCATATGCTCTCACAGAGTGCAAAGTTACAACACGCCCAGGCAACTTCATTTTGCTTTCTACCAATTTATCCCTCCCTTCCGCTGCAGCACCCCTGGCCACGAGAATTCCGCATGTTCTGGAGTGCCATCGCATACGGATGTTGTGTCGACAGCACCATCGTGAAGGGCTTGGCGGACACACCGAGCACGGCAGTGCCAAGTGGTTTGGCCCAAGTGCTATTCATATTTTCTCCAGTCGTCTGCTTGCTGTATCTACATAACATCTCACGAACCGAATCGGCCCGTATAAGAGCGACCTGCTTTCTAATCACGGGCTTCGCAACGCACCCGATTGAACGTTATGCTCTCGCGCGGATCAATCGTCTCCTCCCACCTGACTTTTGGTGGGAGGTGCAGTGGGTGCCAAGCAGCGCGTCACCCATCTTACATGTGAAGTCATCCATACTCCTCAATACACACGTAGCCCGGCTTCTTCCCCAGTGTCCCCAGTGCGTTGGAATTTTGCCGGGTTTGTCGTCGCAGAGGCGCTCCATTGTATTAACTGCGACTGGTGCGACTGGTGCGCTTGGAAGCCTCGAGTGTCTTATGTATTAGTGGTATCCGCTCGACCCATTTGCTCTCCATCATTTTCGCAACACGTGCTTGCTATTACTGGATCCTCAACTATGTCCTTGCTTTTCTGCTTGCGAACCAACTGTAATGCGCCTGCGTTTCCGCCTTCCGTGTCAGTATATTCGTGATCAGCCGATTCAATGACCTCGGCTGAGGATCTGCGGTCTATGGCGAAACTATGGAGTATATTTATTAAGCTTTCACCGGTGCTCGTCAGTTTTAGACCCGGTGTCTCTTGAACGGATGGCCTAAGCTACATATCCAGCAATGACCGGAAAGGGGCCGAATGAAGTTTAAGCGTCGTCGTCACTCCCAAATGCTCGATGGTCTTGATCGGAGGTGGCTAGGCGCCGTGAATATCACCGAAAAACGACTGCTGCCGAGTCAAACAGTCCCGATTGCCATCACAGATGTGCCGTCACTCAATACACCGGCCTATGGTGGTGATGAGTTCATACATACAAACTGTCTACGCCTAAGAGATGATACGTAACCATAAAAGCGGTGCAACGTAATGCTTTCGCAGAGACTAGGTTAAGTCGTATTAACCAAGAGCAAGGCGTCACGAGGGTTCGTGAGTGCATTTACACGCAGGGTAAGGTAGGCGGACTAAGCGCCATGCTCATGCTTCGACACGGAACGTGAAGTGAGATCTGCACCGCAAGCTCGGCACTTCTCAGATAGGCTGTTGCTTCTTGCTATGCCAATCTCGGCGTTGCATCAACACTCAGAACTCACCACCGCTAGAGTCACTGCCCATTTCCGATCTATTACGACGGCAGACTGTCAAGTAGTAGACACAAGAGTTTGCGCAGTTGCATGGACCTACTTGCCATACCAGCATAGCGGGATTCACTATCTTATCATATAAAATGACATCAGTTGCCCTATGACCCGGGGGAATGTGTATGTTGTGACGGATGCCGTCCACTGGTGGGAGTTTCCAGACCTTGCAGACTTCTCTATCTATCACCTCAGCCGGCTTTTCTGTCCCTCTTCCGCGACACCGCCGGTCCATTCTTCCTCAGCATCATGCGGTGGAAGCACTCAGACCTCATACGTCTTCACCATGGGCTTTGTGGATTCTGGAGACCCTCCATATGGATCCTAAGCTGATCAGGTGCTCTGTTATAAGGCCGATATTGCCGTTGTGCTCGGTGCTATTATTGTTTCGTTATCTGCCTATTCTCCATGGGGACTCCTCTTAGCACTTGTCTGACTTGACACATCGTGATAAGAAACAAGTTACTCATCAGTAGGTGGGTTCAAAATATGAGGTAAAAAGTTAGGTGAAATCCTTATGGAAACCACACGGTCTGCAGATCTCTTGTACATGAGCGTGGCTTGTGTGAGCTATCAACCTGTTTAGTACAGCTTTTGGTGATGTTGCGCCAGGCTGAGATATCTGACAAAGACGTGTGGATCTAGCGAAGTCCAGGCTCCAAGGGGGGAGGGGGGAGGGGGGTGTCGATGCAAATTCCCCGCGAAAAAGAAACCCACTTTTCAGAGTCTTCCCCGGCCCTACTCCGGTCGCTTCCAAACTCTCATAAATCGCCATCCCGGTAGCCGACATTACCTCGCATTATTGTGCGATTGGGTTTCCTTGAACCCTGTGAATCTCGTTTTTCTTCGAAAGTTTCTAGAATAAAGAATTAGGTTTGCAGCAGGGCCGCTTGGGGAAAACTGATAGAAAACGGCTCTCTGTGCAAAACTGTGTTTCATTGAAGATGAAATTTCTCCGAAGAAACCCCATCGTCTATGTAGTCTACGGATTCTGGCCGATTGTTCGTCCAGCCAATCCTCCCTCCAGCGTCATTTGCATGGCTCGCGTAATGTGCCAGAAGGCTCGCTTCAACCAGTCGTCACCGTCGTGCCCTGCTTGAGAAATCAATAATCACCAAACCGCTCTTCTGAAAACAGTCCTTGGCAAATAATTATTATCGCCATAGTCAATGGAAAGCGCTTACAGCAATGGTTTGCGATATTCACAGCAGTAACAACCACACAGTTGGATTATTCCGCCAATCAATTATCCTACGGGTGTAAGTATTGTCACAAAATTGCCACTGCCCAGCTGGAAATTCCGAATCAATCATGGTTGCGAAACAAGCAAGGACGAAGCAGGCCCGCAGGGTGGAGAACCATGGCTATCTTCGGACCGTCTCGCCTTCCAAATGGACCCGACGATCCCAAGTGGCTCATTCAGTGGATCTATTGGAGATTCGGTACGTGGGGGATTTCTTGATCTAACGGGTCTGGGGAAAGAACCAAAATGGTGTCGCAAGCTGGCAATTTTCATGGGGGCGGGCTCTGATGAGGACCCAGAACTTTATCGATGTCATCTCAAAACTCCAATATATTTTGACGATTTTCCTGGACTGACCGCTCACCTTCTCCGCAGCCCATGAGATACAGAATCTGGCCCACTGCGAACGGACGTTGATGGAGAGAATGAAATGTCCTGACCCCCGGAAAAGCATATGTCCGCTCCAGCTATCCTAGCCAAAGTCGGAACTCTTCTTCGCGACGGGACCCTTATTCGCTCCGCTGAATAATGGGGTCTTTGTGTGGTCTGGCATCGTATCATCCGGGGATCATTGCACCCGTTCACGAGCTCCGCACTATGTAACTACACACATGGGCGCCAGCAGACGACCTTGAATCTGGAGAAAACATGACGTTGATACGTTATATTAATATTCGATGCCTGACGATGGTGGGTGACGTGCTTCCCTGGCTGCGATTGTGGATATGGAAGGAGGACGGGCCATTTGTGACTCTTATCATGACACGCTGTTCGACAAATACTTGAACCACCGAGCACGTTATAAACACCTGGTGTTCTCTGTCACAGGCATAACTGCACTTTGACAAGCTCGTGGCCTTGAAATTTTTAAATTCTTTTTAACCTCGCACGCGCTCGTCTTGGATTGGTTTGTTTATGCTCTGACAAAATCAATTGTGTAGCTTTGCTAATATGCAACTGGCACCATCAGTCACTAGCGACTTGTGTAAGTTATCTCAGAGGAGTGCTTCGCGGATCAAACACTCGCAGCTTTCCGTCACGTCTTTCTCGATGGAAACTTGGGGCCAATGGTCATGAAGCGCAATTATCAGGAAATCTTCCTCGTCTAATTGACGCCAGAAGCCGGCTTTTTTCGAGCGTAAACGGTTATTAGGCTGCCTCAACGCCGATCCGCTCCGGAAGAGCCTTCGCGAAAGGATCAATGCTGGTGCCACACATTGCGTCAAATCAATAACTGATGACCCAAAAATTGCCGCTCTGCGACCGAACTGCTCCTGACAGAGGTTATCTTGTTGCAACTCGACCGGAGAGACGGTAAGAAGCAAAGTAATACACTGGAAACAATTCTAGTGGGATGTTGCACATGCGAGTCGGTGTTGCAGGTTTTGGTTCCTCTGTAGTATTTGCCACGATGTTCCGACAGTTTGGAGACGCTGTCAGCCCCTCTCCTAGGGAGGAATAGAGCGGCGGCATAGGACAATATCGTTGCTGATGGACCCATTATTTCACATACTGATATGCGTGCAAGCTCTAAATTTAGCATCATTCCTGCCCACGTTGTTCGTCCGTCTGCTTGTTGAAGGAGTCCCTAATACTTCTCGGCTACTTGCGTGATTCAGCTCATCCCGCCGCATAGTCCGAGAAATGTAATAGCCTCGCCATCCTGACCAATGTCCTTTGTCGGTACCGTACTCTCAACGCCAAGATGTCGAGCGTTCCCCTTTCAGTCAGGGTATCATTGCAACCCTGAAATCATCCAGCGATTTTCCTGACCCTCACCCCGCTGCGAAGCCGTTCTGCTGGTCTACAGTCAGGTCACCATCAAGCGAAACTTTTGGGATCAAAGTGAAGCAAATCCTATGATTACAATTGGGCATGGCAGCTGAACTCCTCGTTCCTGCTTCGTTTTTCTTTGGTAAAAACTCACTACCCGTCTTGCCTCATTCCCATACGAGATAACGGGGTGCTGCTGGGATCAGGATAAGGTGTGGATGTTTACGGCCCGCGACCGCTACAACACCGCAACATTCAGGATCCGTCAACAACGCACATTGAACTTGCGGGCCTTTTCATTTTTACTCTAGTCATTTGTTGACAGTCGCTCCCGGTCCAGGCTATACCCATCGATAGCACGCGGTGCTGTTAATGCAGTAGCTCCCCGCGCGTTGTTCTCGGAGAGTCTCAACCGTTGATATTAGATCTCTGGCGAGGCAGCACCACATAGCGTCGCATTGCATCTAGCGCAGCACTGCGACTTGTGAGTCTAGCTCAAGTAGGACCACAGCTACCTTTGCCGTGAAACAGCTATGTCAGTTCTGATGGGCGCGCCATCAGCGCCTGGTCTCAATATCCCCAATGCGGACCAGTTAGCAGCCACCGGTTTGGTGGAGTCCCCCGGGACTCCTTCCTCTCCCAATGCATGGGCACGTTTTGAGTTCGAGATGGGACGCGGCAATGAAGGCTCGAAGGTCTTGGTGGTCGAGTGGGATCCGGCAGTGGCTGGGGCTGACGATACGGAACCACATCAGCCACGCCAGGATCTCGATACGTGGGATGTGTCTTGGGAGGGAAAGATCTTCAAGGAGACCAACGAGGTCAAGGAGGTCGAGGGTGACTCTACTCATCGTATCCTCATCCTCATAGAGGACGATGTTCATGTACCATCAGTGGTCACGATATCACATACGTTGACAGGCCGCAGATTGGTCGCAAGACCAATGCCTGCAATCTTCACGCCAGCGCTCGGGGCCGACGTTACGAAAGCCGCCGGGAAGCGAGGCGTCCTTCACACGCAGTGGTGAGTTTCCTCGCTTTTACAACCTTGCAGCGGAATGTCATTGGGGGGGAGGGGGGGACTAGACAACGGCGATATGTGCCCTCTATCTCCAAGAGCAACCACTAACACTGATTGGCAGGGCGGAAAAGAGGTTGAGACAACTCTCAACGGAATACGATCGCGAAGTGCAGGTCAACAGCGAGGGCGTTGGTGCGCAGATGGCCTGGGATGACATGACGTGGGTTGCTTACCATTTTGGCCTTCAACATCCCTATCCCGCCGGCAGGCCAGTCCAACAGGAGGCTCCGCCCACGCCTCAAAGTCCCCGGTCGCCGGTAGGAGGTAAACTCGGCGAAAAGCTGAGAGGGCTCAAGCTTGCCACAAGTCCTTCTGAGCTGGCTAACACAGGAGGTAAGCTGAGCTTGACAGGGGTGTGGACGAGGAGTGAGGATTTAACAGGAATCACAGGTCAACGACCAAACCAACATTACTTTACACCCAGTAACTCTGGGACTACGACACGCACTCGATCGGCTTTGTCTACGGCCGTGGCCGTGGGAGGTACAACATCCGGAGTGGCATCGTTAGATGCCATGATGGAGGATGACAAATCGGCACCGCCAGCCCGGCCGCCCCTGGAGAATCAGGTAACTGAAGACGAGCTATTCGCTCTGCCTATGAGCCCAAGAAGCCCAGAAATGAAGAAGAGTCCTTTCAGTATGATCAAATAGAAGGAGTTGTCTAGCTATTCACTCGACATTCAAAAGCGAAGAACTGCCGAATTCGCAACACCCTGACACACGCTTCCCTCATTGCTGCTTCCGGAAAAGCTTCCAGGAAGTGCTCTCGGCCGGGATGTCGAGATAGTAGGTAGCACGAGAAACTTGCAAAGCAAGTTCGCTACTCACAGCGAAGCGATCGATGGGATGTATAGATCACATGGGTAATAGAAGCGAGGGCTTAATATAAGGATTTGTTATCAACCCTTCAATGCATTTTTGGTTCGATCCCCAACTCTGTAAGGCCACATCTCAATCTGCGATCTAAGTGGGATCTTAGTGTCCATTCCCGAACCAGACACCCCGTCCGTCAAATTGAGCCAACAACTATCGTCACACCACACACCCCAGCCCCGGTATGCTTTCCTACTGCACGATGGAGGTCATCGGTCCGACTCCAACCTTGCGTGACTGCAGGACGATAAACTCAGTAGAAACCCGCCGCAGGGTTTCATCGGGCCTTTCTGATTCGCTAAGTTTATTCTTGTGTTGAGCCTGCCTCGTTTCCGGCGGCTTCCAGAAAACCGACGTCGTGCCAAGGGAATATAAGTGAGGCTGGTTTCACGATCCTCTTGCGGACTGGTTACACCATACGTCCGCCAGAGGCGCGCAAGCTCCAGGGCGAGCGGCATGGATGATGAGGTTCCCTCACACAGCTGGAATGAAGGCAAAGTGTGAGCTCAACTCCGCCCAGGCATGTAGAAAAACACCGCCCGTACAGCCTGCGCTACTGCCGTCACTGCGGGAACGGGCTACTTCAGCGCTGTTGATGTGACCCTCCATGCTGCCGCACAATCCAAGAGAAGCGTCTCCAGCCCTTGGACCCCAGGAGCCTTCAAGATACTCAACCCAGCGAGCTAGCCAGATATAGATATGTGAAGTAATTGTGCAGGAAACCACCGCGCAATGGCGGTGCCGTCGTCTTTCTGCTGCCAACCAGTCTTGCCAGTGGTGCTGTTACCGCCAGCCCCCGACTCGCCTCTCGTTCCACCTCTCCTTCCGCTCCTGTCTAAGGTAGAACAGCTTCCTGCTCTCTCGGTACCGTCGCACCCAGTCAGTCACCTCACGCTCCGTCGCAACATTGTCCCCGCTTCCTTCGCCCTCCAAGAAGCTCTCCTCCATAGCGTTGCATATCATCTCCTGCTCCTGCAGTCCCTGTGTAAGTCGTTGGTACAGGCTGCCCGGCGCGAACGGCGCCAGGGCCATGTCCATCTCAGACTGCTTGGCGCGCCATTGGCGCTCCAGGGCATGTGTGGAAAGAAGTTGCGCCTGCGTAGAGGAGCGCTGAACTGTGAGATGGGATTCCAGGTCCAGCAGGTGCTGTGTGAGGGCCAGGTTTTCGGCCAGGGCGGACTGCAGAGACGCGTGCGACTGGGTGATGGATGGGTGAGCGGTTACGGGTGAGTGTGTCAGGGAGTTGAGGACGGAGGGCGAGGAGAGGATTGCAGCTAGGTCTTGCTTGCTGTTCAGGTTTGAGTCAGTGGTATAGTCCCCGTCACAAGACAGTATATAATATGAAGCATTTGTTCGACGTACGACTTGTCCTCCAGGAACTTGGGGAGCCAGGTCTCGCCTGGATCTGGAATGTCTGGCGGTGCTTGCTGCTGCTGCTGCTGATGTTGCTGGCGTGTCCTCTGGGAGTTATGGCGTGAGGGGGCTGGTATCAGGCCTGATGCGTCAGTGTCTATTCCTTTGCCCTTCCAGTCTGCGCCGCTGAAGCCGCCGTCAGTCAGTGGTGAGGGGCGTGGTGACTGCGATGTCGAAGGGGTGCCCAGTCGGCTAGTTTCGTGACTGCTCGGTTTAGGCGGCGGCAATGGTGGCGGTGGTGTTGATGAGTACATTTTGGTTCAAATGCTCCTTGAGTGTGCGTCACGAAGACTTGTGTGTCGGACAGAGGCTGTGCATATAGTGTGAAGCTTTGGTGAAATATGGCAACTGATGTCGCAAATGATGTTCATGTACAGTGACGTGACTTGACGACGGCCTGCCTGTGAGCTGCCTGTGAGCAGCCCGCGAGTAATTATGTAGCCTGGGTTAGGCACTGTAGCAGTGTAGCTGTAGCCCAGCTGAGCCCAATTTCTAGTGTACTAAGGTTAGGCTAGGCTAGTCTAGCATGGGCGGCTGCTGCCGAACCTGCTTAAGGCAACTCAAGGCAACCCTAGGTTAGCTAACTCGATGATAGCTTCATGAAGGTCTTAACTTGAAGTGTCTACACTGACACAAGAACATCACACAAGAACTTCACCACGGTATTCAAATCCATAGCAAAGCATGATTCTAGTCACTGTATTGACCCCAATGGTGTTATCTTCTAGCGAAGCTGACCTTCTCATATCTCCAAGACGGCCACGCAGCCATGAAGTCCTGCATCGTCTGGTAGATAGAACAGTTCTACACTTGAGATTTGAATTCCGGATTTGGAATATGATAACCCAGCGTCTATACACCTACTGGTCAAGAGATAAAACACAAGTTCGCTGGCTTAAACATTGTGAAGTTACTGAAAGTTGACAGGTCTCTCTCTACCAGTGCAGATCTTGCTGCAAGATCTATAGGAGACCTTCAGCTTAAGAAGATGAGTGATTCTGGTTTGTTGTGTTCTCATTTATTATGCTCATAATTCACACAGATGATGCGAGGGGTTCTAATTTTGCTTCTCATGCTTGACTTCTCACTTGTTAAAACAATCAATAGTTACATAACGAACTTGCACAACCACACCAGGCTTATATCCTTTTTTCCATAGTGTTAAGCTATGCAAGTCATCAAGGCGGCCTGAATTTTTATTTTTTTATTTTTTACTACGAGGTAGCTTTGAGAAACTCATGATTTACCAAGGCATCTCGAAATATTGTCCCGACATTGGTAGGCAGCTGTCTTTACGTGAAGTGGTATGGAATATATGGAGGCTTAAAATGAAATAGGGGAGGAGCAATGAAGCCCGAACTATACCACAAAGCCTCTGAATCACCGCTTGCCATGTTTGTCAGGATGATTAATGTCGGCTTCATCGCGTGAAATCATCTGTGTATGATTCATCCGGCCGACATGTATGGTCCATAGTTTCCCGGCCTTAACCATGAATCATTAGTGCGCCTCACTGTCTCGGTAACAGCTTAAGATGAACGACTGCGATGAGAGTTGTAGCGAGACTGCTTTCGATCACCTCCGAGTTTTGATGGAACAAGAGTCACTTGATTTGGTCTTGCCCTCTTCATTTGCATTGAATGGAAGCCCAAGCAAGTCGTGGAGGTCGTTGGGGCAGCCGCACCTCTGCACAGCAAGTGCCTGAATCCCGTAAGGAGGTATATACGTCCGTCAAAGATTGTGTCTTTGAACAACGACGATAAGCATTCATCACGTAACGCTTCTCTGGTCGTTGCTGGCACGGAAACTAGACATGGGGTTTGCATACAATCCATGGTCGGGATACGCTCAGCTGCCAAACTTCGGTGCACAATACGCCCGTTTTAATATGCTTTTGTAGCCCAGAGTCTTGTAAATAATACACCCCTCCAATGTGTCAGACAAAATGACAAATGTCGTTACACACCCTTCCCTTTTCGAGGCCAAAGTTCAGACCATGTCATTCAGAACGCCGTAACCTGTTCCTTGCCGGAGCGCTAGATGTATCACGCCTATTATTTTACTCTCATGCTCATTTAGAGAGTCTGGAATCAAGTCTTTGAATGGCCGCAGTATCCCTACGGATTTTTGATGCTCCACAACTCCTTACTCCATCCCATCTCCCTAAACTTCTTGTTGCTTGCACTGCCGGTTCTGCGCTTGTCTTCACTGTTGATAGCTAGGGCTTTGGAGCAGTTAGCAAAGGCTTGAACCAGCTCGGTCATGCGATCACTCTTCATCATGACACCTGCGACATCGGAGTCCTTCTCTGCAATTAAAGCCGCTAGCTCCATGGCCTCAAGCAGGTTATCACGTGAAAGCGTTGTGCCGCCGTAGTGTAGCACGCTGACATAGCCAAGAATAACTTCAGGCAGGTACATCTCGCGGAGGAGATCAAAGTCTGCATCATCTGTTTAACAAACGTGTCAGTACATTTCATTATGAAGCAATTCCAACAACAACAAAGTCCTTGTGATATACCTTCGATGCGCTCAAGGAGCCACCCGTGCAGGACGGGAGTCATGTAAGCCTTGACATAATTGACGTGTCCACCCAGAGTGGGTAGGAATTCTGCAGTACGCTCGAATGTAGGGCTGTTGTGTCGATATGAATTAGCTGAGGAACCGTCATGAATCATGGTGTTAAACGAGGGGGGAATAGGGACAAATGAACAAAACGAAATAGGAAAAAACTTACTCAAGCTGAAGGTCGGCGGTAGCGCCAACGGTTTCCATAGAGTCTAGTGCGCGCATGAGTGATTCAAGGTCTAAGAAGTTTCGAGCAACAGTCAGCTGTCGTTGTTGGCCTTCCTCATCTACAAACTCGTTGGCTTCGATGGCTTCGCTAAACCACATCGGATTGGTATCGTCTTGGACTGGGATTCCAGCTTTAATCCTGAAGATGTCGGCACATGTCACACGACGTGACAAAGCGAGTGCAGCTTGTAGGTTGTAGGATTCTGGACATGTGTCAGCAAATTAGACCCTTGGATTTGAGGCTCGAACTTACTCAGGAAGCGCTTATAGATGGCCACACCGACGGCGAATGTCTCGTCCCAAAGCCCATCGACAAGCAACATCCATTCTAATGATTGTATAAGTTGTTCATCGGTGGATTCGAGCTCGTCGGGAACCTCGCCCAAGAAGTCTGGGACCAAGCGCCTGCCGAATCTCACCGTTGGCGGTTCGTCCGTGAACAACTTGAGATCTGCTCGAATGGGGGCCCGAGAGTCTTCGGGATTCTCTTTAAGTAGAGAATGCGGCTGGAATACCACAAACTCAGCAATGTCCATACCCAGCTTCTCCATAATCCTCAGCAGCATCTTACGGTCTTCACCGTCGACAACCTTGCTGACGTTGCGGCTGAGCGTGTAGAAAGCCCTTTCTCCCTGCAATTTCGAGCAGTAAAGCGGTAGAAGCTCGACCATGCTGTTCAAGCGTAAAGCGCTGATATAGGCAGCTAATGCATTTTCTTGGGTCCTTCTTGATTCTGCGTCGATCTCGCCATCTTGCAGGTCATCGAGGCTTGCTAGCAGCAGATATACATGAACCAGGATCCTCAGACCATTCTGATCAGCTAGTGAGAAGTATTTATCAGAGTCGATATTGCTTCGGGACTTGTTTGAGGCTGGAATAAGCCGGGAAGGTTCGTGTTGGTTAGCTTGTTTGCCGAGCACGAGGCCTTCGTTCTCTATGTATTGATCGACTGTATTTGAGATGATAGCTGACTGTAGCGATTTGATAGGGACACGGGCTTCATCCGTAGTCGTGGGACTTGTCTCCAGAGTACCCAGCCAAGCCTCACTTACAGTGCCCGCATCTCCATGAGCGTGGACGGCGTCAAAGACTTGCAATTGGCCGACTGCTTGTGTTGCGTCATGCGGTAGACGTTTCTGGACGAATGCATCAAACTGCGAACGCAAGAGGGCATTGACTTGTGTGAAGACGTGGTCATCCCAAGACTTGCAAACTGGAGAAACTGTCTTGACGTCACCGGACAGAATACCATAAACCGCGCGCTCATAATCGTCCGTTCCGCCTTGTCGTGCCAAAGCATAACATGTTCTCCGCCAGAGCAGGAGGGCTAGAGTGTTTGGGTTGGCGTCTTTGTCCTCGGAATGCTTAGACAAAGGCATTGCTGACATGCTCATAGCCCGCCAGACTTCAGTCCTCTCAACACACCAATCTCTAATCTCTGCTACGCTTCTGCCTCTTCGAAGCAATTCATAGCATCCGAGCCAGATAGCGCGCTCAAAATACTCGTCCTGTGGTTGGAGCTTTCGACCTTGTCGTGTAATGACGTCTGGATCAAGTTGTGTCACCAGAGAGTTCGCCCCCGTCGAATCCGTGACATTCTGCGAGTTTGGATCCAAAGATCCCGTCCATCCGTTGACGCTTTTCTGCATTTTGATGGCGGACCGAGTGTGAAGCCAGCCGTACGCGATGATGTCACCGCGCTCAGCGTTTTGCTGCAGGTCCCGCACCATATCATCGATATCGTCCCTCGTGTCGTCGGCTGTTATCTGAAGCACTTCTAGGATCTCCTTCCGTTCTTGTGCCGTGACGTCGGATTGCAAAAACTCTTCCCACAACTCTGCGTTGGTCGAGTATTTGGACGGCTCCTCACGCTTGGGCTGTGCGATCTTTCTCTCCGGGTAACGCAATGGCAACAGTCGCCGCAGCAAGTCCCAAGTCTGAACTTCGCGCTCCAAGGTCGCTAGTTCCTCGTCCGAAAGGTCTTGGGCGCCGCCATCAGCTTGGTCAACGTCCATAGAGTCTTGGCTGAATCTGTCTTCTGAACTCCGCTGACGCGCTCCTGATCTGCGTCTCTGTGAATACCGTGCGCCGTCGAGCTTCTTGAGTGATATCTCATAATAGGTGTTGACGAGCTTAAGGATCTCAGTGCGCTTTGCTGCCCTCGTGTCGTCGAAATTTGAGATGGTATCCAGAGCTTTCGCGAATTGCTCGGCATCGACAGCAAAGTCGGTCGCATAATCTTCTTCGCCATCATACATGTCCTGGTCAAGATTGAAGCTGCCAGTGCCCGTGACTGAGACATGCTACAAGGAAGAGTCAAGTTAGTAGGAAGCGCATACGTTGTGTCCACGACTTTCATGGACCCCGTTTACTTGCATTTGATTGTGCAGCCATTGCAAAGGATGGTGGGCGACCGGCCTCAACCACTTCCGTAAATGCCCAAGTAGTGAGTCTGGGTATCCCTCAGGGCCCGTGCCGATTTCGTTTCCTCGGGAGCTGAACCAGGAATCTGGAGCAGTGCTGGTATGGGCTGAGCAATGGGGGTGGGCCTCACGGAAGAGACCGCTTAGATGACTGCAGGCGCAATCCCCTTGAATGGTACGGTCTGTCTGGTATGGCTAGAATGTCGTATTCGAAGGAAGCCGCTCGCGTGGTAGAGTTCGGTAAGGATGATGTGAGGCTATCGCGAGGCAAGATATGCGACCTTGAAAGCTCCCCCGGGCAGCTCAAAAAGTGGCAGGCTGAACGCGACTGAATTGGGTAAAGGCACCCAGTTACTGACTTACTTAGTTGCTCTGGCGCGTCTGCTGGCCAACCCTCCACTGAGGCGCGGGTTCCACCAGTTCTCCAGGGGAGCAGAGGCTCTGAGAAGGCACTCTGAGAGGGCACCGTAGCCGCGCTAAGCGAGCTGTAGTGGAGACAGTTCCGCCGTTAAAAGCCTGGAAAAATTTCGCGGCTCTTTGAAATTTCTCTTCTTTTCTTCAAACAAAAATGTCATCGGCATTGGTATTAGAGTCTCGGGATAAACCATATTCTATCAATGTTTATCCAGGCCCTATAAGGGTCTCTTGCGTGCTCAACCATCGCCTAGAAGGTACCCCAGTCGCTCTTCATACAAGTCGCCTATTCTTTGTTCAGGTGGACACACATACGGAGAGTGATACATTCCCACAGTCGGCCCACGTCTATTCTACAGGCCACGTGCAGGTTTTCATATAGATACAGGAAGAGTAGTTTAGCTCTAGGATATTATGACGACTCTCTCTCTCCAGCATTGTGACCGAAAAGCCCCTAGCAGCGTCCCAGGCAGGCATGGCCAGCCTCACTTGCTATTTTCTTCACGCCGCTGCTTCAGCTTCAGCCGTAGCAAATCTGGCCTGGGACAACTCACACTGCTGGCATTGTCACCGTTTTCCCGGTAGAACGCATTGCAGCAGTCGTACAGGGCATCTATCAGGCCCTGACACTTGGACTCATTGTAGTTGTTCTTTGTGAGGCAATCTGGCAATGTCTCAGCTCACGACGGCTGCACGCAACGTTAAGCAGAAAGCACCTACCCTGAATAGCACACTGAAAGCATATGTTAGTAAGACAAAAGATTGTAATTACCAGGGACAACGTACGGCTCTTGGATGGCATGGTGGTTTGGATTTCAAGTCATCCTGAGTTGCCTAAGGCGATGTCAGCGAGTGTATGGAGCAACTTAGGGACAAAACAGAAATTGTTACCATGATCGGAAAGTTCCTCGTGCAATTTTGCCCAACTCGACGATAGTTGACGTGATCTTGAGCTGGTAGTTGGTGTATACCTATGTTGACAACAATAAAACAATAAGCGGGAAAAAAGGTATATCGGAATTGAAAGGATGGCTGTTCCTATACATTAATGTAACTACTTAAGTTAGTTACTTGCGTACACAGTAAGTACGGCTGGTACGTAGAGTAGGTATTTGTGCAAGATAAAATAGCCTAGAAACCTTAGTTCTTGGCCCATGGCGATTACATCATACTAGGATGGCCAGCTCTACTCTGTACAGAACATCTGAACTCACATCCTGACAACACACCCACCCAGCAGCTGGTTCCAAGCACGTGAAACAATGGATGCGTCGAGTTGACAGTAAAATTGATCAACGATAAGCATATGTATATAAAATGCAATAATGATGAGTGACCGGGCGGGACTAGGTTGCAAGAGATTTGCTGTCTTGGCTGTTCTATTGTGCATTTTGTTGCGGCTGGGCTGGGCTGGGCCGTGCGCCCAAGCACTAAAAATTCATAGCTGGTTCGTCCATCCAACTGCTGGTTAGCACTCCATCTCACCCAGCATCACCACTGCGGGCACATCAATCTTGGGGGACCTTAACGGCTAGATACCATTCTTGGTCAGTGATTACCTCCAGTTATATCGTCATCCATCGGCGTTCAATAATTGGAGAACTGGAGCTCCAATTCCATCAGTGGTAAATTGGTGCGCAAAGTGAGATGAAATACTAGTCTGGGCGGCGTGAGGCATTCAAAGAAAAGTACAGATCCGAACTTTGCAGACAAAGCTGTCAAAGGGTGTCATAACCCCCCAAGCCCTCCAGAGCCGCAGCGGACAGGGCCAGAGCTTAGTGGACGTAGGGGGCCACTGAGGGGCGAACCACCTCTATGTCCGGGTGGTAACCCCTCCATTGTTTATTTGCCTTAGCACAGGCCTTAGCACGCGCGCCTTGTTTTACTCTGCATTTCGTTGCGGTTTCGTTTTGTTTCGTTGCGCATCTAATCGCCGACCAACTTTCTTTTCTTTACAGGATCCTGTTCAGCGAGAACCTCACTCTCCAGTTTTGACACCGAGCCCCAGTCACTGTCACAACCTTTCGTCGCATCGCAAATACAAACGAATCTACCCATAGGCCACTGCACGAGTGTAGATACGATATTGCCAACGCACACACTTGGTGAGTTTCTCCTTGCATCATGATCGCAGCACTCAACCCTGCAAATGAATGTGAGACTACCTCCAGCTCTCATTTCCTGCTACCAAGCTCTCGGTGCATCGGCTGGTGCCTTTGCCCGTGCCTATCGACACGATGGGAAACCGGGAGGGTCACGCCGACATGATTCATCTGATGCGCTCCCGCCAAGAGAGACTCACCGTCTAGTCTCGGGACTCTGTCAGACTTCCCCATGTAGACCATTGGGCCCTTGCGCTATATCCAGAAGTGCATCATCGCTAACGGCATGCCGGTTACAGAAAACAACTACTCCACCAATATGTCAGGCGAGAACGAAAGCGGCAGTCCTGCTGGTGAGCGTAGCGAAGCTCCCGCTGGCGCCGAGCACCTCAACATCAAAGTTACGGATAACAATAACGAGGTCTTCTTCAAGATCAAGAGATCTACCAAGCTCGAGAAGCTCATGAACGCTTTCTGCGAGCGCCAGGGCAAGAGCATGACCTCGGTCCGATTCTTGTTCGAGGGCCAGCGTGTTCAGCCTACCGACACTCCCGACAGTGTAAGTAGCTACTAACGTGCTACCCTTTGTTTGGTAAAACTTCATGCTTGGCATACCTCAGCTAACCTTGGTCCTTGATAGCTCGAGATGGCGGATGGCGATTCCCTCGAGGTTCATCAGGAGCAGGTCGGTGGCTTCTGCCATATCTAAACTCGCCATGCGAAACACAACGGTATAGGGGAATCACAGTGCCCGGATGAGAGAACCTTCTATCCTGGGGGAGAAGCCCAACACCAAATGTGACGTGGATAGACTTCCGCAAATCGCACGGACACCAAGAGTAGATTTGATTTGGAAAGGAGTTTTCGCGGGTATGGATCACAGGATACCCGCACCGGCTGGCTGTCTGGACGTCGGAACCAGGATTGTCTTGTTCATGGAAAGTCTGCTGTTTCTCGTTGCATTACCGAAGCTATGACATACGCAATTGATGACGATGCAACTTGAGGCCAAACGGTCAATGGTTGCGATATGACACCCACCTCTCATGCATCCTGCTGCCCGCCAAGTGTCTCGGTGCCTCGAGCGGTCTATACAGTACTCTCTCGCCTATCTCCATCGAACGCCATTTACTACAGTCATTATGGTCTAGCATCATCGCGGAAACATTGGTGTTGCCCCTGTCGTGGCACAATCTCCGTTCCAAGTTCCCACCACAGGAATAAGCTACTACAAACGTTCATTTCCTTGCAACGTCTTTGCTGAATGATAGAATGAGGAAACCTAGTTGTATTCTGAGCCAGAAGACCAGCTGATTTCTTCCATGCTGATAGCGACGAGAAGCTAAAGAAGTTCCACGCTAGAAACAACATGGCCTCTTGAAAGCTTGCTCATGATAGGGACCACTGTACCAACGCTTCCCATCTGACCATACGTAAAACACTTGCCAGCTTCCTAGATGGGGGGGCGGAGTTCTTGCACCAGCTTGTTGGTGTGTGCCGTACCAGCAACATGGGCCAGCCCTGACCAGTCGAAACGACGGAATTAATATGTATGGTACACGGGAAGGTATCAGCATGCAGAGAGCTTAGAGGCGGTAGAAGTCAGAGGTTAGGATATCTGTTCCGTTTCTTATTACACTAGTAAGCTCGCAGCTCGAAATCAAAATTTCATAAACACCAACTTGTCCGAACCGTGCCATTTATGCCTACCCTAAAAACAAAAAACCTGTGCCCCGTACGCAATGCGAAATACACATGATGCAGAATCACGCTTCGGCCACGCTCCATATTCTATGCGCCCCATCCTCCCAAAGGGAGAACAATAGGCTTCAACAGCACTAATTTCCACGGCGACTGCTTCGCTCCTCAGTCAGTGCTCAAGCAGAGCCTGGCCTATATCTTTCTTCCAAATTTGTTGGTTATGTGCCGTTGGTCCTCACTTTCAACAACCTAAGCCTTCAGCTCTCTCATCCGACACCCTGTACATCTGATGCCATCCGCCACCGGGAAGATCTGACCGTCATCGAAGCCTCCACCACAGGTACCGCATCGGAAGCACTCGTCATGCCACTCGCCGCCGAGCGCCTGCACATATTGCCCGATGACTGGCAACTTGCATCTCTTGCACTTTGGTGCACGTCTTTCTGTTCTCTTGGTCTGGCACTTGACGCACCACGCGTACCCATCCTTCTCGATATGCGTCATGCCCTGCTCGAAGGGATCGCCGCACTCAGCGCAGAAGAAGTGTCCGTAATGGTAGTGATTGCCCAGCGCTACGACGTGGTCTCCGAGAATAGGCGTGGTGCAGGTCTTGCAGCGAGGCGCGAAAAGCTCATGCCAGTCCAGGTGGCAAAAGAATCGTAGACGAGCATCGCCATCCTCCGCCATTGTCTGGCCGGGCTCTTCGGGCAGTACCTCGCCAGCAGCCCGGCGGGCGATACGTTCGAGACGTGCGGATCGGAAAGAATCCGGTTCAGGTGAGATCTCAAGTGCTTCGAGAGATGTGCCACAGGTGTAGCAGGCGAAACACTGTGGATGGAAGCGCTCAGGACCACCACGGAGAGATATCACTCGGCCTTCGATAGGGAAGGAGCACTCATGACAAATGGCAGTGGCCCGGGACCCAACCGCTCCAGGAGCCGCTGACCAATGCCCAGGGGCGGCGCCATGGTTACCACGCATGAATGGGTTCTTCCGTGTAGGAGTAGGTAGAGGACGTGCCGGGGTTTTGGTGCCATTGCTGTTGCCGGCGCTATTGCCATCGTCAGGTGTCACAATCATCGGGATGTTAGAACTTTGCTTGCCACCTTCACCGTCCGGCGTGACAATGATGGGTATTGCAGGTGCGCCATCGCCAGATACCATGATTGATGGCACCGTGGGTGCATCGCCCGGTGTGACGGCGATTGTTGGAACGTTGGGTCTGGGTCTGGGTCTGCTGTCACCTGGAGCTGCTATGGAAATACTTGGGATGGGCGGTTTGCTAGATGATGGGCGCGGTGCTGGCGGTGTCGGGGCTTGAACCACCGGCGTAAATGAGATAGTAGGGACAGGCGGATGCGCAGGGTTTTGTGTGTTCGACTGGGACTGGAACTTGCTGTCCGCTCTTTCTTGCGGGTCTGGTATGACCCCGATGGAGAGACGGATGGGCTCCGGTTTGGGCTCTGGGTTTTTATCAGCAGCCGCCTCTTCCGGGGGCTTCCAACTATTATCGAAGCTTACGATGGGACGTCCTGCGTTGTCACTGACAGCCGAAGGCGTAGGTAGTTTCCTGCTGCGATCTCCAAGCTTGAAGCTTGTCGCCTGGCGAATGTCGTCACCACGGATCTCAACACCATTCTTTTTTGGAACACTGTCGTTGACGCGAGGCCCCGCCGGCTTTGGCGGATTTGATGTGTATGCAGGGTTTCTCGACTGTGTCGGCTCGTTTCGGTGGATTTCAACCCTATGGAATGGTCTGGCAGGCGTGGAAATTGGAGCAGCCTTGTCAGCAGCAGATGCAGCCGGGTCAGGGGCGAATTGGACTTTGTTGAAAGGGCCGCGTAACTTGAGCCGTACAGGCTGTGTGACTTCCTCGACCGGCTTAGCAACGATCTTCGAGTTTCTCCTTCCCATAGGTGTATCACCTTCGGGCTCTTCCCAGATCTGGTCTCCAGAAAAGGGCTTCTCGATCTCTCCACTGATATTGCGCTTCATACTGCTTCTCCGACGACCAACTGATGTCAATGCCGGGCCGACACTGCCGATTGGTTTGACCTTCGTGGACTCCGTAGAGGCTTGTAGAAGTTCGTCCAGACTCATACGCGGGCTTTCTAGTGAAACACCTCGTTCACTACCAGAGGAGCTACCTCCCGAGGCGGAACGCGTGCCGTCTCGGGCCAGTCCGGTTGCGGCAATATCGCCACCACGTCCGTTTATTGTAGCAGTACGTGCGTGAGCATAGCTGTTCTCGCGCATGTGAGGCTTGTAGCGGTACGGTGTGCCAGGCTCTGGTGGCTTGATACCATTCTGGTGTTGATAGACCAGCTCAGCTGCCTCATTCAGGGCAGCGTGGTATATACGAGTATCGTCGTCGTTGTTGTCTTCTGGCTCTGAGGGTTTCTTCTGCTCGTCCTTCAAGTCCATGTCTTCCAATGCAGTGCGCAAGGAGACGGCCTCCTCCTTCTCCATCCATCGACTTCCTCTTTCCATGTATGTAGCAGTCGGCACGACTTCGTTCGGCCTCAACGGCTTTACTGGAGAGGACTTCTCCGGGTAGTAGTCCCTGCCGGACATGGTGGTGTATCGCGAGGCCACGCTTCCGACCAAGCTAGGCCGAACGCTTGGCGGTCTGGCAACATCGGATTGCGTACGCAGGGGAGAAGGTTTGACAGCAGGCTCCGTCTTGATGGAGGAACCAGCAATGGATGGGCGAGAGGAATCTGCCCTTTCCAGCTCTCGACGAGTTATCGTTGATTCGTATGAAGGTAGCGGTCGAGCACCGCCTGGGCGACTGACGCGGTTGTCACGAAGGCTGGCGAGATAGGAAGCTGAGCATGTCATGTCAGTTGGAGGTGGTACTTAACTCAGGCAATGCGGACTGTGCCTACCGAACTGCTTGCTATCCATGTATGAGGGTGACGGCGGCGTGACCTTGCGGGTCGACGGCTGCTCCTTGGACTTGCCCCGGAGGCTGCCCATGATGTTATCTTGTGCGTTGGACCTCGTTTCGCCAGGTTTGGGGTTTATGTGGTTATAAGGGAGTTGCAGCGGTGACTGAGTTCGAGCCAAGTCTAAGTAAGATATACGGTTGGTGGAATCGAATGCACAGGCAGGAGGGAGGCAGGCAAGAATTATCATATACTGCTACAGAATATCGGGGGTATCGATGATGTTTACTGGCTACTGGAAGCTCAAGGTTGCCATGGAAAGGAGTGCCTGGCTTGGGTGTGTTGTGTATCTCTCTCCAATGAGTCAATGTGTCAGATGTTATGCATGCATGATGATGTGTTGTTTCTTATTCAGAAAAGGGTGTCCACTGTGGAATTCAGGCGGTTCTTTGCTGGCGCCCTGAGCTGAGTGAACGAGAGGGTGAATGAATGAGAGATACGGGAAAAGTCTCCCCAGCGCGCCAGGGTCCCATCGCAAGCACTAAAACTTTCTGTTTGGCTCTATGAGCCACCACGTTGCCCGGCGACCGCTAGCCTAAGGGTACCTTGTCTAGCGCCGGGCCCAGATATTTAGTGCGATCATGCCCTGCAGGCCCTGTGTAACCTCCAAGGGCCATCTGCCGTGTTGCATACCCCGATATATGAGACCTCGATCTGCATGTTCCAACTTACGGAAGCATCAAGGCTGCCAGCTCGGTAGCTACCGGATCGATATTGCTGAGATTATCTTGACAGGAGCGCTCTTGTTCCACATGTCTTTCCACAGACCGACATGATTGACGGCGAAGCTTTCACCGACAAAGCTGAATGAATGCCCACGTACTACACAACCAATAGCTTTACTTCATCAAAACAATACGCCTACCTACCAACCACAATGAGCACCGTCCTATATTCAAGTAGCAGGTTCATGCTTCTAGATCCCTATAACCTTCACTAACCATACTCTCCTCCTCCACCTACTAGTACCGTCCTTAGAGTATTTCCGGACTTAATCGGGGGTTCCTCCCTCGATTCCCCTTCGGAGTCTATCTAGTCCGCATCAGACAAATGAAACATGTCCTTAGCAACGAGTCGGGGGAGGGGGGGTTAGTAAGTATAGGCCAATATAAGAGGCTGGTATCTATAAACCTAGATACTTAGAGCACTTTATGAAAAACGACATCCTCCGTTTGTGCCCGTGGTTTCGATATAGTGGGACGCTTTGGTGTGTGTGTCAGGGGTCGTTGGTCAAGTCAAATGTTTGCGACGACGTTGCCTTATGTAAGTACCATAATATGTGCTGAACTTTGCAGGAAGCAGTTTCACCTAGAGGTGATAATTATATTAGAGCAGAGTATAACAAGCTTATTGCTATTACAATTTATCTGTTGTGTAAGATGTTTCAAGTGAACCTATTGACATTTGATAATATTTCAACACAGGAGCACAATCTAAGTTCTGTATCGTTCAAGTCGAAGTCCGCACAACTTAGTAGCAGAACCACAGATCTTCAGTAGCACCCCACGCCAGCTATGTACTATTTGTTGGTAGAACATCACAGTGTCAACTGGCAGTGTTCCTCTAGCAAAGAAAATAAAAAAAAATAAACCCCATACGTGAATTGCTCCCAACAACAGCATCACTAGACACGAGAGGGCTCCGTCAAGATTCTTGACCCAACTACAGCTAACATCTTCCATGGCGTTTGTGACAGCTCAACCAGGGGCGATCTACGAGATCTATTGGCATCCCATTTCCGGCGAGTAAGAGACTTGCACGAACACTCGAAAGCCAGGAACGGGACATCTTCCGAAACTGATCTATCGTTGAAGCCAAGAAGCAGTTGGGCACCTTTATCGAGTGCTTGCAGACAATGCGGAATTCTTATTAGGAAAGACGGCAGCCGCGGTCAAAATTATCAATGAAACTACATCCTGCCGTATCGATCGTAACTATTCACATAGGTCCTCTAAGGATAAGAAATTATTCTTCCGAACAAAGCAAAACACCTATTTCTGATTGGTGTGTATACCGCAATGCACAAACGAAACTCACAATACCGTTTGGCCCAAAACGCATATCCAACCCAGTCATTTCTGTTGCAACTTGGATGACCGTCTCATGTTGCTGGTGCCCAAAGCCATGGCCTCCTCCGGTACCGGATTATTATAACTCGGTAACATAGGCCATGTTAGTTTTGACAAATCGACTATGTCGATTAATGGGGACGCATGTAGACCTAGATCCAGCTTCTCGTCCTCGTAAATTCCCGTATTGCCCGTCATCATCCCCTCTGTCCCTCTGAGTATGAACTAGGCCAAGTCCAGGGCAATATGACTTACTTGGGCCTGGATCAGTGACTCCCAATAGCACCTTGGACAGGTTCTGGGGGATCTGCCCCGTTAAAACCAAGATATATGCCCAAATTCTCGCTTGCTGACTGTTCATTTACTAGCCGAAGTAAGAAACGGGTGCCAAGTCTCGACCGTCCTCCGTATGAGACCGTTGTATGTTGCCCCTGCGAAGGAGACTTTATTCGTCTACAGTAAGCCTTGAGACGTCGTCGTAGCAAAGATCGGCGACGATATAGCCCTTACCAGATCCGAATTGTCGTCATAATTTATCCTACTATGTGTCAACTGGCCCCCTTGCTTTGACCAGGGTTATCACCCGAGGTGATTTTATATACTGCGGCGCTGGCAAACTCAGGACTTACGGTAGCAGTCCCCAGTACAAGAAGAGTTGATTGCTGTATTAAAGCTTAACAAGGAAAGACCCCTTTGGACTTCCATCCTCGTCAGCGTGTGGGCGCTGCCAGTTGAGCTGAGCTTCATATAACAACCATGATCGCGAGTTGGATTACTGCACCATGGTCCCAGAAAGCCAGGTTCAGTCGTAACTCTTGAGACCAATGATAAGGGTGGTTATGATCTCAGCAATTTTGTGTTAACTAATCGTGTAAATTGCTTCGCTTGGCAATCAGTCCTACATAATCTACTATTCTAGTCGCTCAAGCTACTAAGGTTAGCATGGCAAAGGTACGCGGATATAGCGCATTTTATTCTGCATGACCTCACTGTTGAAGTGTTTTCCTCGGCACGTTATGGCTGTCATATGTCTAGTGCAGAGCTTAAAAGGACTGTCGATGTGATGCCGTCACCTAAAAGCTGGATGCTTGCCGGGCTGCCCGCACCCCGGATCACTACATACTGTGTACAGAGATATCTACGTGACGCGAGCCAATACGATATTGATTGATACTAGTCTAGTGAACAGTTTCAAAGCTTACATATTTATAGGAGGAGTGCGCGTCACAACCACGCCGGTGATTGAACTGCGTAAATAATTCTACCCAACTCAGGTCACACAAGGACGGGAAATGTGTAAGTGACAGGATTCAGGACCTTTCAGTCCTGTTCCGTTGCACGTTACACGACCCTAGAAGCACATTCTTGAAGTTGCGTCCCGTGTAAGGGAGAGATGGGAGGGAAGACAAGCTTCTTGGCATCTCGTGTAACATATTGGTAATAATCCGTACACTTAGACCAGATAGACTTGTCACTTCTTTGATACGCTGTGCAGAGACGTGTAGTAAGAAATCGTCGCAGCCACAAAATGTGATTGAAAGATATGACGGATAAAGGTGTAGTCTGGGGACGCCAGTTATTACCTGATTCGTTTACGTTACGGAATGTGAAGGATCCCGACTCCTTACAGCGTCTGTCGGTATATAGAAATGACTATACGCTGATGGCGCTATTAGCAAAGCTTGTTCGGTCCAGAATCGGAGTCATCACGGTACAGCCGAGTGGATAGACCATGTGCTTGTATGCAATGTTTGTGGTTGAGCATAGAATCGAGTTGTTAGAGTTGATGTCTTCGTTTTGTTCATGCATTGCGAACCTCGAAGATGCACATGGACAACCGGCACACTTCCAAATCACCGAGCAGCCGAGTCAATCATTCACGAGACGAGTTTCGCGGGGAACATTACGCCTTTCCATAGCATGGATAAGTTTTTCGCAAGGAGCCTAACGCTTCTGAATCTGGGGCGAATACTCGGTAGGAAATGCTGGGCATTCGGAAGCCGAACCGGAGACAGAGCCCCCTTACATCTCGTCATTACGTTATTTCCGGGGAATTGGGTTGGTGTCGGATACAAACCAATTTTTGATCTTATAATAATAAAAATTCGGCGTTTTCTTACTCGCATCCCTTGGTCCCGATCCTGAATGTAAAGACTGGTGATCCTCGTCTTAATGTTTTTGCCGTTCATAAGTAACAGCCAAAGATGAGCGATACAGAGAAGTCGGGCGATACGCCTGTCAGCGAGGCGAATGCTCCCGCCTCGGCCCTGCAGGAACAACCTCGGGAAAAGGAATTCAGGGAAGGCGGATATGGCTGGTCGGTCACCCCCTAACTGCATCGAGTTCTTGATCGCTCATCCGATTTTGCCCTGCAGAATTTCCAAATTACAGAAGTGTATATTGACATATTTGGTGGGATTTACAGGGTAGTAGTGACTGTTGCTGCGTTGCTAAATGGGCATACGTGGGGGCTGAACTCGGTGCGTCAACTTATTTATACCCGAGACATAGTCTGAGACCAACAAGCTGACAATCTCAAAGTCCTATGCTGTATTTTTAGCATACTATCTCAGAACCGGAACCATCGAGGGCGCATCTCCATTGGGTTTCGCATTTGTGGGAGGATTATCTGTTGGTATTGGTGAGTTACACGCGATACCGTCACAGAATTCAGAGCTGTAGGTTAATGTTGAAAAGCACTACTCATCTCGCCATTTGCCACAAGTCTTGCTGGGCACAAGTACTTCGGAACAAGAAGAACAATATGGTTGGGTACAGTATTTGAGACGTACGAGCACATCGAAAGTACATGTAGACGTCCGCGGCTAATGGCGTTGCAGCATCTCCTTTGTCGGAGCATCATTCACTAGCAAGCTATGGCATCTTATCCTTAGTCAAGGAATTTGTTTCGGCGTCGGGTCAGTGTTCCTTAACATCTACACTGCAACGCTTCGATTGACTGACGTTTTCTATTAGAATGGGTCTCATCTTCGTAGCGTCAGTCCCAGTGCCCTCCCAATGGTTCATAAAAAAGCGCTCCCTCGCCAACGGCTGCGCGGCCGCCGGTTCTGGTTTTGGCGGCCTTGCCTATTCTCTCGGAACAAACGCCATGATCTCCTCTGTTGGCCTGGAGTGGACATTTCGCGTTCTAGCCATCATCTGCTTCGTGGTGAACTGCACATGCGGCGCACTGATCAGAGACCGTAACCATGCAATTGGATCAATCCATACTGCGTTGAATTGGGCGCTTCTCAAGCGTCCCTCTTACCTAATGTATCTGGGCTGGATGTCCTTTTCTATGATTCCTTACACGGCGCTGATATTTAGTATCGTCGACTACAGCCAGTCCGTCGGGCTTCCGGCCGCACAGGCATCGCTGGTCGGTGCCCTGCTGAACCTATCGCAGGGTCTAGGCCGCCCAATCATCGGCGTCTCCAGCGACAAGATAGGCCGGCTCAACGTCGCTAGCTTCTGCACCGCGTTCGTGTGTATCATGACGCTGACACTGTGGATATTTTCCTTTACGCTCGCGACCTGTATCCTCTTCGCGCTGTTGGCTGGATGGGCTTCGGGCGTCATCTGGGCCACTGCAGCGCCGGTTTGTGCTGAGGTTGTTGGCATCCAGATTCTCCCATCGGCTCTGTCCTTGACGTGGGTGATGATGGTTTTGCCTTCCACATTTGCAGAGGTTATCGTACTCGAAATCAGAAAGAGAAAGTATCGTTATGCGCAGTTATTTATTGGGCTTATGTATCTCGCCGCATTCTGCTTCATATGGGGACTGAGAACATGGAAGGTAAGCGAGATGGAGAATGCACATCTCGACAAGGAGCAGAGGGAACGGGCAATCCAGGACGGCGGGGTTGTGCGGGATGAGGAGGCGATGAGACGGCAGGATAGCATAGTGCAGAGGGCATCGATTGCATCGAGGGCGAAGGAGACTGTATCAATGACCAAATATCTTTGGGCTTGGCAGAAAGTGTAGAACAATAGTGTTGAACTAACGGTTGCTGCAATGCAATGGGATTCGCGTCGTTTGAATAAGCGATGATTTGCTGCGACATTTCGATTCTGAGCTGGTATTCGCTCTGCCGTCTCGACATTTACCTTTTGGAAGTATCTCATGGTGCAATTTTTGCTTCAAATTCTCTGCTTTCGACCAACCTTCTTCCTTCAAGTTTTTGTTTCTAAACGCTAATTAGGTTTTGGTAAATCCGAGCAATTTTCCCCCCGTTATGTACTGTCATCTAACTATAGGTCATTTCTTCATTTATCCGCGCCTTTTCAGACATAACCAGTGGGGCTTCCCGATCGTAGAATCTTCTTAAATACTTGTAGTGTCCTTCTGGCTCCTACGATCTGCACGCCCACTTCCACTGCCACTACCAGTGCCTAACCGTAACTAGGTGCTCTCCCATTCCCGTCAATAGCCCCCATGTCTCCTTCCGCTTCAAGTCTTCGTGCAGTGCAACCCTCTCCAGTGCCGTATGTCCGTTGAAATACTTCCAAAAAACCGGCCAACTGCTCCTGACTCTGTTATCCTTGAGCCGCCGCCCGATGGCACTGAGGTACATACTCTCCTTTCCGGTAGCCTTCTTAGCGTCGAGGATGACGTATGGGGACAAGTGCGACAGGTACGCGGCGGTGTTGGTGGATGGGTGATCTGTGACTTTTGGCGGCGGACGTCGGGCATGTAGTGCAGCACGTTCGGCACGGTTGCGGGTACGACGGTCAGCAAGTCGGGTAAGACGCGCTGCTTCAGCGATGGTTTCGTTCGGATTGATGGTAGCCTCCGAGCTGTCGAGTGGCGGAAGGGAGGATATGGATCTCTCCAGATCCGTCGTGAGTGCGACGGAGGAGGAGGAAGGGCTGAGAAGCACACTCTCGTTGTCCATCTCAGACATGCCCGGTGAAGCGGGCCGCGACCTGGATGGGTCTTGTGGTGTAGATAGAGTACTTCTTCTCTCGATCAGATCGGTAAAAGCTCCGGCGAGATGGTCCTCGGTTCGAGGAGTATCCGGCGACGACGAGTCATCAGAGGCGCTGTTAGCAATTGCAATGTCTGCATTTTTGATCTCATCCGCTTCGATCTGATACTCAACCTCGTATTGTATTTCAGGCCAGACTACTACATAAGCAAAAGTGCATAACTGCGTAACCCACCCACCACGCATCAGCCATGCCAGCATTTCTAAATATTGCAGGCGATGGTTCTTTGATGGCGCGAAGCTCTTGTAAGGTCTGGGCGCCATGCTCAGCTCTGCCAGAAAATTGGGCAATGGCGGCGCAAGCGGGAAAGCCTTCATCCATGCTTGGCTAGCTCTAGGCAATGAAGAGGTCTTGCTGTTTGGTGACATGATGTATATATCCCTGACATGAAGGGGCGGAATAGCGATAGCACGACGCCAGAATATAAAGTGCTGCGCGTATTTTCGAACTTGAGCTGGCGTAAGTGAGGGTCCTTGGCCAATTTGGTGGAAGGACGTGGTTGGCTTGCTGAGACGCACAAATTCGATCATAGCGTTCGTTGCTTCGTCTTGATCTGCCTGTAGCTCTGCAGCAATCTTCTTTTCATCTTGCAACAATAGTAATGCAAATGTTTTATCCAAGAACGTCGGATCATCAACCGCAGCCACATCCAGATCTGCGAAACTGTTTGCCGTGGTAAGCCACAGGCCTCTGTGCCCTTCAGCTTCAGCATCATCGATATTGGGCAAGTCCGGTAGGTGAAATGGAACTGGAATCTGAACAGAATGCGTAACAGTGCCTTGTGGTGTTTCGAGCTGCAATGCCGCGATCTTGTTTGCGCACACCGCCTCGTATACATCTTGCATTGAGGCAGCTAGCGAAGAGGTCTCGAGGATCTGGCGCCACAGAACACTCATTCTAGTCTTATCTTCGCGACCCTTGTCCTTGAGCTGGAGAATCTTCTTGGATTCTTTCCAGACAAAATCGCTGCGTTGCTGAGCATATTTATAGGCCTTGTTGATTTTGCGGATGATGTGGAAATAAAGGGTATCTACCAGCACCTTGGCCTCATGCTTCTTGGGATCCAGCAAAAAGACCAGGTTGAACATAGTCATACTGCTTCTCTTTTCTTCGCTCTTCTCGCCGGTCACTCCAGTCTCCTCATCTTGTGTAGCACCATCCTCTGCCATATCATGTGTTTCGATTTGGGGAATATTCGCAGCTAGGAGAGGTGAGTTATCGCCAATTTTCTCCGTATCATCACCAGGCCCCGCGCTCGCCTTGGCACTCAGGCTGGGTCGCGACTTTGCTTGACGCTTCTTCTTCTTCCATACACCATTCTCGGGGACGTACATTGGGTAGCTGGCCGCGCACAGCTGATCTAGGCTCAACGAGAATAGCTTCTTCTGGTATATACGTGCGGGAGTCAGGATGCTTTCCAGATCCCTGGTGGGGAATCCGCCAACGTGCTCCCATGGTACGATCTGCGAGCCGCTGTCTGTCTCGAGATGGTCATCATGGTTCCAATTGGCCAGGTCTATACCCTTTGGCAGCGAACCGGAAGCAATGGCGGAGTTAGCAACTCGATCGAAGAACGCATCTTCATCGTCATCCGCTGGGTCATCTCCACCTTCGCTGGCTCTCGCGCTGCGTGTTCGAGCGTCAATAGCAGGAATTTGCGGCGGGTAATGGAAGACAAAGCGTGGACCATCACGCGACCTGTTGATCACAAGGGCCACACCGAGGACGTTGGACGAATTGGGCAGAATTGGCGCCGCCATCTTCGACCCGCCAATTGTTGTTTCGTGGTGTCGTCTTCGATAGCTGCAGGTTCAAGCAATTCCAGCTCCTTTCACTCGGCTCAATAACCCTAGTAATCTAGGTGGCAGGGCAGCATTGTGAACTTGACGTTGATTACAACCCGGCCGATCACAACTGCACTTGGTTATTAATTAGTGTACACATGTCGTGTAGATGTTGATTGAGCAGGCCTTACACATTGCATACTGCTACGCGCGTACTCTGATGTTCTACGGTTGGGTTCCAAGGATTCACTGTTGAAATAAAAGCTGGCCGATGGTTATGAACGAATGGATTCCAGTGTTGCAGATGCTTTGGAACTTCCATTACAAGTGTGCAGGCGGCAGGTCGCGCACGGTCCATCTTTTACTACTCCAATCCAAGCACTTTTCTGTTTTCGCAACTCTCCGGAATCATGCTGTTCCAATTCTATGAGGTATGGCAATCAATAGAGAGAGCTGTTATTTCTCACTTATTGTATGTAAACTAGATACATGCGATTATATAATGCCATGTCCGTAGACAAGGCTACAGTATGCTTCAGAACTGCTTCCCCAAGCCAAGAAGGAAAACAGAAAATGATAGCGACGCTTAGAACAACCAGGAAATCAGATGCCCTTGTCAAACTCCATTCCTATGGCTTCTCAGGTATCATATAAAATCAAAACCCCATCCCGATGAGTGGTTAAAAAGAAAAGAAAGGAAAAGAACAGAAAAAGTTTGGTGGGGGAAATACCCCCCGTAATGCAATCAGGATAGCAGGTGACTGACTAGTCGTGGAGACTATCCATCCGGCCACTCGCGATAACGCCCACCATCCCCTAACGACCCTCCGATGCAACCTGGATGCAACAGATCTTCCATAAAATGCAACGGGTATGTGTTGAAAATCAAGATCCACAATGCAAGTTCCTGAAGACTGCAAATAAGCTTGGGATTAAGTAACCAGCAAAAGGGAAAGAAAGAGAAAGAACCCTGAGCCAACGAGCCTGCGCTGGCTCACATGGCCATCTCGAGTTGAAACGCATCTTCTTCCTTTAGTCGTTCATGTCCGGGCCAATAGTGATCCGTGTCGATAAGTTCGACGTCAATATCGGCATCAAGATCAGCAACAAGATCCGCATCAAGATCACCAGGGCTGGGATCGTCTGGGCTGATGGGTATGGCTCCCATTGTGCTAGAACCGTTGATAGCTTCACCCTTGTAGTCTGTGTGTTCCGGGACTCTAAGCCCTGATCCATCGGTGCGCGTGTAAGAAAGGGGTTCGGTCCTGGTTTTGGATGACATAGCATTCATGACCTCGGTCAACTCGGTTTGCATGCGCTTCTCGTCATCAGTGAGCTCAAATGGTGTGTGGCCACCTAGTTCACGGATGCTGTTGACCAGTTCTTCTTGCTGCTGAATCTTGAGATGCAGCATCCACATCAAGTCTCTAGTCCAGCCCACAGCACCTTGCAGGATGTCGCCTTTGTTTGGACCTTTGTCCTTGTCATCAATAGGAAGGCCAGTAGTGATGTTGCCAGCACCTGTAGCACGCTTTGCGCCGGGTCCTGCAAGGCCGGATGTGGCTGGGTCAGGCATGGAAATGCCAGTCAGTATTGGAGAGAGCGGTGTGCCATTACTGATGAATTTCTTGATCTTTTCATCATCCAACCGGTGAGCCGGAACGAGTGTAGCAAGGTCCTGAATCCTTTCGTTGATATTGTCTCTCCTGCGACGTTCAACGGCGTTGTGTGACTCACGCCTACGCCTTCTCTTGTCATCTTGCGACTTGACAGTAGATGCTGGACCGCCCATTCTCGCCGGAAGAGACTGACCAGCATTCTGCATCATCCCAGTAAGATGTGGGTGGGCATAGCCATTTTGCATAGGCGAAGAAAGACCAGAGCCTGGGTAGGAGGACAAGCTCTTTGGCGTACCGCTACCTGTAGGTATCCCCCACTGATTAGAGGGAGATTTTTCGTGATGACCACCAGATGCTCTAATAGGTTGTGCACCGAAGCCTGGCGATTCGTGAGAGCCGACGGTCAAGTTCGCCATGGCTGTTGCGGTGCCGGGTGTTAAGGGACTCCTCGTATTGGAGGCCTTGCGCTGCATGGCCTGGGCCTGGGCGGATGAAAGTCTAGCGCGAGGCTGTTTGAGGAAATCGGCGTCGGCCTCATTGCCAGTGTAAGACAAGGGCGATTGTAACGAGGCGCCGAATGATGGTCTTGGGACCTGGTGGAACTGAGTTTGACCGCCATAGCTGTGGACGAATGGGCTCTGAATCGGTTCACCATCTGGAGTGTTTGAATATCCGTTCATCTGAGAAGGATAGACGTCTTGCGAAAAGCCCATGTTCATGCCGTTGAAATCCTGACCCTGCATGTTTGATGGGGCCTGTTCTGTCGGACTGCCTAACGTATCGAGAAGCTCTTCGTCGCCAAAGAGGGCAGACCCGCTAGAGAAGCCATTCGATCCTCCATTAAAGTTGTTGGAAAATGCGGAGCCGTGGTTCTGTAAATCATTGGGATTGATGTTTGGGCTACCCCCAAATTGGTTATAGTTCGAGTACGACATGGCTGGCCACTAGGTGATTTGAAGGGATTGAGCGAGGCCGTGAAGATTGGTTGCGTGCGAAATTTACGCCGATGTGAATTCTACGCATGGCTGTCAGCAAGATATCGCGCTGGTAGTGGGATTCGAATCGGTCGCGAATGTGGGAGGGCGCCTTGCCCCGCACCTCAAGAACAAGCAGCCAGTGAACCCACGATGTGGTCTAACATCTGCCGCGCTCTCTAACCACAATACGCTATGTAGGAGATCACAGAGCTACTCACCTTTTAGTTTTGATATCGAAGTTGGGTGAACGTGGCGGCTCAAGACTGCTGCAGATCCATGCAAACGTAGATCGCTGGGTATATTGAAAGAAATCTCGAAAGTACTGGATCGAGATTCAATCTGGCAGGTGTTATATAGTACCGAATGGGCCGAGGGTGACGTATTGTTAGGGGACAGTATATTCTCGAGTACAAAGACGAGCAGTAGGATGTCGGACTGGTGACCAAAAATCGTCGCAGGGGGTAGACGACTTTTTCCCGCTTCCTTTCTGGCTTTGTTTTGTTCCTCGAAGCAGGCCGATAGGTCCGACTCGATCAGGTAAAGTTGACAAGATATTTCGTACTGTCAAATGGTGACGGGCTGTATGCGCATCTAGCCTTCAAACGAGTACGTACTTGTTAGTGCAAGTCTGGGTCGTTGCGCCTCAGGAGCGGAAAAGCAGGAGACAGCATAAACGGACGACCGGAGAATATCTGTCTAATTTATGGGATATGCGCTCGCAGGCAATGAAATCGATAAATGTATGGTGTAAGGAACCCGGGGCGGTCTGGGTTGGGGTCTGATTTGTGCTTATGCTGAGGGCGCTGGGGCTTGGATAATTGCTCGATTCGTCTGGGTTGCTGTTCCTTCTGAGGTCAGACAGACAAGGCGGAACACCGGCGGGCGCTATGGTTCGGCTAGGAGGTAATAAAAGCCGATGGTTGCACGGGTTATTGATGTGTCGATTTCTCCCCCGAAGGGTGACTGCTCTCAAGGTCAGATTGAGTAAATGAACATGGACTCGGCTGTGACCAAGTGCGTAAAGACCCGGATTATGTGTGCAAAGATGTGTGTGCGTGTGTGTGTGTGTGTCTTATATTGTCCACGGACAATTCAGCGACGTGATACCGTATGATGGACAGTACTGCAGCAATGCGATGGGATGGGATGCGATGGGATGGGGGTGGAGGAAAGCGATGGATGGGGAGATGGATACGGAGAAGCAACCGTGGAGAAAAGTTGGAGACAGACCGGGTCAATGCTCTCTCTGCTAACCTAGGGGGTGGTGGGATAAAAGCAGGTAGGAGGTAGGAGGTGGGAGGTAGGTGGCAGGTGGCTAGCTGGAAGCTCTCCGAGGCAAGTTTGGAAGAGAAAGTGTGTATGTAGCGCTGGTGGGCTGTGGGCTGTGGGCTTTGGGCTTGTGGGCTGTGGGATGCCCGGGAAGTTAATGGGAAAAGCGCTGACTTACTTTACGGTGAAGCCCAGTTAGTTTTGGGTGACTTGCTAGAATCGAATCGAGCCGAATCAAGAACCGAACCAAACCAAATGAAATCGGATGGGGATCTCCAGAACAAGCCTTTGGGATCCAACTCCTTTATATTAAACTTGAGGTTCCTTCCAAGTTTCCCGCTTGTTCACAGTGAGGCTCTCGAACGAGAAGCAAGCCGACTTGTGTTTAGTTCGGCTGACAGGAGCTGAGGGCTTATCGGCTTGTTAGCACCGGATGGCTGCCTTCCAATGACTCTTACTGGTCACCGAGTTGAGATGGGCCACCTTGTTACTTACATGTTACAAGTAACCTTCTCGGGGGAAGCTGACCAAGAAATGGAGAGGCTTGGGTGCGTTCTGGATGAAAACGAAGGCCACCGGGATTTCGCAGCTGTGAGCCACCGGCTATGTTAAGTATGTGTATGAGTATGAGTTTGAGTATGAGTATATGTAGGGACTACGCCGGTACGTATCGTCGAGTAGCGCTTCAATGATTCGAAAGTCGCGGTGAGAGACCTGAGTCCAAGGCGGTCGAGGTGCTTCATTCGTCTGCCTCACGGGAAAACAAGACAAAGTATGCTGTGTTTGGCGGCGGGCGACCCTTGGAACCGTCGCTTTTAGGGAACCCGAAGCTTAGATCTCGCGCTGTGATTGGCTTACACGCAGCTGCACCTTGGGTGAGATCAGGCAAGGGTGCGCATGTACTCCAGTACGTACCTCCCAAAGATGGGTCGGGATGGAGGGGCAGAAGCGGGCAGAGAGACGCCCAACGAGAGCCGATCGCTGCCCACTCTAGGCCACTGAAGGCTTCAAGTTTTACGAGACCACGGAAAGTTAAGGTCTCTTGAACCCTAATATTGCAGGGAAACTCGGTTTCCGATTCTGAAGTTTGTATTGTGTGTTGCACACTTCGTGGACTTGGTAAGGTAACAGTGTAGCTTGAATACTCGACTTAGCACCCTGATGATCGACTAGGTTAGGTTAGGTATTCTTGGGGGAAGCTCGTGTGGGGGTATGGGTACCAGTTGTCGATGATCTGTCGGCTTTGGTGCGATGTATATCAAGCTCCGCGTTGTAAGTAGACTGAAATACCTTCAACTGAGCGGGGATTCGATGCAGCTCGCTTGGTGTTATATGTCGCCCAGAGGCGATGTCGGGCCGCTTGGTCTTACACACTCGGCCGCTGCAATCGCCGCCGACTTTGTCTGATATCTTGCCGGCACTGGCACCTCCGCGCTTGATCAAATCGTGACGGTGGCGTTCCAGTAAAGTTGACGTTGAGCCTTTGATATGATTAAGTTCAGCCGTGTTGCACGTTTGTCAAAGCCCTGCTCGGAAAATTGATCGAGACGTTTTCGATTACGTCAGGTCTTAAAGAGGAAGTCTGGGATATCCCAACAGCAGCAGGCTCTTTGGTCCATGTAATCGCAAATCCGTATGACAGTTGTTGAGGCGGAAATCGCTTTCCGGTGTAACCACTAGACACCTGCTTTGCACGTCAAGTATGAGAAGTATAGGCGACTGAACCCTGCGGGAACATATGCAAGATGATGTCGATTATATCCGATGTGTTTCGGGAAGATATTAGTGGTTCAACTAATGATACGAAAATGCGCTTGGAAAGCCGTGTCTAAGGTTGAAATGGCGAAGAGGATTGCACAAGCTGTTCAAGATTCAAAACTCTGTTCATTTGGCAGGTCTCACGCAGGCGGCGGCATATATATCAGCCTTTTATACATATTTGCCTGTAAGACCAAGATTACAGTTATGGCACCCTCAGAACTGGACGTAATGTTGGACCTTGTCAAGTACAGCCCTTCGAGTTCTTAGTGCGTCTTATGACTGTTGTCTAAGCAGCGAAAATCCACTTTTGGCATGACCTGGGCTTTGATGGTGTGGTGGTGAGGGTTGATTCCTCTCACCGGACCATTTTCGTGTTTACCCTGTGTTTTGGTATACAAACCTTGTCCAGGACTGTGCAACACAGGACATTCTCGGATGGTGAGGAATCAAGGGAGTGCAATACGCCAAAACGCGTGACGCGGTGTATGTCATCCACCCTACCAAGGTGAGACAACTGCCACACCTCTGCCTCCTCGGGCTAGTGTATCCATGTTTTATGAGGAAGTGCATGATGGCGAGATGGCATTCTCACGGGACAAGCTTGAAAACGTCTAGGTATCCACCGAGACTGTTGCCCTCTGACTCACACCATGGGTAATTATCTGAACAAACTTATCTACTGGGAGATCCATAGTAGCGAAGGTGTTGGTGGATCAACATCACGACTCTTATCAGCCACTGTGCGGCTTCACGACAGTATAGGGTTGAGCCTAGTCTTATATTCAGTGCTGACCACAGATTCTTACCACAGCCCCGGGTGCTTTATTGACACGAGAATGCAGAATAGGGTAATTAAACCTAGTTGGCACCCGGAAAGGTAGTTTCGCCAAGGATTACTTGCACGATTCCTACATTAAAACTTGATCTTAGCGAACGCATAGTTCCAAAATTGTTCTTATCATTGTTCCTTTCCGTTGGGAGCGCGTAAGATCTCGAGTGCATGGTCTGCTTTCTTTGCGGCAATCGCGCCGAACGCAGAAACGGAATCCGTCGTGATTCCAATATAAAAACATATAGAACGGAACGATGAGATAAGCATATCTGGCGGGAAGATCGATAGACGAGAACAGAATAGCCACTAGGCTTTTCTGGATGCGTTTCCCCAGATCGACAGTACGTCGGAGGAAAGCTTTCGTGCCATGATTGATGAGATGAGTGCCGAATGCTGGTGACGATCAGCAAGGCCACCTGCATGGCATACGCCAGGGTATGCCGGCCAATCAGGGCAGCAACTTTCGGTCTCCAACCGTTCATGCTTGAGCACGCAAGGTTCGATAGTGCCCGCTCGGTACGGTGCGGATCAAGAGCTCCATAAGTTGGTAGTCAGGAAAGAAAGCTTCATGATAGTATATCGTGCATGATGCCTGATAAGTGCTAATGGTGTGGTGTTCGTCTTCAAGAGCGGCAAGTGCCCATTGACTTGGACAACGAGCTGACCGCCGAGATGACTGCGCAAAACATACCGGTAAGTTAGTGTGCTTGAGCTTCGCGCCATACCAACTTTAGTGTGAGTGGAGTGCATTCTAGGTTAGTCTGAATACGAGCACTCGATGAATGTCGTCAAGCAGAGGGAAATGTCGGAAGAATGCCCGTCTGTTCACATGTTCCATGTTATCGCCAATGTTTAGAGGTTGCGTACACACTTCGAATAGGCTGCGAGATATCCGTAGGCTGCAACAAAATGTCTGCCGCGCGGCCGCTGTGTCGACTCTTGAATTGAGCCTCATAATAAAAGCAACGCTGGGCGGGCTTCGATGAGCTGAAGCTCAACCCTGAAGTTGACCGAAACCTGGAAATACAGATTTTTGATTACTCGCCATTCTTTTTGCAGTCATTGACAGCCACTGCACCGCAGCGGGCTATATCATCAGGGTTCAGAGGTACATTGCAAGCACTCGAGGTACAATACCATCCACCGCACCAGTTTGTGTATACTCATGATATGGTGCGGATCAACGCAAGTGGCACGCATAATAAGACATAACAGGAGGCCGTATCCTCGCATCTTGATCCCGAGGTCGCATTAGTATTTGTTTTGTTTCTGCAATTGTAGGTATCCACACAATCTTTCTTGTTCCCAAGATCTGCGCAAGGAAGAAGTGAAAGCTTCCAACCTTAGGGAGTAGAGGATCGTCATATTCGGCCTCCAGAACCGCCGATGGTGCATTGACGCAAGGCTTACGTGACGACAGCCAATCACCACGCGTCCATCTGCCACATTCTGACCCCACACCACCCCCCTTAGCCCAACAACGACCGTTCTCTCTGAACCATCATAGCCTCACATCAACTGCCAACTTCTTCGAAAAGGAGGGTCATCGGACACACCTGTGTGAGCATCGATTACGACCTTAAGCTCTTTACGACGTGGATCCCACATCTACGCATCAGAAACGACCGAAGCAGTATCAAGGAGGAAAAAATCACATAGTGTCGGCACTAAGTGATATCAGATCGAGGAGCAAGCTAGGGGCTCTACTTGGATAGACTTAAAGACTGCACAACCCAGAGTCGCCTGAGGCACTATGGCATCAACATCTTTTCGAGAGTCCATGAACTCGTTGGGCTGGTCACGCCGCGACCCCGATGTGCCCGTCAATACGAGCCAACAATCAGGGTTGCTGTCTTCCATCAAGTCGCTGAATCCTTTCGGCGATCGCGGATATGTCCAACTGCCTACTACCGAGGGTGCCGGCGCGCCGCTACCAGCTCCCAGTCGTCGCGAGGAAGAAGAAGGGTGGTTCGCTTGTGAGTAATACATCCCACGCTCTTATCCTGCTTTCCGCCATCTATTCCACCGCCCGGTCTCAGATTCCCCTGCAGTGGAGCTTCAGAGGGCGCCCGTATGCGACTTTCATTAGCGTGACTGACTACTACACCTCGTGTCCTATTTTTGCGCATGGATATTCACAAGGGAATTGTGGATTTCCCATGTAAGGAGGAAGGCTGACCAGAGATCTCGATCTTTTCTATAGTAAGCCGTTGGGATCGTCTCCTGATATTTGGTGCTTGCAATATCGCCGCAGCCGCCTGCTTCGTCCTCTGCTTTGCCCTGTGGCCCGTCTTGATTGCGAAGCCTCGAAAGTTCGCTATACTGTGAGTGCCTGGAGATCTTTTCCTCGTGCCACATCCGATCCCTGCCTCGCTTGCACATGTGGTCAGTCGGAGAAGTGCCCGACTGGATCAAGCAACGTATTGCCTCTAGCCAACATTTTTTATTTATGCATTGAGCCGCTTTGCATATGCAGTCAACCTTGCAGCTGCCGCGGGTGATCGACTAGCTGGAGATAGCTCCCGAGATGTTATGCATTTTCTCGATCTGGGGCTTTTCTTCCATTTGGCTTGGCGAGAGGCTATAATACTTTTTTTATATTCTTTTAATTATCTTTTCTGTTCTGGGGGGGGGGGGGTTAATTATCTTTTACTAACTTGGTGACTTCCACGCAGATGGTCCTTCGGTTCGGTGTTGTTCCTTTGCTCATGGGCTACCATGATGGGCCCGATGGCTTACTTCCAGCATCTCCTATCAGGCAACAGATTGCCGTTTACTGCTGCCTATTTTGGATCCATCTTCATGACCATTTATTTCTCTATCGGTGTGAGTTAATTCTTGGAACTATGTTGAGCACCGAACTCACGTTACTGATCTTATTACCAGCTCCAGAGCACCTTCCTCACCTTGATATCGGCTATTGTGCAGCTAGCAGCCCTTGCTTGGTATTTAGTTAGTTATTTCCCCATGGGCTCGAGCGGCTTACGGCTTGCGACCTCCTTTGGAGCCCGACGAGCTGCTGCCTGGATGACTGGTTGATGCACAGCAGTATTACCTTCAGAATCAAGCGTAGTCAGGGTATCTCGAATAACCTACAATACACTTCTTTACGAACATGGAAACAAGTGTCACAACTTCGATGCGGGCAATACATAGCAGCATATACATACCTTGAGTCACTGTGCTAGTGCTCTGTCGTTACCAGGTATTTTGTGATCGAATAAACCCACGCTTTTCTGCTTAGCCTCGCCTTCGGCATATGTCCGTCAAGCCATCTGCAAAAGGATCCCCGAACGCTTTTTATATCTATATTTTATATAGAGAATGCCCTTTCTCATGTGAACACTTGAGATGTGTTGTTTGATTACAACAGTATTTGATAGTGATACCGTAGTGCTATACACTCTAGCTACTATTTGCCACTGCCTTTGGTTTGTACTGCGAATCTGTGACCCAAAGATACCACGCATCTCGTATTCAGGATCGAGCGGAAGCCCGTTGGCGTACTTGACACTACTGCTCATAGAAGCACTTTTCAATTGCTAGATGGAATGGTTCGTATCTGGCGATGGACGGATTTCCTGGTTCTCTTTAACTAATGGGCAGCACATGTGCTTAGCGGCAAAAGTCACGGTCTCATCCAATCCGCACTTCTTGAACATCTTTCTTGGCCACTGGAATTTCGGTTGTTAATTCTTCTGATAATGACCTAGCTTTCGAAGTCAGTGTTCTTGAGCAGTATAGCGAAATTTCTTCAACATAGTCGTTGTGGACAACTTCTTCCAGAGCGTTTAGTCAGACCGAAAAGAGAAACGTCTATATATCCACAAATTTGACCCCCCCCCCCCCCCCCCCCCCCCCCCCCGGTGTATTAGAGGTACCTGCCTGTTAATTGATTACAGGTAGATAGTTGTTCTATCTTGATTAGTATCTCGGTGTCAAAAGGGTGATAGACAGGCGAATCTCGAGACAAGCTTACAATCGTCGTCTATTCCTAGAATGTCATGAAGACTGATTACGCTGCATAGTCGAGTCTGCAAGTCATCTTACCTCAATTCTGACAAGACGAGGAGCACTTTGCATTACCTTTGCGGCCCATGAAATCTGGTTGTGTCAAAATATGAAGCCACGACCCGTCGTATTACGTCACTATAGTGTTCATACTATTTCACGATTGGCTGTGTTGTTGCCCTCACGCAAGCCCTTAACTACTTTTGAAGGTATGTTCTTGGTTTGTGGATCGATTGTGAAGATTGAAGGCCATATGCCGTGTTTTGGAGGCGCATCCGAGCCACTCTCGTCGTCTCTGCTCAGTCTTTGCCATGCGAAAGAAAGTGCTTTTCATGATCTGTAAACAGGCCATTGCATCCCTAGGCGGCACAGTTAAGGTTAAGTAAGACGCATCCATCCTGTGGACTTCACTACTGGCTACCTAGTCATCTTCACCGACATCTAAAGCCACGATTGAACGGTGTTACCTCATAGGATCCCAGCGAAGCAGCTCAGTACTTATGTGTTTGCTGCTCGGCTGGTTTCCGCCATGGTACGCCCTTGTGAGTTTAGGTACGTTGCTGCTGGCGGTACCCCAGTCAAGCCAGGCCGTCTCAAGTCTCACTGCTGCATCAGACGAGCGACTCTTGATTGGATCTCAGGATGTGACTATTCCAAGGAACAAAAAGTAATGAACGAAGTCGATTGGGCGTTGAGAAGGTGCAATGCGCTTTTGAGCGTGGGAGTCGATGGTCCGGGTCCAAATCGGCAACCTGGACAACATGGAGCCAGACACGTGCCTCTGCCTGGGTTGCAGTGGGCCTGGACCCTGAAATAGGCCTTCACTTAGTCGTGAGGCCAGTTAGGAGTAACTATTAAGAAAGCCGAGCATTTGCCCTAAAATGGGTGCGCGGGGCTCCCGGTTTCTGATGCGACGAGCCCAAGAATCCCATGCAGTCCAGCCAAAAGCCGTTTGTCGATATTAGTCAGGAACAACACGAGTGCGTCATCTTGCAAACGGTTCCAGAGGATTGTGACACTCGATCAACCAAACAAAAACAAACAATCGACAAGGCCAGGCAAGTGACATAAGTCCGGTTGCAACGCCTCCTGGCCTGGTTAAAATTGTTTGAGCGTTTGAGCGGGTTGGCAGTACCCACAACCGCTGTAGGTGAATTAACTGGAACTCTGAGGGGACTGAGTTTATGTATCTTGACTAGACTGCGTATGCCTTCACTTTAAGAAGAAGAAGGAACGATACAACGGGCAAACCGAGGATCTCATGGCTGTGCACTGTGGCCCACGTTATCCTCAGCATGTGTGTAATTAGTCACTGATCTACCTCATATTCTATCCATGGACGCGCTGAACAATCATGCTCCTCCGGATCCTGAATCGCAATTCTCGTTCACAATGAAAATGGAAGTGGCCGTGACCGGTTCATATTCGCGCAATGATGGAGTTTCAGCTCCACCAAGCACACGACTCTGCGATGCATACCCTGCAAGCTTGGGCACGGCTTTTTTGTTGTTTGTTTTTGGCACATTAAGCCGGGCTGCCGAAAGTCTTGTGTCGCATTATGACGGGATGGCAGAATTCAGTAGCAGGATACTGAAACTCAACGATACCGCAAAGCACACTGAAAAGGCAAGTGTGCATCTATATTAACTTAGAGTCTTCGGCTATTGTGCTTTTGCTCTCCTCAAACTTGAATTCTGCATTAGTCTAGTTGCTGCTCTGAAGTGTGCTTATATGCGCGCACTTTGTGACTTTTTGACAGAATACGTAAGTTAGTCCAAGTATTGTATTGCCCCTCACTACTGAAAATTCACCTTGGCCGCCTTGGGCAGTCATCTGCTTCGGAGTGGTTCCCATTGCACTGTAGTCACTGGAGGAATCCCTAGAAAACCCACAATACATATGTATGTACTATGTAGTAGCCAAGGGCCGGCGTCTGGCGAAGAAAAGTGAAAGCGCGCCAGCAAAGAAAAAAATAATTTTTTTTCCGGGACTGGAGCATTGAGAAAGAAGGCACACAAAATCCGACCCTCCACACAAACCCTGACCTCTAATAAGCATTTACTCTCTTTGTGTCAAAGCAACTGAGTGGTACAGGTGTTGCTGGAACAAGCATCCGCAGGTTAAAATCGTAGAAACAAGAACAGAGCCTGGCTTTAGAGTCAGCTTCAAGTTCGAGGTTCTCTCTCTGCCGCATCTTGCACTCCGGTCATTTGTCTTGTATCCCACTGTCCGCCAAGCACTCTTTTCTGACTGCTCATACAAGAAAGCTGAGGTCTTCATCACCTTTGTCGACAGCCAGTTTACAACTTGCGCACTCGCACCCGCACTTGTTGAAGACAGGTCAAGAACAAACAGCCGACGGTCCGACCCGTGCTCCTGTCTGTCCAAGATTTGCAGGAACACTGACAGACCATCACCCGACCATCTCGTCTCGTCTCTTTTCTTGTGTCATCTACTCAGCAGTGCCATCTTACGAGGCCACGTCGCTACGATTCACCAAGTTTAGTTTTCTCTGCAAGCCCCCAGTCAGATCTGACGATTTCAAAATCCGACTCTGCAGGACTTCTGTTCAGCAAGTACTCGAGCGACTTTTCTCTAAGTCAGGTTTTGAACGACAGTGCCAAAATTTCCTCTCACCAGCAAGAAACAACTGCACTTCTGTACCGAACTTCAGGAACTCTCCCTGGTTTTTGCGCCGCCCCAGAACCATTGTGCTCAACTTTTTTTTTTCTCTCACGAAATAAAATTTCCTCAAGCTTTTGCCTTTGTGCATTGTGCTTGTTGGTTGACACCCCGCACCCAGGCCTTAAGCCGACAAGAAGCAATTTTCCCCCTGCCTCACATCCGTTGGTTGGTTCTTTCTGCATTCCACCTACATCCAACCCATCGTCGAAGCGACCTTTGATCCCCAGCGATCTCGCCGTCCCGACACCCAAATTCCTAGCAAAGTCTCGACCGGATCCTCGACACAGGTTCGTTTCGCATTGCCACCTTTGCAGAGGACGCATAAAACCACAGCTTTTTTGCCGGTCACAACTCGAGCCTCAAACTTTGAGGGAGGCTGCCTCTTAGGGTGAGGTGTCTTTGATCAGTCTCGAGACGCTCAGTCTTGGTGCAGAGATTGGTCTCAAACCCTTCCTACTTGTATCCCAGGTACATAATTCTGCCTCGACTTGTTGAGGTTACTTCACAACATGTCAACATTCTCATATGCTGCAGCGGCTCGAGGCCAGCTGTCTACCACACCTTCTGCTCCTCAGTCGGTCACCAGCCAAGCTGCTTCAACGACAAGCTTTCAGAATGCAGATGCCATAACCCCCGCCACCGGCACATCCGCGGTTTCCGACTCATCCCCTTCGACGGACTTGAAAGAGCAGGATTCAACAGACAACAGCGCACCGCCCGTTGCCCAAGCTGATTCGGTATCTAAGACCGAATCGGAAGATGCTGAGCAGGCAGTCCAAGAAGATGACGCCGTCCAGAAGAGCACAGCTGCAGAGACTTCCGCAGCCGCAACACCAGATAGAAAGAGCGCTCATGAAGGCCCCACTGAGAGACGTGGAGCTAAGGGTCCTTCTGCTCGTGCCTCCGATGCTTCCGACAACAGAAAGTCAAGGAAAGGAAAAAAGTCAAAGGCTAATGACAAAGACGCGGAGCAAGAGCCTTCAGCAGAAAAGGAGAAGGAGCCTGAACCGCCAAAGGTGCAATTGACAGACGCCCCGATACCGTCAGTTAATATTTGGGCACAGCGAGCCAAGGATGTCCAAAAGGCACCTCAGCCTGCATCATCTCGCACGTCTGCCGCTGCGCCTGGCAGCCAGCAAGACGCCAAGGCCAAATCTGCCGTAAATGAGAACGACAATGCCAGCCGCGCCTCGGCGACGTCGGTTAAGGGCCAGAAGAAAGATTTTGCACGCGATGTTGGCGAGCCAGGACCCCGGAAGCATGCTCCTCGAGGAAGCAGGGTCGTCGAAAAAACAGCTACTGAATCCTTGCCTTCTGTTGCCGATGCTGCATCGTGGCCCACACCAGAGACTGCTGCCACTGAAATCAAGACACACGAGACACCTGTCAAGCCTGCTGAGAATGAAGACGCCCAGGAGGAGAGGGCCGGCTCTGGTCCCAAAGATAAGCCCAAGTGGGTGGCTGTACCCTTTGTCCCCAGTGCTGTGTTTGAAACCCCGCTACCCAGTCGCAACCCCAGAGGCAGCAAGACTGGCGCACCTCGAGGCGGTCGCGAAGCTGGACCGAGAGGCCATGCTGTAGACAGAGCCCAGGCTGCTGGTCCTGCTAGACCCGCTGGCGAACGGTCCACTGAGGCTACCAACGGCGCTCGACCTTCGCCTACAACTGCTCCTACCAAGCGTGGCTCTGTTGACAACGCCGTTAGCCGAGACGTACGCAAGGTGCCCGGATCCAGCAAAGAAGCCACCGACGCCTCCTCAACTGCCCAGGTACGTCCCTTCCGTTGCTGTCTATTCACTATCGCTCTGTGTGATACTAATATTGGCCATCATAGGTGAACGGTGTTGAAGAGACTGTCAAGGCATCTCAGTCAGAGAACAAGGAGGCTTCTACAGGCCAGCAACAAGTTGTCTCTGATATTTCGGGCGCGGAGAAGCGGACAGAAACCCGCCCTGATCCTTCGAGGGAGGCCTTCACTCCAGCTGCAAAGGACAACAGCCATCATCATGCTTCGAAGCCGGAGAAGCGAGGTGGACGTGGAAGAGGAGGGCACCCAGGTGCGAATGGTCAAGGTCACCGCGGGCATGGAGCGTATTCCTTGAACGGACAGTCCTTCCAGAGTCGTCAGAACTCCTACCCCGGGAATGTGCCCATGAACTATGGCATGCCCGCTGCAAATGGTGCAAATGGTCACTCGAGCCGCAATTCGACTTCCAACGCATATTTCAGAGGCAATGGCAGAAACGGACGAGGACAGAATGCCCAAACCCCGCCGACCTGGAATATGGATCCTTCATTGCAGTCGATGCCTCCCATGGCACACCAGCCCTACTTCTATGAGCAGAACATCCTCTCTCTGCTCCAGAAACAACTTGCTTATTACTTCTCGATCAACAACCTTTTGAAGGATTCGTTCCTGAGAAGATGTATGGACTCTCAAGGCTACGTCTTCTTGGACGTTATACTAAGCTTCCAGCGCATTCAGCAGCTTACCAGTGATGTCAACATGGTGCGCATGGCATGCATGGAATGCGTAGAGATCGAGTTGGTAACCGGTCAAGAGGATCACCGCGATCGAATGAGACGGGTTCAAGGCTGGGAGGAGTTCGTCTATCCGAAAGGCTCGCGCAACGACGAAGTCAACTTCGATGATGGACCTGCCAACGTCTGGAAACATGACCGGAACATCTTCATGCAGCAATATCCCATGGTTTCTCCTTTCCAAATGGAGTCTCCAGGCTTCTATCCACCCCCTGGCGCTCCTTTTGCCGCCTATGGTAACGACGGCTATCCGCACTACAACATGACCAACGGCGTGAACGGTCACTCTACACAGAAAGATACCCAGCTATCTGCTACTGTTCCGGAGTTCTCGCCGCAGGGTGGTTCTAGTGCCTCTGACCAAGATCAGACAGCTGCACTTAAACACATGGCCAATGTCAACGGCACTGCACCCACCCTCACAAACGGCGTCAACGATGCAGCCGCTCAGCCGTATACCAACGGTGTAGCTGGTGATGGTGAAGTGGCTGCTCACTAATGCACTCATTGAATCTCGCGCTGGAGATGGATGGGCGCTCCGAAACCTGCCTGCAAAAGCTTATGCTTGGTACAACCACTACTAGTGTGAGCACCACTCCTCGACTACCTAGCCACTGCTTAGTGTCTTATGGCCGCTCATCTTCAATGGGCTTACGAGAAAACAACGCCCTGATTCGGATGCGGCCGGCGTTGATCATTGCAAATGATTGATTTCTTTGACGATACCCCCTCCTTTCGATTCACAGCCAACAGTCGTGATTCAGGTCTTATTGGTTGCCAAATAGCCGACCGCTTTTTCTTTTGGGCTGGATTGTCGAGCTGCAATGGAATCGACCTCCATTTGATCAACCAGGCCATCGTGCATCACAGCTTTCGCAGAATTCTACGCAGGTATTTGTCCTCTGTTTGGTTGCCTATAACAACCCAATCGGCACAACCCTGACCATTGCATGGAAGAATCCGATGAAAGTCAGCATTTGATGAGGATTCTTCACCGACCGCTCACTGGCACTTCGATTTTGCCGATTTGTGTGCTGGCGGATCATCCTGTTCTGATGGGCTTGACAATCATTGCTAGCCATGTTTTTTTGCAGATCCAGGTATCACTACGAAGACATCTGGAGACTCTTACATGCTCAGTTACTACGAGCAGAGGTCATTGCACCCCTCGGATTTTTCTTGATATTGACGAGCTTGGTGCGGCATCAGCACGTCATCTAAGGGGGCCATTTGCTAAATCCGGAATCATCGCCATGAGGATCTTGCAAATTTTTCAAAAGACAGTCTCCGGGTTGAAGGCACGAGAATTACCCCTGACTGCACCAAATGGGCCACTGACTGTCAGGTCTTGCTAGGTCTTTCCCAGGCTGTCATTTCGTCTCAGGGGCGTTTGTCTTGTTTTCCTTTTCTCTCCTTTTTTGTTATCCGCATGAGGACAGAGTTTGATCCTTCTTTACTCACAGCGACCATGTTCTTACTGCTAAAGGAAATGAGAGGTGCTATGCGACAGCTGACGATCCATCACCACACATTTCTATCATGGATGCATGTCACATGGCGTAATTGATTGGTTTCGCATTATGGAACAGGGGCAAGGGAATCTGCACTAGACTCATTTCACCCAACATACAGGGAAGACCAAAAGCTTTGTTCTGCAACACAGGGTGTTTACAATGTATAAATAGTTTAAAAAAAAGTAAAGCAACTTGAGGGCGTTTGTGTAAATTTTGTCTTTGGCGTATAGGCACGGTCGGTTTCGTGATCTGCTCAAAAGCTCTGTTCCCATGCTACAGGCTAATCATTATGAGTCCTCCTCAGATTGCGCTTTTCTCAGCGCCCAGGAGTGCTGTCAGGTGTGAGCGATAATGAACTTCACGATCTATATGATAGTCAGGGGGCTTGATCGACCGCTATTCACCTATTATGGCCTGTTGGCTTGTCTCAATACGAAATGAATACCAGTTTATATATATGTACTTGATCAAAATACAATCATGACGGTCGTAGAAGTCATTCAATCCGCGCTCCACTGTCACCCACGGATGAGACATAAAAAACCGAGACTCTCTCGTGGCTAATCGACCTTCCTTGTCTGTGACATGACACCTTCACTTCCCCCGTAGATCGTCATCGTCTGGAGTTAAACTCAAGTCTGAGCTCGTCTTCATCAGATCTGGATTCCATCATGCTCTTTGATGCTGCTTTCTCCTAAGAAGCCACTCAAAATGCCCCACCCAGGACTCCAAGACCAACACCGGCCACCATCCCTACTATACATGGCGCAGCTGTTATCCTTGGCATAGCTGCATTCGCCGTGCCTACTACAAAGCCCCCCGTGGTTCCGACCGTTGCGCATCTACTCGCTGACAATCCGTGGCAGGCCGCCGAGCTCAGGCCCGCGCAAATACTCGTGGCTTGGCTGACCGCAAGCTGCGTGTGCGTCGGCTGCTGCGTAACACCACCGCCTCCCGGCACGGAAATTGTGACCGCATACCCGCCTGTCCCCGACGCCAGATCGGACGTGCACAATGCGTAGTTGCTCGAGCACGCACTGACGGCCGCCGAACAGGCCCCTGCATTGGAGAAAGACGTCGCAATGGCCGGGAACGCGAAGTACGAGTTGGTGACGTAGGAGACCGAGGTTACGGTCCCCGTAGCCGTCGATGCGGCAGTCCCTGTGCATACGGCACCCGACGGACAGCAGGCGGGCTGGTTGGAGGTGTCGAGCGCGCAGTATTGCCCCCCAGCGCAGCAGATGCCAGAGAACGCAGAGCCCAGACTGTCGCAGCTTACGTAGTTAGCAGGACAGGCGTCGCGCTTCTCCATCGTGGCGAAAGGGGAATATCCGAGGGGCGGGATGTTGTTTGCGGCTGTAAGAGACACGAGAAAGGTCAGGACGGCTGACGACGAGCCTATCGACCGTGGTATCCTCATTGTGCTGCGCGGTGTGTTTGACGTGGATTGGGAAGTTTGAGGGTGAGTGATGGGATGCCGCTGGAGTGAGATTTAAGCTTAAAATTGAGGTGTATCCGACTGGCTTGAATTTCTCTCCTTCGACTTCACCGCTAACCGTCGACTCTGAGATGGAAGTGGAGTTTGAGGGTTCGGAGTTGTACCTGCAGGATCTCTTTGTTACTCCTGGCTGCTCAAGATCATATGGCGCGTAATCGTCACACGAGACTTTGCTTCTGCAAACGTCAAGATAAATAGCACTGGCTACGAACAACCCCTGCCGATCGGTAAGAGTCTTCTTAATGCAACACCAAATTGCCGGTGGTTGGCATCTTCGTGTGATGTCAAACGGCCCCATTGTAGCCCAGCAACGGGCTCGGGTGGGGGGAGCCTCTTTAATAATTGCTTAGCCCAGACCCAACCGCCAAGTTAAGCGTAGCGCTGCAATTAAAGTACTGGCCCGTGCACCCGCAGACTCGTTCGATCATTTTGAAGATTTCAGGGCCTCATGAGTGGCAGCATGCTGCGTGCCGGATTGTGTGCGTGCATCGTAAAGTACAATTAATTCGAACGCGAGAGCTCCGTGTATCTTCTTAATGAACTGTTGCATGATTGGTATTTCTATCTTCTAGTTTCCCTGCCGAAATGAGTTCTTTCGGTAGTCCTGGTGGAGGCACAATTACCTCCAAGCCTATCCCGTAAGTTGATCGCAGACGCTCGCCTACGAAGCGCTGTACTAACACAAACTTGCGAAGGCCTGAGAGAGGCAGCTTTCCACTGGACCACGACGGTGAATGCAAAGACGTCATGGTCAATTATCTCAAATGTCTTAAAACTGTCAAGGGCCAGAATGATCCGGCCTGCCGCGAGTTGGCCAAGAATTACCTGGGGTGCAGGATGGAGCGGTAAGTTTGAGTTTTATGGAGGTGGTTCAAGGGTCTCTGCCTTGCTGATAAAGTGCATATCTAGTAATTTGATGGCGAAGGATGATTTTAAGAACTTGGGGTTCGGCACTGAGAAGCCCAAGAAGGAGCCTGAAAAGGGAGTCAAGGGTGAGCTGATGTGGTAATTACGGACAACAGAGACGAATGCAAAACACCATAGCACAAGTGCTTGGTGGTCTCAAGTCTACCATATGGCATTTTACTACGAGCTTTCGTGCTGGTCGTCTTCGATCACCGGCCCAGCACAGTTCCGACATCAATGCGGTAGCCACAGCGTTGACGGCCGAAATGTCCAAAATATCAACATCAGCAAGGCACCCAGAGGCATTTGCGTGCCATTGCAATGTCTGCTTCTTTTGCGAGACTCGACATAGTCCACACATTCTCACACCATTGTACAACAGATCTATACGAAAAGGTGTTAATCATGATCCATTTTCGGAAACCCGGGGGAGTTTACACGAAGACTGGAGAAATCGCGAGCTCGACTTATTTCCAGCATTTAAATGCAATCCGATATCGCCAAGGGTGACAGCCGGAGCCTTAGCGCGAGCTTGAGCTCAATGGGGGTCTAACTATACGGGAATGCTAAAATAATACAAAACGTCATCTATATTCATCTTTGTTTGAGCCTTGTGCATCTAAGATATAAAAGTTCCGCAACCGCTTTGCTACTTACATATTCCTATGTACATCAATTTGACGTAATTTTGCAAGCGGTTGATGAACATGATTTCCAGAAGCTCCTGTGCACCCCTCAAGTTGCCGAGGTTTACCGGGACCTATTACCGCTCATTCAGCAGCACGCGGCCACCCAGGAACTACGATTCGACACTGAAAAACTTGAAGATTGGGAAACATACGCGAGTCATCTTTCAAGGATTCACAGGTATTGTGCTCTCTATACGAATCGGACTACGACCGAGTACTAATCACAGCGCAGGAAGACAAGCAACGGCCAACGCCAAAGAAAGCTTAGAATGGGGTACAAATATTGTAGGTGGTGTAACTCCTGGGCGTGGGGGAGAACACCTCGGCTTGCCTGTTTTGCCAAGTGTTCGGAAAGTGAGTGTCACACTCTCAGCGCGATGTCACAAGCACTAACAGCCGACAAGGCAATGGAGGTATTGAAGCCAGATGCCACCGGAATTTACGTTGCGGCGCACCAAGCTACGGGCGCTATTGAGGAAGCCATTGAAGCCGAAGTGCCCCTGATAGTAGTAGTTGCAGAACACATCCCTGTTCATGACTTCTTCCGTGTAGGTTTGCGGCCCTATATACATGATCATGCATGGGATTGTTGAATATTGACTCGGTCATAGATCCACTCAGTATTGAAAACCCAATCCGCTTCCAGACTTGTGGGTGCAAACTCACCCGGTATCATTTCAGCCGTCGGAAAGTGCAGAATCGGATTTCAGCCGTTGCCGTGTTTCGAACCTGGGAAAGTTGGTATAGTCGCCAGATCTGGAACGTTGAGCTATGAAAGTACGTCAAGTAGCCGGTCCGCAGTTCTGCACACAAAGGTTCATACTGACATCCGCGTAGCCGCAGCCTCAACTCTTCGTTGCGGGCTTGGTCAGAGCCTGAGTATTGGCGTCGGTGGTGATATTCTACCTGGCACAACTTTGACCGATGGGCTTAGAGTACTGGCGGAGGACGAAGATACTAAATGCATTGCTCTTGTTGGAGAGGTCGGTGGAATTGGAGAGCTGGAAGCTGCCGAGTGGATCAAGGAGTATAGGACAAAGGAAAAGATTCCAAAGTAAGTAAAACTTGCATTACCGCCAATTTTCCAAGCTCATACAAGCCCCCTGCTAGACCCATTGTCGCCCTAGTAGGAGGTATTCAAGCTGTACCAGGTCGAATAATGGGCCACGCAGGCGCCTTCGCACTCCCCGGTGAGCCTACCGCAGCTGAGAAGATCGAAGCTCTCCGAGAAGCAGGTGCCACGATTATCAATCATCCATCGAGGTTCGGCTCTGTGCTCAAAGCAATATTGAATGGCTCGATGCTGAGAGATGCCGGTGTCGCCCGAAGCAATCAGCGCAGGAGCATGCATACACATGCTCGAAAGCCACAAGCTCGCGTTCGTCCCGGCCGGTCCTCGTTGCGAGACCAGAGAAGGTCTATCTACCTAACCCAGCAAACGGCTCTAGATCTCCTCCGTGTTCGTAACATACCTGTCAGTGAAGCACCACTAGGGTCGGCCGAGCGTCTACTCGCCATTTCCATCAACCGCGGCACCCGGAACCCCTGCATTGTAGCCTCTTCAACCAATGATGCTAAAGATCTGACGAGTTTCGATTTCGAGTACACCAAAGGTCCTGCTAGTTTGCCCTTGGACAAGATTGCCGCAGCGCTTCATCTAAGTCCGAACTCTGGCGAACATTTCAACAACCTAAGTGGTCTCGTCAGAGATCTAGTCAGTCTTTTTATGGAAAAGGAAGCGTTTCTTCTGGAAACAAGAGTGCTTGAAACAGCAACCGATGGTATTGCGGTGTCTCAAGCCCGTCTCGGATTCGACGATGCAGCTCTTCGATCTGGCAAACGGCATAGCGATATTCATGCTCTCAGGGACTTGAGCAAAGAAGACCCTGCCGAGGTGGGAGTCGAGAAGGATGGGATTGCATATGTGAAGCTAAAAGACGGCAACATTGGTACCTTGGTCAATGGAGCCGGTCTAGCGATGAACACGGTCGATGCTCTCGCGGATGCTGGCGGTAGGGCGGCCAACTTCCTGGATACAGGCGGCAAGGCGACAAGTGAGACAGTCAAAAGGAGCTTTGAGGTCATTTTGACAGACTCAAGAGTGAAGGTATGTAGTCATCCGGATTCTTCGATTGTTTCTTTCCTTTTGCTTTTCTAGTTTGCATTTCTGCCTATGGCTTGTATCCTTTTGTCCCAGTTGTGCCTTAAATTTATCTTTTCCCTGACAGCTATCATCTAGTGCATCTTCGTCAATATATTTGGTGGCCTTACACTAGGTGATATGATCGCCCAAGGTGTGGTTATGGCTTTCAAGGATTTGGAAATGTCAGTGCCCATCGTGGTGAGGATCCGTGGAACAAATGAAAAGGAGGGCCAAAAAATCATTGCTGAGAGTGGGCTACCACTATATGCGTTCGACGACTTTGATGAGGCAGCCGCCAAAGCTATCGAGCTGGTAGATAAGTCTTAGAGGGCCATAGCAAACGGCCAAGAGTACGGGTTTTACAATATTTATGTACCATGTATTTTAAGATATGGTATATATTTCTTCGTATACTATGTACACTTCTTATACATATGTTTCCTATAATATACTACTTTCGTACAGGGTTGTGTAAATTATAGGCTCGGTTTCATTTAAGCAATTCGTTCTAGCATGATATTACTTCCTAGACTGTGTAACATTTGTGAGAACGACACGTGTGCTGTTCTCGGCGGGATACTAGCTAGTTCCACCTGCTTAATGAGCAAATCTGAAATCAAGCCTCTTACTGCCCTGGTCTGTCGTGGTTTTTAGATACTCGTCTTTTTCTTGAGTTGTCAATACGCCCCAGCGCGTCTCCTTTTGTTTATTCCTCCACATATAATAACCTTTCATAGCGAAGACGTAGACAATATTCCACGCTACAACAGCAATCAAGACTTTGTTTCCCTTCCGGTAATACGGTGCGTCGTCAGTTCGGTAGATCTAAGTTATGATGATTAGTTTACAGGGAAAGGAGAGAGAGAGAAAAAGACGGAACAGGATCAACCCACATTGGAAGAGATGATATTGCTGGCTTGCACACACATGTTGTAGAAAGCGCTACCAACTGTGCGAGTGCGGACCGTACCAGCATTTCTAGAGGTAATAGCGACTAGGATTGCGTGGGTGTAGGGGTTGCCGATCAGCAGGGCGCTGAGTGCATACCAAGACCATGGGCTTGCACTAGTGGGGAGAAGCTCCAACGCAATCACTAGAGGAAGCACCCATAGTTGCGTGATGAGGACCACAAGGAACCGGTTGTTGATTTTTTCTGAGTACCACGTCCAGAAAAGCAGCTGAATCAGGTAGAGTGCATATGCCGGGATAGTCAAAAGGTTCGTCTGAAACGTGTCAAAGCCCAGAGATTTGAGGTTCAGCGTAAGATATGCCGTGATGGGAGTCGTTGGAATTGACCATGTGAGTCCGTAGATGTAGACAGGCCACAAGTCGAAATCCTTCATCGCTTCCCAAAGTAGTTTAGGAGTCAGACCTTGACGGTTGTGCATTCCACCTTTGCTGGGATCATCTCGGAGAATTCTGTTCACCATGATCTTCTCCTCCTGCTCAGAGAACCAGCCATCCTTGCCTCTAAATCTGCTTGCTGTCTGTGTTGGAGATGGTGGCAGATAGAACCATGACAGAATGCCAATTATGGCTGTCAAGCCACCTTCGAGGGCGAATAACCAACGCCAACCAGCCCAACCAGAGATGCCACGCATATGCAGAATTCCAAAGGCCAAAAACGCTGAGACAATGTTGGTCATGATGTAAGAAGACCAGAAGAAGGCCAGTCGGACTGGTAATTCCTTGCCCTTGTAGAAGTAGGAAAGATAAAGGACAACATCAGGGATGAAGCCACCTTCAATGAGCCCCATCAAAGCACGGGTGGCGTAGAAGGAGGACTGGCCCGTGATACGGCTCTGGCAGCAGGCCACAATACTCCATGATACCATCTGAATAGGAATCCATACATCGGGACCAAGCTTCTTGCTGATCATCTGTGAAGGCAGCTCAGCGCAAAGGCTATCAATGGTCAACTCGTATACATAGACTCGGGGGCCAAGGATATCTCACAAGCTTATGTAGAAGATTGTCTGGCCATAGTTGTACTGATTGGTGGTGAGACCGATATCATTGAGCATGTTATCTGACAACGCCTGTGCTATATTGCCTCTATCGAGTTGAAGCGCGAAAAACATCAGACAGACCCATGCGCAAATTTTGTAATCAAGCTGCGAAATAGTCGTTAGTTCTGCTGTTGCTCCTGAACGGGAGCTGGAGTCCAGCATTACAAGCTGATGTCACTGTCAGACGAACCTTTCTGATTAGTTGCTTCTCTTCCGGCTCTGACCATTGAAAACTAGGGTCATAGCGATGTGCACCTTCATACTTCTCAATGGGTGCGTATAACTCCTCGTGCCCTCCATCAGCAAAAGTATCGGTGTTCTCGGCCCGTACAGAGGTTTTGGATTCGTTGAAGGACCCGTTTTTCTCCCCGTTGGGCGGGATCTCCTCTACCGGTTTGGCCATCTCAGTACGAGGTCCAACTCGAGCGACAGAAAGTGATAACAGATGTGCTATCGAATGATAAAGGACCACGTTATTCGCATGCGAAAATAAATTAAAGTAAAATGGCAAGAGAACATAGGCTGGTATTATAGAAACTGAGCACTACCCCTGCAATATTTTTATCATAGCTGATGCGGGTTCTGGGACCGCGCAATGCTCTGGGTGACCACCCGCATGAAGGATATGCAACTGTAGATCTAGGCCCCACGTATGCTACTGGTTTGGTTTTCTCTCTCCCTTTTTTTCTTTTCTTGGCCACCGTATGAGGCTCGAAAACCATGGCTTGGTGGTGCCATATCACGTCAAACCTGTGGTTCCTCTGAAACAAACAGCTAAGATCATATAAATTACGATAATGCATTAGCAGCCGTACCCTTCTTTAGCTTTTCGATTTCAGCTTCTCGGTAGTTCCGCGGGATATTCATTTTGACTATTTCTTTAGATGACGACGAATGCGTCGAAACTGTATGATGCCATATCACGTCAAGTCAAATCGACCAATCAGATATCGCGTTTTCATGACCTATAGACAACTCCTGGAATATCCGCAATTTCACCACTAAGAATGCCCCACCACGACTCCCAAGTTATGTCCAAGATATAATTTTTTTGAGATATTTGGGACCCGACGGAGCGGGCTGGCCTTGTTGTGGCGTTCAATAAGCTCAACTCAAATGTAGAGAAGAGCAAGGCGCCCCCACGTCCCGAGCCCGTGACAAAAGGTTCATGTGTGACCCGGCTGGCATATCGAGATCCCTTAGCCTCTATTTTTGGTATGCAGAGTACATACTTAGGGAAAGCCTTGCTCGTCCTATCTTGCCGCGAGCGCTCCAGTGATCTCCTAACCAGAATGATATATGCCTGTCTGCTACCAACATTCCTGCAAACCATGACCAAGATATCTCTCAACGGCAGCATACCCCAATATCCTGCAATGCGACCTATACTTATCGTTTAGGCGATGAGCATTGCTCCCGGCCAAATATGAGCCAATCGCATCCAGTAAACTCAAACATGGACCTACTGCGGCGTGCTGGGACTTTTGAACGATACAGTGGGGCAAGGAGTTTGAATGTGACGAAGGCCTACCGGTCTATGGCGGCTCCGGGAACCTGTCGTCGATATGAATATATCAGGAGTTCAACCATTGCGTCTCCCTATATGCATTATTAGTACTGACATTTTCCTCGAAGAAGTAATAGGTTGTAACGAACATAGTCCTTACCAGAAGATCCCACCACGTGACCCATGTATCGTACTGGCTGTTTGCTGGCATACGGAGATATAGTCACGATTCCACAACTTCGCAACTATCTTAGGGCTCATGCGGTAGCTCAAGACCGTTGGCAGATGGGCGAAGGACTACAGGCTTCTGTAGAATTATAGATTGGTTTCAACCGGGCCATGAACAAGTACCAAATAGCTTCAGATAACCGCTACCTTGGCGCCCAGAAGGCTCTCCTGGAGGCACGTCTTGCTTCACAAATATCGTTTGTACAGCGATACCATCATGTCTCTATCTTGGTCCTAACACCAGGCCACTGGAGCCGCCGAGATGACGATTCGTGTAAGCCCTGTGCTTTGGCGTGTCTGATCCATTTACTCATTGGTCGATGACGTTTGATACGCTCGCAAGTATGAAGAACCCCCAAACCAAGCTCTGCGTTAATTTTATTTCCAATAGTACTGGATATCCTCGGATTAGGGGTAGACCACGACAATGTATTGATGGCATTCGAACATGTGCTGTTAGAAAACATCTAGGCAATTAAAATAGAACCACCACGTGTGCTCGGCTCTTGGGCCGAATGACCGCGGCATTATCGGGCTCGATGCAGCGCAGCATTTGTAGCCTACATAGTTGCGTACCTTGAGCCGTGCCATCTGTAGAAACCTGGCACCACCAAGGGTTTCCGGCAAGGACGTCTTCGGTACATAGCTGCACGTAAGCATCAAGCTTATTTTTAGCCTGCCAAGGTCCAACTGACTGAACAAACCAGCTATGCGGGTACTGCAACGAGCAAATTCAGTTTTCTCAATACGGTTTGAAATGGCACTTGCGCTCCTAAGCCCAACGCCTCGTCTCAGTCAATCTCAGGTTTAGAGAGGTCTTCGAAAAGACTGCGCTTCAACCATCAGACTCGGTTTGCAGGTCCTTCGAATGGTTAGAGAACACCCTTGCTGTCCAGGGCCGTCTTGCATACATACATATATTTATGAGATCAACTGTCAATGCAGACGGTAACCTATCGTGTACCTGAGAGAATCCTCATAGTGTCCAAAGCTTCGGTTTGCTGAGCCTGCAACTCAGTTTCACGGCAAATGCCGCGCAGACTGCAGATAGCTAGCCGATATGGTTTCCGTTTTCGTGCAGGTGACCGTTAGTGCACGGTTGTGTCCGAACGCGCAGAGGAGAGAAATATGTATGCAGCAGGGGATTCTACATTAGCATACCGTTCTGAGAGGCGATTCGGAAGTCAAACAGGCCAGCATAAGGAGGAACCCCAGTCAAGGGGTGCACAGAAACAGGCGTAGCGCGGTTGATCCTCAGGCAACCTCCAGCGAGGCATGCAGCTGGCAGCTGGCATGAACATGAAGTTGCTGATTCGTGTCGGACCTGCTGCCTTACAAATCAGCACTAACGGTTATTTCACAGCAGTTGCTGGGGGGGATTCTACCCACAGCCATGCAGTTCAGCTTGTCAAATGGACCATGAATCAATGTCTTGATCAATTCAGGTCGTAAGGGGTACTCGGACAAAGGGCAGTGTTACTCAAATTTGACATGGCTGGTCGTATACTCTGGGCATAACCAAGTCTCCATTCAGCCTTACCGTACTTACTCTTTGATGAATTCTCCAGCACGCTATCCACAAGTAGTTCGTTGTACCTTGTATGTAAGTACCTACAGTTGGCGATAGTGGTGTCGATCACTCTCCCCACTCCGTAGCGGCGCCGTCTCGTTTCCATTCTGGACCATCTCCAGGATCTCAAGTTTGTATCCGCACCGCACGTATCTCAGATGACCTGCATCGACAGCTTTGCTTTCTTGTCTCTAATTACCCCAGCACACAACTGGAAGCCGACTGTACTTAACTTTGGTTTTACTGAAAGAGAAACCGAATGATTACTCTTACGTAGTTGAACTTCTCAGTCGACCCTGTGCGTGATCTTCTGGCCAAGTCCGGCACGACACAGCATTGCAAGTCGCTTATGTAAAAGCTGCAACTGAAATACCAATCTCAGCCCACATACGGCTTACGTCCCAACTTTATTCCCGACCACATCGTCGCCAGGAGCTGGCAATGCATCTACAAACCACCCACCTTCGACGACCGACTTCACAGTAGTTGGCGATTATGTCTGCGCCAGGTGATCTCTCAAATCAGAATGCGTCGCGGTCGGATGATGAAAGAGGGAGCGATGGCAGCCCCAACGCCGAAACGAATGCCGATGCCGCAGCACGATCGACAGGCAATGCTAATGTGCCCAAGCCGAAGCGACTGGCGTGTATGATCTGTAGGAAGAGGAAGCTGAAGTGTGACGGGAACAAACCGAGTTGCAGTACATGCACACGACTGGGACATTCATGCGCTTACGATGAAGTGAGAAGGAAGAGTGGCCCCAAAAGGGGTTACGTAAAGGCGCTGGAGGAAAGATTAAGTGAGCACAAGACCAAATGGTCTCTATGCCGCATACTGACTCGGGGGTTTCACAGAACAAGTTGAGTCGCTACTCAAAACGAGCGACCCCATCACCACCACGAGCGCCGAGTCCTCCAAGGCTGCCCAACCGACACCAAAAACGTTCGATAATCGCAATCAGCCGCCCGCGACTGCTAATTTCAACGTCACAACCCCGTCAATCTCCATCGCAAATGACCGAGATATGGATCGGTGGCAGTTCAATGGCGAGTCGCCGCAGGCTGCCAACCTGGAGGAGTTCAATTTTGCAGCTGCTCCTAATATGCAAATACATATGGAGAACATGGCCAGTTTGCCGAACAACTTCACATGGGAGATGATTGGTTTGGGTCTGGAAGAACCCCTACCGCCGCAGGGAACGATAGACGAGCTGTAAGCGCTACAGATGTACGTGGCGAACCGGCTTGCTTTGCTGACCCGTCTACAGGCACCAGATATTCTTTGAAAAAGTGCACCCTTCCGTTCCCATGATCCACAAGTTTCGATACTTGGCAGCGATGAATTTGTAAGGCCTTCTCCCCTCAGGCACCACCGCGATATGGACGGTACTAATCCGAATGATCCTCACAGGGCTCCTAATCAGAGGCCACCAGTCTGCCTGCGATACGCAATCTGGACGCTTGCCTGTGCGATAACAGACAAATACACGGACCTCAGAGATCTCTTCTACCAACGCGCTCGCAAATATGTCGAGGCAGACTATCAGAAAGGCTATGGCGAACACATGATATCAGTCGCCCATTGCCAAACCCACGTTCTACTCGCATCTTATGAGTTCAAGATGATGTATTTTCCAAGAGCATGGATGAGCACTGGTGCCGCCGTACGCTTGTCTCAAATGTAGGCTATGTCATGATGACTTGGAATTCCTCAGTTAACACTTATTTAGGATCGGGCTGCATAGGTTAGATGGTGCAGGTCTCGATGTGAAGCAGTGTTTACCGCCGCCTCGAGACTGGACCGAGAGGGAAGAAAGAAGGCGGACATTCTGGATGGCTTTTTGCAAGGACCGATATGCTAGTATCGGCACAGGCTGGCCCATGACAATTGACGAGAAAGATATCATGACCCACCTTCCCTCCACAGAAAACGCCTTCGAGATGAGTCGCCCGGAAACTACGATGACGCTTGCTGAGTCTATGAGTCCAGCTGGGGCGGCGAAACTGTCTTCTTTCGGCGGAATTGTCCTGATGGCCTGCCTGTTTGGACGTAATCTAATCCACTTACATCGCCCGGATGCGGATGATCGCGATCACGATCTCAATGGCGAGTTTTGGAAGCGGCACAGGAACATGGACAACATACTCCTTAATACGTCACTATGTCTACCGAATTACCTCAAGCTGCCCACTGGAATTGGCAATCCGAACATTGTTTTCGTCAACATGAACATCCACACCTCGACCATATGTCTCCACCAGGCGGCAATCTTTAAAGCCGATAAAAACAAGTTGCCAGCCTCGGTAAGCGCAGAGAGCAAAGTACGGTGTATAACTGCGGCAAATGAAATTGCCAGCATCATGCGCATGATTTCTCATCTCGATCTATCAACTGTAAGTCGACCTCAAATACGTGCTCGCATACGCCGCTAACAGGAAGTGCAGATGAATCCCTTTATTTCCTTCTGCTTGTATGTAGCAGCACGAGTTTTTGTTCAATATCTGAAAAGCCGTCCCGACGACATCCAAACAGTAGACTCACTGCGTTTCTTGTTGTCGGCTATGAATGCTCTGAAGAGAAAGAACCCCTTGACGGAATCATTCCTGGTTCAACTTGACGTGGACCTTGAAGCTCTCGGGATGAGAATACCCAAGCTGAAGACGGCTTTCCCTAGAAGTGCCGATAGCGTAAGCTCTCTTGCCCCCCTTCGTCTCCTGACCCTGACTAACGCCTTTTCAAAAATAGCCAATCGTCAATCCCGAAGTTGCGACAAAGCTAAGAGCACAAAACTTGGGCACGGAAACATGTGAAAAAAGCAATGGTTTACTAGCATACAAGAACGAATGCCACTTCATGAAAATGGGTGGGGATGATGGTAACGCAGCGACCGCACCAGATATTGCAAGCTCGAATCAAAACACGGGGATACACTCGGTTTCCGGCTATGATCAAACGACTCAGAATTGGTGTCCTAACGACCAACGTGTATCGCCGGGAGAGACAAGCTCAGTGCCAACCATGGGATCAGGTGGCATGAATCAGCCGATGATGTTCCACATGACATCGAATGCAGCTCGTGTCAACACGCAGAATGGGTACGCTGAGGCGTCAAGCGGTGGAACGAATGGCATGTCCGCCTCGCCAAACCCTGACACCTCGTCGGATCGGCCAACTCCTAACTCTAGCTCGGCTTCAGAGAACCGAAACGGTACATCCGGGCGGACGTCCTTCGAGGCGAGTCCATTGGGTGGCAACCAGCATATGGGAACCCAAGCGGAGTTGGATGCAGCAACGACGGCTTTCTTCTCGGACCCGAATGCCTTCGGTATGCAGACGTCGGGGATGGGCATGACACCAGGCCGTTCTTTTGTAATGACGGATGGGGGCGGTTTTAGTATGCCAGACGGCTGGAATGTCATGCCGGGACAATCGACAGGTATGACACCCGGCATGACACCAGTGGCGGAGGGGGTCTTACGACATTTGATGGACATGCCACCCATGGACGCGATGGATCTTGGTTGGGATCAGGGGCAATAGAGCTTGGGCGGTCGGCGCTTTTGGTTTACGACTTTTAGGCAAGCGATATGGCCTCCATTCCTTTTTGAATATGCAAAATACCTGGTGGAATGGGATTTTGGGTGCGTCACCAACGGAGTACTTGATTAGATCTGATTCAGTATTTGTCTTCCATACAGGACGACTTTATCACTACAGCCGTGATAGCAAACAACATGTGGGTTGGCGGTGGTTGTATATCATGACCACACGACAATTACGTACCACGGCCGAATTCGAAGAAGGACTTTGAGCTCATGACTCCATTCTCTTGGGGCAGAAACCCTCAGTCATCATTGAAATTGGGCCAAGCACGAAAAATTGTGTGTTGAAACTGCTGGTCTGGGCAACCATCCACAACAATCGTCCTTTTCCACTCAACCACGACTTGTATAGAGGACTTAGCACAGTAGTTTAATGCTGGAAGTCGAATTTACTGGGCAAATCGAAGGCGGCGAATTGTGACATTCCTGTCGGGCAATGATAATTCTAAGGAACACCGTAAAATTGGTGGTTCAGCATGCATTTGTTAGTGTTAATAGGGCCGGTCATCTGTCACAGCGGAACCAACACTAGCCCAATGTATGCGCTCCATTCCTCTACGTTGGCCACTACTACAGGCGGCCACGATTGGGCTTTACACCTGCCTTGATAAGGACATGGCAATGGATTCAGGTCCACGCTATTGGGGAAGTCCCTAGAACGCCGTCAACAGCAGAGACCGAGCTAGAACGTCGTGCTGGGGAGCAGCGTGGCTATGCCATTGAGTGCCTCGCAGACCGAGCCCTGACTAAGATCCCTGATACTGCCGTCAGATCCTCGAACAAGAACATTTACAGTTGAGGGTGCAGGTGTGTCCAGACTAGTCACATACTCACGGTGCAGGGCTCATCAACAAACTGCCTGGGAAGTGTGTTTGTGTTGACATCCACCTCGCCCCGCTCCTTCCCCAAGGACACCTCGCACATGACAAAAGCCTGTGACAACCGGTTTCTGCTTAAGAAAGAAGCCCTTGTGGTTTCTAGTGCCATATGGAAAAAAAGAAAAAGAAAAAGAAAAAGAAAAAAAGAAGGAGAAGAAAAAAGAAGAAGAAAAAGGGGGTTATTTCAGAAGGAGAGAGGGAAAAAAAAAAGCAGCAATATGTTTAAGGAGCAGAGGCGCATTCCAGAAAGCCGCACATAGAGGAGCTGAGAACATGCGGCTGCGAACCTCCCGCACAACAATCGTGCTTTTCAGGCTTGCGCGGTTCCTTGAACTAAATCCTCAACTTTGCAGCCACTTTTGACAGTATCGATATCGTCATCATCATCAATGGTGTGAACAACCTGGCATGACCCGGATTACCTCGTTATGCAACATCTGGTTGTTGGCCTTGGTTGCCAAGTACGGCACAAAGGGAAAACAAGGGACTAGTAAGATGTTCCGTCAAAGTGACTGTTGGCTTTGCGATGCTTCTGACCGCTCGTGATTTATATTGTACAGCTGTATACACGTGTGCCGATCTAAATTCTGAGTCCCAAGTATTGTACAGATCGAAAGAGTACACATTAGGAGGCCACCGAGAGCTAAAGCACATGCTTATTTGCTCTTCTTGTCTCTCCGCTTTCCGTGGTTTCGTACCCGAGGAACAACCACCCACTTGTTGATGTTGTTCTTGGGGCGAGTCTTGAAACCTCCCTTGGCCTGCAAATGGTGTTAGGTTATACTGCTTGATAAATTCGAAGAGTGGAGAGAAGCGTACCGGTGTTCGTCCCCAAGGAGAAACGGGATGCCTGTTACTCTTGGATTTACCACGGCCACCACCGTGAGGATGGTCGACTAAAAGGAGGTCAGCGGTCTGCACAACGGTGACTTTGAGGCGGTTAAAAACTTACCCTTGTTCATGGCAAGACCACGAACAGTAGGTCGAATGTTCAGCCATCGACTTCTTCCAGCCTTACCGAGCTGGCGGTACTGGTGATGGATATTACTTGACACGCCGATGGTGGCACATGCATCCTTGCTGCACTTTCTCACTTCACCGCTCTGCATTCTCACAGTGACGTACTTTCCAGTCACGACCTTGACACCGTCGGCTGTTGTCTCCTCGTCTTTTGATTCAACGACGCCGAAGGTGCCTGCGCTTCGGCAAAAGATGGCGCCACCCTTGGGATGAGAGCCAATGTTGAAGATTGGTGTTCCCACGGGAATCAGGTGTAGTGGCAGACAGTTTCCACGGTGGGCGGTTTTGGCGGCCAGGATACCAGGATCAACGACACCACCCATGCTGTCGAGAAGGTCCTGAGGAATGCCAGACCGGTAACTCTGGACCACATCTCCAGCTCTTGTGCCATCAGGTGAGATGATGTACGACATCTCCCCGGTGGCCTGGTCCTTCAGCAAAGCGATATGTGCACTTCGATTGGGGTCGTATTCGATGCGCTCGACGAGTTGCGGTCCGGCGTTCCATCGCTTGAAATCTACCGTTCGTATCCTTCGCTTGGCGCCACCTCCACGATGCCTCACAGTGATGTGTCCGTGATGGTTTCGACCGCCCTTGCCCATGCCCTTCTTGGGAAAGGTCAATGGCAGGAACGGTCTACCTTTCCACAAGTGGTCGTTGATGGGGCGCTTCAGATGTCTCAGACCAGGTGTTCGAGGCTTGTATGTTCGAAGGATGGCGGAAGACTGCTTGCCTTGTGGGCCCTGGGGTCTTGCGGCGGGCTGGCTGGTCAGGCTCGGGACGGTTGTCGTGACGGGCTCTTTAGTTGACTGGGCTGTTGTTGCATAGCCTCTCAGGAGAGCACTGGGGGAGCATCTGCAGCTCGCCAGTGCCCTCTGGGAGGAGCTTGTGAACAACCTTGGTTGCAGCATCATAGCATAGCAGCCGTCGAGATGTACTAACGGCTAGGATGCAAGCTGCTTTTGTCGTGGAGCTCGAAATGTGCCCAGCTGGCCTGGTCGTCGACTAGGATCCAGATACCTTCATTTGAGAAATTGTAGCTCCAGAAAGGAGTTTAAGTTCTTCCAGCGCCGAATCAAGAACGAACGAACGCGATCGTCCGCCCAATGGTCAGGCGCTAGCTATGGTGGGTATAGTGTCGCAGCCGGGGGGTTGGGTTTGGCGCCCCCCAACTTGCCGACGACATGCACTCATCTCCCAGCTAGTTACTTTGCTGGTCTTTGCGCGCCAGTAAATTGAAGCAATTGGCCCCGAAGATGTATCGATGGCTGCTGATGCGACCCGACGAGGTTCCGTCTGACATGGCAACTCCAATATCGTCGAAGCTTTGATCAACCCCTGGACGGAGGCGGCTGAACAGAACAGGACAGAGCAGGCCCGAACAGTGGAATGAGGTGGCCCCCGTCAAAGAGTGCTCGGAATAGTAATCTGGCATGTCTCAATCAAGTGTGCGCCTCGTTGTGCACGTATGTATAACTTGTTTGTATGAAGGCAGTTTCACGTAGACTAGTATAAGTGACAACAAACGTGTATGTATCTAGTTTCCCCTGCCAACGTACATACAGCAGGTGTCAGTATACAAGCATCTTCTATGGAGTGTTCCCGTAGTTAGATAATCAATAGGGATAAGTAATGCGTAGGGGTTGCGTTATGTCGATGAATTCTAGGCCTTCCTGTCCCCATTTCCCGTCCCCGTGCTATTTACATCCATGCCGACCAGCCACAGGCACGTCGAAAAAGCAGATGCGGGTAACGGAGGCCCGGGACATTTTTTTTTTCTTCGCAGAGAGACCGCGACGAGCCAATGAACTAGCGGTTGCCCCGCGGTTGCCAGTGTTGATTGCAGAAAGAGTGGGTCGCTCACGTTTCTAGGGAAAGACAGCTAGCTCAATCGCGTCTGTGAAGAAAGAGCTCCTCTAGCATTGGTATCGAGGTACATGCATAGATAGATGGTATCTGCCACTTGCAGTCGCGATATTGATATAATATACATACTGCAACGCAGATGCAATCTTTTGTCCAACACTGCCTTTTCTTCTTCTTGCAAAACAACTGACCTGTTCGTTTGTGCCTCTTGCCGTCTGTCCCGGCTCAAGACAACATCTTTTTGAACTACAGCACATACACATTCCAGCAAACCTAGAGCTTCCAACAGAAACGACAGACGCTCAGCTCCATCGTCACGTCACGTCACCTCACGGTTGATCCATACTTCCTGCTCCAAGCTTGTACTCGGTCCGTATCAACTATCCAGCGCAGCGCGATCTGAGACATCTCGTCGCGGTTATCCAGCCAGAAGTAAATCGGTACTCTGCCCTAGACAAGGATCTGGTCCTAATATATCCACCTTGTTCCCAAAAAGGTGGAAGTCGTTTGAACTGGGACACTTTCCAAGTCGCGCTAACCAGCCCGTGTACTGTGCTGGGTGCTGTGTTGTGCTGTGCTCTGCACAACCGAATCGAGAATCCCTCAGAGAATCCCTCACGTCAGGTAGGTTGCTGACCTTGTTTCTTCATCTGGTACCCGCACCACACGGTTCGCGCTACGCTACGCCTTCTTTTGCTGCTACCTTATTATCCACCACCAAACACTGCACTTCCTGTCCCGACCTGTCTTGTCTCTCTCGAAAACACTCTTCTACATATTCCCACTCCGTGAACCAGCTTACACCAACAACACAACACCTCCAATCTCCCACGCCTCACCTCGAGCAATCTCTCTGCTGTCCTCTGCCCTCTTCGACCCTCCCGTCATATCCCAAACGCGTTGGGACGGCCACGGCACGGTGACTGACGCCCTCTCGCACCAGCTTGTTGATATCAGACAACTACCTCCCATCGCGAGACCTAGGAATAGCATACAGGTGAGCAATTGTCTTCCTCATGTGCTATGTCAACATACCAAAACGCCATGCATGGAAATTGCACCTTTCCCGTCATATTTCCGTCGCGTATAACCACTCTGCCAGCTGCGTGCCAATCCAGCGTTGTTGGAGACTTTGCAACCGCCCCACGCTCCCTTCCACCCAAACACAGCCCTGGACGTACCCAGCCCCGAATTGGAACGCGAATACTAACGTGACACTCTAGTACTCCTCCAGAGACGAATTGAACTTGGTTATTATAGAGTTCACTCATCAACAATATGCCTCCCGTAAGTTGCTCACCCCCCATCATCATGTCTGATCCGGCACGCTGCAAAATACGCGCTCTCAAGGCTCCACTCTGCCCTACCACGGCATGTACACACATAGATATATGCGTGCATGCACACACACATACCGCGTCTGGGGTCGTATACTGACAGCTCTCCTTCAGGGACGCCCTGCCAGACGCCTCGTCACCAACGAGAACGACGAGAACAGCGCTGCCGCTTCTACGCGTATGACGCGTGCAAAGGCCGCCGCCCTGGACGTCGATGTCCTGGCCCAACCCACAAAGCAGCCCCTCCAGTCCAAGAAAGCAGCTACCACCACCACAGCTGCCAATGGCAGAAAACGCGCCGCACTCGGCGATGTCACCAACGCAGGAAAAGTAGAGGTCGTTGAGGGCAAGAAGCCCCTAGCCACCAAGACCGGCCTTGTCTCCAAGGCTGCACAACCCACCGGCATTCAGAAGCCCTCCGCCCGTTCCGCTTCAACAAGAACAGCTCTGGCCACCAAGGACGCGAAGAAGCCCGAAGCCAAGAGAGCCGGCTCAGGCTCAGGTGCTATTGCCCCCACATCTGCCAAGAGAAAGGCAGCTTCCGCCACAGTCAAGCAGGACACCATCGTAGAAGAGGGCGAGCCCGTCCGCAAGAAGGTCCACACTCTGGAGAACGAGAACATCCGATCCAAGACCGTCAAGGTGGAGGAGGTACCAGAGAAGGTGTCGCGTGCCGACCCCGTGCAAGAAGAACCAGAAGCCAAACATGTATACCCAGAAGGTGTCAAGGACTTGGACAGTGAGGACCTGGACGACCCCTTGATGGCCGCCGAGTATGCCAATGAGATCTTCGACTACCTGCGCGACCTCGAGTGCGATACCGTCCCCAACCCGGAATATATGGCTCACCAAGACGACCTCGAGTGGAAGACACGAGGCATCCTCATCGACTGGTTGATCGAGGTCCATACCCGCTTCCACCTGCTGCCCGAGACCCTCTTTCTCGCTATCAACGTGATCGACCGCTTCTTGTCCGAAAAGGTGGTTCAGCTCGACCGCCTGCAGCTCGTCGGCATCACTGCCATGTTCGTCGCTTCAAAGTATGAGGAGGTCTTGTCGCCTCACGTTGCCAACTTTGTACACGTCGCTGATGACGGCTTCTCGGAACAAGAGATCCTCAGCGCCGAGCGCTTTGTCCTGTCGACACTTGACTTCAACCTCAGCTACCCTAACCCCATGAACTTCCTTCGCCGCATCTCCAAGGCCGATAACTATGACATCCAATCGCGCACCATTGGCAAGTACTTGATGGAGATCAGCCTGGTCGACCACCGCTTCATGGCCTACCGCCCCAGTCACATTGCCGCAGCTGCTATGTACCTCTCACGCATGATTCTAGACCGCGGTGAATGGGTAAGTTGCTCACTAGTGATTTACTGGCATGTCGATTGAGCCCATCTTGCTAACCTCTCAACCAGGATGAGACCTTGGCCTACTATGCTGGTTACACGGAAGAGGAGATCGAGCCTGTTTTCCTGCTCATGGTCGACTACCTTGCTCGTCCTGTCATTCACGAGGCATTCTACAAGAAGTATGCCAGTAAAAAGTTCTTGAAGGGTAAGTTTTGTTCTCCATCACGGTCACCTACGCCATACTGATAAGCTCTCAGCGTCGCTGCTCACCCGGCAATGGGCCAAGAGAGTTGCCCCTGAGTTGGGCATCACTGACACCAAGCTGTCTCTGGATGAGCTTGAGTCATGAGTTGTTCAATACGCTTCACCCTAATCAAAGCATGCCCAATTGCCATGATACTGTCATGTCAATTGTTCCGTCAACCATCAGGATACCCGATGGACCTTTGGATGGCCCTCACGATAATCATTGTTCATGACGTTATAGATCCACGAGTCTCATAGCGAAAACCCATTGGCATGTCCTGCCTGTGGATCAGGGCATCCACGCTCAAGTTCTTTCGTAGCCTGTGGCTACATTATTGTTGCATCTCTATTTTTCTAGTTGGCCCTGCAACATAAGCCATCTTACATGAGCATGGCGTCTTGGCATTGGCGTCTAGGCGTATATGGAAGTTGGCGTTGTCGTGTCTTGTTTATAAACACAGATTTTTTCATACAGCTACTGGCTATTTCCAGAGCATGGTGTTCCCGACACTGCTCTGGCACTTATCCCGGCGGCATGACTACCTTCCCGTACGGAAGGAGTCCTGCCCATAGACACATTCCAATGGTCGTTGCTGGAGCTCTTAGGGAGATAAAGCATAGTATCATGGATAGGTATGTGCAGTCTCACCGCATTTGGATCGGAGTTCGCGAGAGGATAGGGGTCGTTGTACATACTGCGCTGAACGTGTCGGATTAGAATTATTTTATGGATCATGGACGGGAAATAAAAGGCTTCTTGCATGAGATTAATGTTTTCTTCCCTCACGTGAACGTCTCTCACCTTTTGAGCTCTCATCCGTTTCCCAGCTTCTGAAATGCTCTGGTCGCCTAGGCGTCAATAGTTCAGCGGTATGTTGGACGTCGCTTGATGGGAAGCACTCTCCTCAAGCTCGGTCCAATCCACTCACCATTCTAGTAGATGCCCTTGGTTCTCCTGCGACTCGACATCAGTCAGGTTGAGAGCACTGCTTTGTTCGGCGACGGGAAGCCATGACCCCTTCCGGGCTTGTGCCAGCACTTTACCCAAGTGAACCATGAAGCCTTTTGTGCAACTCCAAGCTACACAAAAGTCAAATATTGAGTCGGGGTCTTGTGTACTCGATGGCACGTTCCTCGAAAGCTGGCTCTGTCCATAGTCAGGGTCGTCTCCCACGAAACAGGGTGAAGGGGGAGGAACCGACTGATTCTGGGAGGCCCGACTGACTGTCAATGTATTGATATCGAGCCATGTCCGGTCCTCGACGAGATCACGAGATGTCGCTGGAAGTGCCAGGTTCCACGGATCCGAAGTCCGTATATTGCGTAAGTTACCACTGAGGCTGTGCTAGCTGTACGTTAACACATAGCTGGATAGCCTAGGTCTACTGACGTAACCAGGTCGTCACTAACAGCGCTTACCGTACTCTTGGTTGACGTGGTCAGTTGAGGTGGTTGCGACAACAATTCTTATCCCGAGCCGGTCTCGGCTATAGTTCCGAGAAGCGCGTTCTAGGAGATCGTGATGCGGGTGTGGCACTGAACACAGGAGTTGTTCCTAGCCTCTCGGACTTTTACCGTCGGCGATCTAGCAAAAACCGTCCATCTACACATGTCAAGCCATGACAGCTTCTCCGGGCAAATTTAAATTTATTTATGGGCTCCAGGAGTTCGGTGGCTATTACACTATATATCCTTGATCCGTCCCGTGGCTACTTATCGCGAGCTTGCGTTTCGGGGCAACCGCAGGGACTCCAACCGAGGAATCGTGATCTTAGGCGAGCTGAACCATCTGAGGCTGTGCATAGCTGTTCATGCTCTAGCTCTCGGTTACGACGATGTGAGGCAACGGTTCATGTCGTGATGTTGTACTTCACATCTGTCCATCGGCAGAGTGTCCGGCATTTTCAGAAACGAGCTTATCGTTTCTCGTCCTCAAGCTCGTGCGCTATTATTAAAAACAGGCCACGCCCTCAGTTTATTGTGATCGCAGGCTTCAAAATGGCCTCTAATGACAAGGTGAGTGGCCGCAATCAGGGGGGGGGGGGGGGGTGGCGGATTCGCCCGTAGTCATGCGGCTACCTACGCCATAGACAATGACACTGTAACAAGCACAGAACAAGCAATATATTTCCCCCCATCGTATCGCCTCCGTTGTCCGGGAGAGGGGAGGGGGTTTCGGGAAAGCGATGCATAAACGGTTAGGTTCGCGCCCGAGTTCACAAGTCTCCAACGCAGCCAGGGGCGCGCGATCGTCCACATCGCCTTTCTTCGTCAGTTGGCAGCCACTAGCTTCGGGCATAGCGATTCTCAGATCAGCATTATTCTCGAGCCACTTATAGGACCAAAACGAGGGATTTCGCAACGAGATGTGATTTTATTGGTGGTCCCTGTCCCAGTTTTCCAGTGGTATGAGAATTTCATCATCGTAAGCCGATAAGGGAATCTGTGTCGCCAATCGCACTCGATACGTAGTAGACCCAAGTTCTCTCCCGCGATTGCTTGCAAGTTTCGTAACTGAACTTCAAGGCGTTAACTCGTCCTCCTCCACTTCTTCTTCTTCGGCTGGTGCCGGTAAGAATGGGAGATCCGCCTGCCAGAGTGACTGTGAAGAGACTTCATACGAAGTAGAAGCAGCGATCTGAGGGGACGGTAGCTCAAAAACATCTGCCGGATACGTGATGCCGTGGTATTCGCTGTCTGAGCTATGCGCCACGACCCAGGTATCGAGGAACCGTCGGTAGTCTGTTGAATCGTCAGCCTGTTTTGCTCCATGGTATTCCTTCGGTCTTTTTCACCTTCAGTGCGGCTGAATTGAATCCCTAGATACCGTATATCCAACGAACTTTGGGACGACGAAGACGACGAAGATCCGCGGCGCGAACGGAATGCTGCGCTCAAGGACATGCGCCTCCCCGAGTCTGGAGCACTACCACGCCTGCCTCTGACATTCAACCGTAGGGACCGGCGCCTATCATCCCGCCCCCTGACCTCACCCTCAAACTGGTCGACTTGGTATTCCCTGTGACGACGGTCGGCGCGGTTCGCAAAAACCGACAATGAATGCGACATGGTATGTCTGTCGGACCATAGCTTGAGTCTCTGAACCGTGCCAATGCCCTTGACATTGCCAAAAGCGTCCGTCCGTCCTTGCGTATCTGTCCATACTACATCGACGTCGAAACAGTCTACAAGATCCTTTCTCCTCAAATCACCCTGAAAGGTAAGAGCCGCCTCGATTGTGGTGAACTCATACTTGACCTCAATGGGCTGGTCATGAATCACTACGCCCTCCTCGTTCGTATATCTCACGCGATGTCGTTCACGGAAAGTGACATATTGCTCGAGTGTGCTTGGGTCGGAAAATTGACGATGTCTGGAGTGGAGTGTGTGTGGAAAGGTTTCTGTGGTTGATGCGGTAGGTACTAGGAGCTACGTCTCAGCAGCAAATAGCGACAAGAGGGCGGCTTTGGACGGCGACAACATACAGAAGTGCTCTAGACGTTCTAGCTGGTAACTGCCTTGCCACAGAATGCGCCGGTGCTCAGTGCCAACCACCTCCCATGGCCCCAAGTATATGATCTTTTCATCGCTTGTCCCCTCGAATAAGGTACTAGGGCGGGAGCGGTGTTAGACGATGGCACATATTCCTTATACCGTGAGTAACAGAGAGGAGAGTCTTTACCAAGTAGCCTGGAATCCTGGAGGACCCAGGTCCAGCGGCCGAAGTTGGCCTTGCGGGGTCGAGTATTCGTCGGTCAGATCTGACACGGCTGAATTGGGAGTCCAATTGTGATCAACCGGAGCTCCAAGGTTTTGAGCATAAGGAGGGAGTTGGCTGAAACCGGAAGATGCGTAGGACCTCGAAGAATGAGTTCTTGACGAGGACGAAGAAGTGGAAGCAGCCGCAGCCATAGCTGCTTCGCGATGGCTGTGTGCCTCAGAAAAATGGGATTCGTTTTCTGCGACAGGACTACTTTTGGACACCGAGCTACGTGGGGTTCCTTGCCAGCATCGCCTGCAAGTTCAACGCGGTGGGTTGCTTGCTTGAGACGGCCCTAGCTGAAGGTTTGTGGATATAGTAGCAGCTATAGCGAAAGAGCCGTTGCAGGTTCATATTCAATGCGCGGTTCATAAGAAGTGAGTCTGTAACATGCTTCAAATCGCTTCCGCCTCGTGTGTTTTCACTGGAAAACGGTCACCACGAAACATTCGCCCAAGTTGCTACGCCCTAACGTGCATTCCGCTCGGATAGGAAACGTTGTGGACCGAACAGTCGGACCTCGTGAGTAAACGGCTGGGTCAAGGCTCACCGGCTTGCATGCAATTCTAATGCATAACCCAATGGCGGCGGAGGAGGTGTGAGGGGGGACTTTGGGGGTCATTCGGCTCGAGGGTTGCTAAATGAGGCTCACGTTAAAAACCAGATCGCTTCAGTCGACCAGATCCAGGGTCATTCTGAGAAAAGCTGCCCACTTGACTGCTACCTCTAGCCCCTCCTGAGCTCGCATCAAGCCCTCGTCTCTGTCCCTGACTCTGACTGGATTTGACCACCTATACAGGCGCCGCGAGAGTGTTGAGTGTGGGCGCATAGACGAAGGGAAACGTGCAGGAACTGTTGACAGATTGGCCAATCAAACCCCTCAGCTCGAGCACATGTCAGCTCCAAGAAACCCGATAGACTGAACGTGAGTAACCCTGCGCCAAGTGCAAATAATGACTTTACAAGACATGTACCCTTGTATCCATCTGCTAGTTTATCATCAATGAGACAGCATGGACTATTCTTGTCGGTTTTTAAAAGTATGTAGTAAATGCTTTGCAAATTGAGATATGTGAAGGCGAGCCGCGTAGACGGTATAAGTGTGCTACTTGGCGGAGCTTGGATTCTTTATAAGCTTGTTCAACTGCGAGACTTGAGTGACGATGATCCAAGACCATAGGTGTGTATTCAGCAGTGCGACCGTCGCTTCCCAACGTAATTGTTGAACCAGCTCGGAGAGCAAGGGGCCGATGTATGGGGACATCTTCGTCTCTTACAGACCTTTGAAGTGGCTATTGAATAACTGCACGCTTCTGCCGATAGCTCGTGACCGGGGTCGCGGGATGGGCTCTCTTCCCGCGAAGCCCGTCTGTTCTACTAACCTTAGACATGTCTTTGACGATGCTTAGTATGGTCCCAGCGATCAGGTTCGACACGAAGCTCCAGTAGTTCTAACTCATATGCAGAGAGCCAAGCTTAAACCTTGTGTCGCATCGAGGCGGCGTGGAGGACAAGGAATAGGGTGGGTGAGTGGGGTTCGCTATCTGATGGAGCTCCATCCTTTTGCCTGGATATTGGAGTGACAATACTGCAGGGCCCTTGAATTGATTGGCAGCGTATGCTCGACGAAAAAAAATAAAAATAAAAAGCATGGGAAATGTTACGAAACATAGGAAGACAATGCAGGTTTCGAAAGCTCTTCAAAGCTATGAAGAAGGAGGTCATAAAACTCCTTGGAAGGCAGTTTTCAGGATAAATCTGCTTGCGTCGCTTCAGCTCATCTTGGCTGGGGCCATGGCAAAACCAGTGAGCGCCACCACCAAGTATGCCCCCAGGCGCATCATCCTATTTCAACCCGGGCTAAACCACGAAATTGGGTCGTTAGCGTAGGAAGTCATCTTGTGCAGTTCACAATCAAATAGTCCAGCGTCGCACTCGTGGTTGCAATATTGTACACATTCGTCTATACTGCCTGCTGCAAAAGCTAGCGAGGCTTTCCTAATCTGTCCAGGAAAACAATATATTCAACGCCTGTAAGTTGCAGTTTCTGGGAGACGACCAATCTAGCAATAGTCGCAACATCATAATTCAAGGGATTCTTGGGACACACACGATGCGTTAGCTGGTTTCGATTCAATTGAGCAATTAATCGTCCTGGTATTGTCTATCATTTCTTCCGCTTTTCGGGCTTCTGCTTGTGGGACCAATTGCAGCAGAAACAGGAACAGGAAATACGTGCGGCGCTGTGGCGCGCCGTACTACCCGTCGCCATGGACGGTGAACATTACCCAGAAGTACGCCGCAACCGAGGTTTCCTGGGCTCTGATAGTTCTGCGTTACCTTCTCGAGATCTTCAGGTACGTTACGGTTGCTAGATTCAGATTCCATTCTCGCTGTCAGCTGTGTAGGGAACAGGATCGCCTACGTTTGGCTAGCTCTAATAGGAATATAGGACCGTCGCCAATTGCGATATGAGCTTGACCTCAACAGCTGGAACTTCAGAATCTGGGGAGTAGCCGCTTCCGGGTTCTTGACAGATTCGTGGGTCTTTCTAATGCTATTATCACAATAGACGAGATAGTATGTGTCGAGGTACCGGCGACTGATCTCTATCACAGGTATAACCTCTTTTCAACCAATGTAATTCTAGCATCAATATCCTTTGTATATTTCCCACATGAGAAGTACCCTGGACTACTTATAAATCTTTTCACTCTCCTTGGATCTGTTTGTGGTCAGTTGCTTTTCGGCTTCCTGGCCGATCGCTTTGGTCGTACCCGACTATATGGGATAGAGCTCGTGCTTGTCATTGTGTCTACTATCGGTGTGGCCACAAGTAGTTATGGCTATAATGATATGTCGTTTTTGGCCTTGTTCACTTGGGTAAGTCGGCTCATTATATTTCCCGTCGTACTGTCGTCTAACTGCATTTCTATAGTGGCGGTTTGTCATGGGAGTTGGTTGGTATCACCGTGTCTGAATTGACTACTAAAACAAGCTAACTTACAAAGGTATCGGGGCAGAATACCCCCTATCTGCAGTCATAACCTCTGAGTGGGCAAGCACTCGGTCAAGAGCTACTATGCTTGGTTCTGTATTTCTCATGCAGCCCATTGGCCAAGCCTTGGCCCAGCTTGTCGGTCTATGGGTCTTGCTAGGCCGTGAAAAAGAGTATGGACTCCAGGCCATGCAGTGTGGTATCAATACTCAACACGACGAAGAGTGCAAGAAAATCGTTGATGGTATATGGCGTATCGTTATTGGGTCGGGTGCGGTTCCAGCGCTACTTGCGATCATTTTCCGCTTTTTCCTGTATGACTGTGGTCTGTACCAGCTCGAAGTGAAACACAAACCTGGTATTGCTTTGCGGGACACGCGAAGGATATACGTCGCACCACAAGCCGGAAATGGCATAATACTAAACTCTCCGGAATCAAGCCATGTGCCATCGCCACAAGCGAAGCCCATACAATTCTCGAAAGAAGACCTGTACAACTATTTCATCCGTGACAAGAACTGGTACTATCTACTTGGTGGGTCAAAGATTGGTTGTTTCACAAATTGCGTTAGCTAACCCTCATGTAGGAACTGCGATGACTTGGTTCATGTAAGTAGCCGCTTGAAAGCCCAGACCTTATCGTGACTTATAGATTTGTGCTAATCTCAAGTGAAATACAGCCTCGATGTTGGCTTCTATGGCTTTTCTTTGGATAATCGAGGTACATTAGCCGACATGTGGGCGACCTCGCGACATAAGTCTCTAGACGATAGACTATGGTGCTGGACCTCCACTCTGCCAGAAGGTAACTCAACGGTTCCCAGCTGGAAGACGTCTGGTTTCCCAAATTGGGCCACCGATCAGACTATGCCCTGCAACACCATTTACGACGTTCTTCTTGAACAGACAAAGCAATATCTCTTAACGGTGTCCATAAGCTCTATTGCCGGCAGCATATGCTTCATCTACTTTGCCAATCGTCTGCCACGAAAGCAATGGTTGACAATATCGTTCCTGGTCCTTGCAGCCTTGTTCATTATTACAGGGGGTGTATACTACCGTGTTGCATACACCAACGGCGCCCCTGCGACTGTCACTCTGGTAGCGATATGCCATTTCGCGTTCAACTTTGGTGCTAATACGCTTACTTTTATAATTCCGGCTGAAATTTTCCCAACCTGTTACAGATGTACATGTCACGGAATCTCTGCTGCGGCGGGAAAGCTGGGTTCCATCATTGCTCTAGTTGTGGTCTACGGTATCAATTCGGGATACAAGGATGCCAAGCGGCAGGGACTTATTTTCATTTTGTTCGGTTCAGTCCTAGCTTTTGGAGCTGTCTATGCCTGGGCATATCTACCCAATGTCCAACGGTCAGTATGTACTGATGACGGAAAGGGTTTTCTGGAGACGAAAGATCTCGAAGAACTGGGGGAAGGAAGGGGTAAAGCCAAGGCAGAGGGCGAGGTAATCACCGTCAAGGACAAGGTACAGGAGTTAAGACGAAGGCGTAAAGAAAATTTGAACGACTAGATGTTCATGTCGGCAAGTACACAATGGCACCTCAAGTCCAGTCTCCATTTTCTATGCCGGCCCTGGTAATGATGAACGACAAGCAATCTTGCACTCCAGCACGAGTGACAGTTTAGGCCTGCTTCTAATGTTTCCTGTCCTGGAGCAGAGTTGCGCAATATTTGCCCTTGGACTGTGCCTGAGGACCAAGTGATTTAAAAAGAAAAAAAAACCCCTAAAAAACGTATCCCTCCTCTACCTGTAGCTTGAGCTAGCTGAACAAATTTCCAGCTTTTTCTCTCAACTGCAACCAGCCTATTTCGACTCCAGAATAATCCGAGATTGCTCTACAGGCCTTGAGTTTTCCAGACTTCCACAAACTCGCTCTACATGAAATAAAGGACCGAGTAAAATTATCGCGCCTGACGCCCAGATACATAATCTTTCTTGGATTGCGCCATGGCTGGTATTCCAAAAGGTGTTTCGGAGCCACCATAGAACCCTTGTTGGGCAGTGCGACTTACCATGAAGTATCGTCTTATGCATGACGAAGCAAGAAAGTTTCTAGGCCATTAATTTTCCAAATGGATGGTAAATACCCATCATTCCCAATTACGAGGTTGCTCTTGTAACACTTGTATCGAAGCTGCAGCTTCTATCCCACCGATTCAACCATGATTGTCATGAGCTGCATCAACTAACAAAACCTGCGCGGGCGCAACGAACGAGTGATGGCCATGAAAGAAACCTACCCGAAAGTCTACCAAATAAATCTAAGTAAATATGGCCAGGGACTGTTAATGGAGACAGCAGATATGTTTCGGGTTCGTTTGCCTCGATTCGAGGGAACTGTGCCTATATCTAGCGCGAGATTCACCTCAATATGCTTATCTTTGGCGCGATCGTCTTTTACGCTAGTATATCTCCCTGCATATGTATCTCACAGTTCGCGACAATGGTTCCTTTGAATCCAAAGGTGAGTAATATTGATAATCATATAAAACCTGCCTCAAAATATGAGTTATTGTCTCGATGGAACAAATGCCGGAAGATTCGAGACGAGATCGATAGTGTCGATCAATTATACCACGTAGAGAGTATCAACATAATACTTAAAGCGCGCGAAGGTGTGGGCTTCTTCGATGCCCAAGGAAGTAGGATCGGATACTCATTCTCCAGGACCAGACGAACGATTAGACAGACAACTAATGGCTAAGTTCATCTCACAAAAGCCATAACAATCCGAGTTAGATTGTGAGTTCAGTGACCGATCGATGTGATTGAATTGGGAGATCTTGTGATTGTTCAAGCTAACCCCAGGTGTTTTGTCACTATGCTCAAAAATAGACGCCAATTTCCAACATGACGGCGTCCACTACAAGACACCACTCCACTCAATTCGCACATATTTGGCATTCAACAATCTAGCTATCACGATCTAGGCCTCAAGATGTCCAGTTTCGTGTTCTTGATTTCCGTCGAATCCAGCATACCATACCAGCCCAGCCAGGTTAATATCCACACAGCCGTTGCGAACTTACCTCGGAATATCACGGGCCCAGGATTGGAACAAAGAAGGTCACCCACCTATAAGACAGCCAGAGGTCAGTATTACTGTATTTCAACAGGGACAAACGTGGTTCCATGTCGTCCCCCAAGACAGCAGAGAAAATAGTTAGGAAGAGTGATTGGGAATTTCGAGAGTCGCATACCACTCGCTTCGCATATTCATCAGGCTTCATCGAACCGGTTCCATCAGTCGATTTCTTTCCTTCAACATCCCCAGCCAACTCAAAATACCAACTTTCCTTCGGTACCTTCCACGGCTTGTTCTCCATGAAATTTGTATTGACACCCCCCGACATGATTGTCACAACCTTGACTCCGAACGGTGAAAATTCCTTGCGCATGACGCCGCTCATGGTAAAGACGGCGGCCTTTGTAGCCGCGTAGATGCCCTGGAAGGCAGGCTCTGCAACGACTGAGATACTGCTGACATTTGCAATGACGGCGTTGCCTCCTGCGGCTACCAGAAGAGGCAGGAAAGCCTGGGTCACGGCCAAGAGACCAAAAACATTGACGTCAAACATAGCCCTAGCATCCTCTAGGTTCTGGTCAGCCAATGTCATAAGGTTGAAGCCCGCTGCGTTGTTGATGAGAACATCGAGCTTTCCTCCTGCGGCGTCACGAACGATATCAACGGCGGCGTTGATCTGTTCCTTAGACAAGACATCCATGGCGAGGGTGCAGATGCCGAGGTCAGCCAATCTCTGCATCTTCTCGAGTTTGCGGGCGGCTGCGAAGACGTGACATCCGCGGAGCTGGAACTGTCTCGCGAGGGCGGCACCTGCTGAGCCATCGCTGCATCCAGTGATAAGAACGACTTTCTGCATAGTTGGTCGAGACGAAGTTATACGTAGACAGAGCGTTAAGGGCCAGAATATAATATAATGAGCATGGTCACATCTTACAACACGAGTCCGCGCACCATTTCTATGCACCTGCCACGACAGACGTCCGGGATTCTGTTTCCCGGGGGAACCCAATGCCAGCGGTTTTGAGCTTATCTCGCATCTCACGAGGAGTCACGTGGATAACACCCGACGAGCGGTATCATTGGTGCGTCTCTCCCAAAGGTCATCGAGGAAGCTCAAAGTTAAAGAAGAGTTTCGTCTTACAACGGACTGAGGCCGGCTAAGCGGAATTACCCCTAGGAATTCGGCTGAACTGTTGTTGATGATGACAAAGCTATTATCGTTGGCGCTAAATAGTACATGGATCCATCATTGACGGGACAATGATCCCCCAATATGACCAGAAGTTGACAAGAGGCTCCTGGCCCACTTCCTTTTACAATGCAAGTGCTTACGGCATAGATCCTACTTTTGCACTGCTTGTTCTATGGAAGCTGAATGGAACATATTAACTACAAGCCTGCCGGAGTTTTCTCAGGAAAACATCATTCATTCGTATAAAGAGAAATTAAATTTTTTTAATAAAAAATAAAAAAGATTTCTCAAAAAGTTTCATGCGCCTTCCTTTATCAGTAAATTTTCCTCGTTCAACGCTGATTCATTTGTTCAATAAGTTTGTTAGTGCTGCTGTTGTTAATAAATTGGAATTTTCCTTAATACCTCAGGGAGGAATATCACCACCTTAGAATGCTATTATGCTGGCACATAATAGTATCCCATAGAATTTCTTGTAAAGACTGCTTAACCTTGCATACATGTCCTGACCAGTCTCTAGAATCTATATATCGATTGTTGGCAACATTGGGAAGGAGATGGTCCAAAACCTCGGAGAACATCTTAAAGTTTTGTTCCCGGATTGCGAGTATGCAATGTCGACAGTAAAATTCGACCTCGCCGCCCTCAAGTATGGTCAGTGGAACCTGACCCGCCCTGGGTAGGGTCGGATTGTATGGCCGTAGCTCAACTGTGTGGCGAACGTGCCAGACATTCTTATCAGGGTCGTGTTGCCGGCAGCCTGGATGATCCAGCGGAAACCTGCACATTGGGCAATCAACGAAGAGCGCGGAATCGACGTTAGGGTGGTCATCGAGATCCTCTCTAATCAGCTGGTTCTTATAACGGAAGTGTGTATCAAGACACTTCGCGCCGATCAAATGGCCGCACGGTAGAACCTGTAGAGGCTCCGTCTCGGGATTTGGATACTGTTTTGGCATCACTGCCTCCGGCAGCCGAAGCAAGCAGCTGCATACCGGGCACGTGGCTACGATGGAAACTTCGTTGCCGTCCTCATCTTGACCTGTATCGAGATACGCCGCAATATCCCGGAATTGCGACGGATCCTTGATTACTCTTCGCTCCTTGGCGGGCTGCTCGTCATCGTTACCTGTTCCAGGCACTGCCGGTGAGGAAAATAACGATTCCGTCTGACACCGGTGTGATGATGCCACGGGTTGGGGCCTGAATCCCCGGTCCAGCTGCACACCCGCCACCGGACCTGTAGGTGGAGGTCCTACGGGACGCAGGAAGGTAAGGGACTTTGCGGGTTCCACGCCCGGGGCAGCTACTGGCTGCCAGGGAAAGGTGTCGCCCTCTTCGTAGCCAACCTGGCGACCGGCAAAGGTAGAAAGTATGCTCTCCATGGTCAAGTAACCACCCAGGTCAGTGCAATGTAGAATACCAAGCAAAACACTAAAGTGTGACAGAGGACCGTTTCTATTTGTAGCGAGACGTGATTTCGTGAATACTACTTACTCTAATGGCATTGTGGTTGTAGAACAAAGACATTGTGTGGAGCTAAATCCATCAAACAAATAGTGGTAGTAGTGAAAGGGGAAAGAAGTAGAATCTGTGGGAGTTGCCGAACAAAACAGCTTCCCTTTATCGGCAAGCATGAAACTAACCGGCGCTTATAGAGCAGCAACTGTGGTGTAGACGCATGGTTGTGGTCTACAAGGCTCAAATACAATCAGTCGAAATCTGCGTGAATACGTATACTATTAGAATATGCAATAATTCCAAGTCTTTTGCTCTTGTTTCTTTGGGTGATTTCGCTGGGCTCAGGATGATTTCGCATAGAAAGATTTAAAAATAAAAATAATAAAAATAAAAAAACCCTCAAGAATTTCGTCTGAGAACGAGCATCTTAAATTGTTAAAGATGTTTCAGGGTTGCAAAAGCTAGGTCAACTTCTGTCAAGTACTGGTTCCGTCTCGCATGCGGCGGCATAGATCACTGAACTCGTTCATAAAAGCTTAGAGATCCGGTTATATCCTTCGATCACTAAATACATCTTTCCGCCCATTGTGCACCTTCACAGGCAACCATTCCACATCGTCCCTGTCACTTCATGTATGTTGTCCACTTTGGCAAGTGTTATTGTCAGAACTCCCACGCGAATGTCTTGGCCGTCTTGTGAAGGGCCCAACATCCCAGCATAATCAGCCGGGGTAGGGTCGGAGAGAACCGCCCGAGCTTATGCTCCAGCTGTTGAAACGTGGTGACCTTCATTTCGTATCATGTGGTGAAAAGGTTATGGGTTATCGACGTCTCTATGACGACGCTGGCGCCATACCATATAGCCAATGGAAAGGAGGACGATGGGACCACAGCTGAGGCCCACTGCGAGGCCTATTATGGTGAGACTAGACAGCATATTGGTAGGCAAGGCACTTGAGCCAGAATTCGTGCTCGTATCTTTACTAGATATGGTGTCTTTGCTCGTGCTGGCTGTTTCTATAATTGATATGGTTATTGTGGTAATTTGCGTTTCGGTTAGCGGCGATCGTGAGATTTCAACGATTGTGGATGTATCAAGATTGTCTGCTTGACACTGAGAAAGCTGTCCAAATCAATGAATATATGACGCGTAAACCGATACGGGTGAATGTAGATAGAGACTTGTACTATGTTTGGGTCCATAAGGAAGTGACCAATACGGTGAAAACAGTCAACTCCGTTATGGTGCTAAAGGTGGTGGAAGTTACATCAAAGGTTACAGTCGCGACACCGCCACTGTGAATCGTCTGGATTTGCCTACCGACTATATTATGATTCGTTAATTGACGCCTCGATAATGGCTAGTAAGGTCTTGGGTCTGGTAACTTGGCGTGTTGCTGACCTTCAACGGTCCCTGCTCTGATATCTCCTCGCGTGAACAGGCCACCAGTATGTTGTTCGTTTCCCGAGAACATTCTTTGGACAGTTTTGTTGTATCGCTTCGCTTCGCGGCTATGATAGTTGTTATGGAAGTAATCTCAGTAGCCGTGCTTATATCAGACACTTTCACCACCATAGTCGAGGTCATGGTCGTGGTCTTTTCAACGACGACTTCGACTGTAGTCAATGCAGTTGCCAAATGCGTGTTGATGGCAGAAACCGTGGTAGTGATGTTAGCTGTTGTAACGCCGCCGCTTGATCAGCCGGACCAAGGTTTACACTTTTGGGCACGGCTCTTACGCTTGCGCTGCGCAATACTCTGTCAAGAGCACAAGCATGCAGAAGGTGTCGCACGCTAATGCGGCGGTCATCGTCCGCATTGCAGCATATGTTCTTGTCAACGAGCATGACGATAGGAACTTTATTAGTAAGCCATCAATGAAACGCCTGGCAAAGAGTGACAAAGCGAAGGTGAAATGCGCATGGCGGTGATCGTGCAAACCAAGTCCTTGACTCCGTCCGTAAAAGCTGTATGACAACGTTGGCGCATAATCAGCTGTGTCTGGCAGAGTAGATGAACTCGAGGGACACAACTAGCACATGCAAATAGATGGCTGAGATTTCTGCATAGCTTCCGTGAAAGGACCAACGGCTTATGCTGTGCTCCCTTTAGATGCACCAGTCTTCTTCCGTAGCAAGAAATGCAATACTCTAGGCATAGCGCCAGCACCGAGATGCAAGCGGCAATTGAGCGTAATACTGTGGGATGAATTAATGGCCATGCTCAGCGCCACATATTAGTCGTTGAGAAGAAAAATCCCTGGCACACCGCAATGCGTGCTGTTTCTTACACTGCGGCATGACAGCAGTCCATCGTAGTGCAGCCAAGACATGCCGATTAAGCGGTCAAGAAGACGATCATACATGATGACCTTGCCAAAAGTCTGTCTATGTTTATAATAGCTTGAATATTATCTGCTAGTAATGGAAATGTCGCACTGTTCCTCTACTGGAAGACATCCGCATATCCGTATCCTTGGCGCCAAGCCGGCACGTTAAAAGTGTCAGCGTCAGCCCTACGGATATTACGATAAATTTGAACAAGCATTCGATCACGCGCGGTTCGCACTGTTTTGAAACTTTTAGTCATATCGGAACGTATTTTCCAAGCCAGCATAGCTCTTTTAGACCCATCATAAGACGGGTCAACATTATATTGACGACGTTTCAGCCACTGGGCCAATACAGTGGGCTCAATATGCAGTGTGGCCGTAACTTGTAGATATACAGACGCCGGAAACCCAATAATCATCGCTCGTATTTTGGCAGATGCTCTGCCTCATGCCCCTGCGGACTCCTGGCCGTCGATAGGCCGGCTATACTCTCATAAGGATCGTGGGTCCCATAGACATCGCGCTCATCTAGCATTGGGGCGGACGGTTCGTGGGTAGATGACGGCCCGGCAGTATTTAATGGTGGAGCAGATGGCTCACTCGAGTGGTACTCTTCTGGTACCTCTGGAGGTGCACTCGCTTCTGCTAATAGCCGCCTCCTTTCCAACTCTTGTTTGTCATCGACCGGGTCTGAGTGTGCTGCGGTCGCCGATAAATCGCCCAAAGAAGGTGCGGAAGGTCCCTCGCCAAAGTTGTCGCTGTGGCTTGTTGGTACTGGTAAAGAGGCGCCAGTTGGAAAGATAGAAGGCGCTGAAGGCTGCGATGGACTGGCCGCAGATTCGTCCGGCTGTGCCGTCGGCTGACTTGGCAATAAACACTGTTCAGCTTGCCGCACGCGTTCCTTCTCGGTTAGACTGCCTTGATTCGGGACTTGAGGTGGTGGGATGTAGACAGGAGCTTGCGATTCGTGTGCAGGAGAGTGATAGTCCGGAGCTTGGGGGGAGGCTGCAGACGAGAAATAAGCTTGCGGGTGGTCGTACGGAGTGTACGGAGTTGGGTGCTCGCTGTAGTCGCCACTCTCATCATAATTATCCTGCCAACCGGAGTTCATTTCGTTCGGCTGCTCGGTAGAGTAACCCGTATCCGAAGGTGGTTGTAAGATAAGCGTGGGTCGTGTAACGGCTTTTGAACGTGACTTGTTGGAATTGACGTTGCCAACCACGACTTCGAACGAGACAGATATCACTCCCTTCTCGCGTCGGAGATGATCGGTATCGACAATTGAACCGTTCCAGTTGGCGAGCCTACTTAATTGCTGATCATAAGTTCCTCCACCTGACGCAGGAACAGTTCCTGAGACAGACATGGACCGGGTTGGCTGCTGTGTTGTACCTTGAGACTGACCAGCAAGTCTTCCACCCAAGTCGACAACCACCTCCACGTTGTACTTGAAGGTAATCAAGCCCCCCGGTACTCCTTTTATACTAGGAAAAACGTCCTCTGGAACCCTGACAGACGTCGTGATATTTGCCGACAATGTCGTCGGATCAATTATTAGTGGTGCCACAGACTGCGACAAGTCTTTGCGAAACACACTGCAAGAGCCTGCTGAGGATAAGGATAACCCACCAAGTCCCGTCTTTGATTTGGGGTAGAATTCCTCCCGGTCTAGTTTTCGGGCGTCCTCCTTTGATAGGTTTGTGAAGAGCGAGGTTGGTGGTGCGTAATCCACTCGGCCTTGCCGATAAAAAGTGACGACGACGCCATGCAAGCTTTTCATGCGACGATTGTGATCAACCCGTATCCTGACAGGTAGCAAATCCCCGGGCATACACCCTCCTTTTAGAAGTTCCACGGTAGCCGTAATCTCACGATCAACTTCAGCACCCGTCGACACCTTGCTTCCACTCGAGCCCCCACTGCCATCGGCTCCCCTTACGCTGCTACTGTTATGGCTAGCCACGCTCTCACCACTGATCTCGCTCTGTATGTCGCTCTGTATGGGGCTTCGAGGCACGTGTTGTTCGTTTGGCCGAGGCCGACTCGACTCTGCGAAATGTACCGAGCTTTCGTTGGTGGTGTCGTTTGTTCTTTCGTTTGCTCTTGTGGGATCCAAATCGGCCGCGGGTTCTTGTAGATCAGTAGTGCTGCGCGTTGGCGTTGAGTTTGTCAAGGCAGTCTTTTTCCTTCTCTGTCGCTTGTGCATTGCATGCATGGTGACTTTCCTCTCCCTCGGTACTGGCACTAGTCCGACGTCAACCTTCTCCACGAGCGCGAGCTTCCTCTCCGCACTGGTAGTAGGAGCTATGGACGTCGGTCGGGTCAGGGTTGCGGTGATCATGTATGCTATCGTGCCCCGTTCGAACTGAGATGGTCGTATGTCAGCAAGACTGAAGGCCAAAAAAGAAGCAAAGGCTTTTGTATTCCTACATCGATACTGCTGGGTAGTCCCTCCTTGGGGAACACCAAGTCAAACTTGAACTCCCATTTTCTAGCGTCCAGTCTTCCCTCGCCGCACAAAACCTGCTCATCCTGGAACAGTTGCGCATGGCCATTACCAAAGTAGCGGACGTTGCTGCTACCCCCGCTAGGGACGACGGCGGGATTGGCGGCGTTCACCTGGGCTGCATTCTTGAATACGCGAACATAGCCGTGTAAATTGACGGTCAAATGAGTGATGCGGATCGGCTTGATGGAAGATATGATGACGGAGCCGGTGACATGATCGCCAGCAGAATATTGACGGTGAGGGTCGTCTACCAGGACATAGAACTCGGCGAGGTTCCGATTGCGCGTCCGGGATCGCAGCGGCAGGGAGAGGAAGGATAAGAAGGATTTTTTCGATGGTCCATCGTCAAGCGATAAGTCGGCTGTTCGGTCGGATGCACCCATCTATTCTGAAGTTCTCGCAATTGACGACAACGTGCGCGCCTCACATGGCACGTCACGACACGACACGTCACGAAACGAAATGAAAACGGAACGACACGACAACGACAGCAAGCCACAGCACAGATGCGTCAGGGTTCCGTCAGTGGATTGATTATATCCGGTCGCGATGGACGCGCGTGATCCGGGATTGTGTTTCCCAGGGCCCAGACGTGACGTTAAGAGGACCGTTTCGGCGGAAGACCGTACTCCAACGAAACACCAGGACTCGGACTCGAACTCGAACTCGAACTCGACACTCGGACTCGAGGGTCACCGGAGGGCTCTCTGGCGGTCAGCGGTCAGGCGGGCGGCGCGGCTGGGCTGAGATGGAGGCGCCGTTGTCTGATTCCCCGTGTGTGAAGCGCCGGCCGCTACTGGCGACAACGGGACGTTTTGAGATGCTATACCGTACCGAAAAATAGCTTTGAGTTGAAGCAGGTCTTGGAAAGTTGCATGTGCGAAAGGTTGTGGATGGTCTTGGCGTCTTGGTATGAGCGGGTGCCCAGAGACTAAGAATAAATCTGGCCGTGTCGTTTACCGTGCGGATGGATCAGAGAGCGGGTGAGGGGGGAGAACCATTAGAAATGTGAAGAGAGGGGGGGAGACCTAGGGGCACTGGCAGAGATCCAGATACCGGGGGGACAGGGAAGTCAGAAATGACTAACCTTAGGTTAACGAGCTCTAACTCGGCACCGTCAGTTCCTTCAAGGACTTGGGCCAATAGTTGGGGCTTGGGGCGCGCTTCTCCATGTCCCTTCCGATCTGAATTCGGGGTCCACGTCCATGTTCAAAGATCAACCTCCCACCCGAGCTAACCGTCGCGTGTCAGTCAACGGCCAAGTTCAGCGCCGTGTCAAGCCGTAACCCTAATCTTACCGACTGTGAGGAAGTATGTAAGTATCTATGTATGTATGTATGTGTGTATGTATGCATGCATGCATGCAAGGTATGTATCTCATGGGGACCTTGCGAAAATTGTGGTGCGTGTCATGTCCATGTTCGGGTACTCATCGCTAGGCTATTAGACTGTACGCAATTGCTGGTGGTTCGGGGGGTTTTCTCAGAGAGACGGCCAGCCATCACACGGCAGTGACATCTCCCTCAACTTGATCTGGTATCAACCAAAACAAACAGCTTCACTTGAACCAATCGTTTTGGCTTTCTAACCGGCGCATTCTGGTACATGGTGGAAGTTTGAAACGCCCGCAACGGCTGTAGCCATCAGACGACCCCCCGTAACACCGAAGAGTGACAGAAGAATACGGATATGGGTGGTCGCTCACGCCTTTGCTGTTCTGGACTCTCGACGCTACCGACGCGAATGCTCTCAGACCATCCTGAAGTGGATTCCATGGTTCATTGGATTTGAAATCCACATCCTGATTTGTATACACTACCCTGCTTCGGGACGTCACAATGTAGTGGAAAGTTGGGTGAAACTGACGATTTGGTACACGGGAGATGCATTAGCTGCTGAGATGCAAGCGAGCCTTTGGACGCGGGCGTCAAGCTTTCGAATATGTGGTCTCGTCGTTCTGAAGACTCGATTTTGCCTCATCACACAACTACGCGTGTTGAAAAGGAGGGCGTACGTGGCGTGGCGTTTCCTGTCGTTGCATTGACTTCATGTCTCGTTCGCACTACGCCTCATGTTGCACGCTGGAGTCTGGACTGAAGCTCCCGGCCTCAGTGGAAATCTTGGACGCGTGCAGTGGTACCAACAGTGGGCTCAGTGGGTGGTCTAGTGCTTAGGCTCGCGCGCCAGCACGGATGCTAATTGAGCTGGCAGGCATAAAACTTGATAGCGGTGGGCGCGTGGGTTGAAGGAAAAAAACATCCATCCCAAAATTGAAGCACGGGTCTGTATCAACAGTAATTCTGGAGGATCTGTTTCGCGTTCATCGTACGACTTAAGAGGAAATTCTTCTCCTCAGCACCTGAGTCATAATGGCGTAGAGAGATGCTGCCAAGGATGCCGAGAAGCAAATAAGCTACATGGCCAAGTAACTCCCCCTTGTCGTGGAACTACAGTCCACATCCGGAGTGCTTGACCTATTGTACGTGTTTCGTCGTTGTGCAACATACACGACGACGGACTACAGACATGCAAACGGTCCAATCAGGGCTGAATAATGATGAAATAAAATTTAGTGTAAGAGGATATCTTCAAAGGACCCTTCAGATTGTGACTCTCACAGCAAACGGCTCTATATATCTCCAACGGTCCCAAAGACAATCAGCTTTGGGTATGCTTTACAGTAAACTCCAGGGGCCATGCAATGCAATGCTTCTAAAACAAAACCCAGATCAAGCTCTAATCCAATGCCTCGCCGCTCAAAATGCTTTGCAAAATGCCTGATCCAATGCCTTCTATAGTATGCTGCATTTCTTGTTCTCCAACACAGCTCGCCACTCTTTTCTCATCGCCCATTACACTCGCTCCAAACGCACCACGTTTGCCCCTTTTGCTGGGCGTCTGAGCCAGGCTAAAGGAACCAGTCTTTCCGTCAACAGGATTAATCAAGGACAGCGTCTCCAGACTACTCATGACCTCTCGGAACTCTGAGCTCGATAGTGGGTGCAACATCGAATCCTCTGTGCACAATTTGCAGTATGTGTCATATAGTGTCTTGACGGTGGGCGCTGTCGTTTGCGACTTAAACGGTGTAGCCAAGATAGACGCCTTTGAGGCACGGTTACGTTTCTCCAGTGCAACTAAAGAGCACAGAGCAGCCTTTTGTTGCAAGTTCAGAGTCTTCAATCTCTGGTTGGTACCATTGCTAAAAGCTGCGGCAGTAACCTTATTGAGATGACCGATGCTCACCCTGGGCGCAGTCTCGATCGTGAGACTCTTCAGCGATGCCATGAGAGCAGCCGGGGCGCTCTTATCGGAGCCTCCCTTTGATGGTGATGACAGGTTCTTGTTTTCGCCTAGCACTTTTCTTGAAGGTGAGGCAAGTAAGATTTGCTCCTTGATCTCTGTCTCATGTTTCTGCTTCGTTTCCACCTCCACCAAATCGATGGCTCGCCGGCATATTTCAAACGCTTTCCTCAAATCACCTGTCTGGCTAGACACTTTTCGAGAGCAAAGCTCAATGGCCGCTGGGTGAATAAATGGTAGTGGAGCTCCTTCTGGCACCAGACTCTTGAGGCGCGTGGTGATGATGGTCTTGATTTGAGTTGCTGAATATGGCAAGAATGGTAGAAGTTCGGGTTTGAGATTACGAGACTTCAGTCGCGGCAGGAAACGATCTGTCAGATCCAGTGCGTTGGCAATGCCTACCAGAACAAGGCGAGATGTCTTCTGCATTGACCACTCGAAGACGTTGTATAAACTCTCCAAATCGAGAGACAAAATGTGGTCGATTTCGTCCAACACAACCAAGAAAACGTCTGGTGTCTTCTTCTTGGGGATGAATAGCTTCTGAACAGCCGAAGCGGCATCTGCTTCGGCAATTGCGGTCTCATTGCAGAGTTGGTCCAGGAGTGTTGCATACAAGTCTTTCGAAGACTTGATACTCATGCAGTTGATATATGCCTTCTTGGCTGCGCATGTTTCGACAACTCCCTGGGTCATCTCATTCACCATGGCACTCTTGCCGGTTCCAGGCGGCCCACTAACATAGAGGCATCCGTTTGGATTGGACTTGGAGCATCGCTCAAAGAAGGTCTTCAACTGCTGTCGCTCATCCTCTCGTCCAATCAATTGACCAGGGTCTGCGCTTCGGGAGAATAGCTGTCGAGCATGATGGTAGACGGTCTGCACTGCACTCGGGGTAAGGGGTGTTGACGGTGTTGACCGCTTGGAGATTCTCCCAGCGGCCATTACACGGTGGCGAGGCGTAACGGGTACTTTGGCAAGTGCATCTCTGAACCGCGGAGTGCTCGGCGTCAGGGGCTTGTAGCTGCCCAAGGTGGTCTTTCCTTTCGTTTTCGGGCCCAGGTCGGCATCGTCCTCCAAGTCAAGAGAAGCGACGTTGGATAGTGACTCTTCGGTGATCTCTGTAGTGACGACCTCCTCGGCGGCCTCATCTACCACTGCAATTGCCTCGGGGTCCTCGTTCTCATCGTTGGTACGGAAACTGCGAGTCTGTCGCTTGACTCGTTTCAAGGGTGACTCGATCTCTAGATCGCCATTAGTAAGTCGTGGATGGATTTGCTTCCCCTATCAGCGACATAGACATACCATTTTCTGTGGCGCTCCTTGTCCGCTTTCCCAGTGCACTTCTTGCCATGTTTACTACTGCAATTTGGAAACCACAATTATTATGTCCAAGAAAGAATTGAGCCGTTGGAGATTGTGAGTACCCGGAGGAGTATACAGGCCTGTACTGTAATAAGACGTGGGTCGACGCGAGTATCTCGGGAAGGAGCAAGATAGCGCCAGAACGCGGTCAAGCGCGTACGGTCGCGAATGGACCAACTCAATTCTGCATAGCCAGGAAAAAGCGCGTAAAGTGACGCGCTAGTGTGCTAGTGCCGCCTCGGGTGACACTTTAATCTCACCCGGCCAGACCCACTCTCCTCTTGGGAACATTGGTGGCAGCGTCCCAGCGTGCACCCCTGGCAGCCCTGGGAAGCAGCCGAACTCCGCTATTCACGGCCGCCGGTCACGATAGCAAAGAACATCGCCACTGCCCAAGGGTTTCTAATTGACCAATGTCAACCTTCTCGCAAGACACAATCGTCTAGTTTAATACTGCTCTCTGAGCCCACCCCGTCTTGTGGCCAGCATGCCCATCATATCTCGTGCAGGACCTGGCATTACACCGGCCTTGATGAAGGATACAATCGGCTTATCAATATGACAGACAGGGACCGGGGCACGGAGGCTTACAATGCTCAGATCGAAGGGCTGCGAGAAAGGGAATATCCCATGCTGAGAGGTGCGCATGTTCTCCGAGCGTCGAGTCCAAGCGTTTTCTGACCGTATCCAAGATGAAGTATATCTCGATCATGCTGGAACCACGCTATATGCAAAGTCACTGATTGATAGGTTCTCGGCCGATCTGATATCGAATCTTTACGGCAACCCCCACTCCGGCTCCTCATCTTCGCAGACATCAACCTCACGGATTGACGATGTTCGCCTTCGGGTTCTGCAATTTTTCAATGCCGACCCTTCCGAGTTTGATCTTGTCTTTGTCGCAAATGCTACGGCAGGCATCAAATTAATCACAGAAGCATTTCGCGCGGCCTCTAATGGCTTCACATATGCATATCACCAGGCATGCCATACAAGCTTGGTGGGTGTTCGAGAGGAGGCTAGAAACAGCCTTTGCTTTGACAATGCAGCGGTAGAAAGCTGGATCGGTAACAACTGTCTTCCAGACGAGCTGAGACGCTCCGGACAGACGGCACTGTTTGCATACCCTGCCCAGTCAAACCTAGACGGCCAGCGCTTACCCCTGGACTGGTCGGAAAGGTTGCGGAAGGGAGCCCAGTCGCACCCCGAGGGTTTTTATACTCTTCTGGACGCTGCAGCCTATGCTTCGACGTCACCACTGGACCTTGGTAGTTCGGACGATGCCCCTGACTTTACAGTACTGAGTTTCTACAAGCTGTTCGGCTTTCCTGACCTGGGTGCACTAATTGTTCGTCGTCAAGCGGCACCGATCTTCCGGGATAGGAGATATTTTGGTGGAGGGACTGTTGACATGGTTGTCTGTGTCAAGGAGCAGTGGCATGCTTCAAAAGGACAAAGTCTGCACGAGTCTCTTGAAGATGGCACCCTGCCTGTTCATAGCATTATTGCATTGGACGCAGCCCTCGATGTCCACCATCACCTATTTGGAACCATGAAAGATGTCTCGTCACATACCTCTTCCTTAGCTCAGCAACTTCACACACAACTGGCGACTTTGAAACATGGAAATGGAAACAAAGTATGCGCAATCTACTCACCAGATTTAGAGCAGAGGAAGAGCAAAAATGGCACCGGACCCGTCGTCGCATTCAATCTACAAAATAGTCATGGTGCGTGGGTTAGTCTGGCAGAATTCGAGAAGCTTGCGAGTCTGAAGAAGTTCCACATTCGCACAGGTGGTGTGTGTAATCCTGGAGGTATCGCGACGGCCCTGGGTTTGGAACCTTGGGAAATGAAACGAAATTTCTCATCCGGCTTTCGATGCGGAAATGAGAACGATATCATGTGCGGCAAGCCAACAGGCATAATACGCGTAAGTTTGGGGCCGATGAGCACGGCCTCGGACATTGATAAGTTTGTCGCATTTATCGACGAGTTCTACCGCATCGATGAAATAACTGCTTCGTCAGCCATGAATCCAGCCAGGGGGAACACCAATGACTACGGCCTTCGAGTGCAAGATATAATGGTATATCCTATCAAAAGCTGCGGTGGCTATCGCGTTCCGAAGGGTATCCCCTGGCATGTTCGACCCGAGGGTTTAGCATGGGACCGGGAATGGTGTCTTGTGCACAGAGGAACAGGACAAGCATTGAGCCAGAAAAGATATCCCCGCATGGCTCTCGTCCAGCCGACTATCGATTTCGAAAAAGGCGTCCTGGAAGTAAGCTACAATGGACAGCTCAGCGAGCATATACCGCAGACGATCACGATACCCCTGTCCGCGGACCCTAGTTTTCTAGAATCATCACTACCTACCAAACATGTCGCATCGCGAGTATGCGGGGAACAGATCACGGCACAAAAGTACACCTCGCCCACTATCAACGACTTCTTCTCGCACATTCTCGGCGTCCCCTGCACCTTGGCCCGCTTCCCACCAGGTGGACAAGGCAACAGCATGCGGCACGCCAAAGCGCATCTACAAAAGCACCAAAACGTGTCGACCAAAGCCACCCGATGCTCTTCTCTCCCCGGGAGCTTTCCAGGAATGGCGACGCCGCCGGACTCGGATTCCGAGACCGAACAGCACCGCATCCTGTTATCAAACGAAAGTCCCATACTGGCCATCAACCTCTCGAGCCTCGCCGCTCTCAACCGTGAAATCGCCGCCCGCGGTGGCAAGCCTGTCCCTGCCGAAGTCTTCCGCGCGAATGTTGTGATAGGCAGCTCCGAACCAGACGACGAGTCGCTGGCCTATTTGGAGGACCACTGGTCCACGCTGCAGATCGGGCAGCAAGCATTCAAGATGTTGGGGTCGTGCCGGAGGTGCCACATGGTGTGTATAGACCAGGAGACGGCGACGAAGAGCGAGGAGCCGTTTGTCACGTTGACGAAGACGCGGAGATTTGAGGGCAAAGTCTTCTTTGGCACGCACATGTGCCATTTGCCCACAGTGGCGGAAGCGGGAACGAGGGAAGCGCAACATCCTACCTTGCAGGTTGGGGAGGAGGTGACGGTTGATATTTAGAGATATGGGTGTGCTTAAAGTGTGGCAGCATTTGCACAGCGATCATGGTTGGAATCCTTGAGCACTTGTTTTGAACTTTTACTTGATTGTTCTGTATAGGATCATCTACGTTGTGACGTACGTAACTTGAGAGTCCTTTGAAATTTGTGATAAATGTCATCACGCCGTGACACTGTCACACCGGTCTTTCCGACCGATTATACCATGATGCGAGGCTTGCTGCCTCACATGCGGCGCGGGTATATCAGCGCTGTTATTGTGATTCCTGCAGCATTGTCCTTGCAGGCCTTAGCAAGTTGACTGGGTCTCATAAAAGGAGTGGCGGGCGTGAGAGTCGCCACATCCGCCCTGGCAGAGCTGCAGCTGCCTTGACAAACATGCTTTCAGTCTTCGGATACCTTGCTAATATGGGTGCGAGCCCCCGGAAGATCCCCAAGCGTGCGACATTCAGTCATGTGGTGTATAGCAATGCTACTCCCCAAAGCCCAAGCCGTGGTTCAAGAGTATTCTTTTCAAAAGGTCTTCCACCCATGACTAACTGTGCTTTGTCCGACACTCTCAGTCAAGAGGCAGTCCCAAAGCCAGCCTCTGTTGGTTAAGGTCGAAGTCCAGATGTTGCATTGGATTCTGCTCGACATTCAGCGTCTGCGGCATGATCTCTTGGGCGTTGATCTGTGCTTCTGCAGACTCGTATGCCGTTTCGACGAAATCTTCAGCCGATATATGCGGCATCGTCTGCATGAGTTGCGACATTTGGCTCAGCAACTCGATATGTGAGATAAAGCCTCCGCCGGACTGACTTGACTGCTCCAGCAAGGATATCCCGCCTGTCCAGTCCGCACCCCATATCTCTGGTGGTATAACATCACCATCATACACAGCCATGCGGACTGGCCACTGGAGGCGCGACCACCACTCGTGGTCATCTGGATCGAAAAGTGATATGATTCCCATGACTTCCCGGCGTGCTATGCCCTTCAGCCACCAAACACCATCCAGGCTTTTCAGGAGACCGAAAAAGGAAGCAAGTATAGCCAAAGCCCGCGGTCGCCGTTCTTGTAGTAGTTCCATATATCGCCTAGACACAGTTGCAAGAAATACCAACGGCGCTCCTGTGAGTGGGATCTTATGTGCCCAATTTAGAACAGCGACTGCGTGCTGGTAAGCCTGGCGCGTCTTGTTTCTCGCATCTGGGTTGAGGTCGGTAGCCGCAAGCTCCTCTTCCATGCCACCTAGGAGGCTCCCAAAGAAAGTGGTGCCTTCAGAGCTCATGTTCAGATCCAGCGCGGGCTGGGATTGGATGATGGGCACCACATTCTCACTGTTGCGCAGCCATTGCCAACTAGTAGCGACGATGGTCTTGATACCCTGGAATGCATGAAACCATGAAAGCGGCAGGGCATACCCGCCGCTCCGGTCTTTCGTGTCGCCGCCATCCTCGCGCATGAAGATCCGGGCCGCCGTGGACTGGAAGCCGATGAGCGTGGCGGTAAGAAACAGAGCCTCGGCGTTTTGCGCATTGATTCCCTTCCTGAGGTTGGTGCTATATTCCGACAATGACGAAGCCATATAGGCGTGACTGGCCCGCACGAGGGCCTGGTCTTGGGGCTGGGATGACCGTAGATGTAGAGCGGATACGGCAAGTATAGCATCGGCCAGGAAGCTGGCGCCACCAAAAGCGAGACCTGGCACGGTGTCTCTGAATATGGCCTCGCTCATTGGGTCGGAAATCAGCAAGGTCTTGCAGGTAATTGTCGTGTAGTGGTGTAACAACCTCAGCTCCATCATCCTGTTTTCTTGGGGCGCTGTGCTTATGTTTGGCGGATCAACGTGTCGGTATATCTTCAATGGCGCTCCCGGTGGCATTGATGGGGTCGAGGGGGCTCTGTTGGAGACGGGGCTATCGCAGAAGCTGGGGGATGCTGCGCTCGCGGTCGCGGGTGTGTCTGGAACCGCGAGTCGGTCTGCCAATTCGGGGTGCTCGAAGTCGCAAGTGACGCCATGTTTGGCACAGTTGCTGCATCGTGGATGAACCTCATCGCACTAGAAGGCGGTGCATGTCTTGTCAGTGGTTGCCTGCTTCTAGCACATTGTGCTGGGGCATACACGTGGTGCAATACCTTGATCTTCCTAGTCTTACACCTCCGGCAGCCCGCGCGAGACTTTTTGTGGGATCTTCGAGGAGGCATTGCTTCTACAGTTCTTTCTACCGTTCCGAATACGAGTGCTGATTCGGAGACATCATCGCATGGCCGAGATGGTGAGATGCGATAGTCTCCCAAGGCGACAGCTTGACTGAGTTAAAGAGGGAAAGGCTCAATGCTGAACAGCAGCGACATGCTGTGATTAACTTACTGCTTAGGTAGGTTCGGGCAGGAGAGATACAGTGGCATCGGCTCGCTGTTCAGGGATTATTAAGATTCTCTGCCAGTGTGCTGCTGGCAGTGCCTGGTGGGAGGTGGGTGGCAGCCAGCAGCGGCACCAAGCGGCGGCCGAGATGGCCCCTTGTCACGCGGGCTCAGCCACCAAATGCGTGGGGACTTTGGCGAGTGACTTGCTACTGTACATAACGTAGTCACCTCAATGAAGAAATGTGTGCCCAGGCCGCGGCGAGGTCTGAGCAAGAATTCTGACATATGATGAAGAATACACAATTGATGCCTTCTGATTGGCGCCACGGTGTGCTAGCTTGTGAGTATGCAGTGGTGCGTTGCCGACGCAACACGAAAGATCAATCAAGTCACTGCCGTATGGGGGAAATTATCTGCACGAACCTACGGTCGCTACATGCACACGTTTCAGCTCGTATCTCTCTCTCGGATGCATACCCACCTCTTTCATTTAAGCCTTTAAGCTGTTCTGTACCGACATCAATGGATGTGGTCCCCTGGTTGGACTTAAACTAAGGCTAGATGCTGGGAATACTCAGCCACTGAATTCCATCTATCCATTCATTGTATGCTTTGGAACTCCGGCACAGGCCAGCAAGGTAAATTAATGCCTACCACATTCCAGCTCATGCCACCGTCTTCTCCCTCCCCGCTTACAACGATGACAGGGGAACGGTGCTCGACACGGATAGCAGTCACATCACCGATGCATCACCGGCTTCTTCAATCCTGCGTGCCACCAATTCGCCTCATCCGGAAACCCTCGGTATTCACCCTCCAGCGGCCCGTGCTGCTGCTCTGCCTCTCCGTATATCTCTGCTCGATCACTTCCAAGCTGTGGCCCTTTGTCTCGTACATGAAAATTATGCACATGATTGTCGTGAAAAGGGAACAAAAAGCAAAGAAATAGTATGCGCCGAACGAAGAACTCGAAATAAAGACGGGAGTCGTCAATGCCACGACATAGTTTGCAAGCTAATACTTGTCAATCGAAGTTCAACAGAGGCGAGAGAAATGACCACCTACCCAATTGCTGCCCTGCCCGAGACTTGCAGCACTGCTCCTGGTCTTCCTTGGTAGACTCTCGATCAGGAACGACCTTATGCCGATAGCCCAGGTCATGTTAAAAACCACGGCGAATAAGTAGATACTAACGATAACCACCCATCTGCCAGCACCAGAGTCCGCGTGCACCTCGCCTGCAGCATACATAGAGCCCATTAGCAACATGAGCACAAAGATCAGTGTACCACCGAGGACAGTGGATGTTTTGCGACCCCAGCTATCTGCAAACAACGCTGCAGGGATCGTCACAGCCATAATGAGCAGCGCCGAGACGCCCGACGCGAGGAAACTAGCCTGGCTTGAGCTGATCCCGGCTTGCTGAAGCAGAAGAGGTGCGTAGTATAGGACACCGTCGATCCCGCTGAATTGCTGCATTGCCATGAGGAAGTAACCGAAAATTGTGCGCGATCTGAAGGGCTTCGAGAACGCCTCTCTGAACTCGTAAATGGTCTGCTTGATATTTTCCCAGAACGTCGAGTCAGGAGAGTGTTCCAGACCACTCTCTGACACAGCAAGGAGCTCTGCCTGTTCAGCCTCGTCGAGCCCGAGCTGGGCAATGACAGTCCTCGCCTCCTCGGGTCGACCTTTGGCTTGAAGCCAGCGCGGGCTTGGTGGCACCAGACCACATAACGCAGCGTTCGTGAAAGCAAAAAATGCCTGGACAGCGATGGGCAACCTCCAACTGATCGAACCGTCAAGTCCAGCAGTCCCGTACGATATGAAGAAGCCCATGACTAGGCCGATGGTGATTAACAACTGCGGGAGGGCGCTGATGATGCCTCTCTTCTTGGCTGGCGAGATCTCACAGACGTGCACGTAGACCGTCGAGAGGAAAATACCCTCGCCGGCACCCTTGACTAGCCGGCCGATGATGAACATGACCAGATGGGACGACGCGGTCTCCAGTGCGGCTCCAACGCCGAATATCGTGGAACCAATAGCGATCATGCGAGTCCGGCCATAGCGATCTGCGAGGATTCCAGCAACGAGGGCGGCAAGTGCACCTGGAATCAAGATTGACGACACGATCACACCATGCATTGTAGACGAGAATTCGCCGAACGTCTCTATATATGAGGCCATGGTTGTGACCGGACCAATTGTACCGGTATCCATACTGCAAAGAAATTAGTCTCTTCCACAGCCTCGTTCGAACGCCGGGTCGACGTACCCAAAAACAATTGCATTGAATGATGTGACGATGGAGGCACTCAACCAGAGCGGCACTCGTCCCAAGCGGCCGAGAACCATCATGATAGCAATTGAGGGTTCGCTGTATTGAAGTGCAACGAAACGGAATGCTTGTCAAAGGCAAGAAAGAAGCTGGACATTAAATAGTGGGAAAATGAGGTAAGTTATACAAGATAGAAAATCAGTGGCGCTCAGTGTCGACTCGGTTACAAATGCTTTCAGTGTGATTTTGTTCTTGTACAGTTCTGACAGTAGCGCTCCCACGATGTCAAAAGGTCGCCGATCTTTTTTCTCTTTCGTCCAAGTACATAGTATGATCGCGGAGGGCGTGGGGCTCGATGGGGACCCCAACAGTCAAAGGACTCCCCGAGAACGGATGCATACGGGAGTGGGTGGCCCACTCCAGTCAAACTATACGGCCTAGACAGGAAACTTTTCCGACAAGAAGACGACGGACCTGAGAACAGCGAAAAGTTCGACCGCTCCGCCCCTACATGAGCTGGTTTGCGAAATATTTTATGTACGCACCGATAGCAATTGTCTTTACTATGTAGTCTTGACCAGTATAGCCTGAGGCTTCTGCACCTATTGTGATGATTGAAAAGCCATATGGCTTCCGCACTCCTGGTCACCGCCTTTTTATTTTGTGCATTGTCTATTCCAAGTGGGGAAGTATGGAATGCCTCCGTTTGCTTATTGTTGATGTGCACATAACCTCGAAAAGAATGCGCGGGGAGCCTGACTTTGTGAACTACAGATTGTTATAGCACAAGGATTTCAGCAACTTTTGGGTCTTCTTCCTGAGCTAACCCAGAATCTTGCTACTCGACACTCCACTTCTGATCATATAGGGACTATCCGTTACTCAAGAAAGCTTGTAATGCTAGAACCGGTATTGTTTGTTATCTGATTGCGTCAAAGCCCGACATTGACAAGCATTTTATTTCACAGCTCTTATATTGTAGATGAGAATTTAACTAGCTTAATGTCGTGGAGATGATATACAGAGTGGGCATCCCCACGTTCTTGGCGATGTGCTGTTAGCAAAGGGCGCGGTCTCAATGATGTGAGGTTTGTCCCTTTGGATAAGCTTCGTGGTCATGCAAAAATTATTGATATACTGCAGTGGAAACCCAGCAGCACTAACATGTTTTTAGTCGTGTAATTATACTATCTCTTCAACAGCTGCGGTAGGTGCTGTAGACAACAGCTAAGCAACGGTCGGATCACGTAGGTCATTATAGTGTATGCACAAAGACGATTTGAACCAGTAAAGAGGGGTTCACGAGTACCTTGTTGCGTAGGAATCATCAGGTAGAGTGAGCTGTATTCGATTCCGGTTGCTCTGATCGGTGCCGACATAGATAGATAGAATGATCTGCACTCGGCAGTACCCCGCACCTAGCGGCGGTCATCATGTATTAGAACACCGGCAAGTATGTAGCCCGCGGCAATGTGACTTCTTTCAGGCGAGATTCGCTTCGTGCGTTTCACTTTCACATCGTATTGATTCTGTTCCAATGACCTTTCGAGTTGCTGCGTCCAGTATAGGACGTGTATCTTTAATTCTTCCGTCAGCGAGACAGTCTGGGATATTTCGAACATACTCAACAATGTCGAACTTGTTACAAGGTTGTACTTTCAAAAACGCGCTGTTGAAGGCAGAAGGGCCTTCGATGGGTCTTTGGCAAACTCTTCCTGGTGCAAACATCTCACGAATTTTAGCAAGGGCAGGCGTCGAATGGGTATTGGTGGACTGCGAGCATGGAAATATCGACGGTGTGGATAATCTGTCCTGCACACATGCGAATCCTTTGATCCTTCATCAAGACCAAAGGCTAGCAAAATAGTTGTCTAAAGCTGCGGAAGAAATGCAGAACTAACTCGTACAGATGCTGCCATGCACGAAGCAGTTCCAGCGATCGCGAGTTGTGGTGTCAGTCCTCTGGTCAGATTGCCCGATATGCAAGGATGGATGATCAAGCGTAAGAAACCATGAGGACCTATGTGGCCATTGCGACTGACTAATCATTAAGGTGCTCTCGATTCTGGAGCTCATGGTGTAGATTGCCATAGTCCCTTGAGTTACTTGAGACTGACTGATGCTGATACAGGTTCTGATTCCACTTCTCAGAACCGCTGAGGAAGCCAGGAAGGTAGTTGCGGCTGCCAAATTTCCTCCTCAAGGGCAACGGGGACTAGGATCTCCATTCGCTATGGAGCGCTTCAACCCCATCCCATCAATGACGGAGTACTTGCAGAAAGCCAATGATTCTCTTGTAACGATGGTACAAATCGAGACGAAGGAAGCTCTCGATGCGGTTGCGGACATTGCTGCGGTGCCTGGTGTTGACGTTCTCTTCGTCGGCCCTTTTGACTTGGGGAACAACATTGGCTATCCCATACTCGATGGTGTTATGAAGCCTGAATTGAATCAAGCCATTGACCGCATACTGGAGGCGACCCACAAGGCAGGCAAGAAGGCAGGCTTCTTCGCTAGTAGTGCCGAGCAAGCGAAGGCATATGCGGACAAAGGCTTCGATATTATCAGTGCTGCCTTGGACGCGACAATCTTGCAGTCCTCGGTAGTAGAATCATTAGCCACAGCCCGAGGCCAGGCCAGACCTAATACTGGCGGGAAATACTGAGGTCGGGTGTACCATTCCCTCGGTCCGTTGTATACTGGCCCCAGAAAAGATGAACCGCACAGATTACCGGGTTAGATCAATTAGATCAAGCGCTTCTGGCTGGTTTTAGTTTTGTCCCTTTTCGACAACGTTCATTTTAGTCTGAACTTCATCTACTGTGAATCTATGCATAAGTTTGACAGCCTTTGAGGAAAGTTGAGGCTGCTCTTCTGGTGCCGTGGCCTTTGCAATATGTATCTGGCGCGAGTTTAGCAATGGCCATCTCTTCAATATGCATAGCCCGAAGGAGAGATGCCGCTGAGAGTATCTCCGGAGGTTTAAGCGTGTCGACATACCACTGGAACATCAAACTCATACAGATCGCGCCAACGCGGGATTTGTTGCGATTTGATGATATCGACTTCCTTGTATTCGAACGGCCGCTGATCCCAAAGATCGGAAAGTACGGATTTGGCCTGCGTGCATAGTCCGCAATTCTCGCGTGTGAACAGGGTGATTCTGGAGGCGTGCTGGAAAAGCCTGCCGGTGGCGCGCATCTTGCCAAGCTGCACACACGAGGGAAACAGATGCCCACAGTCCGTAGTGAAGAGGTTGTCGTCTGAAGGTCTGTGGTCGTCGAAACAAGCAACACACAAGAATTGGATTCTTCAACGACGGCCTTGGTATCGTACGATTCTCGACCCAAGAATTTACAGTCCGCAGGTCCTTGCAGCAGATCGCTCAGGGGCTCTAGCGTGGCATTTTAGCCCCCAAAACTTCCCCAACTCCAAAAGATCAAATTCGAGAAGGGGATCAGGCAAATCAGGACTCAAGTTCTCAACGCCCCCCTCCCGCTAACGTTAGGTAGGCTGGCACTCGTGAGTACATACATACTTGTATCCCGTAACGGAGCACAACGTCATCAGCCCACCTGGTCAGCTCCCCCCCCCCCGGTCCCTCCGGCCTCCCGGCCAAGGCAGGCGGTGAGAATTTGTAACTGCTATGGGACGGATCCGTACATCCCCTCCAAACGACGGAAGCCCATCGAAGCATTGGTGGGCGCTTATTTCATTCCCCAGCACCGCCGACATACAGACAATCAAGCAAGCAAGACAAGCAGACGATCCAGCAAGACACAACCCCGAGGTTCTGATCACTTACTGAGCTTCAAGACCAGCCACTATGGCTCAAAAATGTGTTCACAAAGGCTGCGGCAAGGTGTACACCGACCCTCATGAGGTCTGTACTTACCATCCCGGTCCGCCAGTCTTCCACGAGGGGCAGAAAGGTGAGTAGCACTCATGGGACCCTCCAGTGCCCTCAAGGTTCTATACTTTATTTGAGCAGCACGGTACAGTGCAGTACCGTATAGCACAGCACAGTAGTGCCTTTTTTTCTGTCTGTGTAGAGGAAGAGGAAGAAGAGAAAACCCATATCTACAAAGGCGTACATGGTGCAACTTGATATAGAGGTAGAGCACTAAAATCTCATCTCGCTAGGATGGAAGTGCTGCAAGCCCCGCGTCTTGACCTTCGACGAATTTCTAGCAATTCCCCCCTGCACCGAAGGGAAGCACAGCACAACCGACCTTCCGCCTGATATTGAGAAGAAGACTGGAGACTCGGCTGCCGCGGAATCGACCTCGCTCTCTGCGAAATTGGCTGAGATCCCAGCCGACCTACCCTCACGCGCTCCCCTTGCGCCACAACCCGCACCCACCGCACCACCTCCTCCGCCTGAGTCGGAAGACGATGAGCCGTCCCTGGAGATCCCAGACGGCAAGACTTGCAGGAGGAAAGGATGCAATGCGACCTACAAGAAGGGGCAAGCTCGGTCGGATCAAGAGAACTGCGTGCATCATTCTGGAGCACCAGTCTTTCACGAGGGCAGCAAAGGATACACGTGCTGCAAGCGCCGCGTCCTCGAGTTCGACGAGTTCATGAGGATCGAAGGCTGCAAAACGTCGCCGAGACATCTTTTTATTGGCTCGGGAGAGGACAAGAAGAAGAAGAACAAGGACGCTAACACAGAGGAGCTGCTCGACACTGTACGGAACGATTTCTACCAAACCCCTAGCACCGTGATAGCGTCCTTCTTTCTCAAGAAGATCGACAGCTCCAAGGCGACGGTCAAGTTTGAGAGCCAAACTCTGATTCTGGACTTACCCACCACCGATGCAACGCCCAAGAGATACAAGACTGATGTTCCGCTTTACGGCAAGATTGACGCAGGAAAAAGCACCTTCAAGATCTTTGGCACGAAGCTCGAGGTCAACCTCTTCAAGGCCGATGGTGCCAGCTGGCCGGTATTACGCAGTGATGACCGTCTGACGGGCTCGATCCTGCAAGTTGGTCGGGCTGGAAAAGTCTAGGTCTCGATCAAGGTCAAGGTCCAGGTCGGCTGGGTAGGAACATGCATCAAGACACTATTGTATACTGTACGAATGCAACATCTGCCGTTCGGTGATTCTAGAGGTAACGCAATCATCTCTTCGTTGGTGACACCGTCTCTCCTGTGCCTTCTAAATGCTGGCTAGATCTGAAAGTCACCGTCTTGATGGTGGAACGCCCAGACCTTGCGGAGTACCTTATCAGCGGGAATGGCATCCCCCGCCCGTCTTGGTATTCTTGGTATTGCAGTCAAGCGGCAAGAAGCTCAGGAAAGTCTGATTACACTTTCGCTGTTGTGCTGGGCAATGGTGAAAAGTACGGCTTGGTATTGAGCCTTGGCTCCTGGGGGTTACAGAAGCGGCACTTACAAAGCTTAGAGGCTCTTGGTCTTTCTAGGTGAAATGAAATAGGGCTTGGGTGTAAGGCCCGCCGCAGATGTGCAAATCGCTTGTCCTACATCAGCATCGGGGGGCTGTGCAGTCTGTGCGGCCATAGATAGGACTAGTCAGTTGACTAAACTAGTCTGTAGCAGCAATTATCTGATTTACAAGACTCAGTAAAACAGTAACGGGTACGACCAAGTGCCGCTGTATGATGCTCTATTCATGGAGGTTTATCCCGTGTGTTGAATGTGACACAGATCTTATGCTCGGGACAAATGACGTGGAAGATTGCGAATCTTTCTGACTCTCCAAACAATCAGAGCAAATGCCTTGCCAAGTCTTCTAATGTCTCACTGACTAGAATTCTGGCCCACAAAAGCAAACCAAAGCCTCTTTTCCCTGACCGCCCACAGTCCAGATTATATCACTTCCTAACAAGGCGCTCTTGGCGGTGCTGGGCACCAGCCAGGGCAATAGGATGACCACATAAACTTGCTCAACAAGCCAATCTACTACAGTTTTTCCCGACTCGGGTGCTTTATCGCAAGCGCGCTCCGCATAAGCCCAAATGTAGGTGCCGACGAAGTCTCTCAGGGACAGGTAGCATCATGACTCCCTCTTTCCCCCCTCCCCCAAGCAAAGGGCCCCACTTACAGGTTATATACCAAGTATACCAAGCAAAAGACAATATGGATCAAGGCCCCGGGATTGCCCTCATAAGACCTCCCGACGCCGCAACACAAGCATTATGACACCTCTCCGCTAGCCAAGAGGGGGGTGGAGGAGGGAGAGAGAGAAAAAACGAAACAAAGGTACTGAACTTGTCAAAAAAGGGGACGGACGTGCCAGGAGCCGGATGACTAGGTCCTATTCCCCACGGCTGAGCAATGTTCCTCAAGCTGCATCTCCCGGGCCAAGTCGTTCTCGGGGCATTATTGGTATCCCCGAGCTGATGCTGACCTCGTCGTCGTTTTGCCAGCAGGCATGCCACCCGGGTGCAGAGAGCCTATCATGAGTCGTTTGTTCTTTTGTTCTTGTTTTATTTTACCGGTTGACTACCGACGGCTATCTGCCGGTGGCTTGTTGCTTAGTACGTGGGGGGTGGGTGACCCATTTTCAGGCGTGGTTAGGGGCATTTTGCTGTCAATGTAGATCCTTGATGACGATTATTTCTTGGCTTATCTAGATCTGCATGACCGAGCCTCTGGTCTGTTACGGCCCAGGGGGGGTTGCAAAGGTGAGCTCAAGTTGGCAGGCATGCGGAACGGGGGGGGGATCGATCACTCTGAACTTTTCCCCGTGTCCTAGGACTTTCTCTTTGCGGCCTTTTGCCATGAGTATCGTGGACAGCTGTGGTTGGTTGGTCTATTCATGGTATGCAATCGTATACTAGTGCGGTTTTGTGTTTTAGGACATTCTTCAACAGTTGTGTCTAATTCGTTCTAACTCTCAGACTCTATTCGCTATCCCTTTCGTATGTAAGAGGCTGAATCCATACGTCGTAAACTTCCCCGGACCTGTTGTTGTGTACCCAAAAATGACAAACTTTACTGTTGTGTATCCAAACGGCGTTCATTCTTCGTTTCCGTGAGCACGTAAATAAAGCCATATATCCCAACGTTGCACAAAAACAACGCCCCAGTGACGGTGAACGCCTGATCATGCTTGCTCTAAAAACCCAATTTGAAAAATCCTCGCAAGGTTTCCGTAGCCATTCCACATTTTACCACCACCATTGTGACCATCATGATCGCACCCTGCTAGGGCCAGGCCGTTGAGCCTCCAAGTCGTAGTCATCCCGTTTCATCGTCGCCTGAATCAGCGCCTTGCCATTTTCCATGCGCACAAAGCTGGGCCACTTGCTGACAACCTCATCGTTGCCGCCCACGTCGATCTCGAAGGTGACGAGGCCGGGGACCTGTAGTGCGTTATTGTTCTTGGGTGGAGGCGTGGCGCTACTCGCCCGCGACCGTTGAACCCCAAGTGTTGAAGCCGATGAGGCGTTGGTCTTCTCTTGCGTCAGACCTCCATCTCTGGAGACGCTCCTCGACATCCTCCTCTCCTTGTGCTTGACTTTGAGTTTTCTGGCAGCTTTGTGAAAGAGGATCGGTATAACATGGCCAAAACCGGCGACGACTAGGACCGGTGTGCCTAGTGCAAGAGCCCATTTACTGGATGGGGTGTCAGCATACATCGAGTTTTATGATCGACATTGTATAGTTGTGGACCTACGGGTGCTTGATATCGAACAGTGCATGGTATAGAGCGAGTACAACGCCTAGGATGGCGATCTCGGCTCCCAATTGCAGCATCGTCCATGTTGACCAGTAGAGGGACATGAGATCTTCTCCATCACAGAACTGTAGTGCCAGTAGGCTGAAGACTTCCATCACGACGGCAATGCCTGCCACGAGAAATAAAGCGGTGGTGTAGGCCATGGCCATCTTGAGTTTTCGCCTCAGCTCGGCCTTGTCGTAATCTGGTTGTTCCGCATATTTCATCACTCTATAAAATAAATCAGTGACAAGTATCTCCGACGAGAACAACCGTGTTGTGTTGGACAATACAAAGACCAAATAGAAGCACTGAAACGTACGTTTGGTAAATCCATGATGCGACAAACAGAGTTCCTATCACGAAAAAGAAGAGCGACCAGTATAACGCGTCGAAGTGGATGCGGTCTAGGTTGTGAGTGAAATGGGCATAATATTCGCACTTCTCACTATCAGGGAGTCTGTTACGGGGTGCAGACATAGAGACAGGCGAAGCCGACGTGGACGACATGGCGAGTAACGGTATGGACAATATACCATGCAGAAACAATTTGGTCTTATACAAGGCTACCAGCGATGTGGATGGTTGTTGAAGTGCTGTATTCTAGAAAAAGACCGGACCTTTTTCAAGTGTATAGGGATCAGAAAGTGGGAGGAGCCAGAAGGTATATAGACATGTCAGAACACAGTGCAGCGTGAGGTCGGGCAAGTACAAGGGACTGAGTAGTGTCACGTCAGAGACGGTCGACGCCTCGTTGACTGGTTTACGGACAGGGCGATGATAGCCATGGCTATGTGGAACCTTCTTTGCAAGCACTTCTAAGCATCGGGCTGAAATTCGGTTGACCGATGTGCCTGTACTCAACGCCGAGACGGAGTAATGTGGGTAGCCACAGAGGACGTGCTACAAATGACGGCAAAAGTAGATGGTGAGGCTTGTTGTGTGATCTGCTCAACACTATCTCGATAGATACTATGTCTTGTCGTTGCTTGGCGGCTGAGGCGGAGTGAAACAACGCTGCCGATCCATCCTTGGCGAAAAGAACGAGAGAAGCCGTGCGGAATAGTACAAATTGCTCGTTACGCGCGTCTCTGCAAGTGATGCATGACCGCATACCCAGGAAGAGACTTGAGTAACAGCTGCGTTTGTGCCAAAGTCATCCTGAATCAAGGTTCCGCATTGCTCGACCCGTGGATGCGGCGTGTCGTCTTATTGGAGTATCTAGCTTTGTTGCAAATGCAAACTGCTAGATTTTAGGTGGATACTAAGAAATTGCACTTTTATATATATATATATATATATATATATTTTTTCTCTATCTTTCTTCTTGCTTCTCTCTGTCTCTGCGGAAGAGCCCTGACCCAGCACTTGAACACACGTGCGATGGCGGGATAGTAGTATGTAATGATAAGACAAGATCTCGTAGGATCTGTCAAGCACATTGGGAGATTTGTGCCTGGCGGGAAACTCTAATGTGGCGTTGATAAGCTCGCGCTACTCACTGCATACCGTCCATTAACTCGGTCCGGTCTAGCACCATCCCTTTCTGCCCAATGTACTCGCGAAGCGCATCCCACTCAGGGCCTTCTTCTTCGCCTTGACGCCATTTCTCAGCAAAGCCCCACGCACAGGCGATCTTGTCCAATGCCGCCCTCTCTTCTTCTCGGATCCAGCGTGAGCGCAGGGCAATACCGGGGGCCCAGGTAACCCGTTTCATCTGATCGTTCGCTGTTGTTGCCGCAACAATACCGATCGAAGCAGTAAATCCGACATAGGCTAATATAGCAACAAAAGCTACATTGGTTGCATGTGCGGCGTCCATGGCGTCTTGGAACACGGAGAAGTTTCTCGCTACCGCATAGGCTGCTAATGGGGTTGCTGCAAAGGTTGCAACTGGGAGGGTGGCATTACGGAGAAGTTTAGATCGGATGAAAGCTTTTGTTGTGTATGTACTTTCAATAATTCCAACTGCGGCGTCTAGATTCTTGGCTTCGATTGCAGTGTCAAGAGCCGTCTCAGCAACAGAAGACTCTACAGCGTTGGAGGCCTTGTCGGAGTTCTGTTTCGTGTACTCGATAGACCCCGAGGCCTCCCGGGGCATTGGCTTTGAGGCATAGAGTTGAAGTACCCGGGGTAGTGTTTCGGGCCTACCTAACGTAGCCTGGACCTTGACGTACTCTTGCAGCAGTCTTGGCGTGATGAAGACTGTTGGGTGTGCCAATGTTACATATGCAGCTTCAGATATCCTGTCGATCAGCTGCTTGAGTTGGGTGGATATCAGAGCATTGCGAGCACTGCTATCCAGGTCTGCGGGAGAAGCCTTGGCAGCTTTCCTGCGGCTGGAGTCCAATGATAACAGGTTTGACGCAGTCGAATCTGCTTCGTTGATCATGTGCGTGATTTGGGGTTGTACTGATTCATCCATAATATAATCTGCAACCACTTGGCAAGCTCGCAGTGCAGCGCTCGTGTCGGCTTCAGATGGGACGCCCCTATGCTCCAAAACCTTGGCCTTGTTGTTGTCGATGTATGCCACCATGTTGGTAAGCGAAGAGAGTTCTTTGCCTGCCGCTTTTGGTGTTACCGGCCGCCTGTTGGCAATCTCCTCGTCGCCGCGAAGGCCCTCGGCCGGTTCCCCAGCTGTGCGTTTGCTTGTTTGAGATGACAGCCATCTCGGTCGGGCTGCGCTCGTCACAGCTCTACCGCTGGCACCTTGTGAAACTCGAGACAGTGTGGGGCGAGACTTTGGGAGGCTCCGGGTGCTGAAGGAGGCCAAAGGCTTGGCTCTGTTTGGCCGTCGGACAGCGAGAGCGTCGCAGAAGAGACAGACAGAAGCCTGTCGGGGAGGAAATGCGGGCCGGCGCATGGCGCCCGGAATACCCAAAGTGCCCAGCGACATTGGCGCGCGGGGAAGCGAAGGACGGCGAGGGGACGAGTTCTGGGTGGAAGGGCTGACAAGGGCGACGTGCTGTTGTCTGACTGAAGAGTTGACTGGAGTTCGCGGAATTGCAAACGATCTGACGTGACGCGATGTTCCAATGCGCACGTGGGGGCTGGTCTCGGTCTGGATATGGGTATGGGTCTGGGTCTGGGAAGCTCTCCCCCAGCTTGATTAACCTTGGAGCGCTGGGTCAGAAAAATATCCCAATGGATTTTGCTTGTCCAATTGAATTCAGGCCTCGGATGCCGGGCCACTGAACCCCAGTCATTCAGGGGGTCCGAACTACACTACAGTATGTACTGGGCTATGTAACTTGACCTATAGTATAACATGTAATCCGTATACATTTGGCGCAACCAATGAGTGAGTATACGTGGGCTGCGAATCAGCCTGAACAAGTGTGTGCGTGTGCGCGTGTGTGTGGTATTGTCGATCGGTAAGTCAAGACGAGGCCTCAAGATTGCCGGTTGCGTGAGCCCGTCACGGGGGGCTATGCCCTATAACAGAGACTCGTAGGGGTGCCCGCCATACGCTGCAACTGAGTGCTTCTGACATGACTACAGCAATAATATAGACTGATGGTAGCCAAGAGACGATCATAAGTTTACTTGTTTGTTAGGAAGTTATTTCAGCACTGTAATGCGACATTACATTGACAGTGTACACTGTAGCTTGCTCTCGAGTTGATGACAACTACGGGTAAACTCTTACTGGATGTGCAAGTGTACGCAAGTTTTCTTAGCTTACTACGCGGAGCACAGCAGACAAAAAGAAAGCCTACGGCCCCTTATCAAATGACCGTCTCATTAAGCTGGCTCTCATATTTATTGACAGCACACGGTGTGTGCTTTCGATGGATGGTTTCCCCAACACTCGAAAATCCGTTCAATCTATTGCAGTACAGCAGGTTAGGCCAGTGCATGTGTAAGTTAGGCGTTGATGTCGAGACTGGTTGACTGCGCCACAAGCAGTGACGACAAAGCGGCTGAAAAGGACCCTTTGCACTTGCTTGCACTTGCCCCGGCCAGCAACTGGAACAGGCTTCAACATCGGGCCTCGAGGGGGCCAGTCAAGGAACAGCAACGCCATTGGAATTTCGCGACGTTGTGTTTGCCTAATTGGCTAGAAGCCACACCTTTCACCTCATCTCATCGCATCAGATTACACCACATCACGGCCGTCTTTTCGCAGATTCCCCAACCCATTCAACTACTCTTCGTCATTTCTTAGTGAGCCGCCAACTTTGTCCACCATTCGTTGCAAGCTTCTTCTGCTTCTTTCCGGCCACCGACGACGCACAGCCGGGGCTGCCGCATGCGCCCGCTTTGAGAGCCTATACGATAACGATATAACCCAGCGCCCGCCTATCTTGACGTTGTAGACAATTGCAGAGAGAAGGCCTTGGGAAGCTTTATCATGCCGCCACCACCTCCACCTCCTCCCCCCCCTCCGCCGGGCATGGGAGGCCCTCCTCCTCCTCCGCCTCCACCTGGCGGCCTGCCGAAGCCTCCCCCAGCAGGCATAGGACGGGTATGTGCCTGTTCTGTACGTTGTCGGCAGCATAGACTAATATGCCTTAGGGCGCATTGTTAGGTGACATCCAAAAGGGAAGGGCCCTTAAGAAAGCCCAAACAAACGATCGATCTGCACCGGTAGTAGTCAAGCCAGCAGGGGGTGGTGGTCCCCCCGTCGGCGGAGCACCTCCAGTGCCGGGGCTCGCACCACCTGTCCCAGGAGGCAACAGATTACGAAGCAATAGCGATCAGGGAAGTCGGGATGCTGGTGCATCGGGCGTGGACTCCGCACCACAACTAGCAGGATTATTCGCAGGCGGCATGCCCAAGCTAAAGAAACGTGGTGGTGTGGATACGGGAGGTGAGTCTTCCTCTTGCTATCTAAGCATGCCGGGCCTTGTACTGATAGCTCGTAGCGGATCGGAGCGCTTCGTATATGTCAGATTCAGAGACGACCAAGTCCTCGGCACCCCGACCACCCATATTCGGTGCACCAAAGCCACCACCCGGTGCTGCTCCCGCGATTCCCGGCCGGGCCGTCCCCACACCTCCGGGGCTGCCTTCTCATCCATTAATAGCCGGTTTGAGGAAAACCCCCAGTGATGTACCGCGGCCACATTCTTCCGCTTCAATGAAGGGCCCGCCGCCACCAATAGGGAAGAAACCGCCGCCGCCACCCGGGTCACGTAAACCTTCGACGTTGGGGGCAGCACCGCCGATACCTGGAGCACCGGCGCCTCCACCGCCTCCGACATCAGCCCCTGCTCCTCCGGCTCCTCCTCCACCGCCGCCATCTTCAGCTCCAGCACCACCACCTCCACCCCCGTCAAACATTCCTCTCAGGCCACCACCCGCACCGGCAACACGATCTCAACCACCGCCCCCGCCGCCTTCGGCACCACCAACGAATGGTGTCTCCCCAAATGTCGCCTTGCATGCCGCGATCCGTGCCTCTGGAGGACAATCCTCGCCCACAGCCGCACCGCCGGCACCACCACCACCTCCTCCAGCAGCAGCGCCATCCCCACCATCGTCAGCGCCGCCTCCACCCGCTCCACCTCCTGCGGCACCACTGTCGCGAGCTAGGGCATCCTCGAACTTGCGCACTACCATGCTGGACCCCAGTGCATACACACTATCGCATAACGGCGGTAGTACTCACTCACCTTCACCCACGCGTTCCAGCACAACTGCTGGTCTTGCCAGTCCCCGTGGTGGTGGCGAACGCATAATCATTCAGGACAGCAGATGGCGCTTCACAGACGACAGTCAGCTGCCAAAACCAAGGCCATTTCACGGTAGTTCCAAGAAGTACAGAGCGGGGCGAGGGAGCAGTGTACCCTTGGATTTGAGTGCGCTCTAGGCGAGTGCCCATCCAGATGACCGGCTCGACGGAAGGAGGGACAAGGCAGATGTTACCAGGAGCAAGACCGGGGGGACATTTTGGCGCAAGAGCGCGATTGAGGAATAGAGTGCTCAGGTTGTGATATCAATGGGAGAATTATGGAAGCGCAAAGGCGCTACTTGTGACACGAGAGTAGGAATACTTCGGCAAAAAGGCACAAACCAGCCGACGAAGCTCCACCCGGCTGTGTCCGGTGAGATACCAGCACCACAGAGCACCAAGCAACGGACGAGAACGATAGGACAATGAGGTGGCAGCTTTTTTGACTATAGATTTTCGACCAAGTCCAGAACTAAAGAATCAAAACCACATTGCTTATCATCAACATTTCACTCTTATGTTGTACCAGCCATTAATTTGGGTAAGCCTGTATTATTCCCGGGTCATCTCAATCCCCACTGTCTGGGAATACCAATCTCCCTAAGAGATCAATGCTACTTGTCTATTTAGGAAAATAGAAAACACTGCCATCAGTCTTCTTGCAGATCGGTCCATTAGTTAAAAGCCAAGAGAGATCAAGACAGGTGGTAAACACCAGCATTGCAGTTGAACCTCCTGCGGATAACCGTTTCCAATGCTGGTGAGAACTCATCCGAATCAAAACTCCAGCATATGATGTCTGAAATTATGACCAAGACCGTCTCCGCTACCAATAGCGAACCTGCTCATTCACATTGGCTTGCTCAAGCATCTCCTGCCGAGTGTGCGGCGGCACTCCGAAGCGCATGTTGTCCTGCTGATTGTTGACCCAGAAGCCGATGCCGTCCATTCCTTTGACCGTGTTTGCAGCACTTCTCAGCAAATCATCGATCGCACCAGATTCCTTGAAGCTCTCGGGAGTCCAGTCAGCTTCTTCAGCGAAGGACAGACCAGTGTTCTGGGCCAGTGCTTCATCTGCCTTGTTTGACGTGATGTATGCCTCGAACCAGGCTGGGAAATCGCCGACAGCCGGATTGCCCATGTCCTCTTCGGCAGTGAAGTACCAAATACTTTTGGGGCTCGTCTTCGTGACTTTCTTCTTCATGCAGCGGACATGATGGATATGAAGCTTGCAACTGTTCACACCATCGTTGTATATCGCCACCTGACGATAACGCACGTTTTTGGTCTGGACGCCCCAGCCCTTAAAATTAGCAAATTCCAATGAGGGTGGATTATTCACTTCTCGAGGACTATTCATTGTATTAGTATAAACAAAAAGCCAATATCATGACGTGGGAAAGGAACAACATACATGACTTTCAGTGATGACACGACTTCTTCAGCGAAAGATCCACAGTTCTTCTCTATATCAGAAGCCGCTTCAAGCACAACCCTGAAGTCAAAGTCACGCTTGGCACAGTGAACATAAATATTGCTTTCCCTAGGATCTGCAAGCCGCAATCGGTAATTGAAGTCAGATGCATCTACTTCAAGGATGAAGTAGGTCTTGCCGGTTTCAGACTTTGTCACACAGCAAAATTCGTATAAGGATTTCCGGAGACCTGGGAGCCATAACTTGGCCGAAGAGCCGTCTACTATGTTACTAATGTAATTGGCATCGCCACCGAAGGAAGTGAGAATGTTGTTGAAGTATAGATCGCGCGGGGCACAATGCTTCTCAAGAGCTTCTTCCCAGGCCTCAATCGACTTGGCCTTGGACCGACCTCGCATGCCTGGTATACCAATGTGTTGCCAATTGATTTTGGTAAACCAAAATCTTCCGATCTCTGCTTTGAGAGTAACGCGACCTTCGTACAGACGTAGAGGCTCGAGCATTTGTGTGAGGTGGCCATGAATCTTGCCGTGGGTGGTCGAGTCAAGCCCATCCGGTCTTGCCCTTTCACTGGCTTGCTGAGTACGCGGTGCTTTCTGATTCATTGTACCAAAGAAATGACGTGATCTAGGAAATGGGTTATGAAGTGTAGGGGTTGGCGTCAATGCCTCATTCGAGTAGATCGATCTTCGAGGTGATGCGCTAAGCAGATCCAAAGGCTCGCGATGAGGGTTCTCATCTCGTTCTACCTGGGGAGCAAAGAGTTCTCCGAATAACTCCACATCGAAAGCTGATCGAGAGTTGTTCGGAACATGAAGTTGGGCGCCTCGTGTGCCTGCGTTACTACCCGCACCGTCGGCTGCTGGAGCAGAACCTGTGCGGAGCACCTCAAGCTTCCGCCTTAGACCATCGAAGTGGTCTGCAGGCTCGATCAAGTCTTCAGACATTGTTTCCGTGCTACGCAAAGCCTTATCGACATGAAAATCTCCTCTGCCAATAGGGCTAGGGCTGTCATGGAGCCTGCGATGTGGCGCTACATACTTCTGCCCCTCCAGGGCTTGACTGGAGGCATTGGTAGTACAAGGACTCGATGCCATCGAGCTTTGGTCTCTGTAGATAGGTGCTCCACGATCAAGCTGAACTTTTGTTGCAGTAGGATGACTTCTTCCCTCTTGAATGATGGCAGGAGACCGAATCGGTGATTCGTTGACAGCAATGAGGTCAGAAGATACAGGAAGTGATCTGTTCATTTCGAGTTCTATGCGGGCAGGTCTTGATCGGGTATTGACCGTACGTCCAGTGGCACCAAGCTCTTGAGCCGAAGTGACTGAATCGTCTTGGTATTGCAGAAGAGTGTGTGTCCACTCCCAAACACGAGTTGGTGCCGCCTGAGGGTTCACCTGCTTGAGGCGATTGTCATGCAACACTGGCAGGATCCCCACGTTACTCGTTGGAGCGATGGCATCCCAATCTTGTGATTTTGCTTTTACTGTCAATCCCCTGAAAGGCTCAAACGGGCGCATGATATTGTCGAGTGAAACGGCCGGGCTGAAACCTGGTGCAGCTAGGACTAGACTTCCCTGCTGTTGTCTCAATGACCGCACAAAGCATCCCTTCTCGTAAAGTTTTTTGTAGTCTTCCTCGAGCACAAACCTGGTGGGATCCAGTAACACACTTTTCAGGTAGTGACGATCAGTCTGAGCCAAATAACGCATCTCAGCAAGACCAGTGGAGTTATCCTCTGCAAATATAACTGTCTTGTGCATGCCGATGTGTGCATCCAATTCCTACATGACTGTCAGTTTTAAGACGCAACTAATGATAATCGTTAAACCCACATGGTACTTCAAGATGTTGTCCAGCTTATATTTTGCCGAAGCGATCTTCTCGGCAGTATCAGCACCAAAGTACAGACTCCGGTTGTCGGTGCCACAGATAACCATGCAGGTAGTTGTGTCCGTCATCACCTTCAGGGGATCATGGCCGAGGAATAGTTCGTGGATGGTGAGGCCGTCTTTTGCCTGGCGACTTGGGACTTTCCAAGCAGCCTTGTACTGAAACCTCATAATCTCGAACGGGTATGAAAAAGGCTCATATTGATCAATTTCTGCTTGTGTAGGCTTTGAGGCTCTCCACTCGGAGATGTAGCAAATCATATCTTTGTCGCTAGTCTGTGATCGTGAGTTTGTGATTCGAACCTCAACAGATATTCAACGAATTACTTACACCAATGAAGATGAGCTGATCCTCTGGTGTGTCCTTCTTAACTTCATCTTGGACAATGTCGTCCATTATCGTATTGCATGCGACGACTATGTCCTGCTGAATCTCTCGCCTGCAGCGAATTCGGAAACAACCGACCTCGACCTCGTAGATAATCTCAGGATTCTACACCCGCGTCAGTCCTGGTACTTATCGAGCATAGGAAAATAATCCTGGGCAGGCAATGATGCTAGTGTAATAGGCTTTACCTTGAATCTCTCCCGGATTCGCTTGTAGAATTCTTTGAGGCCTGCCGGACGCAGAATCCAATTGCAACTCAGAAGGAACTCGGTATACTCATCACACTCGATGTCGCTGGTACTAACGTGTGCAGCTTGAAAATCCAGTAAGTTGGATGCAGTCCAGCTTGGGTAGAGCACCCTCATGGACTGGCGTCCTACCCAACTGGGTGCAGCTCGTTGTGACATGATGGGCTAGCATAGAAATAAAACCTGGATCTGGTGGCGGTGAGCAAAGAGATTTCCTAGACAGGTACCAAAACAATCGGAAAATGTGATCCAAAGTGAAGTATAGTATATGAACCACTGACTTTGTTGGAATCTCAAGGCCTACTGATACGCGATATCACAGCGCGGCGGGTGGGTTGGCACGATGCGACCCGGTGATGTGGTGATTATTGGTTCTTGTGCAGTTATGTCGCGTAAGTTGGCCGGCGACGGCAACAGCAACAAAGCCTAAGGTTGCTTGCAACAGATTTGGTTGCAGTTTACTATACGGTTGGTCAGCGAATTATACGAATAAGCAACGGTCGTTATGCTGTTGCGACGCTACTCAGAGCCCGCCCATAATACCTTCCCGCCCCATTGATGATCAAGTAGAAGGGACAGGTACGCCTTACCGTTTTGCACGGACAACAAAGAGATTGTCTTCTGGAACGTCAGCAATAGAACCAAATAACAGTTGAGTGAATGCCTGGGGCATTATGCGAAGGATATGGGTGAGACGATGTACTTACAAAAAGGATACAAGTCGATAGTGTTGAGGCCTTTTCGTGCAAGGTAGTTTAGAAGTCACTAGATAATCGATCCTCTGATAAGTAGTCAAGAGATATGACCAAGAGTGAGGAATCAAGCAAGTTCCCGCTTGTGTGAGTTAAGTGGTAGAGAGTGGCGGTTCTTGTTCACTCTAGGACGTGCCGAGAACGTGTTGCAAGATTTACTGACGAGAAAAATTCTTGAGATCAGTTGTTCTTGTGGATTAAGAGATAATTCAGTGCAGCATATCAATGCTCAGCTGGTAAATCAGTGGCAAATTACTGGAGAAATTAAGGCTGTGCGCAACCACAGCCGAAAGACACTCAAAGGTAGATCCTGTAGGATACACAGACAACCGTCTGCTTTTCGCCTTGAAATGAGCCTCCCCAAGAAAGTATTGTCAGTATATTAGCTTGAGTTTGTGGTTCGTAGTGATTTTTGTGGTGAAGGTCTGTGAAGAGTGGAACTCGTGCCTTCCGTTTGGAAGGCTTGCGTGAGTGTTGACGTTGAGGTGGACTATGGTCAGATCCCAGAGAACATTAGCCGCAAGTAGAAACGAAATCAAATACTACGAAGCGTTGTTGCTGCCAACTATTGTGTGGTCAGGCTTTGGTACGCAAATAGGTATGGAACGAGTGAATACGATCATTCAACATATTGGGATGGCAAGTAATGCCACTGCAGAGTATGCACTGGCGAACGACGTCGCGGGACTGTTGAACGCCATTGGCTACTCCACACCGTTGACTATATTCGTCTTTATTCATATACCTCGCCGGTTCACAGATATTGGTCCCAACTTGCTATATCTGTCGCCGAGAATTCACAGCGCCCTCATATCCTCGGTGATCTGCTTTCACCCACACTTTGGTTTCTCTGGCATAAGCGAAATTCAACTGTACCTCGTAGCTTGAAAGTTTAGGCAGCAAATTCATACAGAGGCGGAAAGCTTTTAGAGTATTGTCACATGAAATTCACGACTGCCAATTGCATCAAGATTTATTTTAGTCTGAAACAAAGAAAAAATTTGTCATTCCATTCTATCGTTTTGACCGGGTATATGCAACATGAAAGATAGAGAAATAATCTCAAAACACAAATTATCATCTCCAAAGAGTGATCATGCTTTTACGCTTAGGAGTTCTGCTCAGTAAACGCCTTTACCGCAACATGAGGAGCAGGACCGATAGCCCCCAAACACCTCAAAATTCCATGAAGCTCTCCGCGTGATCCAGTCTATGTGTTGTTGTAGCAGTTCGATCTTCCAACGGTCTAATGGCAGAGCAGCGCGCGAGTGTATCGTAGGCTCGAATATATGTACAAGAAAAAATCCCCCCGAAGCTTCGTGGTTGGATTGAAAGGGAGTTGAGTGATGAGCGATCTGGTCTGCGCCTGGGCGAGTAATTCGTCCCAGCAAGTCGATCCACGGCAGAAGAATTGCTCAAAGTGTCCTAACCGGCGCCCTTGACATTCTCTTTGACCTTCAACGCCCATCTCAACTGGCCCAAGACCTGTTTCGTCTCTTCGATGGTCTTACTTTGCTCTTCTTCTCGCCATCGTGCTTCTTCCTTAATATTTCCCAACGCAGCTTCCTGGGCACGTTTGTACGCCTCGAATTGATCACCAATTTCATCCTTTTGCCTCTTGAGGTCCTTGATATTTCCGTCCTGTTGGTCGCAAAGGTCTCTTAACGTATTAATCTTATCATCGTCTCTCCTCCGTTCTTCGGTCAGGGCTGCGAATTCGGCATGTAGTGATGTAGTCGTCTTCTTGACTTCGTCACCTTGCTCCTTCCAGTGCGATGCGATGGCATTATAGCGTCCCTCCATTAGTGCTGCTTGCGTTTTTGCCTCCTCGACCTGAACATTGGCATCGCGCCGAGACTTCTCCATCTCCTCCTTCCAGATTCTTTCCCTATCCAAAGCATCGGCTGTTCGTTTCTTCTCGAGGTTGACGGCAGCCTGAAGGGACTCCACCTGCCGCTCTTTTCGGGCGAGCAGCGTCTTCGTGACGTTAGCCTCCAGTAACCTCGACTCGTACTCGGATATCATTCTCTCCATCTTATCCTCCATCAGCTTGGCCGCCTGCCTCGCTTCTTCTGATTTGATCTGCTCGATTTTCAGATCCCGCTTTAATGCTTCATTGTCAGAGACCAGCTTGTTGATAACCCGTCCGGTTTTACCCAATCCCGCCTTGCCTACAGCGCCCCCATCCCATTGCGGAGAAGGCTCACGATCTTCTCTGTCATATGTGGCGTCGCCCCCGGGCCGCAAAGTCGTGTTACTCGAAGACATGGCTGCGTATATAGGAGACCTGGCAGAGCTCGTTTGTGCCTCTGGTGGGTGTGAAGAAGGTGCCTTTAACCTCGCTGATGACCCGTTCTGGTTCTGTGATTGTGGTTGCATCTGGGAATAGTAGGATGCTCCGCTGGTGTTGCTGTTGACCGAGCTTGAGAAGCCGCTGTTCCTTGCCGAAGGGGGATCTGAACTCGAGGTATCGGATGGGTCCTCGAGGCTAGGTACTGTGCGTATCGTCGTAGGAATGCGGCCGGTGTCCAAGGAATTGGGAGAGCTTGCGTAAGGGTTATATCTTGCTTCTACATTGGCCATGTTGAATTCTCCTCTGCTTCGATTTGGAGAGCCAAACGAAGTGGCCGACGCGGGAGTGTTAGGGGATCTTTCGGGTTTTGCATCTGCTGCTAGAAGATAGGCCGGGCTGATCGGTTCTGCAAGTAGAGGACTCGCCGTCAACACTGATCTCCGGCACGACCGTGAGCCAAGGTGCAGTCTCAGTCACGAGAGAAGCACCAAGTCGATCTCAGACACTAAGGAAATGTAGGGCAGTGCAGGAATAGAGTGCAATGTGGAGAGTTTTATTCAGACAAGTCTACTGTTTTGTGTTGAAAGAAAGCTTGCTGGAGGACATGAAAGTGGCATTAAGAAGGTAGTATGCAGTAGCCCGTGGCACAAGGTGAAGCAATAGGAGACGACGGTGTTGCGTAGGTCTGGTACATGACAAAAGTTGAGTGCGGTGCTTACCGTTTTCGTTGTTGTCCCGGCTGTATTTTGGGATGGAACCCGCTTCTCGACCTCTACTAGCACGGCGCGGTTTCTGCAATTTGCCAGGTTTAGACATCTCCACGTTCGTTTTCTCCCAGCAACGTATCCAAGCCCCCGTCTAAGTTCACTGCTTACATAGCCTTGTGACAACCTAGGGTCTTTGGCAATGAGGATTTCTCCCGGCAGATCGACCGCTAGACGGCTAGACGAGGGGGGTACTGCTATTCAGGCGCGGCCAGTGCCTGAATATCGGAAGCGTCTTGCGTTTCGGACGGCCGTGTTATGATAGATCGGTTGATCTGAATGTCGACGTGTATGTTGTGGCAGGGTGTACATCAATACTGGTAATACGTCGTGCAAGCGCTAACAAGCAGTATGGAATGTTTTGACACAACACCCGACTTGAGGTATGGAACTTTTCTTGAAACCACAAAAACGTGTGCAAATCGGCTGATGTATATATTTTCGAGAGAGAAAAGTTTCTTGCAAACAAATGAGATAAACGACAAGGACAAACTCTATTATTGACATGGGCTATTCACTACTGTTCCTGCCATGGGGATTTCTTTGTTGATCATGGCGCCTCCTCGAGCAACGCCATGTTTCTGGGGGTGGTACCACCCCTGCATGCAATTGAGGCCGCTGAGACTTGGGGGTGCAATTGAAGGCCGCGACACCCAATGACAGCCCAGTGCCGTGGCAACGGCCCTGCAAGGGGCCAAGTAGGCCATGTGCAAGACCACTGGCCTCATTCATCAATACCTAACTTGAACTTTCAGTACGCTCAGATCTCCTGCTCCTGAATTGACAGCAACTGAGTGGACGCATGATGACAAACAGCTTGAAAGCTGGCGTCATATTCTGTAGCAAAACTTCGTGGGAACAGTCCTTTGTCCATGCCAAGAGAGGTCTTGGATTCGACTGCCGAAACACATATACAGCCATCCCACGCGCGCATGAACGTGTGAAATGAGACTTCGTGTAACGCGACTTGATGTTGCTTTTCCGTCCCCCCCCCGTTTTAAGGTGCAATTAGCACATTATCTGAATCCGGCGTATCAAATGTCAAAAAAGTCCAGCCTGTGTATTAATTACCATTCCGGCACACAATCATGTGCTGGTCGATAGGTGGAATCTAAGATGATGGTAAGTTAAGTCTGGGATGTTCCTAGTATAAACTCGTCTCAGCCGCACCTATAGATATGATACTCTTCCTTAAGACTCAAATTTTTTTCTTTCAACGAAACATCTCGCGAGTCGTGTTTCTCCGCAACCAATTCAAGGTCGATCAGCGAGCGATTCGAGTTAATCAACTCAGATTCTCCTACAATAGAGAAGCTGCAATCAAAAAGGGGCTCTTTTAGTTTTCTAACTAATATCAATGCAGTCGGGATTTGGTCGATGACGATGGAGCCCCTTTTACCCCCTGACCAGCGGCGGTGCGCTCCGCCTTGTACATAGTATAGCTGGGGACGGTGGATACTATCGGCGTCGGATTACGCTATCAACACCAGGTGGCCATTACCATGCACATAGATAGCTTTGAATCAGGCAAACCCCGGGATCTGCAATCGTATTTTGCAACCTCAAGATTGGATCAAGCGTAGCAAATTCTCTACGTACTTGTATTCGAAACTGCTCCTTAGTCCACTGACAACGGGGCACGAAGTTCTGTACATTTGGAGTATGGGCGTCAGACTTGCTCGTGAAAAGTACCAGAACTGATTGCGATTCAAGGTCGGGCTCATTAACGGTGCGCAATCTATCGCAACCAATGAAATCGAGACCAAGTCCAATGTCCACTGAGAAGAAAAAAGCCGGCGGGCATCTACACAGGAGAAAAGCTGATGTGAAAATGGAGACACCAAGTCCGGAATAAACAAGAAGGGGAATATTGTGGACGAACGCCTGCAATCTCTAGAGCCAAACAACATTTCCCGCTTTCCAAAACGAATGCCCCATCGCTTTCGTAGCCAGGTTGAGGCGAACCGGATTTTCAGCTTGTCTGGTTATTTTTTCGACTCTATAGCCTTCGACCCCCAGTCTTTGTTGATGGCTTGGACATGGAACTTGCCAATCTATGAACATTTCATGTTCTACCGTTCTCGTAGGTCAGGAATTCGACCATGCTGTCGCAGCTATAATTACATACAGAACTCGAATCTGTTCAACTGTGTTTCTGTCAAGAACCGGGGTAAAATGACCCTGGTTTTCAAGCATTGGGGATTGAGTTAAAAAAGATTTTAATTTTGAAAAAAAAAAAAAAAAACCCCCCCTCGATATCAGGGGCCAGGGCATCTCAAGCCGCGACTAGATCATCGTCGACGACGCTGGAACGAAGGACATGACCTCTATACAATTTCTTGTTGCGCGGCTGATGGGATGTCCAAGACTTAATGGCGAGGCAGTGGGTCGCCACCGGGTGGCAATTGCTAGAACTGCAGTGTGATGCTAATTACGTGGACGGATCTGGATCGCGGTCGCTACGAGACCATGCGCGGATGGATTCATCAACTGACCAAGATTGAATTACGCTGGTGTTGTGGACAATAGTGCATGTTGATACAAACTGAATTTTAGTACAAATCCTGAGCCAGTTTGCCCGGGAGCTTTCAGGTGCGTAACGCACAATGCCTCCCAATGTGGTATAAATCCATGCGCTTCATGCAAGTCGTGAGTGAACCCTTTCTAACTACTATTATAGAAGTGACAAAATAAATTTTATCGTCCTCACAGCCACACAGCATTTTCGTCGGATTGCAATTACCTCTGTTGCCGAACGCCATATAGAAAAACAAACGTTCGAGCCCCCAACCGATGTGGTGTACAATAGTACAGCTCTGGTTGTGAGGATCTATAGTTTTTATCCTCCAAGAAAATGATTTTCTGCCATTGACGCTGCAACTGGGATCAAGTGTGTGGAGGTTTGGCGCTTATGTTCGGAACGTTGCTTTCGAGTCTTGCCCTTCGCACTACGACCGAGTTTTGCGGGAGGCATACTCGACTCTTCTGATTTGATCCCGCAAGAATCATGCTCGTACTCTTCAGTGAGTGACCGCTCATCTGTACGTGTAATTCCAGGAGGACTTCCATATTGATGATGGGCACGCCCTTCTCATGCGGTGTATCCTTGTCGTTTGAATTCGAATCCGCAAGACCAGTCTCGAATCTCCTGTTCATCGTCACACTGCTGTTCTCTGATGTGCTCAGATGTATCGCTCTTGCCGTGGAGCTCTCTCAATTCCTCAAGGTAGCCGTTCAGAGACCGTGCTGCATTCTACGTAGCAGCAACAGCCTGTCCAGCTCCGATTGGAGTTCCGGCAGGAGCGAGCAGCTGTTTTTGCTGTTCCATGAAGCCTGGACGCCACTTCGTAAGGTACTTGCCCGCCATTGCTCGGGCCTCGTCGTACTCCAACCATATATCTTGAACAGCATCTAGGGCAATTTCTCTGACTGGGGGACGCATCATGACCAGGTAGAGAAGACTGGTTAGTGCCAGGTTGACGGTGCTAGGATCGCGACACAAAGTCTTAACGCGGGCAAGTATATCCGTGTTCAAGCTGGGAATTTCGCTCAAGAACCGCGTGAGCACCTTGTCCTGGGCGTGGAGGTAAGGAATCATGCCTTCGATTAGTCGCAATGCCCACTTATCGTAGTTCAATAGAACATTGCGATCCTCGTCCGAAGTAGCCTTTTGTTGTACACGATCGTTATACCACTCCTCGCATAACCAAGACACCGCGATTTCAATGCGCTTCCGGAAATCCTCCAGCACATATACGTAAAGTGATTCGCGTATCGAGTTACTGAGACTGATACCACTTAAAACATTGCCGTTGTCCTCGTCCTTGGAAATGCTGTCTAGCCCGGCAGCAGCACGGGTTGCAAGTCGTGTAATAATGGTGATCCATGATTCTCGATCAAAAGTGGTTGCGGCTAACCTGTTGATTCCGGCCTTCGTCTTCTTCGTCGATGGATCTTCGAGCGTGCTCATGACGCCAAACACACGCGTGACAGTGCCCTGACCGACCTTGACAGCTTGCTCCGGCTCCAGTGCTGGTGGCGGCGGAAGTCTAAAGGTCGGCAGTGCGAGTGTGCCCAACACAGCCGGTTTTTGCATCTCGCCTCTTTGCACTGATGGTTCCGAATCGAGCTTATTCAAGATCTGCTCTGTATCCTCGGCTGCGTAGTAGTCTGGCTCGTAGTCATCGTCATCTTCCACGTCCAACGCTGTTGTTTGTGGATCGAGTGGCCTGGCAGCAACCCTATGCAACTCCGCCAGCCTGTCACGAACACCCTGAATCGCCCGAGCGAATAGGCTGGGATCTATTTTAGCGATGGCATTGACACTGACTTTGGCAGCCAAAGGCGCCGGAACAAGGGCAACATCGAAGTTCCGGAGACCCTCGTTCTTTGTGAAAGTAAATATGTCAGCGAGCGAATGCGGGCCAGGTGGTAATGGACCAATCTGAAGTTCTGGCAGCGCTGGTGCGGTTCGTTGACGTTTAGCCTCTGTGCCATCTGCCACTTCACTGATTGCTCGTTTTCTGCTGGCTCCCTCTTGCATTTCAGCCCGTGCTTGCATAAGTCGCTCCAGATATGGCTGTAATCTTTGAGCCATAACGCCCTTGGTGTCCCTAGGGCCGTTGTTAGTTCGCAGTTATTGTAGAATGGGCAGTGAGATGACCTACCGTCTAACGAGGTGCATGCATAACATGCGTGTCGTCTTCTCCAAGGACCTCACAACCACTTTTGTCTTGGGCGTCATTGGCGTGCTTGCAAGTTTCAAAGGGTTGAACTGGAGTATGGCATTCACCACTTTGTTCGAAGTTATGGGTCTCATACGAATGAGAATGGACAAAGTGTTTAGGGTTGCATCTACTACCAGAACGTCACTACGTGGCAGGCAAAGCACCGTATTAGTTGCGAGATCACTGCAGAGAGCTATTCTAGTATCATACCTGGTGCCATCTTGCAGTACACTGAGCATCCGGTCAAGGAGTCCCGTGGCCTCTGCTTCCATAGCATTTACATTGAGTACCGAGTGATCGCGAGGGACCATGTTCAGAGAAATGTCGAGGGGATCACCGCGCTGCTCTCTGTTAGCTTATCGACGACGGGGAGCTCTTTCGCAAATCTGTACATACTCTCGGCTCGGGGTTGATGCTCGGCGACTGTGCTAGAATGACTCTCTGTGCAAACTTGACGCAGCAGATGCGTAATGTCGGAGGAGCGTTCTCCCAGAGTTGAAAAATCCTGGTCTTGATGGCTGTCATGTTCTTCCACGTGGTGGTGTCATATGCGTTCGATATTCTGTGACATGTGGAATCAGCACTTCGGTATCGCCGAGCAAAGTGAAGGACCCGTCTGATCTGGCATTGTCTAGGAGACAACCGGTCAAGGGCTTGGACGAATCGCACTCGCAAACACAATCACAGGCAAAGCCAGATCTACGAGGGAGGCATTTTACGAGTCCACAGCTGAGGACATGGAAGGGGGGGAGGGGGCGACCTACATCCATCTCATAGCTAGGGGGTATACACTAGCTGATGTCTGAACGACACTGCGCAACACCAAAAGGTCCTGGTTTGGATCCTCCACCAAGTCCTTGAGAGTGTCCAGTATCAGCAGCGACAATGTTTCCTTCTGGCTTAGTGGTACTGCAGGTGTCGCGAATGCTTCAGCCATGAAGTCGGCGCCCCATCGTCGAAGCTCAACATGGGCGGAGGGGCCAAATATCGGTAGCGTAGCTTGTATAACTTGACCATAGTAACTAACATCGCCGAGGACAAGCTTACGTGCGTCGGAAAGCTGGCGGATCTGGTCAGGGACCGACATGTTACTGTTGGCGGCGGCCATGTCGACAGTGGCAGGTCAAGGTCAGGTAACCCGACCTTGGGCGCAAGATTTAGGCAGATCAGGGACAAGCTACGCAAGCGATTGAGAAGTCTGAGGTGATAAAGCTGCAAGAAAAAGCGTGATATCTAAGCTCGGCACATCAAACCTCCAGGTGTATGAGAATTATTCGTGGAGTGGGCTGTCGCGTGAAAAGCTGCGAAAGGTTGGGTTGGGGGTTGTGGTGTTGTGGTTTTCGCTGCTGCCAGGCGCTGGTGATGTCAATTTGAGCATGGGATTTCGTACTTGAGCGCGCAGTGTACAGCAAGTGCTTGGTGCGGGACCTTGAAAGGACAGGTAGGGACGCGCTTCCTGGTTGCAGTGCTTGTTTCTTGTTTCTTATTTCTTTGTTTCTTGCTGCTGAGTGTTAGATGAAGTTGTGATCAGTGGTTGGGATGAAATGCCGGTCGGTTCTCCTAAAGAACCATTGTAGCATTAAAGTCCTGGTTGTCAACTGCAGATCGGAGAGATTCGAGATGGAATGAAGAAAGCGAAGCTGCTTTGTCTCGGAAGCAGCATAATAATAACACAGGTGCCCCCCCAAAAGGGTCCCCTGCTTTGACTCTAGTCTAGACTAGACGAACTCTGACTCCGGCTGGCCTAATAACGTTACAGCTTACAGCTTACAGCGGTCCAGGACAGGTCACCGTACAGTGTGTAGCGGCATCGCGCCTATGCATTTATGCAGCTATCAGTGTGGCTATCGCTACTACCACCGCCATCTTACACTGTAGGTTAGTTACATGTGTATATACATACATAACTAACCTTACATACTTACTTGCTCGTGTTTAGCTCCACTTATGCCTTAGCTTGGGCTGCTGCATCGAAAGACTGAATCGCCGGCGAGGTGCACCCGTTCGGAAATCTTTAGCAGACTGGTTGAAGCAACTGCATAATTGTCGCAACATTGATAAGTCGAACCTGTCAAGCACATTCTCACCAAGATGACTGGGTAGGTGCATCCGCATCAAGATCCTAGCTTTACTTTTTCCCCTTCAGCTGACTCTGTCGCGCGTCTAGCGGCCACGGAAACTCGTCCTACTACAACAAGAATGCGCACTCGCCTGCACTGATTCGCGCCCGGCGACCATACCTTCTGAAGAATGCCATCGTGGGAGCTGGTATCGCCTCCTTCGCCATAGGAGTTTGTATGTTCACCACTTGATGCACCCATAACCCCCAGCTCACGGTCAACAGACATCTATACCATCAAGGCAATTGGGCAAGATGAATTCACCGACGTCAAGGTGCCCGATACACCGCAACAGCCGATTGCGAAGTCATAGGCAGCACGAACAGAGCCGGCAATTGGGGAGAACGACGGCATGTAAAATCAGAGCATTCTAGGCGTTGGTGGCAAAACCATGATCATTCGATTATAATGGTTCTGTAAAGGAAATGGTATCGTGGCTCGAGTTGAGCACTAGAAACTGGGCATATTCGGCAACGCCGCCAGACCTGTATTGGTCTGCCAAAACAACTCCAAAAAGAACAAGAAAAAAAGAAAGAAAAAAAGGGAGTGATCCGCCCATGTGTACCACAAAGTTGGACCGTAGTTGTCCTGGAACGCCGTGTATCTCCTATCAAGTCCTGTATTCATACCGTTTTTGACCAATAAGAGCAAATCTTGATACCTCCATGAATATGATATGACGCCGAGCTCCGGATCAGATGCAAGGGTATAACCCAAACGCTGTAAAATGCAAGGACCAAGCCGCCTGCTGGTAAAGGAAGTGTACAGCCGTGATACATGTCCTGGTGCTGCACTAGAAGCCACCCACGGGAGGTGCAGTCTCGCGCTTGACAGCTCTCCCTTGCTCAGCTTCAGCCGCCGCCGCCGCCGCCGCCGCAGCAGCAGTCGCGGCGGCCTTCATGCTCCTTATGCTCGTCTGTTCTAGAAGACTGGCGGCACGTGTAGTTTCGGGTGACGTTGTCGGTGCCCGTGGCATACGATTGGCTGTCGTTGAATTTCCATTGTACGGTGCATAATTCGACGTGGTCGATATCGTGCTCGAGGAAAAGGGGTGCTGCTGTGAATGTCGGCGCCCACCCGGCGCCTCGGCAGGCGGACTACGTCTCCTGGGCTCTTGTTGCGAGTGTTGTCTTTGCAGAAGATGAGCATTGGATGGATGATGAGGATTAGCCCAAGCATTCTGCTCGATGAACTGCTCCGCTGCAGAACCCAAACCCGGGCCAAACGGTGGTATTCCCCTTAAATCGGAGATAAACGACCTGCCTGGTTCCCGAGCCTGTGGTACCGGTCCGCGACCTCGCTGTAGCTGACACGGTTAGCTTTTGGCCCTACTGGACTCGTGTATCAGGGGGTTGCAAATTCACTTACATTCATTGCTTCAAAGTCGTCATCCAGCTCTTGTGACGATGCACCACGCATATCAGGTGCAGCAGGCATGCCTTCATACTTGGCAACGCCGGACAGAATTGCGACTTCCTTGTTGTACGCCAACGCATCGCGGACCCTTTGCGCCGGTGCTTGAGGGAATCGTAGACCGAAATCGTGCACGTTGTTGGCATGCTTCCGCCTCTCATGCTGTATGGCGTACCAATACTGCCCGAGCTCACCAATAATTCTCTCTCTTGTTTCGCGAACATCCTGATAATACTGCGAGTGTATTTGCGCACGCCTTGCAACGGCCCACCTTCCCAGAGTCCCGATGTTGAGGTGAAACTCGTTCTCAGCTATGCGCAGCTTGTCGTCTTTCCTAGTATCAATGCACTCCATCATAGCAATGTAGTCGGGGTGTGTAGGGATATCGGCCTTGAGCATTGCTTCTTCTCTGTTTAATTGGTCGAGCCTTTCCTCGTATAATCTGTAATTGACTTGGTTAGCCGCCCGTCGGTCTGATTTGGACATGGCGGGTCAAAGGGCAACTTACCTTTCCCTGAATATGGCGAATTGTCTCTCTATACTCGTCAATCCGTCCAGGGCGGCTCTCTTGCGTTCAACTAGTGATTGTGTCAGCTTGTTCGGAACGCCGTACGTGAGACCATGTTTCGTACGCTCTTCTTCGGTTCTCTGAGCGGCCTCGGCCTCTCCATCGACATCGGCGCCGGTATGCTCGTCATCTCCAGTGCGAGCGCCATCTTCTTCGGCAGTTATGCCGTCTGCGGGTTCTTCCGGGGGCTCATCGCTCTCGGCCCTGGGCGATTTGCGCTTCTTGGATACAGTGCGTGGCTTTCGGGCGCGCGATTCCTCCTCGATTTGGGCTTCTGCATCGAGGTCATCCGTCTGCCCATCTCGTCCCTCGTTCGCAGTAGGCTCCACAATTGTCTCTTCGCCGCTGTTGGTGCTGGGCTCCTCGTCGTCTGCCATGGCAACGTCGCCGTCTTGGTCTGGTTGACTGACGCGCAGAGGTGATGCTGAGCGCTTTCGCGCAGGCAGGTCGTCCTCAGGCGCATCAGCTGGAGGCGATGTGCGCTTGCGCTTCCGAGCCTCAGTGTCTTGAGCTGCGGCGGCGTCTGCAAGGATGTCAAGTGTAGGTGAAGGCAGCTTCTCGGCCGTGGGGGGCCCTGAGCTGTGAGGGCGAGGAGGACTCGAAGTGAAAGAGCCTTGGAGCTCAGAAAGAGGTTCGTCTTCATCATCATCGACGCGGATGCCCTGGCGAAGCTTGGTGGGGGTCCTCTCGAAGGCGTGAGCACCAGCGAGAGCGTCGGTATGACGGGTAGGGTTTTGAGGGGTAGGAAAGAGACGCTCTGTCTCGGCTTCAGTGTCATTTGCGTCGTCGTCCTCGTCGTCCTCGTCCTCGTCCTCGGTTCCGTCGTCGTGGTGGACCTCGGGGCTCTCTTCGGGGAGGTCGAGATCATTCTGAGAACCGCCGAGGTCAGAGAGCGGGCTCGATCCGTCATCGTCGTCGGAGAGCGGCTCAATGGCGGGAGGCAGTATAGTTAACGGCGGGGCCGTATCACCAGTCGCCATGACAGGCAAAGTGAAGCAGCCAGTTCCAGAGAGCAGAGGATGTTATGGACGGGCGATCGAGGCCAAGGAGGGAGCCCGTGTCAAGAGCAGCGCTAATTGAGAAGGAGTGTTTTGTTGACCGTGTGCCGAGTTTCGCAGGGTGGGAGGAGAGCAGAGGAGAGGGGAGGAGAGAAGAACGTAGCGGAACAAAGTGCCGAACGGCAAGTGTGCAATTAAGATAACCAAATACCACAAAGGAATTACTCCTCGGAGTAATCGAGTGTAGTTCTCATGGGGAAGCTGTGATTGAGCAGGTATAGAACATGGGGGAGGGGAGGGATTCAGTGTGGCATGGTGATCTCTCCGAGCAGTTGAAAGTGAAAGGCGGGCGCAGGCGTAGTAGTAGTGGATGTACCCTCTGGTGCTTGGTGCTGCACTACTGTCGGTAAGAAATATGCACCTTACGTACCTATCTCCCACGAGAAAGCCACAGAGGCCATAGCCCAAAGCCCCAGAGCCCAGTGATCAAAAGGTCGAGCTGCCAATCTACGCCAGAAACCACCCGGCGGCCCTGCGGCTTGGTGGGTCCGTTATCGTCTTATCGTTATCTGCCTTCGCAACTTTTTTTCCCAAGCCTATCGTGGGGTTATCGAGAAACTGAAGCTTGCCTGCCAGGAACTCTAACCTTCTCCCCCCCAGATTCACGTATACCATGGCGAAAGGGTAAGAAGGACTGGCCTGAGTCGTCTGCTTCTCTTGGATTTAGCATGCTAATTGGCTCACAGAAAATCTGCTGGGCTGGTAGCCCCCAAAGCCACCATTGACAAGACCCTGAACGATCTCTTTGCAAGCAGTGTAGGTTCAATTCTCTTTAATCAAGTCTACAAGTTCTCCAGCTTATGATTCGACACAGTCAGGACCTGTCAAAGCACCCTCAGCAACGCGATACTCAAAGCTGCTTCCCTTGAAGGAGTCCAAGCCTACCAAGCAGGCTGATGGAGAGTCTGGTTCTGAGCATGGTGACCAGGACGATGGGGATGACGAAGAGCTCAGTGAAATCGATGAGGAACTAGAAGATGAAGATGACGAGGAATTGTCCGACGCCGAGCTCGGATCCGAGGATGAGACAGAAGACCAGGAACATGCAGCTTCGGAAAATGAGGCCCCAGTGCCTGAGCCCAAGAAGGAGAGGAAACGAAAGCGCAAGGACGAGTTTGAGGATCTTGAGGACAAGTATCTCAGCAAGTTGGCCGACGACGACGACGAAGATGACGATGCCCCTACAGAGAAGAGGCGCAGGGCGGAGACAAACGGCGAAAGCTCAGCAAAGGACACTGCTCGTGACGACGACGACGACGACGACGACGACGACGATACCCCTATCGTGCATGAGTCGTTGCTGCAGAGACCAGATGAACATGCTGACGTCGAAGTTGACAAGGCAAATCGCACCTTGTTCCTGGGCAATGTCAACTCGGACGCCATCGCCTCGTCCAAGGCCAAGAAGGAGCTCATGGCGCATCTCGCCGGGCCTTTATCAGACCTGGACGCAACTTCAGGCCCGCACAAGGTCGAGTCCATTCGTTTCCGCTCAGTTGCCGTCGCCGGCAGCGGCATGCCTAAGCGTGCTGCCGTTATCACCAAATCCCTAATGGAGACGACCACCAAGTCAGCCAATGCCTATGCTGTCTACTCAACCCAGCTTGCTGCGAGGACAGCGCTCAAGGCCCTGAACGGAACTGTCGTGCTCGATCGCCACATGCGAGTAGACAGTGTGGCCCACCCTACTCCGATTGACCACAAGCGCTGTATCTTCGTCGGCAACTTGGGTTATGTGGACGACGAGACCATCCTCGAGACCAATGCCGAAGGTGAGACCAAGGCCAAGAAGCGCAGCAAAGTCCCAGCAGACATGGAAGAGGGTCTCTGGCGTATCTTTGGCCAGCATGCCGGGAAAGTCGAGAGCGTTCGTGTTCCCCGAGATGCCAAGACCCGCGTGGGCAAAGGATTTGCCTACGTGCAGTTCTATGACACAAATGATGTCGAGGGCGCCTTGTTGCTCAACGGCAAAAAATTCCCTCCTATGCTGCCCAGAATCCTGAGAGTCAGCCGTGCTAAGAACCCGAGGTTCACGGCTTTAGCTACGGAGAGGACGGCCAAGGCCAAGATGGACGCAGCAAAGGGCATGGGGGGCACTGCGGGCAAGCCAAAGAGCACAAAATACAAGCACAAGGCGACCCCAGAGCAACAGTCGTTGGCCGGACGAGCAAGCAGATTGTTCGGTCGTTCTGGTGCGCATCGCGAGGCACAACGCTTGAAGGGGGGAGACAAGAAGCCAAGACAGAGAGAAGGAAAGCCCGACGGTAGGCCCGACTTGGGTGCCCTCAAGACACCGGAGCAGATCGTCTTTGAAGGCCGCCGCGCCAGTTCCAAGGACGGCAAGCCGAAAGACCTCAAGTTCAACAAGACCAAGGGCAAGAAGAGGCCGCCGCGCCAGATGGCCCAAGGCAGGGGTGCAAGAAGAGCTTCCGAGTGGAGGAAGCAGTCTGACAAATAAGCGGCCGGTGTTGCGAAGAACAATAGCTTTTGTTGACCAGGAATAGGCACTTACCATCCATATAATACCCATGAGCAGTGATTAGAGCTCGACGCTACCAAACACTACATGACCTTCATCTTTCTAGTCGTTAGTGCGCATATCGAGATATCAATAAGGCTATAACGATAAATTACATGTGAAATCCCAAAAGTGATTGTTATCAAGGCAATGCGGTGAACGTTTAGGATTCCCACGGCTTGGAAATGAAAATGAAAAAGAAAACAAAAAGGGTGGGGAAGAAGAAAAAAGAGAAGGGTTTTCCTAACAATTCATGTTTATCATAAAACCACCTCTCCTCGCTGAGTGCGTGAAATAATTCAGAGATGCGATTCGACAACGGCCCCCAAGTCCTCATCGCGGCTAGAAAACCCCCGTTTGGACCGCCCGTTCTGCCTAGTCTAGGTACAATATACCTAGCATGATGAGCCTGGTGCAACAGTCGTCTTAAGGCACATGCGCTGCGCAACCGCACTCATGCTTATCCGTATACTTGATACATGTCTGATCAGAACGCACCTACTAGTAAGGGCTACTAACATTCATAGAGCGCTTTAGCTGGAGATATTCCTGCATGGTTCATTCCGTTGGCGAAAGCACACAATGATCACCGCTAAATGTCGTTATGGAAAGCATGTTTGATTCACGGATCTTCATCCAATTCTTCTCGGCCCGACGCATATATTCTGCAATGGGAGGACTGCGACTTGCAGTGGCACGACCCCGTTGCTCTCAATGGCATCCAAACCCACCACGACTATCCACCAGCCTTTCGACCAAAAACTCTTTTCTATCCTCGACTTCGACAAGCAGCGGAGGTCTATGTGCGTACTCTTTCACCTGTTCACAGAAGTGTATTCCAGTATTCCGGTCTAGGAAGGAAGAATGGAAACCATAGAGCGGGATGAAAAACGAAAGGGGGTATTTAAAAGGTGCACACAAATGATCTAGCGCAGCATTCTAGTATTCAGCCTCCTCCTCCTCGTCAACATAGCTGTCAGCTGCAACCTCCTCGTAATCCTTCTCAAGAGCAGCAAGATCCTCACGGGCCTCGGAGAATTCGCCCTCCTCCATACCCTCACCGACGTACCAGTGGACGAAGGCACGCTTGCTGTACATGAGGTCAAACTTGTGGTCGAGACGCGACCAGGCCTCTGCGATAGCAGTGGTGTTGGACAACATGGACACGGAGCGGTCGACGGAAGCGAGACCACCATCGTTGGGCGATTCGGTGGGCACAGCCACGGGCTTCTGGTAGTTGATGCCAAGCTTGAAGCCAGTAGGGCACCACTCGACGAGGTTGAATGAAGCCTTAGCCTTGAGCGCGGCGATAGCAGCACTGCAGTCGCGGGGAACAACATCGCCACGGTACAGCAGAGCAACAGCCATGTACTTACCGTTGCGGGGATCGCAAACAACCATCTGGTTGTTGGGCTCGAAGCCTGTGCTGGCATTAGTACTAGGTTCAGGGGAAGGGGGGGACGGGATTGTTGAGCCCAGGACATACACTGGAAGGTCAAATCATGGACCTTGAAGCTCTCGTGGGAGCTCTTGGAAGCCGACACAACGGGGGCGTAGCTGATCAAGGGGTAGTGGATACGAGGGTAAGGTACCAGGTTGGTCTGGAACTCGTTCAGGTCGACGTTCAGGGCACCATCGAATCGAAGGGAGGAAGTAATGGAGCTGACGACCTGAGCAATGAGGCGGTTCAAGTGCTCGTAGTTGGGGCGGGGGATGTCCAAGTTGCGCTTGCAGATGTCGTAGACAGCCTCGTTGTCGACCAAGAATGTGCAGTCCGAGTTCTCGATGGTGCTGTGGGTGGAGAGGACAGCGTTGTAGGGCTCGACGACTGCAGTCGAGACACGGGGGGCAGGGTAGACGGCGAACTCGAGCTTGCACTTCTTGCCGTACTCGGTGGAAAGACGCTCAAGGAGCAGGGCGCCGAAACCAGAACCTGTGCCACCACCGAAAGAGTGGAAGATGAGGAAGCCTTGCAGAGCACTGCAGTTGTCGGCAACGCGGCGGATGCGGTCAACAACACTCTCGACCATCTCCTTGCCAATGGTGTAGTGGCCACGGGCGTAGTTGTTGGCGGCATCCTCCTTGCCGCTGATCAGGAGCTCGGGGTGGAATAGCGAGCGGTAGTCACCAGTTCGGATCTCGTCAATGGGGGACGGGTCAAGGTCGACGAAGATGGAGCGGGGGACATATTTGCCGCCGCTGGTCTCAGTGAAGAAAGTCTCGTAGGAACCGCCGTCGACCTGCTCCTGTCCGTCGACCTTGGCCGCCGGACGACCATCGCGTCCAAGACCGTGTTCGAGCAGGTACCTTGTAACAATGGTCAGTTGGGAACGTCCTCGTGTTTGGAGCTCGCAGCCGGTTCTGGGGTGGTGCTCGGCACTAAAGCGGTGTGGCACTCACAGCTCCCAAGCGCTGTTACCCAGCTGGGTACCAGCCTGGCCGAGGTGAAGGTGAAGAATCTGGAGAAGGACAGCGGTCAATCAATTGTCTCACCCACGAGCATCTGGCGTTTTGGTAGGTAGGCGCGTTTAGAGGCATGGGCAGAGGCATGGGCAGAGGCAGAGGCAGAGGCAGAGGTACCCGGTGCACAAGTGGTAACGCAACGGCGGAAAAATAGGGGACCTCAAAGTTGGGATTGTGACCGGGCCCTGCTGTAGATCAACGTCAAACTCACCTCGCCCTTCATGATGGGATGTTTGTGCTGGGAAATGGTATAGAAGTTGGGCAATGCTCGAGGGGCCGGAAGGCTTGAATTCAAGAACGGGGTCTTGGACGGGACTCTGCGCGCAGCGCTTGTTGAGTTTCAATTCAACGAAGATACTGAAGGTAGGAGTTCAAAAGGGAGGTGTGGACTCGATTGCAATGGGTTTTGTGTGGAGTTCCGTGTCTGTTAACTCTGTTCGCGCAGCTGCAGCTTGGGTGAGGGGCGGACGATGTGATTGGCGACTGGACTTGTTTTCTTTGTGCCTTTGGTGGAGGGGCAGCTCGCATTGACTTTCTCAGAAAGATGGGGGACGATGAATTCGGCTCACCCTGCTAGTGTGCCAGGTTCTCCTCAGGCCAACATCTGCGGCAAAGATACTTGTGATTAAACAGCTCGCCAGGTACGTACTGTGCACCTCACACCGCTCCCATGTCAATGCCATGTATCACTCCAAACGGGTAGCAGGGGTCTTTGCCTATTTCAGCGCTAGATGGCGCCGTCAAACGTCTAAGGTTAGCTCCCCGGCAACATTTGAAGCTATGTATTCGACTGTTATAGTAGCTATCCGGAATCACGGCCGGACAAAGCCATCCAGCTCATCGACCACATCCACCATGGATGTCTACTGTCGTCCAACCTCCCCTATTAAGCACCCCAGTATCATCTGATCTAACTTGTTCCAAGCACTCCCCGTTGTTTTCTTTCGTCTATCAACGGGGGCGGAGGTATGCCATCAGTGAAGGCTTCGCCCACAGACTAAAGTTCTTCTGGTCAAGCCAGTTGAGACTCTCATCGTTGATTTTGAGGTCAAAATTCCACAGCGTCCGAGCAAGAATTGTGCGCATTTCGACGTAGGCAAGGCTGCTTTCATGTCAGCTTGAAATCGTCCCTGATCTATAAGAAGCAATGTTACTCACTTTCGCCCCAAGCAATTCCTTGGTCCGACATGGAAGGGCTGCAAGGCATCGCGTTGATCATCCGCGAACCTTGGATCGCCTAACCAGCGTTCGGGGTGGTATTCCTGGGCATCTTTCCAGAGTCGCTCATCCCGGTATAGAGCAAAGTGATGCACAGCCACGGTCTGCCCTTCGGCAATATACTCACCACAGACTCTTGCTCCTCCTGGCGGCACAATTCGCGGCAGCCCCCCAGCGACTGGAGGATACAGCCGGAAAGATTCGTTCAAGCATGCATTCATATAAGTCAATTCGTTGACCGTGATGAAGTTAATATCCTCTTCCGACTTGAACGCAGACCGAATCTCCTTTGTCGCCTTCTGTAGTGCGTCCGGATTCGCCATGAGGTGGTAAGTCACTCCGCATAGTTGCGTTGCAGTTGTTTCGGAGCCAGCAAGAATCAGCAAGCTGCTGTTTGCTTGCAGCTTTTCTAAAGTGAGGCCCTGCCAGTGGTCAGCTTCCTGGGTGGCAAGACGTATTCCCGGTTCAGTTACCCATTCGTCTGCCCTTTTTAACATAGGCTCGACCAGATCAGGCCGGTCCTGGTACTTCTCCATCCGGTCCTTCAACTTTACCTTCGATATGTTCAAAAAGTCTTGCCTTTGCTTATCCATCCTTTCCGCAAAGGGCACAAGGGCGTCCAAGACAGCCTTGATCGTAGGATATTGTGCCAGAGACTGGACGATCGTCCCCACACGCGCCAGCGAGAGAATTGTTGAAACCCAAGTGTGATATTGAGAGGTTTTGAGGCAGCCAAACGGCTCGCCAAAGGCCAAGTCCCCGATGATGTCAAAAGTCGCGAAGTTGTACCAGGCAGTCAAATCTAGCGCGGCTGAACCACCCGCGCAATTCTCGTGAAGACGCTGTACGAGCAGGTCGATATATTTCTTGATAAGAGGCTGCTGGTCACGAAGGGCCTTTTCGCTGAACCCATGCGCGAGGGTCCTCCTCAGCTTCCCGTGCTCCTCGCGGTCGGCAGTGATGATGTCCGTGGTCATGCCTTTGATGGGTCGGTAGAACTTGGCCGACTTCTCCATCTCTAACTGCCCTTTCGTTCGGTGGCCCTGTATGTCATTCCATGCTGCAGAGTTGGCAAACGCCAGCTCATCTGGTGCAACACGAACAATCTCGCCATACTGCTTGTGGAGAGCTACCATGTAGTACGGCAGAATACCCTTCGTGAACTTGAGAATATATGGTATCCTCGACACTCTCATCAGCAGAGGGCCCGGGAATCTCGCTAAAGGATGAAAATAGAGGTTATAGATAATGTTTGAGATAAAATACGTTAGCCAAAACACCACAACTGTAGCAATGGTGTTGCTGGTGCTGAGAGTATACAGAGCCATGTCGCTGATTTGGACGCTAATACGCCACCACTCATGGTTCGATTGGTAATTGCAGAGAAGAGATAACTCCCGTCATGTTGTTTTGGGCGGGGGTGCATGCAACAGGTATATAAAACTTGGATGGCGACGCCGTATTCGTGTTCCCGATTAGCACAAGTTTCATACGGCGTACCGACTAACCGAACATTGTTGTCCAGACGTCTCATTGGCGAAATACTGGGCAGATCTCCAATCCTCTAGAGAGGTCGATGCCCCCAATTATGCGGAGACTGATTAAGAGCAACACGATGCTCGAATATGTGGATTATGACGGATTACTTCCAATGAATACTGATATGTGCCACGAGACATGGGATAGTCACCACAGAGAGACCCCCTGCACAACTGTAGGCGCCTGGCATTTATTCCTTACACGAGTCATATGCACAACGCTTTGATCAGCGAAGCCCGTTCCATGAGCTGCCACCTGAGTTGGAATTCCAAGTGGGATGCATCCTTCTCTGTATAAATGCAGCACTGGGTTTCACTGAACACTGTGTTTCAGGATGTCCACCAAAATGATTCTTTCGACCAATCGCATGATCTTGCGAGAACGAGCTGGCATGCTCGTTCTAGACCATTGCACAAGGCCTTGGGTCGTAGTAGCTATGTACGCATGGCTGTTGGCAAGCTCCGTGTCGTGGGATGCGATACAGCGTCTCACATGCGACACATTTGTATGGAAGTTCCGAATGCATAGCTCCTATTGAGCTATGCTGATGTACATTATCAGTGCATCACTACCAAGCAGTCAAATATCGGGAATCGAGTTTACACGATCAGTGCCATCTGAGCGTTTCATGGCAAAATACTTACGCCGTCTGCAAGATTGATTCCTGCTGCAGGTAATCGAAAAAAAATAAAATTGGAATTTTTTTATCGCGCAAAAGGGTATATCCTTCCCCATCATTCGCCAGCGTCACCGAAGAGCGGCTGTAAATTTTGCACATCCGCGTCTTCTGCTGCATCCAGAAACTCATCCTCAGCAGACCCAATGCCTTCAAAATCGCCTGCTTCCGTCTGACGATTCACTTCCTCCATACCTTCGCAGGCTGTGTCGGCAAAGCGATGTAGCTCATCGACTGTAAATTGGTTGAAATTTGGAAAATAGCCGTCTATCGTTTTGTGCCAACACGAAGTATTGTTGTTTTCACCACCAGTCATATATGCAATTGCATCCCAGTCGCGCCTCCGCATCCTTCGAGGTCTATCTTTGTCGGCGTACGCCCAGGTCTGTTCTGCTTCCTCTGGCCAATACTCAAACTGCTCATTCTCCCCACCGTTGCTTACAGTTGGTTGCCTGATGCCCGTGGCGACCTCAACAAAGCGCTGATCTAAGCTTCGTCCGTTCCCTGTCGGGTCATACAAGTCATATTGTGGCCATTCATCAGGCCGCAGACCCACCAGATACTGATCGTATCCGAGGTTCGTCACGCGGCAAACGTCCAACTTGACATTGAGCTCCCGAATAGTCATCGCAATCCACCTGTGGTTCGGTGGTGGGCGTTGGTTGGGGTAACCAATCCAAAGGTTTTTCTCAACATCCTCGGGTTCGTGCGCGTTGTAGGTAGTCTTGAGGTAGACATGGTTTAGTATCAATTCCTTGAGCGAACTACCAAAGCACTTGAATAGAGATAAGAAGCCGCATGGCTGGATATCGACGCGCCGAAGCTCGAGTGAGGCAAGATATGGCAGTACAGACTTTGGCGGTTTGCGTATTGTCGGGATGGATCTGAAATTCCAGTCGCTCAGAGTGCAGTCTCGCTGAGAAGTACGCTTGACTTGCTGGAATAGCAACTCGTCCATGTTCAAACTGATGAGACAAAGGCTCTTCAGCTTGCCAGCCTTGCCGATCATTTCCCAAAGGCGCTGCTGAAAGCCAATAGTGTGATACCTCTCGCCTTCGTGTCTTCGTACTGACATAAGGAGATGCTCAAGGTGGACGAATGTATCCATGATATTCTTGACGTCTTGTGGGTTTCTCCAAAGTCTAACAATGCCAATGTCGGTCAGGTTCTCTAGCACGAGCGTCTTCAGTGCCTCCGAATCTTCTGGCCTGCGAGCAAGTGCCTCGAGTGTGTTTCCCAAGATCATGGTCGAGGCGTGGACATGTTTGGAGATTAGCTGAAAAGGGAGGTTCAGGCGTATGGCGTCCACGTTCATGGCCATCTCTAGCACGCTGCCAAGGTGTTCGCGATATTCGGCTTCGGTGAATGAAGCTTCATTCATACAGTATCGTTCGTACAGCCCGTCGAGGAAGGGTCTCATGGCGGGAACCCTCTTGAATATCTTGCCGAGATATTCCACCTCGCCTGCATGCGCCGGCGTTAGTACCGTGGATACTGGGGCAACTGGTCATTGGAGTATACACCAACCTTCGTCTCTGATGAGCATCATATCGAGAAATAGTGCTCGGCATAGGCTCCCGGCCCTTTCCAAAGCATCCGTGTCGAGCGAAGGCAGCTGTGATCGCGACAGCCTCGTGTAGTCAACTTGGAGTGTACGTAGGCCATAGGGCTTCAGGACATCGTCGAATAGCTTACATACTGTCCGAAGTTGCAGAAGGTCATTCTTTTTGTTGTAGTGGTTTGCGACACAATACTCCAAAATGGTGATGAGAATCTCCGGGGGAAGATGAGTGACGCTCATGCTGACTTGATTGCTTGCCTTGTTTCCCTTCCTTAGCGCACGAGGTGTCGCGATAGTTGGTGCGCAATTCGAGGTAGTGAATCACGGAGGCACCCCTCACGAATTGAATACGATGAGTTGCGGGCGTAGCTCTGCTACTCCGTCTTCGTTGCGAGCAGTTATCTCGTGATAGGTAATAATGATCATCTGCCCGAGTCGAGATTGAATTAAAGACAGCAGGGAGGGGACCCAAATATATCCCTGTAGCTCTGCCGTAAGCTGCAGCTTAGCGGCATGGGCTATCAACTCAATTCAGTCTGACAGCGGGGAAGGCCCCTGAATGCCTGCCCGAACCCCCTGTGCATCCAATGCCGACGATCCCAAATGCGCCGCGCACCGTATTGCAGAGCTCAATATGAGCATATGAGCAACGCACATTACACAAGGATCCTTGCATGTTCCGTTAATCTGGAAACCCTGAGTTCTAGTCCGTACTCTTGACAAGCTTTAAGTTATGCTAAGCTGGGGTAGTATTCATTGCCAATAGGTAGTTGGTGTCGAACAGGGCACTTGCGACGTACCACTGTATGTATTCGTCAGTCTCATATTGTGCCCAAGGCTCGCTTGGAAAGTGCTCAGGACCAGTCTTGGTGTTGACTGCTGATTGTACTCTTGCCAGGAGTTGTACAAGTGGAGGGCGGGGGTTGTGGTCAGGCCATGCACATTGTGCTGCTAGATAATAAAGTTCCATGTTCAAGTTGGGGAATGCGGTTTGAGGATTTACTCCAGGGACTTGTCCGTAGACGTTCTGGGTCGCTTGTCCACAAGTCAGCATAGCAGTTGTCCCAAGAAATCGAGGAAACCAGACTTACACAACCAATGTAGTAAATATCCCCGGGCTGACGCCACGGCTGCTAGAAGTGAGCCTTCCACCGTACGTCATCGGAATGAGAGGGACAAAACTTACTGCATATGACCACTTATATAGGTACTGGTTGTGTCGATTACGACACTAAAGTTTATGATCTTTAATGCTGGAACCAGGTAATGGTCCTCGGTGTCGAACTCGCTGAATACAACTGCCAAACATGAGCTTCCCAGTCATTTAGAGACTGCAATATCATACCGCAAAAAAGGATAAAGGGGGGGGGGGACGAAGAGGCAGTGGGTATAATTTTCAAAATTGACCACATCTCGATGGTATATCTGATAGTCGTGATTGGTTGGCTCTGCTTGCTGGGCTGTTCGTTATCCTCTGTCTCAGTCGATCAGTCGTCAGCTTCGTGTTAACCTAGATCATCCGTGTTGTTTATCAGGCGGAAATGCCATGGCCACTCCCATTTTGACCACTTCTATTAAATATCAGCCGTTGCCGTCCTTTATTTACCAGTAGGCTCAATAGAACTCACGATACAAGAAAATTGCCAAGCATTGGCCGTAAACTCTCCCAACGTCATTCCACGCAGGTGTTCCGCGAAAAGTGCAAATTGGCCTTCCCTTAGTGCGCTCACTGCAATCCCCTGGAGCCTGCTCACGACATTGTTATCGACAATAAGCTGTGCAATGTACGTTGCGCCATGCAATTTCTTTGCCATTATCATCTCTGTATGTAGATTTAAAAGGCTCATGGGGCTACTCATAGAGAACTTGGCGACGAATTTGCGCGTCTCGACTCCATTTCCCATCTCTCAAAATATATAAGTATCGCCGTGTCCACCGGCCCCGAGAGCATCATAGAACTCAAATCCGCCGCTTTGTTAGTGATCGTATAGTACTATGGCGATCACCGCCGACATCAAGGTAATATTTGTTGCACGGGAAAACAAGAAGAATCAGTAGAGTAGAACCACACTTCTATTATGTGCTCTCGGGACAACACTGTGTATAGGGGCCTCGTCTTGATGAGTTTTGTTCTTGCTCAGCGTCCTGAGTGGAGGGCAATTTGTCCCCTTGTTTCCCGTAATCCACACATCACTACGCCTTTTGTCGTTCAAGGTCAATCGGCACACTAAAAGCAACACATCTCGGAAATGTTTCCCATTGAGGTTTATCGAGAAACTAAGGTGGTAATATCAACAAAACGTTGGAACGCGAATGAAATAGATGAAAGATAGGGGTATCGTAATTTGTAACCTATTGTGTTATATCCCGCCTCTACGTAAGCCGTTGCCTCCGTCAAAATGTTGTCAACGTCAAATATACTAAAAAGAGTATCAACACCCAACGCCTTATTATCATTGTAACCAGTATTTACGCTCGATTTTGTGCGCCTGCGCTTTGTTCCTGGCCCTTTTTTATTATTATGGAAATCGAGGGATTATCACAGGTACAACTCGATGCTTCCGTCTTCTTTGATGAAATCGGCGACACCGTATCTCTTTGCGACGAGACTGGATCCACGCATGTCAGTATATCTTCAAGGGAAAAGCACTTCAACAATACATACCTCCATTCAAGGTTGCCAGTGTTTACCATCCGGAAAAGATCGACCACCTTAGACACAGCTTCATGTGCCTGAGCGTCATATGAGATACCTTGGAGTAGTACTTCGGCTGTATTGTCGTATAATTCGACCAGTTGTTGAATGTAGTCCACTGAAAGCTGTACAGCTAAGTCTAAGTCCTCAAACTCGTGAAACAAGAGAGCAACAGAGCTAAGGACGCTACCAGCGCGCATTTCCTTCTTCAAAGAGATAAGGTCGTTAATTCTGCGAATACGTCAGTTGACATACTTTTCTAGGCTTTAATCGACACTTACACTGAGTTGATTACAATTGTCGACACCCAAAGCGTCTCGTAGGCTGTGGTGGTGATAATGCTCATTGGCAGCTTAACATCAAGAGCAAATCTGCGGGTTCATTAGCTTTGATGGTATGTAGATACATTCAATTATAGCTTACTCGGACATTCCTAGCAAGGTGCCCATGCCACTTGTCAATGTCCTCACTTCCCAATACCTTTGCAAGCTGGGGACGAATTCACTTTTCTCGAACTCAGTCTCTATCCTCGTAGCATCAATGTACTGATCAAAGTGTCGCAGTAGCTCTTCCCTTTGCTCTGTGAATATGTTAATATTGTTCAAGTATGGATTGTAGTTGATGCTTACCATGGTCGTAGGCCTCACGTATCCTCTGAGCGATGCTCTCAAAGTTACGTATCAAACGGTGTATGGGTACAGGAGTGCCTTCTCGATTTGCCAAGCCAAAGCTCTGCGCAACATACTCTTTTGTGGCGAGCCTGAACTCTTCGGCGTCTTGGAGATTCTCGAGGTTCTCGACATAATCGTCCCATATGCCAAACCAGATGGTCAGGTCTGTCATTACTTGAAAACGGTCCCATGTTGATGTAGGCCACCACCTTGGCGAAACTGTAAGCAACAGATCAAAGCAAGCAACTTCTCTAGGTCATACCTGGCGGCAAGTAATGCTGGGTCTGCATCGTTGACAGCTTTCTGGTGCTTCTCGCTGGGGAGTATACTATGATTTACTTAGCGGGAGTTGCTATCAGCTTTTGCACAAGGTTACATACATTGAAAGTTTCCTCTGTACTGCATCCTTTGTTTTCGCATAATGTTCACTTTGCTGACTTGGCCAATGCGAAAAAATCGGCTTTAAATCTGGGATAACCAATTTTTTACCCTTGAGCTTTTTGGCTAGGATCTGGGTTTCGGTTCCGCGAGGCATGGCGGAATTTTGTAACAAAGCTTATGAACTATGAGTTATAAGACACGAAAACATCTGACTGTGAGATTTGACCCCGAATATAGCAATTGACTTGACCAAGAGCTGCCCGTTTTATAAGAGCCCTACCTCCGCATATTTACATTTACTGTGACAACCTGGACCACGATTTCGTTTGGCTATCGCAAGCCACAGGACCTACGTGCGGATCCGGCTCAGTAAAGATAGCGCTTGCATGGCTAGATGTAACAAACAACCTCGTTGATTCCGAGTAGCGAAACCGCTATACCCTGGATCCCATGGTGAATTTCCGCCCACGTTTTCTTGGGCACGGTATTTGAGCAATACTAACCAATCGAACGCAGCCCCATCTTCCCAAAATGGATTTCCACCCTGCTTCAGCCGCCGTTGGCGTAGCCCAGTTCAGCTGAGTGGGTGGCCGCTACCCAAATGCGGTATACCTAGCTAGCTGAAGCTGTTGACGATGCAGCCTAGTATAGCGGATATCCACAGCATGCTCAACACCAGCTGAGAAATGCGGCATGAGGTACCACATAAGTTATTCCCTACATCTGCATTCAGTCAAGACTGCTTGTTTCTTCCAATATTCTAGACCCAAGTCTGCGTCAACGGTCCGCTTCCGTGAAACGAAGCCATGTATTGCCTAGACCTTGATTCCATTGGACCTGTATCGAGCGTAGCCTAATCTACCAAAATCTTCAATCATCCCATTGCCCAAAAATGTTACCATTTACGTGGTTCGCGCCATGCCCTATACCCATTCTATGAGGACGGCATAAGTATAATATACAGAACACTTAGTTTACTCAAATATCTTTAGGGATCTCCCCACGATAAAGCACCCTTAGCCATAGAGCTACAGCTAGTGAAACGGCTCCTCTCAAAGCTGTCCGGAGTGTCTGTTTATTTTATTTGATCATTTTTTATTCTCTTAGCGCATTTGGTGCAGGAATAAGTTTTGAGGGTACATATCTCTCTTATCTTGAGCCGCGAGTCCCGCGCATTGAAGGATTTCGGCACAAGTTGCCAATGCATCAAACTGCTTGCAGCTACAGTGAATTTGTTCAAGCTGATGAACACCGACATGTATATCTGTTAGACTTGGACGCGCAAGATCTCAGCTTGGAGCAGGGGACAAAATCGTGCAAAAGCTTGACGGACGCGTTGGTTTGGACCCTGAATTTTGCTTGGCGCCTACCCTGTGCAAAATTCGCCGGCGCTCTGAACGCCAAGACTGCTATTCACCGGCCTTGGGTGCGGAATGCGAATGGCACACCCGAAATTCCCGTGTACAGTATGGAGGATCATTCAAAATGTGATAGTCATTGCTGGAAATAGTCTATCCTTGTATCGCAGAGTTCGAGCAGACCTCACAGTGGTGTCCAATGACACAGCCATGTCAGACGTAACAAATTACACACGTGATTAGATTGCGACATTGGCATTACATATGGCAACAGACAGTGGACGTAATTCTTACCAGATAACTTTCCTCGCTTAGAGGAAGGTCCGAAGTAAAGCGCGACCCAATAAGCCTAGGTCTTTGCTTGGTACCTACAGAACGGTGTTATCGCACTTTAAGAGGCAGGTGGTTCGCGGTCATCATGTATTCGCAATCTGAGGCCATGAATAGCCCACAGACCACTCGCACGTTGATGGGAGACGTGGTGGTAGGCAATCAGGATTCGGAGATCGGCGGGCTGAATGTTGCCATCTGCTGACGCTTTTTGCACCAATGATCAGTAACTGACAGGCTGGTATAGGTAGGACAACGTAGAAGGTATAAAATCCATCGCACAAAAGAGCCCCAGCGTGTTTTGAATCAACAAACCCTTTTGAGCTCGTACGAATTCGGGCTACGAGGCGGCGGTGAGACTAAATGAGTTTTTTTCACCCCTAACACCTATGCCGAATCTTGCCGTCTGACAGCGATGTCAGTACTAATTATAGTGCGCCTTCTCGTGTGTAGAGCGCGCCTCCATATGACTCAAGAAGTTAAATTATTGCTTTATGTGCCCAAAAATTGCGTGATTGGCATTGTTGGCTTGACATGACGGAACTGACTAGGTCAGAAGAATGATGCTTACAAAGCCAGAACAGCCTCAAGTGTTGGTGCCGTGTGATTCAATCTCATCTCGTACCTTCTCTCATATGTGTGGTGCAATACAATACTGGATCTACTACCTACACTGATTGCCAGCCAAATCAATCTCACATGCTTGTTTGGGCGAACCTCCGTACTGTCGGCAATACCCGCTCCACGATTAGCAATAGTTTGTCAGTCTTTGCAAACTGGTATAAAAGCCAAAGGCTCAGCACAGCACTCGACAACGGTCTTCCCCCTCCTGCTCTTGTTGCGTGTCTTGAGGTCGTAAATTTCACAGCCCTATACCCAATCGTAATGACGGTCCCTATCGAACAATCAGTGGCTACCCCGCCGAGGCCAGCCTCCCCTGTTTATGGCTTCGGTACGCTTGCCGTGCACGCAGGCGCCCCTCATGACCCTGTCACAGGCGCTGTGATCGAGCCAATCTCGCTCTCAACCACATATGCACAGCGCGAGGTGGGCAAGCCAGTCGGCCTCTACGAGTACTCGCGCAGTTCGAACCCAAACCGCGACAACTTCGAGCAAGCGGTCGCCGCTCTCGAGCACGCCAAGCATGCTCTCGCCTTCGCCAGTGGAAGCGCTGCCACAGCCACCATCCTCCAGAGCTTAGCCTCTGGCTCTCACGTTATCAGCGTCAGCGATGTATACGGCGGTACGCATCGGTATTTCACACAGGTCGCCAAGGCCCACGGCGTCAAGGTCACCTTTACACCACAGATCGAGGTCGACATCGCCGATCACATAACAGACAACACGAAGCTCGTATGGATCGAGACCCCCAGCAACCCGACGTTGCGCCTGGTTGATATTCGGGCAGTTGTTACGGCAGCGCACGCGCGTGGCGTCCTTGTAGTGGTGGACAACACATTCCTGAGCCCCTACGTACAAAACCCTCTGGATCATGGAGCCGACATCGTTGTGCACAGTGTTACCAAGTACATCAACGGCCACAGCGATGTCGTCATGGGCGTAGCTGCTTGTAACTCAGATGACCTGAAGAACCGGTTGGCATTCTTGCAAAATGCTGGCGGAGCTGTCCCCTCGGCATTTGATTCGTGGTTGGCACATAGAGGTGTCAAGACATTGCACCTGCGCGTACGTCAATCGAGCACCAATGCCCTGGCCGTCGCAAAGGCACTCGAGGCCAGCCCGCACGTCATCGCGGTGAACTACCCGGGCTTGGACTCTCACCCTCACAGAGCAATTGCGCTGAAGCAGCACCGCGACGGCCTTGGGGGTGGTATGCTTTCATTCAGAATCAAGGGTGGCAGAGCTGCCGCAGAGAACTTCTGCAAGCTCACTAAGATCTACACATTAGCCGAGAGTCTGGGCGGCATCGAGAGTCTCGTCGAACTGCCAAGTGCCATGACCCACGCTGGTATCCCTAAAGACCAGCGAGAGGCCGTGGGCGTCTTCGACGATCTCGTCCGTATTAGCAGCGGCATTGAGGAGCCGGAAGATCTGGTACGAGATGTGCAGCAAGCGCTGGTAAAAGCGGTCTTGGGAGACGAGATTTCGAATAGCAATGGGCATGCCAATGGTGTTAACGGAAAATAGATTACAGTTGTTTGAGACAGGCTGAAAAGTGGTATTATTTTGTCGGCGCAAATTATTCGCATTCATCAATTGCTTGCTCTTGAGATATGTCAAGGTGGTTAAAAGCTTTCGTAGCCTTGCAAGCTCATGTTCTCTGTTCTTATAGCAGCCTGCCCTCGAACCGCATACCAGATAATTCTGTTTGTGATGTGAATACATCCTCCACGACATCAACATGGCAGTTTTTCATATCTAATTGCCCAAGCTACTTGACCTGGGCCACGCACTTATCGATCAAATACAGTCACCAGCGAATGCTGTTAAGAAATAGGCTTGCCACCTCCACTGAACCTCTGCATCAGCCTGCCGAATCGTGAAGTCTCTTAAAAATGTAGCAGTGATTATCCAAAGCTCGATTACGGCCGTGTTCTGGCCTGAGTAAGTAATGTAGCCTGCACTGAGTGACAATCAGAAGTCAATATCAACCTTTCGTGTAAAGACAAACGCCCCGTTTCACATCGCCTGCTCAGACGGCAAACCACACAGTTGAAAAGCGTAATGACGGCCTTTGGAAGTCCATACCAGTCCCCATCAACCCAGGTCATCAAATTCAATCTCTTGGCAGCCTCTCGATGACTGACGCCAACTTCAATGAGTGGTGATACAGACAAAATGACATGGTTCAGAAGCCACCCAGTCAGTCTGGCATCTTCAACACCCCGTCCTGCTCTTTCAGGGCCATTATGAGCCTCTGTACGGACTATACTTGCAGTGCAAATGATTCGATCGGCTTTTATGTCAAAACCGAAACATTGAAGCCAACGCTGACCCAGGGGATGCTGCTGGCAGGCAACTGTACCCGTGCTGCTGCAGCAGACTGAACAACGAGATGGCCGAATACATTACTATTATGTGCTAACTCAGGCCAGAGCTAATGCCGTGCAAAGCGAGTTGAGCTTGGAAAGTTGTCACAAACATACGCAATATTCAGTGCTGTGTACTCAAAAATGGTCATCCACCATGGAGAGAACCACGACCCTATGCGAAATCTTCGGCAGCGTGCATGTTTGCCACAGCCTGGCTCCAAGTCGAAGCTGACATTGCCGTGAACGACTGCAGTCAATTTCAATCACAATAAAATAGATGGCAGCGGATGGTGCCATGACATCTACCGCTATTGTAAGTTCTTGCAAAAATCGATCAAGGAGTCTCGGTGGTGTGTTCGGGTACTGGTTGCCGCGATGCCACATTTCCGGTTCTCATATATTAAATCTATGGTGGTGTCAGATACCACACGCCAAATCTTCCGATTTCACCAGTCTACTAACCTTAGGCCACGGGCTGTTGCACCAACGAGACTGAACGCACGAATCGGTAGCGATTATCACTCTTCATTCGGAAGCATTCGAGTAAATATAGCAAGTGAAACTTGCGGAATGACCAACTTTGTCACGTGAATAGCCGCGTTGAGACTGGAGGGCGACTCAACTTGATACAAGTCATTGCCGTTGCATTGAAACACAACTCCATCGTATCAACTGCAGGACGGGTTGAGAGTCTACAGCCAAATCTTCAGTCCAGACGTCTAGAAAGCAAGACTGGAGCAATCGACTGCGTTCTCAAATGCCATGGGAGCGGTGTAAATAAACTTTTTTGGACTTATCAAAGACGTTCGTTAATATATGCCTGCGACTAGGCTGTTAAAATATGGGTGCTCTTGTAGGTTTGCGCGAATATACCATAGTTTAGTCACACATTGTGTGTGTGCGTGATAATGCACAAAACTACCAAAACCAATAATGATTGTAGTTTGGAGAGAAAGAAAACAATAATGAAAGACAAGAGGGTATGGAAAGCAGGCAAACAGACTAGCTGAAAACGCTCGTGTTTCTAATTGTTCCTCCTCAGGTGACTTACACACTCGAACATTCCTTAGAAATTTAGACTTTCGCATGTTACTCGCATGTCAATTAGGCTTAAGCAAGCTGGTGCAAGACGCACCATTGATACATGCCGATAGGCTTGGGACCAGTCATCCGCGCATCATTAGATCTGTAATCAATCCACGACATGTAAACAAGCTGCCTTCCTTAATCAGTTTCCGGCTGTGACAAAATTACTTCGTAAACGTCGGTGTACTCATCTTTGTCTAGTCTGGATATCGGTACACCAAACATGTCTGTTCTGCGGCCGGCTCACGTAATAACAAATACGAGATAACATCCTTTTGCGCGCGGTAGAGCGGAAAGCTGTGGATCCGTCATCAGAAGTCGGAGACTGTCCGCACCAGCTCGTGGCGATCTACAATCGTCTGTGATTAGCCTCAAACCTCATTGGTTGATCCATTACTATCCGAGACTAGTCATAAGGGATACTCGCTTATAACAACTGCACGGCCCGGCACCATCGTCATCAAGGTTTCCACATAAGCTCAAGAGCTCTGCTTAGATTCGGTGTTCCTGCATGGGCTACATCAGTCTACGCACAACTAGAGTCTGTCATCTTTGCACCCAGGAACCATCGCTAGGGCAAAGTCTGACATTGAGATTCGGATTTGGAATAGCACTCAAGCCTATGTCTGTTTCCCCCGCAAAACAAGTAGGCAACGCCATCATGGACCCCCTTGGTATACCAACCAATCATCTCGGATGTATCGGTCCATTTGACGAACGCGAGGAACTTGGAGGATTTGGAATTGGGTTTACTCCAAGGATGTCGGTAACTATAAGAGACGACTGCGATCCGCGCAGAGGATACACAATTATCTTTAAGATAGTGTACCAACACCTCATATTATCAGTAATACACAATGACCAGGAAAAGTTCAGCTATCCTGGCGGGTTTCGCTGCCGCGGCTGCGGCTCGTCAATGCCAGAACCTGACGATCCCGATCACTATCTCTGCACGAAACGGAATATTCAATCTCGCAGCACCTGAGACGAACGTTGACGTAACGAACTTCATTCTTGATCTCACACAGCCTGGCAACAACCTTACAAATAAGGCTTTGACTGGCTATGCCACCATCGCTGGCACCTACAAAGTCGAAGCCACATACTGCGAGCCTGATGCTGGCCCAGGCAAGGCCCTCCAGGTGCTGACACACGGTATTGGCTTTGACCGGTCATACTGGGACTTGTCCGCCAACAACTACAACTACAGTTACGTGAACCAGGCCCTCGACCGGGGCTACTCGACTTTCTCTCACGACCGCCTGGGCATTGGCCAGTCGCAGCACGGAGAGCCTGTCAACGAGATTCAGTCCTTCCTCGAGGTCGCCGCGCTCACCGAGCTATCGAGACTTCTACGCGGGGGCGAGATCGAGGGCGTCTGCCACCACGACAAGCTCGTACATGTGGGCCACAGCTTCGGCTCTATCCAGACCTACGGACTTGCGGCACAGTCGCCAGAACTCACCGACGCCATCATCCTGCAGGGCTTTAGCCAGAACGCGACGTACGTGCCGTTCTTTGAGCTTGGCGGAAATTTTGTCCAGGCCAACTTGAACGAGGCATTAGCTGACTATGATGACGGATATCTTGCTGCCGGCGACGAGACCGGTGTTCAAATCAACTTCTTCGCGCCCGGTCAATTCGACCCCGCCATACTGGAGGTTGCTTTCAACACTGGAAAGCCAGTCACCGTTGGCGAGTTGTTGACTATCGCTGGCCCGGCCAGTGTGGAAAATGCTTATCCTGGACCAGTTCTGGTTGTTACTGGAGGTGAGATACACAACTACCTTGCATATGAATGGAAAGGCTGAGCACTAACTCTTAACTGCCGGCAGAGCGTGACATCCTCTTCTGTGGCGGAAACTGCACGAGTTCGGACCCTTCTATCCCAGCAATGGTTGAGGAGTTCTTCACCAACGCTAGCTCTTTTGATGCCTTCATTATCCCTGGCGCTGGGCATGGTCTCAACTTGGTAAGTGTTCACAATGAGTTGTATAGGCTGGGATGTGACTAACTAAATTGCAGGAATATACTTGGCCAGTCACATATAAGACAATGCTTGATTTCTTCGATGGAGAAATCTAGATGGCGTATTACGGCAGAGATGATATGGTCCAATACCGTGAACAATCCACGACAACATAATTATAATGTAGTGCATATAATTCATGTCTTATAGCCACTGACAATGCAATCTGCCTCTCTACAAAATTCATCTAGTGTATGATTTATTAAAACCTGACATTATTGGTTTTTGAAATCGTCCCTACCCACATGACTATCGTAGTCGAACACGCCGCACATACTTGTAGCACGTCGGTGCGCCGTTCAATTATTTAGTATAACGTTGTATAGTCGGTGATAAAAATTTTTTTGGGAGTATTGATATCCTCTCAAATCCTTGGCCATAAGCCATAAATGGTTTAGAATTACCAGATATGCACTGCCCATGTTGAGAGTCAGATTGACCCATTTCGCCTGCTGCGCCCTAATTCAAATACCTGTAATAGATCTCACGGCACGTGCACGGGAATCGATAATCCCGGGGACAATGCAAGAAGATCTCCAATCATGTCATCACCGTCATCACCGTCATCACTTCCGTCTTATTCATAGGCGTTGAGTTCCTCTATCTCATCGTCAATGAGATCGCCGAGAGAATCTTTCGGAAAGTCAGCAACCGTTTTGTTCAGCCTTGTAGTTAGAAACTGAAGACTTACCATCGTCACTATCCTCATCACTCTCAACACGACCGCTGTCAGTGTCCTCGGTCGGCCAATCAACAGTGACAGTGTCCATGAGATCTTTGAGAGCGCCTGGCAGGTCCTGGCCTTCCCAAACGCGGGGGCCCCGGGGACAGTCCTTGAATGAGACATGTCGCTTGTATACAGTGAATTTCTCCTGGCTCAGCAAGGACATCGTTATATGATTGAGGTCAAGGCCCGCTTTAGCCATATGACCGAAGAACTTGCTCCAATGGTTGACTCTGCTGTGGTATGAACTGTTGTCCACAATGCTTACCAGGTGAAATTGGACAGCTCGTAAGGTTGCTTTGTGCTTGCGGAGCAAAGCCAGTAAGGTATTCGATTCCACAGCAAGCTTGCCGATCTCTAATCGCTGTAGATTTCTGAACAGTACTGATGGTGGAGCATCAGGAAGCACGTCAGGATTTTGTGCATCTGTGTTCAGAGATGAAGTTTGCGGAGTCTTGGAGAGCCAAGACAGAAAGTCCTGCACTTCACTTCCGGTGAAACGTTTGAAGTTAAGCCTCAAATGTTGGATCTTGTCGATATGGCGAAGGAATTTTCGAAGGTAATAACTGAAGCACTGGGTAGCGCCATTATCCTGGTCTTGACTGGCTACTTGCGCGAAGATGAAGTTCGAGCTAAGATCCATATAGAACGTCTCAAGCTTCGCTAGCACTGAAACAATGCTAGACTCATCGTATTTCTGAATCTTGAAAGCTTTGTCGTCAAGACCAGAGCGTCTCAGATTCACTTCAAAACGTGTCGGGCGAATAGAAGTTCTGCCCAAAGCTCGTAGCATATTTTGGAACAAGCGACTGGCCCAGTCATTGCCGCCGTCCATGGCATTGGAGAAGCGACCATGATCGCCCGGTATTTCCAATTGCGCACCTGTTTCTTGAATATATGTAGTCTTTCCGTAGCTTCTCCAGCTAGTGTTGTCGCGATAACGGGATTCTGAATCGAAATCTCGCAATTCCACAGTTTCAAGATTCTTCAGATTCGCGAAAGCTTGAGCCATCATGTCGATATCATGCCCGCTTTCGATGAGAGCGAGATGGTCTATGTATGTCTCACGATAACTGTTCGTTCTGCGTCGGACATCAGCTGTGGCTCTCACATTAGGCAAGTGGGCCGGCATGAGGTGCCGAGATGGACGCTCGACATTAATGATTATATGCTTCAAGCCATCAGCAAGCCTGGATTTGGAAATGTCAACCAAAGCTTGCAAGCTGAAAAGAGTGAGCATGAATTGCTTCTTGCGGAAGAACTCTTTGGAGAACGCATTGAAGACCGATGCTTCCAAATGCTTGCAAGTCAAGCGAAGTTGAGCGTACTCTGGAGTTGTGAGGTGCCGTACAATCTGTTGGAGAATCTCCAAGGGCATGGTTAAGAGACGACTCTTCTCGCCTTCGACAGCCGCCATTTCGAATTATGGTAAATAATAGACTGAAACAGAGTACTAGGGGGTTCTGAGAAATTCTTTCACATTTGATGGGATAGAAAAAGAACCACAATGCGAGAATTGCTGTTTGTCTGTTTGTTCATCAAGAGGAGCGGTATTTAGACCGTCATAAGTCGCCAGGCTACAGCAGGCCCGTGCTTCTAGTTTCCATCGCGACTCCAGCAACTTCCAGGCACACAAGCGCCAATAAAAGGACCTACCTTCGATACTTTCGAGACGCAAATGGTAACACTTGGTCATCGCTCGTTGTTTTCTTAAGAGACGTTGTATAGATTGACGTTCAACATTCATTCGACAGAGCGAGTCAGATCATTCATTGTTTTTTATTGCCCGCAATTACAGAAGCTTATGGTTTGTTCAGTGGCATATTTTGTCACTCAACATTTCCACATAGGAATACACAACACGGAAAGCCTTGTTAGCAGATTGATGTTAACTTCGTTAATGAGTAGCAACTGTGGTATCATTGAGACGAATAAATAAGCCTAAACCCAAATTCCATAACTTTTTCTTTCATATTGACTCCACTCATCAGGCACGATGCTCCAGATTTACACATGCTTGGAGTCCTCGCCATACTTTGTTCCCTTAACGGCTTCCTCGTCGAATTCTTGGGGGCTACTACCATCATATGCAAGTCTAACGTCTGTGATCTCGTCGCCAACCTCCATCCATTTATCACTTGTGGCTGGAATAGGGAATAGTTTGCAAAGGCCCCAGTACATGCCGGAGGACACGATGAATCCGCAGAAGAAGTTGAGGTTGTAGATGTAGGTGGCGCCCACAGGGACCTCACGTCCAATCTCTCCTGCAAAACCAACGACGTTGATGAGAATACCACTGATATACGCGGCATACGCCCGCCAGTGAAAGCCGTATGTAAAGAAGTACGGACCAGTCTTTCGTGCATCGTATAGCTCTTTGATCTCAAAGTATCCTTTTCGAACCCAGTAGTAGTCCGAGATCATAACTCCTGCGATGGAACTTAGGAACACAGAGTATGCGCTGAGATAAGTTGTAAACTGGTTGCTGTCTGTGAGCAGTGTGTAGGGACACATAGCAAGACCAACAAGAGCGCAGATGTAACCACCACGACGAATATTGATAAAACGTGGCAGTAAAGCGCTCATGTCAGTTCCAGCAGAGACGGAGTTCGCAGCGATGTTCGTTCCCAGCTGAGCGAGTGCAAAAGCAGCAGCAATTACGAACACACCAAAACGCTGACCAGAGCCACCATCATCGATGAACCTCTCGAGAAGTTCGAGGGGATCCCAGATGGGTTCGGATCCAGGGTAAATAACGGTAGACGACGAAGACACAATAATACCAATGAAGCTCGTCACTGCGAAACCGATAGGGATTGTAAAGAGCTGCGACCACAGCGCATCGCGAGGCTTTCCAGCAAATCGAGTGAAATCTGGATCGTTAACGATGAGGGTCGCAAAGTTTGCAATCGAGCTCATGATTCCTAAAACACATATCAGCATGTTGATTGGCGAACCAAGCATTCATCCTTACCTTTTACTATCTGCCATCCCAATAACGATCCAGTAAGAGATGAAGGTTGGTGCACAATAGGCCCCACGCCACCAGCGCGCACAATGGCCCAAATGAAGTAAGCGATACCGGCACATGGCACGAAATACGCCTTCACTGTGAACAGGTGACGAATCTTGTGGACCGGAAACCAAATAGCTGGCAGCGAACAGAACCAAAATATGAAGAAAGACGCATAGTCAGCTGTCGTGGCACCTGAGCCTTCCGCAAAGGTGTTCGGAATGGTATCACGATCCTATAATTTGTGAGTTAGTATTACACATGTGGTTTCTAGGGTTGACATGCGTACCCAACTTAACCATATCGCTCTGATCATCAAGTATACACATTTTCCACCGATCCATGATTGCACACCATACCAGACGCAGGCCATGGCCGCACGGTTAAAAACTGGCCACAGACATCCCCAGATTCCGAAGGATGCCCTATTGACAACAGGAAATCCGATGTGGTACATGGCACCAATCCGACCGGTCGAACAGATGAAGCAGGCTGCGATTGCGTAGCCGATCCAGACACATAGCCATGATTGCCACCATGACAGACCAGCTACGATCATTGAAGATGAAATCATCCATGTGTTGATGTTGAAAGAGTCGGCGATCCAGAACCCGACGAAGTTCCAGGCACCCCATTGTCGCCGCTCTGGTTCCACTGGTTTCAAATCATTGTTGGTCAACTGCGCTTAAAACATTAGCTGATATGTTCTGACCGAAAATACTGTGCTGGATGATGAAAAGAGCATTGCGGCTGTGGCTTACCATCAACTGTGCGGTGGTTAGTCCCTCCTCATGATCAACAGCTAGCCGGTCAGCCCAGTGGCCGGCTTTAGAACTGCGAAGCCTGACCATGACGGGCTACTGGAGGGCGGGCCGTAAGGGAGCTTGCCCGGAAAGCAATTCTCGTCGAGTAAATCTTGAGTAATAGAAAACCGCCCGCGTTCTTGTGCTTTATGAGGAGGTGAAGGATGGGCTGTTGCAGTTTGACCAGGGTCAGGGTATGGCCGGGTATGACGCTATACCTTGGGAGGGGATGTGAGAGAGTGTAAAGATACGGAACAGCAAGACTCAATATCGCTATCTCAACATAGACCACAGGAACCACCAAACTGGGAAGTTTATGAATTAAGTATTTGAGCGATAAGAGGGCAGAAAAGGCCTTAGGGTAGCCGTAGCAGCATATTCGACCCTTGACTACACATTCGCTGTCCTTAGTTGAAGGCAACAGGACCATAAACATCTGATAGAACTGATAAGATCCAACTAAAAGCATACCTCCCCCACACTGACCTGGTTTCTTGGCTGATTGTTACTCCAGGACGGCTTCTCCGTCCATCACGTCTTCCGCATACTTGCAGACATTTGATTGGTTTAAAACTTAGATCAGCCGACAACCGGCAGACTAGCTGTTGCGTTCCCTTGGAGAAGCTGGGATGCCAGGGCCTTTGAAGGTGGAAATCCTCCCAGAGTTGCAAGGGGGCCCAGTCGTTTCCCCCGCTTATCTCTGGCAGGATGGCCGGTAGACAGATAAAGCATCCGCTATTATTCGATTACATCGAGTCAACTAATAAGCTAGCCGCTTAGAGACGCTTGATTATTCAATCGTATCGAGTCAATGGATTAACCCCAGTCCACTGACGTGACTCTACATATCGCGATACCATTTGCCAAGATTGCCTGGTGAATACTGTAGTTTTATGGATTCGAACAAAGTGAACCCACGTTCTGAGGTTGCACAACAATGCTGTACGAATTGAGAATTTCATTTGCATTGACCGGTGCCGCGTTTGGTGGTCAACAATGGGACAGCATGAATATGAGTACTATGATCGCGTGACAGCTTCTTTGCGAATGCCAGAGGGATTCGAGCAAATCCTGGACAATCGAAAACTTAGGACTTTCGAGCACACAAATTACATCCGATGTGGCGTAGATAAGAGGAAAAATGGAACTGCCGCACCGCACTACCAGGCCAGACCGTCAAAAGTATAATATGTCCGAAGGCAGGAAAGATCATGTGCTCGATCCATTTCGCTATACTCTAATAGTGAGTTCGTGACTCTAATGCGAAAAGTTGCTGCAACGACGGTGTGGATTCTCACGTTCGCACTCTTGTATCCCATGCGTAGATGTCAGCGGATCCTTATCACACGCTACTGCACTATGAATGCATGCGCGTGCAAAATAGATCTAGCGTTTATCGACATACAATGCATTATGGCAGCGATCCGTGAGGCCAGTAGACACGAGGAGTATTTTCGACTGCGAAAGCTTCAAACGTTCCCTCGATCGACTCACACCATGAGGCGAATTCCGATTCGTATCAAACTGTTCATTTCGACTTCTCAACTGGCAAGTATATGCGATTTATGTTGCACCATGTCAAGATGATGAGGTTCAACTAGCACTAAATTAAATGTAAACCCACTACCGTGTCTACCAAGTGACGATCAAGCAGTCTATGTATTCATACATAACTAAGTGGTTTAGCGAATGTATTTCTCATTCAATCGTGCTAGCTACACAGGGTCTCAGGACACTCGGAAAGGCAACTACGGTATCATAAAATCATTTCATTGTTGGAGATACAGCTAGGTCAACCGTCACAGCTCATCCTCTATCACATCGTCCCATCATGATTCCCCGATCTTATAGAAAGCAATCATAGTTCCCAGCTTCATTCCATCCCCCATGCAAAGTTTTGGCCCAATGGCTTCCGACATGACATCCCATCTTTGGCACCGAACCGACGACATAAAAGACTTAAATATGAGCTGGACGAATATCCGGGTATCGAATACATTAAGCTTAACCCCCCTCCCTGAGATCTTGGTTCGTCTCGTCAAAGTGCCGCGTCGAGGTCCTACATGCGCACACGGAACAAATACCGGAGGCGAACCTGGGCTACGTCGTAGGCAATGTATTCGTTGTATTGCAAATATGCATTTGGAACACCAGTATTACCAGGCTTGACCGCCGTGTCGGGCATTTTGATGCCTTCCAGTGACTCGTGAACGCACTCGGCATCCTTCCAATTCTTAGGTCCAGTCATGCCTTGACCCCAGGTAGAGAGCATGCCCTTGGCTTTGGCTTCATCGCCAGCATTGTAGGAGGCATTCGTCAAAGTTTGCATGGGATTCCCTAGCTCGGCTTCGCAAAGCAGCAACAACGCATGTCCATTCGTCTGATACGAGCAACAGTAATTGGCTGACTTCGAGCTCATGTCTGCCAGGTAGATACCTTTGCCGAACATGTAGCCGGAAACCGGAGCCTCGGGTGGAGCAATACGCAGACCTTGGGACAAGATACCACCAAAATTGGTGCATCGTGATCCATGCCACAAGAGTCGTCGATCGCGAGGTGGGCCCGCGAATGGGCTGGTGTCGAATCGGCTCTTCTCTCCTTGCCGCTCGATGCGGAAGATCTGATCGACCTGGTAGTTGGCGTTGTGCGTTGAGCCTCGGGTATCCAACAAGTAGTTCTTGAGCTGTTGGAACTCGGTACTGGTGTGCTTGAGGGGTGTCATTTCCTCCATTCCTAGGCCCTGGAACTGGCGATCTAGAATGTTGAGACGCTCAGTATCCTTCTTGTTCTTGTCTTGCTTGAAAATGGCGTCAGCATCCTTCATGTCAGACAAGCTCTCAAGAAGTCCTATTTCCTGCTTGAGCATGTCCTGATCTCGGATGACGGGTAGGCTGTATCGTCCGAAGATATGTGGAATGAGCGAGAAGAAAGAGTTGGACAAATCCTCAGTAGCCTGGTTATATGAGGTTCCATATTGACTGGCTGCAAGAGATGGGTCGTCCAACAGCGCTGATAGGTCTTTGAGGGCCTGGTAGCCACGAGTCAATGTAGTCTTGCTAAGCTTTCCAAGTGGAAGTTTCTTAACATCATAATTCATGGCTGACATAACGTTTGCAAAATACTGTTGATTGAAGATGAGCTCCATGAGCTCCTGGACAGCAGGTGCAAGCTTTGACTCGGGAATCTCTGCATCATCTCCAGCTTTGATCTTGGATTCTGACTCCTCTTCGTCATCTGAATCAGGTGCATAGCTGCGCTCAACAAATGTGTATTTTTTGGCTTTGGGTGGTCCGTTACGGTCTTCCCAGTTCAAGCCAGACTTGTCCTTGAACTTCTTGTTGAAGTTAGAAAGTGCATCCTGCAGAGTTCCATTGCCTAAGATAGCACTCTGGCCGCGATCTCCAACCCGACCCCAGCGCGTCCAGGTCTTGTATGTACCAGCAACATTGCGAAGAAGCTGAACGCGATAGAACTTGTTGTTGTTATGGCCGGCATTAGTCTGGTTGAGCGAAGCATCGTAGATAACACCATCATCGTCAATATAGACCTCGTACTGAACAAGTTCACCCGCAATATTCTCATCAAGGGGGATTCTGACACCGGGCTTGGCAACTTGAGCATCCTCAAGCTCAGGGCTCTGTTGCTTCACAGCAGCGGTCTTTTGAATAGGGGCAGTGTTAATTGTAGGAGCGGAGGCTTTGGTCTTCTTCTGCGAAGGCTGCGAATCCTCTTCAGTATCGTCTGATGCTACTGCAGCAGCCACAGTCCTCTTTTTGCCCCGGGCTACTTTCTTGGGCTTTGCTACAGGTTCAGGTTGTGATTGAGCGTCAGCAGCTGGAGCAGCAGCAGGAACCGCTGCCGCTTTCTTGCCGCCACGAGTGGGCTTGGTGGGGACAGTGCCACTCTGGGTCTGAGGTGTTGTGGTGTCATCTTCAGGAGCGACTTTCTGTGTTCGAGAACGAGTAGCCCTACCAGTTGTGGTGGGTGCAGGCGCTGGGGCTGCAGCGCTGTCTTGTTTCCTTCGGGGAGGCATTGTCCAATGAGCAGCCAGGGTTGTTTAAATACACTTCGATGACCGGAGTGAACTAGTGATTGAGTTCCAATTGGGACCAGAGTGGTAGCAGGAAGATAAATTGGTAGACAGCCAATAGACTCCTTTAGAATATTGACAAAGTTGCTTGGGAATAGAATTGAGAATTATTGATGAGAACTGAACATAATTCTGTTATTTGGATTCCAATTTAAACAAAAGCTGGCGTAACAGAGGCAACAACGACCCTTGACGGGGTTCAGGCAGGCAGCAATGGCCCGTGCACTGAGACGATGGGGCACTTGTGTCCTTTGTGGTATGATCGAGGTCTAGACAAGGCACGGACAAATATTCAACAGATACCACTTTCTTCTTCTGCAGCCCAGAATGCCTTCTTAACCCTGCGAGCAATACGTGAATTGCAGGTTTTAGGGAGAAACTTACAAACCGGTGGACCCTCGATTTAATCAGTATGGTTCCTCATCCTGTGCTCATTGAAACAGCAACCACGTTCCCAGAGGTAGACACCATCAGTATAAGCCATCTAAGGATAAATTCAGTGTGCCATTCCGTAATTACAGTAAATGAATAGCGAAACAAGTACTGTCAATATTGGTCTCCACGATTCTTGTCTCGTTGCATCCAGTTCTGCGCCAAATCTGGTGTCTTTTTGATGCCCCCGCATTTTATTCTGCCGTGCTCCTGGTAGCCTTCTCGTTTCATCTCGTTTTGTACTCGGACAGTCTTATATGATTTCTTTCATGATTATGTGCTATAATTCAACTTCATGAGCTGATATACTAATTGTAAGGTAAGCTCTAATATCATCATAATCATAGCTGTTAATTAGTGGCTGCCTCTAGGATTACCAATGCTGTCGGGTGTAACACTGCTAAGTTGATGTGTAGCTTGGGAAATTTGAATACATTGAGTGCAATGATGGTTGGAGAGACATGTGGTAAATTCGCGTAACAGTCATGGTTCAGTCAATAGCCGGGTTATAGTCCACAAAGTTCTGCGCAGTTCACAAGTATTTCGGCTACGAGGGTGAACATTGACGGTAAAGGACCTTTGAAAAGCAAACGAAGCTTGATCTTTCGGCGAACTCTACAAGGAACACAATATCTTGGAACAAAGACAACTACGAATTCTGTTGCATTAGTTATGTTGGCTTGGAAGTCGCCAGTCTATCAGTACAGATCCCGTACTGACAAATCATACATTGTCAAAGGCTGGTACAAGTCTCGACTTTCAGTATCTGAGTTCACATAAACTCAAAATTGGGTCGATCAGCAACAAAGGTCTAACGTGATGGTTAGTATTCACAGTAGTTGCTAAATGTCCAAGTGTAAGCCCTTCATCAGAATGCCAACATTTATCGATCCCACGACACGAGAGCAAATCCACCACAGCAGCAAGGATTTCAGTCTCAGAACACCAGTGCTTCTTTCACTCCAAACTCCAAACTACTTGGCATTTCACCTCCCTTTTATCTTAGAAGCAAAAGTTGGTCGTTGTACATAATTTCAGAGTCGACAGACGACAGATTTCGTCGCACTGATTAACTAGTTGGCTAGACGGAGACTTTGTGGTCAATTTTATAGCAAATAACATACAACAACTCACAATATTTGTTCAAGAACGTCGAATATAGCAAGATGCAAAAAAACGCAAAAGATTTTGAAGTAGCTTCTTCAAGTTTCGATCTTGAGACCTTCGGGTCGCTTGTAGCGTATGAGCCCGACGCGCTTCCACTGCGCCAAGAAGCTGCTTGTTGCTTGTTGAAACTATGGCCGTTTAATTGTGCTCATGTAGTCAATAGGTTGATCGGACCGTGTATGAGTCATATATTAGGGCTTAGACGTCGTCAGCGACCTTTCTACGAGTTTAGATTGGAGTAAGGTCGGGAACGGGTATCAAAGGGGGGACTATGGAGCCGTAGACTAGCAGGGGAAGCACGCGGCATGTTCAAAGCCAGAAGTGATTTGACGACGGAGCATAATAGGGTATGAGATATGTAAGGGTGTTTTATGGTGTCAAGGTATTCAGAAACCACCAACGAATCAGTTTTGAGGATCTCAAGCAAGACTATGTCTGTAAGTGTCCACGCTGGGACCATAATTACAGACTACAGACTACCAATCTATCTAATGGTGCTATAACGAAGCAATAGAGAGCCTATTCATGCTCAAATATCAAGGAGTATCAAACCTGGAACGCCTTCGCCTTGTTCGATGATGCTGGTGGCCCCCAATGTGTAAAAACAGACAATGAACTCCTCCATATGCATTCAGGCCCTCTGATCCTTTCTCTCAGACCATGTCAAAACTCCTACACAAAGGAAAACCGAGATCCATGGCGATATCGCCAGCTCAGCAGCGTTGCCTCTTCTTGGCTTCTTTCTCTCTCTTCAATTTGTCTAACAATGCTTCTTCTCTGGCATCGTCCTCGCGTGCTTGCCTCAATGCTCTCTGCTCTTCCAAGTAGATATCATCCGCTCCGGCCTCCATGTCACTGTCGGAGTCGTATTCTTCCGCATATCTGTATCCACGAGGGGCCACGTCGTCTTCGTCCTCGTCGTCATCGATGAAGTCGCCCAGTTCGGAGTCTTCGTCCTCGTATCGATCACGACGTCCTGTTCGCGGCGCGGCAAGCAGCCCACCAGCAGGCCTAGCGCGAGAAGATCCTGACATTATGTTCTTCGAATCTGAAGCCTTCTTCGACGGAGGCCGTGCCGTACCAGTGTAACCAGTTGAGGCCATTGCAGCCTTCTTTATCTTCTTATCTGGCGCGTCGTTGCCAGCGGAACTAGGTCGTCCTGTACCCTTATACGCGGGCCGCAAATCTTTGCTGAGACCATTCCGAGCACCCAGAGCCGGTTTATCACGAGTTACTGTAGCGTTTGACGAGCCCATAGACTTCCCTGGTCTTCCTTTAGACTTCTGTTCCTCGCGCTCCTTTCTGCCCATGACGGTCTGACCAATAGCCTTGTGTTGAATAACCCCAGCTTTAGGTGCTATCTGCTGGGCTCTTGCACCACGTGCCATAATCTCTTGCATGGAGCCCTTCTTGAATGGCTTAGCTGAAACGGCAGCTGTTGGCGTGGTCGGTGAGGGTTTGGCGGGGGCAACCTTGGCAGGACCCAGAGTGACAGACTTGATTCCGGAGCGGATAGCAGAATCATTGCCGTCTTTCTTGGTTGGCAAAGCACGCAGCGTTTCGGGCTTTCGGACTACGCGGCCAGGGGCAGCAGTTCCGGTGTAGGGCTTATTCTGAGCGGGGACAGTTGGTGAACCAACGGCAGGGCGCTGGCCATTTGTTGCGGAAATGGCGGGCTTCGCCGCCACAGCAGGTCGATTAGGCAGTGGGGAAGGCCTGCTTGTGAGAGTATCCCTCGATACTGGATGCGACTGCTTAACTGCCTTGTTCGGGACTCCGTTGCTATTCGACTCGCCATCGGCCTTGCGCTTCAACCCAGTCGAGTTTGTGGTCCTGTTTGCAGGCGGAGGCAATGTAGAAGTTGACGCAGATGCTGGCTTCTGGCCAGTTATTTCGGCAAGGAGATCCCCGATCTATCAGTAAATAATCAGTTGAGCTGCATTTGCGACAAGCAGCGCATGTAGGGGGAAGGGGGAGTGTTCTACTTACCGGCATATTTGTGGCAGCTCAAAGCGATATAAAAGGGTGGTGAAGAAATGAAAGGGGGGGCGATATCGTATCGCGATGCAAAACCAAACCGTCAGATGGTGTCGTGTGCTGTTGTCATGATAACTCGACGTCGCCAGGTGCTTGATGCATAATATTCCCTCCTCAAGTGGGGATGACTCAAGTCCCTAAGCAGGACGGATGTGGTGGACAAGGAAGAAAAGAACAAAACAGTATTGGCGACTAGGTTTGGTTGATATACGTGCTCGAAGATTGGTACAGAGACAGACAGACAGACACCCACTTCAACTTTGCCCGGGGTCCAAACCAAACTTGGTGGAGGCACCAGAACTGCAGGCACTGTCGGAGATAAATCCAGCTGGGGTTTGGAATGTACGGATCCGTCCGACTTAAAGGCTGGCAGCTTCAGTACATACATACATATGTAGAACAAAATGGGGGCATAAACCGCCACAGGCTTGGTTGAGGCTTGAGGCTTGAGGCTTGAGGCTTGAGCTAACCACGTTTATCCTCGTTTATTTGGAAAAGAAAAAACCGTCACACCTGGCAGAGAATATGGAAATGGAAACTAGCGGGACTAGCAATGCAATCAGCCCAGAGCTACCAGCTGCAAGTCAGCTGCCGGTGATGTCGCTATCGAGGACCTTGGCTGGCACTGATTAGCCCACAGGCCCACCATTTTTTGAAAGAAACCCCAAAAGGTCGAGCGCATTTTGAATTGCACAATCGCAACACCAAACTTTTCACATCCAGAACTCGAAGTTTCAGTCTCCGCCTCAACTCGCGGTTAAACCGATTGACTACTCGTGTTCTTTACTCACCAAAACTGTACGTTGCAGGTCCTGGCGCTCGATCCCAAGCTCCCGATCTCATCATTGCATCCGCGCAAGCTGCCCACATGATCTGGCGCATGCGCAAAGTTCCAGTTTCGTGGGCCACATTGCTGACTTGAATTATTCACCCAGTCACAAAACCAGCAAAATGAAGCACGTCGCCGCTTACCTTCTCCTCACCCTTGGTGGCAACTCCAGCCCCAAGGCTTCCGACGTCAAGGAGGTCCTCGCCTCCGTCGGTATCGAGGCTGATGCCGAGCGTCTCGAGAAGCTCATCTCTGAGCTTGACGGCAAGGACATCAACGAGGTACGGCCGCCACACTCTTGAATGCAACAACCCATGTTTCAGGAAACACCAGACTAACAAGATTGATTACTGCAGCTGATCTCTGAGGGTTCTTCCAAGCTCGCTTCCGTCCCCAGTGGTGGTGCCGGTGGTGCCCCTGCTGCTGGTGGTGCCGCCGCCGGTGGTGCTGCCGAGGAGGCCAAGGAGGAGGAGAAGGAGGAGGACAAGGAGGAGTCCGACGAGGACATGGGATTCGGTCTTTTCGACTAAGCGATCCACCTCACACCCCTTGGACCGTCTTACGAGGCAATGTGAATCAGGAGAAGTGGCACGGAAAACTGGCTGCAATGGTCTTGCATGGCATCGGCAACTGGCGTGGAAGGTTATGCATTTCATGAGTTTCACGAGGTTCTACCGGATGGTATATCGGACAAGTTTCTAGGTTGATGTCCTTGTAACAAATCAAGTCCTGCTTCTTCTGAACGACCTGTGCACCACCGTACCTGCACATACAAGGCTTGGGCTCGAGGTTGAGCTTAGGTTTTGGCGTAGGCTTACTCGTGATAATCTTTCCATGTGCGTTGCTCAAATGGCTAAACCGACTGTCCAGAGTTAGAACACAGCGGATGCATCTCACTTTGTTAGCTCGCCACTTTGTCATTTTCTCAAAGATACAGTCTGAACCCCCGCAAAGCTTATGCTATGGCAAATATCCACTTGTGCAAAGTACTGGTTCTATGCCATGGCACACCACAATTATATGTAATATGTAGTATCTGTTGCTCAAGGCAAGGGTGGCTAGAGAGGCAAGAGGAGAGGCTGGTCTAGTGCACAATCTGGGTATTCAACATGAAGAGGTATGATTGAACTGAGTCGACTACCTGTATATGCATATACACTTAAGAGTACAAGTAGCTCCATAAAACTATATGCATGTCATTGCGTCTGCCGTTGCCGCGCAACGACTTGAGATGCTTTGATTGGACGACGAGCAGCGACCACCAACAAAAGCTCACGAACCCCATACTTGACAGGGAAGCCCCCTAAGAAGTGCAGCTTGGACGCGACCACCAACTTTTCGCATTGCGCGCCGCATAGCTGTGATCCATTTACCTCATTGCTCATGTTGGACCATGGGCCAATTTGACACGTGAAACATACGTTATCCAACAATCTACAGCACTAACCGCTTCGCTTTGGCCCTAATCAATTTGAGCGTCGTCGATTGCTTGCATTGCACGGCCTTTCTATCGCCCACCTAATCATTATATACCCGCAGAGCACAACGACAGATCTGTATCCGAAATGGCAGCAGCATCACCAACTCCCATGGGGTCGAGTCACCTCCCGACGAGGAAACCCTCTCTCAGATCTGGCCTGAGAAGAGCCCCCTCCAAGTCACAACTAGACCGCGCTCAGTCCAATGCAGCCACCACCGCCCACGCCTCCTCGAGATCACAATATGCACCTCGTGATGCCGACAGCTCCGACGATGAGATTCCCGTGCCTATGAAGCTCAGTGCTCTCACAAAAGCGCTCCTCAATGATGACGGCGTGGCCGCATCTGCACCAGCTGACCACCCCTCGAACCGCATCCGCACTAGAGCTCAGAACTATCGACCATCGTCCCCGGCGCAGTCATTATTGGACCAGGAGAAACCGCCAAAGAGAAGAAGCATCCTGAATGCCTCGTTCGGAGAAGAGAGGAGGCAGACTAGGGCTAGTAGCGCTCAGCTGGTTTCCTCAAGGCCAACCTCTCCTGTCAGAAGTCAAGCGAGCGAAAGCAGTCCAGCGCAGAAGAGCCGGAAAAGAGTTGTCCGGCTCAGCACTACACCCGGCGTTCCAGCATCGTTTGGTGCTGTCGAGCCCTCAAAACGACGGTCTACATCTTTATCAACGTCACAAAGAGGCGGTCGCCCCCTCAGTCGCGAAAGTCAAGTGGAGGAAAGAGCGAATGCTTCGGAAACCAACAGCGTTAATACCCCTCAGGCCCAAGGTGTTCGAAGCGTTCGAATTGCTGTTGGATCATCTGGCGGCCGCAGCCGGCTCAGTGGATCCTCGGGAGCTTCCTTTAGAAGAGCGGACTCTGCTCATCCACTATCAGAAAATGAGGCACCAGAGGAGCCGGTCACCGCCCCGAGGCAGCGCATAGGCTCGACCCAGGGCAGTGGGTCGCGGCCGAGAACTCGCGATGAGGACAACCAGGCCATTCAAGGATCAATGCGTGTTAAAAGAGTCGGTAAAGTGACAGGAAGCTTTCTGCGTGGGCCCGCCCGCCGAGGAATGCGGCGGCAAAGTGATGAGAACGGCGGGAACGATGGAGATGCCTTCCAGGCTGGCCAAGAAGAAGCAATTGGGCAAGCAGCTCAGGACCTGATCGATCTTGAACCTGAAAACTTTGCTTCATCCTACTACGTACCCGATCGTGTGGCCTCCGGAAGTCCAGTTAGTGCCAAGAATTCCGCGAGGCACAAGCGACATATGTCTGTAGCGTACGAAGAGCCGCGGCTAATTTCACGACAAAGCTCTCCGGCACCACGAGACCAGGGGGAAATTCGCATCCCACACTACAGAGCTGCTGCACCTCGATTAGATGTGCTGGCAAGGCAGGGTCAAGAGAACGGGCCACCTTCGACACTCAAAAAGAGCAAAGCATTGGAAGACTCGATACTCGAGAAAGAACTTCAGCTACCGTCTCGCCCTCTTGACAATGAGGTCAACCTAGTGAAATCAATATCCCCCGAGAGGAAGCCACTCGCTGCTGTAAGCCAAAACGAACCCAGGAGACATGCTCCGCCGCCACCTCCTAAGATGTCCATGCTTGAGGCTGCGACAGCAACGGCCGGGGCAGCGACAACTCAACAAGCCGTGAAGAAACGAAATTACCTGAAAGTCAACGGGAAGTATTACACTCGACTTGACTCCCTTGGCCGGGGAGGAAGTGCCAAAGTGTATCGTGTAGCAGCCGACAATGGCAAGATGTTCGCCTTAAAGAGGGTCTCGATTGAGAATGCAGACGAGGGACAGGTCCGCGGTTATAAAGGCGAAATTGATCTCCTCAGGAGATTAAATACATGTGAGAGAGTCATCAATCTATATGACTATGAAATGAATGAGGAGAAGCAGGTACTCAACCTCGTAAGTTTCTATCCAACATCCAGGTATTTGTCCAATGATTAACTGTATCTACTAGCTCATGGAGATGGGTGAGTTGGACCTTAACACACTCCTACGCACGCGTCTCTCGCCCGAAACAGCCAGGTTTGACCCTGTATTTGTACGCTTTTATTGGCAAGAGATGCTGGAATGTCTCGCTGCCGTCCACACATTCAGCATCGTGCATTCCGATCTTAAGCCGGCGAATTTTGTCATCGTCCAAGGCCGTCTAAAACTCATCGACTTCGGTATCGCAAATGCTATTCAAACCGACGAGACTGTCAACGTTCACAGGGAGACACAGGTCGGCACACCGAGTTATATGAGCCCAGAGTCTCTTCTCGATTCCCATACCACTGGGCCCGATGGGCGCCGTGTCAATACTGCAACGAGTAGGGGACCAAAGCTCATGAAAGTGGGCAAGCCAAGCGATGTCTGGAGTTTGGGCTGTATACTATACCAGATGGTCTATGGCACAACGCCTTTTGGTCACATCCAGAACCAAATGGCTCGATGCCACGCTATCATTGATTGGGACTATGCTATTACATACAAGGATCGTGGCATTGGCGACGCGCTTGTGTCGCCATCTTTAATCAGAACCATGAAGCGCTGCCTGAGCCGGGATCCCCATATGCGTCCCACATGCGAGGAGCTGCTCAGCTTGTCTGATCCATTTCTATACCCGGTCGAGACGCCACAGGGTCACCTCCCCGTCAGCGAGGAGTTGTTGGGCCGAATTATCCATAGTGTGGTCGCACGATGCAGAGAAAGGATGCCCACCGACGCTGAGGTACTAACTGCGTGGCCAAACGCATATTGGGCGAGTGTTGCAAAGGCTGTCGGGCGGGACATTAGGTGACAAAGTCCTCCGCCATGCCCATGAGCGCTTTCGTTTCGCGGGCGGTGAAAAAGATGAGTTGGCCGTGCGACAATGCTTGTATATAAAAGAGGAGGCTTGGTTGGGAAGGGCATGTGTTGTTGGAGTAATGCTTGATTATTGGAAATGATCAGGTGGACTGTTTTGGGCTTCTTCTTTCCGCTTATGACTTGTTACGAAATCGGCCACTATTGGTTTTTTTTATTGGTTCTAGCTGTGGAGTTCTTGGAGCCTTTGGACCAGAGTCTGGACGAGCTTGGGCTTGCAGAAGGTCGCTTTGCCGAAATTATTTATATTCCCCCAAGACCGAAGAATGCTTCGATTGTCGAGATTTCAATACTTCAATTTCAATTCTTGTATTTCTAAATTTAGCATTGCGCAAATCTGTGAGTTATGGTCAAGTGCCTTGCCCATTGCTCTATTCGCCTTAACAAACGTAACTACGTATGAAGATCGCCCTCCGTACCGCTGACGCGATTTGAACCTGAGGTTTCGCATACAGCTGTATACACGGGGATGATTGATGTCAATGCCTCCGCAGAACATTTGATTTTGTTTTTCCTTATGGTACAGTAGGTTGACGAATAGCCGTCTTATGATGCTAGATGTTACAGATGCCACGACTTTGGACCAACCGATGAGTTCCCCCATTCTACACAGCGTGATGTACACTGGGCCCCTTTGTTCACCCCTCTTCTTGAATCTTACAAGCCAATGGCCTCTGGCCCCTTGAGCTTCAGCTCCGTCACCCTCAGGATCGTGTACTGGTGCTTGCTCCTGACGGTCTTGTTCTTCCTCTGGCGCCTCTTGGTCTTGACCTTGATCCGGAGGGGCTCGCTCTCGGTGCCCGTGACGGTGGCGCGGCACTCGAACAGGCGCTCGTCCACGAACGGCGCCCCCTTGAGGGTGTAGTCGCGCGAGCCCAGCGTCGAGGCGCGGTCGAGGCGCAGCACGTCGCCGGGCAGCACGCCGGGCATCTTGAAGGGCAGCCGGATCGAGTCGCCGGCCTGCACTAGGTAGGGCCGCCCCCAGATGTGCGCGGTTATGTAGTGCTGGGGCTGCGTCTTGAGCAAGGGCAGCAGCTGGCTTATGGACTGGGCGGACTCGGGCGAGAGGGGGCTCGGTGTCTGAGGTTGTCTGGGATACAGGGCTTCGGGGGTGGCGGACCCGACCTTCTGCGGCAGCGGGAACCCGTCGTCTGATGTTAGGGGGTGCTCGGCGGCGACAGGAGGCTTCGGGATGGCGTCCTCGGCCACGATGTTCCGCGTCGATTGGTCTTGCCGGGTGCTGGTGCTCGACAGGGGCCGTCGCGACTGTATGGGCAGGAGGAATGAAGGCGGCAGTCTCGTGAGCGGTGTTCGCAGCTCCAGCACGGAGCGCAGTAGTGAGCGCGACATTGTGGCGGCCTGGATGCGAAAATGTGCCGGATGCTCGTCGTCTTCAGGGCACCGACTCGTCGCAAGCTCGATTTTCGTCAAGTTGATGGTCTGGAAATTTAGAGAGCTCGGAGTTGCACCTGGCAAAAGCACCAGCCAATCAATCCGGCCATTGGCCTTGATCTGTGGGGCTGTCCTGTTCTTCCGCCGCCGACGAGACTTCATGCTAAGGTTACTCTATTCTAGTCTAGACTAGACTGGATTTATGCTCCTGCATAAACCCGGCAAATGACAAAATGCTTGTTATACAGTAGGTATTCTCTAATTTCTTGCTTCCAACATCATGGTCCATGGTTTACTATTTGCGGTGTTAATTGCCACCATGGCTATCTTTATTCTTGATATTTCTATGGCCGAATTGACAGCCCGTTGCAGTCCACTCCATAATCACAAGTATTCCCACGCATTACCGCCAGCCCCTGAACCCGTATATGTTCGCATTGCCACCCCGTAGCAGCCGTCTTTCGTTTCGTCGACGAGGTAGATCTGGAACGTACCATTTCTCCCCTGAGGCGTATCGCCAATCGGGCAGAGCTGCCACGATCTGCTGGTCATTCCAAGGTTTACTGGCGCCCCCCAGGCCTCACTGCGCTCACGCCAGAAGCCCGTTGTGATTGCCCCGTCAGGCACGGCAGCCGAGTGTGGGCCAGTATAGCCCAGCGCACCATCTGCGGCGACGTAGACTATTGACAACTCGTTAGCATGCCGTGTTGAGTATTATACCATGCCGTGCTAGTCTTGCAGGGTAACATCTCAATCCTCACTTTGTTGTCCGCCTGGTACCGACACGTCTAGTGCCAGGGTGCCGTTCCCTCCCACAAAGTTGGTGCTACTGGTCGCAAACTTTGAGCAGTCCAGGTTCTCGACTTCGCCAGGGCAGTATGAAGTCGCGTTCTTCCCCAACCAAAACCTGCCCGCATTGGCGTTGATTCCATCGCCGTAGAAGAAAAGATCGGTCCCTTGAGCGGGTCTCCAGACTCCCGCTGTATAAGGCCCAGCTGGCACCGAACCCGCTCGCGGTTGTATGGCTGTGGCCGATACAGCAAATGGGTAAAGAACACCAAACGAAAAAATCCTCATGGTCTTGGTTTCTTGCTGTCTCTTCGCAAACTCTTCTTAAACTCAGAAAGTATAGTGCTCGGCGGGGTGTTCTGCGTGCTGCGAATATGGAACAATTTGCTACTCACAACCGAACTCATGTCCTCACCAAGCAGAGTTATTATATCGTGCCACTCTAGTTACGGATGCACCCTCAAACCTCGAGTACCGAACATGAAATCACACGTTGCACAGCTGTTGGGGGTCACAATCTCGTATTCTCGCGTCCGAGACGGGGGCGCCTGCCGATCATGTTGCATTGACCGTCCGAAAGGGATCTGATGCCACGGAGACCATGCCCGCAGGACGGGAAAACGTCCACTGCACCGGATAATATGCCTGAGTGCTCCCCACATAGAGAAAAGTGCTGATCACAGATAGCTCAAGTATAAAATTGACGAGTGATTGGTCTGCAAGGCAAGGTAATGACCGACAATCAGGCTGGAGATGTAGCCGGGACTAAAGGTCTCAAATCTCTGTGCGTTATGTTAATAAGATCGAGATGTGGGAACTGGAAACTGAATATGAATGAGAAATCGAAAAAGTAAACATCGGGCAGGGTCAGGGCATTATCCTTAGTCAACCTTTGGTTTCTCGAAGTTCAAAGTCCTGTACCTTAACATGGGCATGTAGGTTAGGGAACAGGTTCGTTATGCTACGATGGTAGTCACATGTGTACCTGGCTGGGATTTCTGCTAGATTATTTTAGTGTTCATTATGCTTTGGGTTCTTTTCCGGTCTCATTGTTTGCCAGCTCCAACTCTAAGTCATAATACAAGGGGCACTGCACTGCAGGGACGTCTTGGAGTAGGATGTCTACTCATGCGATCTCATAACCAAACCATCAGCATCTGTTGCAACGCGGAATATGGAAAGATTCTGCAAGAACGAGGCATTCATTGTGGCCGTCTGTCCGAATATATATTGTCAACAACTAAACCCCCATGAACCAACTTGACTAATAATTGGGAATGGCTGAGGTCATTTCCATATATCCTATTCACTTTTATGCTTTATTTTATTGTCCACTGTACTGTATCTGATGTCTGCTACCCTGCCTAGTAATGCTCCTTCATGTAGTCTGATCTGATCTAATTAACATGACAGCGCTGATATAGCTGTGCTGTGAATACCCTCCTGGGGTTCGACCATTTCATAATCTTAAGGCGATTGTATTGCCACGTCGACCAGAGGAAAAGAAAACGAGAAACCATGGTCACGCAGTCGTGGAACATGCCTTATCATAGCTCAGTGCGTCTGAAATGCGCGATACACCGTGCCGCTCGCGGTTGGTACCTTATTACGTACATTGTTCGGTTTCCCCACGGCTGGGAGAGACAGACACTTGCACGAACTCAGGCCCAGTGGGACATGTAGTCCATCTCCACCGCCTTCTTCTCCTCTTGGATCATATCCACTGAAAAAGTGTCAGTCACCGAAGCAGCTATTCGAATTCGACCTGAAACAGATGGAATACAGAAACGATCAGGGCCAGGGTCTTCTTACTGAAATTCGTTACGTCGGCCAAGCATTGCTTGATTCCCGCCTTTGTGATTTGACCGGTCATCGGCGGGTCCGCCAAAAGTCGAGCCGAATAGATTACATTCCTAATCTGCCGGCCGTTAAGAGGCTTCATGGCCCATTCCTTCAAAGTGTCTTTCTCAAGATTAAGCAAGTCAGCGTTGTTGGAGTCGCCCAAGTCACCCAGCATCTTCTCCCATATTTGGAGACGAGTCTTAGAATCGAGTGTAGGAAATTTCATGCCAAAGTTGACACGAGAGATGAATGCCGGGTCGATCATGTGAATTTGGTTCGTCGTTAGGAAGAGAATTCCCTCAAAATATTCGATTTTGCGTAGGAAAACTGACCCGAATTAGCATGCCGTCTAAGATTACCTGGAATGGCACACCGCAATAACGACACACCTGCAACCCATGCTAGACTATGCATGCTCTCCTGTGTTCTCTCAGCAAGAACGACTTCTGCCTCGTCAATTAGCAGAATGGCATCCCAGACGTGGGCTTGACGGAAGATCTCTTCAATCGTGGTCTCCCAACGCATATCAGCCACCAGCATGCCCAAGTTGACGCGGTAAAGGGGTTTCTTATGCTCCTCGGAAAGACACTCGGCCAGCATGGTTTTCCCTACGCCCTATGTGATGTCAGTGCTCTGATACAGTTTCAAGGCACACCCGAAAGACAAGCTTATAAGGTCAGGAAAAGTCGCCGGAAACAGGGGGAGAACATCGAGCAGACACGTACTGGCGGTCCATGGAGCAAGAACGTCAAGCCTTTTCCCTTTCCCTTGAAGTTGTCAAGAGTGTTGCTCGGGTCGTCTAGATTCTTGGTCCTCGTATCGGCGTGGGCCTTGGCTAGAGCACGAATGCGTTCGATGGAGTCTCCGATAGACTGCGACTCCGACTTGACTAAACGAGACCAGGCATCTGGTGTCCACACCGGAATTTGCAGTTTACTCACTACATCATTCGGAGTTAGATACCAGTTCTTCAGTATGCGTTGGAAGATCCTTGAGATTATTGTGAAGCAGTCACAAAGAGATCAATTGCCTCTGATAAGCAATACCGGTTCTTTGGATGTGCTAGAAACGGTAGAAAATCATAGCGCAAATTGCTTACTTGCAACATAGTACCATTCATTGTCGCTGAGGCTGTGTACCAAGACCTTCTCGGGACATAGAACCAATGGGTCGTCTTCGGCCTCGCCATCAAAGTGCTTATTGTCGAAGGGTGTTGTATTGTCTTGGACAAAGTTTAGGCGCCGATCTGGAAACCTTCTCGGGTCGACAACGACCCTGCCTGTGATCTAATTTTCCCGATCAGAGTTTCGCCTCTCAAGTAGTTCGTGCTTAGGAACTTACCTCGCTTCCAACGCCCTTCTCCTCGTCATCGGGGTCGTCTACGAATGTCTCGCAATAACCCACGTACTGCATGACCTTGGCCACTGGCTGTCCATCCTGAGAAGTAAGTTGACTATGAAGGGTTTTCCACCTCGACCCCGACTCGATTGATAGGGCTATCAAGTTGTCTTTGTCGTGGTGGTAAGTCAACGGGTAGACGGGCAGCTCGGTGATGTTCCTGGTGCCAGAGAATCGGTCGATCAACCGTCTGTACACGTGATTCCTGAAATTCTTGCCATCGAAATCAATGGCGACGCATTCCAGTTCCACTTCGACATTATTGTCAAGGCCGCGATACCAATCGTCGTAGTTATTCGTGGTTATCGTCTTCAAACGAGCGACCGCCCATTCGTCTCGGAGTTCGCGAAAGACCACCAGTTGACCTGGATGGAAGAGACCTCTTAGACTCTCGCAGTCGATTTTCTTGGTGTCACGCAGCTTATCCCATCTTTGTCGAGCATACAACAGATGGCCATTTCGCTCATACAATTGTTTTAGCACTTTCAATTCCATCTTGATCTTGTCATCGGTCGTCGTCTTCTCCAGTTTCTCAAGCTTAGAGCGGCAGTGTAAGAGCGGGAACTCCCCGGAAATCTGGAGGCGATCCTCAATTATTGACACTTGCCCATCGTGAGCAGGTGGGCAGTATTCGACCAAGGTCTCGTACAACGCCGCCCAGCGATACACCGAGAATGTGAGTTTCCCATTATCGTGAGCGTCGTAGCGGAACGACTTGTACGCCTTAGCTGTCGCCTCATTCTTCTCAGCGTCGGCCACCCACTGGAGGTCCGACTTACCGTCAACGTAGACTTCCTTGCGGAACTCAACGTGACTTGTCAAAAAGTCCGCCTCTGAGATCTCAGTGCCCTCAGACTCGGGCTTTTTCTTGGGCTTATCCTCATATTCTTTTGTGCTGTTAGTAGGGGGCCCGTTGTCGCGGGCGCCTGCACGCGTGAAGCTTTCAGTCGCCGATACACTGGTGTTGTCTTGTCTCTGTTCCAAGGCTGATATTCTTTTTGTAAGATCTGAGAGACTGGCGCTGATCGTTCCAAGTAAATCCAACGGAACACTAATGCTCGGCTGCTAAGTGTTAGGCTGAACTTCAAAGACAAGAATGTACCAATACTCACCACAGCCGGCGATTGTGTTGTGCTGCCGTTAGCAGCGGCTTTTGCACGATCAACAACGTCGGCCATTTCGTGTATATATTACATACCACTACGGCTCACGATTTTACCACGGATTTCAAACGCCTCTTAGCAAAACCGTTCTCTTGCAGTTTATGGACGCGTAGGCGAAGACAAGGCTATCTGCTTATTTACTATGCAGCACACTCTAATATTAGCACTCACAAGCCCCTTACGTTAGGCTGATGACTCGACCAGGATATGTCAAGCGCCCTTACAAGCTGTCCCACCAATCAGCGGGGATGATTTGTATGCAAGGATCCATATGCTGCCCCATGTGTAGTGCTACAGTAGACTTGAAGAGGCACAGCCCGATCAATAGCACACTGAAGCGGGATGCTGCCCGTGAATTTACGTGCTCGTCGACTCCCATCCCCATATTCCATGTCGGCGACTTGACCGAGTCCAGCATGAGCGATGCTATAGAACCATCCGCACAGCCTCATGCGCTATCACGGTTTGTGCCTGTCTGTCTATTTACGGTGGAACAGGTGGCCTTGGTCTGATTTAGATATGGTGATTGTCGCATAGGTCGCCTGAGCTTTCTCTGAACTGACCCTAGAGGACGGGTTGTGACAATGACGACCGAAGATGATTCTGCTAGCTCTAATTTCGTCTCGAACCTGGCACTTCGAGTCAAGGCGAAATTCAAGCCTGTCAATCAGAAGCGGCGAAATGTCAAGAGCAAAGCTCCTGAAGAAGGGAGATCTGAAAATTTAGCGACTCGAGGGAAAGGAGAACATCAACCTCAAGATACAAAGAAGTCTGAGATTCAGCGGCGCCAAAGTCAAGAAGATGCCAAGTCAAGAAACAGCAGTGGAGTTCTCGAGTCCAACAGCGCGGTCAAGCCAACACTGTTCACTCCGAAAGCAGACACGCACGATATCAGGGAGAAAGCCAAAAAGTGGTACGATGATGTCGAATTGGAAAGAAGCACGTACGCGCCGCTTCCGAGTCTACGTCTGTGATTGTTTCTCACTGATGTTATTTAGGGAATTATCTGCGCTTCATCTACATGTCTCAGATATAACCATCAAACTTCCAGAAAACTCTCCTGAGAACGAGGAGTTGAAGACCTTGGTCAACTACGCCAACGACCCTCCGGCTACGGTTGAAGATAGAAAGCGAAGTATTGAGATGCTGCAGACATGTCTTAGTGACCGCAAACAGCGAGAGGATGACAAAGTTTTGGAAGCAGATCAAAAGCAGAAAGGGAAGCAAAGCCAGTGCGGAGCATTCTCGACCAGATTGCACGGTATCATTGACAGCCTGACTCCTCAGGTGACTAAAGTGTTCGAGTTCGTCTTGATAGTGCTGCAAGGCGGCGTCCAAGTCCTACAGGCGACAGCGTTCCTCGCCAGCGAGATCACATTCCAGACGCATTACGAGGTGGCCATAAAAGCCATCATGTTGTTCGTGACTGTACGCCACCATCTACAGAGTCACGCGAAGGTTGTGCTCGAACAATGAGCTGACATTGCTTTGTGACAGGCGTACGAAAAGTCCAGAGAGCTCACTGATGATGTGGTGTCCATGTTCGACAGCATCGGTATGTATGGACAAGAAATGGAGACACTGCAGGATGTTATTAGATCTGCTTCAATGTCAAGGGCAATCAACAGGCTGTTTGTTTCTAGCGTCACCCTCATTGTCAGTGCTGGATCGTACATGAACCACGGAACTCTCTGTAAGTACAAGGACTATCTGCACATGATCTGTACCGACTGATCGTGATGCAGCTAAGATGGCCAAGTATCTGGGAGGTGGGAACGACAGACTAAATGAACTCATCAAGGCTGTCAAGAATGATTATGCCGAATTGACCCGGGTGATGAACTTCGCCCACGTAATGGTCACGCTGTCATCGCATGAGAATATCAAAGATATTGGAACCAACGTAGAGAAGCTCATGCAGCGTAAGCACCTACCGTCTTGGGAAGATCCACCGCAGTCTGTGCTTATCTGATTCCGTAGAGCTAAGCATGCTGAACGATGGGATGAATCCCGAGATGAGCAAACAACTCCAAGTCGTATTCGACCATTCAGGCTTTCAAGCCGATCTCCACGTCCAGAGCCTCCGGGCTGAGCTGTTCGATGGACCGTACGAGCCGACTGAGGAGATGGCTTTCAATGACAGCGAGCGGGTGTTCCTCTCACCAACAGATCGCTGGCCCAGGCAGCTACGAGGGTTCAGCCCGTCCATAGAGCATGGTTCGATCAGGGCTGGGAAGCAGGAACTCAAGACGCACCGGCCCCTGATCTGGATTTCGGGCCATGCAGGCCGTCGAAATGTCTCGTGGGTGTCGACGTTTTCAGTCGACTTGATCTTCCACTTTCGGGAGCTTGGCTTCTTCGACGTGGCATATGCTTTCTGCAAACGTGGCCGAGGCCAGCGATATACCCCTACGTCGCTCATGAAAGGGTTGATCATTCAGATCCTGGAACGTCATCCCTCAGTAGCGGTCAAAAACGTTCGACGACTCTCAAAACATCGCTTCCGCGAGGTGGGAAGGGCGGAGAGGAGTGGCCAAAAGGGGCAGCAGAGCGGACACCTCGTATGGGCGTTGCTGGAGGACTTGTTGCGGCTCATCGAGGTGGCACCAGAGTTCCAAACGCGGACGGTACTGCTGCTCATCGACAGGCTGGACCTGTGTGTTTCCGAAGAGGGTTTCAGCGTGCTCAGCGACTTCATCCCGCGACTCCAGGACATGAGCCAGAAGATATCGCGCATCCAGGTCATGATCACGACAGCGCGACTCTCGCCACTTGGCATACCGACTTTGAGGAAGGGCCCAGAACTGCTGCAGGCGTACGGGAAGAAGAGTCACGGATGATACACTGAGCCTGCAGATGAGAGTCTAAATTGCATGGAGGACTCCAGGCTACGGGTCAATTCGACGCAACTTGACTTGTAAACTAGTTAGGGGCAGGGGGTTCAGAAGTAGGTAGGGTTATAATCAGAGAAGTAAAGTTTCCTTGTCTCCAGACTAGTCTAACCTAATATAGACTAGTCGACGAATTTCCGCCTTGTGGCCGGACTAGAGGCTATGAGACATGCGTGCCTGCGGTGTGGGTATTGGAGGCTTTAACCTAGCCACTGTACGGATGTAGTAGCAACCGTGCAATCATGAATGTATGGGGGGCAGAGGGTTTTGTATACATACATACATATATCTTTGATAACCTAGTTCTCACAGTCGTGATTTAGGCTAGACTGGGTTAGCATAGCCAGTAAGTAACAGCACTAGCTCGCTGCTCTTGTACGTGGGGGGCATGGCGGCGGTTTTTGATGCAGTTGCAATGCTTGGCACTTGGGTGGGGTCGCTGGGCGGTCTGATGAATTTTTTAGAACCTTGAGGCTGGTGGCTCGCTACTGTAGTCCCAGTCCCAGTCCCAGTCTGATGTGGCGGCCTTGTCTTGTCAAAGAACCAGTTCAACTTCTCTGTGCAGCCCTTCTTGAACTCGTCCGGAAGCGCACCTACATCGACATCGACACCCCAGGCCCCAACCTCTGAAATCCAACCCAGTATCTCGCCGACTCCTGCCAGCTGATCGCTAATCGCCAATCCGTCGCCATGCCCCAGAATGAGTACATGGAGAGATGGCGCAAGCTGCATGGCCGCAGACTTGACCATGAAGAAAGGGCACGCAAGAAGGAAGCCCGTTCTGGGCATCAGGCTTCCAAGGACGCCCAGGCAAGTTACTTCCAGCGGCCTTCACTACCACATGAGGCCGCCTGCCTCCTTGTCTCCGTCTCCGTCTCCGTCTCTGTCACTGTCCCAACAAACCAATGCTGACCTCTTATCGTAACAGGAGCTACGGGGTCTGCGAGCCAAGCTGCACCAGGAGGCACGCAGGAAGGAGAAGATCCAGATGAAGAAGCAGATCAAGGCGCACGAGGTTCGTTTGCTCCCCTCCCCTCCCCTTCCGAAACAGGCCCTACCAAGAGATTCCTAACCCGTGCCATCTTCACAGGAACGCAATGTCAAGTCCACGTCCGAGAAAGATCCCGACACTGCTCTGCCCACCTACCTGCTCGATCGCTCCAACCCTACGAGTGCGAAGGCGCTCAGCTCTGCCATCAAAAACAGAAGAGCGGACAAATCAGCCAGATTCGCTGTTCCTCTACCGAAAGTCAAGGGTAGGCCTCCCATCCTCGGGCTATCTTACAGAGACAAATGGCTGACATTGACGGCCCCTTAGGAATCTCCGAGGAAGAGATGTTCAAAGTTATTGGCACTGGAAAGAAGACACAGAAGAAGAGCTGGAAACGGTATGTCCTTCCAAACTCTCATTGCGCCGTGACTTACTGACTCGATGGCAGCATGGTCACCAAACCTACATTCGTTGGAGTACGTATGAACGAAAAGAACCGACTCGTCTTCTCTACAACGAGACCGCTCAAAAACAACCCCCACTGCATGGAAAAGAGAAACTGACCTTTGCTGTAGCCTGACTTCACGAGACGCCCGGTGAAATATGAAAGATTCAGTAAGTACAGAACACGACCTGCGTCCTCAGGCTTCTTGCTTTTCAAGAGATTACTAGTCAACGGCCATCTAACACAACTCCAGTTCGTCCCATGGGTCTGAGATACAAGAAGGTGAGCAATAATAGACCAAACTTCCGGGTATTGTCGATGTTTTTGAAGATATACCTTCTCGGCACATACATGGATTCTCAAGGTCGTAGAACTGACTAGAACCCAGGCGAATGTTACACACCCTGAATTGGGAGTAACGGTCCAACTCCCCATCATCAGCGTCAAGAAGAACCCACAAAACCCCCTCTACACACAGTTGGGAGTCTTGACCAAGGGAACCGTCATCGAGGTCAACGTTTCCGAGCTCGGTCTCGTCACTGCCAGTGGCAAGGTGGCCTGGGGTCGTTACGCACAGGTGTAAGTAACGTCCACCCCCCCTGGTTTCGAGATATATCTCCACAACTGTGTCTATTCTGCTTGGGAGATTGATCCGTAACCACTGGTGAGAGATTATGAAAACGCTAACATGTTTGGTGATCAGCACGAACAACCCGGAGAACGATGGATGTCTGAACGCAGTTTTGCTGGTCTAAGTTTCGGGCATTCCAGCAACCACACAGTACAAATGCCGAGGAATTTGACAGTGGAAAGTGTGCATTGCAGGGTGTTCTGGCGTTTCATGAAGGGTTTGTCCTGGCTAGGACATCTTAAAGGCGAAAATCATGGCATATACGCCGCAGTTAGATAGTGTTGCTGTTGCAGAGACATGAGAGCCTCCGTGCTGTTTTGCACCACCAGCCGTATTCGTCAATGAGTCTACGTCATGACTCGAGTATGTATTCTATTGACATCGTTCCAAAAACAAACCCATCAGGTATGACTACCTGAGGCACCCTCTCGTTCGCACATGTTTCGCTTCGCAAAAAGAAAGTTCAGAAACGTTATTGCAAGAGATCATTCCACACTGGACTTTATTTTTTATTTTTTATTTTTTTTGACATTTTAGGCGCCGTGGCCGAATCATTGATATGAACAACATTGACACACAATTGAAATGTAAAAAACGTGGAATGATCAATACAAACCAGCCAGTTTCTGATCGCAGTTATATTTTATTTTCTATCTATCGATCCGGGCCACAAAGGTTTGATAACAAAAAGACTGGTGCGCGCAAAGCAGAGCCAAGTCTTTTCCCATGGTCATTCTTCCCATGCGGCCCATCCTTTTCGATCAACTTCGTCTCAGACCTCACTGCTTAGAGCTTGTTCGCCTTGCGAAACGAGAATGACCCTTTCAGCCTTTAAGCGCGAGCAACATTGCCAAACTGATGAACCATGAAGACTTCAATAGCTCGTAAGACCTTAGGAGCAGTGTATAATGAAAGAACCTCCTTGAGTAAGGATTGATTTGGCGATTCGGAGATTTGGTGCGCTTTCGCCTGTGAGCCTTGACTCCAGAGCTTATGGGAGTCAATTATCAATGAACAACCGTCCCTGATCATGTGCCAGACTTGGCACCCCATGAAAAATCATGAGCAGAGGCCGCTCCGATGTAGAAAACCAGAAAATCGAACTGTGCACCGGCTGCTAGCAGCAAAACGAGGATTTCCCATAAAGACCAGACGCGTTTCGGAAGCAAGACCGGTCGAAGCAAAGCTGAAATTGGGAAATACTATATCCAACACGTTCCAGAGGAAGTAAAATAGATTCCTTCCGCGGAGCTCTGGAACGAGATAGTGTGCCTGTTGTCAATGATGCTGTCAGAGACAAGTTGGGAAACAAGACTTTGATGAATTACTTTGGTTGAGAATGACAGCGACGGCGGCGAACGTCATCTAGTGAGTCCATTGCCTGCTTGATGTTTCGGCCATGGTAGCCACAGGGCTTGGATTGGTAGAGATTTGCCAGCCATGACAAGCTTACCTTGACTTCAGGGGAAGCCGTTACTGTGGCAGAGCCGGAGTCGGAGGCAAGAACGCTGGTTTGGCCGGAACTATTCTGTGGCTCAGTATGATGTGTATGTGGGTTTTTGGGGTGGGTGGAATGGATGGGACTCGTACGAGATGAGCTTCCGGGAGCTTTGGAGGCCGGCTTGGGAGCCGTGGGCATCTTGCCAATGCCCCTAAGATTGACAATGCTCTGGATGATTGCTAGATCCTCGATCTCTTTCTCGTTTCTCATGAGTCGCTGCTTGAGCGTAATCCTGCCACCGTTGGCAGCTTGTTCCTGTAGAGCTTTCTCGCGAACCTCGGGATCATGGACAAAGCGACACTTGCCCTTCTTACCACATACTCCTCCCGTAGAGTAGTATTTGCAGTGTGCTGTCGGGTCCGCGCGTGTAATAGGTGGCGGAGGAAGAAATGATGAAGCCTTTTTGGCTGTTTGCGACTCAGGAGGTTCATCGTCTGACGAGCTGGAAGAATCTGCTTCTTCCTTGACGTCAACACGCATCTCATCACCCTCATCGTTAGTCTCGCGCTTCCGCTTTTCGAGCTTGCGTTCCACCTTGGCCAATTGTCGCCGGAGCTTCTCAGCCTTCTCCTCGTCTTTGGACTTGAGGACAGGCTTCTGGTCTTCGCCGGCTTCGGCACGTTTAGCTACTTCAGCCTCCTTCTTGGCCTGGATGCGGGCCTTGGTAGGGTATCTGGCTCTGCGCTCCGCAAGCCATCCCGCAAGATCACCGATGCTGGAAAAGCAATCGTCAGTACCGTCAATAAAGAAGTGAGAAGAGAAATGGGGACTTACTCAGGGAGATCGTCGCCTAGGGTGTCTACTATGCGCTGCTCCTCGTCGATCTCTTTATCTGACTCGTCGGCATCGCCGGGAGTAAGGCCAAGAGTGTTGGTCTTGCGCTTCTTCTTTTTGGCAGATGCTGCATCAGACTTCTGAGCGTGGGCATTGTGGCTGTGATTATCGTGATGCGGCGGCCGCTGACCCTTTTGACGAAACTTGTCGTTGCGATCATTGTGGTGACCACCCCGACCTCTAGGATGCCCAGAGAAGCCATCACGACCACGCCCTCTGTTCCCATGAGGGTTGTGTGAGTTGTGTGAGTAGGAAGGGGGCGCAGGCCCAGCGTACGTGGGAACTGCAGGAGGATAGCTGGGGTAGGGGGCAGGGGCAGGATATGCCGGCGCGGCATGATGGTTAGGCGGATACTGTTGGCCGTATCCGTTGCTCGCTTGAGTAGAGTGAGCTGCGCCCTGGTCATAGCCCATGCGAAGGGCGGGTGAACCAGCATCAGCTCTGTGACCAGCTCGGTCACCTCCAGAATAGCCGCCACGACCGCCTCTACCAGTGTATCCCGAGTAGGGCGAAGCAGAATCGGCCCACTGCTGCGCAGAGTAATCTGGCGTCGAGGAGCTGTAAGTCGGCGGGTACGATGGGCGCTGGGCGCTGGACTGGTATGCGGAGGGCTGGTATGTAGCCGGAGGCTGGGGTGGATAGGTGCTCTGGGGGACGTAATTGGGGTGATAGTTGCTCTGAGGCAAAGGCGCACCGCTGTGAGCTGCAGGAGTGCCACTCCAGTAGCCGCTCACGGGCTGCTGGCTGTATGAAGCCGCATTATGGGAGCTGTAGTCTTGCTGTGGGTAGCTTCCTCCATACGGTGATGCATAATCAGTCCGAGCAGGCCCTGGGGTGTAGCTGCCACGGGGTCTACTACCACTACCAGCGCCGGCACTACCACCACCACGGGGTGCAGGTGAGTATGACTGCTGACCATAGGAATAGCCACCGACGGGCGCTGCAGAGGGCGGAGGCGGGGGAGCACCGTAAGGGTACTGTCCGGACATCTTGGCTCCAAGGTATTACGGTAAATGCGATGTGATCAGTGTCTTTATGTTGACTGAGTATGGGCTGTGAACGAGCGATCCGCCAGGGTGAATGGCAAAGGGGGCGTGTCACGTATCGCGTGTCTGTGTCTTGTGGGTTGCAAAACTCGGCGAAAACAAGGAGGAGCGGCAAGAACAAGTACAAGGACAAGAACAAGAGGGCGCTGAGAGTTGGGCAACGCGAACAAGGATCGTGTGTGTTGTGGAAGAAGTGCGAATTTGCTCCTCCAGCATGAGGCAACCTCGTGCAGGCACGCCCAAGTAGGCTTTCCTTAAAGCTACAAGGATGTGGGAGCAGTGCTTGAGGAAGCAGAAGACGATGTTGTCGAGATGTGAGGATACCTGATGGCAGTCCTCAGTAGGCAAGCGCTCGAGGGTTGGTGTGGATGATGATGGAGGCTCAAAGTTAGTTGGCGGACGGAGCTGGGCTTGCGAGCCAAGGACTTGATTTATTTCCCTGCTGTAGCATATGTACTCTGTACGCACATAGGACTCAGGGACCTGGTAGCAGCAGCTGCAGGGGCTATTGAAAGGGAGATGGAGCCCTGGCTTACGCGATCGCAAGTTAGCGTGAATCAGCGACCTGCTGTTGCGCTGCAGCTGCCATCAGCGGAAAACCATCTCCCTGCAAGTGCCCCGCATTAAAGTTCAACATCGCATCGCAAAAAGTGACTGGCTGGATGCAACTGCTTCATACGAGCGTCGACACAGCTTATGAGATATCATGTTCATTTTGGTAGGCCCCAACTTGCCACTCGTGAACCTTCCAGGATTTCACTAATACTATTGTCACAGACAAAAATTGCCGATCTGGTGCAGATTGCACCTGCACAATTTGAGAAGCACAGCAGGGTTGCCATAGAGAACAATATCAACGCGAAGTATGCAAATCGAGTCATCCAGAAGATCGGCCTTTGCGTCTGCATGTACGACCTGCTCTGGGCTTCTGAGGGTCTGATCGGTCATGGCACTGGACTTGTCAATGTGAACGGTGAGTGCGAGTGCGAGTGCGGGTGTCCATTATTGGGAGCGATTCACTAACAAAATGCACAGTCGAGTTTCGACTCATTGTCTTTCGCCCGTTCAAGGGCGAGACGCTGCTCGGCAAAATAAGCAGTGCAAGTCCAGAAGGTCTGAATAGTGAGTCACAACGAGAGCGAACGCCTATGGATGCTTCAGCGGAACTAATGGCACCCACAGTCCGAACCGATTTCTTTGAAGAGATATTCGTCCCTTACAAAGAATTGCCAGACGGCTCTGAATTGCAAGTTGGCTCGTCCCGTCTCATGTGCAACTCCTACTAACCACATCACAGTGATCACAATGAGCAATCCTGGGTCTGGGTCGTTGAAGAAAACCGCATGTACTACGACAAGAACGAGATGGTCAGGCTACAGGTGATTGACGAGGAATGGCATGACCAAATCCCCGAAAGCACGTCCGAAGAGGCAGTTGAAAAGGCCAAGAAGATCTCGCCATACAGCATTCGGGGCAGCATGATGAAGGAAGGCCTCGGTGTCTGCTTGTGGTGGGAGTGAGGAGTTTCGACACTGGTGGGAAAACCGCAATGCATTTGGGTCGGCGTTTCTGGTAATGTTGCTTGCATCATAGGGATGGGCATTGACGGTGCTACGCTTGCATTCTATTTAGACTTGATACCCTGGAGCAATCTTTCCTCAACCCCATCTAGAACCGAGTAATGGTCGACGACCGCGAGGTTTTCCGCCTCCTGCTGGAACTGCTTGTCGGGATCTTGTCCAGGACCAAACATGTTGGGGGCTTGAGTGCCCATGCCTTGCATTTGTTGAGCCATCTGGCTGGCGGCTACGGACGAGTCAGTGTCCCAATTACCGGGGTTGGGTTTTTAGTTGTCAGCACTTACCAGCCTCATTGCCCAACAGCAGGTTGAAGACAAACTGCAATCCGAAATAACACAAAAAGTACCAACTAATACTTGACATCCATCGAGGATCCATCTCCTTGGTTCCAACTCCAGCCTGCAGCATGCTCTTGAACTTGATGGTGATGGGGAAGGGCAGCTTGAGGATGACAAAGCCCGAGAAGAATGCGTTGATCCAGCTCATGATCAGGGTGTTGGGGATCATCATAGCCATGTTGTTCTTCATCATGCCCATCATGCCGTCCATGGCGCCGGGGTCCGTCATGGGGTTAGCAGGCGGCTGTCCGCGGCGCTCGGGGTCTTTGAGATAGGCTCCGGACTCGTACGCGGTTGTCAAAGCTTCACGGCGGGCCTTGAAGGAGGGGGCGGTCAGGACGTGGAAGTTGGAGCGGACGGCGATGCCGTGCATGAGAGAGCGCTGTTCCTTCAGAGCGGGCTGCTCGACCTTCTTGGGGGCTGTGGCCATGAGGATAGTGGCATAGTGTCGCAGCACACCAGTCAAGATCATGACGACGGTGATGGGAAAGAGGATCCAGTAGCTTGACGAGGTTAGCGGAGGGGGCTCGCGCGAGTTTGGTACGTTGCGTTGCTTGATGCATACAATAGCTGGGGATCCCTCTGGATCGTTTGCGGTGGTAGCTGTGCCATCTTGACTACTATTACCAGCTGAGGAGCACTTGTGGTCCTAATTGTGCAAGTGGCCGGTGTGTTGTTGACTGCGCAGGAGCGTGAGTGCCTTTGCGGATGTGTGACGTTGGAGTTGAGTGACCGCGCAGCACTAAAATGGGCCAGGTCAAAAGGTGAAAGACAATGGATTGAGTTCTAAGGGGAGCTCCGCGGCTCGGGAGCTCGGGCCATTCATCAGCCGTCAGGCCACCTAAGACGTTTCTTTTTTCCAGCGCTTCGCCCTCGACGTTGAAGCTGACAACTTGGGGGGGACGGGGGGCTTCTTCTGTATGTACAGTACTCCCCCAACGTTAGGTTAGTGGGACTCAGACATCCAGAAGCCCCCAGAGTAAAGTGAATACAACAAAACAAAACAAAACAAGAATAGATCAGAACACAACAGAACATAACGCGGCAGATAAACAGCCATGGCATCGCAAGAAAAGATCGCCGTCCACAACCTCGCCGGTACGCGTTGCCGGAGCTTGCCTATTCGCTGCAGCACCCTTATAGCTAACTAATATGCTGTAGATCTGAAGAACACCTCCGACGATGCGATTCCCAACTACCTCAACTCTCTGAAGTTCAACCAAATCCACACCCTCACCGACACACGCTTGGCTCTGGGCTATAGCGCATTCGCCATTGCAGCTGCCTGCTTCGCCTGGGACTACAAGTTCGGCTTCGAGAGCACCAAGTACCTCACAGCTATCGCAGTAGCCCTCTACACCGTCCTCAACACCGCCCTCACATACTGGATCGCCTATGTCGAGAAGGGCGTCGTTTACCAGGGACTCGCTCCCAGCGGAGACAAGGTGAGGAACCCCATAGTTGTACGACCAGCGCGGAATGCTGACTGCAGGAACTCAGATCTCGGTAGCCACTTCGACCAAGAAGAACGTGCCCATCTATAACGTAAAGGTCACCATCACCCCCAAGAACGGCAAGCCCGAGACCATCGAGATCAAGCGCTCCTTTACCGAATGGTTCGACTCGGTTGGACACTTCATTGCCCCTCCCTTCCAGAGCGTCTTCGCTGCTTCCGTTCCTCTGATTGCAAAGGCAGACCCCAAAAGAGTCGACACCGCCAAGTCTGCTCAGTCATCAGGAGCCAACTTCACCGATATGGATCCTGACATGTTAGATGCTCTGGCGGCTGGGTCCGCGACCGGTGCTGAGGCTGATGCCTCGGGGAAGAAGTCCAAGAGGAGAAAGGCATAGATCAAACAGCACCCCATCCTCCTTTCTCAGCATTGCATTGGAGTTCGCACTTGTATAACCTTGAGGTATCAGGGGAGGAGGAGGAGGTACTTTCAACAAAATTGAATTCAAACTCTATCTGGTCACGCTACGTGGATTTCATGACGGAACATTTGTTACTGCTGCTTTGTAGACCCCGGCTCGTAAATGAGGCAAAGACTACATATAGTCTGAACGGTGCTTCCAGAGGCCTTCTCTTTGTGGGGAGTGGTCTGATAGGAGCCAGCGTCCAAACTACAATCTGACACGTCGTCTATATGGGTATCATTTTGACTTTTCTAATTTGCGCTTCTATCCAATACCGACTCGTATCGGCTGAGCTCAGCCATCAACGAAAGCCTCGCTCTTGGCCTTCGCCAGGGTTTCATCGGCTGAACCGTCAGCCTTAGTCGATGGACGGTTGGCGATCAGTCTCTGTTGTCAAGTTAGTTGAGTACGTAAATCCTACATGGTTAGCCAAATAGACAGGGATGGCCAAGACGTACGACCAAGTTCCTGAGCAGGACCGCAATGGTAACCTTGCCCACAGAGGGCACATAAATGGAAGCCTTTTCCTTGATGGCCGGTCCGTCGAAGTTCTTGTAGGACGAAAAATTGATGCACACTGCTCCATCTCTGACGAGTTCCGTCGGTACCTTGTACTTCTCAGTTGGAACACCACCGATGACAACGTCGCTGATGGGAATGCACTGCTCCAAACCCCAGCCTTCCTTGTCCTGGACCTGGTGTCGGTGCGCTTTGATACCCTGGCCACGAGTGAAAACTTGGACGCCAGTGATGTCGACGGAATAAACAGTGGCTCCGTCGTTAGCAAGAAGAGCAGCGAGCGGCCTGCCATTGACCTCAGACCGGTTAATAACGGTGATAGTCTTGCCAAACAACCTGTTGCCGTAAGACAAAATGGGATTATAGATTTGCAGATGCTCCAAAATCTTGACAACAGCCAGCGGGGTGCAAGGCAGAATAGACTTCTTCAGGTTTTGGGGAGGATCCAAAAAGCGCACATTGTGGTACATGTTCGAGATGTGCTTGTGGCAGAGTCCTTCAACGTCCTTGGACAGGGAGACAGTCTCCCGGATATATCCATCATGGGCGGGGTCGCCAGGGAAGATGGGATAGTAGACGAGAATACCATCAACCTTGTCATCTTCGTTGGCGGCGATGATCTCTTCCTCAAGATTCTCCTTGTTGACTTGACGCAGATCAAAGTTGAATCCACTAAAGATGCGTAAGTTTTTGTTTCCGTCTTACCGTCCAAAACAGCATCTAGCAACAGAGTTTCGTACTTCTCTTCACAGGTTTTCTTGGAATACTCTGCATATTTCACAGCAGCGGGATCATCATTCGCCAAGAAAGCAGCCAATGTTGGCCGATTGCCGGCATCTTGTTGAACAGTCTTCAGGGTATCCTGGACTTCTTGCAGTAGCTTTTTGGCAATTGATTCCGCGAGGATGACCTTACAGGTCTTTGGCGTTTCTTGCGAAGACATGGTATAAGATCGAAAGGGCTACAATGGCGATCAGCTGATTGACCAGTCTATTTTACCGACATGTCAGGAGAGTTGAGTGATATGTGCACAATACAGCAGTCACAGCATCGAGCTCGTGTAAGAGACAATAGGGACTGGTTTTATCACATACCTGCCCCACTACCCCGCGACAAAAATTATCTCCCTGCTAAGAAAGTTGGATATGACGGGTTCTGACGAAGTCCACGTTCTGAACGAGACCAATTCGCCAATACTGGGTTACAAGCACGGCTGTAGAAGCACGACGAAGAATTGGAAGAAGAGAGAAGTGAAGGAATGACAAATTGGTCAACCCTCATCTCGACCACACACGTTAGACGCGGAACGATACCAAAAAAAAAAAGTCGAGACCTTAGTCGCGTCCAGTCCCCAGAAAATTCCTTGACCCCTCCAAGCGGGTAGACACAAGAATTGACGCAGTGTCCGAAATAGCAGCATAGCACTATACTAAGCATCACTCTACAAGACCAAACCACAACTTATTCCCATTTTCGGCTGATATGATACAGGATAAGCCAAAGTGACAATGATACCACTATATTGAATCATGAATTGGTTTTCTGTATTTATGCCTTAGTTTACTTAACAACAAATCATGAAAATCGACGCTCATTGCAGTCCATAAGACTTGGATGATTTGGGACACCGTCGCCACATGCGCCGGCTTTTGTGTCTAATGTAGTCATGTCGAGACTAGCGTTACAATTCGCATTTCGTCATTGGTCGTTGCGTCCAGAGCCTTGGATGGTGGGGCTAGCCGACTTCGCTCACTACTAACGTTGCATATGTAGAAGTGGTTGTTCCGCTTGAGGCATAACCAGTCCTTACAACGCATGCGGCAAGTGACTAAATCCTTGCACAATCATATTGATTGTTAGACAATATATGGCATGTTAGACACATCTCACAATACCTCCTACAGAGTAACCTTGTGGCGAACATGGCTACCAACCCATTTGATGACCTCGCTTTGAGGTATGTTCTAGCAGACGATGGTGAGGAGCCGACTTTGGTACAGGCCGCCAAGGCAGCTGTTGCGCAAATAGAGGCAGCCTCAGCAACGTCTCCCGCAGCCACCAGGAATGCTGTCGGCCAGTGGGTTGCCTCCATCAACCGTTGGTTAGCACAGAAAGACGACGACGACGATGATGATATAATATCTCGTGCAAAAGCTCTGGGATTCCTTGCAAGAACACTCGAATACCTGGATCGGGATCTTCTGAAAGCAGATCAAGTCAAGCTACTTATACGCTTTTTCTGCTCCCTATTCTCGAGCGACCACAGAGCTGGCATTGAGGCTTCTTCCAAGGCATTGGGCTACATAGCAGGCATGAAGAATTTCCAACCGACATCAGGAAACGACATAATATCGGGCATCATCAAACTTGGAAGCGACGACTTTAAGCGACAAACGCCGGCTACACGGCTTGAGATATATCGACTCGTTCACGGGCTACTCCAAGATGCTATGGTCGCTGGTGACTTGGCATATCAGCATGGAAGCACGGCGGGGTTCATGACTGCACTTGTTGACCTTTGCAAAAACGAGAGGGACCCCCAAAACCTGATTGCGTGGTTCGAGATTCAAGCGCTATTTCTGCAAAATTTCGAGCCTATGGATGAGGTCACTGAAGAGGTATTCAAAACATTCTCGGCCTATTTCCCCATCACCTTGCGCGCATCGGCAACACCCTCTGGAATCACAGTCGATGATCTCAAGCGTTCGCTACGGTCCTGTTTCTCGGCTCATCACCGTGTTGCGCGTCTTGCTGTACCATTCCTGCTCAACAAGCTTGATCAAGGCGAGGCAGTCACCATGTCTGTCAAGGTGGATATTCTTCAGACGCTTGAGGCATGCCTTGCTCAATATGGCAACGTGAAGCAAGGTGTGTCTCCGTACAGTGACAAGATTTGGACATCACTCAAGTACGAGGTACGGAATGGTGAAATTCGGGATTCCGTTGAAGCCACTTTAAAGACAATAGCGACGCTTGCTAGACGGTTAGACGATCTCGATCTACAATCCCTTTTCGCCGCAGCCTGGATAGATCTGTCCGACGATATTTCGAATGAATCATATACAGAATCAGCGGGCCAGTTACTTGCTGCCATATCCGGCGCAAGTAGAGAGTCCTTCTCATTGGCTTCCAAGCAGTCTATTCCTTACATTGTGGCTCAGTTCAAGCACACAAAATCGGCACTCCACCAGACTCGCCTTCTTGGCATTCTAAATGCTATTCTCCAAGTAAGAACGGCATTGCTATCTGCGAAAGCTGGTGTTGACCTTCAGGACAACCTCTTTGATGACTCTCTTTTTGACCAAGTATACGCTCGCTCTTGGGAGGACTGGACTCAGACTCAATACTCTAACGACCGCCCCGCCATTATTGCAAAGCTCATTGACGGCATGGCATCTCTAGTTGCCCAAATGTCTGGCGATGGTACGAACAAACGGCTTTGTTCCGATTATACTTGTGACCGCGTGTTCAACTGGTTAGGTACCCCGTCCGTCATTTCTGTTTTAGAGGAGAAGTACTTTCTACCCGGAAGTCAAGACTCGGAACATGAAAAGATTGTTAGCGCAGCCACTACAGCTCTTTCAAAACTCACACCGCTCTATCCTGATGGATTTGTACAGTTATTGGAACGGTTTCTCAGTTCAATAGCAGTGATTTCCAAAACGATCACGCCATCAAAGTCTCAAGCAGATTCTATCCGAGATGCGGGAGCATACTTGTACTCTATTGGATGTAGTGCTGCCGGTTATTCGCCTTTTCGAAACGCTCTCCTGGTCATAACGGCTCTGCTGCAAGCGTTTGATAGGTTGGAACCTATATCGCCATACTACTGGTACATGACTCCCAGGGCCCTCTCACCCACGCATCCTTGTGCTGAATATCACTAACCTCTGATTGTTGCATAGGTCCCCCTTTATCGAAATCATTCGCCTAGCAATGTCCCAAACCTTCGATGCTTTCGTAAACATAAAGGGCGCTTCTCTGTCAGATAAGACAACGCTAGCAGACTGGATCCAAGACTTAGAGGCCTCGGTTAACGGATTAGCTAATATTGACAAAGACGACGTCGGCGACCTCACCCGAATGAGCGAGAGCCTCAGCAAGCTAAACAACGAGGAAGAATCGCATTATAAGAAGTTCTTAATATTTTCTCTTATGGTAGTCAGTTCGCTATACAAGCACACTCTACGTTCCAGTCTCCCGATCGGTCTTAAGGATCATATCCAAACCGCCCCTGAAGCCCAGAAAGGACCCTTCTTATATCAATTGGGTCAATTAGCAGCAACCGCTATTCGTTTTGTTGGACCAAATGATCAAATCAATATGAAGTTTGCTGAACAAGCCTTCGTTTTGTTCATGCAGACGGACAGCTCAATGGAGAGTCTCTTGCGAGACGTTGCAGTGGTCGGAGATGAACAGAGCAAAGAGAAGTGGGCTTTATGCAAGGACACCTATCAAACAGCACCCTTGGTACTAGGTATATTGCAGGGCTTATGGCCAACTGCCATGAACTCATTGGTAAGCTTCCATCCCTAGCGTCAATTTGTTTTGTTCTCGAGTTACTCTTTTGTGGCCCACCCAAATTGCGACTGCTGGTCAACCGCCAAATCACATACTTCTTGTGTATGATTTCTGTGCTAACCAAGTCTAGTATTCCCACGGAGTGCTATTAGACTTGTGCGAAAGGTTGACTGCTTTGGAGCCCAAAGATGAGCTGTCAGCGTACAGGCCTGTTCTGAACAACATCCTCGCAATTCTAGCAAACAAATTCACTCCATCATCAACCTCGGATACCTTGGAACCGGCGCGTAGAAGACTGCTGCATCCACAGGGCGATAGTTTCATGGGGGTCATAGAAGGCACAACCACGCAGAATGCGGGGGCTACAATCATACCACGACCTGATCCACAGGCATTGAGAGCCATCTTCAGCAGCATCGTGTCTTTCCTGGCGGGTGATGTCGCCAACTATAAACCTCGCCATGATGAGAATTGGCTACTTCGCTGGGTTATTGAAGTTGGTGCCGTTCGAAATATCATAGGTCCCCAACTCGCTCAAGGTGTGGAGCTGCTCGTCAGCCCAAATCATGCTCTGCAAAAACAGTATCATGCGAATGTCAAGCGACTCAGAGGTCAATGGATCTACCAACAAACAGTGGTACCGTATATCGACCAGTGCTTCCCTCGGCAGGCTACCGCTCAACAAGGCGCAATCGACGATTCTACAGCTACAAATCGGTCTGTAGCTATCATTTGCATACTGAAGCACTTGGACTATACAGTGTGGCGTAGTGAGTCCAACAAGATTCTCTTGGTGGTTATTCGATCACTACAGAAGTTTGGCACAGGCAAGGACATTAACACTGTCATGGATATCCTGTTAAAGATTGTGAACTCGGAAGCCGACCTTGTGAAAGACCACCTCAACACTCTGATCACACATGTTCTTGCTGTTTACGGTGTGGCACGCAACGCTCACGAATCTCTCAATTCTCCCGAAAGCCGCGGTACTGAATGCAAGATGACTCGAAGAGAAGCAGCCGTTTGTCGCAAATACTGCCTCGTATTCCTCGAGAAACTGCCAAAGACTTTCGAATCAGTTCGTCACAACTTGATACCGCAGCGGCGGGCGGTGCTTAGACAGCTATCGAGAGCCTGCGGTGATCCTGTTCGTGAAGTGCGGAGTGTCGCGATACATGGAAGAGCACAATGGGAAGCTCTTTCTTGAGGGCGGCTCCTACCACGGCAACTACGATATATTAAAGACACCTAGATCCCATAGGCAATGCATACGATATTATAAATAGCCATATCATACGAAACACTTACAGAGCTACTAGAAGCTCCGCTCGATTGAAAAATCTATAGTGTCATGTAGGGCCGGTCCAAAACCCCTTGAAGATAAAGACATGAATCTGTAGAGACACGCTGGGTTAAAGGTGTTTACTAGAGAGCCTCTTGGTGGAAAGCCATGCACGCCTGAATAGCATAATACACAATGTTGCCATGTCAATGGTTATAATTCCGAGGGTTCGCATGTAGCCATCACAGATGTTTGTAAGCACAGATGACAAGAAAACTTAACGTCTAAAAATGGAAGAAAAATAAAGAAAAAATTGAGACTATGTTCGTGCTGTTATTATTCCTATTGAGCAGGGGTAGTAAATACCACGGTGGAGTAAAAGAAATCTCACGCAACTGTAGTTGGCCACAAACCACAATTTCTATGGCAAATCTCCCGCCAATTTAACTCTGTGCTTCCTACTCATCTTTCCAAGCCCGTCCCTTCGTACTTGCATATCGGGATGTCACGAAATCACTCTCTTTTTCATCTTCTTTCTTCTCCTCTTCATCACCATCGCCCCCATCCTGCTGATTGGTTGGACTATTTTGAGAATAATACCGCTGCCACGAGTAGCTCTCGCCCAACCGCCTCGCTACATCATTGGCCTCGTTTAGACTCACCAGCCTGCGCTTAGACGGGAATCTCCCAAGGTACTCCTGGGCGACCTCCCAGACACGCTCGATATTGGAGAGTTTGGCGCTTGAGGCCTTCCAGTCCACAAACTCGCTGGGCTGCTTGGTTGCGTAGCTGTTGCGGTGCTCGTAGGCGTTTGGTCTGTTGAAGACGTCCGGGGGTGTGACGACCTTCGAGCCGATGAACCGATCGTATGCAATCTCGGCAGGCGTCCGCCCGACCGAGTTCTCGCGGTAGAGCAACTTAGGATTATTGTCGAGGATAACTTTGATGTGCTTGGGCAGCTGACGGAACACGGCGCTGTGGAGCACTGTGTCACCCGAGCCGTTCAGGATGCCAAGGTCCTCGCCACCAGAGAACTCTAGAAGAAGCTTTAATATTTCGACATTATCTTCGCTCTCGCCAGATGTTTTGCTGTTCGGCCAACCATGTCGATAGCCTCGATAGTTATCAATGACATTTGCATTCTTCAGCCAGAAATGCAAGGGTGTGTCGCCACCGTGAGTAAGGTGAGAGCGTTGAAGGAAGAGGTGCGACCTGAGATTCGGGTCCAGGAGATCTAGGAGTTCTCGAAGCTTTCCGAGCTTGGGCCCGTTGCTCACAGAAGCATGAAGCACGTTTGAGTAATTGCTGTCCTTGACAGATTGGTCGGCGCCAGCATCAATGAGCGTCTTCGCAAATTGCACACGGCCAAGGAGACAGGCCAGGAATAAAGGCGTATAACCATGGTCTGATTTAGCTTCCAGTGACGAAGGGCAAACTTTGATCAAGTACTGGATGAGACGGTTAGTGGTATCCCCTAGAGGTCCCATCACCGCGCAGTGAATGACCAGATCGTCTGGGAAGATATTAGTATAATGCTCACTCGCCTCCAAGGAAGTACTCACTTTGAAGGTCTAACCACTTCGTGATGGCACGATCGAAGCCCCCAGGCGACTGGATTAAGTGCTTGAGCCGCGGGTCTTCCTTTGCTACTCTGGATTTGCCAAACTCCAGGTATTGTCTCATTGGTGTATCACTGAGAAACCATTCCACGGAAGCGAGAGACCCCTCAACGGCAGCAGTGAGTAAAGGAGGGACCTGGCTTCCGGTAGCTTTGACCATAACATTACGGCCCGCGTTTGCCCAATCGGACCTCTTCTTGCCATAAACAGTGAGACCTTGATAATATCGGGGCTTAGTCTTCATCTCGATGCCACTCTTCTTCACGAGGTGCTCCAGAGGAATACCAGCACCGGTTAGCTGGATGACCTCTGACAGTATATCTGTGCGACCCAGTTTGACAGCGTTCCTAAACTGTTGTTCAGGGAAAGCGTAGAATTTGCTGGACTCGTTCTCCTCATCAACGAAATCAGGCTTGTGATTCGTGAAGTGAATGGTTGTGTCAATAAGGAACTTGAGGCGTTCCTTGTCGTTATGCCGCAAACAGAAAGAGATCAAGTTCTCCTGGCCTTGTGAGTCCTCCACCTTACCATTGCGCATTACGAATGTTGGAGAGTCGATGTTTAAAAACTGAGTGGGAAGGACATCACTCTTAACTTGCATAGACACCTGACCAATATTATCAATTGTGAATTGATCGTCCACGATCTCCTCAAAGATGCGAGGGTCATCATCATTGCTGTTGCTGTGAGATTCTTCATCGGAGTCGTCCTCTTCGTCTCCGGCCATCTTGTAACGTTTGGCCTTCTCTTCTTTAGGAGCCCACTGCGCTTGCACGATCTCAAGAATCGCTCTAGCCACATCAAGGTGACCTCGAAAAAATGCGAGCGAGAAAGGAGAATTCCGCGCTGAATCAAAGACTGCCATCTTCAGTGGTGGCTCGGCCTTCTCGGCGCCCCAGGCTGAAAGGGAAAGAGACTTGATCTTTTCAAGATCACCTTTCCAAGCTGCCTCAAAACTAGGGCGAGTCAATACAACGGCCAGGATAAAAATAGCACATTATTGAGAATGAAACCACTTACAGTTCTATGAAGGCTGTTTTTCTGACCTCAGTCACATCCTTGGCACCAACAATGTTGAAGTCATACGCGTAGGCAACTGGTAGCTCATGTTGTTGAGCGTCACCATTGTGCTTTGGAGGTTCTTGTATATCAGGGTATTGTTGCTTGAAAGTAAGGGCGCCTTTCGCAACGAGTGCATGCTCGACCTTTTCAAGTTGTTTAATCAAGTCAATAATGGCTTCTTTCTTCTCCTCAATACCGCTTTGCTCAGCTAAAGCCTTACGCTGCTGGTTAAATTGCTTGACCTCTTTGTTGAAACTGTCCAGGGTTTTTTTTATGTCGTTCTCGACAACCCAATACTGGTACGTACCCTCCTTGAAATTCTGCAGGAACTCATCAGTGCCTTGAGGCTCCTTTGGGACTTGCTCGTATTGTCGGCTGCGTCCGAGCCTGTAGCTGCTTAGATAATCATATGAGACGTTGAAGGTCGTCTTCTCGCCGGTGTATTTGCGTAGCGATCGCAGACAATGGCGTACCTCGTCCAGAGCAGAATATCCCTTTTCATTTCGGCGCCTATATTCGTTGTCTATAACATTGTGGCTGACCTTGGTGATAACGTTAGGGTCGGCGCCGTGCTCCAAGAGTTCAAGCGCTATAGCTGGCTCTGTTGATCGGATCGCAATGATCAAAGGTTGCTCTGTCGAAGACTTGAATTTCTTCTGGTTTGACTCGTAATCGTTCAGACCATGCTCAATGGAGAACTTGGCCCCCTTAAGCCATGAGTCGAAGTCAATCTGAGGATTAGCGCCAGCTTCAAGTAGTCGAAGCACCATGATAGGATCTCCATTGTCTATAGCTGTCATTAATGGACTTGTCGCAGTTGGATTCCAGTTATTTCCATTAACAGCCACATGGTTGATCGCTGTCTTGAGTCCCAACTTATCGTTTTCCCAAAGTGCCTCGATAGTCTGAGGAATACCCTTCTGTACATAACGATGGAAAGCGGTTATGCCATTCACATCGGCCTGTGAAGATGTTGCGCCGAGGCTAAGCAGCGTCTCTGACATCTTGACTGCGTTTTCGACAGGCAAAGCCAATGCAAGCACAAGTGTCAAAATGGCAACACGAGCTTCTCCGAGCTTGACTGGATTGAGAATATCTGCCGCGAACTCCTGAGAAAGCAATTTGACGACTTCAGTATGGCCACCCAGAATAGCATAATGCAAAGCGCTGCAATGCGAATCCCAAGCCACAACGTCAATATCGTAGAAGTCGGGGTCTGATGCATCATCGTCCAGAGGCAAAGATTCTCCAGACTCTGCTTTCTCCTTATTTTTAGTGATCTTGACAAATGAACCAGTTGCAACTGACTGAGCGCCATCTTCGGATTCATCGTCATCGATCATCTCCACATCAGACCCCGAATCATCTTCATCTGTCTCCATGGCTTCACTACCGACTCCCTTGGACTCTCCTTCGCGGGCTCTGCGACGTTGGTCTTGCTTCTCTTCCTCATGCTCCTGATTGGTAGCGCTCTTTTCGAGGAGGATCTTGACTACCTCCACATTTCCGCGGGCTGCTGCAAGATGAAGAGCAGTCCTGCCGTCAGCCAGTCTAGCAATCAATCTGGCACCGTGGTCGACCAGACATTTGACGACTGCCGGAGTTGAGCTTGTTACTGCAAGATGCAGTGGGGTACGACCGGTGTAGTCTCTTTGATTAGGATCTGCTCCCTCTTGAGAGAGCCAGTCTTGCACGTGCTCAATATCCTCGTCCACAATCGCTTGGCACAGACGTGCGGTATTGCCGACATAAGCCTGAAAATATGTTAGATACAATATTAATGAGATGCACGGGAACTTGGTTTCACCATTTCGGTCCAATCATCGTCTGTGAGTGGGTTGAAGGATCCGATTTGCTGTCGTCCAGGGTCATCAATGCGGAAGGAGACATTGCCAGAGACATATATCTCGCTCTCCTTCTCAGAGATCTCAACTTCATCAGGTGTTGCAGGTTTTGGGCAAGTCCCGCAACAATCTTGGATTACGTCCTGGACTCGTCCGAAAAAGGCCGGATGTCTGTGGAGATAGACTTCTCGCTCCTTGGGCTGGTTCCACTCCGCATTAAGAAGAAGATCTCGAGTATAACACAGTTTCTCGATCTTCTTTGCATTGAATCTGGCCCCGTAAGGTACAGTAAACGTGTGGTAGTTCGAAACCTCTTCCTCGTCTACCCAATCGGCTACTTCGTCCTCGTGAGCGTCCTTGATGTTGCCATGAAGTCGATACTGATGACGATAACCGAGATCAGGGCGGCCACGTTCTTCGCGACGTTTTTTCAAGTACTGCTCGCGGGCGTTAGTCGTCGGTAGTCTTTCCAGAACTAGAAGACGAGCAAGTCCTAAAGTTCTTCCAAAGCTTCGTTCAAATATGGTTGGATCAACCCGCGATCGATTCAATTCTGGCCAATAGACTTCAAAATTTCGATGGCTATACTTGGACAATCTGTTCTCGTATGAAGGACTTCTGCGGCTCAGGTCAATGGGATTGATCTGAGTGATATAAGATGCCAGAGCTCTTGGGGTGCAGTAAACTTGTTTTCCGTCGTAAGCAGCACCTGAACAATCAATATCGAACCCAGTCAAGATCTCGGATACATTCTTGTAAACCCGAAGTACAATCTGGATGTGACGAGTAGGATATTGACTGCCTGGCCACAGTTAGTGGAAGGTGTTCTCGAAGTGATGGGAGTAATGAAACCCACATATAGTCACAGCGTTCTTCGTTCGCACCACAGTGACCTCGGAGAGAATGGCGTCGCGCACAGACGCCTCAATCTTTCTTATCTTCTCAATGGCTTCTTGTTCATTGAGACCGTACAAGAAGAGATCGATGTCAGAAGCCGGAGCGAACTTCTCGTGATCTGTAAATCGTAAGTTTTTCAGGTCTACTTGAGAATCGCAATACCCTATGGAATCGTTAGTTGGCTACTTACAGTATTGCCTGAGAGCTCGCTTGGATTTCGTATACCGTTCCGGAACCGGAAGAAGACAGTTGACCGCTGATGAGCCGGCAGCAACGACGTTATCCCAGTCCAAGTCTACCAGCGAGGATTCGCAGAAGACATTAAAATTATGACGGAATTCTTTCAGCGACTGCACAACGGCCGGAGAACCGTCAGCACGACGCTTGTCGTCCGGAAGGCTCATAATGTACTTGTCCTTCTCTTCACTCGATTCTGCCGCTAGGTTACGGGCACGGGTCCTGATGTCAGAGGTGTCCTTAGTAAAAAGGGGCAGAACATTGAGATAGGGGTCGTCCAGAATTGCATTGTTGCGATCTTGTGCGTAGATATGGCGAAGCTGAGCCTCGTAGTTGCGGAATGGCTCCAGCAAGTTCTCAATACGAGTGGATGAGTTCTTTGCGATGAAGCTTACCAGCTCATTGTGAGAGACTGGCAGCTTTGGAAGTTGTGTGGTGGCCATTATATCTCTTACTAAGGTGTCCTACTTAGTTTGTGCTCGTGTGGTGGCAAAAGAAGGGATTGCGAGGTGGGAAAGACTGATATCAGTGAGGAAGGGAAGAAGTGGTTTGAGGTCAAGAGACTACTACTGTACTATGGAACACAAAACACATTGAAGCCAAGTCACTTGTACGAAAGGAAATCCGGGCAATTATATAGATCCCGACACATTACCAACTGCTAATTCTTATGGAGTTCGGTTGCGGTGTGTTTTAGCTCGCTAGTCGTGCCGGAGCTGAATAGCTGATGTTAGGCGCGCGATCTGGGCCTTCTGCCTGGAGTTGTTACCTAGAGTTGCATGGGTAGGCGACACGAAACGCGCGCGGAGTCTCGTGATCAATTATGCGTCGCCTATTTCGATTAATCAAGCGCGGGTTCTGCCTGATGATCTTCTGTCTAATGTAATGCGACTTTGCAATAATGATGATTGAGTCAGGGAAACTGCCTGGACTTAAGGAAAATACAGCGGGTGGGGGTTCCACAAGGTCGTGGAAGGCATATTTTCCAATGAGCCGAAAATCCGCCGCACTTCTCAAATATCTTGGCTTACAATTAACAATTGCTTGACGAAAGCCGATAAATTGCCTCAGTGTGTCACTTTTCTACACCCAAGGCATGCTATAGTTGTTTCGTACAAACAGATCATTCTCGGAAACACGCAGAACCTATGGCGACCGCGTTGCAGATCAGCATGCCGAAGTTCCAAGATAATTGACAGCAATGCGAAGCAAGTATGGCTTGATATCGCCTTGAGAAATATTATCTATCATGCACAGATGGATGTGGCTACTATCAGGGGCCGAAGATTCTATGAGAAGAGAACTCCAATACTGTAATAGGGTTGTTCATTATGGAACGACAACTATGACAAAGCGTTGTAATGAAAGATTCAGAAATTACCACTAATACCAATGTCTACTTGAAAAGATCATGCCTTCATGGAATGTCTGCCAAACTTCTTGACCCATCTAGAATCGACAGGGTGCAGCTCGACCGCGCGTGGTGGCACATCTCTCTTCGCGGTCGTTATATCAGCAGCCGTGATATTGCCACATTCAGGCCTTGTTAGTTTCGCGTTGAAAGTATCGACAACCCATATTAAGACGCCGTTGCTCCAGCCGAAACCTTCGACAACCTCATATTCACCACCACCACCCACAGCATTGGTCGAGTTGTCGCCATACTTCTCAAACATAATACCCACGTCCGAGGAGTCAAAACCCTGAAGCTGTGGTTCATCGTCTGTCGACCCACCAGTAGCGCGCCACGTACAGAAAGTGCTGTCTAGGTATCGCTGCGCAAGCCCCAGTGCTAAGTCCTGCGTCTCAACATAGTAGGGGTCGTCCTTCCCAAACGTTGCCGGCGTGTTCAGCAAACCTTGAATTAGGACGTGCATCAATGGCGGCCAGACGTTTGGCTGATCCCATTGCTGGCCGGTTGTGAAGTCCGTAGCCGGGATGGCCCCGCCTGTCTCCTCAAGCAGGTCGGCTATACGCTGGTAAGCAATCTTGACTGCAAGTGGGTTGTTCTTCAGTTGCGGCGGCGCAGCGCCGAGCCAGAATGGGTAGAACTGAGCAGCATGGAAGAGAACCTGGTAACCTTCAGGTGCATCTGATTTCTGGGCACTTGTCGTATCCGCATCGATTGGAACATAGATGTTCTGCGACGCGGATGTCAGATTGTAGTCGAAATAGCTATTGTACTTGTCGTTCCACATTAGGGCATACATCGCTTCAGACCGTGCTTCGGCTTGTTCCCTGAATGTTGTGGCGCCTGTGTCGTTTCCACCGGCCTCGAGATAATCGGCGATAACAATCTCGTTGGCGTACATGATGGAATTGATGTCTACGCTGACGATGTTTCTTGCGTTCAGGGAGCGCAGCGGAAAATAGACATCATCCGCTGCATCGCTGGGATTCATTAACCAACGAGAAGAATAGTCCCATCCCGATTCTGCACCAGTGGCCAAGTTTGCATAAAGCTCTGCCTTTTCCGAATCATTGAGCGGATTCACTTCAGGGTAGATGATTCCTGATGTTGCATAATATGATCGGTTATTGGCTGAGATATAGTCCTCCCTATAAGATTCAGGACGAGGTTGAGTGTTTGCCACATTATAACTAAAAAAAAAAAAAAAAAAGATTAGTTGAGGTTGATGGGCATTTTTGACTGAGGTCTTACTGAGTCAAGGTGTATGAGTTACGCCCGGAACTGATTTGTACTGATCTGTTCGTTGTGAAGAACTCATGCTCCTTGATTAACAATGGCACGGCTCGCTCGAGAATACTTGTGTCGTTGGTGTAATCAACATAGGCTTTAACCATCTGCGTCAATAACGGGGGTTGCGAACGATTCAGATAGTAAATGCGGGCGCCGTTAGGAATAAATCCGATCGTATCAACCAAGTCCAGGAAGTTCTCAATAATGTTCTTGGAGATCTCCGTGAAGCTACCTCCGGTCCGTAGGAGGCCAAGCAAGATCCAGTAGGAATCCCAGTAATAAGCTTCTCTAAATCTTCCGCCAGCGACAACAAAAGTGCGATTGAGCGGGATAAAACTGTCTACACAACCTGTGCAGTTTCCGGCACCAATGTACTGCCTCGTCAAGTCTGGCCAAATATCAATGACTTTCTCTGTGAATTGCCTGATTACAGCATCGTTGGTCTTTTCCAAAAACGAGGGGTCTGTAGTCAACTGGTCCGCAGGAACTGAAGTCAGCTCAGAACCAGCCTTACCGAAATAGGTGGTCAAGAAATCGTTCAATTCAGTGTTATTGCTCAAGGGCTTTGTCAGGTTGTTGAAAGCAGCAATCACCTCATCTAGGGGACGGATAGTTGGTCTTGACTCATTATTAGCGCCAGTGTCGGGAAATAGAATAGTGCAAATGGTCTTGACATCAAGCAACTTACAAATCTACAAAAGTCTTTGAGTCTGAGAATGGTTTCGCAAGCTCAATCTGTTTCAAAATCTCGCCCTGGCAGTATATCGGAGAGTCACATGGTGTAATGACCGAACCATTGACGTATAGGCCATGTACGCAAGCCGGCACCGCGGCCAACGCGCAGACTATCGCTTTCCTATAAGCCTTCATGGTGGCCGGGCCAATAGTATTATGCCAGATCGATCTGTCGAAGGCGACAAAGAAGCGCAGTGAACGATAGGCGAGTATTACTTGACACCTGTGCGTGATGTATACAACTGGAAGGGCAGGACAACTAGTCTTCTCAAGGCTATGGGCACATTTTAAAGGGGAAGCCGTTAGATCGCATCACTCATGGCTAACCCTTTATATCTATTTGAGCAGCAGCAAGGCACAGTTGTGTCCTAGTCCATACTCATACGTAACTTCCAAGATGTTCGGTCAATAACTGCATGTACGCATGCATGCCAACTACCTTGGCTAGTGCAGCATCCCTGCCACGCTGATCGACGACAGGATGATGTACCCCATCCTGGAATTGAGTTTTCATGTTCAATAAACAAAGTGATGCATATTAAAAGCGGTATGAGTAGAACACTGCATTATGGCAATTTTGTTAACCTTCTCAAATAAAAGAGCCATCAGCTGAAGGAGGGATTGTCTTTATGGCTTGCAAGTAATGATCGACTTCGAAACCCGTTGAAAATGCTATTATGTTGCCGAATCCGTCTGAATGGAACCACCTTGGACCTTGAGCTTTAAGTTTCCCCGCGTGAGATGATTTGGAGACTTTCAACGGCCCGTTTGCTAACTGATAGCGAGTGAATTGGCAGACTGTTTGACGTCACTAAAACCTCAGCTTCGGTCCCCCCAGCCCCCAGCCCCCAGACCCCAAAAATGCGGGGAATACGGGGTTTGCCGGTCCGAGGAGTTTGTGACCGATGGTGACGATGAGGCGCACTTGCAAACTAGATTTGACCGCCATGACTGAAGAGTGTGCACGACGGACTCGAAAGATGCATCCCATTACCGAGAGGGATAAATCGACAAGAAGACATTGCACAATAAGGGATAACCTTACATATTTTCTTAGTGCTCCAGGGCAACAAACGACATATTCTAGTGGTGGCCGATGCGTCAAGTCAAGTCTCAAACTTTCCTAAGTCTTGTAATGCTGCCGAACGCCGAACTTTCCACAGCCAAGGTCAGTCACGACAATCTGCTCGACGATGTGCTTCAGCCAATTAACTGCACACTTCAGATTCAAGGCTAAACCACCATTGCCGCAGCTTGGATAGCTAACTAAATCGGCTCCATCTAGTCGTCCTCTAATCCAACACTTATTCTTATTAATAAGTGCTCCACGACCTCCATACTCCGCCGTAAAGTCTAACTCGCCGTAGTGCCCGTTAAGAATATGGGCACACGGATGTGAAATTCGTGCGTAGAAGAGGGCCCTTGGCTACCGAAGAATGCAATCGCGAGCGCAGGCTGATGAAACGCGATGCTCAGTAAGCAGCCGTAGCCCTATCCAGATAGCTTGAAGCTGTCGCACATGGCTTTCGACCGCTCCATCGATGGGTAATATATATATGTCTTACTAATTCTGTATTGCCATTGATTCTTTGCAAAACCGAGTATGGAAATCAGCTGTAATTCGCCGTGATTACACACTCACGATACCATTAAGGTCTTCGTATATATTGTTGAGTGCCCTCCTAATGCTAAAATAATGATGAGTTGCAGAATTGACCACGACATTATTTTTCAGGTCAGCGATGTATATTTTGTGTTGTTCACGGAGAATATCTATACCTGCCGCTCATCACATTACAAGCGTCGCTGTAGCATTATCAGGCTCGTGACAATTACATTCACACATGAGAACAGGTTGGCCCAGATCCTAGTTGTGTCATCGCATACAACCACAACTCGAATTCGTCCACCAGCTTGCGGATACGGCGAAGGTCTACGCATGTAAGAAGTGGGCTAGTAGGAAACTTTGTTGAACAAAGCACATATATGTTTTCTTGCCCTGAGATAGCAATCCCACTCGTCAAGCTCTTCTGTGGAATGGTTGTATGGTCATCACCTAGTGGGATGGGCCTGCATAAAGCGGTGTGTTTGCCGACATCCCCCATGCTGGCAAATATCGCAGTGCGACAAGGTAAAGCTACCAGTATGCTATAATTAATGGATGATGATGGGTTTCTTGATCGCAGTATGGAGAACTTCAGGTGTTTCTATTTATTCTTTCTTCTATGTTTTTCGTTTACCTTAGACTCGAAGATGTCGATGCTCTTCGTTGTCCGAGATGTGTTGTAATTCAAAGGTATCTAGTCGTCAAACCAGCGCTTAGGGAGCCTCATCTCAACCATCGTCTAGAGGAAAAACCGCAAAGTTCCAGACATTGGGCAGGCGGCTGAAGATACTCAGCGGGGATCGGATCAGTGTGACTTCAGCTGAAGCAAGACATCTTATGAGTAATGACAAAGTTTCACAAGTCTGTCATCTGGAATTATGAGACCAGCACGGTTAGCGCTGTCGCACTTGAAGCGCTGTTCACCTGCATTGGACCAGTGAACCTGATTACGCATGTGGCAAAACTTATCCCAGTTCCCGTACTGGTGCACAACTGTATAAATGTCTCATTCTGTGGATGTCTGAATCTGAGCACTTGGTCGCGCACTTATGACGACACATCGAAATGAACTGGCCACGAAAACGTTTCGTGAAATTTTTGAAGATGATTCAGTTGACTCTTATGTACCATTGATGAGTATGGTGTTATAGCATTATAATTATGACGATCTTTGTACTATAGCATCAGATGCTTGGACAACCTAACGTTCAACCAGAGCAGCTGTCAACACCAAGGTGAGTGCTGTTGCTACCCGTGATACTCAACTGAATAGTGTAGTGATCACTACCACGAAACTGGCCAACATTGGTCGCGTGGCTAACAGCTCAGGATGAAGAATACTTTTGAAGTGACCAGTACCTAAATAATTCTTAGTACAAACCGCGCGTTGTGACTCACTAGAGAGCAATACTGCTGGGCAGAGCCACCATTTTTCAAAAGCATGTAGGTGTTGTAAAATTGGCAGGTCTGGAAATTGCCATCCTCGTAAGGATTGGCACGGTTATAATCGCTTTGGGAGCTGCAGGCGGCAGCACACAGAGCAGGATCAAAGGGGCTGGAAGTGAAAATCTTGACACCCATGTAGCTGTTGCATTCGTTCGGCGCATTGATAGCAGCTTCACCAAGATATATTCCAGTATATCCAGTTGGGCTCTCGAAGGGCCCAGCGGTGTTATAGCCGTTAGAGCCAGCGATCACAATCTCGAACTTGCTACGCCATTGGCCCTCATTGTTTGCATTCGTATTTAAGACTGGGCCGCCCCAGAAAACGCACTTGATAACAATAGTGCTGGGTGGGTCAGGGCAACTGGAGCCGGGGTCCTAATCTACAGTGAGAGGTTCTCATGTACAATGGATAATATTGAACTTACAAGAGATGGGTCGCGCTCGAAATAGATATTGAACGCATACAGCCGGTTATAGCTCTACACTTGTTGGCGCAAGTCTGCGAATCGTAGCTATCAAGCGCAGTGTGCCCCATAGATGCATAGGCGGAGTTGGATCCTCGGAGATTCAGGGACGATCGGACAAACCCAGATGGTGTTTGAGCATCAATTGCAACAGATGAGAAATCTGGATCAGCAAGAAAAGCACCTGGAGTGTCGGGGCTTGGGACAGGACCGGCACCAGAGGGCTGGACATTGCAGCTGCCGTCTCGCTTCCCGGCAGGCAGTCTGTTTTTCAAAGCACTCTTGGAAGAGAGGTTCCTAGAGATAAAATTTGCAGACACGTCAGCTACAACATTGGCGATAGCGGTGGCACTGTTGTATTCAATGGTTGTGGAACCGGCCCCAATGGAGAGAGTCGTGGTGACCGCAACTGGAGCAGCATCAATGACACCGAAATCAAAGCCCTGAGACTTGACCATAGCAGCAAAGCCAAGAGAAATGTAGAAAGACTTCATTGTGGCAGTATTGTAGTAAAATGATTCAGATGTGCTCTCAGAGTCGCATCGATGAGCGGTGTTGTCTACAAGTGCAAGATGGGAATGCATGCCGATTTTGCGGGTGCCAAAGGAGCTTTTATAGATAGAAATAGCCTTACCTCAAGCCTGCCAGTATGAGGATACTTAGAATCGTGGACTGCCATGGCGCTGACAGCCACGATACCCTGATCATGTTCGCTTCCTCTCGCCTTCACTATTGGAGCAGCACATATTCGGACGGTTTAACTTACTGACTGTAAGCTAAATAGATGACGGGATGCAGCACCCATATACTTCTGTCTCGGTGTATATCCACTAGAGAAGTCTGAAACTTATTCTTGGTGCAAATACACGAAGGGCAGCCGATACAGTACAGCTGAAAAATTTGCTTGCTAGTTACGAGCCATGGCTCACAGCTTTGTCACATTCGTAAGTTTCAGCTTCCTACGGCCTGACGATGGCTTCATCAGTCGGGTAGACCGTACATGTCATCGTTTATCATCCAATGCATCAAGAGCATGGCACCGTAATGGAAAATGCGAGAATAGCTGACAGGAGTTGCTTGTGATCGATCTTATCATCAGGCAAATCAATAAGACAAGCGTCTAAGTCCACCGTATTTCGTGTCACCAAGGCACTACCTATCTCCACGAGACACTGCCGGAACAAGCGTAATAGACGGACTAGCCTAGATCACATCTAACTGCATAAGCTGAACTGAACTGGCTCCTTAGGTCCTTAGATCACCATGTTCCGAGTCGTTGATGGACAAAGCTGAGATATTTGGTTCCTATATCTGCACATGGAGGTGCTTGCAACTAGTAGCCGACAATCCTGGGGAGTCGCTGGCAAGTGCCGAACCGGCAGGTTCAGCGTTTCCAATGGCCTGCGACGTTCTTATTTCAGGGTAATTGACTACGAGTCCCGTTGGCGAGCCAACTACAGCCATGATAATAAGGTCACTAAAGGCTAAATAAACTTAAAGAAGCCCATTAACAGTCGTATGCTTGTCCGCCCGAGCGTCCCGCCACATGTAGTCTTGGGGTCGTGAATTCCGCCAGCTCAAGATGATTCCTTGATGCGTGGGGTCAATAGTCTACGGTTCAGCAGACTGCAGTTGCCGACCTTTTACTTGGCTTGCAGTAGTCTACAAAGTAACAGCCCTGGAGTTGCGATTAGGGAAAGAAGATGTCTTGAGGCGTCTGGGCTTACTTAGCCTGTGCGTTGCTGCCAAGAAGTAAACTCGATCTCAAAATGCTGCATATTCAGCTCGACGCCTTTATTGATCACGGATGAAGAAAAGAAAAGGCAAATTCTGCGCAAGCTTTTAGAACGTGTATACCACTACACTGAGAGCAAGTTGATGTACGAATGAGAGTTGAGTACATTATACTCATTCATGCTTTTCTTTCTTTCTTTCTTTCTTTCTTTCTTTCTTCTTCTTGGCCTTTTCCAGTGTTCGGATGATGGGGTCACCTGTACACTGGTGGAAGGCTACATAGAACCAGTATCATCGGTATCATCAGCATTTCTGTAAGCTTGAATAAGCCTTATTACCTGTCACCACACGCTTCAATTTGAGTCCTACATCCACATAGTTTGACTATTAACCTAGCCATGAGGCCTTTGACGTGTGAATCTGCAATGCAAATCAGAAATGATCTCTCAAGAACAGAATATGACGTAATTAGGATATACGCAGTTTACTCCGTTACATTCGTCCATTGACTAGTCAGAGGTTCCTAGAATGTTTCAGAATGATATCAATGAATTTCGAGGAAACCTGTTATTACTTTGCCTTACACTCTACACATTTTAATATTTGAAATACATATATTATATTCGTGCAACGCAAGGTCCTGGACCGCTGTGAGACTAGCCTGGAGTCGCTTCCCTATGCGGAGGTCAAAATTGATAATTGGACGCTTAGAGACACTACCCAATACATGTAGTCAGGCATGTTAAACCTGAGTTATCTGTATGAATAATAGATTGTATGCTTTGAAAACTTGCACTCTCGACTCGCTGCCTTCAAGTTTCGATATGTGTCAAACAAAATATTTGAGATGATCTTGGACTGAATAACTACGGATGAGTGTTGAATTACCTTCGTCCAATGAAGACATCCATCCTAGACTGTCGCACGAACCAACTACAAACAACCTCCCAATCACGACTCTCGTCCACCAGGTCAAAACGGAACTTCATGAATATACTTGGGACTAACTTGGCAATTTGAACTATACTCAGATGCCGCCCCATACACCCTCGCGATCCGGCGCCGAACGCCAATGATGCTCGTTTCATCGCCGCAACACGGTTTTGGTACTCTTCCGCCGATTCCTCAGCGGCCTGTAGCCAACGCTCGGGCTTGAATTTCTTAGGGTTTGTACCCCATATTGGATCGATATGATGCACTGCCCATGGGTGAACACCCACTTGGCAGCCCGAGGGAATTATCATTCCGTCTAGCATCGTTAAACCATCCGTCGGTACCACACGCTCCAGCGCATGTCCCACAGGTGGGTGTATTCGGAGACTCTCCTGGATAACTGCGTTCATATAGGGTAATCGCTGGCTTTCTTCCCATGTTACAGGAAAACTAAGACCAGCAGCGTCAATCTCCTCAACCAGTCGTCTTCGCACATTGTTGTCCCGAAGTACCATATAGAAGATAGCACGCAGTGTAATGGCCACTGTGTCGGATCCTGCCATAACATTACTCGTCGTATAGATTACTACGGTGCGATCGTCCACGACACTGGGGTGCGTGCGTTGAGCCTCAAAGAACCTATCAATAAACAAGCGCGGTCCGGGTTGTTCAGTAATTTGCGCCATTTCCTTTCGACGGTCCTCGATTAGCGCGGCGGTAAAGATGGCAAAGCCGTTGGTCTTGTCTCGAAAGAGATTCACAACCCAATTTTTGGTTTTAAGCCAGTCGATCCAAGGCATCTGAGACATCTATCATATTATATGATGTGAGCAAGGGTGCCTTCGTATACTTGAGATAGATAAGGCTTCATACTGGAGCAATCTGGTCTAGCCTTTTGTCAAGCCGACTAATCATATTGTCCACATCCTTGCCACGATCGAGGAAACCAAAAGGTTTTCCCCAAGTCATGATAGCAATCACATCAAATGCGTCTGCTAACAGTTAGACGGTACCGAAAGAGCTGATTAGATCTACATAGACTGACAATATTGCATCCACGCGGCCAAATCGCATGCCTTTTTGCCCTTCGGCCCCATTGTCTCATCATCGAGCCTTCGCACAAATTTGACAATACAGTCATCGACGATTGGCTCAAACTCCAGCGCAGATTTCATTCCATACGCGTTGGCTACTGGCTGTTTGATAGCTGAATGGTAATGTGCGTCGCGTGTAGTAAACAGGTTATACCCGATGGTATTACCCACCCAACCTTGAAAGGGCAGGTAGAATGCGCTCTACAAACCCAACTTCATGTTAGTCATTTTGAGATTAAGATTTTGCCTCTCGTTAGAGGAAATACCTTTAAGAAGCCATGGCCTGGGCCATAGATTTTTGGGATATAGGCCGGATCTGCAATGCTGAGCGTATTGGGTCCGGTGCGCACCAATGGGCCGTATTTTTCGTGCAGCCTAATCATCGTCAAATGACTTTGGCGTCCACGAACATCTTGGAAACGCCAGTAGTCTGTGAATTTAGCGAGTAAGGGCCCAGGGTATCGACTCAAAGGGTGTGCGAAGTACAGATAGAAGCCATATAAGAAAGCACCCACAGCGACTGCGCCAAAGGAGTGCCAGTTATTGATCAGGATAGTCATGGTGGTTGCAACGATCTCGTTACAAGGGGTCCAAATTCTGCAGTCGGGCTAGAAAAGTGAACGATAGGTGATATGCAAGGCAATATTTCCTGTGCCTCTCCCCTCCTCCTTTAACTTAAACCAAGTTTTAGCATGAGCAAATATATTTATGTTCTGGTACCACCAGACTCCCATCAGCAGTATCGGCTCCGGCGGTTCGTTGGTAGGATTTACTCGGTGTCGTCCTCGTCCATATACGACGCACAAAATTGCCGCCCATTTGTCCAGTCCCACTAGCCGCCACGCGGGTCGTGTACAGGTACAGCACATTCGCCAAGGTATGTAGACCGCCGAGTGTAATTCCTTATAATTAAGGTTCTTAGCTGGGCTTGTAAAGCAACAGTGCTCATCCATGCAAACCGCTAAGATCAGAAGGATCTTCAGGTTGTGTACATCTTACATTTGAAGAATAGGTCATGTATACATTGACTCAAGAGATAAGTAAGCGTCACGTAGTATTCATGCATACATCACATTGGTAAGTCGTTCGCACGATTACGAAAGACCTGGACGACTCATCACCAGCAAAAATGGCCAATTGCCTGCTACCTCGATTCCATTGAACAAAGACTCATTTGGTATCAATATCTATCTACCACTTTCAAAAGTCTCAACTGCTCGGCGATGTCGGAAACGTCTCTATTTGCCTCGTTTGACAGCGTCGGCCAATTTTTCCGCAAGCATATCTTGTTGTATTCAGCTTTGCCCTTCGAAATGAGGAGTCGGTCATTACTTACAAACGTGTGATTGGGGAGCTGGCCCAGGCAAGAGGAACGGAAAGGTAGAGGCGTCAATAACACGCACTACCACACAATAAAGTATTAGCCAGAACAGTGCGATTTTGGGGAATATGGACTTCGTCACTCACAACGTTTGACGCCGTAGACTTTACCAGTACTTCCTACTACCGCTTTGGGATCAGAAGCTTTGCCCATGGAATTGGTCGCAAAAGCGTGGCTGAGTGCAGTGCCTGCAAGTTTAAAGTAGGCTAAAATCTGCTCATCAGTCTGGAAGGTCGGTCCCGGGAGGAATTCATCGCCAATAATAACGTCGGCCATGGCTTTGGATGCTGTCATTTGTCGAACACGCCTGAATCCTGCCACCAGGACGTCGAGATCAGCCTGCGCGGTCAACCAGTTGGGATTGATCACTGGCGGATCACTCATCTTGGCGGACGCGATCGAAACGCTGCCTAATGACTGTGGAGCCTGCAGCGCCGTGAAGATTGTTGCGTAGGCCGCGCCGGCTTTCGTGCCACCACTGACAGCTGAGGGGACAACGAGGTATTCAACTTCGGGCCAGTCGGCTGGCAGGGCGGCCAGTCCTAGAAAATCGTCAACCTGCGGTGAAACGGGAGTATGGAATATAATAACCTACTTGAACGTGTATCGGACGACCAATTTCCTCGGAGCGAAGCTGGGATTTTTTCAAGTCCAACGAAATCACCGCCGGAGCTTGTTAGGGGGCCGCGAGCTTGATTGTTGAATTCAGCCACAGCTGTTGTTGATGTGATACTCGGACTGGCAAGATTAACCTGGTAGGTCAGAGGAATGAGGATATGGTCACGCATGCCCTGTCCCACTCCTGGTCTATCTGCGATAACTGGAATCTTATACTGTTGTAGGACGGACTTGGGACCAACACCCGACACCATTAGGAGTTGCGGCGACTGGAAGACACCCGCTGAAAGAATAATCTCCTTCTTTGCACTAAGCGTGAGCGAAGCTCCATTAGTAGTCACGGTGACAGATGTAGCCTCTTTGTTGCTGTTAAAGATGATGCGCTCAGCAAGTGAGTCTGTGAAAACAACCAGATTTGAACGACCCAAGACTGGGCGCAGATAAGCAGTGTCGGATGACGCGCGATGGCCGGTACCGTGGTCAGCTGTATTGAGCGCCCACGTCGATCCAAGCAAGTTTCCTTCAATGAGGGCGCCGATAGGAGAGATACCAATAGCGGCAAGCCCCTTGGCAACCCAGGTGCTCCAACTTTGAGCATAGGCGGGATATGTTATGTCCAATGGCCCACCTTGGGTGGTCGCGGCGGCATTATAAGTCGGCGTGGCATTGGCGAGCCGTGTGGCAGCATCTGGCGGTGTAAAGTCCATACTCTTACGGTAGTAAGGCAACACTTGATCCCAGGTCCAGGACTGGTCTCCCACTGAATCAGCCAAAAGCTGGAAGGCACCTTTAGACGAACGTGAGTATGATAAGTGATTGATGGAGCTACAACCACCCAGCTGGTAAGAAGGTCAGCAAGCAAAAGTTGCAAGACAGATTTAGACCAATTACCGTTTTGGCGCGCACATAATCAACTACGGCACCATTCAAACCCTACATAAAAGTTAATGATGCAACCTTCCAGCATGCTAATTAAGCAGATCGAATTGTCTTGGTACGAACAGGCTGGGGCGTGGTTCGGAATCCCCAACCCAACGCCGGGTTATTCTCTGCCACGCTTTGGATAGCATTGGCATACGCAGGCACCTGGCTGAGATTACCGACAATATTTTCGACAAAATTGCCAGCCTCGATCACGGCCACCGTTACGAGAGGATCTTCAGTCAACCTGTTGGCCAGCGTCAACCCTGAGGTGCCACCACCAACGATGACATAGTCGAAAGATCGCCGCGCACTATAGCCAGCATACACTGTTGTGACAGCGTGCAGCGCGAAGAGTACAAATTTTCTTGCCATCCTGTATAACTGAAGTATTTAAGTAAGGAGTAAGAAGTATGAAGCTTTGTCCGTGGTAGCTGACTTTAATTTAGACTGTGGGATATTTGTTGTTATAAAACGATACGATTAGAACAATGCGTATTCAGCTATTACCTCGAAAAGTAACATGTGACTTCCAGATTGAGACGGCTCCACGCCTCGAGAGTCCCGCTATAACGGCATCTATTTTGTGATCCTTACTCGGTGCTGAGTTGCTTGAGGCCAGACTTGCCAACGTGTGTGCCCATGAGTTATCACCATGAGTTTAGAAAAGTTCGGCGTGAGAGACCTCTCAATTTGGCCGGGGCAGTGCAAAAAAGGAGATGAAGTCTATATGATTTGCTTACTTACCTAGGTTAGTACCCGCTTATCTCCTAACCTCCCAATCTCCTAAAGTGACAATTGTTACAGCACGTATCTTCCACGTGGCTTACTTTGCGATCGAATATGCGCCCCTAGGCGGTCCCTTGCATTTCTTTTGCATCCTGCGAACCTGCATTAGGCTCGTGCGCTGCAGTGGTGATGTTCAGCCTTGTACTCGGTGTCCCATTACGCCCACCCTGGGTCCGTTAACGTGACTGAGTAGAGCGCTGCATTGGTCAACACCAAGTAGCCTGAACGGCTACTAAAAATTCCGTAGAAGATTCTTTTCTTGGATTTGCATATAACATTATGCATCTTTAGTTATAGGATCCGTTAGATCAATCAACATGATCTTCGCAAGTTAGGTCGATCTGTACACCCGAATTTCAGTGAATTTAGAGATAGAGCTAGTCGCTTATCTTCGTTGTACGGGCCACACTTATTAGATTTACTTCTTTGACTATAAGTGTACATCTTGCACTTGCAAGGCCTCGACATGACGAGAGATCATGAGATGACAACGGGGGATGACACAATCAATGGCCACAACGAGAGTTGTCCGAGCGATGATGCCAAGGGGCCGGGTCCGGGCGCTCCGATTGCAATTGTTGGCATGAGCTGCAAATTTGGAGGTGAAGCGACAAGCCCGTCTAAGTTATGGGATCTTTGTATGGCTGGTAAAGATGCTTGGACACCAATTCCTAAGGAACGCTTCGATGCCGCTAGTTTGTACGATAAGCGAAAAGGAAAATTAGGTCGGGTAAGGTTGTCCTCATCTGTCTTCTGGAACGCAAAATTGACCATGGAAATAGCATTTCGTTGAAGGCGGTCATTTTCTCAAAGATATTTCTTTGTTTGACTCGGCTTTCTTTAAGTATACCACAGATGTGGCAAATGTATGTATAAGAGCCCACTCAAACAAACACAGACTAATGAATGCCTATAGGCAATGGATCCGCAAATACGCATGTTGCTTGAATCTGTTTACGAAAGCGTGGAGGATGGTAAGCGTCCGCAAACAACTGTTTTGCAACAACTGAATTGACCACCAAGATACAGCTGGCATCCCAATTAAGAAACTCGCTGGAACAAACACCTCGGTATTTGCGGGGAGTTTTAGTACCGATTATTCAGAAATGACCCTACGGGACCCTGAAACCATGCAACCTTCGTACAAGACTGGTAATGGCATTGCCATGTTGTCAAACCGTATATCCCATTTTTATGATTTTCACGGGGCCAGTATGACCATAGACGTGGGCTGCTCGACCAGTTTGGTTGCCTTGCACCAGGCCTGTCAGTCCCTACGGTCTGGCGAGTCTGATGTTTCCATCGTTGGGTCGTCTCTTGTGTGCCTATCGCCAGATATGTTTATAGCGATGTCTATTGCTGGGTAAGCTAATGCTTCCGTTTCTAACTTTCCGAAAAGTGCACTGCTCATTCTTATATAGGGTACTTGGTCCATCTGGCAAGTGTTTCGCCTGGGACGAACGTGCCGAAGGATACGGACGTGGTGAAGGAGTAGCATCTCTCGTCCTCAAACCTCTTGACAACGCCCTACGAGATGGTGACCGCATTCACGCCGTAGTTCGAGAGACAGGATTGAACCAGGACGGCAAGACGCCTACCATCACCTCACCCTCGATGGAAGCACAAATCAACCTCATCCAGGACGTTTATCGCCGGGCCGGGCTAGATCCCAAAGACACAGGTTATGTTGAAGCACATATGACTGGTACACCGACTGGCGATCCAATTGAAGCTGAGGCTTTGGCACGAACATTCGGTTGTGGGCGCGACCTCGAGAATCCAGTACTGGTTGGTTCGGTGAAGCCAAACATTGGCCATACAGAGCCGGTCAGTGGACTCGCCGCCATCATAAAGACTATATTCGTATTACAGCAAGGAGTGATTCCACCGAATGTGAACTACGAAAAAGCGAGCCAAAAGATTCCGTTGGCGGAGTGGCGATTAAAGGTAAATGAATTACAAGCCAATGTTGTTGTAGATGTAATATGCTAATATAGTGACAATCGCGGCAGGTTCCCACAGCTCTTACGTCCTGGCCGGCAGACAAGCCAAGACGGGCATCAATCAACAATTTTGGCTATGGCGGCACCAATACCCATGTCATTTTAGAGGCACCACCGGTGCCCGAATATTCTGGTTGTAAAAAATCCAATGCTACAACAACTAATGCTAACAACAGTGCGATAATAGACAGACATGAACTTATGGTGAGCGGCTCCGAACCTGTTGGCCGGAACCATACAACTCTCACGCCTGTAAACAGCTCCACCAACGAGACGAATGGCATTTGTAACAAGAAAGAAGCCGTAAAATCTCGTGATACTACCGACTGTACTAGGAATGGTACTGCCGATGGTATAGAAGATGATGACAACATCTTCAATACTAGTGATACTCAACAAAAGGATAGCTACTCGCGGATATACATAGTCAGTGCCAAGGACTCGTCTTCAGCCCAGCAGATGAACAAGAACCTGGCAAAATATATTCAGAAATCTCTCACTCAAGAACCACCGCTTTCTCCCATCGACCTAGCTTTTACCCTGGCAGAGCGCAAGTCGCGGTTTCCTTGGGCGACAGCCTTGCGTGCCAACGACCTAGCAGGATTGGCTGATCGGTTGGATGAGTCGGATCGTAAAGCACTACGAGCTATGAATAAACCTCGACTAGGATTTGTGTTCAACGGCCAAGGCGCTCAGTGGTATGCTATGGGGCGCGAATTGATCGAGCGCTACCCTGTGTTTCGCCGCTCGTTGGCCGTAGCTGACAAGATCTTGAAAGGTTATGGAGCGACTTGGTCTTTGCGAGGTAAACAACCTTCTCATTTTATATCCCTAATCATTTGGTATGCTGGTAAGAGGCCACTCGCTAACCATCATTAGATGAGCTTCAACGCAGTGAAGAGGCCACACGCGTGCACGAAATTTGCCTGAGTCAACCGCTAAGTGTAGCACTCCAGCTTTGTCTCATTGACCTGCTGGCATCATGGAATATAATCCCTTCCGCCGTGACAAGTCATTCCAGTGGTGAGATTGCCGCTGCGTACGCTGTTGGTGCCTTGACTTTCCGACAAGCTCTCGGGGTTGTTTATTTTCGTGGAGAACTCGCTCAAATTCACCATGAACGCAGCGCTGTAGTCGGTGGTATGCTGGCTGCGGGTCTGAGTGCTGAAGCAGCCGCCGAATATGTGAAAGACACGACAAAAGGGATTGTAGTTGTGGCGTGCCACAATAGCCCGAATAGCGTCACCTTATCGGGTGATATGCTCGCCATTGACGAAGTGGCTGCACGCCTGACACAGAACGGTATCTTCGCGCGGAAGCTGAACGTACCTCTGGCGTACCACTCTCATCATATGGTGGCGATGGCACAAGACTATACTGATCGTCTACAGGGGATCATTCAACCTAGTACCAGCTGGAATGGAGTGCTATTTGCATCCCCGGTGACAGGAGACATCGTCACATCGTCTCACACATTGAGTGGTGAACATTTCGTTCAAAATCTAGTAAGCCCTGTGTTGTTCAGCCAAGCATTCGAAAGAATGTGCTTCAGCCCCACGATGTCGGATGGAACGCCGCGACCAGCAGGACAAGAAATGAACGTTGATGCGGTCGTCGAGATTGGCGCCCATGGTACTCTATCAGGACCTATTCGTCAAATTTTAGGTGATCGCCGCATTCCCTACGTATCGTGTCTCAAAAGGTATAGCCATGCGGTGGAAACAATGCAAGATGCGGCCTGCACGTTGTTAGCTCTGGGATATCCTGTATCGCTAGCTGATGTAAACTGCCACCAGCATGGGAAGTATGTGCCTGGCTTACCCACCTACTCCTGGAACCATTCTACGCCGCACTGGATTGAGTCACGCCTCTATCGCGAGTACCGCCACAAAAGATTCCGGCCGCATGAGCTCCTGGGTAGCCCCGTTCCAGGCACGAATAGACAGACACCTACATGGCGCAATTTTCTGCGATCTATGGATATTGATTGGTTGGCTGACCACAGACTGGGAACGGATATAGTATTGCCAGGTGCGGGATACGTCGCTATGGCCATAGAAGCGGTACGACTCCTGAGTGACACAAGCGAGGAAACTATCGCAGGCTACCGTTTACGAGAGATTGACATCTTGAATACACTGACTATACCGGAAACCACGACGGGTGTTGAGACCCAGCTGATACTTCGCCCTTGCAACGACAAAGAACTAGACCATAAGGGCTGGTATGAATTCGAAGTTTGGTCTGTTTCTAGCAGTGACGATACCTGGATCAAGCACTGCAGTGGTAACATCACGGCAGAGATGACCAGCGATATTAGAGAGAACGTCACCAGATTCGCTTCGTCTATTCCAAGCGTGGACTCATTCTTTACGGCCGATGCGCCCATAAGGGAAGTCGAGACTGCCTCCATATTCGCTGGATTGCGTTCAATGAACTTGTTCCATGGCCCTGTTTTTCGGAATTTGATTCAATGTCAAGCCACACCGACGCAATCCGTCGCAGTCTTCGCCATATCACCAGCCGCTGCTGGCAGCGAGCCGACATATGTGCTTCACCCTACAACATTAGATTCACTAATTCAAGCGGCATATGTGTCGATACCTGACGGGACACAGCAGCGAGCCATGGTTGTACCACGCTCGATACAAAATCTGTATGTGCCGCGTGATCTTAATCGACAAGCGGGCAAAAAACTTACGGCGTTCGTTGATCTCATTCAAGCGGATCGCAGGGGCGCACTGGTCACCGCAACTGCTATCAATGATACTTGCGATGGGGCGTTTCATGCACAGCTGAGACTGGAGGGCCTCTATTGTCAGGCCTTGCCACTCGAAATCGAGAACTCTGTAGACAATCAGGCTTCAGCGCTGTGTTCGCAAACCAGCTGGGAGGTGAGCATTGAGCCAGGTATACCAGCGGCCTTCAAAAAAGCACTTCAGAATCAACTGAATGAACCAGACCTCAATTTTGAAAAGAAGCTGGATCGTGTCTCCTTTAACTTTATTTCAGATGCTGTCAAACAAATTGCCGACTTGAGTATTGACGTTAAAGTTTGGCCTACATACCTGCAGCGTTTCTATAAATGGATGCATACTGTTGTGGCGCTTGGACAGGCGGGTGAACTCGGCCAAGGCAGCCGCGTTTGGTCAAAGACTAACGCTGGATTGAAGCAGCGTCTGGCTGATGATGTGGCGGCTGAGTCTGACGCAGGAAAGCTGATCGTTCTGATGGGAGAGCAGCTCCTTGCCATCCTGCGTGGCGACATAGACGCCCAGACGCTGCTACAGGCTGACGGCCTCCTCGACCGATTCCATGAATCGCTTCCGCGGCTGCAACAACGCAGTTACTCACAGCTACGTCAAATAATCGCACAATATGCCACCAATAAGCCCGGTGCGAGCGTGCTTGAAATCAACGGGGCAAGTGGAGCAATTACCGCAGAAGTGCTGAAGGGCTTCGCAGCACGGAATGAGGAAGGCAGCTCGGGAACCTTAATCGGTCAATACGATTTCACCGACATCTCACCAGCTAAATTTGAAACTGTGCAAACGAAGTGTGTACCATGGGAGGCATTGGTGGATTGTAAGATCCTCGATATCAGCACCGATCCTGCAACGCAGAATTTTGCAATGAACAGTTACGACCTGATGCTTAGCAACAACTTGGCCTTGGCTACACCGGACTTATCACAGACATTGAGACATATGCGCCAGCTGCTGAAGCCTGGCGGTAAGCTCATGCTGGTCGAAGCTACCAGACCCAGACTAGACACGTACATGGTATTCGGTGGGCTGGCACAGTGGTGGGAGGGCAAAGATGATATTGACTTGATTACCCCAATTGAACGCTGGGATCACGCGCTTCGTAAGCATGGATTCTCAGGAGTGGATTTCGAAGTCAAAGACTGCGAAAATGCGGAATTCCAAGCCAACAGTGTCATCATGACTACTGCTGTCGAGGAAACAGCGATTTCGCCAGCCTACCCGAGTGCTATGTCCATCGTCTATGCAAACGGTATCCCACCAGCAAAGGCATGGTTGGATGAGTTGGAAGCGGCCCTGACCGCACAAACTAGCGCAATCGTGACTGTCGAGCGTCTCGATGAGGTGCAACCCCAATCTCATGTTGTGTACATCTTCACTCCGGAGATGCTGGTTCCTTTCCTGCATGAAATTGACAGTACCGGGTTTGACCAACTTAAGGCGTTACTGGTCATAGGGCAAGGTCTTTTGTGGCTGAGCTGCTCTGACACTATGAAAGCTCAACAACCGATATATTCTCAATCCACTGGATTGCTGCGAACCGCAAAGCAGGAAGACGCTACCAAACGCTACATCTCGCTCGATTTCGACACCGTGGAGGAAGGTCCATGGTCATCTGCCACAATCCCGCACGTTGTGCATGTTGTCCGACAAAGCTTCAATGAGCATATCGACGCCACTGACCTCGAATGGGAGTATGCAGTGCAGAGTAACGTGCTACATGTAGCTCGCGTTTATCCAAGCCCTTCACAGGACCATGCCTCCAGCGAAATACCAATTGACCCAAAGCCGACAGTACAACCGCTCTGGCAGCAAGGCCGTCCTCTAGTCTGGGAGACTGTGCAAACTGTGGGGACATTGAGCAATCTCTATTTTACTGACGACTTATCTGGTAACAACACAATGCTCAGAGCAGGCATGGTAGAGATCCAGACGCAAGCCATGGGGCTAAATTTCCGCGACGTCATGGTGGCTCTTGGTCAGATTGATGAATCGCGCTACATGCATGATGCGGCCGGGATTGTCACACGTTTAGGGCCCGCAACGCAGGTCAGCGGACTGAAGGTCGGCGATCGAGTATGTGGCGTGCTAGACGGGCGTTTTGCGACACACCCACGCGCCCTGTGGACAAGTCTCACCAAGATACCTGATGATATGTCCTGGGAAGAGGCAGCTTCCTTACCCATCATCTTTCTGACCTCATTCATCTGTCTATTCGATCTTGGACGTTTGCAGCGCGGAGAACGTGTGTTGATCCACGCTGGCAGTGGTGGTGTTGGTCAATCTGCCATCATGTTGGCTCAGCACGCTGGAGCAGAAGTCTTTGTGACATGCAGCAGTGAAATTAAGCGCGACCTGATTATGACACAATACGGTCTTGATGCGGATCATATACTCTCCAGTCGTGATTCAACCTTCGCTACAGCCATCTTAGAGCGTACTAGAGGCGCCGGAGTTGATATCGTAATCAACTCCCTCTCCGGCCCGCTACTGAAGGCCACTTGGGAATGTATGGCCCGGTTTGGTCGGTTCTTTGAGATTGGAAAAGTTGACATCGAAGCTTCGCGTCGCCTTGACATGAACCCCCTAAAACAATGTGTTCAAATATGCGGTTTCGATTTGATTCAACACTGCGCGTTCAATGGGACGGCGGTTCAACGTGCCTGGACATCTATCATGTCGCTTTGGGCTGATCGAAATATACGTGCGGTGAGCCCTGTAATCACATATCCGGTCGCGGAAATGGAAACAGCCATGCGACGGATGCAACGCGGCGCACACATCGGCAAACTGGTCCTTCTTCCAAACTCGGACACGCAGGTCAAGGTCTTGACACGTACAGCCACAATAGCCTCTCTTGATGACCCAAACAGCACGTATCTGATAGCGGGCGGTCTTGGTGGTATCGGCCATGCTTTAGCAAAGTGGATGATGAATCGTGGAGCTCGACAGATCGTTATCGTCTCCCGCCGTGCAGAGTCACATCCGCAGGCGGCATCTCTGATAGATCTGGGTCAAGTTCTGGGTTGCAAAATTGTTGTGTGCAATTGTGACATTGCTCAGGAGGACCAGCTGGTACAGCTGATTGCAGATTGCGCAAATAACATGCCTCCAATCCGCGGTGTAATTCAGGCGGCAATGGCGCTGCACGATACCATCCTAGAGCGGTTGACTTATGAGCAGTGGCAGAACAGTATCAAGCCGAAGGTGGCCGGTAGTTTGCATCTTCATCGTCATCTGCCTGACCTGCGCTTCTTTGTCATGTTATCTTCCATCGCGGGAGTGGTTGGTCATGCATCACAGGCCAACTACGCTGCAGGCAACACTTTCCAAGACGCACTGGCGCGTCACCGCACGGCGCAGGGAATGCCTGCCGTGGCCATTGACTTAGGCGCTGTTGGCGACGTTGGTGTGGTGGCTGAATCAGGAGAAAGTATGCGAGAGCGAGTAGAGCGTAATCTGGGATCCAAGGTCATTCCTATCGGACGAGTATTGAGACTGATTGAGGCTGCAGTATGTGAACCTCTCCGCTCAAGTCAGGACGCGAGCCAAATCATCACGGGAATCGCCGACTACGAGCAGATTCCCTCTGGAACAGCTATCAAGCGTGACCGTCGATTTTCTACACTTCGATTGGGCAACGCGGTGGGCGCAACAGCCACTAGCGCCATGGCAACACGCACACGCAACCCGGACGAGGTGCTCAAGCAGTTATTGTCGACAGCGGCGCCGGCGAGTATCGAGGCCGTTACGTTGGTGACAGGTGCCCTAACACAGAAACTAGCGACATTTTTCAATATGGCGGCAGCGGAAATTGACACAAGCGCGAGTTTGTCAACATTAGGGGTGGATTCGCTGGTGGCAGTTGAATTGCGCAACTGGCTCAGTAGTGTGGTACAGGCGAAGGTCACCATTTTTGAGATTCTACAAACAGCAACGATGAAGGACTTCGCTGGGCTGGTCACAAAGCGTAGTGCATTGATCGTCTAAATACTAGTCTAGACTAGAGTAGATATAGTATGTAGTCACTTACCCTACAGTAACTCCGCAGGAATAGGGGTTCGTGGTTGCGGCAAGGGTAATGAGAGTGGTTGTGATAGTAGTTAGGTTGTTTGCTCATTATGACATCTTGAATTTAATTGGTCTTTCACATCATTCGAATTCTAACATCGTCACATGCGACATCCGAGACATTGTCGATTATGGAGCATCACTTGTTCATGACATATAAGAAAGGCAGAGAGAGTGTTTAATAATATTTTCTTTGTATGTATACGCTCGTGTACTCCACGTGACTAAACTTTGGCCTAACCTAGTCTAGACTAAGGTTAGTCGTCCCATTCTTGCACGACACTTGTGGCATTCATCAGAATGAAGCTCGTTAGATATCTCCCTTTTTTACAATACTCAATCATCTTTGTGTACCTAATGCCCCGTGCTTGGTATCATTGAGGTACAATCGGAGCAAAAGTACAAGACAACCGCAAGTCCCGAGTGATGTATAATACGCCAAGTAAGCCCTGATTCGGACCCCGAGTCCGACCCCATGTATCTTTACCTACTGAGACGATCTGTACTTTTCAACAGCCAATGTCTTATGATCTCGGTATCGGGAATCCTGAGCAGTGATATTCGTGTAGCGGAACATTAAAGCCTCTTTTAAAGTGATGGATCTTTCGCGTAGCAATTTCAGACACCATCATGTAACACTTCTTTTACCGATCCTTCAATTCACAATAAGAGGCTATCATGACAGTTACCAAAGTCCGCGTACCTCTCACCCCATTCGACCACTGCGTTCCTCGCGCTTACTATAATGGGGCTATTTATCTACCGCTCAACGCTGGTATTACACCTGCCCGGGCGTTCGATCTTCTGCACCAGGGGCTGCATGACACGTTCCTCATGCTACCTTGGCTAAATGGGCAAGTGCATTTCCAATCGCCTGGTTCCCTCGGTTGGCGACCCGGGCAGCTTGAACTGAGTTATGAACCTATTCGAGAGGACAGCCCACGTCCTGCCCAGCTGAGGTTCAAGGAGTTGCAGACGGACCTCGACTACACAGAGCTTCAAGAACTCGGATTTCCTCTTGATTGCTTCCGTGATGGTGACATCGCGCCCACTGGCTTTTTTTCTGACCCCAGTACCGGTCCAGATGTTTTTGTCGGCCAAGCCAACTTCCTGCCCGGAGGATGCATCGTGGTGTCTGCCATTCATCACGCCGCCAGTGACGAAACAGCATTCTTTCATTTTCTGCGTTTATGGGCTGACCATTGCGCAAGCCTCCAGACTCATTGCAGCCCGCCGTCCAATCTTCCTGCTAGTAGCGATGATAGACAAATTTTGCGGCAGATATGGAAACGCGAGGCCCTTGTTTCCTCAACTGAAGACATAGATCCAGAAACCTGGCGATTGGTTGGCTTGCTGCCTACAGATATCAAGCAAACCGGCGCACTTCCCAACCCTGCATCAACGCCTCATGCGCTGCCTTCCAGTAAGTGCGAACAGACATTGAAGGCTGGCGTATTTTACATTCCGCCTGCACGTTTAACAGTCCTCCGCGACTTGATTGCACAAGAACTTGGCGTGGCCAGTGGTGTCTCCGCAAACGACGCTGTCTGCGCACTCATCTGGCGATGTTTTATGAAAGTACGCGTAACAGTAAGGCAGAGGAACAACTCTGAAGTCGAAACCAATCAGAAACAAGCAGAGTCAGGCTTGAATATGGTTTGCGACGGTCGAGCCAATTACTCATCGACGTTGCCACAAACCTACCTCGGAAATATAACGTTCAATGTACAATCGAGCATACCGCTATCGACTTTGATCGCGCCTGGGAGCAGCTTAGGCATGATTGCGGGCACCCTACGCCGCAATGCAGGAAGGATTGACGCAGAAAATTTACAAAATTTATTCAACTTGCTAGACCACCTACCAAGTTACGATGAGTTGATCCGGCTGAAACGATTGCGTACCTCGACAATTGATGGCAATAACATGTCCATTTCCTCGCTGCTCAATGTTCCTATGGATAGTGTGTGCTTCGGAGACGGGCCAGTATTTGGTAATAAAGGGTATGTGGAGTCGGCACGTCTATTGATGGAGGCCAACAACAGCTTTACACGAACATGTATCATTTTACCGCGAAACAAAAACGGAGGCGTGGAGTTTCTTGCTAATCTGTACGAAGAAGAGGTGAAGTTGCTGATGGCGGATGATGAGTTCACGAAGCATGCATTTTGCCTGTGTTGGCCAGGGATGTAAAAGAACGATGATTTGTAGTGTCCACTACAATATAGCTGATCACTTTGTTACCGAGGCTAGGAACAATTCAGAATACCTCTACAATCCATTAAAAACGCCTCATGAATTGTCTCTTTTGGTCTATTTAAATTTTTTTATTCTGCTAATCTTGCTCGTTGCAGTATTCACTGCGGGAAAAATACCAGATCCACCTCACCTCTCTTAGCACGTGCAGTAATATTCACATCATGCTTGGCATAAGCTCGCAAATGGAGGTTGTATCAACACATTGACAGTCCACGAAAGGACAAAACTTAAAAATGACTATCAACTGCAACTATAGTCAACGATCTGTTCTCGCCAGAAATTTCGATGTCGGATATTTCAGTACTTAGTGCAAATATTTCGTGAGATGAGTCTTGTCTATCGCAAAAAGATACTAGGCCAGCAACGCACTATATGTTTGCCCTGGCTATTTACCCATTGATGCCAGCTCGGCTTCGATTACACTCTGGGTTGCCAATGGAGATCCCCAAATTTTGACGATTTGCAAGCCCACTGCTTCCAACAAATCCTGCCACATTGCTTCCGTGCGCTCGAAGGCGGATACCTTAACCATCATTGTTAGATCGTACGCCGTCGCTTGCGGATGGGGATGATTCGCTGGTAGTACATGGTCATGTATCAAGAGTCTACTATGACCAGGTGTCATCACATCACGCAAATGGCCAAGAATTTCTCGCGCTGGGTCGTCCGACCAGTCGTGGATAACGCCATGCAGGTAATAAGCTCGGGCCCCTGGATATGAGTAAGCAAAGTAGGCAAACCGGAAGTCAAGGTCTTGCCCTAATCCCATCATACTTACCCTTAACAGGTTGTGGTGTAAAAAAGTCATGCGCCATGACATGCACAGTAGAGGGACATTTTACAAGTTTCACTACATCTGGACGATCCTGCAGTACCAACCTGGAAGCCAGAGCTGGTTCTCGGGCCAAAAATTTGTTGATGTCATGGCCCACATTACCGCCCACATCAACTAGCAGCGGTATGGATGAATCATCGGGTTCTGAGTCTGTCAGTAGCTCGTAAGGATAGATGTCGAGCATGCCAGCCTGTTTAGCCATGACTCCACCCATCATGTTGTTGAACGAAGCGCCTTCCACCGGATGCTCGTCATAGTAATTGAACAAGGACCCCTTGTAGCCTTTGGTATACTGGAATATGCCGTTCTCGGGGTCGGCGGGGTTCTGATAGCCATTCTGAGCCAAGTATATCGGCATCTTATGAAAGCAGGGCAGTGTAGCGTCGTATCTGGAAGGGAACAATTAGCAAGAGCAAAATTGGGAATCGAGTAGAAAAGTAAATGCTCACAGATAATCTACCCATGCGCCAAACACCGGTTCAAGCAGAGATTCAGTAAATGCCGTTTGTTGATACGCGCCAGGCGAGACTTCTTCGAGCAGGTTGGTGGCAGTGAGGTGACGTAGTATACGGCCTATGAAATAGCGTCAGCTATATAGTATCGACAATGTTCAATATCTACATCATTACTTAGAAGCACGTGGTCACAACCGGCTAATTCAGCCAGTTGCACGCTTGTTTGAGGATCTCTCAGGCCAGCCTCATGCCATTTGTCGAAAAGTTTTAGGTCCTTTGTGACTTTCAAGGAAGCACCTAGTGCGGGCTCACGAATGTGTTAGTTTCTTGTTCTCATTCGGCTCTTGGGAATAGAGTTACCTCTGTCAAAACAAGGCGAGAAACAGTATCCCAGGATGTCTCCAGGCGACTGACTAATGCATATGCCGCCAGGAGCGCTTGAATCCGCTCTCCGTCAAATCCGAAGGATGCGCGATCAATACCCTCGATTGATCGAACGAAACCTTCAATAGTGGGTGCGGAATCCTCCTGGTGGACAGTGATGCCGTTAGAACCACTCATTGTGTGCAAAAATTATGGATGGTTTAAGCAAGGAAATGGTAGTGCTGAGTGTTCTGAATTCCTTTTCTGGTGATCCAAGCTAACAGCTATTGTAGATTATCTTGTCAACCACGGTATAGTTAATGGTCATTAATACTGAGGGTTTTAGCTTCCAATGAAACGTTTTCGGCATTCAACGGAGCAAAACTTGCGGCATGTCGCTTGAGCTGACGTTGAGTGGCGGGGCCGAGTAAATCGAGTATTGAAATGGAGACATCCCACCCAGGTCCGGATCTGAGATTGCTGACAGGGGTCGGCCAACAGATATCTTTAGGGATGGATGATTGGAGATAGCTTATTCTTGTGTATTGAATCATCGAATATACCTAAATTATGAATCGAAAAGCTATTGGGAACCTCGCATCAAAGACAATACCGACATGCGCTGTGCCAATATGGGTTTATTCCACGATCAGATATCGAACATTTCTCTCATCATTTCAATTGTTCCATTGTTTCTTGTGGTATTGTTGGCTCTGATAAGCTTCTATCGGCTCTATTTTCACCCGCTTGCTCATGTCCCAGGTCCGCCTTTCGCCAGCATATCATCTATATGTATATACGCTATCTGCTATCTCGGCGTCGAAGGCCGAGTCCTTATGTATTATCATACCAAATACCACACTTCAGTGCTTCGTATAAGCCCTGATGCTGTATCTGTATCTTGTGGGGAAGCTCTACATCAGATCTATATTGCAGGAGGCGGGTTGCCCAAAGATGCGCGATATCAGAACTTCCGTGTAGAGGGCCACGACACTATTTTTTCAACGCTAGATCAAAATTACCGCAACCGACGAGCCAAAGCAGTGTTGAGTCTGTTTGCACCAAATCGGTTGCAAAGCGCTTTTGACAAAGATGGGGAGATAGCCTCATTGGTGCGGAGGTTCATTGCGCGGATTGAGGATGAAAAAACCAAACCAAACCCCAGGACGGATATACTTGATCTTTCCTCCAGGTTATCAATCGACATTTTAACCGCTTACCTTTTTCGGAAGGTATATGGAGGATTGGCCGAACCGGTTCAGTGCAATTCTTCTGCCAAAGAAGGTGGCAGGACGAAAACTCTTCACTGGGCCAACAAATTGTCGGCAACTCCATTCGTACTCGCGATTGTCGCTTTTGGTCGCTTCTCACTTCTGCCCAATTGGCTCTTCTCTGCCATCTTCTCCACTTTGGTCGGGCGCCTGCTTTCAGACGAAGAAGTCAAGTTATCGATGCAAAGCGTCTCCCGATTTACCGACAGCGTCCTAGACGCAGACCATACCAATCTCGACACTTATCAATCTCGACTACGGAAAGCAGGTGTTTCACGTGATGAGACACTTATACAATGCAAAGCGGTAATGTTCGCAGGCGCTGATTCCACAGCAGTGATGCTGGCAACGATCCTATTCCATCTCGTCCGTCAACCTGAGGTACGTGAATCACTGCGAGCAGAACTCGCTCAGCACCCTTCCAGTGTAGATCCTCAGACCCTACCATATCTACGAGCAGTAGTCCGCGAAGGGCTCCGACTTGGAATGGCAAACCCGGTACGCTTGACAAGAATGGTACCTTTGAACGGCGCCGGTCTCACTATAAGTGGTTATCATCTACCACCAGGCACTAAAGTAGGAGCAGCAGCCTACGTCTTCCACCACAACCCTTCAGTGTTTCCGGAGCCATTTGCATTTCGGCCAGAGCGCTGGTTACCGGGAACCAAGGAAACGCATACCAATGCGCAAGCACAACGTATCCAGGACCGAGACACATTCCCTTTTGGCTTGGGCTCAAGAGCTTGCCTTGGCCGCAATCTGGCTAATCATCAACTTTACATAGTAGTGAAGGAGGTGGTAAAGAGTGGAGTGCTCGAGGGTGCCAGAACCTGCACTGATAAAATCGACATCATCGAATGGTTTAACGCAGAAATCAAAGGGCATGAACTGGAGATTGCTTGGCAATAAGGAAAGGTTTGAGTACTTAAAGTAGCTATAGAAACAATGAGCCAACGTATGGCGGAATCAAAGTCTCGGTCGTTGAATAGATGTCCTGTATTTTGTGGACGACAGTTGTGCTATGAGAACTCCGTACATGTAAGTTACTTGACTCGCGGCGCGAGTACTGTGGGGCCCAACAGTAGAATATTCAACAAACCGAGGTATTCGATACACAGATAGCACCGGGTTTTGTCAGAATGCTCGGTATTAGAGATAGCTTTCTTGCATACTTACTTCAATGCCACGACTATACATGCATGCTAATAGACTATCCGTGGCGTTGGAGTCGCAACGATTGTGTCCTCCTTTCTTGCCATTGACACTACCACAGTAATCTGTATAATCGAGGCGAACAGCAATGTCAAGATGGATCAATCGTCACATATCATAGGAAAGATGCGACACAACTTTATGAGTTGATCACATAAGATGAAGTTATCAATGAAATCCTCAAGTTTGAGAGTCTATACGACATGACGATGAAGAAATTCATAACCCTCATGGACTGCTTTCCTGGATCTTTCGTCACTTTCAAATGACCGATAAAGGTCGAAAAGATGCACCGCGCCTTCCAGAATTCGAATTTCTGCCGCCACACCCTGTTGCTGCAGAGACTCGTACGTTCTCACAGCCTGTTGCCATGGAATCAAATCATCCTTTGTACCATGAATGATGAAGGTTGGGACACGATACACTCCTCGCCGGATCTGGGCTAACGGGCTTACGGCCTGAATTTCTTCCTGGCTCGGGTCTCTTAATGTATCAGTGGGGTCCGCCCCAGGTATAGCACGCGCTCTGTGACAACCGCTCAAGCCCCTCAGCAGAACCTGCAAATACCGACCAGTCCAATTCATATGCAGCGCGATGCGTGATCGAGGGTCTGATTGACTCATCCACCCTCCCAATGCCCGTTTTGTAGCTGTTGGGTTGTACGCAGTGATAGGGTGGTCATATACCCCTTCCAACAGATCATACGACACTTCAGAGTCGGCTTCCAGACCGAATGGAAAATTGGGCTGTTTCCAAAAAGAATCCTCGTAGTCGGTAGGACAGTAGAATGCGAGAATAGCTTCGGGAGGTCTGATACTCCGTAATGGCGCAGTGAAGCCCAACGTAAGGGCAAGGTGGCCTCCAGTCGACCACCCCACAGCAACAACGCGGTCTCCATCGACACGCACGTCGCGTCGACGACGTGGCAATTGAGGGAGAACTCTTCGTGACCAATCAAGTGCATCGCATACATCCTGCATAGGACCATCCAAAAGAGTCACTTCCGGGCAGAGGCGATAATCAATGCTGACAGGAAGAAAACCAGCCTCAAGCAGTATGCGGGTCTGAGGCGGGCGGATATCTTTGCGGGATAGCATAACATGCCCACCACCGTGTATCATCAGAGCTACATTGAGGAATGGCTCATCAGTAAAGATGAAGTCATCACCGAATGGTACAACGAGGTTAGAGCTCACCTACCGGACGGGCCTGGTTACCGCAGTCTCGTTCCTCCGGATAGTAAATGTCAGCCTCAAGCAAGACATCATCGATGCGCTTTATCGGAACCGTCTCCATCACGATTGACTCAAAGGAATTACTAGGCGAGGCGGTGATCACACGCAAAATGTTGGACTCTTCCGAGACGCCTACAGTCCAGTCCGTCCAGCTGAACCCGGATCTTGACAGATGGCTTTGCCATAAAGTCTCGCTAGCTAGCGCGTGTTCCCGACCGTCCTCAAAGAGCCACCAGCCTTCCAAGAGCCCAAAGACGAGATCAAACCAGAAGAGGTTGCGGGTTAGCTCGACGAGGCACAGGACACCATCCGGACGAAGACATTTTCTTATGTTTGTGCATGATCGGGTCAGGTCTCTAGTGGCGTGAATGCAGTTGGTAGAGATCACAATGTCGTATTTGTTGAGGAACTGTGACGCAGGGTCCTCTTCGATATTCATGACTGCATAGCGCATGAAATCATATTGAGCGAATTTCTTACGAGCTGCAGACACCAATGATGCTGAAAGGTCAGTGAACGTATACTGGACGTCCTTTCGAGTAGCAACAAGGCATTCAAGCAGGTGCTTCGTTGTGCCACCCGTACCTGCTCCAAGTTCGAGTATGGAAATAGGCCGGGTTCCAGGAATTGTTTCGAGCATCCTCACCATATATCGCGTTAGATTGACTGTACCAGCTTTGAACATTGGTGCATGCGTATAGACGTTCTCCATGAGTGTGCGTGCCTTAGCGGTACCGAAAAGGATAGCCAAAGGATCATTTCGGCCTGTGAGACACTCAGCCAATTTAGCTCCTGTTGAAGCTAGGAGATTGTGTTCAAAAGTGTGCTGGGGGAAGTTGACTATGATTGCTTGGTGGAGCCGCGCTGAAGATTCAGAGCGTATCGGAGTCGCAGTGCGAACGAAGCTACCCTTGGCTCCTTGCTTGATGAGGTCTCCATCTTCAAGGATCTGGTAGAGTCGGTGCTTTACCTTTTGGTGCTTGCCAAGCACCGAAATATCTGGAATGGCATCGCCTGGACTAAACTTGGTTAGAGGGCAGCCCATTATCTCAAAAGCTTCGACTATATAAGTAATGACAAGCTGCATCTGTGCTGGATAAACCCGCTCATAGAAGTCGGCAAATTTCTGGCTCCGCAATATTGAATCGAAATCCCGCTTGACGCTGAGGAAGCTGTTCTGAGCGATTGATGCAAAGATATCTTGATTCTTATTTACCACATGAATTACGTCGGTATTCCCATCCGCCTGCCCCATCTCATCACACGACAGCGGTGGTGTGAGATCACCTGCGGAGAGCATGGCCAAAGTCTGAATTCGCGTGGTGATTGCGAGCACGTTATCAAACTTTTGGAACTCCTCGGCTAGGATCGTTACACCGTATTTCTTGTGAATCTCACTCAGAACTTCGGTCGCCATCAAGGAATCAATGCCGAGGTCGGCCAATGGGGTATCCGCCGCAATCTCTTGAGCCAACACACCCAGAAGGTTGCTTAGCAGTTCTTGGACTTGTGCGAAAGAGGCAGCGAGGTCGCTCTGGCCAACTGCTAGTGGGTACGTGGTGGCCTGCTGTCTCGAGATGATAGTGGGCGCTTCTCCAGGATTCAGTAGTTGGACGAATGATTGGACGTCTTCAAGTGCTAGGAACTGCTCGGCCGGGATGACAAAATCAAACTGATTTTTGACCTCGTTCAAAATCTCGGTGCTCATCAAAGAGTCGATGCCAAGATCAGCCAAAGTCGTGGTTGGCTTTATATCTTCAATGGAGACTTCAATGACTCTACTCAACAGTTCACGTATCCGCGAGAACGTCAATGCGCCACACCCCGTATTGCGTAAGTCAGTTGCAATATACTTGCCCTCATCCGTGATATGATCTTCGCTTTTGGAAGCGACAAGACTGAGTTTTGTTTTGACAGGGTTTTGGTCCTCCATCTCAGAGTCCTGCTGTGCCGCAGATGTTGAGTTCCTGTTGTTCAACTTTGCCAAGGTTCTTGCAAGGGATTTCATTGGTACGCTGTGGAATATAGCGCCCTGAAACAGAACCAGCAGGTCGTCAGTCTCGGAATCCAAAACGAAAATGTCATTGACAAGAGTTTTACCCATGCCTTGATGAAAGGATGTATAGACTTTGTACGATTGGGTGTCCCGTCGCTTAGTCAGAAAGGTGTCGCTCAAATACAGCTCGGCCAACTCTGTGCAGACAAACACTTGGTCCACGTCTCTTTCCGACAGACAATTCACATGGATTCCTGCAACTTGAAGAAAGTTGTCGAGTATGATTGGATCGCACCTGGCTTCACTCATGACCATCGGTTGAGTACCAGGCACATTGACAAGACCAACAGCATTCGCCCCATTGGAAGCAATTTGACACACTCCACGGTAATAGTTTGCATAATTGACAACCTGACCGAATACTTGGTACACGATGTGTCCGTTAAGGATTTGTGAGCCAGGGGAGTCAGCCAGCTCTTTCCGTTTGTCTTGGCTGATCAAGCGTTGGATAAATTGCAAGTGTGAATTATCGAAGTATTTCTCTGACGCTAGTAATGACACGATTCCAGTCGCGTGCTTGATGGATGTTGCTGCATCTGATTGACCCTGGCTAAGGACTGTGAATTTCCATACATCGGACTCATTGTTAATGGGGTGCAACTGCAGCAGAACAATGCTTGCTGGACTAATTGACAACGGAGACGATATTTTGAGCTCTCTAACACATGGGGCTTTTGGCTGTAATTTGTTGTTGCGGAGATAATCAGCTGCTCGGATGGCAAGTTCGACGTACATGGAAGCTGGGCAGAGGCTCTGCCCCAGAACTGCGTGGCCTTCCGTACAATATTTAAACATCTCATGCATAGTATCTACGAGAAAGGTAGAGATACCTGCTGCGTTGCGTGCGTTTAGAACAAGAAGTTGTGGGACACCTTCCTTGTCCGCAGTCTTGGGGTGTGTAGGGTTGGTCTTGGCAGATTGAGTGGCAACATATTCAAGCCAATGGGTACTCTTCTGAAATTGATATGGCGGCAAGTTGATCCAGCCAAAACATCCCTTTTGGTGGTGGTGGAATGGCCAGTATTGCACTCTTACACCAGCCGCCCACAGGTTGCTTGTGGCCTTGGCGAGTTTACCAATAGAATCGGCTGGTCCAATTTCAATAGCCTGGAATACGAACTTGCTGTCGGATTCAGCAGCAGCAGTCAACGTTTGTCGGGCCATGGAAACAATAGGTGACGCTGAACCGGCTTCGAGAAATACACACGGTCCGAGTCTGGCAGCAATTCTCTGAATAGCGTTGTAGAAATATACTGGCATTCGACTATGCTGTGCAAGCGTCTCGGCGTCAATCGGATGATTCCAGTCCTGGTCCTGGGAACAAGCCTCAATTCGAATGAGTGGCTTTTGGAAATCAAGGGTGGCTGCCACTTTACGAAGATCTGGCAGTATATCGTCCACAAAACTTGAGTGGAAAGCATGTGTGCTCTTAAGTCGAACTACTTTCGGGCGTCGAGAAAAGTTATGAGTTTTGGCCGTCTCCTCCACAGCATCGATGGACGCTCCGTCTCCAGCTAGAACCCTTGTCTGCTGGCCATTGTAGCATGCAACTTCAGCTATCAGAGAGGGATAATGAGACTTGGTAATCTCAATCAGCTGGTCTAGTGTACTGTTGTCTCCCTGCACCGAGAGCATAGCCCCAGTTTCCTGTCCCCAAAATGACTGGATGAGGCGCGCTCGTTCGGAGACAAAACGCAGCCCATGCACTAAGGAGAGGCCACCAGCAATTACCAACGCTGTTAATTGACCGAAGCTGTGGCCAACAATAGTGTCTACGTTCATTCCGGAATCTATCCAAGACTTTGCACTGGCATATTGAAAAGCGAACAGAGAGCAATGAAGACCTATCAGATCTTGAATCGGTTCGGAACTGAATATACTTGGAAACAGACTGGGAAGTTCAAGTTCCCGGCATGCTTGCTCGCAATCATTCTGCAGTTTATCGTCAGGACCAAAGTACCACAAAAGACGTCGTACGAGGATGACTTACCAAATGCTTTTGGAGCACCTTGCTATTTCGATATAGTCCTTCATCAAGATGTACAACTCTGCCAGTTTGCCCACCAATGCAAAGAACAACAGGACGTTGATGCTCAGGCATTTCCGAGAAATCAACTGAATGTGCTTCAAGAAGGTTGGTGGCTACCTCATCGAGGGTAGAGGCAATAAAGTTATAGCTGTATCTGAATTCTCTGTTCGACTTAGCCGCTAAGTTGTAAGCGAGGTTTGAAACTGCCGCTATGCCGTGGACTTTTGCGATATTTGGTAAAGTAGCACTCAAAGCAGAGCAGTACTGGCGAAGGCTGTCGGCAGTTTTTGCGGAAATGAAGAATGGTAGCTCAGCCGCAATGATAGATTCATAGCCATTTGTGGCCGCCATGTTGTATTCAAGTCCAGACTCTTGTACCACTATGGCGGCATTGCTACCCGCTGCACCGTAATTATTGACAACTGCAATACGCTTAGGGGCGTTCCACTTCTGTGTCCGGCGAGGTATGGTCATATGATCAGGTTCCAATGGAGATATCTTAGGATTGAGTTGCGAAAAGTTCGCCTGCTTGGGCACCTCGCGTTTTTGAAACATCAAAATTGTCTTGATTAGCGCCGCGGCCCCGGAAGCAGCTTCAGTATGTCCAATATTGTCTTTGACTGAGCCGAGGAATAGCTCGTGCTTGCGATCTCGGCCTCCAAAGGTTTTACGAATGCTCTCACATTCGATAGGGTCGCCAACAGGAGTCCCTGGTAAGTCAGCTCCATGTTGACAAAAGAAAAAGAAAAACAAATACGTCACAGAAGAGTTTCAAAATTAGCTACTTACCTGTACCATGGGCCTCGACATAGCTAACATCCTTTGGATTCGTCCTGGATATCGAAAGTGCTTTCTCATACAATGTACTTTGAGATTCTGAGACCGGGACTGTAATTGGGGTGCAATTTGATCCCTGGTTAACTGCAGAGCCGGTAATAATGGCCAGTATCGAATCACCGTCAGCACGAGCGCGTTCTAATGACTTCAACAACACCAGACCAGCTCCTTCGCCCCGACAATATCCGTCGGCGCTGGCATCAAAAGCTTTGGAAGCACCAGTGGGACTCAAGAAGGATGCAGCAGCTAAATTCTGGAACAACGCCGGGCTCGTGATAACGTTAACACCGCCAGCCAGAGCTGCTGAACATTCATTACTTTTGATAGCCTTTTTCTCTGTGTCAGTATCTATTTATAACTCAAGAAGTAAGGGTGACTCACATTAACGGCAGCGTGAATTGCTACGGCCCCGGATGAGCAAGCTGTGTCATAGGTGATCGATGGGCCACTCCAACCGAAGAAGTGACTTATTCGCCCACTAATGAACGCGCGCAATGTTCCGAGTGCTGAAAATGCAGTGGCATCCTGCAATGCAATATTGTCTCCATAGTCCACGGAGCCAACCCCGAGATAACATCCTATATCAGAGGCGAAAGGTCTAGCTGACGACTTTATGCCAAAATAGCCTGCTGATTCAAGGGCCTCATATGCCACTTGCAATACAAGACGCTGTTGAGGATCCATGTATTTCGCCTCGCGGCCGGATATACCGAAGAAACGATGATCGAACTGATCGACACTGCGTAGGAAGTTGCCCCAAAACGTGTTTTTGGGCTCGCGGGTTACCTCAGACATGCTGAACCGATCTGCCGAAAGCGGACTCACCGCCGATTTTCCAGTGCTTATCAGTTCCCAGAACTCTTCTAGAGAATCAGCATCCGGATACCGGCAGGCCATGCCAATGACAGCGATCGAAGACCCGTCATCTAATTGATCATCGCCTACGTGAGCAACGGTATTGCTCGCGCCATTCGGCAACAACGACTTCGTCAATGACCGAGGTACGACTGCCTCTACACCAACGCGGATAATCTTATCTGCCGGAACAGCACTATATGCAGCAGCGCGGTTCACTGTCTCATACCATTGGCACTGTTCTAATAGAATGCAGTTCAATGCGATTTCATGCAAAGCTCCCTCGGAGATGAGCTCGCCATCTATATTTGACCGCAGCGGCAGGACCAAATCGGTCGCGTTAGGCAGTTGGAAGCGTGGATCTTGCTTGAACATTTCTGCCAACTCACGAGCGCCATCCAAATACGCTCCTTGACAATGATAGCGACCTTCGAAATTCAGGCCCTGGATTGATAATCCTCCTGCCACTAATAATTGTTTCAGGTTGTTGATATCTTGGCTACGTAGTGTGACCGTCGCACGGGATTTGTCAGTTATACAAGCGATATAAGCCTAAAAATATCAGTAAATTTGGTCTGTTATGAGTCTCGTTAGAATGACCATCTTACATCAGGATGTGTGCTCAAAATTTCGTTGAGTAAGTTCCATTCAGCCAGCGAATTCCAATCCACGGACAATGACTTAGCCCGATCCCCCGAACTCTCTGCCTTCATGGCATCCGCCTCCACAAGAGCGCCAATAGAAACAGCAATTCGCAGAGCCGTTGTTGAATTCTTTCTAAAAGCGTTCAGGTCTGAAGAGCTTGACACTGCTGCGGCGGTCAAAAAGCCTAGACAAAAGCCTTGAATGTCCTGTAGACGGCCGAACGAATCAGGTCTGGAACTGAAAAGCACGTTCTCTATCTTGGTTGTAGCTAGACGCCAAAACTCAATTATATGCAAAAGTATTGTGACAACATCCACGAGAAAGTTGTTATGCTGGGAGATTTGCTTCGTCAAGCGAGATAGCTCGCCTCCTGCGAGGAACTCATTAAGACTGCTGAGGCTTTCCAGGCCGTTGATCTTTTCAGATTGGGGACACGCTTTGACAATAGCGGGCCACAAAAGCTCAAGACTTGCAACTGATTCCTTCAAGTATCCTAGTTCAGGCGTTTGCGTGATATCAGAACGAAGCTCTACAAGGTCCTGCGGACTGATTCTGGATCGCTTGGGACCGATAACCAGGAGTGCCTTTGGCGACGCAGACTCATTTCTCGGCGACATGATGGAATAACTGGAAGATAATTATTCGAAGCGCCAGTTGAAATGAGCGGAATTTGGATCAACGTGTAAAGACAATCTTCGAGGTCCTTTCTTGGAATGAAGGGTTTGAACGGAGTTGAGTCTATAGTGAGAGAGAATGTCACTCCACGGCGTTGCTGGGGATTTTGTAGCTTGATTTTCCGAGATCAAATAGCACTTCCATTAGTATGGATACATCTCGGCGTGCAGGCTATCTCCATATAACTTCTTTTCCCCCGAAAGGCTTGTATAGCCTAATGGGTGCATGCATTGGCTGCTCAATAGCATCTTCAGAAAGAGGCGTTGCGGGTGACAAGGATTGAGCACGTGGTTAGTATAGGAATTGGAATGGGATTGCTGCAGAACCAAGTCAGATCTACTCAGGACTCTGAAAATGATGGTCTCCTCCACTCGGGGCCTGTTGGGCGGCAGACGATACTCGGTGTCGGATCTTACCAATGCCAAGCCCCCACACCTTCATCGCACCGCTCGCATTGGGTCCATAACGCGCCAGCACGGGAAGTTGTTGAAATGTTTCATAGAGATTGTATTATTTATCGTTTTGCCGCGAATAAAAAGTGGTTGGCCGTATCTACTAACTTATGTCGTTTGGCTTCATCAGTTCGGATCTTGCCATATTGCATGTGTGGTTTGTGTCTGATCAACTCATATTTGAATATCTTTTTGCAGATATGGATTTCCTGTTAACTTTTCATTTAACGCAAATTAACGCCATTCTTCGGTTGATATTGGGACTGCTGCTATCTGGTGCAGTTTGGCATCTTATCAGTGTGTACTGGCGTTTGAGACACATCCCTGGCCCATTTTTAGCGAAATATACCAACTTGCTACGAATATACTGGGTTAAGACTGAGCGTGCTCATGAAATTCATGAAGCACTTCACGATCAGTATGGTGACGTGGTACAATTCGGTCCGAACATGGTCTCTTTAGCTGATCCAGCTTGGATTCCCACAGTCTATCCCATTCGACCTGGATTCCCCAAGGTAAGCAATACAAATTAACACTCCGCCCCACAGGGTAAATCTTGTATACTAAAGTTACAACACGTAGAGTAATTTCTATCGAACCCTCATGCCTTACACGAGGAAAGGTGGTGCCATGCCAGCAGTGTTCAACACCCGTGATGAAGAATTGCATAAAAGAATCAAGACACCTATTGCACCACTTTTTTCGATTTCAAATACTCTACCGCTCGAGTCATTTGTCAACAAGACTATTCACGTAATGACTGAGCAGCTGGACAACAGATTCGTTGACTCCCAGACTACCTTCGATCTGGCGGATTGGTTGCAATATTTTGCGTTCGACGTGATGGGTACACTGACTTTTTCCAAGCGTTATGGCTTCTTGGAGCAGGGAAGAGATGTTGACAACATGCTAAGCACGATTTGGACCTATATGAAGACAGCAGCTCCGGTTAGTAGACTCTCGTCTCATCGATGAGTCAAGAGAGGCAGCAAGCTTATATCTCTAGATGACGCAAATTCCTTGGTTTGATGATCTCTGGTATAAAAATTCCTTCACAGCTAGGTTTCGCAAGACCACAGGATTTTCAATCCTAGGAATCGTATCAAAGTATATTGTCGAACGAACAGAAGCACAAAAAACTGGTGAAAGAACTGATGATGGCTTGGGTGACCGTGATATGCTTTCCCAGTTCTTCGACCTCACAGCTAATAACGCCTCGTTACCTCCATGGTAAGTCTGTGGATATATTTGAATATGTTCAATCCAAGGTCTACACTGGCCAGAGAGACCAATAATCTGACCAAACTATCTGATAGGTGTGTCACGGCGTGGACCTTTTCTAATGTGATCGCTGGCTCAGACTCTACAGCCGTCGTGATGAGGACCGTCTGGTTCAATCTTCTTGCTAACCCCGAAACCATGCATCGCCTTCTAGACGAATTATTGAAAGCTGAAAGAGACAACGGTATGGCCAAACCGTATCCATCCTGGAAGGATGTCTGCGATTTGCCTTACCTTGATGCCTGCATTCTTGAAGCTGTCCGCTTACACCCTCCTTTCTGTCTCCCCTTTGAACGAGTGGTTCCTGAAGGAGGCATCATGATCGGGAAAACCTTCTTTCCCCAGGATACTGTAGTAGGCATGAGCCCCTATGTGGTCAACCGACACAAACCAACTTTTGGCAACGATGCCAATTGTTGGAATCCTGATCGGTGGCTCGTAGCGAAGGATTTGAAGCAGAAACGCGAAGCTGCTATCATGACGGTAGGACATTCATTTGCCTAGATCTCTGGTGAGCTGTACGCAATTGACTAACTGAATGTGTAGTTTGGGGCCGGAAGGCGCGTTTGTCTTGGCCGGCACATTGCCATGCTGGAGCTGAAAAAAATTGTACCGGCTTTACTTTTGCGATACAAGGTAAGTAAAAACTCTTACTAGCAATTTCATGAGCCAAATCCATCTAACACTACTTAGTTCGATCTCGTAGACGTAAAGAGATATAAAATGGAAAATTCATGGTTTTTCCGACAGTACGGAATAGATGTGAGAATAAAACAGCGATTGTGAATACATTTCGCAGGTGAGACTTACTGATCAATCTTTTTTGGAGGAGTTGAGAATCAAATGGTTCAGCCGCTATTTTTCCACGAGTCCTTAGTGATCAATCGAAGGATAGCCTTTAAAATGCTACTGACCCTGACGAGTCGTCAAAAAGAGCATTTCAGTGCCTAGAAATGCGTCTTCAAAATTATTATTATTGAACCCAGTGTATAAGTGCGAGAACTCATTAGATTTATCCAGTGAATAAACCTCAAAGTTCTCATGAACAATAGTGTGCTCAAAGGGAAGATTCCTTGGTTTTGCAACTTCAAGAATCCTAGTATAATCATGACTCTGGGTCGGCTTATCTCCAAAATGAGGGCACTGACCCCGGGTGACGTATTTTAATCATTGATAGGAGTGATTGGAAGCATAAATTGGCCCCATGTGGTGACAAACATCTGTGTGGAGCATCAGAGCCGGCCTTTTTATCCGTGTAATATCGTTGAAATCTGAGCCCTATAACATTCTCATTTGCCCCGTCGCGCTTCGGTACGTCTTCAATCGTTCATGATTATGGCTTCGGCTTTGCATCTCACGCGGCCCAAGACTCCTCCGCCTTTACACATTCCCCCATCCTCGGCCACAGTAACTGTGAGGGTTATCGATTCGTATGTTCCATCATCCTTTCTCACCACTCTGGGCTAACCATACAGTACCACTACCCTTCTGCTGAACCCGTCACTTTTCTGGCAACCTCAAATGAAGGGCCTTGAAAGTGTCTATGCGCCCATCTACTGCTTTCTTGTTTCGCATGGGAACCGCCACGTACTTTTCGATCTCGGTGTTAGACGAGACTGGGAAAATTATGCACCAAGAACAGTTGATTTGATACGACGCACAACTCGATGTCACACGGAGAAAAACATATCAGAAATTCTGGATACTTACGCTAAGCAAGTAAGCGATGCTGATGTTGTAGTTAGGAGTAGGGACATTGAAGCCATTATCTGGTCGCATCATCATTTCGATCACATCGGCGATCCATCAACCTTCCCGTCGTCTACGACTCTCGTCGTTGGACCAGGGCTGAGAAACACTTGCTGGCCCGCATATCCATCGAATCCGGATTCGCTAGTTCTAGATGCTGATATCGAGCACCGCGAAGTGCGAGAAATTAACTTCTCCACCGGGTCCGTTCACGTTGGGCGCTTCCGGGCGTTTGATTATTTTGGTGATGGGTCGTTCTATCTCCTCGATTCCCCTGGTCATTCCGTCGGGCATTTAACAGCACTAGCCCGTGTCACGACGTCTGGGGATGGTAATCCTCAGCATGACTCATTCGTGTTCATGGGTGCGGATGCCTGCCACCATCCCGGCGTGCTAAGGCCAACAGAATATCTACCCCTGCCATCACAGTTATCGCCATCGCCATCCCGCTTGTTTACTCACGCGTGCCCGGGTGAAACATTACAACGACTTCAACGTAATAACAGCCCCGCCGAGCCATTCTTCACTGTTTCTCCAATTTTATTTCCGGATCATGAAGCCGCCTTAGATACTGTACGAAAGATTGCCGAACTGGATGCCTCGGATAATATCTTCGTCATCATAGCTCATGATGGATCGATTAAGAACCATATTGATTTGTTTCCTGAATCAATCAATGATTGGAAGGCAAAGGGCGTTCGACTCCAAACCCGTTGGCTGTTTTGTAATGATTTCACTAGCGCCATCGAGGAGTGCGACACACGCAATGTTGTCGTTGAAAAAGACCTGTTCAACTGTTGAGCTTAGCTAAATTTTGGTTACAAGAATGTAATTCTGTGAGAATTTCTTTCTCCTCTTTCCCGTTGCCACATAATCTTCTCATGTCGTTACTAACTGAGTGGCAGGCTCGACTTCTTATCTACATATCTTACTTATGAAGTATAGTGATCGTAAGACCCATTGTAAGTTTAGTATGGGTATTCTAGAGCCTAATTGTAGGTCGATTACGACGGTTTATAGCACTAAGTTAGCTATTATGGCTAAACCAATACTCTTGATCTTAGTCTACTTCCTCTAGACTAAGGTTTTAATATACGTGATTAGATCTACTTCTGATCATGACTCTATTGCGTGTCAATCTTCATATTCACCACCAGACCTATGCTTGCAAGGAGACACATTATATTGCTCAGTTCTCCAGTCGTGCACGAAAAGTTGATTGAAACTTGATGCGAGACCCTTTCAGAAGACTTCTCCTTCAAAGCAGTGTCCGTAACCGATGGATCAATTGGGATGATTCCAGAATTTCCCATGCTCTGATTCGCCACTGGGAAAGAGAAGGAGGGTTTTTGTCCTACTGAAACGTCATACCCCTTGAAGGCGTGAGAGCCCAGACCAAGACTTTCGGTCAAATTGCTGAAGTCCATGTCCATCGAGCCTTCTCCTAAGCCAGTCAGCACAGACTCTTAGATTATAAGTGCCCAGTCAATAGTCTCACCTCGTTGTGCCACAGATGGGATACTTGTATAGTCTTGGTTGGCGCTATCATGCTCGGTAGGGCCGAGAAAGCCGTCGTTAAGATATAGAGGGGTCGAGGTGTTGCTTGTCATATGCGCAGCCATCCCTTCCATCCATTGTCCTTCGAGTGCAGAATTGCTTAGCTGGATCCTGTCCTTAGGCACCATCACATCTAAATAACCCATGCACATGCGGGGTGTTGTCGCTGCATTTGCCTTGGATGGCGATGCGCAACTGCTCGCCCATTCAGTCTGCGAATGCGGCAGCTCGTCGTATCGAGCATTCATATCTGTTACCAAGTCCATTTCTTCCGAATCGCTTTCATCAAACTCATATCTCCCTCCCTCATCGCCATCATCATCGTCATCATCGTCGCTCTCATCTGGTGCGGCTGTTCGCATCAACTTGAGAGTCCCCTGCTGGGTTTTCATTTTGACTGCGGGCTGCGAGGGCGACTTCGTGGATGGTGATTTAGTACCGCTTTGACTCTTCAGTCGCAGTTTCCAGTATCGGTTCTTCAGCGCCAGAGTGGTTCGCTGAGGTTCATGAAACGACGCAATGCGGGACCAATTGGTGCCGTAGGTATGAACGGCGGCAAGCAGCTTTTCGTCCTACAAAGTTGATGATGTTCAGCGTATATTCCTATGAAATTGGAAAGTATGGATCTTTTCGGTGTTAAGGGAATCGGCGACCAGACTAACCTCGTCTCCAGTCCAGTCGCAATAATTGATGTCAGGGTTTAGCACCTGGCGCCAATGACTGGAGCATTGATCTCCACAGCGTGAGCCTACGACGGCAGCGACCTGTGGCCAATTCGTCCCGAACTTCTTCACAGCGTCAGTCAGACGTTGATCTTCTTCAGGTGACCAAGCTCCTTTCACTGTTCCACCCGCCAGACTATTCCACCATCTCTTGCGGCAATCTTTATTCGACCGGCCGGGGATGTGCTTAGCTAATTCACGCCAGAGCACTGGTCGATCGTCTTCTAACTCTGAACGATATCACATCCACGTTAGCGTCACAATTATTTGTCTTAGCTATCGTGCAACTTACCTTTCTGCACCAAATCTCGCAAAAGATTATCTTCCTTCTCCGTCCAATTCCTTCTAGCGCGGCTCATCATTGCTGGTGAGTATATAAGCCGCGTAGAGGAGCTGGGAGCTTTTGCTCAATGGAATATTGGAGATCTAACTTCGTTGTAATTAAGATGACTAAGATTACCTAGCCTGGTGAAAAGCTTGGTATAAGGAGTTCGTCGAATTTAAGCTTGGAACTCAGAGTCTTACTACTTCTTGAGTCTGACTACTCAACACGTGGCTACCCATGCAGTGTATTGATCACTCACTTCAGATGATCGAGCACTGGGCGTTTATACTGACGCAGATTTGTGAGCAGCGCAGCCTACGCCGCACACATATGTTCCATCTCAATGTCCTAGATCTCGCTTAGCTGAATCTGACATAAGACATAGAAATCATACTATTGACCTGCACGCCTTTTCAGCCTACTGCTGGTCATGGTGGCTTTCATGATAGACCCTGAATCCTTCGAATCCTGACATTGATCCTCCATCCCTGCAATGTAACATGGCGTCCAAGGGGGGGCTGATTCAGCGGAATCACGTTAAAGTTGTTGTAACTTAGGTCATGCGAAGGATTGTTTCTGGCAAGGTACGTACTGCAGAGTAGCGGCACCAAAAGGTAGCGAATATTCTGTGTAGTTTTGAGTTTTGGTTACAGCGGTGAAGCTGGTCAGAACAGATGTGTCTCGGGCAAAGACATGCATGTTATTTGCTTTGTCGCAACGATAAGCATGCAGACGCGGTAGAGCGTCACGCTCATAAGCCACATACGCCACTCACTTGAAAATCTGCTGTCTACAGTTTCACCGGCTGAGCTCGGCAGTTTCGGATAGCAACGAATCATATGTAATAAACATGACACTAAGATAGAGTTTGGCATGTTTTATATAAGTGTTCCTATCGGCCATAATTCACGCGAATCAAATAGGTGATTTGAATATAACGGCAGCTTTTAAGTTATGTGGTCAGCCTTGCCGGTGATACCAAAACCCAATGGGTTTCATCTCCAAGTTCAGTTAGTTGACGTGGGACGAACCGTTGGTATGGTAGCGTAGCCTATAGGTGGAATTTGGAGGAAAATGGAATTTTACGGTAGGCCGGAAAGCCCGCAGCGCGGCAGGTATTTTCGCAGGTGGGTACATCTGGTCTCGTACATAGGCATACCGTAGAAGCATACCCGACGTGTAGGAGGACTCACAGTGACATTCATTGCTGATAGAATTCGGGTCAATTTAAACTTTAATATCTTTCAAGTTAGCGTGGTTTTCTTATACTAGACTAGACTAGATTAGACTAATCCCGCTGCGGTCAATAACCCTCCATACCAATAATACAGTCCAGTCCAATAAGCTCATGGATCCCTTGGCGGCAACGAGCCGCATCATATCATGGCAACCAATCATAGCTGGTTGTTAAGTCCGCGGACTTTCTAGATAACCCAAATGACGCGACAGAGCTGCGCGACATTGAAGGATTCACTCGGGGTATGAAGGGATAGGCTGCCAATGGTTGGCTATGAACCAACACACTGAAGTTTGGTATCACAATCGCCCACCAAGGGAAATAGCCACGGTTGTCACCGGGCAAAGACATTGAAGGTCACGACGATTTCGAGCAAACCCTAAAGCGGACGCCTACCTAGGCGAAAGGATCAGCTACGTCTCATTGTCAATCGCAGCTTCCTTGCTACGACCACTTTTGCCAGAAGAGACCAGACGCCTCGGAAGGATTCTGCTCGAGTCCGATTACTACAAATCCTGCTCTGATCACCAGCACCGCAACTGTTGCTTCGATACCAAAATCTGCTCGGCCTTCTCAAGAAAAATATACAATGACTTCGTCTCAAGATGGGGTGGAAAAGCCAGCACTAGCGGAGCAGAATGGCGGCGAATCAACTCTCAGTCTGCGACCAGAATCGCAGGCTAATATATCTGGGATGAAGTTGTTTCTGGTCATGTTTAGTCTGACATTGGCAGTATTCCTTGTGCTGCTGGATTCTTCCATAGTCGCCACAGTAAGTCCCATCTTGTTTGGGTTCCCATCTATCAACATCTCATCTGTGTACTCTACAAGGCCACTCCAAAAATTACTGGCGAGTTCCATTCACTAAACGACATTGGATGGTATGGCACATCGTATCTTTTGGCAAAGTAAGTTGGACCTCTTCCTCAGGCTGTTTTATCCTAACCTCGTGGACCAGCTGTGTATTGCAGCCCCTTAGCGGAAAGATCTATACCTACTTTAATGTCAAGGTGAGCATCATCATCTGACAGACTAGTCCTCCCACCTCGGGCCATAGTATTGACATTGTAGTCAAAAGTGGACTTTCTTAGTCTTCTTCGCAATCTTCGAGTTGGGCTCTGCAATATGCGGGGCTGCAACTTCATCCAAGATGCTGATTATTGGTCGTGCGGTCGCTGGGCTAGGGTCTTCGGGACTTCTCAATGGTGGCTATACGATCGTGGCTTTGATTGTACCAGTTGCCAAGCAAGCCGGTGAGTAGACCTTCCGGGACCATGAATGAGTAGTAGTCAATAACAAAGAGATGCAGGTCTACGGGGTATTCTCATGGGCCTTTCCTTCTTCGGCCTTTTGGCTGGGCCGCTTATTGGTGGTGCCTTGACCGAGTATACGACTTGGCGGTGGTGTAAACAACCCAACCCAGTACCTGTGAAGCCATGATCTAACTTCGATGTATTAGGTTTCTACATCAATTTACCTTGCGGTGCCTTGATCGCACTTTTTCTTCTGCTAGTGCCTATTGTTGATCTACGAGTCGTTGATGATGGAACCCAAACGATCACACAAATCTTTTGGAAATTGGATCCTATTGGCTTTTTTCTTTTTACTCCAACCATTATAATGTTCATCCTAGCACTAGAGTGGGGTGGCACCGACTATGCCTGGGGAAGTGCGATCATTATTGGTCTATTCTGCGGCTCGTTTGGCAATCTTCTCGTCTTTGTGGCCTGGGAACGTCACGTAGGCGCTAAGGCCATGATTCCACTCTTTCTCGTCCGCCGCCGCGTCATCTGGAGTAGCTGTCTCAACATGGTTTGCTTCATTGGATGCACATTTACCACAGCATTCTATTTCCCTGTTTACTTCCAGGCGGTACGAGATGCTTCCCCTATGCAGAGTGGTGTGGATATGCTACCCCAGATCGTCACCAACATGATCGTTACCATCATCACGGGTGCTTTGAGTAAGTTTGTGTTCACAATGTCTGCGCCGACGTAGATGACTAAACTGTTTTCAAGTCAATCGTGTAGGGTACTACTTGCCTTTCGCTCTCGCTAGCGGCGTGTTCACCTCGGTCGGAACAGGTTTGATCTCTACGTTGACGCCCACTTCATCGACTGCAAGAAGGGTAGGCTTTCAAATAATTGCAGGTTTTCAGGGCCTGGGCTTTCAAATCCCGATTCTCGCAGTCCAAAACGGAGTACGCAGAGAGGATGTTTCTGTCGCTACCGCACTCGTTGTTTTCTCACAGAACTTAAGTGGTGCAGTGTTTTTGTCTCTGGCTAAAGTGATATTTGGCGAAGAACTACGGTACTTCCTATCTCTTTACGCCCCAACTGCCAACTCGTCTGTCATCGTTGCCGCTGGTGCATCAGCTGCCGATGTCAGGAGCGCAACACCGGTGGAATTACTATCAGCTGTGCGGTTGGCATATAGTGATACCTTTGACCGTGTCATGTATCTCGCCACTGGTGCCGCATGTGGCGCCTTTGTGTTTGCAACAGGGATGGGCTGGGTACGGATCAACAACAAGAAGGACGATTGAGAATTAATAGGAAGTAATAGGTTAACAAGAGTCCTCTACCAATAAGTCATAAACAACGAATTGCATGGACCATGATCCAGCAAAAGCTTTTGAAGTGATGTCAATCTTTGCCAGTGTAATTCAAACACACACCATCCAATGTAACTTGCTTATTCTCCATTAAATAAATCGAAATTAGTGAATAAATAATAAATCGAAATTCAAAGTAGGAAAAAGAAAATCGAGCAATTGGGGAGACTGGTATGCATTTCGAGATAATCAGAAATTCGTCCTAGGGATATAATCCCATCTGAGTCTATTCATAATATGAAAAATCAAATGGCTGACACAATCAATCACAACGTTTCATAAGTGACTTTTGTTGACAATTGAGCAAGATTTAAAGATAGTCAATTAGAAATTCAGGAAGGGCAATGAGAGGGAAGTAAACATCAATCCCAAGCTGATTAACTCCTAGACTAGTCACTTGAGATTCTGTAGAATACCCGGCTGCAGCTCCTCCAGTCTGTTGGTGAGTAACTTCCAAAAGTAGGTGGTCTTTTGACTGTCCTGAGCTAAGGCGTTGTAGTTCTGAACTGCACCAGCCCGCAAATATAGTCCATGAGTTTCCCGTCCTGCCGACGCAGCCTGCACCACGAGTCGAGATCCCTCCTCTGGCGGTCGAGCCGCGATCGATTCGAACACTTTGAAGAAAGCCTTAGGCCCTCCGCTCATCTCGCCCGATAGCCCAGTTTTACAGAAGCAGGGATCGACGGAATTTATCACAATGGGATTCGCATTGGATGTGTCAGCCGGATCGACGATTTCGCATAGTTTGATTTCTGTATATAACTGCAATAGTTTCGAGAGATTATATCTAACAAAGTCAGCATTTCGGAGAAACTAGTCTGTCGGAAGAAACAAAAGTCGGCTTACTGGTTCATCGGATTGAAATGTGACTCGTCCTTGTACCAGGCAAAAATGTCATTCCCGTGCCCTTCGGGGTACTTGGCCACATCATACAACGCTGAACCCACGATTGTCATGTGGGGCGTAACCCCATACTCTCGCGCAGTCTCTTTGAGCTTGGGGATAAGTTGAAACGCGAGTAAAAACGTGCCAATGTTGTTGACAGCGAGTGTTCGTTCGGTGTCATAGATGATGTTGAACTTGAAGCAGCGGACGCCTGCGTTGTTGATCAAGACATCCAGTCGAGGCAAAGCATTGGCCTTCTCAACGAAAGTCTTGATTGATGAGGGAGACTCTAGATCGACCTCCCACACGTCGATTATGTTAGGATTGCATTTCAGAAGCGACTCAATGTCTAGCTTGGCCTTGTGGCCTCGCGACCGACTGCGACAACCAAAAATGACTTTGCTGGCACCTAAGCGGATAATGTGCTTCACTATCTCCTGACCAAGACCTCCATTAGCTCCAGTGACGATGACGGTCTTGGAGGCGAATGAGTCGGAGGGCTTGGGGATCTTGAGGACGAATTGAGTATGAACGAAATCTCCAAAGGAAGGCATCTCGTTGGACGGCTTTGCTTTGTCCCTTTGAGCATCAATGACTGAGGAGAAATACCCTCGGGCTTGACTTAGCGTACTTGCATGGCTATAGCGGTCTATTTATGTATCTTTCCGGATTAGGAAATGGCTAGCTTGAGTTACGCTTACACTGTTCCGGCAAGAAGAGTCTAACCTTACAGCAGCACTAGGTCTCAGTAACCGGCGCTAAGTCAAAGTCCGTGGACTTGGGGTAGTTGGGGGGTTACACAGATCTGTCAGACAGCCAGGCGACTGACCTTAGCTAACTTGGAACGGCCGTCATCTCAAACTCCATGGACTTAAGGGGTCACGTGGCGGTTCTCCTCCCGCTTCTGCTCCTACTGCCACTGACACATGTGCAGACTCAACTCTGGCTGGTTGCAGGACCGGTTGCGTCCTGTACCATTGTTCTAGCCGTCTCTTAAGTCCATGGAACGGAGTTGCCTACCGGATGCGGTCTTGACAACAATCTATCGATATGCAGTCTCAAGGGACCATTAAGCATCGGCGCGCACGCGTACCTTTGTCATGTGATCCGTGTCGCGTCAGAAAGTGTGTGAGCTCGATGCTGGTCCAATGCCTCTACGCGGGGCCATCAAAGTGTATCCAGCTAATGGATACTCAGACTGAAATGCAACCGAGAGACACCCTGTCAGAACTGCATGGCTCGGGGCGAGCACGCCGCTTGTGTTTTCCATGGTCCCAAAAATGGAGCTGTGCCTGTCGCCCGTCGTGATGCGACGGGGGATGCAATGCGTCAACGAATTGACCATCTTGAGGACTTGGTAAAAAACTTAATTGCAGAGCGCCACTTGGTTACACCCCCAAGCCACGATACTATATACACACCGCAAAGTTCGACTGCCGGAGCTGGCCTTACACGCACTGCTACCACACCTGAAGCTCAAGATGCTGTTGGGGTTGGAAAGACGGTTATGGACGGTGTGCATTCAGTCTACCTTGGCGGTGATGACTGGTATGTTGTGCTTCAAGAGGTATATCATCACTCATTACTACCCAAGGAAAGCTTGTCGTGGGTAGAATCTATACTTGTTTATTTTCTGAAAGTGACATATGACGATGCCATCAATAGTTGGACAGCTTGACAGACAAATTTGTATGACCTCACAACTGACCCGATACAGATTAATGAACTCAAGCGGACTTGGAGTCAGGAACGAGATGATGACAACGATTACGATTTTCGTCCAACTCTATCTCACACGGTCGATGGATCAAGTCTGCTTTTCAATCAAGTCAAGCCTATCGAACGAATAGAAATTCTCTCCACCATACCGCCGAAGTCAGAGGTCGATCGTTTGGTATCACAATTCTTTGATCGCCAGGCCTTTCCTATCGCCGTTCCACGTAGGTTATAACATAGATCCAGTCGTTCTTCTGTTGATTGAATATTAGCTATCCTCCATGTGCCCACTTTTATGCGCGAGGTATGCTTCACGCCTTTGTTTTTCTATATACCTTGACTAATATCTTTCAGTACAACGAGCACTGGAAAGACCCATCTAAGACGAGTCCCATATGGTTAGGTCTTTTGTTTTCAATTCTCGGTATCACCATGTTGGCATACCATCAATATGGAGAGCCGCCGGAATTCGAAGGCATTTCCGAGTCACTCTTTCAACTCTACCGAATGCGGACGTCTCAGTGTCTTCTAAGCGGGGATATCGCCAAGTGCTTGCCATATACTGTTGAGACTTTACGTTTCAATGCTACCGCTGAGTTGAATAGAAAAGACGACAACCGTCGCGGCCTATGGATAATGACAGGTGTTGTGGTCCGCACGGCAGTTAATATGGGCTACCATCGCGATCCCTCGCACTCTCCAGATATTTCCGCTTTGCAAGCTGAGTACCGACGCCGAATTTGGCTTTCGGTGATTAGTATGGACGATATGGCCTCGTTCCTTGGAGGCTTCCCACGTACGATGTCAGCCATATATTCAAACACGATGGAACCACGTAACCTTCATGATTGGGAGCTATTTGAAGATACCACAATCATACCCCCTTCACACCCACTCACGGAGCCTACCTCTACAACATATTTGATCGTCAAGGGACGCTTGTTTCATGCTTTAGGCCGTATCGCCGATTTCAACAGCACTCCAAATGCTGGCTCGTATGAGACTATGCTTGAGATTGATCATGTCGTGTATGAGGCGTATCAGAACTTTCCCTCGCACATGAAAGTGGCCGATATCGGTGATACCAGCAATCCTGTCGGAGGTTTAGCCAGTTTTTCTAACCTGAGCCTCCTTGGTATGTACCATAAAGGCATGTGCACCTTGCATCGCCGATTCCTAGGCATCGGAAGAAACGACGATCGCTTCAGATTCTCTCACCATCGATGCATCTCTTCTGCACTGGCATTGTTGACCTATCAACAAGGTTTGGAATCGTCTTTCTATAAGCTCTCAGAAACGCGTCAGATGCTAGCACTTGGCGCAATGGTATTATTCCTCGAGCTTGAATTAAGACGAAAAGCTCCCGAAACAGATGCTTCCCCGGATGATGTATATCTCCTCCAGGCCTTGGACAAATCCTGCAACCTATGGGCGGGCGTAACAGGTCAGTATCAGGGGGGGGGGGGAACTAATCTAATTTTTTTACCTCTTCGTATAAGACCCACTCCTCCTCAGTCCCAAAAGGTCAAAAAGAAAATCAAGACATTGAGAGTTTCAAAGCTTTTAAACGCGCTCAAAAGAGTATTTACTAACTCCGGTATACGTAATAGACACTTGCGAAGAGGCGCGAAAATTTCACTTATTCCTTGCCAGTATGCTTTCAAGATTTCGTGATGGAACCAACTCCAGTCCCGAAAATCTGCCAACAATAGTATCGGAGACACCATTCCAGTTTCCTGGGCTCAGTCCCCAATACCATCAATCTAATTTGGGATTCGTGGTCGACAAATACCCGGTTGATGTTGACTTCGATTGGGTATGTCCATTTCTTCCTGGTAGTAGAATCATATTCACCAAACATCACAGGCTACTTGGGATACGTTCATTGAAGACAATAGTTATGAGACAGGTCCTATCTATTAATTGCTCATGGCCCGACATCCTTTCGGGCTACATGCGAAGGAAAACAATTTACATTATTTTCAGTATTATACGAGCGGAACGCCTGGATATGGTGAATACACGGCGGTACAGTGAAACTCAATCGGTACTTAGTATCGATAATGGCTGACTAAGGTTCCGCATTCGGTTTGCGACTATACTGCTGGCAATGTGTATTACCCGAGTTTTATGTGGACTATATAAGACGAGTTGATTAGGATAACAGGACAAGGACCACACCTGGCCACCGTGATACCGTCGATGGGAGGGGTTGTATTTGGCATTTCTGACCAGCCAGAATTGTGCTTTATTTTTGGATTCGGTCGAATAAGTAGCTCTAGCATGATAGACTGTGGTTAGGCTTTGTGTTGGCACAGATGTATCTAAGCGCTGGACCTTTCAACCAAGAGCCGCACTGCGGGCAACAGTTTCTTGATAGTGACGGGGTCGTAGGGACATTTTCTACCTATTCAAGTGCTAAGAGCAAGAAGTGGGAAGGGCTTGTCAAACTTGAGAAAACGAAGTTTTGGTCCCATGTCCTACATTCAAACAATCCAGAGGTGTCGCACAAACAATGTTCTATTGCCGGTTCTACGGCCCTTTGAAGTCAAACTGTATATAGCAATCTGTCAAAAACAATTTTTGGAGCAAATCCATTTCCATCCCACGATTTCTCTAATCATGTCTTGTCATATTATGCAACGCCACTTGCGGACACAGCCACCTTGTTTGAGCCCTCTCCATAGAGGCACTGGCGGCGCAACACCCCTGCTGGACGGGCTGGGTGCTTTGGAGCCTAGTTCCACCTGAAGGCCGCGAGCTGGAGACCGCTCCAGCGTAACCGTGTTGGAAGCTGAGTGGTGTGTTACTCTAGGGAGGAGCGAGCATGTCTTTACGTGATTGAGCTCGTGACGCTATTTGACATGTGTGGGCTCGTAAAACCCGACGTGATCTTTCTGTGAAGCGCAACGTGGGTGAAACCACGAGCGTTGAAGCAACTTGTGCGCTTTTCACATGAAATCGTCGTCACCAAAATCGTCTTCATAGGTGGTCGTTTCGGCAGCGTTGGCTCTGGAAGTAACCAAACTGGTCTTGGTCTTCTGTGCCTTGCTCTTCTTTCCACTCTTCTCAGCGGCCTTCTCCTCCTTCATCTTTTCGTTGCCGAGAGCAGTCAAAGTGCTAGCAATCTTCTTGATCTGGTCGCTGGGCAGGTCCTTGGCCAGCTGCTTGGTGAATTCCTGCAAAAACAAGGTGTAGTGAGCCTTCTTGTAGTTCTGGCCACCAATGATAGGTACGAGGACGTTGCGCATGTTCTCGAACTGAAGCTTGGTCAGGGGGTTGACGAGGGGGAGCGAGCTGAGGTCGATGGTTTTGGTAGGATCCTTGGGGTCTATAGGAATGGCAGACCCGGCAGTGGTAGCCTTGCGACCAGCCTTAATGCCAATATCCCCGAACAAGTCGGCAGCGTGGTTCAAATCGGCATCCAGCTCCTGACGCTTGAGGCGCTCGCGGCGTTCGGCCTCAGTCTCGTCGAAATCACTGTCGTCTTCCTCGGCCAATTGCTTGGCACGTTCGGCGCGGTGCTCCTCGATACGTTGCTTCTTGGATTTCTTGTTGGCAGCGGCTTCAGCGTCTGCCTGGGCCTTGACCTCGGCGGCCTTCTTGGCCTTTTCGCGCTCTACCTCGGAGTCTTCGGCAGCATCCCAAGAGTCAAGAACCTGGTTCCAAATCATCAGTATGTTGTTGCGGTAATCGGCGATATAACGGTGTCGTCGAAGACTTACATCGCTGTCATCATCTTCATCGTCAAACTTGCGGCGACCGGCGGCGGCAGCGGCACTGACACCGGCAGGAGGTGATGAGGGAGGGGTGCTGGAGTCCGAGTCCTCCTCTTCTACATTACATGGAGTGGTCAGCTAGATCCAGACAAGTCTGAAGGCAGACGGGATGCATCACAAGCGTGGTCCTCCAATGGTAGAAGACGCAGCGAGCACAGGGAACCCCACTGAGAGCCTCGCTACATGCTATGTGTGTATTGTACAATACTTCCAAGACGCGTTCTGCGTGAAGTGAAGGTCAAGGTCAAGACCAAGACCCGGCCGTCTACAGGTCTCCGAGTGGGTGGCAGAGCCGATGAGGTGGTCGCTCTGGGGGCTTGCGCGCCTTCGCACCGAAGAGTTGAGGAGGGGTGGCGGGATGACTTACCCCACTGCTTCTTAGCAGACATATTGGCAGTCTTTGTAGAGCTGAGTAGTTGGGAGGGTTGACAATAGTCTTGCGACTGTGGATGAAGCAATATTGGGATGCTCGTTGATTTGCACGCAAGGATGGATGCTTGGGAAAAGAGTTCGACTCGAGAAAAGGGCTGAGAGATTGGATTTTTGGGGGGGTTTATCGCCTAAAATTGCAACTGTGTGCGAAACAAGTGATGGACCGGTGCCCAATTGCCTGAGCCGCGCTGAATGGAGGGGCTTTTTACGGGGTGCCAGTACCAGGCAAAGAAATCATGTCGGGAGCCAGCCAAGTGAGGGGCAAGCGATTCGCGGCCAAGGCGTCGGGTCGGCGGTGGGACGTGAAGGAGGAAGCGATGCAAAAGCGATGCAGCAACAGCAAACACCCAACAGCCAAATGACGTCGTTGGTCACAAGCAAAAGTAAAAGATGGGTTTTTCTTTGATCTTTTCTTTCCTTTTTGGCTCTACCAACGAATTGGAGACGGCGTGTACACGATGCAACATGGAGGATCGAGGATCCATCGGCGTCCTTCCTTTCACCTAAGCTCGTCAGTATTGGAACTCGTTGTTGACTACGGGCTGTCGCAGACGACATGTAGTTACTCACTTTTGTCTTCTCAACATCTCTCTCTTCCCCACGGTCCATCCAAATCAAACACCCCCCCTCCCCAAGCGCAAACTGGAGTACAACAATTCTTCTGAAGACATATTCCGATTGAACGGCATTCCTCATTCCTGGTTCAGCCTTCTTATACTACGTTCGGTGATGAAAACAACAAGAATAGCATTCCAACCATTCTTATACGTGACATCCTCTCCGGGCCTGACTAACCTTACTATCTTAGCCCCACCCAAGTGCGCTTTACACAATCCACAAATAAGGTGAGGAATAGACTACTGTAACTAGAGACGAGAAGGGAAGGGCAGGGAAGGGATGAGGAACCTGGCTGCAGTTGACTTTCGAGATCCGGATCTAATCACTTGCAGCACCTATGGGCACATTTCGTTGTCTTTCCAGAACCAACATGTTTCCTGCAACCGACCATATTGTCTCTGCGCAAATTTGTCTTAGTTTGCATCGAATTCCCACCAATTTCAGTCAGGTGACTCATCGCATTAGTTGTACTCTGTACGGAGTCGATGTCTGCGAAAATTACTCGGAGACTGCAAATCTCAAAACCCTGCAAATCCCGATCATCAAGTAGCAGCTGACACACTCAAATGCCGTGGCCTTCCAGCTTGAGCCTCATTCATCCTACTAAACTGGGTCGGTCTTTGGAATATTCTTCGAGTTGAGCGAATGCCATTGGACGCATATCACAAGCATTGATGCGGCTTACCTCTGGCGGCGGCTGAGAGGGATATCTCGGCCATTTCTGGTGCTAGCATTACCATGACTAGTAAGATGTCGTCCCGACTGTTTTACGTCCACTCCTGTGCTTTCCTTTGTGTATTGTTAATCTCCTTCTACGGGATTTGTATGTAAGCAGAAATGGGTAAGTCATATAAAAACTTGAGCATCCTGAGGCAAGAAATATGCGGCTTGTCTTCGTCCCTGCCAAACAACTGCGAAATCAGATAACACATCCGCCATATCAAACCTATACCAACTACATTTTGACTTCACTTATCAACGTCCCTTACCTCATACATCGAGCTTCTCCATGCTTTCAACTAAAGCTCAAACCAGAATTTGCTCTTCAAAGCACGCTGCTCAGCTCTCTAGAACCCTTACTCCATTTCTCCGAGAGTCAACTCTAGGTTACCATGCCGGCTTGAGAGCAGGCGTTGTTACCGTATATCAGCATGGTAGCATAAGGTCTTTCTCGAGCACGCCCGAGCGGAAACTACGAGACTTTTTCCCCACGAAAGAGACTGAACACATTCGGCAGACCCCTCCTGCGTGGCCTCATCATGGCTACACTGAACAAGAGATGCTCAATGTAGTACCGGCTCATCGAGCTGCTGAGACGTGGGGAGATTGGGCGGCCTGGAAGTTTATGCGGTTATGTCGTTGGGGAATGGACTTTTGTACAGGCATGAGATCTGAACAAAAGGTGGACAAGAAGAACCCTACGACAGCTATATCTACTATCCAACCATTAACCGAAGAGCAGTGGCTGGTACGGTTCTTGTTCCTCGAGTCGATCGCCGGTGTACCCGGCATGGTCGCCGGCATGCTTCGACATTTGCACAGCATGAGACGACTCCGGCGTGACAACGGCTGGATCGAGACGCTCCTGGAAGAATCATACAACGAACGAATGCATTTGCTTACATTCATGAAGATGGCCGAGCCCGGATGGTTCATGAAATTAATGATTCTAGCTGCCCAAGGAGTATACTTCAACGGCATGTTTGTCTCATATCTCATTTCCCCCAAGGTCACGCATCGGTTTGTTGGCTATCTGGAGGAAGAGGCTGTCCATACCTACACCATGGCGATCAAACAGATCGAAGATGGGCATCTCCCGAAGTGGACAGATCCAAAATTTGAGATTCCTGAGATCGCTATCAAATACTGGCATATGCCCGAAGGCAAGCGGACAATGAAGGATCTCGTCCTTTATATTCGTGCTGACGAGGCTTGCCATAGAGGTTAGCATTCCCTTCACTTATGCATGACCGACAAGGACTGCACTAACCAAGCTTGAGCAGGTGTCAACCACACTCTGAGCAACCTCAACCAGAAGGAAGATCCAAACCCTTTTGTTAGCGAGTATAAGAGCCACCGTCCCCCACCCAGTCCAGCTGCTAGGCCGCAGGGCTACGAGCGTACCGAAGTCATCTGAAAGTCTATTATGGTATGATGCTGGCACGTACCGAGCAAAACATTGAGTAGGCGTTATTTGTATTTTGACAAAACTAGAAGGGGGATGGACAGACAGATACCTTTTGTACTAGACCGCCGGCGTTAACAGGACGGCGTTCCATCACCGAACTCTACTCCCAAGGCGAGGATGTATTCTATTTCTTTACTCAAGCGAATGAAGGCAGCACTTTCCAAATCAACGATTCACTTGGATTAACAGCCTGCAACCAAGCACCAAGGTGTCGACACGTATAATATAGGCTGAAGAGGTTGTCAGCAGTCCATGTTGGGCACCAAACGTGTACGCCCCGCAAAATAAGGGGCACTACAACCCCGGAGCGCGAGAACGACGTGACTGATTGACTCAAAGAGAATTTTCAAGCCTTTGAAGGCGATATCATGATTGTGCCTTGCTGGGAAAGTTGCCTAATTCGGACCAGCGCTGTTAATATGAATGTATTCTCACTTATATTTTCTGGTAGCAAGCATTTTAGAAGCTAGAGTCTGTCATCCTAGAATTCTGCTAATCGCGCATCTACACTTTCAGCGGTACTATGTCTTCGGTGTTTGGGTAGTAGCACCTTTAGAGAGGAATCGGCCACCCAGCAACATGCATTTGGTCTCCAATTTGGAGACGGTAATCCGTTCAAACATTCTGGCATCAACATGATACCATGACGAATGTAGAGCGCAAGCTAAGACCCTAAATTGGGTCTGGAGAGAGCTTTCACACGTGGATTTCCAGGGGCTGTGCGAGGTGCCCACTACACAGCCACGACAACACTTAATGCTGCTCCACAACACCCCAACGACGCGGCTCATTATGATCCAGCAAATCGTGATTGAAGTTCAATTCGAATGTCCTTATTATACGGACCAGTATGATCTTCAGATTTACCGCAGCCCTCGCTTAGTTCGTCATGATTGCATCCGAAGAACAAAGAATGAACCGTGGCGCTAATCTCATCTTGGTGGGATTCTAAGCAGACGTACAAGAAGGATGAAGTACAAATATAGAGTCTCGCAATTCCCTCGTTCAACGAATGGTTGGCGAGACCCTCTCGCCAGTACGAGAGCGAGCAAAATTGGAGTGGACAATCTAGCGGCCGCGGGTACTTCGATGTCTGCTGCAAGTCATCCTGGAACCGACGAGCACTGCGTTGATATCCCGCCCGAGTTGGGGTTACATTGCATCAGATGTTTCTGGTATCTTACCGTCGCCTTCCACAGGCCAGATCCCCTTGTCGGTGAGTTTGTGATGGCTTCAATGGTCAACAGCATTTTCACATGATTTCCAGCGGTGGGAAGGCTTGTTTTTCTCGGTCCGTATTTGCGGAGTAGAGCCCCGTAGGGCGCACTACCCGAGATTGAAACACTACTTTATGTAGAACAATTTGTGGAGATGGCTATCATGTCCGGGACTTTGCGACAGCCGTAACCAGTCCCATCAATTTGTGCCCAAAACCAGGCGAGTCTCCTGGCGTGCCATTAGCAGTGCTGATCTTCTGTGTGGAATTGGAATTAGCCGGCACTTTTGACACAAAACCCATGCCAGTTGCAGAGCCAGCATGCACGGTGATCTACGATACTTCTGGCCATCTTCTGCCAGCGGTTTGTATGGAAGGGGGACGATGTTGGTATGGGCATCATGTACGTTCCGTATTCGCAGGGTGCCCGGCCAGGGTTTAGTCTAGGTTAGTGGAATCTCAAATCCCGGCGCATCACAAAGCGCCCATCAGACTTGTTAGGTATGGATCGCATAATTTTGGCCAAACTCGCTTCCCAATGTTGTTCTTAATGGCTTTGCTGTACACTGTTGCGGCGTTTCCCCGGAATGAGAACGAACCTGCTGCTACCCGCTTCTGTTTAGTTTTTTTGTCTTTTCTTTCTATCTTTTAACGACGATCATATTACTCGGTACCTAATGCATCTGTGATTTCACTGTCCATGGCCCAGATTAATGGATGGCAATAGCGGGATGGGCTAAACCTTATACCCCGCCAGATCATGCGACGACTCTTTGGATAAGTGTGTGATGTGTGGGAGGAAACCCCCCATCCAAAAAACAATATCCGCGGGCGACATCACTCAGCACACTTTGGCTACTAATTATGCTCTCTTCTCTCTCTGGCTTTGGCTTGTCGGACATAATTTGGATTGGCACAAGCGACGATTTCAAGTCAAATGTTGATCTGGTGCTGTCACTCCAGGCACCAAGAAAGTGTATTCTATTTTAAAATGATGAACCCACTAATATCAAGCTACGTGAGCCTAAAGTGTGCTACCTTTTTTGAAACACCAATGATGTGCTTTTTAGGCACTATGAGTATATCTTACGCATCATCAGGTATGTAAAGCCCAGAAGTCTGGCAGGTCTCGGACTTGGTCTCTGCATGCTAGTGGTACTTCAAGAGGGCATTCCCTAGGGTCTGTTTAGGGGCTGTGCAGATATCGCGGTTGAATACACGTTCATGGTTCCTCGTACCTGTCAAACTCTTCGAAGCGTCCTTGGGAAGACACCGAAAGGCGTAAAAGTACAGCTAAAGTGCTTAGGCCATCGAAGTCACTTCACATGAGCTAAAGGCCAGAAGCCAGTGACCAACGGTCTGTCAGCATCATCAAATCAGAAGCGGTGCGCAGAAAGCGAGTGGGCCATAGCATTTCCCTTCCCTCCCCTTCCCTTCACATGGTCGGTCTACTGTCTGCTCCGTACAAGTACTTTTCTGGGACAATTGAAGCAGCCAAGCATTGCTCGGGCCACAGGTCCCCTCAAAAGGGCGGGCGCTTTCGATCCATCGTTCAGTCAATCAATCAATCTCACTTGCGGTCGCTCATCTCACCAGTCCTAGTCCTACCTTGATCCCCGACTTTTGTACCCTTTACAACAAACATCGTCGTCACCTTTCTAGTCCCTTACTGCAGACAGTGCGTAGGGTCGGTCGCGTGTAGTGTTCGGATCGCATCATTATTGCAATTCTTGCCAGCTGCAGCACAAGGTTTCCCGCTAGACGCGACGCCGGCCAGTCTCACGTTATCGCGGATCCGCTTCTTGGTTGAGTGAGACTTGGAGTCTCTCCCATTGGGGCTGTGCCCGCCTTGCATCGCCACGGTGCCTCCAAGCCGGGTGCCTGAAGGCTGATTTGGAAATCTGCCTCGCTGCATACGGATACACGTCACGTCAACTGTGTCTGGGTCTGCGTCTGGGTCTGCGTCTACTGCTGCTTCTAAGAACAGTAACAGACACAAACTAACACCACCACCATGGATCAACAAGCTGTGCCGGGTCGCGGCCGGTCCCCATCTGCCGGCCATCAGCATCCGAATATAAGAAATAGCCACTCGCCTTCGCCTCATCCATATCAGTCACCGGAACCCAGTATTGGTCTTGGACTCGGCTTGGATAACTCCGTCATAAACGTTCCACAGTTCACTCCAAACGACTTCAGCAACTTCAACCCCAGCAACAACGGTAGCAATCAGTTCTTGGATACCACCCGGGCGCAAGCATACTCAAGCCAGGGTATTCCCGACACGAGTTCCTTCAACGCGACACAGGGCTTCAACCAGTCCTTTGACGCGCAGAACCTCCTACCGATAGCCCCCGAGTTCAATAACAACGGGGACTTCTCTCTCTTTCCTCCGACTACCCAGGGAGATCAATTCGCTACCCCCCTCTTCAACAACGATCCCGCGATCGGCACACCAGATCTCACCAGCATGACTTCACCTCAGACACATCACACACCGACGCCGCCGCACATGCTTCAGTCGCAACCACACCAGATGGGATCGGCGCATCAGTCGCCTTCATTCAACCAACACCAGTTCCAATCGAGTCCGCACTCGCGAAACGTCTCGGCTTCGCTCACGCCGGGCGCGGCATTCAGCATCACAGGACAGCAAGATTGGACGCAGATGCAATTTCAGGGCCATAGAAGGACACCATCTGAATACTCAGACGTATCTTCTGCACATCCCTCTCCCAGCTTGATCGCGCAGGAATCATTTGAGCAGGCGCATTCCGAACACGGTCATTCGCCCATGCAAAGGCCAGCAGATAACTTCGATTATGGTGTTAGCTCTGGTCTGAACAACTTCAGCATTTCCGATCCTCACTTGGTCCAACATGGCCGAAGTCCGTCGCATAGTCCCGCTATCTCTCCCCGCATTATGCCTCAGCAACTACCCGATATGGGCCAATCACAAGGCTATGCGCTTGCCCGTCCTGAACTCCACGGCTATGTGAGCGCACCAGCGATCGCATACCCAACGAGCAGCTCCGAGGCGTTCCCTACGCTTCAAAGTGATGGTATGCCCGTCATGGCCCCTCCTGCGATCAACATTGATTTTGCCCCTAACTCAAGGCAAAACTCATTTGAGCCTTCGAAACCGGCTTTGGACCAGGACTCCTTGACACCACCCGACAGAGGTAAGATCTAAAAGGCCCGGCGTGTTCTGATTGGATATAACTAATACGTACTACAGGACGGCCAAGGTCTCGACAAAGAGCGGTTACGGACCCTTACAACAGTGGTGGGCCAAGTATCTCTCGGCCCACGACACCTGGAAGCTTATCTCCCCATCTTGGTGTTGAGCGCGCGCGCAATAGGTCAGGTTCTGACTCTTCGCGATCGGTTTCGCCCGCCTCCCTTTCTCCGGGCGATCGCTCGGGCAGTGCCAGTGCTGCTTCGAGGCGGCGGCAGTCAATGTCTGCTGTTCCGAACAACGTAATTGCATTGAGGTTGGCAGATCCGGAGTACCAAGCTGCTCAGGATAGTGGAAACAGCAAGCGTGTGCAAAAGCATCCAGCCACATTCCAGTGTACATTGTGCCCCAAGAGATTTACGCGTGCATACAACCTACGCTCTCATTTACGAACCCACACAGATGAGAGGCCATTCGTATGCACTGTCTGTGGAAAGGCGTTTGCGCGACAACACGACAGAAAGCGCCACGAAGGACTACACTCTGGAGAGAAGAAGTTTGTGTGCAAAGGTGATCTTAAAGCCGGCGGACAATGGGGTTGCGGCAGGCGGTTCGCTCGTGCAGACGCTCTCGGCAGACATTTTCGGTCGGAAGCCGGTCGCATTTGCATAAAACCCCTCCTCGACGAGGAAATGCTAGAAAGGCAGAGAGTCTGGCATGAGCAGCGGATGCAAAACATGGCTCAGAATATGGCCGCGCAGCAAGCTGTCATGGATCCAAGCATGTATCAGCCAATGGATCCTAATGGCGGTTTTACCCTTCCAGCTTCGCTACTAGCGCAATATCCTGCGCTCGCTCAGGTGAATTGGCAAGCACAAGATATGGGTAACGTGGAAGACGATATTAGCGGCAGATCTAGTTTTGATGCCTCCGACTATGATGAAGGAGATGACACCGGCTATGTCAGTGCCCCGGGAACTGGTTTTGGCGAAGGCGGTTTACAGCAAAATTTTGGAGAACAGGGTTACATCAGTGACTATGGTGGCAGGTAGTGCCGGTGTTAGTCGAACTCGTTTTTATACCTTGTTTTTGGTTTATCTTATTCTGGCCTGCGGGATACGACTCCGAGATAGTGTGGTAGATGGTTTCACACCGTGGTTACGGTTATTCCCATAAGTTAACGACGGTGTCACGGCATGGCTTTGCAATTTAGCTTAGCTTGAGTGTTTTCTAGAAGGCATCTTAGATACCAATACGGAGTTTTGAAGATTGTTTACCGAGACCCATCAACTAAAGGCAACTTCTCCCGTCGCTGGATATGTCTTTGTGGTAACTCAGCAGATAAACCATGTCGAAACACAATCTGAACAAAGGAAGAGAATACCAGAACCAGGTCATATTACCCCCGCCAGAAGATTTTCTGCCAAGAGCTCTTCACCGCTGCTGACGAGTTGATGAGGACATACCGCTGATGGGACCATGATAATTTGAATAATCCGCCTGTGTGCCCTGACTGTCCATGGAAACCGTTCCTGGAAACATGGCCGTCTAGTAGGCCCTACCCTGTGCAGTGTTTGCAAATGCCTGGATTCCATTGTTGACGTTTGTCTTCCGGCTTGCCACTGTATTGTTGGTAGCTGCCTGGATCGTCCATTCTCCCACAAAAACACGAAACTGGTATGAAGGTGCATTAGGCACAGCTCATCTTCTACACTATCTAGGGATGGAGGATCTATCTAAATAGTCATATGCCCAGATTGCCTGATTAGGTAGTCAAACACACAAACCAAGGATCCTGATAGGCTAACAAGTTACGAGGCGTCCATACAAGGCCTAATGTATGCTTAGAAGTTTCTGGCAGCAGCTAGAAACAACCAAACTTCCCGCGGCCGGCAACAGAGGCAGTGGCATCCATGCACAGCTAGGCAGGTAGGTTCGCCGACATCATTGGGCGCCCGGCGAAGTAGTAGTTATACACGTCAAAGACAATTTTTGCGCCGGTCAGTAGCACTTTCACACGGCATAATTTGCTGGGGTGCGGAGCACGGAGACGCCACTCGCCGCAAGTACGTCGATATCAGCTGTGGTGATCTACGTAGCGTATCTCTGCTCGAGAACGGGATGGCATTGTGCGCCTGGATGGACGCAGAGGCCCCTATTCGTCTGCTGCGCCCCCTATGTATTTGTTCCAGAACACTGTATCGATGGTTGACTCTTAGACGAGCCAGCCTCCGAGGTTGACGCCATTGCCCTTGAACTTAGTCCAGTTGGTAAAACTAGCAAATGACAATTCTACAAACCAAACTCACAGCTTATGCCAGACCAAAGAGACCGGGGCAAGACCTCATTGTCCTTCGTTGGTACAAGGAGGATTATACCGATACAACTCTTGAAAAGCTTATGTGCTTCTCCATTTCAACTCCATCAAGAGCAGCGGGTGCCTTTATAGGACAGCATTCCTAGGGTCGTTTCGCTTTACCCCGACGTCCACTTTGAAGACGAGGTTGTAATTGTTGAGCTCTTGCACTTTCTCCTCGGTTAGCCCACTCATATGCTTACCCCAGATTTCTCCACAAGCTGCAGATCTAGATTCAGGGGTGCGCATACCTTGCATACAGAATTGAGTACGGCCCCACCACTCCTAGCCTCCAGTCCTGTGTTTGACCTTCTTTAGGCGAGGCCGGCCCCACTGGTGATATTGAGGTGGTGACAAATATTCATTGCAAGGCGGAGCAGTGCCTCGCGCTGAACAACATCATCCGCTATCGAAGATGCACACGATCTGCTTGGGTCGACTCCCATATTAACATGATGAGGTTTAATTTGACATCCCAGCTAGGCACTGGCTACAGAATCCGACATCTACGTTGAAGTGACTCCATAATTTACTAACTGAGAACATTCGGTCTCGTGCTATCGAGGTGAAACGAAGTCAATCAGGCTATGAGATACGAAAAGATTAGAGTATGATAGTTGTTCTCATTGTTGTCAAAAAGAAATCCCTGATAGTAGCTGAAAGATCCCTACATGCTACCTAGTCGCCTTCGAAACCCTGGAAAGTGACCACACTGCTCCCGTATAAAAGATCACGTCATTCATTTACACGTTGATGCGAAACTGACTTTGTGGCTTGTGAACATCGATTGGGGTTTTGCTCTTTTTCACCCTGCACCTAGAAATATTGTAGTGATACGTGTTGTAGAATACTATGTATCCGGTCGAATCCTCCCTTAATTTAAATATGCGTTTCGCTCTTCTTCGCTGTGCATTAGCTGTCGTTTCACCCATGCCTCGTCGAGCTCAGACACCGTCACGCTTCTGGGCTCCCCCCGTGTAGCCAAAGAATCTCCCAGCCTGGCACGAAGAAGGTATGTCGGAGTACAGCTCCAGGCGTGACAGAAACTATTGTTCCTGACGTCTCCGTAAGGACTAGCATGACTATCCTTAGGGTCATACGCCTCCCAAAACGTATCTGCACCCGCCTTCACCATTCCACCCCAGTAAGACTTGATGGTTTTTGTACACTCATCATAACAACCCACAGATGCGAGCGCATCGCAAACGTGATGCCACAGGTAAGGTGTCAAAGGCTTCAACGCATCTGGATGGGCCAATGTCTTCAATAATGCTTGGCGTGCCATATCCTTTGGTAAGGCTCCGGAAAGAACAAGCCACGAGGCCGAAGCATAACTAATTTGGGCATCCGATCCAGATATGAAGCATCCTTCAGGGGAAATGAACTGCCTTACTACTTCGGTCATCCGAACTTCAGTTTCTCTGAACGGACTTTCGAGACGCAGCAACTCTCCCAGTGACTGAATCGCCTTTAGAGAAAACAACAACACACCGTGTAATCCAGCACTATGTTCAAGACCATCTTGCCAGTCGAGAAAGTTCCAGTCTTTGGAGCGAGACTTTTCGTACATGTATGTATCAGGGTTAAGATTGGATAGTGCTCGTCCCACACAGCCAAGGACAGTTGACCACAGGACCCTGCCAGTCTCAAGGTCATTGGAGGCTACAACATAATCGTAAACGGTGGCGCTGAAAAGCACATCATAGTCAACGATATAGTCCGTCGATGGTGTCAACCTTGGCTGCTCGAAAATGCAGGCAGGAAGCGAACCGTCCACTCGGGCCACGGCCGCAAACTGGAAGAGGTTGCGCTTCACAAGTTGAAAATCTCGAAAAGTGCTGTAGTTCGCGAGCGCCTCAAGACGAAGATCACCCATCCACAATCGTCGGTCACGTCGCGGGCCGTCCTCAAACACAGTCTACTCACCCCACACGGGTTAGCAATTTCTAAATCACAGTATTTTAGGAGTATTTTGGAGCATCACGGGTGTCTCGAGAACATGAATGATCAAAAACAGTCCAGAGGGGGAATGAGGAACCCAGAATACTGACCTGCATACAATCTCGCAGCGTCGAGATACTGGCATGATCGATAGCCTGCAAAAGAGGGTCTTGTAGTTGTGGCATATCCAATTTGCAGCTTTGGCTGACAGCGCTGACACTCTCACAGGTGAAATCGGAAAATACAACTTGATATTTGGGCGATGTGTCGACGATGTCCACCCGCGCATAGCGGAAAGCATATCGTCGGGGCAGGGCTACTTGCTCCGGGCACATGTCGATATTCAGAACCTCGTCAGGTAACCAACTCGTGCTGATCCATGTTTTGACGTTGTCCATTCCCAGTGTTACATCCAGAGGCGACTCTCCAAACGTGAACCTTAGCCTACATGGAGCATCCATGTGCGATCCGCGGGAGTCCAAATGAAACGAGACATACCCAACCATGTGAATACCGAAATCCAGAATGAAAGAATCATCCTTGGCCCATGACAGCGATGGCAGCTCGTCAATGGTGTGGGCAGCAGGAGTTGCCTTTAGGCCAAAGTACTGATCATCATCTGGCTTGAATTCGACGATTCTCTGGGGCCTTCGCTGCCATCTGTGTAATTGAGGGCGTAAATTGTTCGAGATCTCCACAAATTCATAGTTCCATTGAGTTGGTGGGCCTTCTTCGGTCTTGCTGTACTCGGCCATCTTTGATGTGCAGTAGGTACTTAGCGACGAGAACTGCTCTAGTTTTGAGGCAAAGGTTATAGTAATTGACTTGAGAAGTCACATTGTAATGCTGAGCGTGAGTCGTGAATGATTACTCGCCCGGCTTTTCCGCTACATCGCCCCCCTCTCTCTATTGATCGGTAGGCGCTATCCCGAAGTCATGGGTCTTGAAACGATGTGGACCAATTAGAGGGGAAGCACCTACCAGTTCGAGAGCTTTTGTATACTCACACCACATGGTGACGACCATGTGAAATTTTCAAAGGCGATGATATCTCCAAAAAATCCGGGCTCGAGGATTTAAACATAGTCTCGTATTTAGAATTGTATTATTCGTTTCTATCACGAATTATATGTCGGTGGAACCTCAACTATGTACTGCTAACTCCACTGTGGCTGAATATGAGTACACTCAATTGAGAGTAAGTTCGGCTTCGAAGAAACTGACGGACAGATCCAAGAATCTGTCGCGCAATATATGAGATATCTCACCAATTCTGATCGTGCTATGAAGTCTTGTTCGTTGAGGCCCCGCTTGCGATACAATAATGAGGACTTTGTTACATCGGAATGTGGCGATAATCTTGTTATGAGACGATGGCCCCACCCTATCTAATTCTGTCCTCAGTCTGACACTCGCTCGATTCGGTAAATGATTCCGACTTGATTAAGAACATATTTTGACATCTTCGCAATGTCTGATGCTCCTTCTAGGTTTTCCATGGCTTCTTCGGCAAACACAGATACGGCGGGCACTACATTGTTATGTATATCCTGGTTGGGTATTGATTGGTAGCTGCTCTTTACATTGTAACTTGAAGCAGTTTTTCACAACATATGACAACCCTGAAAATATCATAGCTATTAAACAGGCTATACAGGAGCATGTACTATTGATAATGTGAACAATTATTGGATTTGAGCTTTCAGACTCCACACAAGCTCAATGGCTGAACGAGAATGACCAAAACCAGATGCACTCCATAGTCAACACGAATATCATCTTCAGCTTCTTTCACACTTCCCTCTTCATAATGTTCTAGTTTGCAAATGAATCAATATTCAGGAAATCTACTATCTATCACGTATTGCAAGATCCGACCACTACGAAAACGGCGCTAAAGCAGGAAGGCGATCCCGCGAAACATACTTTGACTTTAGAGTTTGCGTCTCAGCGTCACGATTCAGCTTAGGGTCAAGATATGGATTAGGTCAAGACGTTGTAAGCGATATTATTATTTTCTTCACTCCGGCATTTTTCAAGAAAACAAGTTTGAAAAAGAAAAGAAAAAGTTGGCAAACAGCGCAACAGTTGTTGTCTTGGTTTAGCAGTTCGCAATAAAAGGTGACATTTTGGATTCGAGATTGCGACCTATTTTTAGTGACGTATCAGAATCTAATTCAAGTGAGTCAAATAAAATTGAATACGTCAAATGACTGATGTAAATATGCAGCTTCTCGGAATTTTCCAGGGGTTTACAGTGGAGTGTGCTTTTCTACACGTAGCTTTTTGTGTGCCGGTGACTTAAAAGGAGGTATCTCGGGGACTTTCGGGGACATATCATCATATTCCTTTGTTGTTTTCAATAGTTTTCATGCTTCTCTTTGTTCGAGTGAGTGATTGATTGCCGCAGCTGTTCATTGATAATTCATTTCGAGTCTAGTTCCTGTAATTCGATTATCAGCAGCGCAAGATCCCGGATTTGGTCTAAATAAATACTCCGCGGAATTAAGGCTCCGACCGCGTCCGAAAGTGTTCGTCGATTTCTGAATTCATATATAACCAGTTTTGTGTCGAAGTTTTACGTAGCCTTGCTTACGATGCAAACAATTCCTGTCCTTGGTCTGTTTGCATTGAATCGATCTACGTATCCTCGTCCAATGGTCAACATGCCGGCTCCAGATGATTCTGAAGCTCCTCCGATGGCAAACTCCCACTTCCAAGATTATGCAGCTATCTATGAGAAGTTCGCTGGATCTACCTCATCAAAGCTCGCAGCCGCCGCTCTCACCCGCCTGCCGTTATCCAAATACACCGCTGATTCCCATATCCTTGACTCAGCATGTGGTCCTGGGATCGTAACGAAGCTCTTCTTAGCTCCGACGCCTTCTTATATATCTACAACTGCCCTTCCTCTGAGCTCCGCGCCTCGGGTCACTGGAATTGATGTCGCCGCAGGTATGGTCTCGCAGTATCTGAAACAGATGGACGCCATGGGTCTTAGCACTGCCACCGCATTTGTGCACGATGCTGTTGATTTGAGTTGCTTCCAAGACGCTGAGTTCGATGCCGTAGTCATGAACCTCGGCATATTCACTTTGTCGGATCCAATTCATGGCGCCAGAGAGATGAACAGAGTGCTTAAGCCTGGGGGCCATATTGTCGTGACCACTTGGAAATATGCACGGGCGCAGACTCTGTTGCAACAGGTAGTTGCTGCTATTAGACCAGAACAGCAAAACCAAGCCTTACCAGTACACTCAGAATGGAAAAGTAAGGAGAAGATCATCAGCGTTTTGAAGGAAGGAGGTTTTGAGGAAGACAGAATGGAGATCTGGGCAGAAGATGTCAATTGGAATGCCGGAAGTGTTGATGAGATTGTCGAATTTTTGAGCGCTCCACTCTGGACCGACAGGATCTGGAAAGACTGGAGTGAAGACCAAAAGGCTAGATGGAAGGTTGAGATAGTCAAGCAAATGTCTGAAGAGGAAAAGGCTACGGCTAGCATCAAAATGGTCGGCTGGGTGTGTGTTTGCAGTTAGTTGACGTTTAGAATACAATGGCGGCTGCTACCTCAAAGACAGCTAGTCTGGTTCAACTAAACCTGTAATATTCGAGCCATTATTGTGCTCCAAATGAGATACAGTATTGCAACGGATGTATTCATTGTATACAATGCATAGATACATGTTGAGGGTCCAGCATTAGTTCACGGTTTTCTCTACGCCTTTCTGGAGAGATCTTGTCCCTCACTATAGAATATACTAGTCCATATGTACTGTGATTTGTGTGGTCTCTAATGCAATTCAAGTAGCTCTAATGTGATATACACAGTAACCGCTAGGGGTCTTCCATCCACCCCACCAGGCCAAAATGAATACACCAACGTATATCCGCATGAAACGACCCGGTCGTTTAAGGGGATAGTAGAAACCTAGCCAAAACCGCTGCAGTGGAAATGATATGAATTCATCCCACTCGATTGTGCTCTGACCCTCGTATGTATGCCAACGACGGTGCTATTGCTCTTTGTACTACTAGACTAGACTAGAGGTGACCCGAAGCTATACCTTGTGCAGATCTGAGTACTATTCCAGGTTCTCCACTTCTGGAGACCTGGGGATAACTTTAGGGGTCAGGTAAGGTTGCTTATGGGTATAAGACCATAGAAGAATTTATTGGCGGATGGGTTTCTACTGATACTCTCCTCCACCTTGACCATTACCTTAATATGGTCAGGTAAGATGTTTTCCGGGAGAAGGCGTCCGCTCCTGCAGATCCTGATAGGTGGATTTTCGGAGAAATACGCATCTTGATTATCTGCTCAGAATGCGATCATGAGCGGGTCTTTCCCGCCGGGACAGGCAGTCGCCTCGCAAAACATAGTCATTATAATACAGGGTAGCGAGAATTGCGATCATGGCGTGTCAAAGATTTCGTTTTGATTTTTCGGAAGGCTCACTTCACTTATCCCAATCACCTCCTAAATTCATAGGCTAGATTTGCGAGTATACGATCAAGTTTATCGCTCATATGTTTTGAGGGAGGCAAGGTCCTTCTCGGAGACACTCTCTCCATCCCCCAACCATGGTTGGTATAAATCAGCACAGAAACGTTTCTGACATCTTCCAAGTTGTTCTGGTGGCAACTACGTTTGTGGCATTTGCGCTTGCTGCAAGCTCAACTCAATATCGGCGCGCACCTGGGTTTGTCTTGCGCCAGTTACTCAATCGCATATAGTGCTTCTAAATATCTCAGCATTGCTACACTTGCCGGTTGCGCTTTCTACAAGGTTTACGGATTCAGGGCTTCAGACAACTTTACATGGTGGGCATTCATTCTACGGTGACCGAGCAATCAGATTAATTGTCAAAGTACGGCCGATTGATACGATGTGAGGTCGGTGCGTTGCTGCCCCAGAACTTGGAGTGTATGTACTGGAATCGGGACCTTGGCGTCTTCAAGGGTATGGAGCCCATGTTCCGGTATTGCCGCCCCACACTTTCAACCTTTCCGTATGAATATCCCCCGAATCACCTTCCACTACATGAATTTAGCTCATTCGACTTTCGCCGGCCTCCATCTTGTTATCAGGAAGATTATGAACTTGCATGCGGTTGCGCTCATATCTGATCCTGTGAGAGAGGCCATCTAGATGTCGACTGCCGATCCTTATCCGTCGACGCAACGTGTAGCTCCACGGAAAAGACATCGGGTCTCTCGTGCTTGCGACCGCTGCAAGAAGTAATCGGCACAAAGCTACACATACCCATATTGAAGCGGACTGAGACTGACATCCCCAATAGAAGGAAAATACGCTGCTCAGGCAATCAGCCATGCGAAGTCTGCATTCGGGATGAAACTAGCTGCATCTATGCTGCTCCACATAACCGCGGAAGGAGACTGCTCACACCTATAGCGAATAATTCTTCATTATCAGCATTGTCAAGCAACACCCAACATAGTCTGGTGACCACAACGCCGACAGGTATTCCAATAAGGAACAGCCAAGAGCAGCAACTGCGGCTCGCCTTAAACGGCGATTCTGGCTTGCCTGGCACTATCACCACAGAGACGTCAACTCGTGTCTCCCCAGAACCCATAACAGATCTGCAAGGCCATTATGTTGGGCCAGCGGCAGGTGTGTCTTTTCTGGCTAGGGTCCGAAAGCGACTTCACTACGGCGACTTCACGTCATCTACTTTTACGTTTGCTGACGCTCCATTGCCCGAGTGTGAATCGACACCCCCTGTAATGATAACTATGGATCGAGCCTCGCAGCTGTTGGAGAAATTCTTTGAATTCACAGTGCCAATTGATCGGCTATTCCATCGACCTACTATCGAACAGTGGTTTCGGGAGTTCTATGATACCCTTGGGTCTATGGATACCCCTGAGAATGCCCCAGCAAGACGCGGTACTATCTGGATCATATTTGCTATGGCGCAAGAGCATATGCCAGTTGGCCACAACGATCTAGTGGAAGATAAAGCGTGTGTACAAAAGAACCATAAATACAATCTGACTGTGCTGATTCATTGGCAGCATTCGTTACTTTCTTGCAGCAGACTATCAGCTGTCGAAAGAACGAGGTGTAGTAAATCTCGTGGGCGTTAGAGCTCGCCTATATCAATGCTTCTGGTTGTTATCCAGATCCCGAATCAACCATTGCTGGAGCTTGTTTGGGACCACAGCCCGCCTAGCACTTCAGCTTGGGCTTCATCGAAAGGAGGGACACCATCCGGCAGATGGTCACGGTCTTATTGACCATGACCTATCTCGAAGAACCTTCTGGTCCGCCTACTGCCTGGACATTCATCTCAGCCTCACTTTAGGACGGCCAAGGATATTTCATGACGAGGATATCGACCAAGAAATGCCACACGGTATCGATGATAATGAATTTTCAATTGATCCGCCGTCGCCATCTGGTACAATTAGCTATTCCGTAAACCTAGCTGCCGTGTCCTACTATAAGTATGCAACGACTCTAGCTCTGAAATCGAAGTGCTGACAGAAACATAGACTCCATCGTATTCTGGGTAAGGTCCTTCGCGATATTTATTCTATTCAGCCTGTCTCTGCCACAGAACAGTGCATCAGATCACACAAATACCTTCAAGAAATAAGAGAGTGGAGGTCGATAGCCCCAGGCTTTCTACAGTTGGACAGCAAAGATGTACCGCCTTTGATTCCAATTTTCCAACGTCAGCGCGAGGTATTGAAATTCACATATTGGCACGCAGTAATTGTGACGTGCCGTCCACTTCTTCTGCAAAGTTTTACACATAGGCAGCAGAAACCCGATAACACCAGATCAATCCCGCGAATACATGAGGGCGTTAAGGAATGTCTGCATGCTGCCATGCTCGTAGTCGATAGTGTTATTCAGATGTTTGAGTCTGGCAGAATGTTTCGGTCATTTTGGGTATGGTATAATTACCAAAAGAAATTTGCATTCCAAGATTTGACTGACTTAGTATACAGGCCACTTGCTATTACGGATTTTCTGCCGCGGCCATCCTCTATGTCTATACTATTCAGCAAGCGTTATCATCACCAGAAACGTACCGGGTATATTTAGACGCCGCAACCCGATTTCAGGGGAAGTTGTCGACATTGTTCGATGACAACTCGCTAGTTGCACGCTACTATATTATGCTGGAAGAACTTAGATTGGAGGTTTTGCAATATGTCGACATCAACTCAACTCCTGGAGCAATGAGCACATTGGGTACATTGGGCACAACCGACATGACTCACATGGCTTCTATAGCGTCTGAAAGTGAAAACATCTTCGACGCATCGAGCCCTTATTCAACAGTTGGGAGACAAGGACTTATTGGCATGCCGATGGATATGAGGACGTGGATGCAGTTTGAAACTTTGGTGAGCGACAATCAACTCTACTATCGCCGAACCACCCTTCTCACAATAAAAACTTAGGCTGTCCCGTCCTTCGCCGGTTTCGAGTCCCTGACCGGGAACATCTGATACAAGCGCTTCAGCTATTGTAATTGTAAGAGGCGAGATGTACTTGCATTCAGCCAGCAGTCGGTAGTGTGCCTATAGTATAGCCAATCACATTACTTGGGATATCAGTCGCCGAACCCCCCATCCCCGCGAATTCTAGTTTAGAATCGTTCGTGTTGCTCCAGAGTTAGTGCTGATGGTTACACTGGTGCCCAAATGCAGTTCGTTTCTTTTTCGCCTCACTCAATGGTCGCGGAGGAGGCAAGAAGTCCCGGCCTGATAAATCGACATCCTTCTTGGACATCATCACAGCACCACCGTCGCGCTTTGCCTTAGCCACCTTGACAGAATAAATTTGATTCAACCAGTTGGCAAGCCTATATCCACCCTTCGCTATCTGCAGCTCCACAGTAGGAATAACGCTGTTGTAGTACGTCGGGTAAAGGTCTCCTGTTTGTAGAGCGGCAACGCCATCCGGCATAACAACGCTGCAGACCAAGGCGTTGGCATCACTAGCCCAACTCATGGCCGTGTCTACAGCGGAGTCAGGGTCATCACCAGCGATCCAGCTAGAAGCTAGACTCTTGTAAGCGCCGGAGTCGATCTCCGTGATGAGCTCAGTGGCCCAGGTCTTTGCATCGGGCAGTGTAGACCCCCCAACCAGCTTTGCGGGAATATATGTGTCCCAGTCCGAGTGCCTAGTTATAGAAACTAAATTAGTCTTTCTTTTCTGGCAACATCAGGATAATAGAAATCTGGTGGATCTTGAAACTCACAGGTTGTCATCGTCGTAGCCATCGAACGTTACCGTGATTGTGTTGCCACCTACGTCCAACGCCTCGTCGTGCAGCGGCTGCGTGATGTCGCCTACGAAGTGCACCAGAAACTTCAAGGCTTCCGCCGTGTTTGCCGCACTGAGCCGTCCGTCACCGATGCGCTGGGTGTAGTTTGCAATGGCAGACACTGAGCAGCCTGTATCGCCGCAGTCGCGGTCATAGTCGACATTGCAGTCTGTGGGCGGGCTATCTTCGGCATCGATAAAGTGAAACGGCGCGGACCATTTACCCGCCGTGGTCGCGCGATACGTGTCTGCCCACGACGCAATGTTGGCTAGGTACGAGTCGGAAGTATCCGCCAAAACACCTTGGGCCCAAGTGGCCACTGTCTCGTCGAGGTAGTTCTGTGCGATGTAGGCGACGGTAGCGTGGCCAAGGGTCCCCCAAGCCGCGACCGTCCTGAGAATGGTCAGCCCCAGAATAAGGGATCTCAGGTAAGCCATTGTCTTGAAGTATAGTGCTTTGAGAAGGCAAATACAGGTACAATGTGGCGCGACTTGGCGTTCAACAATAGGCCTAGTATTCAAGCGAGCGCTACTATGCAATCTTTATAGACTTGGCACCATTGACCGATCTCGGCATTATGTAGTATACCGAGCTGGAAACCCATTGCTATGACCTCTATGGCACTTACATTCAAACAGTAAATATAAATATCTCCGTCGGTGACCTAAGTATCTGGGAAGCTAGAACAAAAGCCTTTCCCGGGGCTGTTTCTGGAATAGGAAGGAGGCCCCACTGCAATATGCCGAAAGGTGGGATTGTATCGCGGGATGTAACGCTTTGCTGTCACACGTGTCGAAGGTCGCAGATAACATTCGGTGCACGCTTTTATTGTGCTCCTCAAGTCTTGACCGATGCTGATTTTGCAATTGTCGTCGCACCTTAGCTAGGCGGCGGTGATTTTTCCATCAATTAAGACCCGGGACAAACTCATGGAATAACGATCATGATGGGTTCATCCGTAGGACAGCCAGAACCGGGTTTTACTTGGATCTGATAACGGATCGCCATATTCTCAAGGCAAGAAAATAATCGAGAGGGTGTCGTTGAACTCTTGCATTCTCTTGAGGCCAAAGATATAAGATAATAGTTCGTTCCAGACTCGTGGAGATCGGCGTTCATACAGTCAGAATACGAGTTTCAACTTACGATGGTAGACTCTCAGACGTTCTTTATTAAAATCAACCAAAATTCTAATGTGGATTGCCTTGGAAAGCTCCCAATGACCGACTGTGAGAGGTATCATGATGTATAGTGCCTCTGCACCTAAACATCTTATGTCTAATAAGAAGTGCACAACTCCAGAAGCATAACGTGGAAATAATGGTTATATTGACAGGTGTATGCATTGTACAGTTTGAACATATCCCTGATGATCATATAAATTGCTGTGAACGAAGCTATCACCACTCGTAGGTATCGTCAAGAAATGCATTTACCGGAGTCTTTAACATCAAGCCTCGGAACTTGAGTGTAGATAAGAATACACGCGCTCGGAAGACGGTAACTCAGTCATGTTGACTAATCCTATGAGGATCAGCACCCACTCAACTTTTATCATTTAAACCAATCGCGGCTTTGCAATGCATAAGATTCACCAGATCATGAGACCTGTCCAAGACATCAATAAGCCATCGTAACGCACATGCGAAGAAGCTCCAGCCTAGATGAACTGCTCTTGCCTGTAGATGATAATTATAGAAACAATAGTCTTTAGATCATCAGGAACTTGTTGGAATTATGATAGTATGGGCCAAGCCACGCCAATCTTGGTTTGGTAACAATAGTTCACGATTTTGCGTAACAGTATTTTCTATGACTTTTTGTTTGGCACTACATAATTGTACCTAAGATTGCTGAATTTTTATCAATTTCAACTCCTTTGAATGTTTACAGTCTGGACATAATCCCTGGACTGCCCTGCTGTGGTAAGGCCCGTCCTTCTTTCCACATTTGCCAAAGCTTCGATTGTACTTGATTACCATGAAGCACTTATGCTCGTAAAGCTTCTCAAAAGCACGAGGTTGGTTGCATGCTTCGCAAATCTTGGTCAAGAGTTCTGAATAACACATGTTAATGTGCTCAAAGTTATCTGGCAAGTATATGATAATGGTTCTTCAAATATGTTGTGCCACTAATTACTGAGCGAGGGCTGTGGTCGATTTTAGTCATATAGCCATGTTCATTGTGAAGAGAGGACAAGTGTCTTACATCAAAGCCATTGAAGTCCAATTGCCGGGAACATGGGGCGTTTGCCCCTCGAAGTCTTTATAATAACAATGGAATGGAGATTACAAGAAATCATGTCGTGAAACAATCCGTTTGTCATGCGCCACTGTTTAATCTGAGAAGCCCAACGCCGGCCTCAAAATCGCTGCAAAGAAACCACAGCCGGCTGTTGGACTGCCCAAGCGGAGAGTGTGTATCTATCTGTTGTGAGAAAACCCATATATAAGTCATAAGAAAACTTTCTATTCAGAATCGAACATTGAACCTACAAAAATTGCGCCTAGCGGGATTTGCACCCACGATCTCGTCCTGGCCTTTTGGGAGGGAAGCAGCTTAACTACTCGCCCATGAGCGCTTAATATCTTCTTTCAGTATCGAATATTAAAAGCTCATGACAATTTTTGTTTGCAAGCATGTGTCTATCCTGGGCGCCAGCAAAAATCACAAGAAAACGCGCGTTGCTGCAGCTTGAAAGGCGACACGAGACAAGACATCACGACTTTAGGAGAAGCAAGGCAGGACCACTGCCAACGATGGCGTCGATGGCGCCCCACGCGTTTGCACTTGCAGGGCTGTTTATGGGTCGGCGATGATCCAGCTCTGGCCACTTGGCAGCCACTTCAATCCTAGCCAAGTTCAAGAACTGGGAACTGGAACTGGGAAAGCTTTGACCCGATTTTGACGAAGAATCATAAAAATGTACGGAGTGGAGCTGGGGACTGTCATCGCGCTCGGCACTGTCGCTTGGCGAACAGCGCCAAATCAGCATACATTTATGTGGATGGATGGATCAATCAAACACGCCAACATGCACAATCACCAACAGTAGGTAGGAAGCAAATGCTCCTATTGTTTTCATTTCACTCCTGATACATTACTAGACGACGACAGTTGGTGGCTAGCTCCCTCATTCGCTCGCTCATATATTTGAATAATGGGGGTATTATATACTCTTCTAAAACAAGGTTAGGATGCCGGATACACTTCGCTATTCTTGTCACGCCAGCTAACATGCTGAAACTCCCACCACCAATGCATGGTGGAACAACCCGCCTAAGCTCCCCCTACTCGTCAAACAAACATGCCCAATACGCCAAGATGATGAGTGTAATGACTTGACACCAGAGTTTGACCACCCAATGCAGGTTAATTCGCAAAGGGTATTGTGATACTCCAAGCGAGGAAAGCACGCTCCGAGCCAATAAAGATCAATCCAGTAACACCCACCTATCCCACATTCTAACTGCCCAATCGCTGCCCAAAACAAAGTGACAAAAATGTTGGAAAGAATGTCCAAAAGTCCAACACATATCCAACAAGACATAAAAACTCATCACTCATGCACCACCTGTCAATTTCCTCCACCAGCTACTGCGAGGTGTCGTATCCATGAAGACGGGTTCTCGTTTCTCACCACTCCCGTCGGAGCCACCACGATGACGTTCTCGTTCTTCACGACGTGCGCGGCGACGTCTTTGGTCGTCCTCCATATCAGCACTGCCATCTTCATATCTCGATCGACGACGAGCTCGTCTTGCCGCACGGCGAGCTTCATCCTCATCTGTTGGGAATGGAGCATCAGTAGATGGGCCATCCTCAGGTGGCGGACCCGCGTCCGAAGTCTCCTTCACCCAGGAAGATGTGCCAGAATGTGGCCAAGCTGGTCGCTTCTTACTGCTGTCCTGGGGCCCGGGTGTATAGACATACTCGTCTGGTGGTGTGGATCGCCGGCGGCTAGTCTTCTCTTCCTCGGCAATACGCGCAGCACGTCGAGCTTCGCGACGCCGTCTTCGTGCTTCATCGTCCTCTAAATCACCGCCTGCGCGAGATCTGTGTCGGTCTTCTCGTGTAGAACGCCTCGGCTCTGCCTCGGTCTCCTCAGCAGCAGTAGCAGCGGCGGCGGCTTCTCTGCGCAAACGATGACGTTCAGCACGTGCCACTTCCCGAGCTGCATCTGCCTCGGAGGCAAGACGTTCTTCTTCTGCCTTCCTAGCAGTACGACGTTCAGCGCGTCGAGCTTCACGCTCGGTTTGTCTGCGAGCCTCATCCACTTCCTCTTGGCGTTTGCGACGCTCGCGGCGGGCCTCCTCCTTTGCTACGCGGGCATCCTCCTCCGCAGCCTTATCATCTGTGCGTCTGGCACGCCGAGCAGCCCGACGAGCTTCCGCCTCGGGATCTATACCCTCAGCGTCGCTCTCACGGTTAGAGCGTCTAGGTCTCTTACCAGGCCGAGCGCCATCGTCTTCAGTACCGTGATATGTGCGGCGACGACGAGGTTCCGGGCGCAGATCGGACTTGGGTGTGTTGGACTTGAACCCGCCGAAGAGCCCAGAGATACCCTTCTTGGCACTCGAGTTTGCCCGCTTGAGAGGAGTGGCATCATCCGCATCAACCATAACCACGTCATCCTCTGCCAACTTTGACCTTGCCTTCCTGCGTGATGACTTCTCAGGGCTGGGTGTGGCATCAGCTGCATTGACCATGACTATATCATCGTCATCAGCCGTGCGACGTGATTTGCTCTTGCGACTACTTTTCTGACCCACACCTAGGATCTTTGCTGCTTTTGAAGACATCTCAGGCATGTCCTCAGATGGAGGGGACATGAGCCCGCCTGACATTTCCACAGAGTGGTGACGTGAGCCTGACTTGCTAGAACGCCTCTCACGAGTCGATATGGAGCGTGAGATTGGGGGAGTGCTATTGAACACGCTCGTCATGCGAGGTGTGAACAGATTCGAAGAAGCCTTTTCAACCTTGGGTCGTTCTGTTTTATCGGAAGAAGAGCCTTTGGACGACGTTTTCTCCTCGCGCTCCTTTTTGTCCGGCCTTGAGCGCTTATCTTCAGACTTGGTGGTCTTAGAATGTTTACGCTCTTCTTTCTTGGGTGTAGCAGACCAGGCTCCCCATGACGAACCGCCGTCACGGTTGATCTTGGCGCGCTCCTTCTTTGCAGGCTTGAGTTCGATAGGAGGAGACATCGGCGCGTCGGGAACGGCTGGAGGTGGAGGAGGAACCTCAGGCGGGACTTCGCGTGACTTCTTACTGCTCTTCTTGCTCTTCTTTTGCGGCATCTCAATGACTTCAATTATCTCGTCCTCGTCATCAAGTACTTCAGGCTCAGCCTCCGCGGCCGGCAGAGCTTCGGGCGCAGCTTCGTCGTCAAGAGGAAAGCTCCCTGGTATGTCGGCTTTTTTGCTCTTCTTGTGGGAGAAGTAGTCGTCTTCCAAAAAGTCTATGTCCTTGTATTTGGATTTAGTCTTCTTTCTGCCAAATTCTACCGGAGCCTCGGGTGGCGGAGGCGGAGGAGCCGGAAGAGCGTCAATGAGGTCAACTTCCGTTGTTGGCTCAAACGCTTTGAGCTTGTCAGAAATCTTACTGCTCTTCTTACTCTTCTTCATGGGCGCGAAGGCCATGAATGTATCCTCCTCGACCATGGTATCTTCCAGAATCTGGCTTGACTCAGCATCTTTAATCTCGGATCCTGCCGAAAGATTGGTCAGTCCTGGCAATCCGGGGTGCAGCAAACGCACGTCTGGGGAATGATGTGATTGGCTCAGAGGGGACGAACCTTTCTTCTTTGAGGAGCTCGTGCCCCAGAAATCGAATCCGCCGGATTTATCCTTGGGCTCCGGGGATAAGAGCTCATCAATTTGGGCATCGTCCAATTCGATACCGTCCAGATCCAAAAGATCGTCGACTTTCGTGATTTCGGGTTCAGGTGCAGGTTCCGGCTCGGGCTCGGGCTCAGGCTCGGGTTCCTTTGCCTTTTTCTCCTTGCTGGACTTGGACTTCGGTAATTTCTTGTCATCCTTCGAACTTTTCTTGGATTTTTTCTTGGCGGCAGCAGCTTCGTCAGCTTCAAGTCGCTCACGCTCAGCTTGTTCTTCAGCTGCCAATGCAGCTTGCTCTTCGGCCTCTGCAGCCTCTCGGGCAGCTTGTTCTTCAGCTTCTGCAGCTTCTGCAGCTTCTCGAATAGCCTGTTCTTCGGCCTCCTTCGCTTCTTGTGCTGCCAAATCCTCTGCTTCTTTAGAAGTATTAGCTTCGTTACGAAGATTCGCTTTCTCAGTGAGGCGGTTGAATTTCTCTTGATCCTTTTTCGTGAGCTTGCGCTTGCTCTGTTTAGCTGTCAAAGCAGCAAGCTCTTCTTCCTCCTGAGCAATCTCTGCAGCTTCGGCATCCAAGCGGTCACGCTCCGCTTGCTCCTCGGCCTCCTTGGCAGCTAACTCATCTGCAATCCGTTGAGCCTCCTCTTCCGCTTCTCGGGCGGCTTGCTCCTCAGCCTCACGTTGGGCTTGTTCCTCAGCTTCACGTTGGGCCTTCTCTTCGGCGTCCTTGGCCTCCTTTGCCTCCTGCTTGGCTCGTTCCTTCTCAGCCTTCTTTTTCTCTTTCTCAAGCTTCTCAAGTTCCTTCTTGCTCAATTTGGGCTCTTTCTCCTTGCTCTTCTTATCGTCTTTGTCCTTGTCCTTGTCCTTGTCTTTATCTTTCGACTTGGATTTCTTGGAGGTGGGAGCGTCGTCCCAGATATTCGTCTCGAGTCCCTGTTCTGGAACAGGTTCGTCCAAGTCCATGGACGGAGGGGTAGGTGCTGGAGGGGGAGGATCAGCCAATGCATTCTTCTTGGATTTCTTTTTGTCTTTGCTGTTCCAAAGCCAGTCATCGTCGTCGACTTTGCTGTCCATGGTCGATGAGACGGAGTCTGGCTTGACGCCGTTGACGTGCGATCCGTCGACTTCGATCGGCTCGTTTCTCCAGCTGAACTTACTCTTGGTTAAAGCCAAGGATTCCTCGATCTTGGGCTCCTCGACTGAATCAGGTTTAATACTACCGTCGACATTCTTCTTCTTCTTATCCTTCTTACTAGTACCAAAACTTGACCAGAAGCCACCTCCCTCATCGACTTCTGGGGCTTCTGGAACGGCTGGTGGCGGCGAGGGTAAAGGCTCGGGCTCCTTCTTCTTGGTCTTTTTGGTAGCACCCCAGAAACTCCAAGCGCTGCTCTCCTCTACCATAGGAGCTGGCTGCGTTTCAGGTTCTGGCACAGGTTCCGGCTCCAGTTCCAGTTCCGGGTCCGGGTCGTCCCAAATGTCAGCTTTCTTTTTTTTCTTATCCTTCTTCGAAGTTGAAGTGCCCCAAATATCAGCTTCAAGTTCTAGTTCGGGAGCAGGTGGCGCTGGGGATGGTAGAGGTTCAGGGTCGGGCTCCTCGGTGATACCCTTTTTCTTTTTCTTCTTGTCCTTCTTACTCGCTGAAAATCCCCAAATATCGTCATCTGCAGGCTTCTCTTCCACAACCGGTTCCGGGTCTAACTCAGGTGCTGGCTCCGGTTCCGGTTCTGGTTCTGGCAGAACAGACTCGGCAGTACCCTTCTTCTTCTTTTTCTTGTCCTTTTTGCTAGACGAGAGACCCCAGATGTCGTCCTCGGCAGGCTTCTCTTCAATCACAGGCTCAGGCTCAGGTTCAGGCTCAGCCGGCGGTGGGGGAGGTGTAGGAGCTTTGGGAGGTTCCTCTTCAACGGCACCTTTTTTCTTCTTCTTCTTGTCCTTCTTAGAAGTACTGATTGACCCCCAAAAACTATCCTCAGCAGGCTTCTCAGGCTCTGGCTCGGGGACTGGCTCCGGTTCCGGTTCAGGTTCAGGTTCAGGTTCAATAAGCGGCGGAGGCGGCGGCATCTCCTCAGCAACACCCTTCTTCTTCTTCTTCTTGTCCTTTTTAGAAGTGCTAATGGAAAGGAAATCATCCTCGGGGGCTTGTCCTCTTCTTTGGGTGGCTCTGGCTCCGGCTCCGGTTCGACAGGTGGTGGATGTGGGGACTCTTCTTCGACAGCCGCTTTCTTTTTCTTCTTCTTGTCTTTCTTACTAGTCGAGAGGCCCCAGATGTCAACCTCGGCAGGCTTTTCTGGTTCAGGTTCAGGTACTGGCTCCGGTTCTGGCTCCGGCTCCGGTTCTGGCTCTGGCTCCGGTTCGGGCGGTGGCGGTGTAGGCACTTTGGGGGGCTCTTCGATAACGACGTTCTTACCCTTTTTCTTTTTCTTGCTTTTGGAAGTGCCGAACCCCCATACATCCTCGGCAGGCTTTTCCGGTTCAGGTTCAGGGACTGGTTCAGGGACTGGTTCAGGCTCTGGTTCAGGCTCTGGTTCAGGCTAGAATCAAAGTAAGCAAATCGAGCAAGCACTGTCATGTACGGCCAATTTCCCTGGATAGTAGTGATGCGACGGATGTCATAAAGAAAGAAAAAAGTCAAGAGAGCAAAAGAAGAAAATCATGAAAATGAAGTGAAAAAGAATAGGAGCTGAGGCAAGACACAATACAGACTTACTTCAGGCTCTTTTACAACCTCCACGATGGGCTCAGGTTCTGGATCGACGTTCTTGCCCTTTTTCTTTTTCTTGCTCTTAGAAGTGCTGAGGCCCCAAATATCATCCTCAGCCGACTTGGCGGGCTCTGGTTCAGGGGGTGGTGGCTCTTCAGCCTTCTTTTTCTTATCTTTGGCAGCAGTGCCCCAGATGCCCCAACTGTCGTCAGCCTGATGGTGCTCGTGTCAGTAAATGCCCTCGTTGAGGATCACGTTGCTGTATTCGTATCACAAGAGTACAAGCTGTGGCGTAAAATGAAGGGAAATAATAATAAAAACATATTGCGTGGACATGGGTGAAATACATACTGCTGGAGGGTCTGGGGCTGGTTCGGGTACCGGCTCCGGTTCTGGTGCCGCGATTTGACCTACACAAGGGCACAGTTAGTCTCATGACAAAGGAGAAAATGCCACTGCTGCCATCACTACCATGCATTCGAAACCTGCTGGGGTCCGCGCACTGCTTCCATCGAAAAGATGCGTAGCATCAGACCACTGTATAATACTTGACCAGAGAATTGCAAGGGTAATGGTCTGAAAGAGCTTACCCTTTTTGCCCTTTTTCTTGGTCCCTATTGTGCCCCAGAAATCATCTTCAGCCGGCTTCTCCTCCTCTTTCGGTGGCTCTGGTGCTGGGTCGGCCTCTGGTTCATCGCCCCACGAAAAGGCACTGATTTTCTTCTTCTTGTCCTTTTTCGATGTCCCTGAGAACCAGTCGTCCGCCAGTGCGGCGGCCTCAGCAGGTGGGTCGGGGACAGCAGGTAAATCTGGTGCGAGTTCTTCAACTGCGTTCTTACCCTTCTTGCCCTTTTTTGTCGTCGGGGCTCCCCATCCTCCACCCCAGAGATCATCTTCAGCAGCTTTTGTCGGCCCTAGATCTTGGCTCGCAGCGAGGGGTTCCTTTGTCTTTTCGGGCTCGGGCTCGGGATCCCAAATGCTTCCTTTCTTCTTCTTGTCCTTTTTGCTGGTGCTAAGTGAGAATCCAAAATCGTCGTCCTTAGTCGCTTTGGTGGCCTGTTCCTCGACAATAGCCGGCTTATCAGTTTTCTCCTCTTCCTCATCAAACGACCCGAAGGATAAGGTAGTCTTGCCCTTCCTCTTGGGCTTGGGGCGGTTGATACTCCAGGGGTTGTCACCTACATCCTCTTTTGCTTCCTCCTTGCTCTTAGCTCCATCTTTAGCCCCTGACCAATCCCATGTCGTACTGGTAGTCCCCGTAGTCCCGGTGTTCCAGCTAGTTCCCCATGTGCCAAAAGAACTCGTCTTTGTATCTGCGGTTCCGGTTTCAAAGTTCAAGTCGAGATTGGGCGCTGTGTCATCGAGTTTGATTTCGTCGAAAGCGTCGAGCTTAACTTCGGGAACTTCAGGTACAGTTGGTCCGGCCGGCTCCTCAACAACAACCCCCTTCTTGTTCTTCTTCTTCTTTTTGCTACTAACTGGCACAGAGGCAGTCCAATCATCTTCAGGAGGAGGATCTCCACCTTCGTCCTTCTTATCATCCTTCTTGTCGTCGTCTTTCTTGTCGTCGTCCTTCTTGCCGTCATCCTTCTTATCGTCTCCGTTACCATCGCCGGCGCCGGAACCGTCGCCTCCAGCATTTCCAGCATCGCCACCGTTCTGATCGCCGCCACTGCCGCCGCCATCGTCGGCTGGGGGTACGTCATCCTTCTTCATTTCATCCCAGTTCACAGCGGCGGGGGTGGCCGCCTTTTTCTTCTTCTTGGCGAACTGGTAGAATCCCTCCTCAGACGAGAAGTCGAGCAGGTAGTCCATAGTCGGGTCATTGAGGATGGAGTCTCTACGACGTTCCTGTCGATTGCCCGCACTCGTCGGCGTTGGTGTCGGCGCAGGCGCAGCACTGTCTCGAGGAGGAGGTCGCTGGCGAGCCTCTTCGCCAGTCCGGGCGGGGTCAACCACCCCGTCATTTGACTCGGGGATGTCACATCGCGCTAACAGTCGTTGCGAGCGTTTAGGCGTGGCGTCGGGGATAATCAGGGGCTTGGAAAGCGTATAGTGGTTCGCTATCGGTGAGGGGTTGTTGGAGTAGACATCCTGTTCCCGATCGCCTCCGTTAGTCTCTCATTACACTTTTTTAAAGTTGAAAACAGGCGCAACGTTTTCTGCAAGCAAGTTCCCCTGGAACGGTGCGTAAACGTCGAAGCCCTAGTCCCGCAGCCTTAAACACACAAAGTGCATAGACCATCTGGGTCCTGTACTCTTCGCGCAATGCCCAATACATCCAGACGCGCAAGGGTAATGGTAAAGAAAGAGTGTAGTTCGCATACCGGATTGCTTTGTAAACGGCACCATCGTCTCGAGATGGCCCGCAGTCGTGTTCCCAAATCCAGCTCATCCCACGGGGTTGCGGTTGTCGAAAGCTGGATCGTTGGCCAGCCAAATTCGTTTCCTGCCCAGTCTTCGGAGCGCACCAGAATCACGGCCACGGCCATTATGAGAAATGACGCTGGATAGGATGCGACTCGGTGGTAGAAGACTCATGGACGCTGTGAGCCTTCAAAGATACCTAGAAGACTATACTCCAGGCACGATGTCGGTGTCAAGGCTTTTGCAGCTTCCAGTAAAGATCGGCAAAAGCGCAGCCCTCTCTTGCTCCAGGTCACCGCCTCGTTGGACGTCAAACACCAGATTCCAAACTGATACGTGAGTAAGATCTCAAGTCTACCTCCGCGCCTCTTTCTCTTGCACAGCAATAATGTTGCGCTTTGGCTACGCCTTGCTTCTACTCTACCTCATTTGCTCCTGGACAGTCCCACAAGCAGCCAATGGTCTTCGCAGATCTTCCCTGGCGATGGTGTGTGTGTGTGTATTGTGCGACCAGGGAGATTGGCGTTGGTGGAATGATGTAGGTCGTCGTGAAAAGCCATGCAACCCGCTGCGTTACAACATAGAAGTTCGTTACAAGGAGAAGAGGGGGGAAAATATAACAACAATAATAAAAACTCGCGCAAAGCAGCGAGGGTCGTAAGTCGCTTTTCTCCTTTGCAGCAGGGGAAGTTACAAAGATGTACCGAATTACGGGCAAAAAGCGATCTATTGGTCTTTTGTATGGTCACTCACTGCTGCAGGGTCATGCACAATGACCTTGGGCTTGGATAGGCTCTTGTGAGGTCAACGAAACTCAGGCCTAGAGCGACAGCGGGAGAGGGTGTGAACCGAAGACAGGGCCTATTGAAACTAAATCATAATACATGTGGCGGAGGTGCGGGAACCACAAAGGCAATTGGCCAGCATCGAACGTGATACAACTTCCCACCCCCACCAACGTGCATTCTTGCATTCAGCACCACCCAACCTGAGATTCCCTTCCCTGCCTGGAGTTACCAACCTACATGCATAGTACAGCGTTCAACTGGATGAATGATCGGAGTATTCGTACCACGAGGCCAACTGTAGTCCAAGTCTAAGTCTAACACGGCCTTGCCATTCTACCAAGTAGTCACTACACACCATCAGACTGCCAAGTATGTTGGTCACAGATGAATGCTTTGTACGACGTCCATTCCTCTGCCTGTCTGGACAAGCTTCCGTAATATCTCGATAAGCTCTGTGGATCTATGGGTTCATGGAGGGGAATTCCAATAAACAACTGCTTTTTTCTCCCATGCTCTCGAGCGAGACTAGCGCCAGATATGGCAGCCGCCGCCAGGACGTCACAGGCCACAAGACCAGGATGTAGCAAACCCATCATCCACATCCCCCCCCCCAAAACCTCCTCTGAGCGACTGCACCCCAGCCACCTCGCAACCATTTTGTATGTTTGCTGAAAAAGTTCCCCTGCAAGTCGCGTTGGACCCCTCGACTCGTACTATGTGCAGATTACGTGGCCCAGGTTGCCCGTCGTGCAAGACTCTTCTACTGCAATTAGTGGTTATGTGTCCTTATTCGGGTAAGTCAAGGCGGGCGAAGGACGGGTCATGACTTAGCGACGACAGAAAAGAGAGACATCTAATTCCCTCCTGATCTATCACCTCCGTTGTGGCAAATCCGTCCGCAATGGCGCCCGAGTGCAATCACGGCAGGTGTGAAATTGTCCATGTGTCGCGTGTGGGTTTCTGGAACGCTGCAAATGCAGGTCAAAAGCGCGTTTGGAAGTCTACTTGCAATAGTAAACCATGTTGTTGACTTGACGCGCAGTAAGCGGCTCAACCAATTCGAGCATTTCATTTGCTGCCCAGCTGCATGTCTACATATCGAAAGTGCTACTGCTCCCAGGTTGTCAGGTATTGATACCTAAACACTGGGCATTGATGCGCCTGCTAGCATTGTACTATGTAGCTGCTCCCTGGTTCTGGACAACGGCCGTCTTCCACGTTGTTGGATCCATCTCAGTGTGGATATGCCAGATGCACCGGCTGCAGCTCTTCAGGCCTCTCGGCGTCATCCATTGGCAAATTGGCAGAGAGAGCGCGATGCTTATGCAGTCGGTACCTCTCTGAGGCCTCAACCCACTATTGTCGTGGATATCCTTGCAATATTACTTAACAAGCAGACGGGGCGGGTTTCAATTCTCGCTACGGTGGCCGCCGGCAACTAATGTGCCTCTAATGACACTCCCAAGCCCTTACCTTTACAGCACTTGGTACTCTTCGTCCCAGTGCTGGAGGAGCTGCAATGCTCGACGCAACATGACGGGAACTACCAGTCGTAAGGCAGATCTGTCATGCACTAGCCCCATACCTTTTGCCGGAATAGGCATCGCGACATCTTCACCGCTTCTCACTCACATGAAGCAACCGGCCGATTCCAGCGAAAGGTGCCGCAGTTGCATCAAAGAAGCGCAAGAAGACAGATTTTTTTTTTGCTAGCTCATATATTACTTGGTCAACAGCAACCCGAATCGTTGTTCGCGTCCCGTCGAGGACACTCCAGGGAGATCAATTGGGTTGTTCGTTCGGATAGCATTAACGCAGGAATTACTCCGCGTGGATCCTCATCTTAAGACGGGCTATGCCTGTCCAGAACACCGAACTTTGCACCGATTCATCAAGATGTTTGTGCAGCGGTCAAACCTGAAGTGGAAACACAAACGTTGTTTTTTGTGAAGCATGCCTCATCTTGTGAGATCTCTCGGAACTTTTCTGCAACAAGGCTGAAGTTTCAGCCCCAAGCTGTGTCGTGTCACCGTCATATCGGCTTCAGCTACAACCCAAATCTGACCGACTATTTGACTGCGATTCTACGCTAACCTGGCGGCTAAAGCGCACAATGCCGTGACACACCGAATCATAATCATGCCAATACTCGACTTCAGAAATGGTCATCCGGCAAAGTGTCGTTATGGTCTCGGGCCTCGGTGTCAGTCAACGTGGCCCTCTGCCGACGCCACCAGTTGTAGTGACATCGTTGTTTCCAACAGCTCTGGTTCACCTATTCCAAGCACTGTTGTGTATGAACAGCTCTACTCTTATGGGCGTCACTTTAAGTCCTGTTGGACACCATAAATATTTGTCTGAGGCTTGCATGGTGTAACTTGTCTGCTGCATTTCAACAGCCTCAAGCAGTCGGCAAGACAGCTGAGAACCCTCAAAAGCTATATGCAGCCAATTCACTTGTTCCGTCACTGGAGTCGCAAACCAGAGAGGCATCAGAGCTTACTATAGGATTGATGCCTTGGCACGCAATAGCACGTGGCTGGATATGGTGTGTATAATACGAACACCCTTGTTGCTTGGACGACATACGACTTAGCGGGTGAGTGTATATGAGCTGGAAGCATAAGCCATTTAGGCAGGGCAAGTTGTGCAATTACGGAGATTCTCCAAAGAACTTCATCGGATGACGCTGAGTCACTTGTAAGTTCTCCGCGTTCAAAGAAAGCCGCAGTCGCAGCTCGTTTGGGCAGGCGAAGTGCCCAGACTAGGCTATCCTGGTCCTACCGATTTTCGGCTAACACGGCGGGATCTACCCGCTGTGACATGGGTGATATCTTGAGCTAAAGCGCTGCAGTCTGGGGCTTAGGCTGGCAAGTTTATTTTAGAGCGTCGTTGCCAATATGCACAGGGAGGAGGAGCTGTGATGATATCGAAGGGTGCATCGATATTGATGGAAGCTAGCACATTGTTCAATTGTACCTGCATCGTTTCTTTTTACTTTTTTATTTTTCATTTTTTTTTTACACTTCTCGCCGTTCTCTTTCATCCCTAGAAATTCCTTAATGTTGCTGGATTATGCCCGTTGTATCTATTTCCATGAAAATTAGGTGTTGTTACATGGAATGTCTCTTTTGCACAGGTCCCAACACGTCTTACTCAATGAGCAACAGGTCTATATCGCCCAGTGGTCATGTCAACAATTCTGAGCCAGTAGTCGAGTATTTTATGATAAATGTCATCAAATCCGAGAGTCTATTCAAATTTATCTGGAAAATACTGTATATGGCGGATCACGCACTACAAGGATGGGATCCCGTAAAACGACAATTATGGCTTCGTTTAAGTCAAATTTGGTATTTTCTACGCTGAGAAATTCCCAGTGGAGAAATGTGGTTGTCTAGTGGTAATTGTGAAAGATATGCTTATGGGTTACAAACATGTCAACATTAATTTTGTTGGAATAGTAGTAAGTTTATATTCTTATACTAGGATCGTGTAGTTTCCCTTTATAGCCCGTATTCTTTATTAACGTAGCACAAAGATGGTATCATAACATTATTATGATTATTACCACTAGCGTAACCTCATAACCATTTCACGCGGCACCTAGCTGTCATGTCTGCCACCGTCTCAGCATAGGGGCTGGCTCAACGTCGAAAACGCGGCAAGGAGACGAACACCTGTTGCTGTTTTCTTTCTTCTTCGGCAGCCCAACACAAGGATGGAGGCGACAGTGACGTGGACACTTCTTCAGCTGCGCAATGCCGTTATTGTCACTGCTATCGTTGTCGCTGCCCCTGACCCTTCCACGTTCACTGGGACCCCCGGGGATGCATCTGTCTCTAATCTTAACAGCAAATTTGCACTTCGGTAACAATATCAACATGCTCACTCATCATGCTATCTAGATCCTTGGATCATCCTCGCCATCCAAGATGCAGGTCCCACAACCGACAAGCATTCTCCTTATAACGCGTGGGAGTGTGACTGTTTGTTTTCTCCTTATTGAACTCCTGTATCATTCGAGCGTACTTCTCATTGTTAGAAGATGGGACACACTCGAATACACGGTGCTCAGAATCTTTAGCATGATACTTTCACTGTTACAACATGGCATAATCAGGAATGTTGTTTGGGCATGGTGGTTGTTCGAACTATTCTGTGACTGAGCCTCGGTTATTGCATCTATAGTTACTCGGCAGAGACGAAGACAAACAGAAACTAATAGAAGAGTTAGTTATTATTATGCTATTCTAATCAACGTATTCTTGGGTGTTGGGCCGGGAGTCCTTCGCCTCTCATTCATTCAACCATGGATCTAGCTCTAAAACTCGGGTATCCTATTCCTGCTCTGATAATCTCTTGCGCACTGATGTAGGGCCTGCGGTCTCATTCATTGGCCCGCGGACGAGGTCCGCGCCGTGTCTCTTGATCTTGCTCGAGAGGAAATCAGCAAAGGGGCGGGGTCGGGGCGATTTCTAGTCAAACCCGCTTGTCCCAGTCATTGTATCACGCCTTTCGTGTGTCGAAGTGAGTGTCGCCTCAGGGAGTGGCCGCTGAGGGAGACTGTCTGCACTGACACTGGCCTTCCTACGTAGCCCGCCGGCCTTGAGCGACCGGACCCGCTGATAAGTTCTCTCAATCTCGAATTCGATGGCACAACGAATGCGCAGGGCGCAGACAGCAGGCCAAACACTGCGTTCACCTCGAAGGATCCAATACTCTAGGGTTTCTCTCGTGGGTGTCTCAAGCAGACGGACAAAGTCTGACGTTGTCACCTTGGGCACAAACGTCATGGTTGCTCCTGGGATCTCTTCATCAACCAGGAAGCGTCTTATGCTAGCGGGCAGTAACCCCAGTGTGTCAAGCTGTCTTAACCTGTGGCGAGTCTCTAGACCTACTATTCGGATAATATTTCCTGTAATTTGATGCCGCCTGTGTCGTGCTGCGAACAGTGATGGTCCATGCATATCGGATTCCAAGAAGGGGATCAAATAGGGCCGGGCCTGTGAAACTATAAAATGGTTGACGTTAAAAAGCTGTGCAATCCGGGCCAGCGGGCTTGTGCGAGCTTTATTTGCTGCAGACGATGACGAAGTGTAGTGCTTGAAGCTATGTGCTGGTGCCCAAGGGACGATACTCCCGTCAACATCTTTGCACAAGACTGTTGTCCCCCGACTTCCGTAAAGTGAAGGAGTGGAGGCATTCGAAGCCACGGCGGCAGTCCATATGAGCTGACGTGTTGTTAGCGGGCTAGGACATGCTCATCATGATTGCAGGACCTACCACATTGGGTGCTGTGACATAGTTGAGCAAGGTGGGAACTCCACCCTGGCCTTCTGTCGCAACTGTGATGTTCAAAACTCTTTTGCTGCGATTGAACGCCTCTTCAAAAGTCAAGTCACCAACATTGGCTTTGACACACTCTTCCAAGACCTTGACATCCAGGAAGTACCCTTCCTTCCAGAACCTTTTCACGCGGCGCAACAATGTTTCCCAACCATATTCAACAGTCTGCTTTCCCGTCTGTTGCCCATGATGTGCATGTGCCTCGAAGGCGGAGAGATCGATGCCCTCACCGTTGAGAATCCTAGGTAGTTCATCCTCGGTGTGGATCGCGACCAGGCTAGCGATTAACGCGCCAGTGGCTGTGCCCGTGATAATGCGTGGTAGAAGTCCTCGAAGGAACAACGCCTTCACGACTCCCAGGTGGCAAAGACCGAAGATGGCGCCGCCTTGCAAGACCAATGTGGTTCGTCCAAAGGCCTGCCTTGCATCATGTAGGAAGTTCAGCTTGCGCTGGGTGGATATGCTTGGCTGGGGTGGTTCACTGCTGTCCAGGATAGGAGCAGTTGCGGGAGCCGCGTCGGCGTTGATGTCATCGATAGACTCGACGACCTGTGCTATATATTCTTCTACCAGGTATTTTGTGCCTGCAAACGCCCGATTGTATAGCTTCGGGGAAGTGATATTGCCGAGGTTACGGACGAGTCCAGCTCGGACAAGATCGATCAGTGCTTGTATGTTTCTTTCTTGGCCAGCGGCGCTCAAGGACTCGAGGCGTCGGTGAATCAACGCCCAGTCGTAGCACTTGGAGGAGGGGTCGTTGCGCCTGACGATGGGAACAGAGTTAGCGACGATGGCAGCAGAGTAACATCTCACAAGTACTAGATAGACAGACCATAGATTCAGCTGCTTGATATTGTCCAAATGAAGCGCGGCATGCTCCCATTCCTCGTAGACCTCAGCATTTCGCAACGCATCGAGCCAATCGTCTAGGGGCCCTTTCGATTTCAACCAACCACTGAATTTCTGCACATCTCATCAGCTTCGAGATGAGCGGACCATGTGGGCATATGAAGCTTACCTTGAACCAAAACAACACCACTTCAAGCAACAAGGAGAAGACTGCCCATAAGATCCCAACCGCGCCTGAAGTTGCCATATTTCAGACTAGAGCAAGCGCATGCGCGAAAGAAACCATAGAAGGCTGTGGATTTGAGGTCTGACCGGTGCTAACACATGCAGGATCGTCATGTGCCATGGTAGAAATTCAGCACTTGATGATGTTCCAAAAAGCAATGGTGTATCAAGCACCGAAAACTGACGTGTTAACATGGACTAGCACATAGAGGGCACATAGAAAGCACTGCATACGCGCTGTAGAGCTATTGATGGTCTTGGATATACCGGAAGGCAACGGTAATCGTCCACACAAGCCGACGACTTTGTTCCAGCGCGACACTTTCCTGACAAAAGGGGGCAGGTCAAGTTTGCATGTGAAAGTGCAAGCTCAAAGCTAACCTGAAGGTTACGGAGTTCCCTCCAAAAGCTATCCCTGTTTCCCCACGGTGGGGGTGCTATGTAGCCTCTAACTTACTAACCTAGGTTATGTAATCCTCAGCCAGCACTTCCAGTATTTGAGCTTTAAGGAAACAGCTCCCGCAGGTGGCATGGTGTATACGGTCCGAGAGAGAACTGAGATGTTGGCGGCAACCTGTCAGAAGCGCTCAGAGATCCATAAGTATCCTAATGTACATATTCATCCTATTTCGTTCTCTAGAGCGCCTTGCCGCCAATGCCACGCACCAGAAGTCCTAAATGGGTTTCGCCATCCAAGCCAGAAACCCTGTAATTAGCTAAGTAAAACAGCACATGTACAAAGTGATTGCGTTGACAAGATATCGTCCGCTCACTCCTCGTCGTCATCGTCATCGTCGTCGTCCACGATGTGGCGTCTACGGTTCCGAGCGGCCGGTGCGTCGAGGTCATCTAAATCGGCATCGGCATCGGCATCCTCGTCCTCGGGCTCTGCAGCCCTTGGCCGCTTCTTACGAGGTCTTTCTTCCTCTTCGTCTTCATCGTCGAGGATGTCCTCCTCGTCATCCTCCTCCGCAACACTCTCTTCATCATCACTGGCAGCGATGAAGTCATCTTCAAGATCGTAGTCTTCGTTGCGGCCGCGTCCAGCAGGAAGGTCATCGTCAGAATCGTATTCTGGGCGACGCTTCTTGGGGCGCGACGCACCAGGTTGTCCCCTCTTTCGCGGACCACCAACACCCCTTCTCCCGCCTTCGAGGTCACCAATTGACAGTCCACCGCTCCGGTAGCCTGAAGTGCGATTGTCCAGTCTGGAAGCTGCATTTTCTCTCCTGCGCTGAGCCTTCATTCGTTCTTTCTCAGCCAACTCGGCTTCCTTGCGCTGTAACTCTGGGTCTATCGTCGCGGTAAAGATGTTATCTGCACTCTTGAGCTTGTTACGAGCCACTGCTTGCATACGACTTGCTAGCATAGCCACAGCATCATCCTGCATGTTTCTGTTTGGTAAGACAGTATATTGCTCTGATACGTGGCCCATAGTGACGAGGAGATTGCTCGCCAGGTGAGCTGCTGCTGCGTAATAGTGCGCATCCTGGACTTCTGAGTAGGGCTTGTCGCCTGGGGGAGCGAGCATCTTCCTCTGGACCTCATAGTGTTCACCTCCTACTGATAGAGTAATCGAACCGTCACTCCATCTGTGCACCAGCGCATTGCTCTTGAGCTTTCCCGTGTCGGGGTCTCTTTGATATCGAATGATGTTCTTGGGCTGGTCGCTTCTGATGTTCTCTTGGTCCCATTGGGTCGGCTCGAAGGTGTTGGGATCGTACTCCTCCGCTGCAAGTCGGAGAAAGTTGGGAGGCCTCAAAGATTGTAGCTGGGATCCCGTTAGTTTCGTGCGCATCAATGTGTAGCCATTTTCAATGCCGGACATACTTTACCGTCCTTGGTTTTGGGAGCTCGGTGGCGGTACAGCGGCTGGGGCAAGACATTGATGTTTTTGACCTCTACGTCCTGCTCATCCACATCCATGTCATTGTCGTATCGTTGCTCGCGATCGTCTCTTTCGGAAGCTAAGTCCCCGTCACTCAGCACACGCTCGTTGTCTGACTGGAGCTCGGCATCGTCGCCGGCGTCGCCAAAGAGATCATCGACATCGTCGCCGGCAACATCTACGTGATCGTCCGAGTCGGACATTGTGATGGAGTGGGTATGTCAAGGTGTTCCGTTGACGGAGGTAGCAACAGTAAAAATGCTGACGAAAGATGGACAGAACTGTTTACGGGCGCGTTGTCGCGTTCAGAGCTTCTGTTTGAGCTTAGACACTTGCAAAAGGTCCAAATCTGGAGGCCTTGGCAGCTGGAAAAGGCTGAGATTCAGAGAGCAGCCTCGCTGGAATCGTTGTGGTCTGGGCTTTTAGCGGCCAAGTTAGTGGCCCAGCCGCTCCCAGAACCGGGGATATTCCATACAAGGGTCTCTAGGTCTCTTTGGGGAACGTAGAGCCTGAGGGAACATGAGACTATCGTTAAGGGTGTCTATGACGGTGGACTTGGTCCGTATCCATTGCAACGGCTGTTTGAACGGCAAGCATGTCTAGACCTGTATTTTATGTGACTAGTAATTGTCCTTTTTGGCAGGTTCGGGCACTGATTCTCTGCTTCAAATAACCCCTGGCTCGTGCACCATGTGGACCAAAGCAGTTAGCGGCTTTGTTGATACCTCCTTTCCCTCTTCACCCTGACGTTTGAGCTTTCAAGATCGCCTCGGACTCGCAATATCACATTCTGTTCACCCTGTCAACTACTCGTCGCCTCTTTCGACTGCCTCTTGTAAATCCCTGACTTGAGTAATCGGCGAGGTGGTGATATATCCAGCCTGTCGCCGTGTTCAAAGCCTTCACCAATCTCGTACCGGTCTTGCCTCGTTAGCCCCTCGCTCAGCGTGCATCTGGCCTCGTGCGCCCATACTTGCGACCATGTCGAACCTTTTCTCGGGAATGTAAGCATCATACTGTTTCACAATTCTTTCTTTATAATCTGCATGAGATTTGCCAGTCAGGTGATGCCAGTCGCTCATCCTTATGCTCATGCAACTCGGCAACGGGTGATGCTGCGTTAGGCTTCAAGTGAGGCTCGCCACCGACTTTGGACCCGATGCATACACTCTGCAACTGCAGCCGAGACCGCTCTGGATTTCTGTCTCTGATACCATCAGAATTGCTCTCCAAGTATTGGGGGTTAACTCTGCCGACCATAGCGGGGTAGTTGGTGTGTATTTATAGTGGGAATGAAAGAAGTTATTGGTGCGGTCAAGGGATGATAGGCGACAGCAACTACGTGCTGTGCTACTTCTACCTGCATATCTATTTTGGATCTGGACATCTCGACCGCACGGTAGAGTTGAAAACTCTCAGTAATTCCCGCGCATCTGGTCAGCTTTACGAAACCTCAATTGCCACTGATAATATCAGCCAGTCCAGACAATATCTGTGCCCTTGCAGTGGTACGCAGCAAATATCTTCTGAATGTCCCGGGCCTACCAGACTGGTCTCATGAGAAGCTCTCTTTGGCATGTCGTGCCAGGCAAACGTGCTACAGACAGTCAAAGTGTACAAGATGCTACACAATTTTGCCAATCGATGGAGTCAAGCGACCTTCTTAATTTGGTTGTGTTTTCTATACCTATATGAGACACTTTTTAATACGCACGCCAAAAAAAAAAAAAAAACCACATGCTGATATATATCGTGTAGTAACGCCCGCTTTAGAGGGACGGCGGCTAAAGCCCCAGGTCAGAAGAGCCCGGTTACAACCAGCAGTGGCCAACCTAGCTCTCCTACCACTGCCTCTCATCAAGGCAGCCAATCATCTAGCAGTCTTGCAGCTCCAAAGATTCCTCCGCTTCCAAGCTCACCATCCTTAGCTATGGACGATTCCGCGTTGGCCTCCTCCGGGTCGAGTGGCGACGCAGTTCTCAACTCGTACCATCTCCCTCGGCCATATCCTCTGTGGTTGAACCCTTCGTACGCCAAGCACATTGTCAAGGGTAACTTCATGACTTTGAGTGCAAGGCCGAAGACCGTCGATCAAGGAGAATGGATCGCTCACCAAGGTATGGAAACTGCCTCGTTCCCGATACTGAACTCAGGGCTGATTATTATCTTAGTCGTCGAGCACTATCGCAATCTATGGCATTTTGTGCGAGTCATACATGAGAAAGAGGAGGACGGCAACACTATTTGCAATGCTACAACTTGCCCGAGGATGTCTGCTGGGGCGTGAGTCGAAGCTGGTGATGGAACCTGTGCTTTTCACCGCTAACTTTCCCTAGGAACCATTCCTTTACCTGGCTCAACTTCAAGAAAGAGCCCGTCGAGCTTCCTGCTTACGAATATATCACTCTGATGCAACGTTGGATTTCCGGCAAGATCGATGATGGAAACATCTTCACAACAGATTCCAACGGCGTTTCCTTCGCCCACAACCCCCAGATTACAACGTCCCCTCTCTCACAGTTGAGCAGTCCTGGGGACCGTGACTGGGTTGGGAAGAGAAGCGGATTCCCCGAGAACTTCCTGGAGGTCTGCCAGACCATTTTCCGACAAATGTTTCGGGTCTATGCTCATCTTTACTGGGCCCATTTTGTCGATCCCTTCTACCACCTGAACCTTGAGAAACAGCTGAACAGTTGCTTCTCCCACTTCGTGCTTACGGCTTGCGCATTGGACATGCTAAAGCCTCAAGAGCTTGAACCAATGCAACCACTGATTGATCTCTGGGCAGCCAATGGCACTTTTCCTCCTGGCTCCAAGGCCTATGATTACGCAAATCATAAGGCTGGCGACAGATTATTGCAGCTCAGCAATGTTGCCTAGACTGTAGCATCTGGAACTTGGCAGAACAGCGAGCCGATTACTCGAGGTCGTTCAACGTTTTACTTAGCAACAGAGCCTACCCAAAGACCTGTGGACGGCCGCAGCATTGGCGAAAGCTGGGGCACCAAGGCCTATGCGCACAATCTCTGAGGACATCTGGTGACTCATTGGAAATATATATGAGCATGTGTCCCCCGTCAGAATTCATCTAGAGTTGCTTTCGCCTTTACTCAGGACAGCATAGCGAGAGTACTGACAATCGCGTTCACATCAAGCGACGCACTATTCAGATATTTGTAGCTGGAATAGAGGCATTAGGACAATTTACTCGAGAAATTAAGTGCATATAGAAATTCGAGAACTCTGTTCTATGTCGACGAGTTTGCGTAGTGATCGGTCGTAACTCATCCGCTATTGGCGGCGTGTCACAATTGTGCAATCAACATGAAGTATGTGTGACAATTTGTATGGTAGATTTTTACACCCAGGATAGTATTTGTCCCGCACCCAAAGTTTCCTAGAAACCGCCCCACGCTCGGCCTCCCCTCCCGCTCCCTCCAAAAAGAACTCCAGATATTAATTGCTTCAAATGCAGGATGTTGAGGTTTTTGCGATAACCGAGCAGCCTGTCAGCATATTCGGGGACTTAGTTACCATGAACCAGACCATGTCAGAATGGACACTATCACACGAAAAAAATCCGAACTTCCAGCGGTGTTGGAGGCTGCAGAACTGCGGTGATTGCTTAAGCAAGGAAAAGGATTGTAGTTGGTGTCCACTCGTACGTTGAAATCCCTTCTCCCGTGAGGCTATCTGTCAAGGCCTCAATTTATTTTCCAATTTTATTTTTTCTTTCTTTTTTTCTTCTTCTTCTTTTTTTTTTTTTTTTTTTTTTTTTTTTTGGTCCGGAAGGAAGAACAATAAGGAGAGGAGGGGAGAGAAGAGAAAGAGAGCAACTCGTTTCGCTTGTATACTCCGCCCAGTCATGCATCTTAAGGCGATGAGTTTCGTTGGTCATGGAGGCATACCAAAACCGCAGCGCTGATAACGCCCACTCCAGTCTTGGACTTGCGTCCCCAACCCTTATAATCTGCATTTTTTGAAGCCAGCCTGGGATGGCGATGACACATGCCCACACTGGGCGGAGCGGTGGGAGATCCGGACACGGCCTCTTGGGTGTCACGTGTCGACTATTACAACGCTCACGTCGATCGTGAGCATTGTAGGGACTGTGGCGTTCCTTTCGCTCCTGTTCATATTGGTTTTGGTGGTGAACAAGATTGTTCGGTTCACGAGGACAGGTGGGCTCCAGAGGTATAGGGACATGGCACAGGAGATATTGAACAAAATTGTGGGCGCTACGAAGGGTGCGAAGAATGGTGCCAGATGCGACGTTGAAAATGATGCACGCAATGAAGCGGCACCGCTGCTGTCCTAATGGGACCAAACAATCGCACAATGCAAGCAAAATCAACCAAATGTTTATTGAGATCATTACGATAAGTGTTAGGGTTCAGCCAGAGCTAACTGGAGGAATAATTGCAACTTCATCGCCTTCTTTGATCACGACCTGGTTGGGATCTTCGGAATTTGTGGGAAAGTCGACATATTCAAGATTGACAGTCACAAGGGAGGATTCAAGAACTTTTGCCTTGATGCCCTTATATTTCTCTTCCAAGGTATCAAAGAGTTTACTGACGGGCAACGGCGCTGGGAAAGCTTCAAGGTTTTTGGCTGTGAAGGTTTCGGCACTTGCGAAGTACAGGACGTTGAAGTGTCCCAGTGGGGGCTTGGGCACCATTATGTGTGCTTTGTGCAAAAAGTTAATAAATAAATAATTGCGTGTACTAGAAAGATTGACTGTTAGCTTGTTGCTTCATGATGAGAGTGCAAAAACTGTCAGTTTGAGAGGGGTTGCGTCAGAGATCTTGGTGATAAATGATACATCATGTGATCAGGTAATACATGCTTTTAATTACATCATAGCAACAGAGGAAGCGAGAAGTGAGAAGTGACTTACCAGAGCAGTAGCTGTTGTATTGTGATGTGATTCTCTCAAACGAAGTTGAGAAGTGGAAGAGAGTTGTTGGAGAAAACTTGAAGAAAATGTAGAAATGATAGCTAGATAAAGTCAAGTCAGGTGACCCACAATGCAAAACTTGGGTGGGCTCCGAGACAGTGTAACACGCTTGGTCAAGTTAGTAGCGGATTGCTTCCTCGATGTTGAAGACAAGAATGACGGGCCAAATGCTTTTCGTTTGAGGCTAGCGACAGAGGCCGTATAAAACACGTCGAAACAATATCACCGCGCAAAGGATGGGTGGGCTTGGGGTGTGAAACCTTCTGGCATTAAAACAGCAGAATTTCCCAAGCCCAAGTGACTCCTCTAGCATAAGAGAAATCCGAATGCGCAGTACGATAGCCCTTCTGTCATGATGTTGTGACAGTATTTTCCGAAGCCTGTTGACCAAATGCTTATTGTGCCATGTCTCCAACGCCGCTCATCGCCATCGTCATCCATCATCCCTTCAGAATCCAGCAACTCGTTTCCTGGTTTATCGGAGTCTTCTGGCCTCACGCTCGGACTCGAGAAGGCACAGGATGTCGTCCTCACGGACTATGAAATCGCACAAAGTTAGTGTTATGATCCCTCCAAATAGTATATTTCGACAAGGCGGAGTTCGGTTGGTGTGTTCGTGAATTCAACCGCAGGAAATCAAATCGTACCTGGTCCCTTGACGTTACGGATGATAGAACGGGTCTGGTCGTCCATGAACTCGACGCGGACCTGGGTGACACCACCACGGGAACCTGGTAACATCGTCAGCTGGCAGTCCTCCTTTCCTCGCGCGCCCCAAGAAAAATCCCATCATTGCGCGTGGATCTGTGGTTTCGTACCGGTACGGCCAAGGACACGGGTGACCTTGACGAGCTTGACGGGCTGCTTAGCGGAATCCATCTTGTCGATAGAGATGTGTGATCGAAGACGAATTCGGAGGGAATGTGTATATGTCGGAGGCTGGTCTGCGCGAGAGAGTCGTCAAGGTTGAGGATATCGCGAATTGGGAAGTGGGTAGACCAGGCGAATTGCAGCTAGGTATTTTTGCATTCACCAGAATTTCGTGCGGAAGGTGCGAAAAAATGCCCCGCCAATCGTAGCGTGCAGATATGACTCCAGCTGGCGGCTGGCAGTCAGCTGTGGGTCAGGACATGCGCCCCAAGAACTGAGCGCTCCGCTAAGAATAGTTTGATCTGAGCGTGGTGAGTAAATAGCATGAGACATCACGTCTTATAACTAACGACTCTCCCCAGCGAGATTCAGAAAAACTGACGATTAACTCGCCCTGCAGAGGAGTTCCACCACAGAGTTTCTAAGCACCTTTTAAGTCTGCCCATCGGTCAATGGTAACTCACTTCACCGAATCTAAGGGTGGTAACTACTGATGAGGCATGCCGACTGTCTCAAATATTGTTGTGCTATTTGTCCATTACAGTAGTCTACAATGATGCCTGTCCAGGGAACAGCATTATCTACTTCATCAGCGGCGTTGATGAAGGCAATTCAAACCTTTGACGTGGACTGTCCATTTCATGCACCACATGAGGCCCTGCACTGCTTAGCTCACTCGGATACTTTCGCGGCGAGGGTGTTGGTCGATTATAAGGGCTGTTTTCCAGTTCTACCGCATTCTTGGTGTTTTTGCTTCTCCTTTTGAATATAAACCACACGAGTCCGAAAAGCAAAAGCGCCCCCAGAGCGACACCAACACCTATCCCTGCTTTGGCCCCTGTAGACAGGTCTCCGCTCGCCGTTGGGCTACTTTGTGGCGACGATGTATAGCTCGACGTTGAACTAGGTAAGGTGGCCGTAGAACTTGGTATCGCTGTATTTGAACCCGAAGAAGTAGTCGTGCTTTCCAAATCTGAACTCGCGAATCGTACTCGTATAGAATGCGCATTCATACCGTTCGTGACGCTAGTCACGAGAGTTGGTTTCTGCGCGCTGTTCACATCCGTTACTGTCATGGTTATGTTGCGTCCAATTGCACTGGTACACTTGAAAAATCCGCCATCACACGAATAACCACTACACGAGAGATCCTTGGTTAGCAGTTATTGGGTAGCAGAGAGCAGATACATACTTGGGACAGCAGTCGTATACTGTCTCGCCTGGGATCAATATGCTTGTCGGTGCACACGCGCTGGAATAACCGTTCGGGCACTGAGCTGGCGAGACTGTTGCGCCGTATGCCACAGGGAAACATCCCGTGTCGTAGGGATTACCGATGATAAGCCCTGGGTTGTAATCGCCTGGCGGAGTCGTGACCCAGGTTTGCGTGAAGCACGATGACGGCACCGCTATAGAGGATAACATGTCCGTTGCTGCGATTCCTTCTGATGATGAAACGATGAGGCAGGCTTAATGATGCGTAAATCAATAGCAATCGTGTGCATAGACACGACGGAAAACAAGGAACGCAGACGTTCTCCCAGAAATCACAAAATTACCACGTGAGAAACGGACGAGACCCCGGCAGGAGGAGCGGTATTGCGCGCGGTAACGGACACCCACATCTCCGAATGTTGATGTTGCGAATGGCAGATGGCATCTGCGCAGCCAATTTTCCGTTCACTTGGCGCTTGTCGCCTTTTGGTTCCCAGTTTCATAGTCAAACAGGAGAGGCTGAGTAGCTTGGCAGAATCCTTCCGGTTATGATTGCCAGAAAGTTATTAGAATAGCAAGGCGCAACAGCAGCTTTCAAAGCACGGACGGTGCCGCATATGTTTTCAACCAATTACCGTCGTTGACGGACTTTGTAAAGCATGGGTATTGAGCAAGTCGGCAGGCAAAGATCTTTTTTTGTTCTTGACATCAAGCGAGTGCAGAAGGTTAGGGCCGGCATATGGAACAAATCCAATGACAGGATTAGAAGTGATGGTAAGTAGATAAGTAAGTTTTTGCAGCATTAGAGATTCGATTTTGGGGTATTAGAACATTAAACATCACCACTACGATCCAGGCGCTCCAGGGTCCTAGGTCAGTTTGGCTATTCTTGCCTCCAGCTCCTGAACCCATTGTTCAATCACACTCTTGTTGGTTTCCATGGACTGGTCACTTTCCTTCATCGCGCCTTCGATATTCATGAGGCCTTGCCTCCACTGGTTAATGTCTGTAGCCATCTCACTCTGGTTTCTCTCGATGTGGTCCAGAGCCTCACTGGCCGTAGCAGCGTTTTCATGTAAAGTCCTTAGGGAACGCAGTCGATCCAGTAAAGGCGGCAATAGAGGTGCCAGGCTTTCGATAGCTGGCAGTGTTCCATAAAGTGCATTGATCTTCGCCGTTTGCTCGTCAGAAGGCTCAGAGTCCTGGACTCCTGACGCTTCCAGCGATTCCTGGGCAGCCTTTGCAGCTTTCCTTGCCTTTTCCAATTGTTCGGCATCTTTAGTCAATTCCCTCACGCGGCGACTGATGCTGTCGAGCGATGATGTAGATGCTTCGGCAAGGACAGTAAGTTGTTTCTGTAGGTGATCCAGAGTTGGGACAACAGCCCGGGGCAGTCGATCTCCGTCCAAACCTGGCATGGCTGCTGCAGTTACTCCAATTGCTGTCTCGATCTGTACCAGCCGATGGTCAAAATCTACTGCTTTCGCTAGAGCGTGGCTTTGCTCGTATTCCGGGGCGTATGTGACTGTATAAGTGGCGTTATCGACTAGATCAAGACGATCATCGGAGCCGTTGGCAGCCGGGATTCTGGGGGCAGGCCTAGTCGTGGTTCTGTTTCTGGGGACGACTGTCATTTCATCCAGTGCCTCACTTAAAGAAGTGAAGTCTTCGCTCAGCATTACACTTGCTCCCGATGACTCGGCATTTCGTTTAGCATATTCGTCCTTGGCCTCTTCGACCTCGCGCTTTAGTCGGGCGATCTTGCGCTGTAGGTCTTCACCATCCTCTTCGTCACTAAGATCACCAATTTGCGTAGTACCATCCTCCAAGACCCTTTGCCTCCTGCTGGAAGCCCTGTACGATTTTCGCTTGCCATCGAGGCGGTCCGAGAAGTCTGCTTGGCTTGCGTCTACTTTGGCAGGTAAAAAGCGTGATCGTGCCTCATCGACTCTTAGTTTTGAGCGCGAGATGCCAGGAGAATCGTCATCTTCGTCGTCGAAGTCGAAGTCGGACTGCGCCGTGGCTGTCTACGCTTTGGTTAATGCTGATTCCGTGAGCTGATTTCTTGAGAATAACTGACTGGCACAGTAGAGTTGTCATCGGTGAGATCTGGAGTCTCATAGATATCCGGAGCAGTGTCCTGGAAATTGTTAGTCCACAATGCTAAGGGAAGCTCCTGAGGCTTGCGGGACGAACCAGATCTGGGAGAGCTGAGTATTTCCGATTCAGCGCCATGTTTGAACCGGATTCCTTCGAATTGCCGCCTGACACAAAGTGAGCTTCACCGGATCATGCAATTATCGGCGTTGTTCGTAAATGGTTATTCAATGTTCCTTGTTGTCTTTGTTAGATGCAGGGGTAGCTCCAAATTGGAGTGGCTTGTGCTGCTAAAGGCGCCGACGCGTGCCGACGGGTCCATTCAGACGCGTCTCATGTCATTAATTATTGCATTGCAGATTACGGCGGCTCATAAGCATATCTACATAGTTAAGAGCAAAGACTCCAAATTGGAAGATCGGGCCGGCCATCCCTTCGACGACCAATCTCAATCGTGTCTCCCATTTATCTTTCTCCGCTTATGTCATATCTGCTCATTGGTGTCACTTCTTTGCTGATGAGAACCTCTAAACTGAAGGCTTCTTGTCAAAGTTACATATGAGTCATCACGGACAGTTCCCTTTCTAAATCTTTATAAAACTGTGCCCAGAAGAGACCGCAGGTTAAGGTGTGAGCAATTATTTGTGCTCAAAGGACGTCACAACGCATCCAATGCAACGACAAAATTGAGTCGTACGTGAAAATTTACTACGTGGTCATAGATTCGTTACTTATTCACATAGCAACGTCAAAGAAAAGAGAGAAAGAAGGAAAGGAAAAAAAAGGGCGTGCTGAGGTCATTGCAGTGTATGCGCGATATTGATAAAGACTAGTCACTTCGCACATTGCATGGTGCTGGTGGCATTTACGCAAAACCAACTCGATCAACCAACCCGGAAGGTGCAATGGCTGATAAGAAACGCACCCTGGGGCTGTCCAAACTACAGCGTCCACCTAGACTCTTGGCTATCATCAGAGGACGCAGCGAAGACGAAGCGGCTTCGGACAGAAGTATGGCGGTGCATACCAACTCAAAATTCAAGGAGCCTGCGGCCATCGACGCACCACCCGTGTCGAGTGATGAGGATAATGATGACTATGAAGCATTACGTTGCAGAGACTCTTCGGACTCGGACGCTGAAAGGAACAGAAAAAGTACTACGGATATCAAGCCATATTTTGGGCCGGAGTCCAAACTGAATCCTCCATCATCTGCGCGCAGGAGAATTTCCACGCCCAGCAAGGAGCTTTCGCAAAAGGAGGAGGAAGCAAAAGAAGAACCGCAAGAAAATGTGCAGCCGAGCTCCGCGGGGTCAAAGCGATCGGCTGATAAGATGTTGGGGAAACACTTGATGGACTCAGACCTAGGCTTCACGAAGACGTCCTCGAAGAAGCTGAAGAGGACCTTTAGTGGCAAAGCATCTCAAAAGCCGGCACATAAGCCTACCAAAAAGCCTTTGAACTCCCGTGATACTTCTCCACCCCGGGGTCAGTTCCACAAGCCTCCGACCATTGACAGCCCTAGCCCTGTAAGGAGAAGGGCAAGCACAACTTTCAAGGACAACGCGATAGACTCATCACTCCTAAGTAGTCCTGTGAAGCGTAGACCCGCTAGGACGACAGCCCTCAACGGTTCGCCAGGGAAAGCATACATGGGCTTGACGCTGCCAGACTTGGACTTCACTGACAACTCCCCTCACACACGGCGGTCCTCTAAAGGAAAACAAGATGACATACAGCAACGTAAGAATAGCAAAGCTCTACGAGAAGACGACTTCCGGAGAGCAACATCGCCAGTAGGGGAATTCAAAAGCCATTTCCTGGACAGTATAGAAGACCTCAGGGACCTTTCAGACGACGTCTCCAAACCCATGCCAAGCACACAGCAAGTGGAACACGAATTTGGCAATGACCCCGATTCGGGTCTTAGCTCCTTGGACGATGCTATGTTTCCCAAAGACCCGCGATGTCCCATGTGCCATGAGCTGGTCGACCCGAAACTACTCAAAGAGTTCACGGCAAAAGGCAGGATGAATGTCAAGAAGCAGACCACGTTTTGTAGATTGCACAGGCGGAAAGAGGCAGAAGGCACGCGAAAGATGAAAGGCTATCCCAAGGTCGATTGGAATACGCTGGAACCGCGATTCGAGAAATATGATAAGTTGCTCAAGCGCATTCTGGAGGGTGAGCAACCCTCGTACTATGCCGCAGTGCTAGGTGGAAAGGTCGAAGCCGGTGAAAGTAGAACACTGCTTAAGGCAGAAGAGAATCTGATACCGGGTTACTATGGGCCAAGAGGTCTACGAGTAATGACTGACTACATTATGAGGACGTTTTCGGATACGTTGCGGAGGAGAACTATTGAAGATCGCTTGGTATCATCAAGAGGATATTCGGGGTATGTTCAGGCTGTACTAGTCCCTGAGTTGGCCGTCCACCTGATCATGGAGGACATGAATGTCAGCGAAGAAGGAGCACGCAACATCATGTCTGAGAGCAGCGATGTAGGTGAGCTCGTACATGAGGAGATGAGGGACGTTGTGTCGGATGAAGAGGAGCACTGAACGAACTAGCGGGCGCACTGTTGAAAGCTTTCGGTAAGCGAGATTCAGCAAGCATAATGTATAGACTATAAAGAGCTCCATTTGCTTTGGTCACTTTAGCTCTATCTCATACTGCAGCCAAGGGAGGCACTATCCTGGTGGTCATGTTGCAGGATGCATATGTGCAAGCGTAACGTGAATCAAATTACAATCTGAAACATCAAAAGTTATCTTTAGATGAATGTTACGAGTAAATAACATGAATTTTATGGTATGTATGCCGACTACCCAGAAGTCCATTTGACAGAGCAATCTTGTTAGGTGCAACGACTTTGGAATAATTTCATCTGTTGCGGGTCACGAAATTGATGGAAAACCAAGAAAATATGTCAGTGAATCAACGATTTTCTCAGCAGTTGGGGCTTAGCCAGCTCTCAAGGCAGAAAAACGAACTATAGTGTCTCTGAACGAGGTCAGTGTCACATAGGAAAGAATTAGCCGGTGTGCCAGATGTGTTGATATATTTGCGCATGGTGCAAAACCATCAGAATTGTCGCGAGGGAGTAACGCACCCTAGATAATGCACAGGCTCTGTTATGTTGTGGTCAGAATTCCCTTCATGATAAGTCGCACGTCAAATGAAGTCCTTTGTCATATATATTGTCCTCAGGGTCGCACTCGAATACTGTTTTCCAAGGCAAAGCGCGGCCAGCTTGTCAAAACTTCCTATTTAGGATACCGAAAGCCTGCATGCTAGTGTTGACGATAGTGTAACGGTGGGTGATAATGATTATCTGGTTCATTTGCACCATGGGTATTCAAGTCCTGACCTGTTTACTGATATGCCATCTGCCTGTCACATAAGACGCCCAATTCTCTCTGAACCATACCTAGGCAGGAGATGCACAGATTCTTGGGTGTATGGTCATGAACATAGCCATTTCGTTGAGCAGATACTCTCTCGGTCGAGGCTCAAAAGGAACAGCTGCAAGCGCAGACCCGTGACACCCCCGGAAAGGGGGGGGGGGGGGGGGGGGGGGGGGGGTCAACTTAGCTCCCCCCGACTGGAAATCGCGTGATGCGCAATGGCGCTTTTAGTTAGGCAATTCCATACCAAAGCTTACTATGTAACCTAGACTAGATCTTTATCGACCAAGATCGATGACCGCGGGGAAGTGAGCTGATCTGCATCGCTGAATTTATGGTTCAGAGCGGCAGAAGCGACTCATCGTGGGATCGACATTTGAACCAGAAAATGAGAACAAAATATTTGCCAAAAGGTCTTTGAGAGAACTGTCAAACCCGAAACTGTTTCAACTTTCGCCAAGGACGGCCTGAACGCGGCTCTCGGCGGGGATACATCTCCCATTGGAGCCAAATTTGCAACGCCTTGCTCAGGGGTGCCCTTGCCTGAATCTCAGGCGCCCCGCTGCAGTGGGTTCTGTGCTCCGGCAGCTAAAGAAGTGCAGAGATCAGCTCCTGGCCATTGCATAGTATAGCATGTCGAGGCGTCTTTGTGTATGATGAGGCTCTGGGTTCTGTCAAGACCATAGCCAGTTCGTTGCGGGCCGTACGATTCAAGTTTAGACGACTACTAGATGTACATAACGAATATGGTCGTAGAATAGAAATGCATCATCCGGCCAATTGACTCATTTTCGGAAAGAAAAAGATTTTAAGGTTTACCTGTCCACCAATTGTGACGGCTTCCAGCATGTTTGAGCTATCACTCCACGCAATCCCAGTTTCTGGCTCTGATCAAATCTGTTTCAGCTTTGGGGTTACTCACCTATCCTATCCTATCGTGCTAGACCACTAATTATATAGAACAGGACAGAGCAGAGATGGTCAATCTCTCTGCAAAACAACCGCACAATCATGAGTAAATAGTTTCAAGGGATGTTCCTGCCAATGCTCGTCATAAAAGGGGAAACAGAAGAAAAGTCAAGTTGATTCAGACAGGTCGCGCTGTCTTATTGTATGGCGGGTAGATTGATTCCATGCTGGCATTCTGTCGACTTGACACCGCGGTCCTGGTTCAAATTGCGGCTACATGTGCGCTTCTATCTTCTTTCTTGCCAGCGGTATAAAATTAGTCTTTGAAGTGACAACTGTGCTCATGGCGGTTTGCGTCAGCCATAACAAAAGCTTTATGCGACCTTGTGTGCTGTAAGCCCGAGTCCCAAGGCATGGGGCAGACCTAATAACGTCCCCCCGCTGAATACACTCATGTACGCAGTACTCCGTAGACAAAGCGCCTGCGCCTGCGCCTGCGCCTACATACCTTATCCCATCCGGGCTCAGCCCACACATGCGATTCGATGCGATGCGATGCGCTGGGCTGGGCTGGGCTGGGCTGTAGGGGGCCGTACGTACCCACCCGCGACTGTTAGCACGTCCTTCCCGCCACTACGGCGAGACCAGTGGCCTTTGGCCTCTCTGCCCTGTCGGTTGGATCCAATGGCACTACAGATGGTGCAGATGTAGAGCGTAGCAGTGGGTAATGTGGTGTATGTATCACTCCATCTTGCAAGCCCTCCACGATCACAACAGCAGCATCCTAGTCACACTACCTTGCCTACCTTTATTGGCAGACAGACCAGAATACACTCCCACACCCGGCCTGGAGGACATATCCATATCCCTACAGTAGCTACGCAGCGCATACCCCACGAAACAGCGCACATCTCTACAAACGCATCATCTACTCCGTACATACACTCGGCCGACTCAAGCTCAATCTGTGACCAACCCAACCCAACCCAACCCAAACGAGACGAGAAGAGGCGCGACGCGACGACCAGCAAAGAAAGCATCTACCGAACCCAGAGCACAAGGTGATGACTTCACATTAGTCGGACGATCTCATGTTGATGGCGCCTCTCCACCGATAACTAAAACCACCGCCGTGGACCTGCGACGACAATGACGAGGGACGACGGCCATGGTCGCATCAGCTCGTTCGCGAGCTCGAGCAGCGGACATTCGAGTGCCACCGTGAGACCCAACGCTCCAGGCCGCTCGGCTTCTTTCACCGGTCCTGGTAAGAAGGCGGCGCCCAGGCCGCTCCGGACGACAAATGAAAACGGGAAACTGAGGTATGAATATAATTTCCCACATCTCTTGTGTTCTGGACGTAACGGGATGGTGATCGAATTGGATGCGCGTTTGTGGGTGGCAATGCGCTCAAGTGAGGCCGGTTGCTACTCCCACATTATAAGCATGAGCACTGGACAGTTGAGTTGAGTAAGGCAAAGCAAGGCAAAGCAAAGCAGAGCAGAGCAAAACAGAGCACCACATATTATGATTGAGCTAGTCGCGCTCTTGCGTTTTCATCCGAAACCTTGATGCAAAGTTGTCTCTAGGCTTTCTTGGAGGGGAAATGGATTGCGGTGCCATCTCATGGCGCCCGTTGCCTGGCCTCGCCTTTTCCCTTTCCGCGCCAGTTGGGCGCATTTGCCTTGACACATACGATACGCTTGCTATCTGTATGAACTCTGGGTCCGGAGCAGTCAAGAAGCTTCGCGCAAGCTTTGGCCAGACAAATGTTTGCTTGCCTACTTTGACTGCTTGGCTGCTTGACTGCCTGCCTGCTTACTTGCTTGCTAGCAACATATGCACGCATTCTCTCCTTGAATGAATGAATGAAATTAATCAATCAATCAATCAATCAATCAATTTTATCATTTTTTTTTTTACTACCTTACTTTTTTGACTGACGGGAGGCTGCTTTTCCGCCCTTGTTTAGGCCGGCGCCCTCTAGCGAAGAGTCTCAAAACTCGCCGTCATCGAATGCGAATTTCAATGTCAATGCCAATGCCAATGCCGCACGCGCCGGCATCCTGTCACCAGCTTCCACCACATCCTCGGGCAGTTCGCTGCTCTACGACACTCGCCGGATGAGCGACCTCGCCAATTATCGGCGCGACCTGGCCGTCCTCGATCCTTCTGGCGGTCGAATCCCACAGATTCAGAAAGAGCCGCCGTCCGCCGGGCCGACGCAACCATTGATTTCCTGGATGGCGGGCAACACTGGCGCAGGTGCAAGTCCAGGTGCAGGCGCAGGCGCAGGTGCAGGTGCAGGTACAGGTGCAGGTCAATTGCACAATGCGCCCTTGAGTTCTTTTGGCACAACATTCTTTGATGACTCCAGCGATGCTCTTTCTGTCGCATCGCAGCTGTCCCCAGCTTTTGGGTCCAGTTCCAGGTCTAACTACAACAATCAATCAAGGATAGTGGAGACGCCAGGAAGTACCGACTCGGCAGCCTACTTCAACGATGAAAGACGGCCGTCAGTGGCGAGCGTCACAACTGCAAGTAGCCAGGGTTCAAAGAATAGTACCACCAGAGGCGGATTTAAAAAGCTACAAGGCTTCTTTGGGGAGGAATATCCTGGTCGCGATGGGTCCGAAACGAGCCTGCCGACGACCTTGGGCGGGCCTGTGAAAGAGCAGCGCTCCTACTCATTTAATCGACCCACTAGGGAAAGGAACTATTCAAATGCCACTGACCACACCCGCGAAGCTTCCCCATCCTCATCGCGACCTAGGACCCCAGTGCCCTCCAGCGATGTAGTGCCATTCTTATACCAAGACGCTGACGATATTGGTAAATACGGCGAGGCGCCTGTTCGCGACATACTTGCTGGTCCAGACAAGGAGCGATACCAGGATAATGCAGGCCCGCTGCCTCCCAAGACCTCGTCTTCCTCACGGTCAGCCCACTCCATCGTCCACCTACCAGGTCACCATCACAGGCACAAGAACAGCAATGAGGATTCTCGATCCTTGAGACCCGTCGTCAGCCGAGAAGACTCCGTATCGAGTGTCAACATCATGAAGGACCGCGGCGGCTCTGTCGCCACCGGCGGCGCCAGGCGAGCTCAGAGTCCAACGCCAAGTGCGAACAATCTTCGCCTCGCATCCGTCGATGGCTCCGATTCACCGGGACATAATGGCAAACGGGGCATTCTCGATCGGCTGCGCCATCGTAAACATAAAGACGACCAACCATCCCGCCTTCGCGAAATGCCAACTTCCTCGCAGTCACTTGTGACGCCCAACTCGTCTAGGCAAAACCTCGTCAGCAAAGACACGTCCCCGTACATGAACAAGCCCCTGCCTCCGATCGATCAGACGCAAGACATGCAAGGCCCGCGACCTGCTAATCAGCGGCAGGCGACTTTCAACAACAAATTCCCCTTCGCCAAGAAGGGTCGCTCGAATAAATACGACGAGGACGACGAATACATCGGCCCGAAAGATAGAAATGATGCTGGGAGGATGTTTCACCTCGACACGGATCTTAATAATATGGAAGGCATTCTGGCTCATCCCCCACCCCTAACGCCCATGGACCCTGCTATATTTGTCCCACAGGAGGCGGCTCAAGGTGCTCAAGTTGCTCAAGTTGCCCAAGTTGCCCAAGGTGCTCAAGGCGCGCAAGGCGCGCAGGGCAGGCAAGGCGGGTCATTCGGACATGGCAGCCAGGGGGGGCTTGAGAAGATACCAGAGATCGAGAGGGTCAATTCCGGCAATGGAGCATGGGCCGCACCGGACAGCTGGGCCGTCCGACGCAATGCGGAAGAACAAGCTCCTTCCACCGAGAACCTCGAAGAGTCCGTCATTTTGCCACGACCAGAAGAAAAAAGAGCGGCACATTGCATACGGGTCTTCCGTGCCGACGGCACTTTTGCCACTATCCAGTTGCCCCTGGACTCCACAGTCTCCGAGGTCATGTCTCATGTCGTTAAGAAGACATACGTGCAAGACGGCTTGGAGAACTACCATATGATCCTCAGGAAACATGACCTTGCACGGGTCTTGGCGACTGTTGAGCGACCACTCCTCATCCAGAAACGGCTTTTGCAACAAGTCGGGTACGAGGAGAAGGACCGTCTTGAAGACATCGGCAGAGAGGACAATAGTTACCTTTGCCGTTTTCTATTTCTCTCGGCCAGGGACAACGACTATGCAGCTGTTCGGAATGAACTTGGACTCACTAGGAACGCCAAGTACAATCACGTGGATTTATCTGGCCGCAACCTGATTACAATACCTATTAGTTTGTATTCCAAGACCAGCGACATCATATCCCTTAATCTATCCCGGAACCTATCATTGGACTTGCCCAGAGATTTTATTCAAGCATGTCCTCAGCTAAGGGACATCAAATTTTCCAACAACGAGGCACGCAAGCTGCCCATCAGCATCGGGAGAGCCAACCGTCTAACATATCTTGATGTGTCCAACAACCGCTTAGAAGAGCTCGAACATGCTGAACTCGGTAATCTGACTGGCTTGTTGAAGCTCAGTCTGGCCAATAATCGGCTCAATACCCTGCCACATTACTTCAGTGCCTTTAAGTCGCTGCGCTCGCTGAATGTGTCGTCAAACTTCCTTGACAAATTCCCTCCTTTCCTCTGTGATCTAGAGGGATTGGTCGACATAGATGTCAGCTTCAACTCCATTGCCGAACTACCTGAGGAAATTGGCAGAATGAGGACCCTAGAAAAGTTTGTCATGACAAACAACAGATTAGCCGGCGCATTGCCATCGACTTTCAGCAATCTTTTCAATCTTCGCGAACTTGATTTGAAGTTCAACACACTCACGGCGATCGACGTCATTGCAGAGCTACCAAAGCTTGAGACTTTGTCCGCCGACCACAATAAGATTTCGCAATTCATTGGAACTTTCGACTCTATGCGAAATTTGAAGCTTAATTCGAATCCAATCACTAAGTTTGAAATAGTTGGGCCAGTTCCGACCCTGAAAAACCTGAATTTGTCTAACGCTCAGCTTGCCAGCATTGATGGATCATTCAACAACATGTTGAATCTGGAGAGACTCAATTTGGATAAAAATTACTTTGTTTCGCTACCCAATCAGATTGGCAATCTTCGAAGACTGGAGCATTTCAGTATTGCCAACAACTCAGTCGGTGAACTCCCGCCAGAGATCGGCTGCCTGACTGACTTGAAAGTCCTCGATGTAAGAGGCAACAATATGAGGAAACTGCCGATGGAATTATGGTGGGCTCACAAACTGGAAACATTAAATGCGTCCTCAAACGTGTTGGGCGATTTTCCCAAGCCAGCATCCCGTCCACCCCAGGTTCCTGGAGAAAACCCGAACACGCTTGGGTCGAATAACACCAAGCCAATGCCCGGACTTCTTTCGACGGCGTCAAGCACCGAGGATCTACTTCCTGACGGAACAAGGCGACCAAGCCAAGCATCAAGCACATTACTCAGCGTTGGCCCGTCTCCTGTTCCTGGAGGGCCTGATAGAAAGAGTTCCGTCGTTTCCGTTTATGGCAAGGGTGGCCGCAAAACATCCGTAATGTCTAGAAGTACGACTGGCAGCACTAACGGCACTACCGTTACTCCATCGATGACTTCTAGGAAAGATTCCGGACTGTCTGGCAAGTTAGCCAATACTTTTGCTGGCTCCTTGCGTAATTTGTATCTTGCAGACAATCAACTTGACGACGACGCCTTTGACCAAGTCACACTTTTGGGAGAACTGCGTGTACTAAATCTGTCCTATAACGACATAAGCGATATGCCACAAAGATCAATAAAGAGCTGGCCTCAGCTCGTTGAGCTCTACCTATCAGGAAATGATTTGACAAGTCTCCCCGTCGATGACCTCGAGGAGTACAGCTTATTACAAATACTCCACATTAACGGAAACAAATTCACCAATCTGCCCGCGGATATTTCGAGAGCCAAAAAGCTGGCTGTTTTGGACTGTGGAAACAACGCATTGAAGTACAATATCTCGAATGTTCCTTACGATTGGAATTGGAATCTCAACCCTCAATTGCGGTATCTCAATTTATCCGGAAACAAACGATTAGAAATCAAGCAAACTGGATTTACTGGCACGGCGTCACAACACCGAGAACAGTATACTGATTTTTATCGTTTAACCACACTACGCATTCTTGGGTTGATGGATGTTACCCTTACTCAGCCAAGCATCCCAGATCAGAGCGAAGACCGACGTGTGAGAACTTCAGGTTCTCTTGCTGGCCATTTACCATACGGTATGGCAGATACTCTTGGCAGAAATGAGCACTTATCCACAATCGATCTGGTCGTTCCCAGATTCAACTCTTCGGACTCGGAGACTCTGTTGGGTTTGTTCGATGGTCAGGCTCTCAGTAGTGGTGGCTCTAAGATTGCCAAATATCTTCATGAGAACTTTGGCCATATCTTCGCTTTGGAGCTCAAAGCTCTAAAGACAAGACAGAACGAAACCCCTCAGGACGCCCTTCGTAGAGCCTTCCTCGCTCTCAACAAAGATCTAGTGTCGATTGCGTCCTCGCATACCGAGGACAGACCGCAAGGTGCTCATCGTGGGTCATCGGCTCCACTAGTCCTTAGCAAGGAGGATTTGAACTCGGGTGGCGTCGCCACTGTCGCTTATCTACAAGGCCAAGAGCTCTACGTGGCTAATGTTGGCGATTGTCAAGCGATACTTATCCAGTCCGACGGATCCCACAAGATGCTCACGCGACGGCATGATCCCGCTGAGCCCGCCGAACGTCAACGCATCCGCGATGCTGGCGGTTGGGTGTCCCGACAAGGAAAACTCAACGACTTGCTTGAGGTATCGCGTGCTTTTGGCTATGTTGACCTGATGCCTGCTGTCCAAGCAGCACCTCATGTCACGCAGCTCCATATCACGCCGCAGGATGAAACGATTTTGATTGCCACCAAGGATCTTTGGGACTACCTTACCCCTGGACTTGCAGTAGACATTGCCCGATCGGAACGAGGTGACCTTATGCGAGCGTCGTCGAAGCTGCGAGACCTTGCTATGGCTTACGGCGCATCTGGAAAAATCATGGTCATGCTACTTAGTGTATCTGACCTTAAGCGCCGTCAAGAAAGGTCAGCACGCCTGCATAGAGGTCAGAGCATGTCACTGTACCCCTCTGGCGTACCAGATGAATTCCAGTACCCCGCCAAACGGGGCAGAAAAGCAAAGGGAGAAGTTCTAGACTCCACACTGCACCGGCTCGAGGCTGAAGTTCCAGCTCCGACAGAGAAGCCGTCGATCGTCTTCACTGACATCAAGAATTCAACGAACTTATGGGAGATGTATCCTTCTGCTATGAGGTCGGCCATCAAGCTACACAACGAGGTTATGCGACGACAGCTTCGAAGAATTGGCGGTTACGAAGTCAAAACGGAAGGCGACGCTTTCATGGTTTCCTTCCCAACAGCGACTTCAGCACTATTGTGGTGTTTTGCTATCCAGACCGAGCTTCTCAAGGTTCCATGGCCGGCAGAGATCCTAAACTCAGTTACTTGCCAAGATGTTATGGACAACGAGGGCAATCTAATTTTCAAAGGTCTTTCTGTAAGAATGGGTATTCATTATGGTGAGCCCGTGGCTGAGATTGACCCTGTCACACGACGAATGGACTATTTTGGACCCATGGTCAACAAAGCTTCCCGTATTTCAGCTGTTGCCGACGGAGGTCAAATCACCGTATCTGCCGATTTCATATCAGAGATTCAGCGCTGCCTCGAAACCTACCAAGAGAGCGAGCGTAATGGCTCTAAGGTTGCCGAAGACACTTTCGATGAAGACTCTACGGCGACACAGATTCGTAGGGAGCTTCGGTCGCTCAGCTCTCAAGGTTTTGAGGTCAAGGAAATGGGCGAGAAGAAACTGAAGGGACTTGAAAACCCAGAGTATGTTTATGCATTATATCCACATGCATTAGCTGGTCGTATCGAACACCACAACCAAGATCGCCCTACAACAGTAGACAAGCCTGCTGTTCTTGAGCCCGGCAGTGAACTTGGATTCGATCCTGAGATGATATGGTCTTTATGGAAAGTGTCATTACGCCTCGAGATGCTTTGCAGTACCCTCGAGGAAGTCACCGGCAGGGGGCTGCAACCACCAGAGACTGAGCTCCTGGAAAGAATGAAACAGCGTGGCGGAGAAGTCACCGAACGGTTCTTGTTCAATTTTATGGAACATCAAGTGAGCCGTATCGAGGTAAGCATACCATATATCGACATATGCCTGGATGATGTAACTGACTGTGCATGCTAGACCTGCGTTACAACCTTGACCGTTAGACATCTGGCCGCTGGTCGCGGCCCAATCTCTCAGCTCGACGATCTCCGAGCGCCAATGCCTGCGATCCTTGATGGCATTGCTAAGCAGCTGAGGCTTCTCGAGCTATACAAAGCTAAATATGGCCATCTAGAAGAATTCGAAGAACTCGACGGGAGCGACACCGAAATGGAGTAGGACTGCATTCTTCAACACCATACCTGATTTACCAAATATACTATACCCCAACGCACAAAGCTCTTGCTTCACGATACCTAAATTTTAGTATCCTTTCGACCGGGCCGCTTGGTTCGGCTATATATCTATCAACATTGTAATGTGCTACGAATAGGATTCGTGCGTTTCATTAGTCTTCTGTTTTTGGCCGGCGTCCTGGATACCTCAGCAATGACACGGAGAGGAGGTTTCTGTATAAGGAGAACAGACGAACAAACGTCCCGTTTTACCAATTGGCTACAGAAAAAGATGATTCCTGCTCGTTTACATCTATCTAACCTGGAGATGATTCGTACTATTATCTGGGACGGAAATTTGGGGAGTTGCGCAGCAACTTTTGAGTGCGGAGTGGATTGCTAGGCCACACCACGCGATGTGAAGACTTAGCTGTCTTGGTTTGTACGGCATGTCCGGTCGTAGGGTGTGCAGTCTTGTGTGTCACCATTACTGCATTGATTAGCTAACATAGAGTGGAGGTATGCTCGGAGGTCCCTGGTGGGACAAATACCCCTTTTTGTGTATTAGCCTAGCATATGCTATGGTGTGATAAGTAACCATAAAGCAACGAATTGATAGCATTGAATTATACCTGATTGCTAGGAACAAATATTCCGACACTGGCTATGTGGAACCTCTGTAGCTCTGTCATGAAGTAAAACTCTTTATACTAGTCGATCCATTCATCTGTCCAGTAGTCATTTATTTTCCCATCGCTCCGCCACCACTACTTAGTTCTAATACCTGTAGCTGAAGCCGTATTCATGTTTGCAGTATCGAATGATATATCTGACAGCACCACCTCGGATAATCATAACCCAAAGCATCATCGTTGGGCAAGTTCCCAATTACGAACTTGGTGTGTGCTTCAAGTAAGACTCAAAAAGGCTACGGACCATTGTCTCGAGACTAATATGCAATAGCCTGGTTTTTATCAGTGTGCTGCAGTCGCATATCGGCCCACGAAATTGTTGTCAAATCAAAGAGATCGAATAGTGCCAGGATACGGAAAGCTTGGGAAAACAAACGACATGTGCCAAAGCCCTGCTTCTTTGGAAATTTGGCCAAGGAGCCCGCATGTAGTGTCAGCGTCGCGAAGGTGGAGTCTCCCGGTTAACCTCTATGACGTCCAGCCGTGAACGTCTTAGCTCTTGCTGGGGGGCCAATTCGTAGCCGGTGTAGTTGAGATGCTCTCATTGATATGTTGCTAAATATGTGGTATTATTGATGGATATTATGTCAGCCTTCCATGGCGAAGGCCTAGGCTCGACCCGAAAATCTAAATACGTCGTCGGTATCCGTTTCGGTTAATGCAGAGTCGATCACGTCCAAGTCTCTAATGACAAATGATGGCGTTCAGACTTGCATAGCCGTTGTGTCGCATCAAGTCTCAATACCTTACTGACGAGATCGCGTTGCATGTAGTAGCGTACATTCAGTAATCACCTCTCAATTGGCCGAGCCTCGACGGAAGCAAGTCTTTGTACACGGCGTGGCTGTCCTCGCCTATGCCAGATCAGGGTAGCTGACCTGTCAAGTCTTGAATTTGTGTGCGCCCCATAACATAAAGGAACCATAACGGGGAAATATTAAGCGCTATTGCTCAACGGTCTACATACTCATGAATCCACCCAGCCTCTGTGGGCTGGTAGCAAGGCTGCTGGTTTCAGGTATGAGTTGGTGAACGAAAGAGTGAGATTGCATCAGCACTAGGCACAGCAACGCCCCTTTGAGTCTATGGCTTCTGGCACGATACTCCCTTTGCGTAAATCTCGCGAATAAACGTTCCTCCCAAGATTACTGCATTCGATGAAAGCGAGTAGCACTACAAGACCTGACCTGAGATATGTTGGAAAGCTGCGGGAGGTGGCCAGCGTCCGACGTTAGGAGCTGGTAGAACATGATTGCCGCGAGATGGCTGCTCAGACAATCACCTATAACGTTGCACAGATCCACGGTAGTGGTACAACGATATTGTCCGTCCACGCAGAGAGTGGCCGAGCGGCACTTTTCAGGGCTTACACAAACCAACTCCAGTGCGATGAAGCTGAAAGAAGCGGCGTTGGCCTTGCAAATATGGGGCCTATGTAGCCTAGACCAAATGCAACAAGGAGGTATGCTGGTCGATGCAGCTCTGCTAGGACTGCGTTGTTCTTCTAGAAGATTTCTAGCGGCCTCGCTTAATGCCTGATAGGGCTTTACTGTATGTAGGACGATGGATCCCTCCCTGGTTGCTGCGACCTGTGACCGACCCTCCGGTCCTTGAAGAGGCTAAAAGTCCTGGACTACAAGACGCATGGCATGTCCTATGGAACACTTACGACCATGTAGAACGCAGTCCAGGATGAACCCCTTGTTTGCGCCCTTAGAGCATCCATCTGATCGCAATAAGTAGTGTTTATCTGCGCCCGAGCCCGCAGTGCTCCAATGGGAGCCAACGTCGAGATGAACCATATGCACACGTCTGCTTGGGGGAGTTCCCGCTCTGTATGCACAAGCCCGGCTTTGGAAACGAATCATATTTCCTGAGCCCTCTCGATAGGAGTTCGTGCTGTACAGAACGCATATATGTCGAAAACTATCGGTACTATTATACAACTGGTCTTTCACCTATCGTGTTAAATATGTATGTGAATCACGAGGTTTACCTTAAAAGTTTTATCCATCTTGCCATGCATGTGAACTACCTGGCATGGCACCATTACTAGGCGGTGTCCTTGCAAGGTAATGTGTTGTGCGACCTGGAATTTACTCACGGGTACATGACCCGGACAACACAGCGGTCGTACTTGCATGGCATCCCCGTCTACAGTACTATGTCGGCAAAATACCTCGCTAGAAGCCGGAGCGATGTTGTGCAGCCGGGAGATATACGCGGTGGGGGATTCTTGTCCTCGTGATGTTTAGTCGTCTATCACTGACCGCACCGCCGCGCACTACTTGCTTTCAGTACAACCACGGAGATGGCTCTCTGTCTCACAAACTTCTTTTTGCCTTTCTGGCAATTATGGAGCCCTTGTGTCTTAGCAGGAGACCGACTAGAGGATCGCCAGGAATAGATAGTATTACAGCACCGCAGGTCCAAAGTGCCCTCCGTCTTGACACTCGCTACCTCAACTCGTGCTTTGCGGAAGCAATCCGCGGCGTCGGCACGTACACGACATCATCTTTGTACCCTGGCATGATGTTATTCGTCAAATGGCCAAATATGCGTCTAGAAGCTCACAGACTGCCCAGTAGGAAGCAGTTCCTGTATCGCTTGTCTCACTTATCGTGGTCTTCACGCGACCTATTCGGGGTAAGCGCCATGAGAGCAACCTATAGTGAAAATCCCTCACCAATTCCGGAGCTTTTTCCAGTTGCTGGGAAAAGATTCACCTCGTTCATTACCCACAAAAAACATTCTAGGGCTTCCCTTCCATTAGGTTAGGCGGTCGGGTCTTTCTGCACGCTGAATACTGTGCATACCTACAAGGATATGTCCATATGACCCCCTCGCAATCGTCATTTGCGGTGCACATGCATGTAACTTTGAGGTGCAGGACACCAGCAGTACAGATGACTGACCTTGCTTCAGGCTACCCGTATCCAACGCGCTATGTAGTCGAATCAATTATGTGCCAGACGCTTGACGCTCCGGAGGGTCGAGCGACGCGACGCAAACCCAAGGGACCTGTAGGATTTTGAGCCGGGAGAAACGAAGAAAAAGCAACTGCAACTATCAGCACCGCCCATCTTCTCAGTATTTAAAGCACCAAACGTACGCTCGTAGTTGAGCAACGTTTAGTTTGCGTGTTCCTTGCCAAACCTCTTTCTCAGGCCTTGTCCTTTTCCACGTTGGACTGGACGACGTCGAAGCTTTCGGTGTCATTGCATCAGCGCATGTCGCTTAGACGCTATACTGTCTGATTGTGCAACGCTGGGGCACCACCCAAGCTGGCTGGTCCTGTACCGCTTGATACTCAGTTGCAGATACCGTTTGCTTGATTTCGGATTCCTTTTTGAAAGAAACCCTCCCTCAGATCTGGACAGCAACATATATCACCCATGTTTGCTGACTTTTACGCCATCTCCTTCATCCCTTGTTGAATCTAGCTAAATGGAATTGTCCAAGAACATTCCAATCGATTCACAGAGGGTTGTGGAGCCACAACACACTCGTAATCGCCCTCCGCATCGTAATGACGAGAACGTCCACTCTACCCAAGTCGACGGCCCAGCGAATATGCCAACTCGTCCAACCCCGAAGCCTAGCCCTTGCCCTTCCATTGCCGGCGTGACCGATATGGAACTTGATCTCGGAGGCATACATTTGCACGACTGCGGCAAAATCGCTAGATATCCGCCTTCGCTTGAGAGCGACAGTACACTGTCAGCAAAAACATACGTCAACCAGGACTTGAAAAATCAAGTTGACTCGATCGACTGGATGCTCCAGAGAGCCGTCGAGCCTACTCAGCTCACAGTCCTTGCTCTGCAAACTCTCGACTATGGCAACAATACCCATGGCTACCACCACGACCTTACCGAGTGGTGCGAGAATGGAAACATCTTCGTACACGGTCGTCTCCATGCCAAGTTGAGCGACTCTATCCTCCTGCCTCAAAGAGCCAGGAGCCATATCACGGAGCTCACTAGCTCATCCTATGACATGCTGTTGGATGTCACTGCCGCAAATGGCACAGATAATGACATCAGTGGAACTGGTGCGGCCTTCCACGACGTCCCACGAGCTCCGAGTTTCGAAGACGATGTCGACATGATGGGGACATGATGTATTATACAGTTGATGATGGATGAAATTTTAACGTTGCGGAGTTTGGGGTTTGAAAAGGCGAGGTTGATATCTTTTGGTTTGAATTGGTATAATCCTGTTGGAACTACTCTCTTTTCTTGGCGCCATATATAGCTTTTGCGGGGGCTTCTTCGTCTCCATTGTTACCGTTGACATGTTACCTCCTCTATTACCACGCTTTGAGTGTTAGCAATTAGTCTAGGGGTTCCACAATGCTGCAGAATTGGCTACTGAAACGCAACGCTATTCATAGTGCACGCATCAATGCAAGCCTGAATCTTGTGCACCACGTATGGAACCATATAGGACACCTGGGAACCACTGGGACTAATGACTTGAGCCAGAATGTGTATATCTCTACCTGGTTGATAGCTGTACGGTGGTAATATGAAGAGGTCTAGATGAGTGTGCACACTAATGCGTGTGTCACTTCCATGATCGATCGCCGGTACAAGATCTTTTGCGTACCAGGTGTTGTTCCTAACTGAGACATCAAATCATCCCAGTTCGTACTATGCGTACAACACCGAGTGGCACGACGTTATGACATTGGAACCATCTCAGCACATCGTGTGCCACACTCGCGGCTCTATTGGCCGTGTACCTTTTGTTCGGCCCCAAAGCCCAACTTCAGGTGAAAGCGATAGCCACTGGCGCTGTCCTCGCCTGTTCAACTCACCGAGACCAGCAACCATTACCCCATAAGTTAAGTCTTCAGTGCTTCTCCGCAATTTCGCGTCCCGGAGAGGGGTGGGGTGGGGGTTAGGTATATAGCCTGCATGCGGGGTCGGAGCACTTTCTCCATGACAAGTCATCTCTTCTCCAACTCCATCTTTTAATTTTTCCGTCCGCTAATGGTCTCGAAAAGTGACGAGATGCAAATGACTTCAATGCAGTACCCGCTCTTGAGGATGGAGGACCTCATCCAGGCCCGGGCGTCACGGTACTGCCATTTAGCCTATAGTCACTAGCTCGAGGGATAACCGCAAGCCTCATGGAGCTGGCTGCGGTTGGGGAACTGCTATGTAACATAGCTTGAATCCGGAAACGTGGAGTGCGGAGTGTAGTAGAATTTCAGGGCTCGCATGTGTATAGATGTATATATAAACAACTCAGAACAGCTGCGAACATGCTCGGGTGGAGCCCTGGGGACTGTCGTCTTGGGTATAGTCAACCATAGTGGTAATGTATAGCTCATCGCGCCACACTATGGCGCCTCTCCGGACGATTTTGACAACGATCTTGTTGCTGTTCGGCTCACTGGCAGCCGCCAACTCGAACGACCATGGCCATCAGAAAGGAAAATGGGTCGATATCTGGGCCTCCATGCCGCAGCTTACTGAATCGGCGAATTTGCCCCCAATACCATTTGTAAGACGAGGATCTCCACCTGTAGGGTGATCGTCAAACTGACAGATAGACTTACAGAACGACACAGGCGTAGTCTTCCAGAACAGTACCATCCGGCAGACCGTTCGCGTGACTCTTGCCGCCCCCATCGTCCGCCTGCAGATCTCCAATGCCTTCGGGGTCTCCGACCTGCCAATCACGTCGGCATCGATCGCTCTGCCTCTGAACGGATCCTCCGGGACTTCAGCCGTCAAGGCATCGTCAGTCAGGCCCTTGACCTTCTCTGGAGGTAACACGCACTACACGATCCCACAAGGCGCACTCGCAGTCACGGACCCCGTCTTTGACTTCCCCGTCTCTGCCGGCACGATTGTGACCATCTCGCTGTACCTAGCAGACGGCCAGACGACGAATCTCATCACATCTCACCCGGGAAGCCGGACGACATCGTACTTTGTGCGCGGGAACAGCGTCAACGCGAGCGATCTCCAGATCTCGGACCCGAGCACCCAGAAAGCGGACCATTGGTACTTCATCTCCACGCTCTCGGGCTACGTCGCCCCGCCATCTTCGGGCTCCATCTCGGGCGCTCTGGCGATCGTAGGCGACAGCATAACCGACGGGCGCGGCAGCACGACCAACGGCAACAACCGGTGGCCAGATGTGCTGTCCGCGCATCTGCAGTCCCGCCGCGCGACATCGGGCATATCGGTGCTCAACCTCGCGGCCGGCGGCAACAGGGTTCTCCACGACGGCCTGGGGCCCAACGCGCTGTCGCGGATCGACCGGGACGTCCTCGGCGCCGGCAGCGTGAGGTACGCCCTGGTCTTCGAGGGCGTGAACGACATCGGCACGGCGGCGACAGACGCGGCATCGCAGCAAGACGTCGGGGCGCGGCTCATCGCCGCGTACGAGCAGATCATCACCCGCGTGCACGCCAGGGGGATCCCGATCTTCGGGGCCACCATCACGCCGTTCAGCGGGCCGGGACAGACATACTCCGATCCGGAGCGCGAAAAGACACGGCAGAGGGTCAACGGGTGGATTCGTGGGTCGGGACGATTTGATGCAGTAGTGGACTTCGATACACTGGTGAGGAATGCTACGCAGTCGGATCAGTTGAGCGAGCTGTACAATGTGGGTGATTATTTGCATCTGAACCCTGATGGATATAAGGCCATGGGCGAAGCGGTAGATTTAGCATTGTTCGAGAGGTTTGGGGATGGCGTCTATGGAATTTTGTGATTATACAGAGTATCTCAGTCAGTAAAATGAAAGGAGACTGTTTAGACCAGGCAAACAAAAGTAAGTGTCGGGTAGTCATGCTGACGTCTGCCTGAAGATGGGGCCGTCATAACTGCCTTACCTGCGACGTGTGAAATCGGTTAGCAGCAGCGACTGGCTGCATGCTGTCTGCAAAATTTGCGTTGACTAGGCACGAAAACGAAGCAATCAAGACAAGAGCAGTCATGATAATGTGGAGACACAGATCGGCGGGTTAGGAACCGGACCAATTAGACAGAAGTGTATATCAAAAAAGTACGAAAAGCTCGAGGGCTTCTTATTCTCTAGAACGCCATCCAGTAACTCCGTAAAGGTCTACGACTTCTTTCCAGCTAAATGACCTCATATGTAGTGGCTACATCGCTTATGCCGAGTTTTAAGTCCATAAGCGTATTGTACTATCCGCTCCAGCTGACACACACCAGGGGTGTGTCGGGTGCCAGTCAAGATCGAGAACTCCTAATTTTGCTACGACCTTGTGACCTTTCAGCGATTTCAATGGGACACTATAATTGGAGTCAGTAATTACTTCTTCATGAGTCGGAGGCTTCGAGTATGTGGAACAGTCATGAAGGGCTCAATGCCTTTGAGAGGCACATCCGTACTGGAGTATACTCCATGGACATGCCGAAAAGGGTAGAATGTTGCTTACATGGTTGGATCCGCCATCATATCATTTACAACCTTTCCGTGGAAAATCTGAAGAGTTCCATCATCCGAGGCATCCGCAAACAGAGGATACGTGCGGTGGAACTTGACAGCTCTGATTGCTTCGGGATGGAAGCGCATCGCTTTGTATGGTCGATTTGACAGCTCAAGGTCATGCCAGAGAAGGCGCCTATCATACGAACCAACGACCAAGTTATCACCGCCAGGATGCACATCGAAGGAAGATATCCATTTGGCACCTGGCTGGATAGCTTTGACCAATTCTTGTCTCTGCAGATCGTAACACCTGATTGTGCGTTGCGTTGCCACAAAGAAGAGCGGCCCAGTGGGGTGGAAGGCTGCAGTTTGGGGAAGTCTTGGTGAACGTTAGTGAATTTACCATTACCAGTAACTATATTGGATATTCGGATTCAACTTACCCAGCGAGTTTACGGAAGGGGATTTGTGTCAAATGTTTGCTGAGCGTATGTATCGCTACTGCAGATCGCTGGCCGGAAGGAGAAACAGTGGTGAAGAAGTCGCCTCTTCTGTGCCAGCTGATGGTCTTCACAGGAGATCGCACAGTGATCTTGAGAAGGACGCCTTGCTCCTCGAGTTTCCCGCCAGGTCTTGCCCATTTACCGGATGGCTCTTTCTTAGCTCCGTTGGCCGTCGTTGGTTGCTTACCATTGAATGTAGCGAAACCAAATCCAGCATTGAGGATATCTTTGACCCACAGTCAGTCTGATGATGAATTGAGAGAGAATTGAGTTGGTAAAACTGACCTCGGCTTGCTTCGTTGAGCTCAGGGCTTGCATGTTGGGGTACAATTATGAAAATATCCTCAGCTGCAGCGGCTGACAGAATGAACGCGTCACGTCCAGGACGCCAGCGGACAGCGTCGACCGGTTCGTCGCTGCTAAGTTTTATGCTGTCGAGCTGGTGACCGGTCTCAAGCTCCCAAACTCTCACTGTACCATCATCTCCACCGCTGGCAAGGAAGCAACCGCTGGGATCGATCGATACTGAGCGAACTCGCCCCTGGTGCCCCGTGTATTCGACTGAAGTCACCGTAGGGAACGGTTTCAGCTCCTCTGGCTGAATGAAAAGTCAGTACAACACCCACAAACAGCATCGAACTCACCAGCGCTGTCGTCTGAGGAGAATAACGTACCTTTGGTAATTTGGGGAGCAAGCTCATAGGATCAATATTGAGCCTGTTCTTTCCTGTTTTACGGAAAATATCCATGTCAGTCAAGTTTGCCCATAACAACAGGGAACGCTCTTTGGGTGCATGTCGATTACGTACGAACTCGGGGAGCAAGATAGAGGTCGAGGCAGCGCTCAAAACGCTCTTTCACAAACTCAGAGTATGCGGGCACGACCCTAAGCGAGCTATACCCTTGAGGCAAGTAATTCTTTTCTCTCTCTTCGGGTTCTGTTTCTTCCCAGGCCTTCTTCTCCTCAGCCGTTGGTCTGCAGAGCTTCAAGTCAGCGATTACGTCTTTTGGGTTACCTGGCGAGGTTTTGGGAGCCTCAACAGCAGTTGCAGGAGCACAAAGACTGTTCCCGTCATTCTGCTTTCCAGACACGTGCTTGGAAGGATAAAAGAAAATCATGGGCGCTTACAAATACTCTGGAGGTGGGTTATAAGACAAATCATAACCGGGGGGTTGTATCTTGGGCGGAGGTATGTGCATGACATGAGGATCATAAGGCACTTCATCTTGCCACCTAGACACACATTTGTCAGTTGATCAACACCTTGGGCACAATAGAATGTCTTATACTATGCACATACATATCAAATAGAGGCTCGTCCTCTTCTTCTTCCTCGCGTGCTCTCTCCTCGGGCGACTTGTATGGGAGAATGCGGCCTTCTTTAATAGCCTTGACTATTTTCATGATGCGCTTCTGTTCATGCTTGGAGGGAAGGAAACGACGCTTGGGCTCGTTGGCAGCGCTAAGTGGCATTTGTTCTTCGAAACTGGTGAACCATTCGACGGTGTCCTGATAAACGTGTTAGCCAAGACAGATGCACACACGGCAATATGCTTAACTTACAGGATAAGGGTCGTAGTCTCCTGGGACTACATTTTGCTGTACCCGACGTAGCAACTCCAACTCGTCTTGGCTCAATGACAGTGGCTTGCCCGTCTGAGGATCTGTCAAGCCAGTCCAGCCCTTGGGAACCTCGATCGTATCAAGGAGTTGATCCAAAGCATCTCCGGCGGCTGGACGCATGATTCTTTTTCCATCAATATTATATCCCTTGACCTGACGTTAGCGATCGCTCCTTTATGTTTGTTTGGTTAAATGGGGTTTCGCAGAAGCGCAAGAGACGATTTCAGCCGATATGCGCTTCCATACGGTTCCGTCTTTTCAAGCATGTACATACAATATGGGGATCTGCAATACAACAAATTGATTAGCTTCATATTCTGAGATAACGGACAGTATTCGGGATACTGGCTTGGTTGAGGCAGTTGATCAAGCCTGTCAAATGGCGTGCAGGGAGAGGTTGTCTTGTATACATACAGGAATCGTAGAAGCTCAAGTCAATGTTGCCAATTGTGTTTTCGCCTTCTTGGGCATCGGTATCATCAGAGTCATATCCAACATCGACCTCGTCATAGACAAATCGTGTGCCACCCAGAGCGTCCTGTTCCACTCTGTAGTTGGGACCCTGGTCCTCTTCAAGCCCGCTTCCAGTTACGACGGTGGCTTTGTCGACTTGTTCCTCCTCATCTGATGGTATGTCGTCACTTTCGAGCGCATCGTCCTCGTCCTCGTCCTCGTCTTCGTCTTCGTCTTCTTCGCCGCCATCGCTGCTCTCATCCGAGTCGTCGTCAAGAACGCCTTCGAGGAGTCCATCGCCGAATTCGTCGTCGGAGTGAAGGGCGGCATCTGCCTCTACCACAGAAGCCTTGCGCTTCGAACTGGCCTTTCCAACCATGTTGAACGCGGGGAGGTGGCAATTATCCTGGTGCACTTTCCGGCTTCAATTGTTGCCTGGTTTGTTGCCGTTGGTATATTCCCAGTGTACGGGGGGTTCTATCGAATGCAATAACGCACGAGGCCCTGTGCCAAACGATGGGAAGGACTGGAAGGATTGAAACTTTTAGCGGGCCACTCTTTCTGCCGCCCCGCCAGAGCTCTGTAAAATTTTGACCGCCTACTTTATTCGTGGCCAGGCTCCGAGGGGCAGCTAACGCCAGAATGCCTTATGAGTTCGGTTCACTGATAATCGTCCCCAACGTCGCAGCAGCAGTCATCTCGTCATGATGTGGTTGGACCATGTGTTTGGCTTTTCATAGGACAAGAATGCACATCAGATTGCTACACGCGATGGAATTATATGATTGACTATAGTGCATAACCGGACCTACCTTTCAACGTTACACAGCACCCCGCGTAAACAGATTGGCTAGGGGAGAAGAGTACTCCTAGGTAATCGAGGGACGCGCGTATAGTAGAGCAAGGTCTAATAAGATAGCGAACTCCTCCAAGCCTTCTGGTAGTATACGATTCCATGCTATCCCAAAGGCTGGCAAAAGTGGTCGACGCTTGTTGGCCAGGTTGTCGCATATTGGGTCGTGGCATTATAGGAAATTAGGTTTCGACGATAGTTTGAGAATGACTTATACGACTAGTTTGTAGCAAAGTCACCATGTTTGGTCAATCTCGAATGAGCTGGTAGTCTCAGCAGTTTTTGTGGCAATGCCGTGGATGTTGTACGACTTGTTCGTGAACAAGCTTTCCCAGACGCTCCTGTCGCCGCACATAGAAGTTTGGACCGCAACACACACACGAATCCCAACACCTAGACTAGCTTTTATGCAACCGGCTTATCATGGTCGGAATTCAAACATAAATATCAACTTCGAAAGAACTAGTCTAGAATTTAATTAATGACGATCTGTTCCCTAACCGTGAACTAGCAACGATCCCTCACTTTGCGCTCAGGTTGGTGCTCTACACATATCATATGCCTCAGCGTGGGGACTATTGTCCATGTATGTTACCTCCTTGCTCATTTCAAATCTAAAGCTCATGAGAAGCTATCTGTTAGGGGCTACATTTGATACCTCTGTGATACAAAGGACACCGTTTCGTACATATATTAGTTATACTTCCAGATGCACTCCATCATAGATCTTCGTCAACCAAGCATTCAACTGTATGTCTACTACACGCAGCGTATGAAAAGTCATGCTTTACAATTCTATGTTGAATATATAAAGAGGTAAAGCCGTTGTCATGTCGTTCACGGCTAGCCTTTGAGCTCCAAAACATGGTGAGATCATGAACACTGGGTCTAGAATAACACTCATTGTCACAGAAGAACAATGTGCATTGAAGACGAGAGGTGTTCTATTTTCGCATATAAATAGGGGAATCTGGTTTTCGCCACTGATCTCTTGTGTCCGTAACAGCATCAATATATGAGCATCACTCGCCAGCATCAGAGAGCAGTTGTTGACAGCGTCTATTCTCGACATCTCCCAATAGTAAGAGAAATGTCTTCCGGAAACAATAGTAGCGTCAAGACCACCGGCCCCAAAGGCTACTCGCAAGAGAATGGAGTGACCAAAACCAGCAGTAAGTATTTTACGCAGCCAACTTGCCACAACTGCCAATAGTTAGGTCACCACGGTAAAGAGTGTACTGTCCCGAAGCCCGAGATCCGGTGCTACAATTGCAAACAACTGGGCCACATTGCCAAAATATGCAATTCCCAAAAGCCTGAGATACGGTGCTACAATTGCAAACAATTGGGCCACATTGCGAAAACGTGCAAGGCTCCAAAAGTTGAGGCCCGTGAGTGCAAACCGTGCAAAAATAAAGGTCACCTGGCCAGCGACTGTAATAAATGCGCCCGATGCGGAAGTCACGAGCACAATGTCCAGAAGTGCGAGCTGGAATACGTACAGGGTAAGGGGCTGCGTGGCTAAGACCAACTTGGGCTGTGATCCCCCTTCTATGGAATTTACGACATCGATATCTACCACCCGTTGCCGGCGGATGTGAATACATAGCAGGCAAGAATACACAAAATTGAGACTTTAATATGAACTCCTTATGCCCTTGCAAACAGTCGCTTCAAAAGAACACCAAAAAAAAAAAAACTCTAGCTCCCATATAAGGAAGCCACCGGTTTTGGGGGAAACTGTAATTGGTAGGTGTAAATTGATCAATGGTTTTTGTGGTAGGCCTCCAAGGATAACCTTGCATGACCCCCATCTCTACCGCTTGAGTGGTGTAGATGAGAGAGGTGTCTCCCGTCACATCTCTAGTTGTGCGATATCATGTTCTAGCGGCTCAAAGTGTACATCTGGGTTTGACCAAGGAATGTGCATAACGAGGACGATTTACCGCTGAATTCGATGCCGTTTGATTTGCAATGCCGAAATTATGGTTACTATGCAACTTATGGTCAGTGGCTTACATTTTGACTAGAGACATTTAGCGACACACCTTATGTAATCACAATAAAGATCATATTCATCATGATTTTGTAGGGCCGAACCAGTTCCCAAAAAAACCCCAAAGGCAGCTTAGAGTGGCATCAGTCGTTTCCGGCTCCAAGCATTCTGGGCTACTTGACCTTATGGTGGCACCTCCGGTAGATGTGTCCCAATTGCCGATTTGATTTGGATTGTCGGGTGGAGATCCGATTCGAGGGTCCTGTAACAAATCCGCAGTGGGGTTGCAGCGGAGCTCCTCCATCACGTCAATCGATTGACTTCTCCCAGAAGGCTTTGGAGGTCTCATTACACTACTATTCATCAATCTCTTGGAAAGGCTATCTTGTATTGTGCTTGCTTTCCTCGTTCCTCAATACCACACAACATGTCTTCTTTCTCAGTGAGTTTCCTTCTACGAACTGGTTTAGCCCTGCTATGGTGACTAACTCTGTAACAGCGACTCATCCGTTTCCTTGCCAAGGACGGCAGAGTATACTATGGCGATGCCATCTTTCCCGGCGTCAACGATATCTCCAAGACTAAACAAGCTCGAATTTTGACTGGTGACATCTTCGGCAAGCATGAGGTGACGGATCAAGTCGTTGATGTTAAGCATCTCCTAGCCCCTCTTGCTTTAGAAGATGTCAAGACTGTCCGATGCTTGGGCTTGAATTATGAGCAGCATGCCAAAGAGGTACGATGCTCTTAGGCGAATGCTGAACTATGAACTAATAACGCTATTTAGTCGAAAATGCCAGTCCCCAAGTACCCTGTGCTGTTTGTAAGTGAGACCTTGTTGCATTTGTCTGTAATATATTATTGACGATTCAATAGTATAAGCCAGTCACTTCTCTGGCCGGTCCTAGTGATCCGATTCCAGTCCACGAGATGGCCCAGGAAGAGCTCGGTCTTGACTACGAGTGTGAGCTCGTTGCTGTCATTGGAAAGAGATGCTCGGACGTTTCCGAGTCCAATGCGCTGGACTACGTGCTTGGCTACGCGGTCGGCAACGATGTATCACACCGTGACTGGCAAATCAAGCGAGGCGGTGGTCAGTGGTCACTCGGCAAGGGATTTGACGGCTGGGCCCCTTACGGCCCTGGTATCGTTTCCAGTAAGGTTATCAAGGACCCTCAGACCCTGAAGATCTCCACCAAGTTGAATGGCAAGATTGTCCAAGTAAGTCTGCCTCCCACCTGACGGTGTTACCGCTAACCCGGAGATCTTTAGGACTCTAGTACTGCTGATATGATATTCAGTGTCAAGCAGACAATTGCATTCCTAAGCCGGGGAACTACACTGCTGCCAGGCGACCTTATCTTTACAGGAACACCTCAGGGTGTTGGCATGGGCCGGGAACCGAAGCTCTGGCTCAAGGACGGTGATGTGGTTGAGGTTGCGCTCGAGGGTGTTGGCTCGATTACAAACAAGGTCGAGTTCACCAAGAAGGAATCTGCTAAGCTGTAAATATTATACACATGTACTGTGCAACATGGCGGGTGGATTGTAGTGGCACCTTATTTTATGCATCATTGATAATATGAGTCACTGAGCTCGATCCACTCAAGAAAAACGTAGACCGATGTGGTGGTCACGGTACTTCAACCTGCACTGTCCACGCGTTACCGGGCTCGGTCAACGCATCTGGAATAAGTATTGGCATTGCTTCGGGGCTGGCCGGACGCTTACTTCGAACTTTGCAAAGGTTGGTTCCCCTCAAAAATGGTTCCAGGAACCATTTCGCAAAATGCTTGTAAGCGTACCGTGGATAAAACAGATCTGGATCAGATAGTACAAATACAGATCCCCTAAGTCGAATAGAGGCGACGATCATGTTGCAAGAAAGCCTGAAATAGGCGGCGTTGATCAATCTCGCTTAACATGAGCTTTCCGGGCGTACAACATCACTGCCCCCGGCGCTTGTTTAGTGGATTCACAGAGGCTCAGCTCTTCCACGGAGTACATAGTCAACCCAAATCCCCAACTAGCACCCTCTAAGGTTACAGATCCTGTAAGCCTGCCAAGCCTACCCTACAGCTCTCTTTGATCCACACAACCTTAAAGAGGAGGCTTGGGGTCGCATCCCCACATACGTCGGTGGACAAACAAAGATTATTAGCTGCACATGGACTGGTACGTGATGCCGACTTGCCGATTGCGGTAATTCTTGGCTCCTTCAGACAAAGTGCAAAAGCGCCATGGAACGGTGGTGCCAAAGCCCAGTATGCCTGCCCTCGTGGAGCTGGTTCGGTCCATGAGGCTGAATCCATGTACTGCGAAGTCAGAGCTCGCCATGCCTGGTGAACAGCCTCGACAAAGGCCCATGTGGCCTGCCAAGGTCAAGCTAGGCTTTCAAATGTTCTGTAATTATCCTTCCCGTTCGGCCATGGCAATTTTAATTTTATCACCCGTTTCCCAGTCTAATAGGATGCTGCCGAGCGGCAAGTTATCATTTTGCTCTTCATTTTTATTTTTATTTTTCTTGTCCCCAAATACACTCCTGTTACTTAACATCTCTTCGCTAAGTCAGTTTGGCCTTCGTTTGGCACTGCTGTGTTCAAGCTTGAAACAGGGAATGCATCTTTGGGTATCCGTTTGGTCGATACCCTATCAGCCTAATGTTTCGTTAGGATGCCTCAGATGTTAGATGGTAACTATTCTCAGCACGAAGCTGTAGCTTCAATGACAGAAGAGGTTTTGGATGCTACTATCGTTTGGCAAGCAGGTGGAGATGAAGTTGAAGCACCAAGATGGAAAGGTAAAGGAAAAGAGGTTGCTACTCCAAGCACCATATTGTACGCACTGGCTTCCAGTTCGGGATACTCATTGGTCGAAAACGAAATTGAAGAAGAATCAGAAGAAGTGGATTGGAAGCAATATGGACCGCCCCAGGCATTGACCAATGTGCAGGACATTGAGTCTGAGGTCATCACGCAGATTGTGCACGAATCCATCAACAGAATCAAAGCAAGAATAACAGAAGAAGAAGAACAACGGCAAACAGCCATAGAAACAGCCAGAATACTAGATGCAGAACTTTCTGAGAAGGAGGTAGTCGCTATCTTGCCAGAAAAACCAGAAGACTTGCAGGAAAATCAAAACGATGACAAAGAAGTCACACAGGACGGGAAGCAACCAAGAGTGCCCACCTACTATAGGATGGAGCCGCCTCAGACTGCAACTTTCGCAGGCGTCAAGTTCACTATGGATGCCAACGGACTCTTGCGGCCGGTCAAATCACAGCCCAAGTCGAAGAGGAGGAACATCTTGGGCGGTATCCTACGGCGTTTCAACAATAGAGAGAGAGGAGAGTCGGGTGTTCAGGCAGCGGCTCGTCATAAACACCGCTTATCTGTCGACTACAACGCACTCGCTTCCAAAGGTATCCAAGTGGTCGACAACCTTGTCGATGGGAGTACCAAAAGTCCCAGAACTTCTGTTCATGAAAATCTCGTGTAATTATCCCTTTGCTCCAACTGTTTGTCATTCTTATATAATCTCTCGCTAACGTCAACCAGTGAATGCGTATCTTGTTTTGAAGAGTTCAACCCCAACAAAATGGTCAAGTGCCCTTGTCACAGCTATTGTACGGCATGTTTTCACCGACTCATCGAGACAGCCTGTGAGAACGAGCAACAATGGCCGCCGAAATGCTGTTTGAACATTATCCCAAAATCGACCATTCTCTCGGGAACCTTCAACTACCACGCGCTCCAGAAGGTCTACAACGATAAATCTGAGGAGTGGTCGATTCCCATCAGTGAGCGTATCTACTGCTACGAGCCAGTCTGCGCCGGCATCTTCGTCCGCCCGGCTTACATTAACCATGCCGAAAATGTTGCGCGTTGCGAAGCTGGACACTACATTTGCACGCTGTGCCGGGGGCAACGACACGTGAATCAAGCATGTCCACAGGACCGCGACCTGCAGCGTACAGAAGAGCTGGCGGACGAGGAGGGGTGGAAGAGATGCTACCAATGTCATGCTTTTGTCGAGCATCGAGAGGCATGCCAGCATATGACATGTCGCTGCGGTGCTGAATTTTGTTATGTATGTGGCGCTCGATGGCGTACCTGCGCATGTAGTATGCAGCAACTCCACGCCGTCAAGAGTGAAGCTGCAACCAGAAGGCGGATCAGACGATCTAGAGAAGCGCAGGAAGAGGCCGAGCTTGCGGAGGCGCTGCGTCTGGTTGAAGAGTACGAGCGCGAGGAAGCTAGAAAGGCTACACTACTAAGACTGGAAAGGGAGAGAATTGAGAAAGAGCGGCGGAAAAAGGAGCTTGACAAGCGGTTGCTGGTAGAGGTTGGTAGGCGCAAGGGCGTGGAGCTTCAGTTTCGAAACCTGACTCAAGTGCTCAATGATCTGCATGAGGAGCAACGAGTCGAGGTCGTTCGTGAACACGGCAAGTATGAGAGTGTTTTACGTTATAAAGCAGAATCGTCGATAACGGCACTAAAAGAGCAAAACGATAGAAAGCGCGACCTTCTCGTAAACCTTGGTATTGACAAGATACAGGAGTTCAGGTCAGCAATGGATCAGGAGCATGCTGCTCGAGCTGACCAGGAGCGGCAGGTCGAGGAACAATACTATCAGCAACTTACAGTCTACTGGGCTGGCAAACCAGATGGAAATTTGCACGCGGAGGCCGCTGTCCTCAGTCTGAAGCGACGGATGGACAAGGGATATCAGGTCTGGAATCGTTGGATGCAGAATGAAATTGACAAACATCGTTTCTTGGTTGAAGAAGAGCAGTCTGTCCAGTTGGAGATGATGGACGAAGCGGAGCGAAGACTCAAGCAGGATCTCACAAGGCATCGACAGGCTTTTGCCAAGAGAAAAGCTGCCGAGTTCAAATGGGTGGAACTCGTGATTCAGGAACGAGAGCTGATGTTGATTGAAATGAGATTCGATGAGATGGAAGGTGGGGATGACATGGATGCTTTGCTGGCGGAGACACAACAGCTTAACTTGGGTGAAGCATCTGTCAGCGTCAACTCATCTCAGCGGGATTCAATCGACAGTTCTGAAACGGACAACGATCGATGGTATGAGGTAGGTGATGAACTGGGCAATTTGAACACGGGCGACACAGGCGATGATTTAGATGACTTAGCTTCAAGGGTCGGGGAAAGCATCCGAGACAAGAATATCTACTCGGTTGCCGTAGGTGGGCCATGATACCTGTTTATCATAGTCTTGCACATATTGGCTCACAAAGGACGACAAGCTGGGGGCTCGCATGGTATCTTAAATTACAAGTTAACCAACTACAGAAAGAATATCTATTCGTCTAAATATTCGACACAGATCGTAGGGCCATTTAAGTTCATGATGTCGCCAATGGTAACGTTAGGCGCAATACCCGCCATCCATAGAACATGGTTCAAGGTAGTCACGGAGCCACCGCCGTCGCCCCAGTAGTCCGTTACAGAAGTAGGGGGGTATCCCGAGCTTCCTTCTCTCGTCCCTCGGGGGATGTTCGGGCCGCCAATGTCAGTGAGACGGGCTGGGTAGTCGGCCTTCTGCCACTCCCACCAGAGCTTGTCGAGGTACGTGTGATGAAGATAGAACCCAGGGTCGCCGGGAGAATATGTAGGATCGCCCATCTTTGATGGAAATCTTAGCAAAAGAAACATTCATCTCAGAGGCCGTTTATATAGATGACTTACCAGACCACCTATACCACCATGGCCGGCGCCGTGGGGAGATCCTGCCCAACACTAATGAAAACCAATGTCAGCAAAGCGCACCACGAAGATAGGGCAAGGTCGCACCGGAGACTCACATTCCATGCACTAGTATAGTTATTAATCGCCATGCACCTGTCTATGTTCGACTGAGCAGCCTGCTGCAGCTGTCGTTCACTGAAGCTGCGGAAGACACAGTGGCCTCCGTTAGCATCAACGGCGTTAGTACCAAAGGAAAGGCTCATGTTGGCAAAGGAGCCGGTCTCAATGCAGCGACCCGAGCCAGTGCCGTCACCGCCAAAGTACTCGTCCCGGAACATGTCCAGGTCGGCGATGACTGAGTTGATGTCTCCAAGTTCGTCCCAGTACGGCATGCGCCCAGTATACCCGCACTCGTCGCGGATGAGGTTCTCGTGGACCGTCATGTAGTACCTGTGAAATGGCAGGAAGGCACCCTGGGTTCTTATCAATAGCGCGTCCATTAGACTGAGGGGATTGCACCGCTTACCACACCATGGACCCAAACAGTCTGGTAGATATGGGGCCAGTGAAGGTCGTCCCAGCGCGTCTTGGCACCTTCGATACCAGCCTTGGACGGGGCAGCGATCAAGCAGAGATCTGCCTGTATATAGGAAGATTTCTCATCGTCGGTGAGCGAGGTCCTGCAACATGTCAACGACACTGAGCTCGCATTTCGCCGGGCAGCATCTCGACTAACCATGGCACACGGTACTTGATATCGGTGCAGTTTTCGGTGATGTCTCTCTTGGCCTCAGGTGCCGGTAGCGCCGAGACAGCTGAACATGCTGCGAGAAGCAGTGTAGCTCCTTGGAAGAGAGGGGCCATCTCTGAGATCACGGCTACTACTAAAATATTTACACGAATGCAAAAAAGTAACTATAGATCGTGAATCAAGCTCAGGTGAAATCAGAGCTCTTCGTTATATATATCACTAGAAATGTGATCCACAAAGGCGATCATATAATATCAAGACTTCGCACGCGCGCGTCCGGGAAGTGGCCGCCCGTGGTTGCTGCAATTCGGACCGGATATCTATAAGGAGAAGGTTCAGCAAAATATATTACAACACTGCGGCAAATGGCCGGCGGCCGTTACATTGCCAAGCGAATATGAACATGTATGGAGACGAAGCATTTCCCCGCATATCTCGAGCGGTTCATATCGTGTTAACCATAACTGGTCCACGAAACGACATATTTTGATGAAGTAAACCCGGGCCTCGTAACTGTGTGTTGGCCTGCCTATTTAAGACGTCGGCGGCCGAATACCGACTACATGCAGGGACGTGACCTTGCATATTGTATACAACTACTCAGGTTGATTGAATCCAGGCATATGTTTTCGAATGGAGGTGGGCTTGGAAGCATTCTCGATCATTTGTATCATACAAGATTAGATATTCGCACAACTCTCTTGACACATGGTCATATGCGGCAGGTAAAGATAATCACTGTCGCTAAATCCGCCAAACCAAACCAATTTTGGATTTTATGCGGTACAAGACAAAGTTTCTCGGGTTACAGTAAATTCGAAACCAACGTTGCATTGCATCTTGAAATGTGACAGGCTTAAATTCACTGCAACCGGGACGCGTGTTCCTGAAATAGTCTGTTCTCGACGGCTCTTGTTGAAACGGGATTTCGTCCAGCTTGGCATCAGCTGTAAAACTGGAAGGCTAAGTAATGCTCTCAGTAGTCTACCTTGTCTAAAAGTACGATCTCGTACTTGCGCTCCGATACTCTCCCTGCGTGCCAGGAAACGCACCTACTGGCGCTTCTGCTATTGTCTTTTCGTCGTCTGAACTGAGGCCTTCATCGCCATAGTCGTCGGCTCGATCAGGTGGTGCACGCATGGCTTCCAACGACTGTCTGCTGAGCTCTGGTGGGGCGTAAGGTTTTATAGCATGCATTTCTCGTCCAGATGGCAGAGTTGAAAGCAGAGTAGAAGGCGCAGGAATAGCCTGTGTCATCATCTAAACAGATATCAGCAATGAAGAAACGGATACGCCTGAGGGGGCCAAGATTGACTTACTGTATCGTTGACCTTTGTCCATTTCTCATGAAGCATCTCCAAGACACGAGACTCTTCAAGCTTTCCGGCATCAGCCCCCCACCCAGCACCCTTTTCGACCTTCTTGTCCTCCTTTTTCTCAGACCACTCTTTCTTCATTCGAGATAGACTCAGTCCTTTCTTTGCCTCTTTCGGCTCAACACCAAGTTCTTGTAGCCCACACTGAAGCCAGCCTAGCGCATTGCCTGTCTGACCAGACAATTCTGCGTCAATGCCAAAGAAGCGGCATGCCTTTGCGCGCGCAGTCCTCTGGAGATCATCAACATACCGGACTAGGGAATCGTTCAGTTTAGATGTCCCCTTACCCGTTGTAGCTTTGCACAACGCAGACGCTTTAGCTGCGTGCTCGGAAGCTGCAAGACACAGACGGGCAAAGAGATGTGCCCTCACTTTAGGGACCTCCGGCGCTTTGTACATCCATTCACGGTCGTTCTTGTTGCGGTCTTGTGCGACAACTGCTGGATATGGATCATCTTTCAACACGGCCAGCAAAGTGGCCTCGGCAAGTGCCAGAGAGGCCAGAGCTCTTGTAGTCGTAGCCGAGATATCTGCACACGGCGGGCTGGTCACAAGTCCCTCAGCGCGCCTTGCTAGGTAATCATGCACAGATGCGGCGTCAAGCAGATGCTTTGTTGCAGTTTGCACGGCGGTCGTACGTTCTTGAGTTCCAACGGGTGCGCCGGTTGTTACATATAAGGGATACAGAGCAGCACGTGCAAGGTTGGTATAGGCATAGCCGAGAGTGGAGAGTGTGAAGAAGAGTTCATATTCCAGAGACTGTATCTTGACCCTAGCCTGCTCCTTGCCGGGCACTGCATTATCAGACAGCGTGGGTCTCCACTCGATGGCAGGTGTGGATAATGGCGTCACTCGGATTCCCTCCCCATGGACAGGCTGATAATTGAGACCGGCATCAAAAGCAAGCAGATGCTGGAGGTAGTTGTGGATGGTGGAAACGACAGTTGGGAGGTTGGGAGGCTGGGAATTCGGCGGCAGGCGCTTGTGTTTCTTCAACGTGTCTCTCACTACCCCGCGATAGGTGCTGGCGTTGAGGGGCAGCGAAGGGTGTGAATCGCTATTGAAGCTTGACGAGAAGGAGAAGGACGAAGTTGTCGGGAGCAGAAAGGGGAACGGCATCTTGTAAAAGGGGCATGCGGCCTTTCGGGAGATTTGAGAATTTGGCCATGGCAATGTTCTCGAGGAGTGTTCGTCATGTCCAAGTTTATACCCGCAATTCAGAATTGCTTGGCATGTCTCATCACCAGTGTACGTGCTCAACTAATAAGCTCAGCTCAGCTCTTTCTCCATGGTCTTTGGCCATGGTCCCGGTCCTTTGGTCCTGATCTTCCAGGTCTTTGGTTTTTGGAGTCAACTTTTACTGAGGGGGGCCCTCGCCCAGGAACCGAACAGCGCCGTTGCCCACCTAACCTAGGGGCTCGCTAACAATCAGGCGCTAGAAACACCTCACTCCCCCGCAAGCACCACAGCGTAACAGTAGTTATGTACTGTACAATACCATAACATTACAGTTTATGTACGTAGCTACCAGCTCACTAACCGGATAGCCACAAGGACCCTGGAGCCTCGAAAATTGGAGACCAACCTTACGCGTCTTGAAGTTGCTGCTCATTCAACTGAATTGAATTGATCTTCAGGAAACCCTGTCCAAAACTTTTGGAACCGTGCAAGTCCGCCCACGTTCCATTTCACTCCTTCACGACCAACCAGCTCCGGGACAGAGGCACTCCACGACTTGCTGTCCATGAAGCCCTTGATTCCGCATTTATATCAGTCAATCGGTGATCATGGCTTCCGCATCGCCAGCCGCCCACAAGCCCCGGCGCAAGTCCAAGAAGCCAGGTGTGACCTTTGACCCATCCACCAAGCCGGGCACCCTCGTACGCACTCCTTCGTTTCCTCTCGCAGCTTTCCTTTGGCCAGCGCGTAGTTCCTTGTCTCCGTGGGAGGTTCTACCCCTGATTCTCATGGTCGTTGGCTTGTTCAGATGGGCAGCAGGTCTATGGGGCTACTCTGGTCAGTACTGCGCTTGATGTCTGCGTCTGCCCTGTTTGTTCACCCGAGTGCTAACCCACCTCAGGCTTCCAGAAACCACCCATGTTTGGCGACTATGAGGCTCAGCGACACTGGATGGAGATTACCACTCAGCTGCCCATCTCACAATGGTACTTCCACGACCTGCAGTGGTGGGGCCTCGACTATCCCCCTTTGACGGCATATCACAGCTGGCTACTGGGCAAGATAGGTTCGCTGATCGATCCCTCGTGGTTCACCCTCTATACATCGCGCGGTTCCGAAGATCAGAACTTGAAAATATTCATGAGGGCCACTGTCATCGTCTCCGAGTACCTCGTCTACATCCCTGCCGCCGTCATCTTCGTCAGAAGATTTAGCAGGCTATTCGGTGTTGCCCAATGGACAAGCTGGGTCGCACTCGTGGCAATTCTCATGCAGCCAGGCCTCATACTTGTCGACCATATTCACTTCCAGTACAACACAGTCATGCTCGGGCTTGTTCTTGCAAGCATGTCCAGCATGATTGCTGAACGATACATGTGGGCCTCCATCTTCTTCGTTGCAGCACTGGGCTTTAAACAGATGGCTCTCTACTATGCACCTGCTGTCTTTGCCTACCTCCTCGGAAGTTGCATTTTCCCGCGCATCAACGTGGGACGATTCGTTGTCATTGCTGGCGTCACTGCTGTGTCTTTTGCCGTTCTCATTCTCCCGCTTGTTCTGGGATCACTGTACGATGCTCAGCGAGGCATTGATTCTCAGCCCGACCTTGACGGACCCCGTCCTTCACTGCCCATATTTACACAGCTCGAGGCATATCTCAACAAAGATGCCACATACTACCCAGTAGTTGAGCAGCTAGTCCAGATGGTCCATCGAGTATTCCCTTTTGCCCGCGGCTTGTTCGAGGACAAGGTCGCCAACTTCTGGTGCGCAGCAAACGTTGTCTTCAAGTTGAAGCAGTATCCCTCTGCCATATTACAGCAAGCCTCTCTGGCAGCAACGCTTGTCTCGTTCGCGCCTGCAACTTTGATTCTTTTCTTCTGGCCAAGAAAGGAGCTCTTGCCATATGGCTTTGCTGTTACAGCCTGGAGTTTCTTCTTGTTCAGTTATCAAGTGCACGAAAAGAGCGTTTTGCTCCCTCTACTACCGATGACTGTCCTTTTGGCTGGCAAGGAAGGACTGAACAAGGAAACCCGCGCGTGGGTAGGTTTCGCCAATATCCTTGGAGCTTGGACTATGTTTCCACTACTTGAGCGTGTAAAATTGAGAGTGCCATATGCTGTCCTTACTGGTCTTTGGGCATACCTCCTCGGCCTGCCGCCCACATCACTGGGCGCATATCTTGGAAGCGAGAAAAACACATGGGTACAGTGGATGACAGCCCTTGTGCACTGGTCCTTTTACCTGGCAATGGGCGTTTGGCACGTTGTCGAACTTTTCGTCAATCCCCCGGCCGACAAGCCGGATCTTTGGGTTGTGGCTAACGTTGGTGTTGGCGCGGCCGGATTCACGTTGTGTTATGCGTGGTGCCTTTGGAAGTTGGTCGCTCAAAGCGGAGTCCTCAGATCCAGTTCGGCGAATTCTTCGAAGAAGAGACAGTAAGAAAGAAAAACGGAATATACCCGAGTCAGGCAAGACTCACATATCGAGAACATGTACAAAAAGGCTGTTGGCAGCCATGGATAAACCAAACGAAATCACCAAACACTTTTGTGTTGCCATCAACTGTTTCCAACGTAAAAATTTACGCCTCAAGTTAAACTTGAATGTAGAGGGACATAGACTAGAAACAGACGATAAATCAGTTGCATTTTCCAGTTTTCAGCACCGATATTATGTCTACCTGAAGGCTCCTGGCATCTGACTAAAGGGTTCTGCAAAAGTGGTCCTATAATTAAAATACGCTTGAGGAAAGCATCGCAGTGACACCAAATTGGCATAAAGATAAGTGTGGAATCTCATACTGTATGCTTCATACCACTAGTGGATATAATTTCCTCGACAAGCAGAAGATCTAGTGAACCATATTCGACCAGAGCTGTTAGAAAAGCTTGAACCTTTCGTCATAGTACATACTAGCATGAAAACCACCATAAAGAGGAATGGAAATCCGGGACGACAACAGTGGTTTCAGACGGCTCGCTAGCCGAAGCATGGCGTCGTGTTGCAGCGGGGAGACACCTTCCACACGAGACCGCTTATTGTTCGTTGCCAGTGCGATACCTACCACATCCAATATCATATCATGGTGCCATAGCTCCTGATTTTCTCAAGCTCTGCATATTGTTGTCGACGCCGAGCCCTCCTGGCGTCTCTGAGCACCGTCTGCGTTCCCCGTTCCAGCTCCTCATCGAAAGCCCTCATGACAAATGTAACACAGGCTACAAGCCAAACGATAAAGTTCGCGGCAAGCCAAATTGTAATCCTCAGATCGCCGATGCCCAGTAATCTCACGTCCTTGGATGGTGTCCAATACAGAGTAACATAGCTCGCTTGTGCGAAGACGGCGATCCAAGCCGTCGCTAATGCCACCCCTACAAAGCAGCGAGTAGGGTGACGAAGGGCAGGCCAGGAGTTGAGTGCGCGCGCCCACGTCTTCCGTCTGACTTGAGCATGAAACATGATTGCAAGCATGCTGATAGCCCAGGTTGCCACGTATTGGAGTGCATTAAGCCGAGTTTCCTGGATTTTCGTGGGGTTCGGGTAGCGGTGGGAATCATTATGCAAGAGGAAGACATACATCCCAATAGTCTCGAGAACGATGAACAATGTAAAGGTTGATAGGAAGGCCTCAGCAATAAGGCCAGAGACCACGGGGTGCTTGACTGGCATTTCGAATCGACCTCGAGGGCACATTGGTGTCGAGTGAGCCTTGTAAAATATGTATAATATCAAAGCCAGAATCATAAATTGGTAGACAAATATGACAGCATTGGAGGCAGGTTGCTCGTTCGATTCCGCGGTCAAGAACGTGCGTGGTTACGCGGCGATTCTATGCGTCTTCGACGCGGCTCACAGAACCAAGCAAGCTATTGAACTCCCTAGGCTAGTTCCAGATCACGTCGAGGTCATGCTTGTACTGGACTGTATTCTCACGGACTCCTACCAGTATGTTAGTGGTATGGCAGATTGATATTGCTGTCATGCTTGAAAAGCGCAGATCAGCCGACGCGGGGCAGTTTTGAGCTTCCCTTGAGCGCCTTTGAGTGATTGGTTATAGTAGTATGGTAATTCGCAAAGCCGTGTCGTTCTTTTGACAGGAACGCTTTGGAGCACTGAAGTCTGTCAGACTCAAATACAGCGTGCGTTGTGCTATGATGTACTACTGATTACTAGCAAATACTCAAGCACGTAGAGTTGTTAAAAGCGCAGTCAATCGAGATGCAAGTGAGTGAGCATGCGTTGGTACATGGAACGAATCCTCATAACGACGTCACTGATATGAAGGTCCGTGAAATGGAGAAGGACTTGGAACCACGGCTTCATGGCAATGGGGTACAATTGAGGTTGGACACCTCGCAAGGCCTCAAGTCTATGTCATCATGACCTATCAGCATCAGCAATACTTGGCATCCGTAGCACAAGGTCCGACGGAACGCATAACTAATCGGTGTATGTGTATGACAACACCAAAAGTATATTGGCTTTGTGAACCTATCATGACAGGAACAGGCGACTGGCGAACCTTGGCTTGAGAAGATCTTTTTTAAGATCAGAAACGGTTCGACGTCACTTTGTTGTGTTTGTTTTGGAGGATCAGGAAAGAGTCGAAGGGCCTTCAGGGTCTCATCCTGCGATAACCTCGTGATGGTTATGCTTCAGGCTAGAACCGTTGGCAGTGCCTTCTATTTTTGGAGAGTCTACAGTACGGACTAGGCTAGGTAGTAGGTAGCGCGTACCCGTAGTTTCCGAGCTTAATTGAGTTGTGGAGCATTGGGAGCACTGGGAGTGCTGGGAGCGGGGCTGTCGAGGCGTTTGTCCTTCCCAGCTTGGCCAGAGCTTGTCCGGCTTGGTGCTCTTGTTTAACAGAGATGCCAAAAGCCAGCCCATCTACCTTCGCAGCAAAGGTCAGCATGGGGTAACTTATGCCATGAAGTTGTTAAGGAAAAACCTCCCTAGGTGACCAAGTCTTACGACGGGGCAAAGTCTCGCTCTAGCTAGTGCAACAATTGAAACACGTTTGGGGGGTCCTCGAGCACCTGCCCCGGCAGCCAATAGCGCGCCTGGAACTTTGACCCTCACGGGCTGGGGATTCTGGCTCATGCTTCGAAGTCCCAGCAACAGGCTAGACACAGAAATCGATGCACTGGTTGCAGTGTCCCAAATTACGTTGACATAGGTCGTCCTTGTCCAGAGTCACCTGTATGCTACGAAATGATCTGGGAAAGATTGCACATTTGCTCGAGCCTGGTTGGGGGGTTTGTCAGGACAAAGAAGAAGACAGGCAGTGTGATGAAGCGTGATTCCAGATGCTTGAGTGTAGGAAATAGATGGACATAAACTCCGCATACTTGCCGTCTGAGTGGCGCTGTCTTGATTCCACTAATTCGGACACTGCGCCAATTGAGGACACGGTTTCTAGCAGCTTACCAGTGCCATCAGTGAATCTTTCGGAGACACCATAAACTGCGCTTATAACCTCGACAGCTAATTGTCTCCTTTCACTGGCTCTCCCCCGTCCTCTCTCTGTATTCGTTGCTCGACATTTTCACTGCTGCATCATTACTCTACACAAGCTGAGGAGCTTCTTTCCACCAACCCCATTCATCTCCTCGACACGGCGCGCGAGCTAGCTGCTCTGTCTGCAGACAACACACGACGCAACACCAAAAGCAATGGCACAGATTCGTGGAACGGCCAACTACCACCTTGGTAGCCAGCCTCAGTTTGGCAGCTCATCAGCTGCTGCGGGCGATGATCCCAGCCCGCTCGACCAAATCCGAGAGCAAACCTCCAAGATTGAGGATTTCTTGGACACATACAGCGAACCCATCAAACCGTACGTCGCCGAGTTAAAAACACCACGAAAACAAAAGAAACTCCCCCCTTGAAAGCACGCTTGGGTTCCTCGAGCGGCCTATACACTTGGAGCGGAACGCTGATATAATTCATCTGCAGATACCTGCCAGCCCTCGGTCGGTTTTTGATTGTCGTCACTTTCATCGAGGATGCGTTGAGAATCCTCACACAATGGAGTGACCAGCTTCTGTATCTACACGACTACAGGCATTGTAAGTGCTAGCGCCGAAATCACGAGTTTGGACACGGAAGACTAATGAGGGCGACAGTTCCTACCGGTCTCAACCACATCTTCCTGCTCGTCAACGTTATTGCCATGATCTCTGGTTCCGTACTCGTCATTACCCGCCGCTATTCCGACTATGCTGTTGCTGGACTCATGGGTGTTGTTGTGATTCAAGCTCTCGGCTACGGCCTGATTTTTGACCTGAACTTCTTCCTGAGGAATTTGTCCGTTATTGGCGGACTTCTGATGGTCCTGTCTGATTCCTGGGTCCGAAAGACAAAGGCATTCGCTGGTCTGCCCTCGATCGACGAGAAGGACCGTAAGATGTACTTTCAGCTTGCTGGGCGTGTTCTCCTTATCTTCCTGTTCATTGGCTTTGTTTGGAGCGGCGAGTGGTCCCTGTGGAGAATCATTACCTCTATCGTTGGTCTGGTTGCTTGCGTCATGGTCGTTGTGGGATTCAAGGCCAAGTTCAGCGCCACTCTCCTGGTCTTGATTCTGAGTGTTTTCAACGTCCTCGTAAACAACTTTTGGACTGTGAGTAGACTACGGATTTGTGTTTTCTCGTCACCTCGGTTGCTGACTTTTTATAGCTTCACGAGCACCACCCCCACAAGGACTTCGCCAAATACGATTTTTTCCAGATCTTGTCAATCGTCGGAGGTCTTCTGCTCCTTGTCAACAGCGGACCGGGCCAGTTCAGCATCGACGAGAAGAAGAAGGTCTACTAGACAGAAGAAATCCATCTGTCATCATATATACCGACACAGAAAGAGTACGGACTTGCACATGGTCCAAGACAGTCCGCTGGACATGCATTATTCGGCGCAAAGGACGTGCAGTTAGCGGATGGGCTGAACCGGCGCAGCCGGGCCCCTGCATCAGCTTGGTGTAAAAAGATTATATTCAAGGGATTATGAGAATTTCTTCCTCAACTCGAATAAAAGCATTATTCTATAAGTCATTTTGTGTCGCACGCATGTACCTGTCGTATTTCCTAAGCAGCACTAGCCATGGAATCCGTGTTCCCAGCTGGATTCCAAGACCTCGGTCATTTTATGTCGAACATCGACGTTGCTCTACATTGTCTCACGTCAAAGAAGTAAGATTTCCAACGCCGTTTGATGTCGGTGCGATCATGGTCTTTGCAATTCTTTACAAGCAGCTGACGACAATCGACGGATCGATGAATTGATGACGAGGAAGTTCTGAGTAGGTGCCAACAGCTACAGGCAATGACCAGATCGGCCGCCCCGTTTTTGTGAAGATGAAGTTACACTAACAAGCTTCCAGAGGTCTTGAGCACCTTTGTCACCCAAGCCGGGGAGCTTTTTGGAATGGTCGGACCAATGAATTAGACAGTTCCAAGCGATACCTCTTGGTCTAACCATAAGCGCGGCTATATCGTTTGCCTTGTTTCAAAACGCTATTCGATCATGTTAGTAGTCGTTGTCCAGTGAGTCCCTATCAATTTGGATACGCAGCTCTTTGCAGCTACAGAAAACAATCTTAACACAACTATAAACTCAATTCAAAGGAGCGAAACGACGGTTGAGTCCTGTTCTTAATTACTCGGTATAGTCGATGACGCCTGTAGTTCAGAAACATTACCCACAAAGTGCTATTATGTATACTTTCCTCTTGCTTGCTCCATTTTCCAAGGGAGCGAGTGAAAGTAGAGATAATTGCCCATGTCTTCCTACTCAAGAGACATTGTAAAGGTTACCTACATAGCATGTGACTGACTTGGAGGTATACCGTCAGTTGGTCTGATGTAGATCCAAAAACTGCGGACACGGCTATCGAGCTCGATGCCTGTCCAAGACAAAACCCTGAATGCCGGGCATATCAAGGTGTCTGTCAGGTACCCCCGACACTTTGATTCGCTCAGCCCAAAGTCCGCCCATGGGAGGATTTCGACGCAAGGGGTACTCCAGTGCTCTGGAATATCTCCACCGCCACAACTGGTTGATTAGGGTTTTCGTAGTTGCGCTTTTGCGTTTCGAAACGGCATAGTCAGCACCGTTGGTAATTGCAAGGCTCTTTTGTCACTTCCCCCTATATGCAACCAACGCCCAACACATTTATTGGTGTTGTTTAACTGTAATCTTACACCGCCACTGGTACAATACCATTGGAGTCCTCGATTTTCATAGCATTGAGCATACAGTATTCGTCTTCGTAAGTTTGCTTTGCTCTGGGGCGCTGGTTGTGGAAGGCAGATCTCACCTGACACTGCGGCGTAAAGGGGAACAACCCATGGTTTCATCGTTGATAATAGATATTATTGCAGGCTTGATGAAGCCACCCTATTTCCCATTTTTAATTATTTTCTTTTCTTCTCAAACCCTCTAATATTCCTCGGATCATTCTGTAGCATCGCAGCTAAAAGCCTCTGTTTTCAACTCCGCTTTTCCATGAACAAAAGAACCGGCGAATCAAAGTAAATGCGGCTCATGCTGGGGATTCTTTGGCTATCTTGGTGCCACAATACCAAAAGGTCGTTGGTTTGAAGTCATACCGATTTCCGAGGGTAACAACAAATAGCCACTCCTGCTCTCCTCATTCTTCTCGAAGAGATATGATTAGCTCGACTCGTGCTCATTGCGCATAAACTGACGACGTTTTCACGATTGATTCGAATTTTGCATTACTTTCCTTAGAGCTATTATATTCAAGCCTCCGAAATGGTAGACAAACGTGGAACTGACTTCATCGGCCAACCAGACGTACCGCAACAGTCACCTCTGTTCTCTAAGCTGCCACCAGAATTGCGTTTGGACATATATCATCTCCTCAGCAGCATTCCGCAACATGTCGAAAAAGAGTGGAACCCAAGGACCCGAAGATCCTTTTTATGCCGCAAAGCTCTGTGCAACTCAGACAACATTGCCACACTCGAAGAACCTGAGCTGTCTCTTGTGCTTAGCTGTCGCCGTATATATCTAGAAGCCGCCAGCTACACCGGCCTGCACAGTCTTGCCTTTACGGATCTGAATACTCTCGATACATATCTGTCAGACAAGCTACTACAGCCATCGCGACTGAGAGTCCGCACGGTTGAATGCATCTAGCGAGCATCAGGGCAAGACAGTGTACTACCAGCTTGGAAAGCGCAAGTGTAGTCAACCTGCTGCGAGAAGTTTGGGTCGCTGCCTCGACTTACAAGGTTGAAGAGGTACGAAGAAGACATTGAGCACAATGAACCATTTTCTTCTCCTTTTTATTTCTTTCTTGTCTTTCCTCAACACGGCTTGAACTTGCAACTCCAAGAAGATGAGCGGTTTCTAGGCTCTTACCCAACTGCACAACACATGAACCTGCGATATGTGCACTGCAGTTACACCTAGAATTAATAATGCAGGAGGGCTCGGACGTGTATAGCAGCAAGTTCCCGGCTTTTACTAAATCTAGACCCGGGCCTCTTTACATGAGTGCCTCGTCATTTTCGGTAGCCATCACGGGATTAGACTGAGATTACGGCGAATCCATGTCAGAACGGTAGAAATAGATAAAAAGCTTATGTTCCGCTGATACCGCAGCGCACAGCAGCCAAACCCATACACATGAACTTAGATACATGGCCCATCATAAAGGACTGTGTGCTTGGGCACTTGATTGTCCTTGAACGGTGTCTGCACCAGAACCGTCGGCCCATTACTTGGGAACTCAGTCCAATGGCCCGAAATATAACTCGTGGTATTCAAGTCAGCCGCGATAAGGACCGAAGATGATAGTGTTCCTGGTTGAAAATATGCTTCAACCCGCGGTGGTGGCGAGCCATATCCGTTGGTGTCTGCTGAGACGGCACTCAGATTGTTGAGCTCTTGTGCCGCAAGGGTAGAGACATGAATCAGTCCGTTCAGGACAATGGTGAGCCTTGATTATGGATGTAAGTAACGTAAGCCAATTGCTCTGGCAGGGATTCGGACGAGGCGCTTACTGCACAGTGGTTGCCCATGCCTCTCCCACGATGGTCCGGGGCTCAATGATGGACCAGATCGCCTTCGTCGTATTTCCAACATCGTAGTTGAGAGCGGACCTGGCGGCCACGGGCAAGGACGATAGCTGCCAGCATTGGATGGTGGAATATCCATTGCGTGAGGTCAACGCACTAATATTGAAGGATGCAAGAACCGCTGTGGACAGCGATGCTATGCCTGCCAAAGTCATCGGTGCAGCCCCGATCATCTTACTTTGCTATGAATGATGATATTGTGGTGAGCCACCAACCAAAGAGAAATTGCGGTGTACATAGCAGGAAACTCAGAGAGGAAACGCAGGAGCTAGTGTGTGACATGCAGGTCTCAGCCACTATGTACGACTACCAAAGTTGTTCTTGCACGCTGAAAACAGCCGACGCCGACATCTGATGTCCTAAAATAGCAAAAATTACCAGTAGCAGCAGATGGCCACGCACAATTAACTCAATACCAAATCTTTACGCTCGACAACATTGCTGGCAATGTGACCATCTATCTTCTTTATTGGGAGAAAGGGTATAGTTAGGCGTAATAAGCGCCTACAGGTCAGTGCAGATCATATTAAACTTGAAGCAGGAATAATTCCATCTGCATCTCGATGTCAAGACCTGATGTGTGCAATGTTGTTCACCAAGTCCATCTCAATTTACAAACAATTCCTGGCCAGCGTGACCCCTGCCTATAGTACTGGCAACTGTGAGCAGCTGAACAATCCTCCCTACGAGGTGCCCCACATAGACAATTACCATTTTGACCTGGTATTGCATTGCCGGTTGCAAGATTTGCACCCCCTGCTTATGTATAAGGTCTGTGGTACATCTGAAACATACTGATTCTCATGTTAGGCCGCCTGTAATACGACGGTTGACCTCTTCGGGCGGCCAATTTATAAAACTTGTCCTACCGACTACTAGAAACATCATGGCTGAAGCTGTCGGCACAGCCCTAGCCGTTGTTGGCGTACTGGGGCAGATTTTCGATGGTTGCGTTAAGGCATATTCGTTCTTCAGCACGGCCAGGTCTTTCGACAGCGACAGCCAGAAGGTGGTATGCAAAATCCGGATCGAAGAGACGCGGTTGATCGTGTGGGGACGGCAGTGGGGTGTCGCGGAAGGAAGGCTTGAGAAGCATCTGAGCCAAGTGGACAGCGGCGGAGGAGGCCTGATGCGGAACATTGCGGTAGAAATATTGACAAATCTCCAGACGACCATCACGGATGTGCAGAAGCTGAAAGATAGATACGGGTTGGTAGAGAACGGTGAAACTGGGAAGAAGAATGACGGGTTAGTGCTAGGGACTGGGAAGCCCGAAACCTGTCCCAGAAAATCAACTGACGATGTAAAAAACGTCGGGGACAAGATGAGGAGCATGTCGATCCGGGCAAGATGGGTTGTGGCGGGTGAGTCGCCTTGTTCCTCAATATTGACTTCAAAAGGAGTAAGGCTAAGGTGGAATTCCAGACAAGGATAAGTTTGATTCTTTATTAAAAGATCTCAAATGTGAGCGCGCTGGTTGCATGTTGACTTTCAAGTGTGACTAATTTCTTAGATTTCAACGATGGTCTAGAGCAGTTGTTTCCTGCATCGCGCATTGCTGGCGTGCAGAGGACGTGGGTTTTCGAAATGCTCCAATCAGCCAAGGATGTCGAAGAATTGAGCGTGCTTGAGCACGCCTCAGACGAGGTGTATCCGAAGCTGAACGCCTCTGCAAGCCTGAAGAAACTGAGGATTAACCTCGACAACATCCCACAGAAAAAGTTCAAGCCAACATACGCACTGAAGGTTCAACGGCACGCGCTTGCCGTCGCCGATAAGGACACGAAGAGAAGCGAGGCATTTCATGACCCTTCCGGAAATGTGTTGATAGAATGGGTGGGTTATGATAAGGAGGACATTGAAGGGCGTGTAGTTCACAGTAAGTCAATTTTAGGATCGATTTCTGACCTTATCAACATGTCCATGGAGTGTATACTGCCCATTAAAGGCATCAACGTTCTAATTGGTTTTCTCACAATACTGCCGAAGGCACATCGACCCATTATGAAGAAGTAACCTTAATTACTAATTCCAAATGTCGCAGTGCGGCGGCTCGATGACCTGGCAAGGATGATGCATTCTGCTGTAGACCGTCATCCCGACCTACACGCGATAGACTGCCTAGGCTACACGGACGATACAGCCATGAATCGGTATGGGCTCGTATACAGAGCTCCTGAGCCATCGTATTCAACTCTACACAAATTGATATCTACCAACGAGTTCAAAACACCCGACCTGAACGAAAGAATAAAGCTGGCATACACACTTTCCGTGGCACTATTATCGTTACACTCACTGGACTGGCTGCACAAATCCTTGTGCTCAAATAATATACTGTTCTTTCCCTCCCCCTTTTCAGCCTCGGCAACGAGAACCACCGCAACGGCGGCGTTGGTCCCCGACATATCCGAACCTTTTCTAGTGGGGTTCGATGCATCTCGACCAGATTTAGACACGGAAATGTCCGTGGCCTCGAAAAATCCGTCCATACTAGACCTTCATCGTCATCCAAAATCATTGAGTGGGTTGTCGCGGAAGCCTTATTGCAAAAGCTATGACATCTATAGTTTGGGTTTAGTCTTGCTGGAAATAGGAGATTGGAAGATACTGCAAACGTACTACAGACCGCATTATTCTGCTGAACGCTGGCGAGATAAAATCATCCTGCCGCAACTCCTTCCACGGATAGGCGCTAAGGCGGGCCGACTATACAGAGATGTCGTTGAGCGCTGTTTGACGGCCAAAGACGACATAACGAGCGAGGAAGCTGGCCAACTGATGGAGGAGGTCGTAGCAACGCTCGAGAAAATAAATGTCTGATGTAGAAGCGACGGCGGCGATTTTGCGGCCTCAACGATGTGTCCCGACATGCCAGTCCTTCACGCAATAATCAGGTTGTCAATAGACTTCTTCGCAATCTCGATTATTTTCATGCACGTCGGCGTTTCACCAGTCTTATGGAGTTTGAGGGCACAGCGAGGGTCCTCATAAGTTCCCGCCAAGATCAAAGGATCGATCACGGCGTGTCTGGCTTTCGATCGGTTCTCCATCTGGTTCACAATATCCCTGAGTCCCAGGTGGAACGGATCAGGTCCGGTGTCGCCCGCTATTTCGCAATTACTGATCCCATACACGTCAACACGCAGAAGTGCTCGCACGGTCAGCCGCCACATTGCAGGCTCCATCATTCTGTGTTCAAGACCAGCAGTCCCACCGCACTCACTCACAAGACCTCCCCACATTCCGCCATAGTTCTCGAGAGTAAAGGGGATTTCACGGCGTTCGGCTTGTGCCTTTGCAGTTTCCTGGTTGACCAAGTGAAGTATACGCTCGTAAGCATGTGCGATACTGGGTATCAGGGTTGATAGAAGCATTAGAAGCTGGAAATTGTGCATCGCCTGTGGATTCAATTGGTCCGGTCTTAGTTGATCGACAGCCAGAGGCATCGAACATGACCCGCAATTGACTACTTGATAAGCAGTCTTTGCCGCGAGACGGGCCTGCCTAACAGCGTCTGTGATATCGTTTGACAGTTTCTGCATCGAGTCAAGCGATAGATACAAGCCCGCTATACAATTACAGTTTGCTGACGGTAACGAGTTTGGTGAGCTTCCACTACTCGAGGGTGAGCTCGACTGACCGGATGATAAAGCTGGCGCCGGGCCTTCCGCAGGTGTGGTCGCAGCTGTGAATAATGCTGGGTCGATGTTTGATGCGGAGAACGAAGGTACATGCTCGATATTCGCGTCAAAGTTCAGCTGTGCGAAGTCGTTCCCTGTATACCCAAACGCCCAATCTGCCTTGTCTTGTTCGTGTGCGCTTAGTATATCCGTAGGTATAGTCGGGTCCAGGTTGATTTCTCCTTGAGTGAGAAAATTCAGGAAGGCGAGACCTGGATCCTCGGTGTCAGGCGGGAGGTTGAGCATCGGCGTTTTGGTCGCTGACTCGGCCGTCTTCGTATTGTCGGCTTCGTCCCGGGGCCGTTTACGTGGACGGCCCATGGGTTTCTGAGCAGAGTAGTGACATACTTGGCTCTCACGTTTGCAGCGAGCGCATCCATCTGGCTCCTTTGAGCAGGCCAGCTTCCGGGCGCCTAGGTGAGGCAATCGCGTCAGCTCGGAGTGGCACTCCGAATAAGGACCCACCAAGACTCACGGCATTCATCGCAAGCACGATGCTTCGGTGCCCCTCCACTTTGCTCCGGGGGCGACATTCTCGGCTTGTATTCGCGAATGGGGTTAGGGCGGAATATTCGCTGGTATTTGGAGGTTTACATGAGGGTATCGCGAGCTGCGCAATTGCAAGTGGTGTAACAATCACTTGGCTAAGGGGAGAGGTTTCAGGCATTCAGCTGAAGTTCGAGCTCATAGGATTCGATTCGTAAGCAGCACTAACGCCTGGACTTGATACACATACGCCCGGGTTTGACTCCAGACCCCGCATGCTCTGCTAACAAGGACTCCGTACTCCGCCGGCGCCCCACCAGCTGAGCACTGCTGTCATACGACTGGGAGCAATCGACTTTGGCCAAGCAGTCTCTCACAAGTCACGCTGCCGCACTGTCTCTAAGCCTTGTGCCGACAGCTAACCTGGGAATCTAGCAGTTCTATTCAATCGTAATCTCTACTCGGTTGTTATCTTCCCTTTGCGAGCCAAGCAACCTTCCTGCGCCCTACCGGACCCTCAGCACGCAATTTTGCCAACTACTCCTGCTTATCTGTCTCTTGTCCTCCTCCTCCTCCTCCGCCTCCTTCTTCTTCTTCTTCTTCTTCTTCTTCTTCTTCTTCTTCCCTCTCCTTTCTCGGCTCGTCATTGTTGCGTACGATGGTCTGCTGCCAACTCAGCATCGAGTGCACCGATAGATCTAAGGTCGGCCAAGAACCGTCGAATCCTTAGACCCGTTTTCTTGCGTATTAGCGCATCATACAAATCATCGGCGGCAGCTTTAACGGCAACCTGTAGCCCTTGAAGCACTGCTCGATCTTCAATCATAGCATCATCCGTATCAAAGAAATCGTCTAAATCTTCGAGGGCTGCCTTAACATCCCGAGGACCTTTCACAAGTGTCGCCGCCTGGTTCGTGCGACGAGGTGACCGCTGTTGATACTGACTTGCCAAGTCTTTCCTGCTCGGGTTCCTTTCATTCTCTTTCAGAACCGGAGATTGTTGGATCTTTGGCTCATTAGGAAATTTATTTGGTCTCTCATCGAGGCGCCGCGTTACTTGCGCCTCATTTTCCTTCGCCGCCAGAGGTGGCTGCCGGCTAAGTAATGGCTCAATGACTTCGTCCTCCTCCTTCGCGAAGGTTTTGTTCACCTTCGGCATCAAGGGCGACCGGGGTTTTGGCTCAGGCAGCTCTTTTCTAAATGCAGTACCGGTGTTCACGTGTTTACGAGTCAGAGTAGGTTCCGGTAAAACTTGTGAATATCCAGGACTGTGATAATCCATGCATGATGCTTCCGCCAGTAATGGATGATGCTGGTGGTGTTTGTGAGTAATGTTCTGGCTGGTGGATTGCTTGGCTCGCTTTGTGTCTTTCGAGATATTCACTGGCTTGGATGGGTAAATTGCTTGAGAGTCCATCTTTTCCACTCGCTGCTGCACGGCGTTTAAAGCGCGTTCCAACGATGATGCATTGCTGACAGCATACTGCCAGGTATATGGAAGCTGGGGTGCGGGAGACCGCGGTTTCTGCATCTGACGATGTTGTTGTGGTTCAGCTCTCCAAGGATGTCGACTTGGAGACTTCTCAGGTTTCCTGTCAATCCAGGTCACAGGAGCGCCATGGACATGGTGAAGGCGATGAAAGGGGGAATGGTGATGATGTTGGAAAAATGGATGGTGATGTGGTTTCAAATCCAAGTCATCCGGTCTTTTGTTGGACGCAGGACGAGGAAGTGATCCCCATGCTAATTCTCGCTCGGGTCGGAACTGAGGTTCGGGATTTACTTCGCTACTATGTGTGTGTTTCGCCGATTTAGTAGGGACATGATTCACGTACTCTGCTATGTGAGGACGTATGCCATTCGGTCGCGGTTTAGCCGAAGTTTGAGGCGATATAACAGGGCGAGGATTCTGATGAATGGGTTTATCGATTGTGGTCTGCTTGGCTTGCTGGCTAGCAGTTGCCTCGTAGGTTTTATGAGAAGCACGAGTCACCTTATCTGCGAGTTTCCACTCTCCTTTTCGTGTTTCGACCATAGTTCCGATTCGTGACCTTGGCTTTGTTGGTTCCTCAGTCGTGTGTTGCTTTCTCCTCAACTAAGGGAGCCGCCTTCGAACATTTGGGATTATTCTTTTTGTCGGTAAAGGCGGAGGCGACGCTTTCTTGGCGGGTGGTTCCATTGAGACAGCAGATACGGGTGGTGGACTGAACTCAATGAAACTCCCAGAACTCGAGCTCGATGCATTTGTGGAACTATCGTATTGTCCATCTAGATTCCTCTCATAAGGCTGCTGGTCGTAAGGGCGGTCCGATATAGGATACTTACGAATTGGGCGCTGCTCATTTGTCTCTGGCGACCATTGCCTTTGCTGCTTAGATGTGACAGCAAGCCCTGCAGCCTTGAACTCTCGAGTGTAAGGCACGAGTGGTTTGACAGTGTGCAAAGATGTCTTCTCATCTGATTCTCTAGGGGTTATGACAGGTAGCTTCTCGGCAGCATTGGCAACTTGCGCGTACTTCTCCAGCTCTCTAGCGAAGTGATTCAAAGCCTTGCGACGACTGCTTGATCGGGAAGGTACAGATGGCCGACGAATAACACCTGGCCTACCGGGTGATGAGTCCTGTGGCACAATTGATGACAGGCGATTCTGCTGAGCCATTGTCCTGTGAATGGCCTCCCAAACAGCAGGGTCTGCTACACCAAACCGCTTCTTAGAGTTTCGCCGGCCGCGACGACCGTCCATAGTTGCCGTAATTCTATCGTTGTTGGTTTGGTTATTGGGTCGCGATACTGATTCAGAAACCCATTCGGGCGGGATCGATGGCCCATCCACTGCATGTAAATGGGCATATTCACCGTGGGGTCTCTCTCTATGATCGGTACTACTTCTCTTTCGTAACCCTATAGGCTGTTCAGAAACGTGCATCAAGGAGTATCGCAAGTCGTCGCCCTTCGTCGCCTTCGCCGTTCGTGTATCTGGGACGGGGATACGTCGACTGACACGGATACCATGATTTGATCGACTGATCCGCTTTTGTCTCTGACCCAAGCTTCGAAAAGACTCAGATGGCGGAATCCGCGGCGCATCATTCGCAGCGTTGTGTGATAAGTTCTGATTTGGTTTAACGAAAGCTGTAGTGTTGATCTTTGGTTGACGGTGCTGACTTCCTTTCTAAGGTAAATTTAGTTGAGGCATCTCGTCTACTCCAAGAAATCAGTTCCAAAAAGCCAGTAGAAAATAGATGCTTCAAAGTTCTATTCGTCGCGGCCGATAATTGTGGCGGGATTCCTTCGGAAAACTTCCTCGGTCCTATGGAATACTAAGCCATCCCAGGGAGCTGTCGTCATCGGACATTCCTCATAATCCCATGGCAAAGGCGTGCCTTCTAGAAATTAGAAGTCGCAGGCATGCCATCTAGCCCCTTTCCAACATTTGTTCCTCCTTCCAAAACCCCGGGTGAGCAGGTGCAGCCATAGTCTAGGTGGACGCGATGTATTGAAAATAATGTCATCTACACCATTGCTAGTCGTCTAGTGGATGTCTCTGATGCCAGGGGAGGAGTATAGCTCCAACTGACGGCGTCCTTTCCGGAGTAAGAATTCAATTGCTGCGAAATCCCTCTTGTCAATCTTGATGCTCTTCTCGAACTCAGATCTTTAGGTCATTCAGTATTACGGCCATGTTTTGCGATGACTAGTGAAATTTTACCTTGCGAAAGTCTCAAAATGCGGTCGGGTTTCCTGCAATTGTTAGCAGTTGCTATATTAGCAGAACCGAGGACTTAATTGTACCTGTGGTTTCTTGCGGGTTTCGCGAAGACAGTGCCTGTACAAGGACAACACTTCTTTCTGTAGTCCAGATAATCTCATCTTGTGATGGGTCAACCAATTGACTCAGGATTTCGAGTACGATTGAGTACACGTCCCGGTTTCTTAGAATATTGTCATGTGGTTTAAAACTTTTACTTTTGCACTGACTGTAGTAGGTAAATCTGTTTTCGCGTATAGAAATGTCAATGATGATTTCATTCGGTAATGTCGGCACAGTCAGTTGACACTTTGCCGGCCCAGAGTGCCAGCTGCCACCTCTGTGCTCCGTAGTTGGAGTCGCTGCAACGAAGACATTCCAGTGGTTTGCATTAAATATTTGTCCGTTTGACCCAAAGCCTGCCTCGTCCATCTGCTTACATTTGCTATTGATTTACAATTGCGTAGGCACCCAGATATCCTCACTACTGTCCTTGCAATAGTAGATATGAACTGTGTGAGCAGCTCGCTCGGCTACACTGCCTGCCAAATAGCAGTTACCTGGCTTAGCTTTAGATAACGACCGCCACCATCGATTGTAAAACACAATACTAAACCATGATCACTTGTAACACGGCATTCGAGAGGTCGGGCTTGCATATTTCGTTGGCAAATGAACGCCTTCTCACCAATTTTTTTTTTTTTTTCAGACTAGGTAACTTACAATCTGATTCCGGAATCGGTAGGACTGTTGGGAACTTGAGAAAGGGCAAACCATGTCGAGTTCCAGGTAAATCCGCTGGCTTTGGCCGCGGTCTGGTGGTTGGTATCCTCAAATGAGCCACCAGTCAGCATGACAGAGGTGCCCTCCTCGGCGATGTTCCCACTCCACGTGAGATTCGCTATGAGAGGAGTCCGAATGGTAAGTGTGCTATATAAGACGGGAGCCCAGCAAAGTGGGCAGATATTCCTTAATAAAGGATAGCAAGTATACTAGAAAACCATCGAAGAGCACGAGAGTGTAAATTATGGTGGGAAGCATTGTCATCGGTCTATCTAGGATAGAAGTATAACGACTGAAAACGAGTACGGTGTGAGCTCTCTCGATAAACCAAGTCGGAGTAAGAGAGATTCTAAAAAAGTTTGACCTACTAGCTAACTTGATGGTGAAGCCATGATGCTCAAGCTAATATTGAATTTTAGTGAATTTATAGTAAATTCTTGAGTATCAGGATAATACGACAAGAAAGTGGACGGCACAATTAAAGGCTCTAGAAGCTTCAGCTGTATAAAAAAAAAAAAAAAAAAAGCCATGGCGACTTGATTTAAAGCTGTACCTCAGCTTCATTCTACGTCTGAAACCTATGTTATTGTCCGAGCCTGAACGAAGGAAGGAAACGTCGTCAAGATAGAAACATTAACATACAAGCATCCTTATCCGGCTACAGGTTTCAGTTACGTGACAGGCCATTTGGTCCAATAAGAATATGTTGTGAATCGGCAGAGACAGGGCACAACCAACCCGAGGACAAAGCTTTGGAGATCCGATTTTCCTCCCCCGACCGGTGCGGTCCATGTATTCTAACTGTCCGTTTCGGATCAATTCAACATAAGTAATTGCTCTGTTCATTCCGGATTTGGTCTTAGATGCAACCAAATACCCAATTTACATACCTCTCCCCCACGCATCCTCGATTTAGATTGAGAGCAGCCCGATCTTTGTTAATGAGTAGAGTGAACCAACCCCGATCCTTTTCTCTAAACATTTCGCTCATTTGCATGTTCATGTGTAGCCACAATCTCAGCCTCCTTCTCAATTTGTTCGAGGTTAAGATGAGCCACCTGGGCATCATTGCCATCGATGACTTTCGCGAGTTCTTCGAGAGTTGGGCCTCTAGTCTCCACATACATAAAGTATACGAAACACAACTCTAAAAAGATCCAACATGTATAAATGAGATACAGCTTCCAGTACCCTTTCTCTCCGAACGCGGCAAATGCAACAGGGTTAGCGTACGAGTTTAGAGTTAAAGCAGCCTGGATGCTGATGTTGAGGATCATCAGTCCTTTGGCACGTAGCTTATAAGGGAGGATCTCAATGGCATAGGCGACGAGCAGGCCCGACCAAGCAATGGCGTAGGCAAATTGAAACAGCCAGACGAAGACCAGCATGGCGTAGTTCGAGCCAGGTAAGGCATATTCGCTGTAAAGACCGCTGCACAGTGTCCAGAAGATGAACACGACGAACATGCCTCCCGTGGCCGTGAGGAAGAGCGCTCGTCGTCCAAAATGGTCAACGGTCATAGCAGTAGAGACAGATACTATAAGAGCGAGAATTGTCTGACCTCCTTGAAGCTTGTAATGGTTAGCATGAATGCCTCGACGAAATGGGAACCCTGAGTCTTACGCCGAGTCTTGAATTGGAGTCGTGAACACCAGCTGCATCGTATAAGCTACTGGCATAGTTCGAAATTATTGCATTGCCGGACCATTGAGAAAAGATGCCCACTACAGTGTTCAGCGTCAGTAATTATCAATTTTAGCTAGTTTTGGGATCTTTAGGAGTGTTGTGAAACGTCTAAAAAGTGCCCGCACGGCTCTGATGGGCAACAGACGCGATCCAGAGATATGCTAGAAGGGGGCCAGATAGGTGATGATTCCGAAATTGCTTACAGGAAATCAGGATAATGAACCGATATCGGTTTCCTTTCGTGCGGAAGAAGTCGAGGTAACTGCTGTTTGCTTTGGCTTCCATTTCGATTTTGATAGTCTCCCTAATTTCTCGGTATTCGAATTGGACGGTCGGGTCGTGGATATTTCCGTTGGCATGGTACCTGCCAAGGATAGTCAAGGCTTCTTCTGGTCTGTCCTTTGCGATGAGATAACGAGGAGACTCTGGAATCCAGTAGATAAATGCGATTTGGATAAAAGATGGCAGAGCCTGAAGAATGGCGGGGATCCGCCATGACCATTGATTGTCGAGGTAATTAGTACCAAAGGATAGCCAAGCGCAAACTGCAGCCAGTCAGTATAGTCTTTCAGATACATATTCAACGTATACTGACTGAAAGCGCCCACATTCCAGAGACAATTGTACACAGCAGTTAGTCTTCCACGATGCTGCGGGTGGGCTAGCTCGGTTAAGAGCATGGGCGAACAGATTTGTGCCAGGCTATTTCCAAATCCGAGCATAACTCGACCACCCATGAAAGCTGCCATTGTCAACATCAAAGGGAGGTTTTTTTTTAAGAAGGGGGGGAGTGTATTGATTATTACGCACCTCCCATGCTTGTAGCAAAACCTTGTACAAAACCACCTGCGATCATGATCAAACATCCAATTGCAATGGGAATTTTGCGGCCAAAATTATCTGCTAGTACCGGACTGAACAGCGTCAGCTACAAGCACTGTACCGCATGCGAAAGAAGGGGACTTACACGAGAGGGATTGATGCCAAGCTACCAATCTGATATAGGGCTCCAAGCAACCCGAGTGTAGATCCATTTGGGTGATCGAAAGCCTCCAACCAAGAGTTGAAGTTCTGCACAGCGTTGAAATAGGAACTGGTGGCACATTAAGCTCGTATCATCAAAGTGTGATGACACCAATCTCACCCATCGTAACCAGTGGTTGCAGAAGCAACGCAAAGTATGATACAATAGAAATAGAGCTTCCTCAAGCCTGGCTCTTTCGTCCACTGCACTCTTTCGAACTGCGGTGCATCATCTTGAGCCTGTTTCTGCTCCTCATTGTGATTATGCTTAAGTCGGTTACTGATAGCCATCGTGATTTGTGCTGATGACAATGGAATAGACAAGATTGGTAGTGTATCAGCTGGTCGTCTTAAGAAGCAAGGAATATCAGCAGAAACATCTCAAAAGTTATATATTTCTATGCAAGGCATCTGGAATCCGCAACAACGGTTCAGCGGACCGACTCAAAGAACAACGCATCTTATTCTCGTAAAACGCTCATAGCAGTGTCCGAGAAGACTTCAGCCTCAGGTTGGAAGATTCTACTGACAAATTGAATGGCAAATAGGGCCGAAATGCTATTGTGTTTTTTCTTCATTTTAAGTAGATGATCGATCTACATGAATCACGCGAAGTACTATATTCTCTTGCGGAGATGCCAACATGCATGGATACTCCAGCGTTGCACTTTTTATGCACTGTGAGACCATTCAACCGATCAACACAGGCGACTAATATAAACACTTACCGTCCATGCCCGACTGGCAGTAATATGTTGCATATACCTCCACTAGCCTGTTATCACAAAGTCTCCTGTGTTGTGGGGCTGCAAAAGAATACGACCCAATATCACTGGAGTTCAAGTCCTACCGTGGTTGCTGAATAATAGACTGTGATAACATGTACAGCTGCGTACTGAATAGCCCTTCTGTATCTTATTTCCAAACCATAAAGGTTATTTCGTTAGAAAGCTCTATGCAAGTTTAGAAGTACCAAGTATGTTCTACGGTCTCTCCGTATCGTACCGAGTTATCCAGCAATTCAAGGGAACCTGTCTTAACCCTTAAGCTATCCTTGCATATAATTACCGTATAGGGTCCAATCTGTGCTGCCGTTCCGAACCGAGCCACTTCTGATGTGTGTTCAGGAAAGCTCACGTCTCTTCAAGAAAAGATAATCGCTCGGACACCACAGGTCTACTGAGCTTTACTCTCCGTGGTGATCACTGGCTCTCATGGGAATGTATGGTTGATCCATGAACTTAAATTCCCTCCCCCGTGATTTTCGTATTTAGCCTGAACGGGCGACGGAGCCCTCCCCCGACGGTATAGCAAAGCGACCCACTTCAAGTGTTGACCCAGGGGAAACATCTCCCAGAAAGCACCGAAGAGCCTCCGTAAAGTCCTTATTGTCCTCATTCTCCTCATCACATGCGTCGAGGATGGCCACTGTGTAAGACGATGTTTCATAATCAATAATGATCCAGAAGTGGCGGCTGGCCCTAGTATCTAACGTCCTGGCGGCTTCTGCTATAGCTACTACGAGTGGTCATATAGATACGAAACCCACAATATTTGTTGGCTGTTGTTCTTTTCCAAAATAGAACGTGAATCTCGGAAGGCATGATATTCTCCAACTAATTTGCAAGAATTCGCTAGAAGGCAATCAATCACCTGAGGTGGCTGGGATTGGGCGGTTCGATTGTAATATTCGGTGGAGCAGGAATGCGTGCACTCAGACTCATTAGCAACAAGTCCATTAAAACAACATGTATATCATATAATAAAGGAAATTTTAACCCTACAAGTTAGGCTAAAATAATATAAAATACACCTCATCATGCTAATATTGATAGCAATGACGGCATTCTTGTGTCTTTAAACCGTTCACATTCTATGATTCATCAGTCCTTGACTTTGAAGGATTCACTGCTCTCGTCATCCTTTTCACTTCCACTGTCCTTGCTGCACTCACAATACTGGGTATTATCGCTGTCCTTGCTGCACTCGCAATACTGGGTATTATCGCTGTCCTTGGTGCTATCGCTACACTTGGTGGTCTCGCTGTTCTCGGCGCGCCCGCTGTCTTCAATGACCCTGTTATCATTGCCTTTGACAGCGTGGAAGACCATGAGTTGCGTTTTATGGCCGGGATTGCCGAAGAAACAGTATCCAGATGGTGCAAAAACCGGATAGGAACCAATCGCGAGTGGTCTTTCGGATTTATGCAGCAACAGGTTCGTCTGTGGAGCGATGTAATTTGATGCGATCCGTGGAATTTTGCGGTTCGAAGTGACGGCATCTTGCCACCATATACTCCGTGACTCGAAGCAAAAATTGGGATGTTGTTGTTTGATTATTTGCAGTGCTTTCTGAAACATCCTTACTATGTTCAGGATAGCCCTTCGCCCATCTGTGATTTCCTCGGGCTCCCCTTTTCTGTAACCGCAACATTTCGTCCTTTGGAGCCCGTTGAGGTTACTCACACGATGTGTGTCATCCGCAGAGCATTTGCAATCAATATTGATGCAACCAACAACTTGGTAAATGATGGAAATTGGCGTGCCTAGTCTCTCAAACAGATTATGCATCCGATTTTCGATAGTGCCGCAGTCGTGATTAGTAATTTGTTCCGCCTCCTTCGTTAGGAGCAGTTCCATAACTTGAAGAACTTTCCGGAGGCTCGCTTGAGCGTTACGCATACCTTTTGGGAAACCGAAAGTGTAGTGTACTAAATAGAGGGTGGCGTAATCTTCGAGTGTCCCCAGACTCTTTTCAAGGGAATCGACCAGCTCGTCGCGAAATTTCCATTTCTGTGTTGGCCCTTGGTGAGGAGATTTCAGCCGATACTCAGAAAAGCTTGACGAAGTTTGAACCTTACCTCTGGAGTCGAACATGTAATTCAATGCTTCTTTGACAGCTTCCATTTCACTGGCAATATCCATGCAGAAGATCAACTAGACAGGGGTTAGAACCCTGATGAGAAATCAATAACTCAATAATACTCACCGTTTCGCGCCCATCTGCTAGAACATCCTTGAGGTATTCAGGCGACGCCGCGGAGATAGTTTGCCTCGACAAAAACATGGTGTATTGCGAACCAGGCGCAATAACATAAATATACACCTTGTCAGGTGATGCTCGGTAGTTGCTATGGCGCGAGCGTTTAGTATATACGAGACTTCAGCTTGAATCAGTACGAACCTCGTCTGTTCTTTTGCAAGCTTTTTCTTCATCTTGCTCTTCAGATATTTTGAGGTCATGGCCATTGAAACGTTCCCATGCCCATTGGTATTACTACCATAATCTTGTTGTCTTTCGTTATGATCCATACTGGTGAATTATATTAAAGCATAGATAAGACATCAGCAGGAAAACCCTGTGGATAAGTTTTGATAATTTGAAACGGATATTGGAGGCTATGTTGTGATTGTGATTTGGCCAGGGCTCCCGAAGTAGTTGATTCAAAGGGAAGAAAGAAAAAGCCTGCCTGGGAAGTTATTTAAGAGCATAATCAGTTTTCTCCGATCGTCTTATGGTTTAGCTCGAAACTTGTAATGATCCAGCGAAATATTCGGGGGAGACTGTATGAGAATATTTCTTTCAGGCTATAATTAGCTATGAGGCAACCGTTACCAAAGTTAAACCAAACCAGCTACTTCGACATCCAGGTCGAGGAGTATCATCTTTTATTCCATCTTTTCAAGCAGAGTAACTTGAGCCCAGCCGTGAACACTCGTCGTTATTAGCGGTATACCCCTAACCTAGTTTACAGCTAGAACACTGTCTGCCTCCAGCTTGGGCATTTATGCTCTCATGCTCAAACATGCTCATTACAACTCCAATAACGACGCGTTTTCGTGTCGGCCACGCCTTCAAAAAGGTCTTCCTGTTCTCAATCAGGATGGAGCAGACGTGCCGTTCGAGAGAGGCTCTCTTACCATGTTTATAGCGCAGGAAAATATCTGATGGCCCAAAACCCACGGATATGGGGCCCAGCCCCTCTCCCGCGTAACATAGTTTTGTTCTTCTTCTCCAGAAGCGAAGACATTGATCCGTGTGTACAGGAGCTGTAAATGTGACTACATTTGTACGTGTCCTGTAATACATTTCGCGGCTAAGAATCAGCTGGGTTTTCTGCACATAACAAATACAGATTGAAAGCAACATTCACAAGGTCTATTGTCTTATTGGGTATCATTATGCTTGCTATATGCGATGATCTATACATTTATTTACACGGGCTTCACAAACAAAATCTGGTCACTGTTAGCATGTTACTCGAATTAGTCGTTCGGGGGCTGTCATACCTGGTTCAACGCTGCCATATCAGCCATAGCCATGCGCTTCGATGCAATGTTTCGAGATCTGACCATGTGACGGGATAACGGTCGCGGAGTCGAAGTACCCGTGTTTGTGCCGGAGGGTGTGGATGTTCCACTGACAGCAGCGGACGTGATGACGACGTTGGCCGTATTTGCTAATGGTGTCTCGGATGCTTCTGCAGCCTCTTTCCGCTTTTTCTTGTCTTTCTTGTCTTTCTTCTCCTTTTTCGCTCTCGACTGAGCCTCTACGGCGTCATCTGCGATTTCTTCGGACCTCTTCTTGGACTTCTTGTCTTTTTTCTCCTTCTTCCTCCGCTTTCTTTCGGAGTCCGACTCGGATTGTGCTTGGCTGCCTTCTGCGGAGGACTCCTCCCTCGACCGCTTCTTCTTCTGTTTCTTGCCATCCGAGTTGTCTGTTTCGGCATCGTTTAGACCGTCGGTGTTCTCGGCTTTCCGCTTCTTGGACTTCTTCTCTTTCTTCTCTTTCTTCTCTGGCCTGACCCCTATGGTTTCGTCACTCTCGTCCTTGACGGACGCAGCCTGTCCTTCGGTGGGCACATTGGCGGCCGTTTGCTTCGTTTCCGAGGCGTGCTTGACTAGTTCGGTGATCTGATCACCGACCAGCAGTCCACCCCTGACGAAACGCATGGGCCCGAACTTTTGCTCAATGTAAAGGTTCGTCTTGAGTTCCGATCGCATGGCCTGTTTCTTGTTAAGAGACTCGTCGGACTCGCCGTTTAGACGCCCGAGAAGATCCTTGAAGACATCTAAGCCGGTGCATTCGCCGGCTTGCTTCTGGCGGATCTTTGCTCCTAATCCCATGTTGTCGTCCTTGATGGTGATCTTGATGGGCGCAGAACTGGCTGCCGAGTGCATGCTGGCATGCGAGGCATCCTTCGCACCAAGATACTGGCCGGGCTCCCAACCATGGCTGCGAAGGATCTTCTGGCCAAAGGTTGTCTCATTGCGACTCCATTTCGTGTTGTTGGGATCTTCGTTAAGCTTTTGCTTGCTAAAATAAAAGGAGTCAGCCGAAATCCATGCTTAATGTTCCGAGATGCCAACTACTTTTTCTTTCCTGCGAGACCCATTTTGCTTGCTTAATAGAAATCAAGGCAGATCTATCTCAACCGCAGAGCAAAAATGACAGTTACAGAAGGAAGGACCGTTGGAGATGGCATTGAAGCGCCCCACCAAAACCAATATCCGGATCCAGATCCAGACCGCGGATTTCAAAATTTCCAGCCGATAAGAACCGATAAGCTCATATCGATTGTGACTTCAGTGCACTTGCCAAGCTTACCTGATGTTAGCATGTTACACGTAACAGCGCCATCTTTGTCCTCGTAACTCATAATCAAGCGATGACTTCAAGATCATTTGAAATGCTTTCAGTCTCATTTGTACAGGCCTCGAAGACAAAAGAAAGAAAACATATACAGAGGAACCTGCATAGTCTCAAATTTCCAGCCTGATCAACTTGAAGAGCTGACACTCACGACCAACAGCTGACACATTGCCCCGACGATCATGGCCCCAACCCGAAAGAAAGCACCCACCCCAGAAGGTAATACCGACTCCGACTCTGGTGCGCACCAGAGTTCACTGATGCCAGCCGCATTGCAGCAGATTGTTACAAACATTGTATGCAAAGAACTTGTTCTCATTTCGACCAAGAATGCTGACGTTGTATGTAGGAGAAGATTCGAGCAAAGCGCAGTAAAGTGCGAAAGGCCATTGAAACAGACTTCGCGCATAGCGTAGCAGAGATGAAGGCGCGCATCACCAAGCACTATGACACTGAGAAAATCAAGCGGTACGTCTGAGATTTCGGGCGTGCTTGTGTTCATCGTCATTATCTCTACATCCTCTTCGGTCTCCCTGTCCCTCGATTCTAGTTTCACAGCCAAGCCAGTGTCTGGTAGGTAAATACTGACCGCCTGCGCCTGAAGATCCGAGATCATGAACAAGCAACTAGACCGACTTGCAAAGGCCATCGAGAAGAAGGCAGCCTGTGAAGACGCTATCATCAACATGATCGGTTCACTATCAGAGGAAGGCGCAAACCTTGCTGCACTCATGAACTCCGTCCACGCTGGACGTCAAAATGCCATCAATGTTGCATTAAATGCTCACCAGCCGGAGAAGAGGAGATGAAACATCTCATTTGCTGTACTCTACTTTGCTGAAAGACTAATATCAAAGCTCACACTTAAGATGCGTAATAGATGGAAAGTGCGGTCTGTCACGACACGCCGAAACATCTGTGGGTACCCTGAAAGCCTGACACAGATGGGTTCAATGTATTCTAGTTTCTCGTGGGCGCTTCAAGATAATAGCAATGATTTTCAGTTGCGAGCCACCACTTGATCAATCTGCCCCATTTTGAGTTCTGTCTGTACCAGTTGATTAGTCAATACGCCTCACTTTCGATCCATGTTGTCCAAGAATCAAATCAAAGGCCTCTCATGTTTGTTCGTCTTCTCTTCAGTGAAATAACTTTCTTATTCTTTTTTCTTTTTGCTCGGACACCCTCGAGGTAGGTAGGAAGCGTGGTGGCTGAAGCACGCTCAAGAGTTCGTGCATTTGGAAAATGCTACAGACATAGGTGTGCTCAGCGCAATAGCCCTGGCATAGCGCTCAGCATGTTCCGAGAGTTATTGAGCCGGACACCAACAATATAGCTACTATATGTCAGGCAATAGACCCAAGAAATGAGGCGCCACAGCATATCGATTACCTGCTTGCTCAATAATAAGCTGCCGGGATCCAGTGGTGACGCAAAGTTACAGTATGGTATGTTATCGGTGGAACATCTACAGGCCGGTCTTTTCTATGCCAGCACGAGCGCAACGAGCATATGCTAGCCACACAATGTGAGAGCACTGGTGGCGGGGGGGCTGTTTCCCGTCTCGTTGTCTCTCTTCTCTGCACCAGTCTACTTGAATATCTAGTGTTGCGAAGTAAGCCTAAAGGCAAGAAAAGCAGCCGATCCGCCTACGGACCTTGAGAAACAGGGGGAAAACGAAGATTCTTTCCACGGTGTGACAGAGAACGGCACTGTAAAAGATGAGCCTGAAGATACGAAGCAGAACCTCGCCGGAGAGTGAAACATCCAGAGGAAGAAAACAAGAGAGCCCACCAATACCGGGGACCGCAAGGCCAATGAGCCGGGGGTCGTGGCATTGGCCATGGGATGGAACGCCTCGGGAATCCGCACGAAGGGAAGAGTGCGGAGGCCAAGCAGCATACGCAGGTGTACCAAGGAGACGAGCCTCACTTGAACGGGACGGGGCAGTAGGCAGGAGGACATCGCATTTGGCTAAACACTACGAAGTCATAATAACTAACCCTGCCCTGCCTGAATCGATAAACCAATATACTAAGCATCTTTGCAATAAAAAAAAATAAAAATAAACTCTGTTCGCTCTGAGCAATCCTACAAGTTATCTCGGCTTCACAACCGAATTCCTTAGGGCAATCAAGGGTCGAATGACTACGACCAACAGCTCAAGGCTCCTTTAAGAAGCGTCGATTTTTTTGTTGTTGTAGTAGCTATTTGGTATTTTATAACATGATGACAAAATAGAGACAGTGGAATTGAAAACGATATGATTAGATCAATATGTTGTATGTAGGCAGCAAACGCGCATTTATGTTCATTTAGTCAATTGCTTTCAAGATTGCTACGCTATGCAGCTCTTCGGCATGAACACTACTTTGTACAGGCGATGTAGTGAAGCATATTAACCACCACATAAGGGCTCGATGTATTATGCCTCTTGCTTCTATGATTCTGCTGTTCTTATACAGCCTGACTGTATCCACCCAGCTTTCTCCGGCCGTATCTATACCACTTCCTAGCCTCATCCGCCCAGAAGACCGAGCTGCACATGAAGATCAATCCAAACAAATCCTTGAAGCTCAGCGCTTCAGTCTGGAATACTTCTTGCAGCCAGGGAAAGTAGATAACCAACAGCTGCCCCGCCAAACTGAGCGATACGGCCCAGTTGAATAAAGTGTTCGAGAATAGACCCACTTCGCCACGCAGGATAGACTTGCTCTCTGATCGACATGCTAAAGCATTGAACATATCAAAGAGCACAAAGCACGTGAACGTCATCGTGGTGTCGCGTCGCGTCACCTCGCCATCTAACATCTCCCGCTTATAAACGAACATTGTACCAGCCATAACGATAAATGCTTGTGTCAAAACGCGAGTTATTAGGTTGCGGGTCAGAACCGGCTCACTACGTGCACGAGGGGGGCGGGACATGACGTCTTTATCGACAGCCTCGACGCCAAGTGACTGAGCAGGTGGGCCGTCCATGATGATATCTGAAGAAGAAGAAATGACAGTCAGTAACGTAGTTCCGTAGTACACGACATTAGAAGGAAACAATATAGGCGGGGCGGGCCTTACTAATCCAGAGGATCTGCATGGCGTTCAAGGGCGACTTGAGCCCCATGCAGGTACAGATGAACACTAACGTGAGACCTGCCACGCTAGTGCTCAGCTGGAATGTAATAAAATTCTGAATATTGCTGAATATGCCTTTGCCCTGCTCGATTGCGTGGAGGATGGTGGAGAAGTCATCATCTGTAAGTATCATGTCGGAAGCTTCCTTGGCCACATCAGTACCGTGAAGCCCCATGGAAATGCCGATGTCTGCCCTTTTTAATGCTGGCGCATCGTTGACGCCATCACCAGTCATGGCAACAATGTCACCTCGAGACTGAAGCGCACGAATGATCTTAAGCTTATGATCAGGATTGGTACGTGCAAAAATTGTAGTGGTCTGCATAGCAGCTGCCAACTCGTCTTCTGTCATCGCATCGACCTCATCTCCTCGCAGAACAGGTCTGACCGCTACTTGATTCGCGGAGTGCTCTCGTGGTGTAGCAATTTGCATACCAAGCTGCTTGCCGATTGCGACAGCTGTTGTATCAGCGTCGCCGGTGATCATGATGACCTTGACGCCGCCACGCATGAGCTTTCTAATTGAACGTGCAACACCTGGTCTAGGAGGATCGCTCATTCCAACAAGACCAGCGAAAGTCAAGCCCTTGAACAAGCTCTCATCATTGGTCAAGCCAGGGCTTTCGCTGCCATCACGAGCAGCAGGAGTGTTGCTCCGCGAGTTAGGAGCCAGACCAGCTTTGTTTCTATTAAATCTGGTGACAGGGCCGCCTGCGAATGCAAGAACCCTCAACCCCTTTTCGGCCATCTTCTCTGCGGCATTGAGAGCGTCCTGGCGGCGAGCAGAATCCAGCACGATTTCCTTTCCATCCTCTGTGAGGTAGGTGTCACAGGCGTCAAGAACCTTATCAATGGCGCCCTTCATGTACGCGTACTCCTTGTCACTGTTCCTTGGATCTGCACCAATCACGATGCCCATCCATTTTCTCGCGGAACTAAATGGTGTCTCTGCTGTACGAGGTCCAATTGAGTCCCTAACGTCGTGTTCCGTAAATCGATCTAGAAGATCGAGCATGGCCACGTCAGTCGGCTGCCCAACCCAGCGAGAATGCTTTGAGAAATCTTTGTTCTGGCTATCAGACAAGACAGTCGAAGCCCCTTCAGCATCATGGTGAGACAAGCGAGCGTTGTTGGCAATGTTGCCGATACGAAGGATCCTGAGAGTAGCCACATTAGGCGTACGGTCGACGACATCATCAGCTTCTACGTCGATCGGTTCTTTTGCGCCGAAATACCAGGTATTCGCAACTGTCATATGATTCATGGTCAAAGTTCCAGTTTTGTCGGAACAAACCACATTGACTGAACCCAAGGTCTCCACACTGGGCATTTTCCTCACAATGGCATGGTGCTTGGCCATCCTGTGGACACCAAGGGCCAAGGTGACGGTGACGATAATAGGCAGACCTTCGGGAATGGCAGCCACAGCTAGTGATATCGAAATTGTGAAGATCTCGAGAAGCTTCTTGCCTTGCAACCATCCAACCACAGATATCATACCAATTATTCCGAATGAAATCTTGCTCAACTGGGAGCCTAACTCATCCATAGATAGCTGCAGGGGAGACCGTGGGCTCTCGGTACCAGAAACACTGGCGGCGATGGTCCCAAACTGTGTGTCGCCACCGGTCGCATAGACTATACCCTGTCCGTACCCAGACTTGACGAGGGTTCCCATGTATGCAATGTTGTTGCCTCCGGAACGCGACGTGTCGTCCTTCGAAGCGTCATTATACGACGCCGGAGAAAGCGTTGATGGGCTCGGCAGGCGAACGGCGGAGATGAAATTCCTGGATTTGGATTGCGCAGTCATCTGGACGGGCTCATTCTCGCCGGTGAGGTTTGATTCGTCGATAGTCAAGTCTGAAGCCTTAGTCACTCGAATATCTGCTGGAATTCGATCCCCCGTGGTGAAGAGTACTAGATCTCCCGGCACGAGTTGTGCGGCCATGACCTTGGACGAGACGGCCTCCATCATTTCCTCGCCAGGCGTCTCGGCGCCACTCAGGGAATCCCCTTTTGCTTCATCGTCGGCGACAGGAGGCCAGGAGGCACTCTTGGCGCTCTGAGCTGGCTTGGTGTTTTGCGCTCTAACCAAATGAGCATGATTAGGAACAAGATGGTTGAGGGCCTCGATGGACTTTTCGGAACGGTATTCTTGGACGAAGCCAACGGCAACAACGATGGTAACAGCAACGGTTATGCTGACTGCGTCGTCCAAGTTTCCAACTATTACAGAAGCGAATGCTGAAACCAGCAGCAAGATAATTAAAGGCTCCTGGAACTGCTTGATGAACCGAAGCCACAGCGGCTCTGGGGGCTCTTGCGGTATTTCGTTTGGGCCAAAGTCCCGTATCCTCGACAAAGCTTCTCCAGCGGTCAGACCATGTGTGAGAGATGTTTGCAAGCGCGACGCGGTTTCGGCTGGTGTCATAAGCGAGTACTGGTCAGCGACGCCCTAGAGAGCGTGTCGGTCAGTTACATGATTGTTCGGCTTGTCAAAAACACCGCCTTCTGACTGGGGGCCGGACTGGGAACCGGTGGGGTGGTACATACTCTCGATTGCGCAGACGTCGTTCGCACGTGTCTGGGTCTCGAGGTCCTGGACCTAGATCTTCCCGGTCCATTGCCGTCATGATCCCGCTCCTCATCGTGATCTATCCCGTTTATGCTGGGTATGGAGAGAGGTAGAAGAGGTGAGTCGCCATTATCCTGACGATGTGCCCAAGGCCAAGGGGGCATGTTGGACGTTGTTGGTAGCCCGTGACGTCGTAGCGCAAAGCCGCATGGGATATGGACGGAAGGAGGAGGATGTCTGGGGGATAGCGGCGGCGGATGTGCGGAAAGTTTTGTTCTAGAATAACGGCAAAGTCATGGCCAAGAAATGTGGTTGCATGCTCTCAAGAACGTCGTTGCGTTGCGACGATGAGCGCAGTCAAATGCTCTTTTGGAGACGTGTAACTTGGATCGATTTTTTAGCGGCATGGGATTGACACGGTCAAGTCTGACGCTAAACGTTGAACGACGTACAAGTACAGGTACGTATCCATACATGTGCTTATGTGCTACCACTGTACGTACAGTAACTACTACAGTATGTGTGTACAGGTAGAGCTGCAGAGTGCAGGGTGCAGGGCGTTATCAAGTGTGTATGGATATGTTAGGTGTTCTTAGAAGCAAATACCAGCATACAGTACATTCAGTACAGTGGTAACGTTCGAATGGGAGGGAGGCTCCCCTGGAAAGCTCAATTCTCACCTCACAGGGCGCTGCGCTGGACCAAGCACAGGCAATGCAATGCATGCAGCGAGCACAAACCTCAAGCGGCCATTTGGGGAACCTAGAGTGGATGCAATGACGAATCAAGCTCTTTTTGCCCCTGCACGAGTGGAGCTCACCCCTGACATGGGACTTCGAAGACCTCGATCTAAAAGGCAATTCTACTATAGTTAGTCACGGTCCCCAGACCGATTAGCTATCGAACATTTTGATAGCACGTAGCACAAGACACTGTACAATGCAACTCAATGCATACCTCGTGGGATGAGTGTGGAAAGATGCCGCGATTTTGAAACCTCGCCGGGGAAAACATGGGCATATATCAAGAAACTGTGGCGCTTTAGGAAAGCCTAATCAATCAACCACGGCAGCCGTGGTACATAAACCCAACATCAATGCTGGCTGTGCTGTAGGAATATCTTTAGGAAACTAACTTACACACTGTCTATCACGTTCCTCTGATAACTATCGATACCAGGAAAAGATTCACGTCTCGGTACAACAAACAAAGATCTTGACCGTAATTAGGACATTCGGAACCCAAGTAGGTTAGTTCACTAACACAAAGCATGTGAGGCAATCAAGCTTCTGACCTTTAGCTAAGTGTTGGATCTCGTTGCCCCGAGAGCACTGGTCAGGTCAATGCTGATGATGCGCGATGTTGATGCTTGATGCATGATGCATGATGCAATGGACATAATATTTATTATTTTGCCGATTTCACCCCCAGCCACAGTATTTACGTTTTAAATGTTCGAGACGCTTTTACCCAGAAGGGTGTGCTAACATGGATCTTCTCTGTCGATTGAGCCAATGACAGCTGTGGCTCGTGCTATAGTGGGTCCCAGCCACTCGGATTTCCAGTCACTCCAGTGGCTGTGGTCGTCCAGCTTGGGGGGGACCTGGGCAAGCTGGGCTGGCTTTTTGTGTCTGCTGCACGGATTTTGCAGTCCAAGGATGCGCTCCTGCTTTGGTTTGGTTTGGGCTGCCGGTTCACGTTCAATTTCAATTCCAGGACGGAACCAATCTCCCCCTCCACCTGCCACCACCTTGCACTCTTCTCTCTTCCCAACTCACCATCATCGCTGCCGCATTTGACCGACCACTTCTTCGCTGTCGCATTTGCCTTCACGAGACTCCCAGGAACACGGCAGCATCCCTTCGAGCTTTGGCTTGTCCCATGCGCGCTTTTTGTGAGGGTTTTGCAAAACTGTAACGCACAGTACATACTCCGCCAGGTGGACGGGACAGGACAGACGGAGAAAAGCGCCTCCTGCCTAGCCACACCACGCGATTGACCTAAAACATCCTCTGGACGCGCTCCCACTGTTTACCTCCGCTACCACCCTCACTACGCACCCACGTCTTCACCTTCCCCTCCATCCGACGCGTTGGCGCATGTGCAAAGACAAGGACCAAGGCACCCGCAATCCACCACCATTGCCTTTCATGTTCGAGTAGTACCCGTAATTGCTTTGCATCGCATCCCCTCTAGACCGCATCGTCTCGTCGACGACGTCACAAGACCTTCATCCGTCGCCCGTAGCCATGTTTTATTCTGAAGCTCTGCTGCAGAAGACGGGGCCTCTGGCTCGCGTCTGGCTGTCGGCCAACTTGGAGCGCAAGCTCTCCAAGAACCACATTCTGCAATCCGACATCAAAGACAGTGTCAATGCCATCGTGGATACCCGCCAAGCTCCCATGGCCCTCCGGCTTAGCGGTCAACTACTACTCGGCGTCGTGAGAATCTACAGTCGCAAGGCGCGTTATCTGCTGGACGACTGCAATGAAGCCCTCCTCAAGATCAAGATGGTACGTCTTCCCACAAGTATACCCTACCTGCGCCATTGTGTGACTTACACCGACTCCAGGCTTTCCGCTCAACCGGTAACAATGACATCCCGGAAAACCTCGCCCTACCCAATCGGGAGGCTCTCATGCTTCCCGATCGAATCACGCCCGCAGACAACCTAAACATACTACCGCCACCAGATGCCGACTGGCTTCTTGCCCAGATGGACATCGACACAACTCAAACCCAGACCCAGTCACAGTCACAAGGCCGTGGAAGAGGACGCCCCAGCAATCGCGAGATCAACCTGCAGGAGGACTTCAATAACAGCCAGTTCTTGCATGACAGCATCATGGGCAAAGACGAACTGGCATTGGAAAACAACGACGATCTTGAGCTAGAACTTGACTTTGGCATGGATCTCGATGAAAACCCCCGTGGGCTGGATACCACCATCGAAATGGGCAGAGATGCACCTTTGGCTCGCGATGTTGAGGACGATCTACTCAGCGAGCTCGACGCTGTGGCTCCAGGAAAGGCGGCGGCTCGTGACCAATCCACAGCTTTCGATCTGGGAGACGATGGCGTTCGCATTGCAGATGGCGATGGCGATATCCAAATGGACGACGACTTCCAGTTTAACCTTGGCGATCAGTCCGCCATGCCAGAGATCGGCGGTGTGGTGCCTCCCAACCGTGCCCGCATCTCAGAGTCTCCGTTGTCAGATATCGACGAGAACACTGCCAAGGACGTCGAGGAGTGGACCAGACTGCACAACCAGAGCGTATATGAACCTGGCCAAGACATTGAGGACCCTGAACCTCAACCTCAGAGGAAGTCCAAGTCCCGGCGTAGAGTCTTTGGCCTTGACTCGGAGATCCAACTTACCAGTGCACACATCAAGGAGCAACAGGCCGATCGCGCCAACATCCTCAAGGAACCCACTTTTGTCGCTAGAGACCCTTATTTCCTGGCACTCCTGGAATTGAAGCAAAGCGGCAACTTCGTGTCGAATATCATGGGCAATGGCCGCAGTAAAGCGTGGGCTCCTGAACTGCAAGGCCTGCTGTCATTGGAGTCTATTCGATTAACTAATGACTTGAAGCGCAAGCGGGATAGTGGTGTTGCTGATATTGACAGCGAGGACGAACAAGGCGCATCCAAATCACCACGTCTTGAGCTTGGAGAGGATGACACAGCTCTGGAGATGGCTGGCGGCCTCGGAGAGCAGAGTGTGGCAGCCGACGGTACAATCATCGAGATCCCAGCTGACGACGGATTGGTCTTGCAAGATGATGAGGAGCACCAGGCCCGTGAAGGCAGCCCATTACCTGCGTTTGATGAAACAACTGCACCAATGGTCCACCCTGAGGATAGCGGTCCGGTATCACTGGGAACGAAGCATGCTGTGCACGTTCTCCGGGATCTCTTCGGTGCCGAGGCTGCAAACGACGAGCAGAAGCGCAAGAACACATCGGTTGTCTTCCAGGACTTGTTGCCTGAGGGACGCACTACAAAAGCAGATGCTACCAAGATGTTCTTCGAGTGCTTGGTGCTCGCTACTAAAGACGCCATCAAGGTCGAGCAAAAGGAGGGCGCTCTTGGCGGATCGATACGTGTCCGCGGCAAGCGTGGTCTTTGGGGAGCTTGGGCTGAGCGCGAAGCCGGAGGTGAAATCGCACATGAAGATGAGCAAGCGTCACAACCAGAGCCTGCAATTGCTGGTCCATCGCGGGCTGTCACAGCAGCTGCATAGAGCTGGACCCAGCATTTGAAACGGTGGCGGGCTTGGTGACGAGCTAATGCTTGGATGTACAAATTTTCATGTTGCGATATTCCCATGGGCATGGCCGAACGGCGTTTTTGGAGTTTTTGGGGAGACAGGGAGATACCACTGCTTGCAGGTATACTGGTTGTCAAAATTACAGAGGCTGCTTCTATATGACTTTGAATACCGACAGGAGACACGTCTCCGAGGAATGGCTGTTAAATTTAGATCAGTGACGAGTTTTGCTCTGTGCTGTCGCATAACAGAACTTGGGTGGACTTCCATATAATACAAGACAATGATCTTGTTGTTAACATGATACTTCGTTGCACTGTTGCACTGATGGGGAGGACGGTACTCTTGAAGAACAGGGCTCATGTCTTGATTGTTTCTATCTTGATGCCAGGCTCCCTTTGACCAAGCCGACCCCCCTGCCATATGAAAGTTCAAAGGTAGGCGGGTAAAAGTGGCCCGGACCCCACGTAAGCTCCAAATCAGAGACAGTTGACTGACGACCACTTAGATACACTCACGGCTTTCCATCGTGCTCTGCGCACAGTGACCAAACAATGAAACGCCCCGTGGTTTTCCCTCCCTTTCATTATATGCCGGCGCTTCTTTATAATACTTGTATCAGCACATAACATTCACCGCTGTTCCACTCGAATCCAGCTTCCGCAGACAAACGTACAAACATCTACGGAACACACTGTCAACTCCCGAATCGCGTTGTTCAATGTTCCACGCATGAACACATGACCTAATCACGAGCAATTACAGCGACAATCAGTCTCGACAGACTGGAACGATATAGCATTTACTCCGGGCGTCGTTGAGTGTCACAAGAAAACGAAATCAAGTACAATGGCTGTCAAGTCATTGGCGGATCTCTGCACCGCAGTTTGCATAAAGAATATTCGAGGTACGTGGGCATGATGAGAATCGAAACAGTCTCATTAGTCCCTGGAGATTCGGGCTCTAGCTTCCCATTACACGATCATCGAGCGACATGCTTCTTCTCTGGTGACTCGAGTGGACCGAGTCGTCTCTGGTGCAGCGTCAAGATTCATCGTCAAGTCCTTGTATTCTGCGCGCCCACCTCCATTCCCAACCCATACTCGACACATTCCCATCTCCCGCCTGTGGTCGTCGCTACGGACGAAACCCACACCTCCTGAATGCTCTGAGAACATAACTTGCCTAACACTCGAAAAGAAATCCAAGACGTCGGCGGCCTCCCCTATCACATCGTGCGACCCATCCTCATGCGCCTCGACTCGGCCGCGCAACTACGAGCCATCGAGGAAGCCTCGCCGCACATCGCCCTCGATAATGAAGAATGCTGGCAGCGCTTGATCAGAAAGAACTTCGCCGGACTGCATGCCCAGCACGACTTCGCACCCCGGAACCCGGCGTCGTGGCACAAGGTATACGCAAAGTATGCCAAGATCAACGCCGACGCCAAAGCAGAGGCCGAGGCGAAACTGAAGGCGGCCTTTGCCGGTATCCAGAAGAAGAAGGCGGAGAACACCAGCTCGATCGAGCATCACCGGAGCCTGCCCAGGCCGCCCAGGGACACAAAGAACGTGGGCAGGAAGGCGGCCGTCGGGCGCAGGGGAGGTAGCAATGATACGGGAGAGCTCAAGTTCACGGGCGGCTCCAGGACAAAGACAAACACGGCTGCTAGTGTCATGAGGAGGGTCAAGCGCGAGGCCGCTGAAGTGTCTGCCAGGAACAAGCTTGCCACACCGAATGGCGCGCTACAGGTTCGACAGGGACAGATCAGGGCCGCGCCGAAGGGCATGGTGCATGAGCAAGCAGTCAAGCATAATCCAGCAATCAAGGTGCAGCCGCCAGCCGTACGTACCATGGAAGATGATTTCCGGGATCACCAAATGGAACAGAGGGAAGCAAGATTGCGCAAACTCAAGGCCCAGGGCGCAAACATTTTGGAAGACTCAGATGTTGACGACGACGATGAGGACAACGGGTTTGGAGGTGGCGGTGGTCGAGGTGGGTTAAATGTTGAGGAACTAGAGGATTTGTTCGACGATGATGAGCCCCCCAGGAGACCAGCACCACTGCCAGCTAAGAAGAAGGGGATACTCTCTAACGCGTATCGGGGCCCGCCGGCGACAGTCCAGAAAGTCAGCGTCGGCGGCGGCTCCAGTGCATCCAGATCAACCGCAGAAGACTCATCCTCCAGACCAGCACAATCAGCACATGGTCCATCAGGCAGCCCTGAGCCGAAACCGAGGATGCCAGTCAAGCGGAAAGCTGCGAATGTCTTTATGGCACCAAGGTCCAAGGTACAGAGACGCTAGGTAATAGCCCCTTGCGGGTCTCTGCCACCATGAATGGCACGGCCTGCTGACTTACAATGTACCACTATATTTTATTCCCTTTTTTTTTTTTTGGCGTATGTACTGGATGAGGTTATGAGGCATATCTATATACTTGAGTTTTGGTAGACTTGATGGGGGCACCTTGGAGTTTGGCATGGCTGCTTAGCATTTACAATGTCTCACCAACAATCTAGAGACACAGCTAAATATGTGGCATCTCTAGAACACCATAATTTTACCACGAGATTATGTGTATTCACATCAGTAGAGAATTTATGAGTCAAAAGAGTTGCAACAATCGGGCTCAGGTTGGTTGTCTACCAGCAACGCCATGACGCGCTGAAGTGTGATGAGATAAGGCCGGCTCGTTCAGAAATTGTGATGTTTACATTTATCAGCTTATTCATCGTGAAGAATTACTGGGAGGCAGAGGTGTCATTCAAAAAGGCCACTTAGTTCGAGAAAGCCGCCCTATAAAGGCACTCCTTTAAGAGGTTATTATGGGCAGTCAATGGCACCTCAGGTTAAGACTCATTCTTCGTTCGCGAATATCCTCAACCGCATGGGCTATTTCAATCTGACGTACCTTGGAGAGGGTTTCACAGAGATCCAGGGGAGATGTGCCCAAAAGGACCATATAAGACAGAGTCCAACACTACTGAAGTAGAATTTAAGTCGTATTCTGTTGATCTGTGGCGCCTCCAAAAGTTACAGAGAGAAACTGCCATTACGTGGAGATATATTACAATGCCTGCGAGGCTCACCTATCGCAGCAACCCCTTCATTATGATGGAAGCACCGCAGGAGGTCGTGATTGAGAAAATTAGACCTCAGATGACTTGAAGGTGCTCCTGATCATTAACATAATCACAATAGTCCCGCTCTGATACTCGTGTATTTCACCCACAGCCGTGGCACCCTATCCCGGTCCAGGCGTCGCGCTGTCATCATCACGACCTCCTTCTCAACCATTTCATCGGCGGTGTTAATTCGTGGCCTTTTCGGGTTCGAACCCCTAGTAAAAGCCGCTGAAGTCATTAAAATCTACCTAAAGAACATAGGTCTTGTTGGAACAACAAGCAAACGAGAAGGAGATATCTTGCTTGACAGCGGCTTCCATGCCCGGCTCCTTCACGCCCAAAGGCCGCTACCAAGTTGCTCTCTTCGGCATAGTGTTCGGCGATGAGCTCGAGTAACTTTGAGAATGAGTCATTCGGTATGCCGCGTGGCATGATGCTATTCCGGCAGGAAACATCAGCTTAGATACCACTGCAGCCCATATGGCAACGTCTGATCAATTGTGTGATCAGTACAAAAAGATCTGACGCTTGGGACAACGTGGGTCGAGTGAGATATGGTTGATCGAGGGGGAAATGTCAGTAGGCTGGTGGTCGTGGAGCAAATCACGAACGGCGAATAGATGTAAACGAAACTTTCCATGACAGATTGGTTAAAAGGGCAGAACGGGCGTTACTCCGAGATCGCCTGATGCGTATCCTCTGGACTCCTGACAGTCACTCACCAAACAACCATACCCGCCGCGGTCTGAAGCCACGGAATAATATGTAGTTCAGGAGGCAATCGAACGGCGAAATCAACTTCGTCCTTGGTGATTCTGGGCTTGTGAGCGATACCGTCAAGGCCGCCAGTTGGTACGGCTTCAACTTCTACAAAGGCCCCCCAGATATGGCTATTTGCGTTGCCAAAGAGCAAACCCATAAGATAGACACCTGGGGCCCATCCATCATAACGATGGAATATCATGGGCTTTATCTGACCTTGAGTTTCGATGTGATCAACCCAGAAGCCCACTACCTGGCAATCTGCAGGTTCGCAATAGCAAGTCTACGACAGTAGTTACCGAATCTGAAGCCGAATGTTGGAAATGGGCATCTCAAACCCCAAAATTTAGAGCGTCTGCGCTGCAGATGCTTGTGAAATGGGAATCTTGAGGATTCACTCTCCACACCCAAGAGCCGGATACAGCTAGCAAGCAAGGAATGGCAAGAATGGTACAAAGAGACTATTGTAAGTGGAATCTTTGATCCCTACTCCTATGAAGAGGGAATCGAGATTATGGGCTCAATTACACGTCTGGGCGCCACCTCGGTTTCGGTTCTTGATAGTACAGAATAGCTGGGAGCTGCAACATAAAGTGACAATTACAGCTGTTCACAAACCTGACACCCGTTTTGCTAGAAGGAATTTTTTTTTCCGACTAGAGAGCTGAGCTACCAGAGGTGCACGCAAATCAAACAGTTCTATTATGTACTTGTTGATCGCCAAACGTTGTCAGATGCCTGTCCTATGCGCTGAATCAATGCCGAAAAGGAGAAAAAGCATCGCCCATGCCATGTGTCCCCCAAGGTGATCCATGTCAATGTATGCGTCTGAACCTTAATAGTTTGCAGGTTCGATTTTTACTGGCCTGATTTGCAAGACTGAATATCTTCGAATCCACAGGGTTACTGTCGTAGTTGTAGATTTCGCCATTTCGCCATACCCACGTACCTATGACCGTTGTCTATATCGTAAAGGTCTACCAGGACTGACTGCCATGTGCCGGATAGTGTGATGAAAGCATCTTTATCAAATGGATTGAGCGGAACCGTCTAATGCTGCCAGCGTGAAAGCAAGGTGACACTTGCTCTTGTTGCAGAGTGTTGCAGACTTATTGACCTCCACGGAGTGCTAGAACCAAGTGCAACGTTGCACCACCTTCAAGCAGGTATTCGCTTGCTGTTTTGTCATCGACCCTAGGTAGAGCGCCGAGTCAGTGTCATGGATTCGCGCACCAGGCTTTGTCGTGCAAAATGGAAGCAAGATGCCGGGCATAGTAAGCCAAGTCAGGCCACATACATTTGCTTTCCGCCATAGATCAGACGCTGCTGGACAGGCGGGATACCTTCTTTCTCCTCGACCTTCTCCTTGATCTGGGAAACCTGTGGTGTTTTGTCAGCACTGTATTTCCTGCCCCGTGTGTGCAATATTCGATGCGCCTGGTTGTGCAAGTAGGTGAAGTCGTATTTGAAGCGACTGGGTTGGGGAAAGGGACAGAAGGGCGAGGTACGCACCTTGTATTCGGGCTCGATGTCCAGCTCAATCTCCTTGCCGGTAAGGGTACGGACTCTATAGTGGGATCGTTTGTCAGCTACTGATACGTCTCCGAAGTGTATAAGCCATTTCCAAACAAACAAGATGACCCTGACGGCGGGGTAGTTTGTACATGTTACATACTTGATAAGCATGGTGTCGGTCTAATCTGAGTGTCTTTGATATCTCTGAAGGGCTTGTCAAGGCAGAGGGGCTATTGTGGAACAGGCCAAGCTTCAGTTGTGTTGTCGCAGAGGAGAAAGTTGTGGTCGGCAGAGAAGCTGGTGGGTGTTCAAGTGAAAGGTAGCAATGGCAATGTCGGCGATTGATCGATGGTGGGGTGAATTGCGCATGCGCAGAGCGGAAAGGTAAGCAAGGTAAGCAAGCGCGTTTAGCAAGACTGGATCCACCCTATTTCAGCATGACGGCGACTCAGACTTGAGGGTCAGCTCTGGACATTATTACCCAATGCCGATGGCAAAACGAGGTGCCACAGATAGACAGATGGGAATCGCCCGTTTGTTTTATCAGCTGCTGTCCACAAAAGAAAGACGCCGAAAAAGCTAGAACTTATGTAGCATACGTGTTGACGATTCATTCCTGCACTCTAACATGGTCGATACAACAAAACACATTCGCTTTCTGGTTTGTCGTTGCTGTGAGATGAGTTGCTTGCAACTCCCCAATCATTCCTGGAATTTACAGTGATTAATACCTAGAGTACAGTGGAGATTGTGATTCCCTCTTAACGCCATGCTCCTATGACTTCTTGCTTGCATCGTCGCCAAATACATTCAGACCGAGACCCTCTGAGTCGAGCATGAGCCGGTTCCTGCCTCCAGCCTCTTGCAGCTGTGTTGCGATGATACGGGCGTTCTCGATCTTCTTCAGCTCCAAGTAGGCCTTGCTCTTCTTGACGGCTTCTCCGATGAGCTCTGCCGAACGAGCCTCACCCTGTGCCCTGACGACCATGGCTTGCTTCTCCTGCCGAGCCTTGTCAACGACAAAGGCGGCTCTCTGCGCCTCCTGCTGGGCAACCTGCTTGGCCTCCACAGCTGCCGTGAACTCGGGAGAGAAGGCAAGGTGCTGAGGACAGGGGGTTAGTGACGGTCTCCATGGCTGTGTGCCAGAAACAGGCGGCACTTACAGTAAGCGAAACATCATCGAGCAGAATGTTGAATCTCTCAGCTCTCCTTGACAAGTTCTCCCGTACTAGTTTGGCGACCATCTCACGTTGTGTGATCAGCTGACTGGCGTTGAACTGAGCGACAACGCTCTTCAGCACCTCGTTGACGATGGACGGAAGGACGCGCTCATCGTAGTCCTGCCCTAACGTTCTGTAGATTTGAGGAAGGGCGGCAACCTCTGGCCTTGACAGCACACGGCATGTGATGTTGACCATTTGCAAGTCCTTTGTACCGGTCAGGGAGGAGACATTTCTCGGCTTCGCTCGCACATCGTATGTGACAGGTGTCTCGAACCAGGGGATCATCAAGTGAGTACCTGGATCATGGTTAGAATCAAACTTGCGTCGTGACACGGATCAGGCCGGAGCGGTCCGCCATACCTTCACTGTAGATCTCCTTGCTGACACCGCTGACTCTTCTGTACTTGATCGCTCGGTGACCACCATCGACGTTGAAGAGCGAGTTCTGGAATAATATGGCACCGCCAATACCGAAGAAGGCGAGGGCGGCAAGACCCAGAGGGTTACCGCCGCCACCACCTGCACCACCGAAAGGAACTCGGCGACGGTTCTGCAGAGCAAAGCGCCTCGCCCGCTCGGCATACTCCTCTAATGGCGACTTTTGCGACATGTTGGCGTTGGGGCGCTGCTTGCTGGTGACTGTGGTCGTGGTCGAGTTCGATGTCGAGGATGGTCAGGTCGTCGGATTGTCACGGTCACCACAAAGATCGAGAGCTGCTGAATTGCTAACTAAGCTCTAAAAGTGATGATCCGTTTTTCTGGCACCCCTGCCGCCTTCCAACACAAACAGTAGCCACTCCGCTGCTCCGTTCGAACCTGAAGGCCCGCCTCTCAGAGCTAAGGCCCTTGAGGGTTCCGTGCACCAGCTGACCTGTGTGTGTGTGTGTATGTACATATGTATATATGTATGCACGTACACAGCACAGTGTGTACGTATGGAGTAAATAAGCTCTATGTAACGAGTTAAGCTGCACACAGCTCTAGCAGGCAAGATCGATCTGGGCAGAGGCGGCTGAAAGAGTCCCAGTCAAGCTTTAAAAGTGGTCTAACCTTTTTCCGGAATGAATGGTGGGGCCTACTCAAGCCTGCCTGCTGCCGGCGCGAACCTGCTCTCTGATAACTTTTGAATTCCAGTGTCATCGCATTCAAATGTGAGTTTCAATCTCATCACCAAGCTAGGGCCGTCCGCGTCTACCTGCAAAAGAAAAAGAGTCCCTTCCTATTGTACGGTGGAACTAGAGTGCACTTGAATAGACTTGGAATCTCAATTCCTGCCCCGGTTTATGTCCGCGCTAAGTGAACTACAACCTTTGGCGCATCTTCCTCGGGCTCAAGCTCTCTATTGTCCTTGAAGCATTCCTCTTCTTACAAGTCGTGATATCCTTTCGCAGATCAACCTTGTTCTGCCAATTGTGCACCACACACATCCCTTCTGGCTTAGCGTAGTCATCCTCATAAACTATGTCGACGAAGCCGCCCTCTCGAGTGGTCTTTGTGGGAAACATTCCTTATGGTGAGTCTCTTCAGTTGTTTGCAGACCCCCCACCACCACCTTGGCTAACTCGGCGATCCAGGTCTCTCGGAAGAACAAATCACAGACATCTTCAGTACCTGTGGTCAGGTCTTGAACTTCCGTCTCGTTTATGACCGGGAAACCGGTAGGCCCAAGGGCTTCGGGTTTGCGGAATACCCCGATGCAGGCATGTTTCCCATCACCCACGCCAATAAACCCAAGCTAACCATCATCACCACCGCAGATTCAGCAGCTTCGGCCGTGCGAAACCTGAATGACTACGAAGTCATGAATCGCAAGCTTCGCGTCGATTATAGTACCGAGGGGCGTGTCGGAGAAGAAGACGATAAGTCGGGTCCGAACAATGCGAACAACGGCAACAGCAGCAGCAACAACAATAACAACAATATGATGGGATCCTACAACCAGCACTCCAATGGTATTCCCGCCGCGCCCCCTGTTTCCATGTCGGGCTCGCTGCCCCCGCTCCCACCTGGAAAGGAGCTCCCCCCCGGAGTTGGCTTTCATGATGCTATCTCGAGAACACTTCACACTCTGCCCCCGGCTCAACTCCTTGACATCCTGTCACAGATGAAGTCTCTAGCAACAACAGACCCGGCGCGAGCAACGGAACTCCTGTCTGCAGCACCGCAGTTGTCTTACGCCATCTTTCAGGCGCTGTTGTTGATGGGTCTAGTTTCGCCTGAAGCTATCCACTCTGTCATTGATGCCAGTGCCGCACCGCCAGTGCAACAAGCGCCTCCTGCTGGCTATACCCCGGCGCCCATGGCTGGTATACCAGCTGGCTTTCCTGGTGTCGTGACTGGCACTCCTCCAGTGGCCACACCTTTTGCACCGCCTCCGGTTGCTCAAGCCCCTCCTCCCAGCTACGGAGCCGCTCCTGTCGCCAGCGCGCCGGCTCCGGCGCAGAACCCGGACCAGTTGCTCAAGATGGTTATGGAACTGCCACAAGCCACTATCGATCAACTTCCGGAGGGCGAGAGACAGCAGATCATGATGCTGCGTGCGCAGCTCATGGGCCAGCATCGGTGATTTGATCTTCTCAGTTATGGCATGGCCAGGAGTTTGGGTTATTTCTATGAGAGTGGAGAGCAGTTCGGCGTTTAGGATACTGTTAGTTGATGCCACGGAAAAGCGTTTGGATTCGTTGACATGCCTGCGGTCAAGCAGCATCATGTTGTCAGCCATCATGCACAATAAAGTAATGATTTAGACACAGGCACTACATTTGGCAGTCTCGATTGCATACTGTAAAACTAGGTCGGCGTATGGTGGTTAAGGCCTAGGAAGGATTGCCCAGGAACCACGCTGGGGAAGGGACCCCATTTGTATCTTAACAGTATGGTCGCACCAAATATATTGAACTCTACCCAAGTGCACCACCAGGTGCTGGCCGCTGTGTAATGAACACTGCCTACCCAAATCCTGCTACATGGTCCGGAAACCCAACTGGGCCTTGCATTGCATTATGTGGCATGGCATGGCATGGCAAGGTTTGTAAGCCAGCGCAGAGTTCAGGTCTTTGAAACGGCAATGGAACAAAGTGAGAGCAACATTGAGAACGTTGATGGAATGTTGGAGCCTTGGAGAGATGTTCCTTGTGAAAGCTCTCAAAATCTCTATTATTGTACATTCGGCCAAGCACGCGACCACTTACTTCAAGCATGGATTAGTCTAACGTAGACTACACAAGTGCTTCTTCTTATCAAGGACGTCGTCTATCGTGGCCCCGGTTCTCTGCCCTGCCTATCGGATCCAGGACAACTATTCGACCCACTCCACCAGCAGTGACGTTAGCACTCAAGAGGTTAAATTCCAGTCGTCCTTGCCCACAGTGGGGGGCAGCTGGGGGGTTCGCTTCGAGTGCACGACCGCAGTCGGCCAGTGACAGTGACCTTGACTGACATCACCAGCAAACCTTGGGCCCTTCTCGGCTTGTGTGTGAATTCCATTCCCCGACGTGTGTCCAAGTTTCGAATTTTTATTGTTTTTCTCTCCCCTTTGGCTGAGAGAAACATATTTTTGCGCTCGTTCTTACGCATCTCTGGGGTGTCCTGACCGGGATACACCAATTCCATTCTTGCTTACGGCAAATGTAGCCATGAGAAGCTGAACCTGCACTTATCGCAACCTTTGCTCGACTAATTCGGATCTCATCCCCGGATTGACCCCGAGCTCTCTCTCTCTCTCTCTCTCTCTCTCTCGCGAACTGCTCCACGTACAACTAACAACTCCGTACTGTGGCAGTGTGGAGTCGATATTGGGGGCGATCGCGCCAGACGCACTCGGCATTGCTTTTGACGAATTGCCATTTGACATCGCTTGAGCTCTGGGGTGTCTGATTTACAGTGCCCGACGTCTACCTATCACCTCGCGCCACATCGAAGCACAGCTCCGTCCAAAATCACTCCGTGCTCACCCGCCGCCATGTCGCAGACTCCCCGGAATCCCTTCGCTTCCCAAGCGACCTCATCACGACCCCCAGTCGTCGGTGCTGCTGCCGCCTCTACTGGTAGCATAACACCTATGGGCACCAAGAAGAAGAAGCACCGTGGCGGCCGCAAGCATCGCCGTCCCCGTCGCAAGTCCTTCGCCACACTCCCCGAAGATGAAGGCGACAGCGTGCAGGAAGACCCAGAAGCACCCGCGCGGAGCAGTGGTGCCTTCTTCATGCAGCCACGCAACATGAGCCACGAGAGTCTCGACAGTCAATCACTGCTGGATCACAGGGCTCATCACTTTGGACAGCGGCCACGACGGCCATCTGTCCTAGCTTCGCCCTTTCAAATCTCGTATCAGGGAGACAGAGGTTCGCAAACTTGGAGGCGCGCCCAGTCCGGGCGGCAGGATAGTGACCGTGACGACGACGAGCGAAACAGAACCGACGAAGCGGAACCCTTGTTGACCGGCTCGCTGCTACGAGAGGCTGGCCAGCGCAGAGGTTATGGTGGTGCCAACAGCGATGGACGGCCCATGTTCGAACGGCGTGGTTCCAGCAGATCAAGCAACAGGAGGAACATACCTACAACGCCATCTGGCGACAAGTACAATGTGAACTATCCACCATCAATGCCACCCTCCCCGAGAATGGGCGCTTCCGTCGTCAACTTCAGCGACGAGATGATGCGGGAGGAGATGAATCAGGCCTTGTCACAGCCATCGAGCTTGATAGATGTCGATGACGATCCGCTACATGGTTCCTCGCCACTGCAAAGGCGACACACAATTGCACTCCAGGCCGAAGACGACGTGTGCTACCCTCAAGAAGGCATGTCTGAAATCGCCGATGAAGAAACCCAGCCCTCACAGGATCAGCCCAGCCGACGGGTCCGCAGACGCCGCGACAGGTGGCCTGATCTGTCTATCCTAGAGGATTGGAGCGTGTTCGAGAAGGAGATTATCGATAGGAATGAGGAGAGGCGTATGAAGAGAATTACCGAACCACAACTCATCAATGGCAGACTCCGGCCGACACAGAAGGGTTGGTTCAAAGCCGAGGAAGACGCCCCCTACCGCTTCACATATTTCAACGAGGAGTTCCAAAGCACTATCCACAGTCAAACTATTTCCGAGCTCGTGCAACCTGACTCTAGCTTCCAAGAACTCTTCATTCCGGATCGGCCAATCCTGGACGACACTTCGGATGAATCTGAAGACGAAGCTCCCCAACCATCCCAGATGTCCGCCAGGGGCTCCATCAGGAACGGTGAGCTGGGTAACGGGTCGAAATTCCCTACTCGACAACCCTCCATGGCCATTTCCCACAAGGCTGCTGAGCAGAACGGGCGAGATACGAGCAGACCTCTTTCTCCACGACAACAGCCTGCAAGTTCTAACGAGACATCCCGAAACCAGTCAGGTGATGCGACGCCGGTCGGGTTTGACATCAAGTCGCCCGAGCCAATTCCCAGACCGGTCCGCTATGGTGATCGTCCTGTCTGGTGGCTTGATGTCCTGTCACCCACAGCAGACGAGATGAAGGTCATCCAGAAAACCTTCGGCATCCATCCTCTTACTTCGGAAGACATCATGCTGCAGGAGCAACGTGAGAAAGTCGAGTTATTCCGGCATTACTATTTTGTCTCGTACCGGTCATTTGATCAGGACGAAGAGAGCGACAAGCACCTTGATCCTGTCAACATGTACGTCGTTGTTTTCCGGGAGGGAATCATCAGTTTCCATTTCGACCACACACCACACCCTGCCAATGTGCGCCGGCGTATCAGGCAACTGAAAGATTACATCGTGCTCAGTGCCGATTGGATCAGCTACGCCATCATCGACGATATCACAGATGTTTTCGGGCCCTTGGTACAAAACATCCAGGAAGAGGTCGATGATATCGAAGATGACATATTGAAACTAAATTCCGCACCTTTGAACAAGCCAAAGAAGCAGAGAGAGGCCGATGAGAAATCTGTTGCCGCGACAGGAGGATCGCCAGAGGCTAACGATGGCGATATGCTACAGCGAATCGGCCACTGCCGGAAACGAGCCACTGAGCTACTCAGATTGCTGGGTAACAAAGCCGATGTTATCAAAGGTTTCGCCAAAAGGTGTAATGAGCATTATGAGGTTGCACCTCGAAGCGAGATTGGTCTGTATCTCGGAGATATTCAGGATCACATCGTCACAATGACAGGCAATCTGATGCATGCAGATAAGTAAGTCTCCATTAACCTTTATTCCCATGGGCCGGGGACAAATCGCTGACCATATCGACATTACAGAACACTCGGGGTGTCTTCCAACACTTACCTCGCTCAGATCAACATCCTGATGAACAAGCGAGCCGAACAGACAAATGATATGCTGAACAAGCTAACTGTCCTGGGTACCATCGTGCTTCCCATGAACATCATCACCGGTCTGTGGGGTATGAACGTCTGGGTTCCCGGACAAGAATACGAGGGTGATCTTGCATGGTTTTGGGCTATCACGGCAGGTCTACTCGCATTCGGCATGGGCTGCTACTTCACGGCCACGAGAATCCTCCAGATCGCTTAGGAAGCTGATTGCGGCTGCACTTCCAGTTTGTCCGACTTCATGTCACGGGTTAGACAGGGTCGGAAGAAAGAAGTGGAAGTGGAAGAAGACCAATGTAACACTAATCAGGATCTTATGGAACACGATATGTAATACTGTAACTAGAAAGGCATGGGATATACAGCACGAATCTTAATTAGATGTACACGCAGCGGAGCCATGCTTTGGTACAAGACACGATAGATTTGAGTTTTAGAAGAAGAAAAAGTTGGCCGGCGTACTTTTGGAGTTATCATAACAATCAAAGTATACAGTGACAGACCAGCGTCACAGCATGAGAATACCCCTGTTCCATACATTTTCCGAACTTGCTAGGCCCTTCCACGATTCCGAAAGGCTCCATGAGCTGACGCGAAAAATACAAGACCGATTTTTTTCCTCTCTTTTTCTTCTTCTCTCTTGGTCTTCTGGTCTTTTTGGCCTCTGTCTGTGTGCCCTCCTGCCCAGCACCATTTGGTGTGAAGTCATGCCTCACGGGGAAAGCCTCACACGGCGTGGTCCAGAACTGCCTTTGCCAAAAAAAAAAAATTTTCCATTCATTCTATCAAATATGCTACGCCTATCTGCTGAAGACACCCCAGAGACATCCCGTTGATGCGTCCCAGTACACGAACCCGGACATCTGCCCCCCTGCCCGCCCACAGGTCCGTTCATGCAAACCCTGAGGCTCGTCCTGTAAAACCAGGGACAGCCCGATCGGCCCCCGTCCTCCATGGATATGCATCTCGGGTATTGGCTTGATCAAAACAAGACTAGGTTAGACTGGAGGATCAGTCTGCTTGGAGCAATGCTCTTGCACACAATGGTGGGCAGTAATCACCATGCCAGCGTGGAACTCAAATGTTAAGCATGAAAACGGCGCAAAAAAGATTTTTTGCCAATCTGTTGAATTGTTTTTATAGTAAATGTAAATGTGTTCTGTTTATGATGCCTGTTATGTGTAATGGCGAATGCCGAAACGCAGAGTACCATCAAGCAGTACCATCCCCAAATGCAGCGCTGATAACCAGGATGAACCATAATGCATAAATATGCAAGAGGGCAAAGGAATTTAGACCGCTGCTGCACGGTTGTGCAGTTGGGCCGAATGACCACTCTCAGTAGATCTTCTGCCTAGGAAAGGGCCACAAGTATTGGGCGCGTACAAGTATCTGCTTCTAAAGGAGATGTCTAGGTTTTTCTTTTTCTCGCCGAAATCAAGCGGGATGCAGTAGGGTGTTACACGATATACAGTTTGAGACGCGATAAGATCGTAAGTGATGTAAGGAGGGTGTGGATTCCTTAAAACTCCCAGTCTTCCTCAACAGACTTGATGGCCCATTCGAACTTGGCCTCAAGAGTCTTCGAGAAGACCTTGTTGATAGGAACGTCAAACTTCTTGCAGAATACAACAGAAAGACGAGGGTCGATGTAGTTCTAGAATCTGTCAGGAATCAAGTTTTTAAGAATGGAAGGCAGGCACTTACGATCTTCGAGGTACCAAGAGCAACCTCCTTGTTGTCCTCCTGGGTCTCCATCTTGCGTTCGGCCTGGTTGAGACTGGTTTCGAGCTTCTCAATCTTCTGATCGATCTTCTCAACCGTCGGCCCTTTGCCCTCAGCCTCAACCTTCTTCGACTTCCACTCCTTCTTACGTTCTTTACCAAGAGCATCAGCCACCTTCAATCTTTCTTTCAACTCCTTCTCAGGAAACGGCTTCTCGCCATTATCGGCCCGTTTCTTGTTGTCAGTCTCGAACTTCTTGGTGATCTTGGTGCGCTCCTGCTCGACCAGGAACTCGATGTGCTGCTGAACCCATTCATCATTGTTCATGTCCTCTTCGAGTTTGAAGTAGTCAGCACCTCTCTTCTTCTTGAGCTTGGCGTCAAGATCCACGAGCATCAACTTGTGGCGCCAAATCTGGAACTTGATAGCTTTGATCCGATCCTGCATTTTCTCCATTGAAGCTGCATGGCCGGCGCCAACAGTCCGCTTGTGGTTACAAAGAATGGCCACCTCACGATTGGCCTTATTGTACTCGAGCATCTTGTCGGCTATGGTGGCACCCGGCGGGAACTTGAGCTCCTTGAGCAACCTGCTCATGGTCCACGAAGCATTGTAGGTGCGGAAAACCTTGGCAGTCAGACCAGGCATGTAACTGTTCAGGTGCTTGTTCAACGATGAGGTGGTGAGTCGGTCAAAGATATCGTCACCTTCGCCCTTGGGGTGTTTCTTGAAAAGCTTGAGGTTCTTGAACACCTGCTTCTCCACCCGGATCTCGTCGTAGTATCGAATACTGTCCTTGCCCAGAAAATCAAAGATGACTGTTTCCGGATCTCGAAGCGTGATATGTTGGTATTTCAGCGAGCAACAACCAACAGTCTCGGCTTCGTTCTCGGTATCCTTTTCATTGCCAGCTCTTAGGGCAAGCTTATCAATCAGGTAGATTGCCGTCGCCCTTTGTCGATCACTCATTATCTCCGACTTCAGGTCCTTGTTGTAATCCTTGCGGATCCGTTCGATGTACTTCTTGAGACTGCGCGCCTTTTCGAACTTCTTGAAATCACTCTGACCCTTGGTGCTAGAATCTGCGCCGGTCATGACGTACTTGTAGTTGCCGTTGATGTTCTCTTGCCACATAGCAAGCCACGATGCGCTTTGGTCGTGCTTCACAGCCTTCCACTTGTGGCCAGCAGGAGGCTCTGGCACCTTGGCGCCTTTACCGATGTTGATGGTGACTTGTTCCGGCTTGACGCGAAGCTTGAGCCGGCCGGTCTTGGGATGTTCGCCGCGACCACGGAACAGAGACGGAGGCTCGATGCGGAAATTGCCAACCTTTTCCTTTCTACCGTTCCAGACACAGAACTTGAAGGGTTCTTCTTCCTTGTCTTTCTTCTCCTTCTCAGCCTTCTTCTCTTCCTTGGAGCGAGTCTTCTTGGCTTCTGACTTGGCCTTGTAGTGATCGAAGATGGGCTTGAAATCACACTTGGAAAAGTCCTTAATGTTGACCTTGTTGCCTTGCTTATCCTTGGCACCACCATGCTCAGCGAGGACCTCCCTGAAGTCTTCAAAGAAGTTCTTCTGGAAGACTGGGTTTGCTGCGTGTGCACTGTCGATCATGGATCCAAAAAATACGGCCACCTCTTCCGCCTCGGGCTGCATCACGACGGGCGTACCATCGTATATGAGTTTGACGCTCTTGGGAAGAGGCTCGTAGGCGGGGGGGAATATGACACCGTTGTGCTCAAGCGTTTCCCACTTGGTGCCACTGTCCTCTTGCATTGGCTTGTCCCACCATCTGTCACCTTCCTCTTCCTCTTCAGCCTCCTCACTCTCGGCCTTTTTGACATCCTTCTTCGCAGCAGCTTTCTTGGCGGGAACAGGTGCAGCCTTTGCCTTGCCCTTGATCGCGGGAGAAGGTTTCACAGCCGGCTTGGCTTTTGCTTTGGTAGGCTTCTTGAGAGGCGCGTCCGAGTCTGAGTCGGCCTCTTTCTTGACGCCGTTAGCCTTCTTGGCTACGCCGTTGGATTGTCTCCTCTTGGGCGCAGCCAGTGGGGCATCAGAGTCGGACTCGTCTTTGATGGACTTCCTCTTCGCCTTGCCTTCCTTGGCCGCTGCGTCCTCGATCTCTTTCTTCTTCTGGGCCAGCTTGACAGTCAGAGGCTTGTCGTCGTCTGAATCGCTGTCGATCATATCAGCCCTGGTGGCCTTGGGGGGCAGTCGTCCCTTCCTGGCGTTGAGAGGCGCATCATCATCGGAATCTGAGTCAGCCTGAACCTTCCTTTGGCGTTTGGCCTGATGAGATAAGAGTCAGTATTGAGCAGCTGCACGAGGGGGCTGTCGGTCACGACACGTACTATAGGCGCGTCGTCACTGTCCGATTCGTCCTTGTAGCTGGTGATGGCGGAGATCCTCGACTTTCTCTTGGCGTTGCCATTGGCATGAGGGCTGTCAAGGTCCATAGCATCGCCATTGGGGACGGGTCCATGGCGGATGGAGACAGGCGCAGGCAAACCCGCCGACCGAGAAACGTCCTTGGCCTGGTCGGCCTTGGAGACGACTGCTGCTGAGACTGGGTGAGAAAATGGGTCAGTGGGACTTGAAAACACCAAGCAGCATGACATGGGAAAGCTGGGGGTTTGGCGCAGTTTGAGGCGCAAGCTGGGTGACAGCTTGTCAGACGGACGCGATAAGAGCAGGGCAGGTGCGCATCGCAAAGTGCAGGGTGTTGGGTTCAGGAACTCGCAAGTACTTACGGTGGCCATTGGGGCGTGCCAAGGGCATGTCGTCGTCAGAGTAGTCAGAAGCCATGGTGTTGACAGATATGGTGTTGGCGAGGCAGGCTGCAGGAAGGATCGGGTAGGTGAGGTTGTCAAGCCGCTGGAAACTAGGCTTGGCTTTCGATGTTTGTTTGACGAGTGCTTGCACTGGTACTTGCAGGGTGTGGAAGCTGGTGTTGATGAATTGGGGGCAAATGGTTGACTTCACCTTGGTGAGCCAACCCCGTCTATAGTAGAGGAAGGAACGCAAGAGGGATGACAGGAAGGTAGGAAGGGTGAGAGAGAGAGAGAGAGCAAGAAGACAAGGGAAAAAAAGGGCAAAAAGGCAAAAAGGCGGCGGCTCTGCTGGGAGGAGCACTGAATTAAGAAGCCTTTCCCAAGTCGTCTGGGAGTTCTACTTAGTTACTGTACTGCAGCATGACTGTCGGGTTGTCCCCAATGGTGGACACAGGGCGCAGCAGGGAAGGACGGTCGGGTTGCGGTAGGCCAATCAACGGAAGGCAGCCAGGCTTTCAAGGTCACTGGAAGGCTGCTGTGCGGATGGGCAGATAGGCCTTTTGCCAGGAATCTGGACTGTTCGGGACTGTGGACTCTGGTAACTACGGGACTGGGGGCGGAAGCAGAAAATTTGGTTGTTTGGCTGCCAAGTGTCCGAAAGGTGAGACGGCAGGTGGCAGTGGTAAGGAATCTGTGTCGGTGGTTTGATTGCTGCCTTTGCCGTACAGTAGTGCACTAATAAGCTTAGACTACGTGCGTTATGAGAGCTGAGCTGAGCTGAGCTGAGCTTTGGGCGAGAACATTATTAATTCTTCACTACAGTACATAACTTATGTAGTTACAGCACGCAGGCAAGCAAACTTGTTGACCTAGCGCGTCCGATCAGGTACGTACATACTTTCCGAGTAAGGCCCGGTACCCTCAACGGCGATAGCGACGGAGTAAACCACAGCACTGTGATATGCATGTATGCATGTACAGGGTGTGAGCGACGTGCACGGGCCAGGGGAATCTCCTCCTCAGACTTGGAGGAACTTCGGCAGAATCCGGCTTAGTACTGGACTAGACTAGGCCCGAAAATTGATGCGAGGGAAAATACTCCATAGGCGTGGCAGTCGGGAGTTGCAAGTGTCAAGGAGCTGTTGCTTTGCTTTGCTTTGATTTGGTCTGATCCGGTCTGAACTGAACTCCAAGCCTACCACTTCAACCAACCATCACCCATCTACCAATTGATCGCGACCCTGCCTCGTGATCAAGGTGTGCCCGTGGACCTTTCCCTCGAATACACTCCACTCATATATCCACGATGCTTTCAAGGGCGGCACGTCCGGCTCTGAGAGCTGGAGCTGCGGCTATTCCTGCTCGGTACGTCGATTCATCAATCCACCCGCAAACACCTGGCCTGGCATTGGAAGCGCAGTGAGGATATGGCCGGGGGGGCGATTACGAGAAAGAAGCGCTTTGGTATGGGCGTCGGCATTGGCATTGATGTTGGCGTTGACGTCGGCAACGACAATGTCACAATGTGGCAAAGACATGCGAATGAGGATTCCCTGCCCTACGTATTAGATGGCCGAATGAAAGCACGCATGCTAACCTGACCTTTCCCCCTGTCTACAGCGTCGCCAACAATGGAGCCGGCTACGCTACTCTGCGTGAGATCGAGGGTCGCCTCAAGTCCATTCGCAACATCGAGAAGATCACCAAGACCATGAAGATCGTCGCCTCCACCAAGCTCACCCGTGCCCAACGTGCCATGAACGACGCCGCCAAGTACGGTCAAACATCCGGCGAGGTTTTCGTCTCCGCCGAAACAAAGGCTCTCGAGGGTGAGGGCAAGAAGACCCTCTACGTCGTCTGCAGCTCCGACAAGGGTCTCTGTGGTGGTGTTCACTCCGGTCTTGCGCGATGGATCCGTCGAACTATCACCCCTGGCTCCGCCGACCTCGTCCTCATCGGCGAGAAGGCTCGTGCCCAGCTTTCCCGTACCAACCCCAAGGACATTGCCCTTACCTTCGCCGGCATTGGCAAGGACGTCCCCAGCTTCGCCGATGCTCAGGCCATCGCCGATCAGATCACCCAGCTCCCTGGCGACTACTCCGAGATCAAGATCCTCTACAACAAGTTCATCAACGCCACCAGCTACGAGCCCAACGTTGTCCCCGCTTTCTCCGAGGAGGCTATCCTTTCCTCCCCCAACTTCTCCGCTTTCGAGGTTGATGAGGCCCTGATCGGTAACATGAGGGAATATGCTCTGGCCAACTCTCTCTACTGGGCCCTGGCCGAGGGACACGCCTGCGAGATCTCTGCCCGAAGAAACGCTATGGATGTAAGTATATACTCTTGGAATCCCGACAAAGTAAATTCACTGACTCTTTTTTCTTCTTCCCCCCCTTTAGAACGCCTCCAAGAACGCTGGTGAGATGATCAACAAGTACCAGATTCTTTTCAACAGAACACGTCAAGCCGTCATTACCGGAGAGCTGGTCGAGATTATCACTGGTGCCACCGCCTCCGAGGATATGTAAAATCTCCATTGGAGCTAGATGATAGATGGGAGGAGTCGCTATAATACTCGCATGTTCCCTTTGTATCAAAGTACCCTGTGCAGCGAAATTCTGCATCATCCTCCGTGTACCAAAGCCTCAATATATTTGTTCCTGAAAGTACTTATCCAAGAACTGTCACCATGATTTTTTTTGTCTTGTCTGCCGCGAAATACTACAGCTACGCTCTTGCGACCTCTGGGAACGGATGATAGGAGTGACGTTTACGATTATCAAATCTGGAGCGTTTCACGACCGGCTGGAGTAGAGGCAGAACTGTATATTAGGCAAGGGAGTGGACTTTGGTCAGCTATGTGCTAATTACGAGTAGCGATCTGATAACTATAAGGAACCCGGAGACCATGCATTGCAGTACCGACAAAAGAGAGCGTCAACCTACCTCGACTTATTGGCTCGCAATGCCAACAAGGTTTTAACAGCCGCTTCATAATAGAGACGTGATATGAGAAAAATATCGCTCTTTCCAAAACTGAAGCACATCATAACATGCTGGGCTGTAGCCTTCTTACTGGCAAATGAACATGTATGGCTCTCATGTGGGTCAGGGGATCTCTGGAGAGAGCAACGTGATCTGCTGCTTGGTCGGCGCAATCCGATTATAGTCTTGCCGCTGTAGTCTTGTTTCGTTTGTCTGTCTCTTTTCGGTGGCATGTCGTCCAGTGACAACCTTTCACAATACCTAGCGCATATGCACGATTGCTAGGCATCATAGGGGGAGGGCTTTCGTTAAAGCCACCAGGGCCTCAATAGGGAAGTCGGGCTTTGAGATATTTACACCAAATGATGCCCATATGCCACAGGGACAAATAATGACGAATGGCCCCTTCACAGGTCTTGGGCCACTTGGGGTAATTGGGCCATAACCGTTCGTTGGATCCTCCGTCTGTCGGTGACCATGATTTCGAGTTCGACGTGGGGAAGAGTGAACGAGCCTCCGGTACTTACACACAGCAAACAAGAAAAAGGTCCCAAATCCTCATGTCCACGCTATCACCTCAACTATTTTCCTGGCCAACTTCCTCTCCCTCTGCAAAATCATGTAGGACTACAGGCGCTGTGCCGCAAAGAGCCCCAGGGATTGCCACCTAATGAGAAGTACTGGGGTAACTGGCACATGTGAAGCACTTGTCAGGTACACGGACACTCTATGTCGCAAATTCACGCTCACGCGCAGTGCAGAGACAAAGCTTCGACAAATCCCCCATCGAGCCACTGGGGTCTTGTCTAGGATTCGTTCGCCGTCAAGGCCAACGCAGAGCAAGGGGGCGAGAGATCTTTGCTGCTCTGTAACAGGTGTCCTGGGGACTAAGTCTAGAAGTCGAGAACTTATTCCGCCGCAACGTGCCCGAAAGCCCTCCAAACGATCTATACACGATTTGGAGGAAGAAGGGGAAGAAAAGAAAAGAAACATAAGCACTTGTTCTTCTGGGCATGGTGACTGACATTGCGTGTGCTGCCGTCGAGTTGGGCCTCGTCACAAACCAGTCACTTAATTTAACAAGGGGCTGCTACATGCCCCCCGGGGCAGTTTGCGCTCTTTTCAGATAGTAATGTCTCGTAGTGTTGAAGTTCCTCTGCAAAAAGGCGGACTGGCCCGTTTGTATAGATGGGACTCTGAAACAACGACTTGGTCTAGGACGGCATCCCGCGGCTGCATGTGGTATCGTTCGTGGTTAGGTGCGCACGATGATAGTGCGCTTCTCCAAACAAGGGCGAAGACGTCCGTAACAAAGACTTGAGACGTGCCCTGTTTGCGATCGTGGTGGTGTCGCCACGTCGTACACGGGAACATATGTGGTTCTGCCGCAGATATCGTCCCGTAGCAGATACAAGATATTGGGCGTATCAAAGAATGAAGTGGGAATAGAGTCATAAAGATCCTTGCCTGGCCATGTGTGCTCAAGGTGGTTGATGCCGATAGCGTGCGTGTACGATCACCCACCGCTGACTGTAAGATATACATTAGGATTATCGTATGAGTTATCATAGATACAAGAGTTCGACACAATAATTGTATGATCGTAGGATCTATGGATAGCAACATCTATCATAGTAAAGCACAAGGCACCTATATTATATTCGATGTCTTCTTCATCATTGCAATGCAATGAGTCAGAGCTTATCTGAAGCTCAATCCCAGGAAGCCCATATGTATCCGGACCTCTGGCAAACACTGCCAGTAGTCATATATGCAAAGCGCTTGGTATCACGCACCCATAAAGCCCGGCACCGAACACCAATTCCTAAGTCCCCAAACCCCCAACCCTCCATACAGACGTTGTAATCTATCATCTATCCCTCCATCTCAATATCGCTTACATCACTCTCGACGTATGTGCCAGCCTTTACGCTGCGCCGCCTTTGACCACCATGTTCTTCCGGCAGGGTGTTGTCTAGCACGAGCTTGTTGCCGTTATCTTCCCAGTCTTTTCTGATCGCAATGGCTTTGATGTCCCAATCCACGACAGTTTTCTCCCATTCCTTCAATGTATCACTATAGACGCGCTTCTGCTCAGCTGCTTGATCCTCATAGGGCTGTCTCACCATGGGACTTGCTTCTTTCCACATCTTACTAGTCATGATGCGGACTTCGTTCGGGCTGGGCTTGCTCTTGCCCTTACCAGGGCGACGGACTTCTGCACACTGCTTCCGGGCGACTTCGTAGTTGTCCTTACTATACAAGAGGTAGGGGTTGCCAGCGGGTTTTCGAGGGGGCCAGGGCCGATTTCCAATAAGACTGGCAATGTGCTGTGAAGCAGCTAAATCATGGGCATCTATACGGGCCTGTTTAGTTGCTTTGGGAGATAGAGGTGTAACATCGGATTTCCGCTTTAACCCTTGGGTTGAGCTTGACTCCTTGGATATGATCAAGGGTGTAGGTAATTTAATCGGACCCAACAAAGTATCAATAACTTCCGAAGCTGCGCGGAGGCCTGATAGATACGCCCCATGGACGGTTGCTGGATGAGTACCCGTAGTGTGCTCGCCGGCGAAGAAGAGATTGCCAACAGAGCGAGCCATCGTGTTGTAGTCGTCAGGTTTCATGGACGGATCTGCTGAAGAATACGAACCACGGGCAAACTTGTCAGAGCCCCATCGCGTGACAACCGCATGAACAGGCTGTGGGACCTTGCCACCATAAATACTGCGGAGAACCTCAGTGGCTTCTTCGACCAGCGTATCATTCTTAGAGGACTCGGTGTCAAAACCAGCGTCGCCAGCCATGAGAGCAAGCAATACCGGCACGCCGCTGGTATGTGACACATCAAACCACTGGAAAAAGCGGCCACGGGGTGAAGAGTACTCGTTCTGTTTAAGACTGTGGCGTGACGGTGGATTCCGAAGAACGCCAAAAATATCACGACTAGTATCCCAGAAACGCTGCTGGTAGACAAGGACTACCTTGTTCAGGACACCAAAGCCCAGGCGGCCAATGACATCTGTTTTCCACGACGGCAGAGGAGGGTCAAATTCAACGTTTCCATGCTTTAGCACACCCAAAGGAATGGTTGAAACGACGTGATCAGCATCGATCATGACACCATCTTCGCACACGATAGTTGCAGTTCCACTGCCTGCCGGATCATAGGTGATCTTTTTGACGGCACAATTTTTCCGAATATCCAGTTTAGATGGTGCTTGCGCGAGACCCCAGGGAACACTTTGGTATCCGCCGACAACCATGGTGTGCTTTCCCTCCCATTCATTGCCAGCATCGATATCCCATAATCCCAAGCTCAGATTCCTGAGGTTTGTTGCGTTGCTATACTCCAGGTTGGCAATATGCCAATTCATGAGCCTGTAGTCTTGTGCGTTCAAATCAACTATATCCCTGTACTGAGCTATTGATTCGTCTAGGAGTGACCCTAGTGTTACGTTGTCTGATTTGGCCAGTGTTTCCAATTGAAGATCTTGCTCCTCCGAGATACCTTCCTTCAGAGCCCAGCCCATCATTTGGGCTTTGTATGCTGCGATCAATGTAGCAGCGGTGCCCGGCTCGACATGGGGCTTACCTGTCGTCTTGTCCGTGGACACAGGAACGAGCTTGACTTGGGGAGCTAGACTTTGCTCTGAAACGGGCAACGCCTGTGGCTGAGCAGCTGCCACCTCTTCAGCGTGAGCGATAGTTTGGGTTCCATCTGACGTGCTGTCTTTACCCTCATCCATCAAAAGTTTGTTGCCTTCTATGAGTTTGGAAGGAGGGTTCTTGAACTTGTAATTGCTTACTCGTTCGAGACAATCGTTGAAGAGCTGTTCTACCTTCAAATCTCGGTCTGAGTCGACTGGTTTGCCGTTCGAATCGTATAGTGTCGTGTCCGGTCTCAGCGGGTAGTATGGCAACGCCATCTGTCCTCTCACCAGGACGTTCATGGGGTTGCCTCGGTCGAAGCCAGTAATAATCATGCCACCACATTCAACACTGAGTCTTTGCCCTTTGAAATCCATCAAATGCTGGCACTGGCTGCCATCAATCGAGCGTGAGTAGACTCGACCACCTAGGCGACTTCGTCCTTCCAGCACTATGACTTTTGGAGGATCTTCCCCCAAATCGCCAAACTGCCCAGCATACTGCTTGAACAGTGCCTCCAGCTGTCTTGCGCACCCGAGTCCAGACATCCCGGCACCGATCACAACTACAGTTTTTGGTTTACATTTGGAAGCACTCTTAGTGCGACGCTTCTTTGAAGAAATAATTTCCGCACAGCCATAGTTGATGTATCCACGGCGTAGCAGCCATTCGTAACAGACATATGCAACATTAAACCACCTACGGTCCTTTGCACACCCGATGGCCTCATCTCGAGAAACACCGATGCTGGGGTTATGCATCCATAATCTTAGAATTCCGTTACGAATATTGAGATAGGTCGTGACTTGTGCGTGACTGATATGTTCCCGCAGCATCTGGTACTCCTCTTGATGCAGTGCATACGGATTTAGCCTCGAGTGCTCTGCTGCTGCGATGCATTGATTCGCATAGTCATACGGTGCTAAGTCTGTTGGTATCGACACCTTTGGTCGGACATCAAAAATCTGTTTCGTCGTCGTCGTCGTCGTCGTCGTCGTCGTTCTTGTTGTTGGTCTAGCTGGTGGGGGGAGGCCGCGTGTGGCTTTCAAGGAGGTTGCCGTTGCTATCGATTCTTTCGAATCGGTAACATGGGCAGGTGTAGTCGCTTTGCTGCTGATAGGTGAGTGCGGAGGTGAAGATAAATCTGATTCGTCTGACACGGCGGACTCCGAGGACTTTCTTACGCTGTCTTGAAGACGGAGAAGTATCGAGTTGACAGGTATCTTCCGATCCAGGCCATTCCTAATAGAGAGTTTAGAGTACATTCATTTGTGTGAATGAATTGATCAAGTGATACGCATGCGGATAAAGCAGCTGCTGAAAGGTGACTTACTCAGAATCATCTTGTATTACGGGAGCAGAGGCAGGACTGTCCATATCGTACTCCATACCGTCTACGCGTACTATGATCTCCGACTCAGTCCCAGGAGTGCCCCTAGAGGTAGAAGATTCCGTGTGATCTGATGAGTAGATATCAAAAGGGTGTGCTGGTGATGCTGGTGCTCTGGCAAGCCTGTCTTTAGAGGCCAAGGCAGATAGGTGGAAGTCTAATTTGTCCAAGTCCTTTAATGGCCCCAAACCATTGATTTTTCCCTCCCCAAACAACGCTCCTCGAGTGCTGTTCATAGTTTGCAGGCTCATACGACGTTGTAGATAGAGACTCTCATCATCATATGAGCGCTGGTTCGGCTTAGGTTTCGGGGCTTGGCGGATCTTTGAGAACGGTTGGTCCCAGACAGTGTATATTCCCTCGACGCTCATATCAAGAAGTTATTATTACCGAAAAATCATGTCAATTGACTGGGTTTGAACTGTTCAGACGCATTAGTCCTGGGGTATGCCTTCATAATCCACTGACAGAGGGCATCCGAGATATCAGGTGGACAAATCATTCACAGCAAGATCGGCAGCCGTACCTCTTAGCGTTCTTTCCCCCACAGGCCGAATCCCCCTCGAGACCAGATGTCTTGGTCGTTCGCATGCAATAGGGAGGTCAGAGAAGCCGGATGTCAATGGGAATGGATGGTTTCAAGATAATTGGCTCTGTATAAGTCTATGCTTCGAAGGATGGAGTTATATCATGTACAAGAGATGCAGCGTCGTCGAACTATTTGCGAGGGGCGATTGACCCGCACTCTAAAAAGAGTCGTGGTTTGCTCCCACGTGACTGCCAATCTGTAGAGTTTCAGCCACCGCTTGAGCGTCTTTCCGTCACCCAATCTCACTATCAATCACTTAACTATATTTGCATCTAGCAGCGACCGTCGTAGTCTCATGAGATTGCCATATTGGAACAATCGTTGGCTATACTCCACAAGTTCCACAAAGTTATCAACCCTGCTTGTCGTGACAGACCACAAACAGCTATACCAGCAACCGATGGCACATGCCCGACACGGAAGCTGACCTTGACCCTGATCCTGACCCTCTTGCCTTCAATCGAGCCGAACGCTGCTGATTGAACCCATCACAGATCACACCCGACTGCTGGCACCGACAGAGCTCTATAGCGGGTACTTTCAAGCAGATGCGGCGGTAGTCTTGGGTTTCTCCGCTGCGAACGATTCTTTCTCAATTGCGGCGTCCATCATTTTGTTTCCGCTGAGGATCGACGTGGTGCATATGACGATGTTTCTTCGGGCTGGGTACACAGATGTTAGGCAAACGTCCGTAATAGTGACAGGTATCCAAATACGAAAACTCAACATACCTTCTTCTTTCTTTGCTATGAACCGTAACGCAGCGATTTCGGTGAAAGTGATGCCACCTACAAACACCACGAACACTGTTTTCTTATCGCCACCGCCCGAAAGTAGTGCTCGAGCCTTGACTGCCTTATCCTCACCTTTCTGAACTTCATCAAATGTCGGCCCCCGAGCATGTTTTGCAGCCTCATCGAATCCTCGCCAACCCTGAGCACCGCTATTTGCGACAGTGCCCACACCTGAGGCGCCACTACTGCGAGTTATAGAAAGGAGGTACTGTTTCTGTAGTATACATTGTACAAGTCGAATCGAAAGAGGTGCGTAGCCGCTGTAGACGTAGGCGATATCGTTTGGATCGTGCTCGTTGACTTCATCGACAATTAATCGTAACTGTTTGCGAAGATATGTGTAATTCGTCTTGGTTCCCGTCGCCGCCGCGGATCCAGGCATTGGAATCATACCTGCCAGTGGTGAAGAACGCGAGAGGAATAACTGCAGCTTCTCCAGATTATTCAGTGTCAGCAGGTGTTGATACCCATAACCTTCCAGGATCAACCGCCTGAAGTGGTCAAACTCCTTGGCTTTGAGGCCTCCAGAGATACACGAGTATATACACACAAGTCTCAGCACCTCTGGAAGTGGTGTATCTCGTGCTATCAATTCCTCAATGACATCGTTCTGCGAGCTTGGGTCGGCACCGGCAGCGAGGTTCTGCTGCACCTCGAGCAGTCGACTGAACTGATCCGTTCGAGTGTGCTTCATTATTTCCTCGGCAAGTGCCGTGTGTATCTTTAAGCTTTGCTGTTCCGCTTGATAGCCAGGCAATTTTTGGACAAAAGCTTTGAGTTCGGCAGTTGTTTTCGAAGTGTGCCTACTATCATAGTCGGTTTGCAAGCGCCGTGCCACTTTGTGGAGTAAGGTGCCGACAATGGCGAAATTTGTATCACGAAGCCCATCGTAGAGCTTGTCTGAGGAGTCGAGCTGGATCTTGCGCTTTCTTGTCGGAGGGTTCGCAGCTGGAGTATTGGACGTGCCTTGAGAGGGCGGTTGAGCGGGGGCTCCAACAATAGTCGAGTCCACATCAGTTTGGTTGTTCTGAATGCCGAACACTTCATCGATGAGTCCTTCGTATGTCAGTTGCGTGAGCAACGGTGTGACCATGTCGACTTCACGATCAATGATGATGGCACTTTCAGTCGAGTTGCTTGGTGTCTGCCCATTTTTTGCTGCCTCATTAGCGCTGTCGCCGGCCAGAACTTCTTGTCGCATTCGTGAGAGCAACGTTGCTACTCGTTTCGCATTGTCACCTTTGCCAATGATTCGCGGGAAAAGACCATGTTTAGATTGTATACCCATGAGAGCTTTGGCGATTAAGAAGGTTGGTGTGGTATCTTTGGACAGAAACAAGTCCCGGAATGAGTCGTCAAGTTCAAGAGAAAGCACATCGCGCTCCAAAGGAAAGAAGTATATTGGGAGTTCATGAATGTTGACGTCTCCCAGCACACCAGTTTCCTCCAGAAGCTTGTCGGATACTAGTGTTCGTCTAGGCACCCAGAATATGTGAAACTCATGACCAGTCTGGCTCTCACGTTGGAGTCGCTTGATCTGTTCTGAAGGGTATATGAGAATATGAAGACGGAATGGACGTGTCGCAGAGGAGAGGCTCACCTGCAATGGTCTGGGCGTGGCGGGCGCACTCGCCCCGTGCCATGAACACTACATTGCGCTGACTTGTATCGGCATTGTTGTTTTCCAAAAAGAAGAATTTGTCGACACCGTACTCTTGCAGAGTTGAGACCTTGACGACCACACCGATGGGGCCAGCCAAGCTTCGCTCGATCACGAGGTTCTTCTTTCCGCGAACCTGAGAGAAAGATCACAGATCAATGGCCGTCGCGCGGGGATGGACCAGCGTAGGATGAGAGGGCTAGAAACTTACAGCCTCAAGCAGATATAACAGATCTTTCCGCGCCTTGTCTTTGATCTGTTCGGTATCGAACCCCACATGATGAGCCATTATGAGCTCTCATGGGGGTTTGCTTGCAAGTTGGGTGATGGGGCGGCGGAGGCGCGGTGAGTTTGTGTGGAGGATTGGAGAGCTGTCCCAAACATCGGCGGTTCATGAAGCTCTAACCGATGCGACGTCACAGGGCTGACGGGCACTAGACACCGCGAATAGCCCCGCTATAAACTGATACATAATACATAGTACAGCTTTCACTGGGGGCGACGTCGAAAGTGATTACCTGTATTCTTTAGAGACGACGACAATTCGTAAGATTACACGACGTTAGCTGAATCTGATCCTAACGCAGCTCAGCGAGATACCACGCCATGAATAGGTCACATTATGGAGACCGGTGCGCCTCCCCATAGTCACAAGGCCTTCCACATTACTGTTTTAGTTTTCGTTGTCATCACAGTGTTATAGCAGTTACATAGCTCAATACACGTCGGCAAGATGAAGGATGGACTTCCACGTCTGGACTTGGAACGTCTGTCTTGACTATATCAAGCAGCTGTGGCCAGAGGGAGGGCCCGTAATTACTGTTGGATCCAGCTTCATTAGAACCTTTTTCTCTTTTTTTTTTCTCTACCTCTGACTGTGGGTTGTGTCGATATTCATACTCAAAACAGCTTTGAAAGCTGTTCCTTGAGCGGAACGACAAAAATAAGTGCTTCCAACTCCTGGTTAGACCCAATGCAGTCCAATGTGCCAACTCTTGCAGAATTGAAACGCCTGTCCACATTATCCGTCGCCCAGCTAGACGGTGTGAAGACCATCCGACGTTTCTGGGGGACTCTCTGAGTGAGATAACCAAATGGCGAGCACTGTCAACCCCCCTCCCCCCCGCTTGGAGCCGTCGTGATCCCAGATCAACCATGCAGTTGACCTATACAGTGTTATCGTGGTACATGAACGCGATATCTCTCGGGCGCATTCTGTTGCTTCGTACAAACTCTTCATCGCCTGGCGGTCGTTCGTTCTTAGTGTTACTCGTAAGCATAGATTGTATACTCATGCATATACTCTCGACGTTTTGCACAGGGCTCCAGCCCTGTTGACCAAGGAGATCGAGGCATATGATGCCGTTCGAGTATATATGTGGATGCATTGGTATCGGGCGGTTATCCGTCTTGTGAAAGGTGACTTCGGGGGCTTCTGCATGAGTCCTTTCGGTTAGAGGTGGTTTCTCTTTAAGAGATATGTCGGTTTTGAGCATATACCTATGGGATATGACTGTGAAAACTTGAGCTTCAATCGATATATCTGCTCGGCGTAGAGTGGGTTCGAATCGAGTACTTGGATGTCGAGATACCATTCTTCCAGATTCTCGGCGGAGACGAGCGAGATGCCCGGAGGTAGGCTGACAGATATCTAAGAGTTTCAGCAGGATTCGTTTCGTTCAAGCCACGACTACAGGGATTCTTCTTTTCTTCTTTCTTTTCTCTCTCTCTCTCTCTCTCTCTTCATATATATATAATAATTTTTTTACCTTAGAAAGCTCCTTGGCCAGCCTCTTGGACGCAAGTCCTGATGCCATATTGTCCAGAAGCGATTAAGTGGGATGCGCTCGCTATGGTGGGGGTTGTCGACGCGATGCAATGTTATGTAATGTAATGCGCAGAGTCTCTATTCAAGAGGATGCAGTAAAGGACGGAAGTCTTATGCGACAGCAGCGTCGAACCTCAGGGACAGACCTGCTATGTTGCCTGGCAAGTGTATATCGGTATGTGCTTTGGTGAGTTGCGAATGGCAGAAGGACCCTTGAGCAAAGCCTAGGTTTAGTTGTCGACTGTGTGATTGCTGGCATCGGCGCTACCCAAACCTAGGGATGTGCGTTAGGTGGGTAGGTACGTTTCTAACCTAGCATTCTCCTGAAAAGTACCATCGAAAGTGGCACGGTAATGTACGCGACCTATTTGCACGATTTATTTGAACAAGGAAAATCTGCTGGAGCAGTTTGTTCAAGCTTGACGTGTGCCCAAGATTGTTTATTGTTCACATGACATTGCTTCTGTCATGTAGTAGTATCACGGTCGTTCTTTGCCCGCTTTGTAGGTACTAATCTATGTAGTCTGTACCTCGATGACAGTATGATATGTAACAATTTACATGCACTGCTGCCGATGGCCGCCATCAGGATCGGGCCGTCCAGAAGTTACTTTCCGACTCGAGATGAATATATATAAAGTCAAATTGTTCCTGGGGCATTCTCCATGCTGTCGTCGACACAAGATTGCAAGCACAGTCTCCACTGCTGCCACATACGGCAAGCAGTCGTCGCAAGTGCCCGTCTCCTCGTAGGTTCGACAAGGCTGTAACTCGTGTGGAATGTAGCAGAGTGGTTCAAGTTCCCTATACTCGGTACCTGGCGTACCCAACGTAGTGGCCTTGCGTGATGCTATTAAGCATGTCAGAGGGCACAGGTCCTGTCTCAGATCGATAACGGGAGTCAACCGTGTGACGGGTTGTCAGCATGTCAACCATGTCAGAGGTCAGGGGCCGAACTGTCTTGACAAGAAGGGTCAGAGAGTGAGGGAGCCAGTATGGGATCTTGAGGCCCGTATTTGCTCGTGATTGAGCCACACTAACGTGAACTTAATGTACATATGTACTGACAGATGAATGCGGGCTGCGCGTGGTGTCGATGTTTCCTTGCCGGGTACCCACCCCAGGCTGATTGAATCCGTCCCACGATTGCGGCTGAGCACCATGACAGTGGGCTCAAGTAGCGAACAAGCTCAACAAGGCTCACTCTCACGGGGTGGGCGTTCCATGCTAGCGGTATGGTATGGATCCAGCATACCAGGCTGTGCTGGTTGCACTGCACTTGACATGGAAAAAGGTTGGACAAGTCGTGCAAGGCAGATGCTAGAAGTTCTGCTTGGGTTGTGAATCCCCGGCCCTCTGACAGTATATGAAAAACATATGTTTTCCTCCTGCGAGCCATTGTCACATTCTACGCAATATTGCATACCCAACAGCGACGTTGATAGCAGCTGCTGACCTCGCTGTACTTTGTTCAGCATTACTTGCAAAGTACATGGGATTTTGGCCCCCGCAACACCACGACTAGGAGCAGAACCCCTCATTGCCTGTTCAGGCCAAGAAACAGTGTCCCCCTCCATCCAACGTTAATCTACAGAGGGAGCTCCTGCGACCACGACTACGACTGCATCTTACGTTAGAGCCCTAGTGTTGTGCTGAAACCTGCCCAAGTCTACATTAACTTTTGCGGCCACCAACTTTCTCCCCATACCTGTCATCTATTAAGGAGAGTTGTTCCCCCGTGCAGTTCAAACTGGGCGACCATCGGCAGTTTCTATTCCAACTGATTAACATAACCCCACCTTATCATTCGCTTCTCATCCAGCTGCGTCTCTGCGACTTGCAGGGTCCGCGACAGCAAGAACAATGAGTTGTAGGTGACGACCCTTTCTTCCTTCTTCTTCTTCTTCTTCTTGTATATCATGACACTACCAGCCCTTCGCCTTTTCGCCTTTCTCTTGATCAAACGTTGCGCTTGCTTTTATCAGTCAATTCTACCGTCTGGCAAGATGGCAAGCGCATCTGCCGTGCTACACTCTTCAACAGGCCAGACCGATCCCTAACATGATCGCAATCGCTAATTTGTATACCGGTGTCTGCAGTCACAGGAATGCTTAGCCGGCTGCAAGGCCAACCCGAAAGCTATGATAAGAAAGCAAAGTACCGGTTCGGCAAGACACTTGGCGCTGGCACCTATGGTATCGTTCGAGAGGCAGACGGGCCCAACGGCAAGGTTGCCATCAAGATCATCTTGAAGAAGAACGTCAAAGGCAACGAGAGAATGGTTTACGATGAGCTTGACATGCTTCAACGCCTCAAGCACCCCCACATTGTCCGTTTCGTCGACTGGTTCGAATCGAGAGACAAATACTACATCGTTACGGAACTCGCTACTGGCGGAGAATTGTTCGATCGAATCTGCGAACAGGGCAAGTTCACAGAGAAGGATGCTTCACAGACTATCAGACAGGTTCTCACTGCTGTCGACTATCTACATCGCAACAATGTCGTCCACCGTGGTATGACTTCATCCCAGAGCTTAGGGCCCTAATAACCAGCTGCTGACCCCATGTTAGACTTGAAACCTGAGAATCTCCTCTACCTCAGTAGATCACCCGACTCTGACCTAGTACTTGCCGACTTTGGTATCGCAAAGATGCTGGACACTAAGGACGAGGTACTCACCACCATGGCTGGCTCTTTCGGCTACGCGGCGCCCGAGGTGATGCTGAAGAAAGGCCACGGCAAGCCTGTGGACATGTGGTCCATGGGTGTTATCACTTACACCCTCTTATGCGGTTACTCGCCGTTCAGATCCGAGAACCTGCAAGACCTCATCGACGAGTGCAGCAACGCCCAGGTCGTTTTCCATGAGAGGTACTGGAAAGATGTCAGTGACGACGCCAAGGACTTTATCTTGCGCCTCTTGCAACCCGAAGCGGAAAAAAGATCCACAAGTCTGGTAAGATAGGAAACCGCTAAAACGTTATGACGACGGTACGTGGGCGTTCAATTGACTAACATGAAAACCAGCAAGCATTGAATCACACCTGGCTCAAGGGCGAGACTGCCACGGACCACAACTTGCTGCCAGAGATCAAGGCATACATGGCCAAGGCTCGTCTCAAGCGCGGTATCGAGATGGTCAAACTCGCCAATCGCATTGAAGCGCTCAAGATGCAAGAGGACGACCCAGAAAACCCCGACTTTCCAGCTGATGCCAAAACGGCTGCTAAGCAAGCTACGACCGAAGCTGGTTCATCTGAACCAGCCAAGGAGAAGAAGTCGCTTAGTCGCATTGCAAAAGGCGCCATCTTCCGCGAGATTGTCCTGGCAAAAGTGCGAGAGATGAAGGACCAGGAACAAACACTAAAAGTGAAGGAAGATGCCGAAAATGAAGCACGTAGGAAGAGCTTCAACGAGTCTCGGGATTCAGCTTAGGAGAAGCCATGAGGATATTCTTTGTGTAACGTGGGGAATGTTGCTCCACAGATAGGAAAGAGAGCAGTACCAGAGTGGGAACTGCTAAGGACAAATACCCAAAGGTGCAATCTCAGCATGATGGGCACATGGTGATAGCCCAGGAGGCGTTATACAGACGCAGATTTCTGCTGAAGCGGTCCGGAAGATTGTGACACTTTGTCATTCTTGAAATAACATTCGATTCGTTGAGCATTTCTTTTTACGGGTAGTCGTCTGGGCGTTAGATGCTAGGGAGTCTTGCTTTGAGCTGGCATTCGCAGAATTCCTTTGCAATCAGAACATGAATCGTCATCCCACTATCTTGCAAGCCGAATTCTATAGCAACGCGTATTGTGACATTCCGCATAAAACCATGTCCTAGCCTCACGTAATTCTATATGCTTTCCACGGAGTGTTACCCTGCTGAGTGCGTTTTGTCAGGTCGTGTGTCTCTAAGTCTTGCCGGGCGCCACTTGTGCGACGTGGACAGCATGCTTTATATGTCATCAGCATGCCTGCTCACATAGGCAATGTAAAGGACTATATGGTGCGAGCTTGAGCTAGATTGTTGGTGTGTAACCAGAACGGCGGGATTAGCCGCATCGACAAAGTTCGTGCTTATAGGTCAGATATTTGCCACACCAATCGGATACCATTGATTGGTTGAGCGGAAATTTGGGTAGGAGCATTCGAGGCAGGTAGACTTTGTCTCTTGAATATAGCCGCTATTATCGGAACGTCTAAGCTCCAAGTCCTCAAATAATGATTAAAGGGTAAATATACAAGAAATATAACTATAAGGGGCTGTACATCCCTCAATCGTATAGCATGTAATCATTATGGTATCGAGCGACGGTGTCAGTGCACCAACAAAAGAAAATAAAAACAAACAATAAAAATTCCGAGACGCTGCTCTCATGCAAAACTTGCTCAACACACGGGGTGGGAGAAACTGGGGGCCTTCGAACCCTCGCCAGAATCGGCTAGGCACCGAGCTCAGTCAACACCTGTTCCCTCAGCGCTTCATACCTCCGGCTGTCGAATCTCTTCCGCTGCCAACCACTGGCCCTCAGACGCTCGATCCGCTTCTGCAGGGCCTCATCCCCGCTGCCGCTGCGCATGCTCATCGCGCTTGCCGCGCGCGGAGGCAGGGCCGAAGACGCCAGAGAAGCGACGCTTCCGCTCCGGCTGCGGTCCCAGGCGCCAGGATGGCCGCTGAACAGTGGGTAAGGGTCAAAATTAGAGCCGCTCCTAGAGGAGTCCTTTAGGGATTGCATAAGTGCGTTCTCGAGGGCGTGCGCTGTAAGCGCAGGAGCGGAGGCTGGCGTGCTTATTTGTTCCTCCACGTCAGTCGTTGAGGAGGCGGGGGAGTCACCGCAACCAAGACCCGGAAGCGATGAAACCCCAGGCAAGGTGGGCGTCCCTGGGACCTCGGGTATCTCGTCCGGCTCAGTCATGAGGGCATCAATGTTGTCGCGATGCCAAGCTACTTGCGATCGGAGGGCGGAAAGCTGAGCGATCATGCGATTCAGTGATCTGGTCTGCAGGAAGGATTCCATGTCAAACGGGTCTTCGATCTGGTGTCCTTCCGGTACCGGTTGCAAAACTGGCGACAGCGGCTTGTATTGCTGAACTGGGTCCACTGTCCTAGGGCTGACCATCTCTGTGAGATCGGGAACAGGCTTAGCCACCACCTCCGCAGTGACTTCGCTCTGGCCAAAGAGAAAATCAGCCCGCTCCCAGCCAAGAGTGGGACTGTCAGGTCGGATAAAGGGTTCAGGTTGCAAGACTGTTTGAGGGATCTCGATTTCCGGCAGGCCGGAGAACGATACCTTCTTCTTCTTCTTCGGTTTCTTTGGATGCGCTGTTGCTTTCAGATCCTCGACTGAGGAGAATGAGTTTCGTGGCGATGATCGTGTGGTACACACGGATGATGACCTGGAGCTGCCCAGACTCGGGGCTGATGACGCTGAGGATGCTGATCTGGTCATCTGTGTCGCGGTCTCCTCCGCCTTGTTGATGAGTGCTGACGCCTTATCGTAGTGCTCACGTGCATCGTCCAGGAGTTTAGTGCGGTAAGCCGAGGATTGCGATAACGGTCGTGCACACATCTCAAAAGACGAGGCGGCGTAAAAGTGCAGATACACGAGGTGGAGCGTTTCCACCTCACACGTATTCTCAAGATTGTCCAGGATGTCGCAGCACCTTGCCGAGCAGGTACGATATTTGCGGCTGACATACTTTCGCTTGACATCATTGACGGCCTTTCTCCAGTCTTCAGCTGTTGCGGGTATGGCTAATGGAGAGGCTGGCGTCGTTATCGTAAGTCGTCTCATGGACCTGGTTGATGGCAGTGAATGTTGCCGTTTGTGGCCGAGAAACAAGGTTTCTTGGGGCACCATTACTGAGGCTGGTCTCTTCATATCTGTCGGTTGAGCAGTGATACTTGCTCGGTTGGTCCTCGAGGATGGCAGCAGAAGAGGTAATAGCCCGCCCATACTGATCTTTGCTGACAAGAGGATGAAGCTGATCAATATGTATGAATTCTTTACAAGAATTTTCAGCCGCCGTCACTCTGTACCTTGGCAGAAAAAGGACCTCACAGGTTGCCTTCGTCAATATCGCCAACCAATAACACTATTCCAGAGAAGTTATTTGTAGTTGCCGGTCTTCTCTTGAGGTTGGTATCCGTGAGAGTTTCACAAAGAAAGATCCAGCGTTGCTTTGCTTGGTGACTTGAGCGAAACTTGGCGGAGGTCTGGAATTCTGCGGGTATAATGTTTTTATCCCGTTGCTGGGTGAAGTAAGACACAAGCCTCAGGACAGGTCGATTGAATAGCTAGAAAGGAATGTGACGGTGATGTTGTCGAACGATGGGCCTATAGCAACCACTGCAAAACACTCAAAACTCCCACGTTTTCGGAGCAGCGTATGTCTCTGCAGAAGGCGTACAATGCAGATACCTGATCAAAGATATGACGCGGGGAATGAAAGACGCAATTCGAGTTCTTTGCTCCGTCTGAGGTATCTTCTGTGCTCGAACGGATCATGCCAATACCGTGCCCACTCCAAACAACTGAAGAGTTGCTGCCTATTGAATCTTATCAAACAGCCTATAATGTCTGGGCGGTTCGGAATCCAAATCGCTTGACAGATACATGCATGAATAAATTTCAACGACGGAAGCCGTTGTTTGAGTTGAAACAACTGGACGAAACAAAACGGGATTCCAAACAAAGTTATGGACGCTGAGAATGCTCGAGTTTAAACTAAATCGTTGGGTTTTCTCAGTATTCAGAAAGAAGCGACCCAGGAACCTGCCATGTGGTGAAAAGCAAGGGGTATCTAGGATGCAAGGTACGCTCAGATGCGACAAGTGGGTATAAAGTATGTTATAGCAATGCGACTCTGTGCGATGATCTTTTGGGGGGAGACTCTTGACGTACACATACATACAACGCGAAACAGAGATAAGATTGTAAAATGTACGAGACTTTCCAAGACTTCCTACGAACCGGCTTTATGTGGCTTTTAGTATCATATCCATTTTCCTGTTAGAGGAGAAAATGCTCCTACCGGATTGGCCTATTTTGTTCCGGTCACTGTTTTTGTAGGTCACTCAGATCAGACTGAAATTGTCCGGCCAATCCCAGCTGGACAGATCTGTGCGGCATCGACATCTCTTTTTGGTGCGGCCAAAGCAAGCCATCAAAGCAAGCCACTGGGAAATTTGACCCGAGATGTCAGGGGTACGAGTCCCAATGCGACAGAAAGAAGCAAATGGCGTGAGAAAGACAGGGCAGGTAGTGGGAAATTTCCTGTGCTGTTACAGCAAGAAGCAAGAAGCACTGGGCAAGTTGACTTCGTTTAGCACTAGCGCTGGATCCCTTTCAAGTTTCTCCAAGACAGTTCATGACGGTCTTCGCGATCCTGCGCTAGACCGTCTGTCTGCCGGCGCCGGTTGTTTGCAGGTTCGAAGCATTGCACTTCTTTTTGTCCAAGGTCTCCCTGAAAATGCACCCAGACTAACCGCTTGTCCACCCGCGGAGATTTGACAGAGCGTGGCAGGCTGGCAGGCTGGCAGATGTGCCTACACCGGATCCGCTATGGCCCTTGTTTCGACAGGGCTTTGAAGAGCAGCAAAAGGGGACTCCCTTGTCGGCGATCCTCAACCTGTACGCCATGCGCCAGTGCAGCCGATGTCTCTTTCAGCGTGGAGTTGGTGGAATTGTTTGAGATTTCCCATCTGCCAGCCACGGAGCTTCGATCTCTTTCGCAGCAAGACTTCCCATCTTGAGGACGCTTGGTCGCGAGGATGCGCCTTGCACTCATCATCTCAATTTTCGTGGTTGACGCAGCAATTTAGATTACATGCCAACACGAACTTGGCGGGTTGCCAGTCCACTCTACGTTGGAAGATAATCGATCAACGCCCATTGCTTGAAACATGGAAGATCAGTGTGATATGCTGCAAGCTGGCACATGAGGGACTCGAGCTCGTCAGTGCGCAAGTAAGTACTTGAGATCTCATGGCCTGGGGCTTGGCTGTTGCGCACACTATTCACTGCCACCAGCCTCTCCTTAGCGAGATCGCTCCTCTGTTGAGTATGGTGCGAGCTGCAGCCGCACTGACCTCTGCCGGGGCCCGGACCAAGGAAGGCACTTTGCAGCATCGCTCGAATAACAAAGCTTTTTTCACCGTTGCATCAATGCAATTCTACAAGTCCGAGCGGGCGGGGTCGCTCTCGAGTCGCCTCCATGTGAGATGTTTGTAAGAGATGGCGAACCTGATCATCACAGAAAATAGCGGCAATAAGGGGGAAATCTCTAGAGCCTTGTGGAGCAATATCACGAACGCATCAATCGTATCTTGAACGTACTAGAATTAACGATGTCGTGAGACGCGTCGTGGATCTTCCATGCGTCTTGTAGGGCAAGTGGGAGACGGGACGGAGGATCCTCTACTGCAACTCAATAAAGCCACAAGCGGCTGAGGCTTAGGAGAGTAGGAACCCGTTCTAGATGGACTATACATGTTTCTATAGGGTTTAGTCGCTGCCTACAGATTGCGAATGGCTTCGCATCTGCACGAGAAGTGATCAGTCTTATATCTGCTATGACATGAAGCAAACTCAAACGAGTCAGGTCAACACCGTCGCGCTTTCCCATGGCTGTCGTTGATCATGCCAGCCGAGTTATCTTGCCTGACTTGCATGGTGGATACTTTACAACTTCGCCTCGGAGAGTCATTGTAATATAGTCCAGCCAGCACAGTGACTCATGTCAAAGGATATGCTTTAGCTTAGGTGAATCGTGATGCGTGTTGTGCTGTCAATTCTCGACAGAGCAAAGCACGGCTCCGAAGTGAGTCCATCCGGATACCATCCAGCGGTGAGGATGACGATAAATTACGCAAGAAACTTGGGCAAAGTGCGCAAAGGCCATTGGAATTTCAAAAGTACATAAAGTCGTATCGAGAATCCAGGGATAAAGCTGTCAATCTGTCACTACTCATATTCAGGATATCTGTCCCTGGTTCCTGGTTCATAGTAGGAAAATGCTATTGCGCAATGGTAAGCTGCGACCTTAAAAATCCCCGCTCCTATGAGCGACCCCCGAGATAAGCCAGATACAATGCATCATTCGACTCGTCAGCGACGGCTCGAAGAAACGGCCATATTTTGTGTTAGCAAGTGCGATTCGCCTTACTGCATGTTGAATGTCACCTCGGTTAGAAAGTCGTGGTCACGGGGCTTAATTTTGTACAATGCGACTGGCTCCTCAGGAACAGCATCACTCAAAATGTCAACTATAGTATAATGCAACCCTGTGCTTGGACATATTTCTTCGACCTACGCGGCATAGTCATCCATGCGGATTCAGTGTACGCCATTTAGTTATGGGCCATACCATGCCGTCCGTGCGACTTGTATCTCGCAAAACATCACGGGAAGCCGGCTTCAGCTGTAAACATTGCTTGCTTACTGTCTTCCGAACAGATCCTGGCCAGTGAAAGTGGAGACTTGGTGTGATCCGAGCGCATTGCATTGCAGTAAAAATGGAGTAGCAAATTGAAGCAATATCACGAGTTGAGCTGTGCAAGTGAGATGTGACCTAGAGCAAGCTCAAGTTATCTGATCGACCAATCATAATGCAGAACCAAAGATCTATATAGTTTGTTTCTGTGGCTTTTCGCATGCAGCAAACTAGCAAAGATGGGATGAACTTGCTGCAAACACTACATGAGATGAGCATGTATGTACGTGATTGAGGCCAACTAGACCACTTCCTGTACTGTTCGTTTATTCCTCCTGTAGTGTAAGCTTTATGAATTGACTTGTGATGATTGATACCAAGGTGGGAGAAAGATGCATATAGTCTTGTATGGGAATCAAGCAGTTCCGATCCGTGTGCAGCCACACGTTGGCCGCCCAGCCACACATCCCTCCCACACTCAAAGGCGGTACTTGTCTCACATTTATTTTGTTCTTCATGTTCTTGAGCGGGTTAGGTAACAGTGTACTCGACGATCATTGCTGTTGCGGCTGTTCCTGCTCCGGTTGCTTGCCATCATCGACAGGTGCAGCCTGCTTCGCAACTGCAGCGGTCTCGCCTGCGCTGACCTCGTCGCCTCTGATTCCGTGCACTACTCGCAGTCCTCCGGCCTTCATTGTAAGCCCATCTAGCTCCTTCTTGCGCGCCAGTCTCTGCTTGACCTCCTCTGCAATGTTAGCGATATCAACCAGTACACCCTCCTTTTCGGGGTGCCCATCGCTTAGACCCATCTCCTTGATTTTCACCTTTCCATTGGCGAGCTCGTCTTCTCCTAAAACGACTGCAAATGGGACGCCGTTGACCTCTGCAGCCTTGAACTGGTTCTGTAACTTAGGCTTGACTTTGTAAAGAAACTCAGCCTAAAGATTGATCGGTTAGTAAAAGTCCAGTAGTGTACCCATCGCGGCCTAACACTTGGCTTGCGTATTATCGTCATGACTCACCTTGATACCGGCGTCCCAGAGTGTCGAAGCGATAGACATGCGCTCTTTTAACAGTCCTTTGAATCCAGCGCCACCGAATGCCATGACAAATACATCAACATCATTCAGACGAACTGCTGCAGCAGTCTTGTCTGCCTCCATGCGCGTCTTAATGATTGAAAATATGCTTCATGAATAAGTAGTTAGTATTTCTCCGTGCACAAAGACAAGGGCGGTTTCAAGCAACAAGTAAGAAAAGGATATAGGGCTCTGGAAATCGCATACCGGTCCACTATAGCATTTAAAGTCAGTAATTACTTCTTCACAACGGGTTGGGGTGTTTTCAGGAGTGTTGTAAAACAGTCATGAAGAAATGAATGCCTTTTATAGGCAGTATACGCTTTATAGACATGCTGAGAAGGGTATAAAGTAATTCCGAAATTTGCTTACCGCCGAAACTAATGCCACAGCATGGGATTTGACCTTTGTCGCCTCGTCCTGAAAACATGCCTACAAGGTTGTCGTATCTGCCACCCGCGGCCACTTCAGGTGTTGAAAAAGACTTGGTTAGTCACATTTTCTAACGAGGATGGGGAAGAGTCTGTGAGTTTCTAAGGAGTCAAAATTACGAGTCTCGCTTCTGGAAAGCCTGCAGGCTGAGAAAGAAGGTCATCAACTAGCATTTGCTCAATCAAACAACGGAACCTGGGGAAGCAGATTGTTTCATACGTACCACTACCTACTCCGATGGCAGGGTCGTCGGAACGATCGTCGTCTGGGTTTGTTGTCGACTTCTTGCCCTTCTTCTTCGGAGCCGCAACCACCTCCTCGGCCGCCGGTGTTTGTGAAGGAGCCGATCCTTCTGTGACGACTATGTGACGAACACGGGTTAGCATTACTCTATTTGGACAAGGACAAAGGACACTTTACCCTCCCATATGCATCCGCTGTAGTAGTCGAGCCCGCGAGCCAAGCTGAGATCAAAACTGACTGGGCCTAAAGCATTGAAAGCCTCAAGATAGTCGAACAAGACCTCGAGATCGTCCATGCCCTGTTTCATTGAAGCGTTTCCAGAGAGCTTCTCGTCGGCCCGCAGCTTTTCCAAGAGATCGCGCTTGCCCTTTTGGACAACCCATTGACCAATGCGGTCTGCCACCTCGGCGTCGAGACCCTTTTCATCTGTCATTTCTTTCCTGACATCCGCCCAAGGTAATTTATCAAGCTTGTCCACTGCTGACGAGATTGTGCGGACCTTGTCCTCGGGCACACCGCAAACTGCAAATATTCCGTCCAGGATTTTTCGGTCTGCATTACGAAACAACCCAGTTAGCGAAAATTTTCCACAATAATCGAAATTGTTCCCCAGGCTTCTGGCTTGGCCAGAACAACTAGTCTCGCTTCTCGAAAGGCCTGTAGGCTGAGTAGGTCGTCGACCAGCATTTCCCCGGATCACCAAAGCAAATTCAGTATGCAGGTTGCTCTAACGTACGGTTGAGTTTAATAGTGAATGTTCCCTTCCAGCCTAGAGCATCGAATACCTCATCTGTATCAAACATGCCAGTTAGTTAATCTTTCAGGGTAAATAGGGTTCTTGTTCTTGGTCCTATCGTAGTCATGACCACCGGTTCCACTTGTCAAAGACTTTTGGACAGGTCTTGACTAGTTTACTCTCCAACAATAAGGAAGTTTGGGAGTTCGGATGGTTTTCTACACGTACTGATAATCCTGATGATCTCGGCATCGGGGAGCATTGGATCGTAATTGGGACCGGCTATATCGAAGTCGCATTGGTAGAACTCTCGCATGCGACCCTTGGTCATGGCGGGTTGGTCTCTTCTGTAGACCTTCGCGATGTGGTATCTCTTGATCTGTGTGACGTCCTTGTTCATGGCAAGCCATCTGGCAAAGGGCACCGTCAAATCGTACCGGAGACTGCAGATCTCGCCACCCTGATCAGCCAGGTCGTAGACTATAGTATTCAAGGTCAGTAGCTACTTGGAGGTCGTCTTGGATAGCTTTCCAGAGCAAGAGGCATTGTTGCAAGAGCGTAAAAGACTATGTATGCCAATACGCGCTCTTGATACACGGTTGCATGCCAAGCCAGAACATGGTCACGAAAGTTGCTTACTGAGCTTGCTGTCCTCGCCATATTTGCCGGAGAGAATTTCCTTCAATTCAAACACAGGCGTATCAATCTTGACGGCCAGAGGTCAGTATTATTCTGTCTGGTCGAGGGCTTCTGCGAGTGGTACCGTGACACCGCCGTGGCGCTTGAAGACTTCGGTAATGGTGTTGAAGATCTTGTCGCGAATGACCTGATCGCGGCCCTGCCCTAACCCGAGAATCAGTACTTGGTGGCTTCTTGTCTCGTGTGTTGGGTGACAAACAATCGCGGGTTCCTTTGGGCGTCTTTGCGACAATCAGAGAGGTCAGTATTCATCTAATGGAACGCGGACAAGGGCGAGCTGCAGTTGCCTTGCGAAACAACAAGTGGGAAGGGCTGGGCAGGGATTTGAGGCTTTGAAAGACGTACCTTGAGCTCGAACTTGAGGCCTTTGGGTGCCATGGCGTCGGATTCTTGTGGTTCGTTGGACTTGAAGTGGGATGGGGTGGTGAGCGATGGCGGGGTAGTAATGGCAGTGGCAGCAGTGGCAGCAGCAGTCGTGACGCGCCTGTGGGTTGAGCAAATGGTTCGAGGTCGAAAGCCGAGGACAGAGAGCTGTCGAGCAGATCGCGGGGGTCTTGAGGACCGTAAAAAGAGTTGAATTGGAATCTTCATCCAATTGTTTTCAGTTGCCCGCAGCCCCTCAGCGGATGCGCGCGAAATGGGGGATTAATTCTCGTGAGTCAACGGAACCCTTTCACACATGCGTCAGAGTTAATGCAAGGCTGATAGGTTTTTTTGTGAGGAAGCGTTTCTGTCAGGCCTTTGATTGGCTAATCTGGATAGGCCGCCCCCTGCTGGTACTGTAGTAAATCGTTAGTCCCGCGGCCCGACGAGAGACAATCTCGGGTTCCTTCTAACCAAGCACTGATACAGTATACTGATAGCTACCGTCGAGTATGCATGCCTTTCCTGTAACGTAGCTGATATGATATGTACCAGAAGACATGAGCCTGTATTCTTGTTCGGGCACTACACTCTGGCATGTCATGGCATGTTCCCTTCAGTTCTCGCCTGCCAGAGCAAAGCGACCTTCCAGTAGCCTAGGGGTTGGTCATCAGCGGACTTGTATTAATTAGTCTTGGTTGTTGGCCATACTTGAATTGGTAGGTTTTTATTTCATTTTACTGCCACTCCCGACCCATGGGTCGTGTTCATTCATATTCATGTTCATTCCCCTCGAAGTCTGGCGTATAGCTCAACGCAATGTTTTTGGTACCGTTTTCCTTAGGTGACTTTATTTTTTGTTCTCCAGATCTTTGCCAGTTGCCGTACTGTAACCTAACCTTAGGTGTTTCACGGTCAGTAGATCACCTGACGTCAGGCCACTCTTCGCGCGTGTCGCCATCAGCGTGGCTGTGCACTTTGGTAACAAAACAGATTGATTCTCCATGCCAGCCCCATTCTGCCAACATTGTGAACTCGTAGCAAATGTGTCCCTGATCAAACATTAACTCTTCAGATTATTCAAATTCACACATCAAACAACTGCGGTTGTCTTCCCAAACTACTTCTACGCACCACAGTGACCATGGGTCGATGGGATCAATACGACGAAGACGTCCCGGATGGCATGACCCGGATTGGTTATGACTCGGACGACCAAACTTATACTTTCCGCGATGCTGACGGCAGCATTTGGGAGAGTGCACCGGGCACTAAATGTAGCGGATTGCATTGCATCTCCGGCCCTTCGGCGCCCCGAGACAGCTACGAGCCTGACGATGACGAACAACCGCCTCCGTATACTGCGAACGAACCTCTGCCGGGAGCGTCCTGGCGTGTGGAGATGATGCCGCTGTTCAACTTCTTTTTGATCATCGGGCTTTTCCTCATTGGTGTGTTCTTCTATCTAAGAAAGACAGCTGGGAAGATGGACAAGGAGCTCGAACAGCTACAGTGCGGCAATAGGAACGTGGTATACACTATTCAGGCTGGTGATACATGCTGGGATCTCGCCAATATTAGAGCCTTAACTGTCGACGAGCTTCTCATGGAGAACGCAAACCTTGATTGCGACCAGATGACGGTTGGGCAACTTATTTGTATACCAGCTAGTTAAACGGTTCATGTTGCAGCTTACATGTGCAACATTCAGAGCTCTATTGCACAGTTCCATAGAGTTTCGCCGGATAAGTCGGTGCGAAATATACGACACAGTAAAAGATCAAATGCAACGTCCCAATCCCCAGCAGTGTTTTGTGTCCAATTCACATAGTGGATCCTTAACTATCATTTTGAAATTATTTTCTGACGGATACACAAAATCGCGGTAAACACATACTTCATCTGGAAGCTCCAATATCCGCTTACCCAAGAGAAATGTCTTCCACGTCTGCGCTTGGGGTAACAGCGTTCGACAGTGCCGATGTTAACATTTGGCTAACGCCTCAACACTCGGGGATGCCACCTTTCCACAGGGCGTAAATAACCCAGAAGAGGTCGCAATGTTTATCTTCAGGTTTAAATGGATCATAGTTCTTAGTGGCTCATCTTAGTGTTGTCATATTTTAGAAACGCAGGCCTCTCAGTTGACATTTGTGAACGTCACAGTATGGCACATTGAATTCAAGGGCCTAGTTTTTGGAGTGGTGGTAGTGGTGTGCAGTGGGGGGTAAAGTAGGCTAGACTAGGCTTTTTATACTTACTATGAGGTTAGATACAAGCAGTAGACCATCTATACAATTGAAAGGAAAATCCTTGCGATTTTGCCCAACCTTGAACTTAAACCTGTCCCGCACCCAAGCTCCGGGAAATCATGTTATGTCATGATTTATCTTCGAGGTCTCTTCTGCTGTTTTACCTATGTGAGAGGAACCTCTCGGCGTGACACACAGCCGAGCTGATGGGAACCGTGGTACGAGACCAGCTGGCAGTGGCATGGCGAATAAACTCAATGAAGCGTAAGAAGCTCGTAGATGCATCGATCGACTAAATTGATGGTGAGAGAATATATTCCAGGTACGCGTCATATAAATATTGATCAGCCCGTCATCTTAAAATAAGTTGTATGCTCTCATCCCAACTGCAACTAGATTGGTTTGTCGTCCGGAAGCAACGCGGAGGGATTTTTAACCAGCTTCGTCTGGCAGGCTGTGGCACTGCGTGATTGACACATGCGGTACCAACAACAATTCTTCATACATTCGAGGATATTCATGCTATGCTGACTTCCATGACGCTGCAACAAGAGAAATCTGAGCAGGGGAACGCTCAGCCTTACAGGACAGGAGTCAGAAAATGTATAAAACCACAAATCAGGATATTGTACACTGCCACAATAGTTAAAAAGTCAATCTTGCACCAATGTCAATGGGATCCCATGTTTTTAGTGTATATATGACTCGTGATGATCTTGGATAGGCTGATTAAATTGGACTTGCGCCAACAGAGCCAATTTTGAGAGCAACTTTTGGCATTGCAATACGTTCCGTTACCTTTCCACTTCTATAAGTAGGAATATAGAACGTAAAGATGATATTCCAGCCATTGCAACTTGCGATTTTGCATCATGAAACCAAGGCTGCATTACGCCACTCATCCACAAGATCACTAGAGCATTTGGGGTTAGTAAATACTTCTTTATAATGCGTCGGGTCTCTGGGGATATTTTGAAACAGTTACAAATAACCGAATGCCTTCAGTGGGCAGAATATGCTCCACAGATGTGCTAAAAGGAGTAGAGAAAGATGCTGAGATTTACTCACGGCACACCTAAGCACGTCCCCGTGAAATTTGCGACTGTAAACCGACCATCTCCTTTCAGACCTTGAGCAATGGCAAATGTATCGTCGTTATCTTGTCCAACCGTGAAAATCCGCTGGCTTCCTGTGGCACACGGGTGCTCAAAATCGGGAGTCAAACTTGTGTATTTCCCACAAAAGGTCTTTCTCATTTCTATAGCTGCTACCGCAATTAATACAATAGTGAAAACTGCCACGAAAATGCAATAAACCTTGTACCACAGCTTTGATATGCAAGGTATTATTGTCGTCCGCAGGGGCCCGGTACCGAAATAATATCCGAGTATGAAGACTGTAGGTGCTAGTAGAGTCAAGTAATACGCGCCAAGCAGCCATGAGGTTGTCGTGAATATGCCTTTCCTGCCGAAAGTTCCAACCAAAGGTGATATAAACAAGATATCAAGAGCGAAACACCCAGCTATGGGCATCATGAAAAACATCCGGAAAGCTCTACTGTACCAAATATGAAAATCCTCAGGCATAGGCGGTAAGAGCTTGTGGTAAGGCTCACAACTTAGACTATCAACTGAGCCAGTTGACAGTCCAGTGCCGTATGATTTGAGTGATGGTGGTTGTGTTGATTTGGGGCTTTCGTCAGAAATAGCGAAGTGAAAATCGTCTGTGAGCCACAACGCGGCGCACAGCCGAAGAAGACCACATGCCCCAATCGGTATGAACAGTCCACTGACAGCATCCATGGTTGTGTAATCGCCTGTGGAGGTGAAATTTCCGAGAATGGATGTAACAGCTTGTATGCCTTGGAGGAAAACAATGACCGTCTTCAGCATTTCTAGCGAGAGAAGTCTCACCATCGGCCCCTCCGGCAATCGCGTTGCGTACGGCAAAGCTCGCTCCAGCATATTCTCCGACCCATTCCAGCCCTTTGGTGTCCAGAATATGGCATTACTTGCTGCAATGTCCACGGGGCCCCAATTTCGTGATCGAATACGCCGGTCGGTAATGGCTGCATATCGCCATAAGATAGAAGCCGGATTGTAGTGGCATATCACATCATGCCATTGAGGTCGATCGTGATGTAGATATGATGGCCGCGGTGCTCCAGATAAGATATGAGCGACAAGTGGCGCCAGGCCAAGGGTGAAAAGAGCGATCCAGTCCGAGATATAAACATCGCGACTTCCCCAATGAAAGGGTAGAATGATATAAGTAGTATTGTTGGTCGCCATTGGGAACAGTGCGCTCAGCGCAGACTGGCCGGCACCCGATAATGAACGAAGTGAATGGAGTCAAAAAGAAGAACCTGCTCCATAGTTACACACTCAGTTGATTGTGTATGAATGCAAATGGGGGCGCATTCTGTTCATATATACACTCAATTGCAGCCGCTCGAACGCATGGAGTGAAACGGTCTCTGGAGGCAGGGGCTGAAGGATTCCGGGTTGAAGCATGTCCCCGTGTGTTAGAAAGACCAACATTTTCCCATGATGGGTATTGTAGTAGGATTGTGGCTGACACAGTTCCAGGCTACCTGCAGGTCTTTGGTTGAAGGACTCAAATGCTTGTCTCCTATTTGACCACTACTGCTGCTGAAACCAATCCTCCAGGCCACGACCACAAAACGGTTCGCTCAAAGAAATATAAAAACCAGATCAAGGGAATTCGACGAAGTCTAGTTGTATTAATAGCATTCATTGTTCCACATGGTCCTTGCCCATCAATTAAAATTGTACCATATTTTTGAAAAGAAATGTGGGTCACAGTAGAGGTTGAGACCAGCCCGTATATTACTGTACCTCAATTCTTGCAGTGCAGTGTCTATAGCTCCTGACGTTCATGGACTGAGGCGTGATATGGTCGTGGCTTGATGACTGCATCCAGGAGAACACTTCAAAAGCATTTACTAAGTCATACTCGCCGGCTGGCAGGGGTATTTGCATGGTGCGAGGGGCGAGATGAATTCCCCGGGACCCGTGGAGTTGTGGTTGGCCGTTGCATTTTCGACCGTACTGATCGCCATGACACCTGTGGCATCCTCGGCGGCGGCCCCGTGACTCTCAGCAGTGGATTGTCGTTCGGAAACATTCAGTGGCTGCGAGCCTGACCACAGTGGTCGACAACAGGAGCCTTTCACCTACACAGGTGAGGTACAACGGACACAAACCCGGAGGTTCCCGGTGCCGTGGTACGCGGCCGTTACAACACTCATGCTTTTCTAGATGGTGAGCCTGTTTTCGAGAGCCGTCAGAGTATGTTAGGCACGGCCTACGAGAAGGGCCACTGCCCGGTTGACATCAAGCTCTGGACTGTAACTGGCGTTATTGGCAGATGGACTCGCTCGGTGATCCCACGATACTAATGCGCGTGCTTTGGCGGCCATCAACCCCGACAATGCGTAGATTTGGTATTCCACAAGGGACACGATAGCCGACTGGAGTCGTATAACTAATTGGTTCTGATTGATACGGGACTTTCATCAATGAAAACGGAAGACGATTTAAAGTTAGTGTAGCAAAGATTTTATCACGTGAGCTCAAGAAAACTTAATTAAGTGTCACAACATCAGAATTCGTTGACATTATCCTGGAACTGCGAAGTTACCTGACCTTAAATAGGATTTCCAGTTCAATCGCGAGGCTGTTACGCGATTGCCCCTACCGCTCCTGTATATCTGAACGATTGTCTGCAGTTCAAATCTTTTAGTCTAGACTAGACCAGTGCAAAACTGCTGCATTGTCTGCTCAAGTTGACCATAGCAGTACTCAATGGGTGTCTGGACTATGTAGTGTTCCTGTAGATGCTGTTTGGCAGACACGGTTGATGATTGTGCCAGAACCTGGGTTACTAAACGACACGGGTTAGCCTCTCTCTTTCTCTCTCACTCTTTCCTCCTCTTCTCCCAGAAAAGGGATTAAAAAATGGGGAAATTCCATTGATATAAGGGATAAAAGACAATGGCATAAGTCCTCGAAAATCCCATACCCATTGTCCCACTGTGAATCAATTAGCAGGTGCTTATTGAAGCCATTGTCAAGATTACTTGCAACACCACCTCCGGCGACAAGATTAGCCATGGAAAGCGTGTTGGTGTAGCACGCGCACATCCAGACTGGATGCTGAGACGATCCACCTGGAGTGTTGATAAAGGCACCTTGGAAGTATTTTCCACTTGGAAGCCATGTACCTGGTGTCTCTGCGCTGTTGCCAGTCAAGCAAATACTGGTGCACTCGTTCAGCACAGCGGTCTTGTTATTGCCAAGCCAGTCAGTCTGTGTGAATTGGTATAGCTCATTCACACCGGTTTGGTTCGCTTTAACGTGCCATATGCCCTCATTGCCTCGATTAATTGTGGCAACAGTCTCCACGGCGTTTGATGTACATGGTGTAGGAGTATCTTGTCGGACTTGATGGCCGCGCAGCAGTAGACCTGACGCGTGCACGCAGGTTGCAAGGCCGCCAGCGTAAAAGACAATGAGTTGGTGAGCATACATCCTCAGGGGCCTGAGCAGGAAGACAATCTTGCTCCTCGAATCACTGCGGACTGGTAGGTTTTATCATCAGCAATAGTATCCTTTGCTCCGGAAATACGACCCTGGCTGCTGCACCCCCTTACACTTGCATTTTCCTGCTGCATTGGTATACTTGTGGTCAAGCGTTCACTGTATGATTCCAATCCATGCTAGCGCCTCTGTATATCGGAACATTGCAAGCATATGGCTCCCGAATGTTGCAGAGTCATTTGCTGGCCGTCGAAACTCTACCAGCATACCACTTGGGGATGGTACTCGAAAGTGGATGCATTGTCTACCGAGGGATTATACCACTAGTTACTGGTAATATGTGTTGCCGGGTATGAGCGCTTGCTAATGTATGACTGACATGGGGCGACAAGCTACGAGAGTGACCAGATTGTTTACTTTTCTTTCTTGTCCGAGAAGCTCCAAGAAGCTCAAGTGCCATGCTCCGATAGACATTGAATGGATGTAGTGCCACCGAGCTGTCCGACTTGGGCGATGAAGTTGCATGGAATGGTTATGGACACAATGGGGCCGCTACCCCGCTAGCCTGCCTAGCGTCTCGCTAAGCTGAAGTGTGGCTGTTTTCGGTGGTGCAAGCCACATCTCTGCCATTTTGGGTATAGACAGATAAAATCCTCCATATCTGATTATCCGCATGCAAACAAGGCCAGTCTTTTTTAACGTTAGTACGTTATCAGAGGTCTGAGAGGTACCATGCACTACTGTACTTTCCGTTGCAGGGCGCCGCTCTCTGCTCTTCTCCCCTGTGTGCCGTCTGAATCTGAATCTTAATCCGAATCTAGTCTAGACTGGACTAAATGTTCAATGGGGTCCGGGCTTTGCCGGCCATGATCCAATCTGATGCCGCCGCGCCTGCCTCATCTGCATCACATTCGCATCCAGCACCAGCCTCATTTCTTTGACGTTTTCCCCCCCGGCATCGCGTCTCAGCGTCGCAGTCGCAACGTCGTTGCTCTCGACTTTCATAATCACCCATTCTCCTACGCACACATCATTGTCGCAGCAACAAAACACTGCGCGAATTCACGAATAGATGATATCGGGCTTTGCCTGGTGTCGTCACCATGGAGAACGGCATTCAGAATGGCTTGCCTACAAACGGCAACACCTCGAAACCATCGCGCATGAACGACCTGCCCGACGAGATACAGCACATCACCCAAGGATATGTACCACTCGGCCTGTTACTGTCGCGCCTTGCGCAGAGGTCGCACAACCAGCTATCGGCCAAGATCCTGGAGTTGGCTAAGATGCCAGTCGCAGCTCCTGCTGTCAACGGCAACTCCACCCATGCTGTCGGCCTCCCTGACGACACATCCGTCGAGAATGTCAGCAAAAAAGCAGCGCTACTCAATTTCATACAGGAGCTGCATGGACGATGGACCAAAGCACTGGTGATAGCTTCATGGAGTCGGAAGGCTCCCACAGTCAGCAAGCTGATCGACCTGATGAACTATATCAACCTGGAGCGCAAAGCCGTCGATGATGGACTCGACTACATGGCCAACATCAAGCGAGACCTGACCTTTGCACGACTACCCAACCCCGATCTGCATACAGCCCTCCAGGTCTTGTCCACCGGCAATGCATCATGGATGCCCGACTTTGGCTACATCGAACCCCCTCCCTTGACCGCCGAAGAGCAGCTGCGATGGATCGACGAGTTGAACACGCTCTTGTCGCTCCGCCTAAACCTCGAAGACCACGACAATATACCACGCCAGTTCCGCGATTACACTATCGATTCGGGTCGCGTCACATTCAAGGTCAAAGGAGAGTTTGAGGTTGATCTTACCATAGCCGACGAGGACTTTGAGAAGCAATTCTGGTTTCTGGACTTCCGTTTCGCCTTTACGCCTGCACCATCTAAGTTGACCGAGACATTACGGGTATTTCTGGAAGCTCGCGTCAACGAAGCACTCGAAAAGGATGGCTTGAGAGGCTGCTACAAATTCCTGCATGAATTCGTGTTAACCCACAAGATCAGCGAGTACGTCCGACAGGGTCACGACCTAGCGAGAGGTAGCTGGGTGGACACTTTGAAGATCGAGCGCTTGAACCGGAGTATGGCAATACAGTATTGGACCAACCGCTATTCCCCAGAGAGTCCAAAGAGCTGGCTCATTCTGGGTGTGCACAGCGGCAAGAAGCCGGGTGCCGCCAGTGTTGATTCCGACGCAGCCAGCTACCTTACCCTGCGCTGGTTCAGGGACAACAAAGAGGTCAAGGAAGCCAATATTGCCTTTGACGATTCGAATGTGTCCACTGAAGGGCTGCTTAAAAGAGTTATCGCGCGACATGTTGGGTACATTCTTACGACTATCCAAACGAAATTACAATTCAAACCGCGATTTCTCAAGCGAGAAGCGGCACTTGCTCTCACCATTTCGGCAGATGAGCCGATTGAGTCGAGCCTACAGGTGCAACTAGGACGGAGCGATCATGTCAATCTCCGAATAGCACCAATAACTGGCTTCTTCTCCATGACACCGCACAGGATGTCTACACTCAGAGGTGAAAATAGGCTCAATGAACTCAAGGACCCTACTGAAGAAGGAATGCTAGTCCTGGAAGGTGTGAGATATTCTTGGGCTGCTGAAGAGATGAACCGCAGGGGCAAGAGCATGGGCTGGGTTATCTGCAGAAACCCTGTCAGAGTGGATGAAATACGGCCAATATTACAGACAAAGGAGCCATTCCAGCACCTGTGGTTCAAGCGGAAGGGGTGGCCCACGCAGTGGTTCTTGATGCTCACTATGAGTCTGGCTGGGGACAGGTGGTGGTTGATTGATGTGTAAGCCGCTCTATCGTCGCCTTTTCTTGATCGATACTAACATGATGTAGCACAAATCCACCTACTGGCCCTCGAATAGCATCTCACGCTGAAATCCCACTCAGTTGTGGGTCGCCAGATCTTAGCGACAAGCTTTTTGCGAACCTCAATATCTTCAGCGCTGCCATGATATCGTATGCCACGGACACCCAAATTTTGCATCAACGACGCATCAAGCACTCCACGGATCAGAAGATCAACCCTTTGTTGCCCCCAAGCATGAAGATTCCCACAATTCAAGTGCGATTGTCCGATATTCTCAGCGGGCGGCCTGCAGGCGCGAGAAAGGTCGCTACGTGGGCAAAGGACTTCGTGCAGATCAGGTTCAGAGGCATTGAAAAGGCATCCAAAGCCACGTCGAGACGCTCACTCAAGAATGGCCAGAACGACTCAAAAGTGAACGTCCAAGCGCCAAGCCGGGAACTCATCTCTACGATCGCGGACGCTCGATTTCAGGTTGCGGATCCAAGCAAGTTCAGCCTCTTGAAGGGGAATGTTGAGCAGGACGTCGCATTCAACGCACGCCTCGGAGTCTTTGCCCTGCAACTGAAAGTCAACCTAGGCAGTACGATGCTTGATGATTTGGCCAGTCGTATACAAGCCATTGAGAGGCTTGTCGATTGTGTAGATGCTATCAGGCGCAGCAGCTCCGACATCAGATGTGATACCATCACACTTGCACAGGTCATTTTCACGTACAGTGATGCGATCGGACATACTGCAGGGACAACAGCAGAAGCCAACCCCAAACGCTGGACGGCATCTCTAGACCTCCGCACTGACCAGATAAAGATGCGTTTGGAAAAAGAGAACCCTCATCTCAGGGTCCTAGACAGCTTTAACCAACTGATTAATTCCGAGCTCGGCTTTGAAAAGGTGCCACACTACTTGGCTTTTACCCTACCTGTACTCAAGGCTCTAGATCAAATTGAGGACTCTTGGGAAGAGATGGATAGCGTCAGCCAAGGTTTTGTCGAGATTTTCTCCGAGCACCTTGACTGGTACACGATCAGATACACTATTTCTGGACCAAATCGTGGGCCGCCAAAGGTTTATCGCATTGCAGCGAAGCTCCGAGAGCGGCGCAACACTCCCTTCTGGCATGTCACAAGATGTGAGCCTGGGTCAAACTACAACCCAGACGACGAGCTTAAGCCAGTATTGACCAAGGTTTGGACTCAATCAAGCGAGAGATGGCAGAGTTTTGGCGACAGTGCTAGCTGTGATGCCAACGATAGTGTCATTAGCTTGTTGAGAGCTATGAATGATGCAGTTAGACAGTTCGCGAAGCAACCACCATCTTCTTCACCACTCGTATCGAGGGTAGCCCCGGTCAAACCTCAACACACCCCCAAGATCAACCAACAGCCACCACCAAAACCGAATAACCAAAAACAAATGCAAACCCAAGCAAGGGCTCGAGCGCAGCAGTCTGGGAGCTCAAATGCAAACGCAATCACGCTGGATTAGACCTGTGAAAGGGGAAGGGAGGTCGTGAGACAGGCGGTGACGACCAGTATTAGCATGCAGTATTCTGCATTTCGGCATTAAGGAGCTTGTGATTTTAATCATTTGAGATACCCCTTTCCTAGTGCTACTGGTCGAGGCCTGTAAGACTACAGAAACCAGACGGATGGAATGAATCAAAATATCATAATGATCAACGACGACTCATTTATATGGTGACTTCTTTATATACAGTACCAACAGCCACCCCTAGTACCGGTAACGATCTAACACATGGCGTAACATGTAGTCTGTGGCTAACTAGCCTAAAGATCTGGGTACATACATAGCATCTCAATTAGCGTGTTCGTCAAATGAAGCCGGAATGAGGCTCCTCCCGGATCTGAGCTAGGATGACACGGGCCTGTTCACAGACCAAGGACTCGGACCTGCTGAAGCTGTGGTTTTGGCTCGAAGACAAGACGAGCGCTATTCCTGTGTATTAAGACTCGGTTTGCTTTATTTTTATTCGGCCTCGAGAATCCCATTGTTCACGGTGACTGTAAACCTGCCAGACCGCAGCAACTTCGTTGAGCTGCAAAGCAGCCATAGCCATGTCATGTAAGGACCACCTTGTCGTTCCTATTCCCCGCACCGGCCCCTCATTGACCCCCCTATCTGGGGTTCGGCGTTGGCCAGAACATGTAACTAATACGTCGTCTTCCCATGCTATAGTCCTCAACACCAGCGCAACCCTCACCCAGGCAACGCCCATTCCGTTGCCGCCGAGTCGCAAAGCGGCTGCCGTCGCCCGCCTACATGACCATGACTTCTTTCTGAACACGGACCCGCACATCACGGGCTACTCGCCCGTTGCCGCGGCCGATCCGGAGCCCACGTACGAGTCCTATAAGATTCCTTCCAGCGTCTCTGAGAAGGCGACCGAAAAGAAGGTGAGGATCTACGATGTTCAGGACCACGTCCCGAACCCAGTGTATAGTAGCAATATAACGAGTCGCGAGGAGCTGGTTAACTGCACTGAAGGACTCTGGGTCAGGATCAGGAGTCCCATGGCCGTGGTCATGGAGACCACATGGTTCGTGAGGGAAAAGGGCGAGGAAATGGAGCTGGTGGAGCAGTGCTGGGTGAGCTGCAATCGCATGCTGATGGGGATTGTCAAGAGTAGTATTGAAAATAATTGGAGGAAGATTCACGAGGAAATTGTGAATAGGATAGTGGAAGATGCGAAGGCTGATGGACAGAGCTAGAGCAAAATAGTGTGCTGTGTTGATTGGTGTGAACGTAGGTTTCCACAATCACTGCAAAGGCAATGTGCCAAAGACGATGAACTCATATATGTGTAGGCATGAATCGTCCTCGTTTCCAATACTCGCTATGTTGCCCAGATCCAGCATTCTCCCAGTGCTCCGAAGGCTAATTTCCTTGTACATCACATGACTTCAGCCTTTGTGTATCTGCTAAGATCAATGAGGCCTTGGTAAGTGACCCCCTGCCTCCTACGTCGCCTTTTCAGCGGTAAGCCATTGCATGATGGGACCAAGTTGAATTTTTACCTCTCCGGGACCTTAGCAAATTTCTCCACGCAAGCATAACCTAAGCAATAGCTGGTAGAGAACCAATAGATCCACGTGGTGATGATAAGGCAGACCTCTTGTGTTACATTGGTGGAAAGCGAGATAGTACTTCTGAACACAGCGGTACGTCTCTATATTATTGCAAACAATGACGAATTAGTCCTTACTGGGTCTTCAAATATAGCACACCAGCATAATAGTCGTGGTCCATTGCTCCGTCAGTCGACCGTATGATAATGTTGATGCGGTCACAATAACAATTATAGAGCACTGGGAGCTTGAAGTTTCAATGTTTCACAGCACATTCCCGGCTTTTGAATATCACGTAACGAAAGAGGTATCTGCAGCTCTTTTGTGAGATGAGCAATGGCAATCGACGCGTTGCTGCCCAGAAGGATGAAATGGAACTTGAAACTTACCATGGAGAAGAGCTTACTAGATGAATGAACGAAGCTCGGGAGACAAGTTGGAAAATTGCTGAAGTGTCGCTGTGGAGTTTTCATGTTGTACAGTGGACTGTTGTTGGTTGCTCACAATTATCGTTCTGCAGCCCCTTTTAGAGTCGTTGAATTTGAGATAACCTGTCTCTCAAGCCATCTGGTAAGGGAAAAGGCGATGAAGAATACGGAGAGATGACTTACGACCAATGACTATAAGGATGTACTTCTTTAGCTTCATGTTCAATGGCTGGGCACAGGACAAATGTGGTGATATTCTCGTGAACATTTCCTCAGACACTTGTTCGAGTCGATGTGAGGCATTACGATTGAACAATCTCGGAAAACACCAAGATGTCCCACAATTCCGGCACTTTCGGCTATCTCGTTCACACATTCTTGATTTCAATTTATGCTCGAATAGTACTTCAGACAGAGCAGAAGCGCTTCTCATGTAGTAACTCATATGGGCCGAGCCGATTAGACTGTGACATCGATGTAGACGTACTAAAACTAAAAGTTATAAAAGTAACGTAAGTGATGCTTGGGCAGACAATCAGCGATCTGCATCATCCCAAAAACGTTCTGAGTCGTTCTATCATGAAGCGTCAGGCTCTCGCTACCAACCACATCAGAAAGTTTTTGTTGGGTATGGGTAGATGAGCTCCTGCTGCAGCGGCCTGTCCATTAGCCATCTCACAAACTCATGTGCTGAAAAACTCAGCAACATTGCAGCACAGAGAGCACCTGGAACCAGGCTAAGTGCAATGAGGTTCACACTTGCTCCTATCCCTTTACCAACAGTAATCCCCCATAAGACCATGTAGCCAAAGACTATGGTTTGGAATCTGTCCTTTCCTCGCCGTCGGTGCGTAAATGAGGAGAGCAAGCATCCTAACAGCACGCAGGATCCAAGCATGAGTGCAGGAGAAGGATTTGTCAATGCGCCCAGATGAACAAAGAACACCGGGGACTTCGTGCCAGGAATCATGTGTCAGCCACAGATCTGTAGACATAATGGCACGTTTGACCGTATGGGAGGAACATGGGCTAAACCTACATGCGACTCTGTCTTGATGACGTATGATGTGTTAATAATGATACATGTCATCACAGGGATGACTTCTGTCAATTGTGCTATCTTCCTTATGCTTCCGGTAGTGGCGGATTCTCCTTCGTGAAATAAAGGTACGTGACATGACGAAGCATCCATTGGAGGGCAGATAAAATAGTGAGCTTCTCATTGGAGCAATTAGCTGGAGAACGACAAGCCGGCAAAGTTGCAAAAGATTTCGTTTCCAGAATCTCAGCTCTGTTATATCTCTTGATAATTCTCCCAATTCCTTGAACTGAAAGCCAGCCTTTTTTCTGTCTAGGAAATCAGTTGCGAGATCATCAACTTCCTTCCGGATTACCCTTCTCGAATATGGAGCAACCCATTCGGGCGTCTTCCGGTATCACCTACGCTACTCTAGCTGATGTGTATCATATGCTTGTTAATTCGGTGAGGCCAGGCTATCGCGTTGAAACGCAATAACACCATAGGGTCTGCCATGGTGGTGCGACAGATAATGCTAGTATATGTTGGACACGATTGCAGTGGGCGTTTTTGAGGCCATTTTACCCCTCAACGAGCCATACCCTTGGCGTTCTCTGGGGCCACCGTCACACAAACTCAGACCAATAACGTTACATACAACGTTGAGGCTGACGCTTCGCCCAACATCTTATCTTCAGGCAACACAAGCCAATGCGAGCACTATCGCTCGCGCGTTTAGCTGGCTTGTGAGATCTATTCGGAATATCTGTAAACGGCAATGCGAAGGACATTGGGCACTGATACGTGAAGTATGGAGGCTGCCTGCAGATGTTCAGAGGCAAAAGATGAACCACTCCGCCCTGTTGATAATGGCCTCCGGCTGATTCCGAACTGCCCCGAGGTTTGCTGCATAATGCATTGTGGGGACATGAATCCAGGTGCTTGGGATACCATGCGTAGTTGTTCGGCATTAAATGACCGTACCATCTCCAATGTTGATGCTCCCGCGTCCCTTCTCCTTTTCACTTTTGGATTTCGAAGGACGCACAGAAGAAATCCACTGAGGGATTAGAGCGCTGTCAATTTTGTATCTGTCTTGGTGGAAGCCCCATTTCAAACACGTTCGACATTGCTGCTAAAACAACAATGACAACCCACCACTCTCAGCCTTATTTGGCTCGCCTTGAGACGGCTGCCGCAGTTATACCACGTGGGGCAATGCTATTTACATCTGGCCTGTTGCCCTTGTTTGGTGATGACGCTGCCTGGCGATTCTATGTGCTGTAAGCTCAATAACCTCTGAGCGTCCTTGCACATGACTAACCTGTTAGAACGATGTTCATATTTACCGTATCATTAATAACATTTGTCTGGTTGAATATGCAGTCAATCAAAAAGTAAGCTGCCTGTCTAAGTGAAGTGGCCTGGTGACTAACATCAACAGCATGGTCTTGTGCTCTCTAGCTTTGGTCATATTAGCGATCCTCCTGTACTTTCCATTCCCAGGGATTTCTGCGGATTTTGTCTTCAGCAAGATCCCAATGTTTCTTATGCTTTCGAGCCTGGGTGGTGCAGAATTTGGACGGCTACGTGGAAGCATACAGATGGATTCCGAGGAATGCTACGGGAAGTCCTGTGTATCAGCTGGACCTGTTTCGATTCCCCAGTCCCTTTCAGCCAGCTTCCTTGAAACATTATCCGACATTGACTCGGTAGCCAAAGACCTTTTTCTTACTGGGATACGAGGTCCTAGCTCGCAATTCTCGGCCAGCCAGCATTCGTCTGATATCGAGTTGTCAGTTGTGGGGAGACCAAGTCCTGGTCTGATCTGGGACCCTTCAATTCGCCACTTTTTCATACGAGAAAAATCAACAACGGCAGCCGAAAATTCATCCATTGAACAATCTCCAAGATCTTTGAGTCTATAAGATTCCATGACTGGGCTTGTCTTAAATTTCTTCTGCTTTGTAATCCTTTCCTTTTGGCGTTTGAAAACTTGGAGCACGACTATGTCACGTAATAGAACGCCACATACTGTCGATAATCTGACTGCCGGTCTAAAGCGGTGCATATACTAAAAAGTGTTAAGACCCATCATTTCAACCAGTGCTACAGCTGAAGAATCTGTTGACAACAGCACTAACTGCGTTTTGATACGGCGTTGCTATAGCTGTTCATATTCTTACCGACGCAAACGACATGGGGTTGTACATAATTCATTTGATAAGGGCATCGAGGATCATATTCATTAGAAGCATCTCGAGGTCGTATACGATGTGACCTTGCGTTACATCACTCTCAACTCATGTTCAACAGCACAAATCAACATGCATTCGGCGGATTCTTTCTATATCCAAGCATATCAAATACTCGATCAATTGAATTTGTTTTCTATCAAACAATTATCTTTGCATTCGGAGATACGTGAGGCATACTCCTTGTGTGGCATCTAGGTTTGGTCGATTCGAATTTGACCACTGTCCAAATTTTAGTACACATGAGCAGTAGATGTGGTATCCAAGGGCCTAAAATATCAATAGAATTTATGTATATACCCATAGAGAAACTTCGGTGTCGTACCATGGAGTGATCAAGCCCAAGAAATGGTAGCCACTCACTGTTGATGTCTACTCGACATATGATACTAAATCTACAGATAATACGTCTTCGTCCCAGTCCTCGTGTTTAAGACGTGAAGGAATGTCGTAAGTGCGATACATGAGATCAGTCCCACTGACTGGATGGCTAAACCTACTGAAAAAGCAGTAGGATATCGGGGTGCTTCTGAGGTAATGAAAACGTTGGACGAGACAAAGTTGCATGCATTTCTGCGAAGAATGCAAGTTAGTTCATTCTTAGAGTATTTCTGCTCGGGACATGATCGACTCACCCAAAACCAGCAATGATGGCCATGCCAACAGCGTTTTCGGGCCTACCGATGACATTGCTGTGGAACCAAGCAACGCAATTCGGCATCTGAATGTTGGCACCCCAGTAAATCATATAGAGACCGAAATAGCGTACACCAGCTGGTTGTACTTGAGCCCGTTGGATAGACCAGCCGACAATGGAAATGGCAGCACCAAAAGCAATGACAATTGAACGATTGTTCAGACGGCCTGCAATCCAACCCGACGCCACCATTATGAAGGCGCCAACGAGGTAGATTGGTATTAACATCACGTTAGCTCTATTGCCGGTATATCCCAGTTGAGAGAGAATGGTTGGTGAAAACGAAACGGTCGAGGCGGCACTCATGTCGCTGCAGAAATAAATGAATGTTCTTGGTCTTGTTAGCATTCTGGAGGATTGTGAGCGAGTTAGTCTTTGCTTACACTGCCCAAGTCTTCCAGTTGAGTATACACTTAATCCACTCCACGTTCTGCATATTCGATTTCTCTTGCCCGCGCTCGATCTTGAGTCGGTTCAAGAAACTCTCGCGCTCATGCGGATCGAGAAAGTGAGCCTTTTCGGGCCAGTCAGGTGTGAACATTGCTAGTACGGCACCGAAGCATCCTGTCACGACTCCCTCGAGTATGAATATCCATCGCCAGCCCTCAAGACCATGCACACCGTCCATGTTGCCAATTGCATAAGCGAGGAACTAATAACCGCGTTAGTTAGCTACAATTTTATTGCGATACTCACCAGAAGACTTACAGCACTAAACGTGTTGCCTAGCAAGGCACAGCAGATAAAAAAGGAGAACCTTGGTGCGAACTCTGAACGTCTATAGTACTGTCCCATGAGGAGCGCAGCACCGGGCTGGACGCCAGCCTCTACCACGCCCATTAATGCTCTACAAGCATACAAACCACCCGGAGATCGAGTTAGGCCCTGGCACGTCGAAGCGATCCCGAGCACGAAGACAATTCCTCCTAGCCAGAGTGATGGTCGAACCATACCCCAACTAAGAAAAAGGTTACATGGTACTTCAAGGACAACGAACGGGAGATAGAAAACCCAAAGTGCTGTGTTGTACCCATTGGAAGGCATGGCCAGGTCTGCCTCGAAGCCATTGAGCTTTGCTGTTGCGATATTGGTACGATCCAGGAAAGCGAGAAGGTACATTATGCCGAGAAGAGGAAGCAAAGCTATGTCTAGCTTGCGGGTGATCTTTTTTGTCAAGGCGGTATCATAAACCTTAGGGTCTGTGACAGCCTCGGCATTGGGTGAACCGCCGAGCACTGGTCCATTCTTAGCAGCGGTAGGGTTTTCCTTATTATTTGGACATGATAATGCGGTGTCGGCCATCGCGGGTCACCATGTATATATGCCTTGGAATTTTCGTAATTGCGCAATAGTCCTGTTAGATCCAGTGGTTACAATGAGTCGAATTTCTGGGAACCCCAGACAGTAGCCTCTGAGTGGTTGAGGGGACCTAGCAAGTCTTCATCTGCAACCCCAACAAACGCGAGTATTTAACAACATTATGAATCAAGGCGAGGACCCATTGAATCTCACGTGTGCTATCCGAGCGGGAAGTGGTGGATGCCATTCCGGACACAAGAACTGATCCTGGGTTTTATAACATGGGCATCCGCTTCACCACGTGCATGGGATCAGACCGTAAGCAGGATTTATGGGTCTGTTGTTGAAGATATGCGTTGCGTCCACTGGTCAATAGCAATAGGTACGGCAGATCGCGACCAATGTAGTATGGTGCACCGACATGAGTGCGTTAATCCCCAGGGATTGTGCTAAGCACTCATTGGACGGCGGACAGATATCCGCCATCAGTGCCACACCTAAGCTTTGCCGTGATATGATGCGAAGGCAGTGCGCAGGGGCCAGTCGAACTGTTGTCAAAGACATGACCAGGAGGCCGCGACAGCCTGATAGAGGAATCGAGTTATATTAGACGTTACACAATGAGGACTATGTATGCTAGAGTTAGTTTAGAGTATATCTCTTAGACTAGTCTAGTGGGAATGTTTAGTGGAGCGACCAGATAATCGGGATTCCTTAAGATTATTTTACTCAGCATGATTTCTTGGCATCATCTGGTATAGCCATCACTAGTATGAGTGACTAGGTTTATTAGGCAGGATACGGCGGCACCAACTCTGCATCAGATAGACACCTTAACGTTTAATAGCAGCACATTTTCTGATAATGTCACCGACACGATGCGTGTCGGATGTCACTAGGACACGAAACTTTGACAAACAACACAGAAATCGCCTAGGTTGGGTTAATTATTTCGCCGTGCATCTTATTCTTGACCATGAATCATAAAGCTTGGATTGCATGTTTTGACAGGGTAAACGTGTAACTCACTCTTTGCGTATGATCAAATGCACCTACGAATCCACCCATGAGCCATACGGCTGCCTTGAAGTGCAAACAACTTTTCATCTCGACATCACTAAATCCTAAACAGTGGGTCTTAACCCTGCAGTGAGTAAGTTTGATAGGAGTGCTCTGACAGTGATAAAGGCTGTAGTACGGAGTAGAGATCCATGGCAACTACATTGTCTAAGCAGCCCAATAAGAAGGATTACGGTGGTCACTGTTGATGAAATTGACTTTGTTGTCAAGTCGTTGGAGTGCCTTGATTCTATGCTTGGACTTCAAATATGACTTTTACCCTCAAACCCATTTCATGTCAGACAATAATATATGCTACACTCACCATCAATTGCTCATAAAACAATTGTCGCGAGGTAGTTGTTTCCCCATTTGAGGACTTTGTATTTAGCGATACGAATCAGTGACGTGGTTACTTCAAATACGCTACAAGCTCATGCGTTGAGTATTAGTTGTTAGCAATTAACCTTCGCCAAACAACTCCTGCTGGATAATAGTGTCATATGTTGATGGTAGCAAAAGACAACATGAAGAACATCAAATCCAGGAACGAGCTTCTAGTGCGACAGGATTTCTATCCGTTGCGTCTCGCTTCAGGGGTCGATAGCGGGAAGACCCCAGCATGGAACCGCTAAGCTGTCAGATCCGTGTTCTGGGTAGCACAGCCACCGGCTTTCAGCTGGTCAAGTTCTATTACGGATGCCGCTACTAAAAGTCTTCGCCCGCCAAGACTTTTCGTACGTACCTGGCTGATTGAAGGAAGGTAGCCCCAGCTGTTGATAAAGTCGTCCGCTAAATTTGAATTTCCAGAGGGGCTCTCTTGATGGATTTAGCGCTCCGTAGTGGTCCTTATTTAGTGAGTCTCAGCGGATTCAGCACTTAAGTGCCTGAAGATAGTTCTGCTCTCAGCTGGGAGTGGACCGTTTCAGCTGGCTATACAAAATCAAGCGGGCGAAGACTTTTGGTAGCGACATCCGTAGTGGTCCAACATCCGTCCAACAGTCAATTGCTAGCTACACACACTAGAACACTACGGCACTCAGGATGGCTCGACCTACGTTACCACTTCGAAGACGAAGAGACACGGTAGAAGGCCCGGCCCCAAGGCGTCCGTTTCATCAGCATTCCACCGTAATTGAAGACGCCTGGGCCATCACCGAGATCGCCGAGAACATCTTGGCTCGTCTGCCCATGAAGGACCTCCTCTTGGCTCAGAGAGTTTCTTCCGGCTGGAGAGAGCTCATCAGCATCTCGCCAGTCCTACAAGAGCTTCTATACATGCGACCAAGACAGCCTGGACCAGCTCAGGAGATTTTGCCCGATGGCACGCCGATACGTGATTTTAACCCGCTCCTCGTAAAATACATGCCTATGTGGTTCTCTAAACGTAAAGACGCTTCGAACCAGTGGATCATGCATGCCCCGTGGGCCCGGACAGTTTCGAGACTGACATTCCTCCGCCGCGACGCGAGCTGGCGGCGAATGCTCCTCGCACAGCCGCCATTTACCGTGTTCGAGGGCGTCCAGCAGTGGCACGTTTATGGTGCCGACTCGCTGGCCGTCGGCTGCCTCGAGCTCCCGGACGGCGTGCGCATGGGCCTGGCCTACGACACAGCCGTAGCGTCCGTCGAGGGCCCGAGTATCGGAAGCATTCCCGTCTCCTTCTACACTCTTATGGACGGGAGAACCTCCCATTGTGCTCGAGGCCAGAAGGCGAAGAATGAATGGGAGATGCCGGAGAGGATATTCGGAGGCATAGACAAGTTCACGTTAATCACCCAAAGCGATGGAGGGCACTTGCAGCTAGATCATGAAACCCGCAGGAAAATTGAGCTGCAACATCGTGAGTATACTAGCGTAGGATCTGAGCCCGCCAAGATTGTGCTTCGCAAGGTCCCCCGGATTGTTAAGTATCCTGGATCCCTTTATACGTGGTGGACTGACGATGGTTATATAGAAGCTAATGAATAGTTGCTGATTGGTTCCTGTATCTCGACGGTTCATGTCTTACACCAACATGTTTCTAGCGCTCTAACCTTAATATGCTTATCCTATCAATGTCGTTCCTAAAAGCCGGATTCGTCCTACTATCCCCCGAACTGCTGTAAGGTGACATTTTTTCCAGTACAGCCAAGAATCGGGAAAAACCGGCAGGTGGACTTCTAAGGCCTAATTACAACGTCGCGATAACGATAAAATCCAACGAGAGCTGTGGCTCTGGTGGCTAAAACGCTAACCATAAGTAGCTTAGGCACTATTCTTCGAAATGTCACACGGCAAATTCGTAGGGTAACGGCTGCAGCAATGGTTGGCACCAGCAATTTCAGTCAATGGGTGCATTCGGTACTGAATTTGGTAGCGCAACAGTCGATATCGGTACCTTTCCTCATATGCATCGGTGGGCTATCTATCCCCATTCATGCCACCAACCTCCCTGGCATCGTCGCGAACCTCCACTGTAATTCGATCCCAACCTCCTAGATTACTCGGCCAACGGGTACCCCTGTGACGCTCAGAGACGTACACAATAGAGCACCAATCTCTTGTGTCCGCCTAGAACCTTGGCTCTTGGACCCTGCAGCTGTGACGGATCCGTAGCGCCCCTGGAGTTGCTAGGCGCCAACAACAAATCGCATTCTGAATACCCAATGCGATGACGAGTGCCGCGGGAAAACGGGTGGTTGGTGAGCCAACTTTTTCTCGGCTACGAACCCGTAATTTGCATGTATTTACTACCATAAGAGCAATCTGAGCCCTGGAAATGCTTCTAGATTTTGCGTTCATACAATAGCATTGTGAAACTTATCTGCATATTCGACGTGTACATTGTAGGGACGGTTTAAGAAAATCTAGTCTTGGTTGTGCATTTCTTTTAAGTCCGACGACAGCCAATTCTCACCTCACCGGCGAACAACCTGAGCGTCTTTCCTTCGCGCTCCGTCTTTGGCATTGCCTTTCATTCATACATTATCAGACAAAATGGTTCTTTGTAGGAGGATAGCCACCGTAGCGGTAGCCCTGTTGGCGGGCCAGGCCACTGCACAAACATATACAGACTGCAATCCGCTCCAGTCGAGTAAGCATTTCTGCTACGCCAAACTTGGAGCCACAACTAACACTTTACTCCAGCATGTTCTGCTAATACCGCGCTTGGTATGACGATAGACGTCGACTTCACCCAGGGAGAAGTCAACTCATTTTCTACGTCGGGTGGCACTCCGACGTACAGTTCGTCGAATGGTGCGACATTCACAGTGGCCAAGTCTGGGGACGCACCACAGTTAAACTCAATGTTCTACATTATGTTTGGGCGTGTCGAATTCTATCTCAAGGCAGCACCCGGTGCAGGAATTGTTTCATCAGTCGTATTGCAATCAGACGACTTGGATGAGATCGATATGGAATGGCTAGGTGCCGATACCGACCAGGTAGCCACGAATTACTTTGGCAAGGGGCAAGTCACGACATACAACCGCGGAGAGTGGAACCCAGCGGCTGGCAACCAGGACGGCTTCCTCAAGTACACAATTGATTGGACAAGCGAGCGTATCGTGTGGATGGTTGGGGAGACCACGATTCGTACGTTGACATACGAGAACGCTGAGACGGACCAGTATCCGCAGACGCCGATGCAGGTCAAGTTTGGAGCTTGGTCTGGAGGAGACTCAAGCAACAGCGCTGGAACTATCAGCTGGGCCCGTGGTCCTACGGACTACTCTCAAGGACCTTTCAGCATGAACATCAAGAGCATGGTCATCACAGACTACAGCACCGGCAGTTCTTACTCTTATGGCGACACCACCGGTGACTGGACTTCCATCACCTCCAGCGGCGGTACCATTAACGGCAACTTAAACGGCGCCGGCTCCTTGACGGTCACGGCCACTGCTGGCTCCACGGCCACTGCGAGCGTGCCTGCTGGTGCCCTCGGGTCAAGCACTGCCACTTACAGCGCTAGTTTGCCTTCTGGATGGCGAATGACATCGTCAGGAAAAGTCGTGCCGAATGCATCCTCGGGCATGCAACCTCCTCACCCTCTTCTCTTTGCTGGCCCCGTGATTTTTGCTATCCTGGCCTCGCTGTCAGGGATTTGGAGGCACATTTGAGCGCGCACTCCAGAAGAAAGTGGCTCTTGATAGCCCGGATAATGGTGGGATGTTTAGACGATGAGCACTATAGACATGCATATGCAGCAATGGCGTTGGAAATATTTGGGAATTTGGTGCTTATAAAAAGCACAAGGCGATTTACATCGGGCCGCCACTAGAGAAGTAGAATTTACAAGCATGGATGGGAGATTATGGCCACACTGTACATATTACGAATAGTGGCCGGGGATAATGAGTGTTACGCAGAGGATATACCCAGAGTGCAAACTCAGTAGCTAGTTATAATCAAACTCCAAAATATATGAGCAATATGATCGCAATATTAGCTACGGTCGTCATCTTATGACTAATCACGATACATATCACCAATTTCAAAATATCATGGCTTCGTGTCTCTGCTGGTATGGTATTGCGGAAGAAATCAGAGTTGGTCAAGTGGGATTTGAGTCTGGTAATTATGTTACATGAATTTGGCAATCGATGCGACAGCTTCAGTACCCACAAAGATGATCCTGACTGCTACTATCACTGCTGGTGATGATTCAAATGAGCGAGGGCAGGCAAGTTGCCGTACTGCTGTATGCAGGGGCAGTGAATCAAGGTATTGTGTTCGCGAAGGTTAAACCCCTTTCATCGAATCATAGCACGTGAGGAACTACATGGTAAGAAGGAGAACGTTATTCGTTGACGTATTTATAGAATATTGGAGAGCTACTTTGACAATATGATTAGACTATATAAATCGCCTCTGATGTTGGTGTTATCAACTTAGTGCGTCTTTAGTCCATGTTATTATGATTTAAGGCTCTGAAATTTGTCTCGCAAGGTTGATACTTGTAGGTCATCGCCATGATGTCCCTCTGGGCACCGAGGTGGACTAGAGATTTATCCTCGCCGAGAAGGGTGGCAAAGTGCCTAAATCCGAGGAGGTTGAGGATGTCCACAGCGTTCTCATTGCGGGAGCATCTTTGATGCTCATGGAAACAACGGCTGGATTTGGTCACACTCGATTGTTCACAGATTAGTGCCAGCAACACTCGAGCTTCGGGCGATAGTAATTTACATTTTCATCCGCTATATGCCATATACATGGCTCCTCGGGCCGCCCATGCTGTATGGCCCTGGTTCCAGTGAAGCGAGTCAAGGTCCATCGTGCACTCTACAAGAGGTCGTCGGACGCACGCCACCTCTGCCTTGCCTTATGAAGCACTTCCTACTGCTCTTCCACGGCCTACACCCACCCACTAGCTGGTCCATATTGGCGCTCGCGGCCTGCTGGGCACTGGCTATAACGCGATGCCATCCAACAGCTACCAGGGTGGTAGAAACTGCCTATCAGAATGGAGCGAGGACATCGCTGATTCCGAGAACTGTATACTATTCGTGAGCCGACTAACTTTTGGTATCGACATGACCTATTTCTCCCACAGATGCCGCCAAGCATTGAGCAGAGTCCGGAGCCTAGTCATCCATCCAGCTGACGACGATCACGACTGTGTTTGTAGTAACGATCACCTTGTTTACACCGGACGAGGCCCAGGGGATCATTAAGCTTAATATCCCCTCCGCCGTCGTTAATGATGGCGGTCAACCCAGCAGCGCTCGCAGCCGTGTTCGAAGGCCTCGTGCCGAACAAGCCACGTTGCGCGGCTCGTATGACCAGGCTGAGGACTATACTCTAGAACTACACAGGTAGGCATCTTAATGCTATGTCCACCCTTTTGAGTCCACGACTTACGACACATCATTGCGGCCCCCTTTAATTTATGACGCTATAAAGTCAAACTTCAGGCTAAGAGTTGGCGGGGTCCTCTTGCTTGTCGCAACTCTGGGAGACGGCAACAACATGCTCATTCAGCGAGCTGAAGATCTATCAGCTGGTGACCAACGAAGATCAGAAGCATGAGCGCCAGGTCGGGAGAAATTCAACGCTTCCCAAGTACAGTATGTAGAGTGACTTTTTAGCCCGACTTGAGATCAAACATCAACAGGTCAAAAGTACATCTGTGTACTCGAGGATCAGCATTGACGGGACAAATGCAAAGAAAATCCATGTGCATTGTGGAGGAAAGCGTGGTCTAACCTTCGTGCAGCAGTTGGTGGCAGCGAGTGACGACAAAAGGAATAACTTAAAGTATATGCATCTAAAAGAGCTTGCCTGCTGCCCTGCCCCACCATAAGGTCACTCTAGGGTGTCGGGTTCCAGCTCATCAGGACTGCAGGCAGGCTGCAATCGACACGGAAATTTTGATTGCTAGCTCTCAGCCTTGCGATCTTGCTACATACGGCGACGATATACTCGGTACCATCCTGCAAAGCACGAAACCGACGACTACGGGCGCGATAACATACACGAGCTACTGTAGCCAACGAGTTGCCAGGTAAGAGGAGACGCAAGCTCCTTGACCGCCCCAAGATGAGGCTCACGGTCGAGCTCCTCCAGGAAACCCCCTCGTGGCTCAACGCGCTGAAAGAGCGCGAGCTGGACCTCCGAGGTACGTTGCGAAAAGAGCAGATACTACATTTTTGATCTTTGGGAGCAGAGTTGATACCGATCTCTTCGCCACGTGAATAGGACACAGAATTCCGGCCATTGAAAACTTGGGTGTTGCCGGTGTAAGTTGTTTTCCTTCTTTCTCTTTTTTTTCTTTCTATCCATTGTCTCATCTCCCCCACCTTGGACGAACCTCACGCGACAGTTCATTCTGCTGACCGGGACTCGCACATCTGTAGCCGCAAGACGCCATAGACTTGGTCGACAATGACATCCAGGTGCTGGGCAACTTCCCGCTGAGCCCGAGAATACGCACGCTGCTTCTCGCTCGCAACCGCATCGCCACGATACAACCAACACTGTCTAATTCGATCCCGCTGCTCACGAATCTGCAACTAGAGAGCAATGACCTGAAGGAGCTGGCCGATCTCGACCCGCTGAGTCCCTTCCCCAACTTGACTCACCTGGTCTTGAAGGATAACCCCGTGACGAAGAAAGAGGTGAGTCTTTTACACAAAGCACCGCCGAGACAGAGCAACGGCAGGCGCTGACAGTGAGCGCAGCACTACCGCTACTGGGTTCTATGGCGATGCGGCGCCGTACGCTTCCTCGATTACCAGAAGGTGAAGCAGGCCGAGCGCGAACGAGCCGCCGAGCTCTTTGGAACCGCCCAGGAGCCGACAGACCTCGCCAAGACCATCGTGGGCATCAAATCCAGCGCAACGTTTGACGTTTCTTCCGCCTCCAATGGGTCGACTGGTGGTCTCTCGTCTAGGATGTCGAGAATCAAGCTCACGGACAAGGAGAAGAAGCGGTTGCAGGACCTGATCAGGAACGCCACGAGCCTGGACGAGATTACGAGATTGGAGACGATGCTCAAGGAGGGTAGGATGCCTGCTGGTGTTCACATCAATGACGATATGGAGGAGTAAAGAGGGGGATCACGGGCCAGAATCGAGCATATACCTCAAAACTCAATGAGAATAGGAATGGCATATCGTGCACTCATGCTGAGCTAGAGACAAAACGAGCATCTGAACGAATAAAAACCCCCACGAAGACGGGGCATTGAATGAATTGATTTATCAAGGTCTGATCATATGTCGTGTGCATTGTGTAAAGGTAAATATTTTCCCACAATCATTTGCCAGTGGACAGGTCCCTTAGGGAGCTTGATCCGGCGCTCCTCGGGTATTGAATCATGTAGGGTGTTCTAGCAAGACCGTTGTGACGTGGTTCTCTGAAGAATGCTAGTCGGCCATCTCAACATCGCCGTCGTTGCCCCTTGCCTGCCTCATCTCCATCTCAAGTTGGTCATTCGGATCTGCAGAGTTATCCTCGGCATCGCTTTGACGGCGTGGCTCCGTTCCGTTGGCGCCGCGGCCGTTGCCAAGCATACTGCCGATGTCCACGCTGCCGTTAAGACTCGAGCGGCTGGCGCTCGACTTATGCTTCTTGGTGCCGTTGGGCGCGGGCGCACGCGGCTCCTCGTCCTCAGCGTCATCCGCTGACCGGCCCCCGCGCAAGCTGGCACGCGTTGCGGCAGCTGTGGCCTTGACATCCTTGAACTTGACCGTTTTGGGCACAAGGTCCTCGAGGAACTCGAGGTTGTCGTGTCCATGTACTGCGTTGGCTGGAGGAGGGGCTGGGTGTCAGCAGGGACTCGGTTCAGCAAAAGTTAAATAGGAAGCATAGTAGTTACCGATGTCCTTGTATTGAATATTTCTCCTCGGCTTACGCTCTGCCTTTGCCTGGTCCAACGCTTTTGCTGCTAGATGTTGTATAAACATTTCCTACGAGAGGGGGGGATCAGCACCAGGCGAGGGCGGTGAGATTGGTTCAGATAGGGTCTCACTGTTGCGACTGTGATTGCAAATGATGCATTGTTTGAGCAGATCTGAACATCTTGATCTTGGGCGATGATCTTCTTGACTCTGGATACTGCTTCACTCGTCAGTATCTAGTACTCGTGGCATATTTTTCGTGTGACTTACATGGCAGTTGCGTTTGGCCTGTCACCTCCTTTCTCGGAGGGATTGCTGTGGTGTTGTAGGGCATGGCGGCCGAGGTGCGAGTAATGCCCCTCTACTGAGTGCTCGAAGGTTACGGTGATGTGTTGAGGATGGTGGTGCTGAGCTTGAAGCTGGAAGCGTTTGGGCGAGTTGATGATGCTCCTGCTCATTATGGTCAGCGGTATTTGAGAGATAGTTTTGTGAGCTTCATGCTTCCAAGGCGTCGTTGCCAAGGACGTTTTGGCACTGCAACGAACAGCTACAGACTACGGCCAGTCGAACATTCAGTATTTACGAGATGGCACTTTGCACGGTTGCTGATGTCTCGTGGCATTGACCTGAGACGACAAGTCATAAAAATAAAAATGAACGAAGTGATCTTGGTGGAGCCCCATGGGGGTGCCTCTGGAAGAAATTGTATACTAACTTTTTAACGTTTTACTATTATTCCGTATCTGCTGGACGAGGGGGATGAATACGGACCGTGGTTCATGAGAAACGCGTGCTGAGTTTTGGAGACGCGATACACGGCCATGACTGCCCATTGAGTGCTTGCATGAGTTTAGCGGAAAGAGGGGGGACGTGCACCATTCAGAACACACACTGTAGCTCTAACCTTGGACTAACTAACCTAGCCTAGACTCACCTCACCTTCGGTTGACCTAACCTTAGACTAGTCTGAGGCTCCAGGTAGACCCTCCTTGCGTCCGTTGCACGACCCCTGCAGACCATGTCTCATAGCGTCTTACGTATGTCTTCCAGGTCTTTCAGGCATGGATTTGTATTACCTGCGCCGAGTGAGCTCGCTAGCTTCAACCTTCAGCCTTTAGCCCTCGAGCCTGTGGCATTCAGTCCTGCCAGACGCTGACGGTGCTTGATTGACCGCGTACTGTACTTCTGGGTCGCTGATTGTAGACAGTGCTCTTCAATATCACAACGTAGACAAAAGAAGAAAAAGAACAGAAGAAGAAAAGGGAATTTACTATTTCCGACGTACAGTACGAGCGCAGAAGTATCTGGCTTGCGATTGCCAGGGTCGCAATGACGACGCGATGAGTGCCATGAATTCTAGAACGACCTCCTTTTCCGCCCCAGTCTCGCGCCCACAGTCCACTCGCCGGCCCAGTCTGAGCTCGAGGTTGTCATTCGCTGTCTCGACAGTCGAAAGGGGCGAGGGCAATGGCAGCGCCGATGCGCCAGCTGCCCAGCAGATCGAGGAGGAGATCGCCGAGATCAAGCGATACGAGGACTTTACCACCATAGACTGGGTACAAGATGCCGCCCGGGAACAACAACGGCGCAAGGTCCGGCGGAGGAAGACGGCCGGTCTGTTTGACAATGGAAAGGTCACCTGGCGATACAAGCTGTGGGAGTCCTACGACGCCGCCCAGGGCTGGATTGTAGTGACGCTTGTTGGTGCTGCTATCGGCATGATCGCTTCCTTCCTCAACATCATAACCGAATGGCTCTCGGATATCAAGCTGGGATACTGTACCACCGCCTTCTACCTGAATGAGAGCTTCTGCTGCTGGGGCGAGGACAATGGCTGCGACGATTGGCATAGGTGGACCAGTTTTGAACCCGTCAACTATATCCTCTACATCATGTTCGCCACCATCTTTGCCTTGACGGCTGCCACCCTCGTCAAATCTTTTGCGCCATACGCAGCTGGTTCCGGCATATCCGAGATCAAATGCATCATTGCGGGCTTTGTCATGAAAGGTTTCTTGGGGTTCTGGACACTCGTCATCAAATCCATCGCGCTGCCCTTGGCCATCGCGTCTGGGTTATCGGTCGGAAAGGAAGGCCCTAGCGTCCATTATGCTGTTTGTACCGGCAATGTCATCTCGCGCATGTTTGAGAAATACAAGAGTAACGCTTCCAAGACCAGAGAAATCCTCAGCGCTTGCGCAGCTGCCGGCGTTGGTGTCGCTTTTGGCAGTCCTATCGGAGGTGTACTCTTCTCGCTCGAAGAAATGTCAAGCTACTTTCCCCTCAAGACCATGTGGCGAAGCTACTTCTGCGCTCTGGTTGCGACCGCAGTCCTCGCCGCGATGAATCCTTTTCGAACGGGGCAATTGGTCATGTTCCAGGTCAGGTATGACCGGTCTTGGCATTTTTTCGAGGTGGTGTTTTACATCATCCTCGGAGTTTTCGGTGGTCTCTACGGAGCTTTTGTGATGAAGTGGAATCTGCGAGCACAGGCTTTCCGAAAGAAGTATCTCACCAACTACGCGGTTCTTGAGGCGACTCTCCTGGCTGCGGGGACGGCTATAATATGCTATCCCAATGTCTTCCTTCGAATTGACATGACGGAAAGCATGGAGATCCTGTTCCTTGAGTGTGAAGGAGCAGAAGATTATCAGGGTCTTTGTGATGCTGACAAGCGATGGGGCAACATATTGTCGCTCACTCTCGCGACCGTGATTAGAATATTTTTGGTCATTATCTCGTATGGCTGCAAGGTACCTGCTGGTATTTTCGTCCCGTCGATGGCGATTGGCGCATCCTTTGGTCGAACCATTGGTATCATCGTTCAAAGCCTCTACGATGCATTTCCCAACAGCTCTTTCTTTGCAGCATGTCAACCAGACGTACCATGCATCACGCCTGGCACATATGCCTTCCTTGGTGCAGCAGCGGCGCTTTCTGGTATTATGCACATCACTGTCTCTGTGGTTGTCATCATGTTTGAATTGACTGGGGCTCTGACCTACATTCTACCTACAATGATTGTAGTGGGTGTCACGAAAGCCGTTTCCGACCTGCTGGGCAAAGGCGGCATCGCAGATCGCATGATCTACTTCAGTGGCTTTCCTTTCCTGGATAACAAAGAGGAACATAACTTTGGCGTACCCGTACAAACAGCCATGAAAACAGATGTCGTTGCTATTCCAGCGAATGGTATGACCTTTCGATCGCTGGAAGACCTTCTCAGCCAGCCAAAGTATCAAGGGTTCCCGATTGTGGAGGACCTTGAGTCGAAGTTGTTGCTGGGCTACATTGGAAGGACTGAACTCCGCTACGCCGTAGAGAGACTGAGGCGGGAGCGTGGAAGTACGGTCAACGCCGATGCCAAGTGTACATTCTCTCCGCCAGCATCAGCCTTGAGCAGTGTTACGCCCATCACTCCAACAGTCACTATAGGCAACGCGGATTTTAGTATGAGCTCTACATCTGTTGACTTTAGTCGATATGTCGACGCTACGCCCGTGATGGTACATCCCCGCCTACCCCTGGAGACGGTCATGGAGCTTTTCCGGAAGATTGGTCCCAGAGTGATCCTTATCGAACATCATGGTCGTCTTACGGGATTGATTACAGTCAAGGATTGCCTCAAGTATCAGTTCCAGGCAGAAGCAGCTGAGAATCCCAGAGATGAGCATGACATACAAAAGGGTCACGAGAAGCTATGGAGCTGGATGCGTACAGTAGCTGGGTGGTTCTCTAGCAAGGTAGACACTATAAGTGGCGGCCGCATACAGCTAGGGAATGGTCCTCCCTCTATAACAAGTGGCCGTGGCAGGATCATGGATGGAGACGAAGATCTTGCGGACTTGGCTGAGAACGATGGGCTTGAGTTGGAAAATAGGTAGATCGAGTAAGTCCTTTGTGAATGTAAACAGATGCCAGTGCTTTATGATTTCTGGCTTTTACGCACTGATGCTAAACAAACATTTCGGCCACAAAAAGTCTGCAGTGTATCAATCATTGTAGCCCAGCCTTCTGAAACCGCGCGACTCCACTTCCGGATCATATCAAAGATTGGTATGTGAACATCGATAATAAAAAGTAGGCGAAAGTCAGTGAAGAACGTAGTACAATACGGAAGAACGTGACATGATATACAATCCGATCGGCAAAGCGAATCCTTGCATTCAGTCCTACAAGGATACACCAATTGAGGGTTTAATCCCGCTGCGCATTATCGGCACTCCTTCGAGTGGTGCGATGCAACCTCCTTGTTCTCACGGCAGGATTCAATCCTTAATTAAGCTTAAGAAACAGCCCGGTGAATCCAGTGAAATGCTGTGATAGATAGGGTGCTAGTCCGTTTCACGGAAATTTATAGTCCATCCTTCAGGAACAAACTAAGCTTCTTTTGTGGAGAAAGGTCATGAGCACTGTCCTAGTACAATGTTCAAGGACATACTGAATCTCCTCTATTCTCAACTGGTATACAGTAATGAAGTGCCGGTTGCCGTTTCGTGCAATAGCTCAGCTCTAAAGACCGATGATAGAATGTCAACAGTATCAGTGGCCCTCTCCACAAATGCTACGCGTAGTGCCAACTTATAAATAGAATAACTAGAGCCTAGCGTGTGGACCATGAAGGACTTCGCTCAGCTATGAGTACTGTGGTTGAGCATCTGACTCGGGGCTTTACATGACTTTCCGTTCTTGGGGTAGTTGTATGCATTGCACACGCACTTAGAAATTCCTGTAGGATTGTGCCGAATCTTGAGAGCCTCAAGATCTAGGACCTATCGTAATCAGGGATGCTCTCATACTTCAAATATGACTTATATTTTGTTACTAGATGATGTCCGGGCGTTACAACTTGACTAGGTGGACATTCTGTCTCTTGAAATAGCTTTTTTCTTTTTTGAACCCTGTAGACAAGCGATGGAACATCTGCAGGAGAGACCAACGTTCACAAGTGACTTCATGTCAAGGGATTACGGCACAATGGACATGTAAAGTTAAAGACACAGCCAACGTGAAGCATTTATAAGTAAGTGAACTGTGCCGACGAAACTGATACTTCTATCAGCATCAAGCAACACAGTCTTGGATACTCCCGTCCTGACATTACCATTACTACCTTAAAACACTCCCATCCAGTAATAAATTTTCCACGATGGTCAATATAAAAGTAGCCGGCAGCATCGCGTTGCTCTCCGTCGCTGTGAGTGCCAGTGTTCTACCGGTTCGCTCTGTTCAGCAGCTCAAGCGAGACTCCGACACACCTCCTACGGCTCTACCGCAGAACGCAGACGATGTAGCCCTTTCGTTCCAGCCCGTCCTTGACTACGACACGGACAGCTGCTACAACGTCCCTGCGATCGATGCCCAGGGAAACCTCGATAAGGGCCTCTCGAACACCTACACCACCAACACCGGTGACGGGTGCCGCACCGCTTCGTATCTGGACAACCAGAACGTGTACTCCCGTACCCGCTGCAACAACGGCTGGTGTGCCTACATGTACGAGCACTACTTCCAGAAGGACGTCGGCCTCGAGCATGTGGCCGGTGTCGCCTCGGGTCACCGCTACGAGTGGGAGAACGTGGTCATTTGGGTCCAGGACGGACAAGACCACCCGAGCTACGTCGCCGTATCTGAGCACGACGGCTACTCGATAAGGAGTGCCAGCGACGTCCGCTTCCAAGGTAAGCAGCCCACCCTGAAATCATGGGCAGAAAACCGAAAAACAAAAACACACACGGAACGCAAACATACTGACGTACTTCTACCACAGACCATCATGCCAAGGTCATCTACAACAAGGCTGGTGCTGGCACACACGACTTCCGCTTCGCCAATGAGGGCGACGACGCGGTTGAGAACGACAAGGGTGTGTGGATCCAGGGTGCGCTGGTTGGCTTCTGGGGCTACCCTTCGGTGGACCTCCGTGACAAGATGATCCAGAACTGGGCCAACAACGGCATCAAGTGCAAGATTGAGACGGCCATCTTCGCCGACTACCTCAAGAAGTCCATTGGCGACCACGACGTTGGCAGCTTTGATTTCAACTCGGATTCTTAGATGGTTTAGGAGTATTTGTTGGAACAGGCACAATGGATCTCGGGATAAAGTTCCATGACATGTAAATATATGATTAGATGCTTATGGTCACAAATACGAACATCAAAGCCGCCAGAGAAAGACTAGAGCGTTGAGTAGCGCTTAAAACAACGAGATATATGGCCCTTCGTTGTTGTTATTCTTCTTCCCGTAGAGGGGCACCTCCATGACCGATAACTAGCATGAGGCGGTCTGTTGTCTTAAAACAAGGCTTTAGCTTGATTCTGTAGTACGACTGCGTGAAAATGCGTTGACGCTCAGAGTGTCATTTATTTCCGAGAACTAACTCCACAGGATGTGATCATAAAGGTATCTCATAAAGTTCGTCACATCTGTCGAGCGGTTTTGATCATCAATGTTTATTTCTGCGGGGATATGAGTTATTGGTGCGGCTCATGAAGTCAATATAGAAGACTTGGAAGCGAAAGTACGAAAGGAGAAAATGATTGACGACACCCGGTATATCTGACGAAAGAAGACGAGTAATATGGGACACTCAATCTTGAGTACTGAGTATGACGAAATGTCATAAGAGCAAGGTTGCACTTCGATCTGGGTCTCAATGATTTCGTCCGAATTATGAAAATTTTTAGTGTGGCCTTGTGAATAGAAAGCACATTTGTTAGTCTTAGCAATACGGTGATTGACCAAGGTAGAGAGCGGACGATAGTATTGCGTATAACACCCTGATGTTAAATTTTTCGTGTGATGAATAATATAATGCCTTCGGATTAATGTTGAAAGTGAAACTTCCCTGCTTGCTACGATGGTATTAGGAGCTGATAGTGACATGATACAATGTTATATGGTTGTAAGATTGTGTCGAACTTATCCTTAGCTTCAAATCAACTAGCTCAGTCTGAAATTGTTCTTTTAGGTCTTCCTCTTCTGGCTTGGCGCATTGTCCATAGGTTCCAAGCATTTCCAGCGGCGACGAATATAAACTGATACAGGTATGTGGCGATGTGGTTGGAGGCCTCGGCACGTTATTGGTCATGGATTTGTCCAAGGGGAAGATATCGAATATTAGACCGTATTTTAAAGGCCTAGATTGTAACAGATAGAATTCCGCGAAACCTAATGACACTTTATTTATTTATAGATGGTAGGTAATGTACAAATATCATATGACGTATGGAAAAAGAATAGAGCCAGAATATTTGCTTTTCGAGGCCACGACATGTGACAGTCCTAAGGGGAAGTTTTTCAGTTCGTAAGTTTGTCAAGCCGATGTCCTGTAAGGGGTGTATAAGTGAAGTTCTGCCCTTGGCAATTACAATTTCGCGACCCTAATCTGGGATAACATAAGGAGTCATTGAAGCCTAGAGCAAGCTGATGGAATAGAAACGGAGTTTACAAATCAGGATGACATGCGTTCACTCCGCCACGCCAGTGGTGGTCAAGTTTATGGGACTGTGACTCCTTAGGTCTATTGCCTATCCGCACCCCGAATTTACTACAAAGTACTTATTTAAATATGCTGTTCGAACGTAACTTGTATATGTGACATTGATAGTATGTCCATAACAATTCTTACAGTAAACTTGACTAATGTAGGGGTGGGAGACAACACGTGGATATTGAGCTGTAAACAATATTCGACTCACCACGGCACGCATCTACACTTCTCACTCATTCTCGCCGATTGAGAGATGTTTTTGTAGAGTCCCGCATCTTATAAAGGGGCAGATACCAAGATCAATGACGAAAGACAAAGATGTAAGACAACAGTAATCTTGAAGTAGAATAACTTCGGGACGAAAGCGAAGACATCCATTCCAAAATTTATGTTTGAAGGTGTTTGCTTATATACCTGTTACAAGCAGGACACGTTTGCGAAAGAGCAAACAGCCTTTCACGTGAACTAATCTAGATCGCCAAGGAGTGCAATATCTTCATCTTCGTCATCCTTTTCAACAGGAGCGATACCCGCAACCTGAGGCACATCCTGATAAGCTGTGATGCTGGATGTGGATTCAGCCACTGAGATGCTATCGTCGTCTTCAGAGCTGCTACTCTCATCCTTTCTGCCAATTATCACATTTCCTGCGACTAGCATGGCCGCCCCAAGCCACCAAAGTGGTGGCAGAGACTCGGAGAAAATAATAAGACCTAGCAAGGCAGTGATCATGAAGTTGGTGGACGTATTCATAATGGACACTTGCGTCGTGGAATTACCCCTTGCGAGTGCTTTTGTGAAAAGTGTCCACATCTAGAATATGTCAGCGAGAGCTTCCAAAGCACTACGGGAAAGAGATGGGGTTGGAGATAATAAGCTCTGTGTCTGTTCGGATATCCGTAGGATGTGCAAGGATTGCCAGGCAACCGCTAATATAACTTACCACGCCATTGAACACTAGATTGAGACCAAAGAATGACTATTTTGAGCATAAGTCAGCTTGCACTCCTACCGGGTATTTGACGGATGAGGAATTGGAATAGGCTACACGTAAAGATCGATTACGCTAATATTGGACGATCGGTGAACATCGGAATAGCCTCCAATTTGACGACATAGCCAGCCCCCACTCCAGGTTTGATGTGCTGATAAACAAAAAAGTCTAAGGTTAGTGACTTACAGCGCGAACAACCACTTCAATGACATTTTCAACAGCAGCTAAGCCAAAGGCTTTTGCGACTCCTCGCGATATATGTGACGTTAAATCGTTGGTGGTCCTACGTAACGAATTAGCTCCTGCGCAAGTACGCGTACGTATTTCGATCTTCATCTGGACTGTATGAAGGGCTCGGGCAACTAGAACGATCGGACATGTTCCAATACAATGATGCAGATACGTAATAATGTAAAACCCAAATAAGACAAACAGTCTAGGGTTTGTGCGACGATACAAATGTTCGACAAACGATAACGAGTTGTTTTGGGGATTGTGGCACAAGGAAGTACCTACAATTTAGCAAAAACTCCGTTGAATGCAGCGCAAGCACCGCTGGCTATTGCAAGTACAATCCATTGGTTCCTGCTCGCCATGGTGGCGCTTTCTTCGCCAATCGCGCCCGACTCCGACATCTTCTCCTGGCTCGTGTGTGAAGATAGGACAGTGTGGCGCTTCCGCAGAGTTGTTCCAAGTACGGGAGTAGCAGATGTAGTTGTAGAGAATGATATCGAATCCGGGACACCAGCCGGAGAAGGTCGCGCCTCCTGCTCCAGTGTACGGGGCATGGTGGACACCTGACTCTCGTGTTTCACCGGCGAATGCGGATGTATCTGGGGCTGAGTTGCTGGGAGAAGAAGATGAATGACGGCTTTCCAAGGTTCTGGGCGACGCGCACCGATCCTTGGCAGTTTTTAGTGGGACCGGGAATGTCGAACTGAGTTTGCTGAGGGGTGAGCCGTGGAGGATGAGAGCCAAATGACTCGCCAGCTGATTTTGCACAATGCCGAATTGTGTCGTAGCACTACATGCGCTGACGTTGCTATCTTCGACCACGAGGAACGAAATGGCCTATTGTAGGTTCTTGGATGTCAGATTACGGTTGGTCGTTGAGTATGCAGTGGTGTTTGTGTTCCTGCATTACATAGTAACCTCGCAGCACAGATCCAGTACAAAAGTTGCACTAGAATTGTACCGGAGAATTTTTTTTTTTTTTTTTTTTTTTTTTCAAATGCTAGATATATTGCTATCATAGCGTGTCAACTTCCGGCACACATCACAATGTACAAGGTGCCGCAGAATACCGGTACCGGCTGCTCACTATGAACGTGAATCTTCCAAATCATGGTAGAGAGCTTTGTATATTTCACTGGAATACTTTAAGGACGATTTTAGATAAGTCATGACTCTGCAACTGCATTAGTTCGGCATAAAATACAACCGTATAGGAATTCAAGTTGAGCCGAACTAGTACAAGACAGGAAAATTACTATTTCCAGTGATTATTCAACATTCCATTGTCACGATTACCAAGCCGTCTTCTGTGTCTACTGCACTAATAGTCCATCCCATGCGTTCCATGGAGTGAGCAATTATTAGTGAGGATTTCATGGCTTGGCGCACGGAACTATAGTAGAACGCCTATGCTTTTGACAGAGTTGATTACTTGTACAGTAAACTAACGATTATTTATCCCGTACCTCACCTATAATCAGGAATCTCAATTTCACACATACCAGCACATTATAGTCCATCTTATCATATAGTGCTCGAGTCCAGTAAGCACTTTCAACACCAACGTAAATCTCCTTAAGCGACTTCCATCGTCATCGTCAACCCTCGAGCCCTGGTGGAACATGCTTTAGGATTGTGAAACTCTCAAAATCGTGCTCGGCATTTCCACCATAACAATTAGCCAACTTGGGATTTGTAAGAGCTGTCTGAATAAAAGCTCGCAGTCTAACTTGAAATCCAGATCAGTCTAGTGAATTCAGATTCCATACTCACCTCATGCATCGGTTGCTTTTATGAGATAGAGCTTTCCGGAAGCTAGGTACGAGTGGGCTTGTACAATATAGTGGCCAATACTGAGCCGCGATGATATAACTGAACACCTGAAACTTCAGTTCACAAGGCAGTCTAGCAATGCGTTTTTGGGATCATAGATGCTGTTTGCACTTTGAGGAGTCCCGAGTCACCCTCGAAACGTCGACTCCATCCGATTGGGTAGACTCTGTTAGAAAGAGCGTGCCGGAAAAAGTGAACAACTGAGTCCTTGGAATGACGTTCTTGTCGGTTCTCCGGAACGGGCAAATCGTTCTGGCCAGGGTACACGAAGAACAACCTCGATTGTGAGTGTGACATCTTTGGATGCCGTCGAAAATTTCCCTAATCACCAGTTGACCATAAGTAGCATTGTGGTCGCCGTCCATAATCTCAGCAGACTTCAAGTTGTAAAGACCAGAGCATTCGCTAGCATAATCTACAAGATCCAATCTTATCCAATATTCTTCTGCTTAGTTTTGCTTGACACCATGGTACAATAATCATACCAGTGTCGGCGTTATTCCATATAATTTCAACCTTGCTCCACTGATAACTAATATTGAAGTTCGTAAGTTTCTATATGTACCCCTTAGCTGGTTATACAAACGAAAACGGGAGCTAATGGAGCTTACTTACTACACCACAAGGTCGGGCGAAGCAACACCGTCGCCATCACCTACGCAGCTTTACACTGAAGTCATGGGATGGTCAACACGTTCATCAGGCATTAATCATTCCTTCCTGCCATCAGAAAAGGGCAGCAGTGCACGCCAATTGAGCTATGATGGCTGGATCGACAGTGGTCTTTTCGTCGTGTTGCATCATGAGTCGATCACGACTATTGTTTGGGGCTCTGGAAACTCAAAAGACCAAATCAATTCATTCATATGGCCGCGAGTAATATGCGCGTTGGCTCATTCTAAACATATCACCCTGACCCGTTTCCCTGACCTGACCTAACGCCGCGAATGTAAATCAACTGCCAATGTGCACAACGATATTGTGTTCTCTCCTGCGTGACAATCCTTCCGCCCAATGCCTTCATGGCATTACTCAGTTGACTAGGTACCTTGGGGCTTGGCGGTGCAGGACACGATCTTGACCTTGTCGGCAACAACGTTGTTCTGACCGTTGTCCATCTTGAAGGTGACGTTCTTCAGCTGGAAGGTCCAAACTTCGTCGCAGAATCGGTAAGTGTCCAAGGAACCCTGTACAGTAAGAGGACGGTTAGCGACAGAGACTCGAAAGACGATGCGCCTAAAAAAGCAGGCGCAAGAAGGCGCAAGGCAACATTTAGGAGCAGCATTCACCTTGAAAGTCAATCGCGAGCGGACCTTCTCCTGCAAGACCTCGGTGATAGCGCGGTCGAAGTTGGCCAGGATCTTCATGGCAAGCTGGGGATCGATACGGTGCTCTTGAATCAGGTCATCAAGAGTGTCCGTCAAAGCAGTGCCTACGCTGTTAGTGCGGGTGCTGAGGTTAGCCATTGTAAAGCAGATAGTTTAGCAAGCAGAGGACGGCGCTGTACCTGCTTCGACGGTACAGCTCGTAGAAGTTCTGCGGACCAGATGCCATATTGTCTGGTATGCCCGAAGTCCTGCGACGAGTGTGCTGTTTTGGTGGTGATGATGCAAAGACGAGGTTTGGTGGTTTAAATATGGCGGTGATAAGGACGGCGGATGTGGACCGAGATGAGTCAGCAGGCATGGGCTCCAAGGCAGGCAGGCAGGCAGGCTAGTGAAGGCAGGCAGGCAGGTCCAGGGGTCAGCAGGGTCAGGTCGGTCGCTACAGTACCTGGGATCCGCTGGAATCAGACAGTGCAGCTGCAAATAGCGACTGCTGGAACCCGCCAAGGCCCTATGTAGCTCACTGTACGCTAGCTCACGTCGCACAGGGGCCCCTTTCGCCACTAACTTAACGCGTGACATCGCTGCCGTTTCGCGTTCTGGGGGGGCGATGCACGGCGATCCGGCCGTCGCGCTAGGCAATGCGCATCAAGCCAGTGAAATCATCATTTCTGGTTGTTGGAAACTGTACCATGCTTAATGAATGTCGCCGTCCCAAAACAATGTTTCCTTAATTTAGTATCTCTTAAAACTACTAGTTCAGCTCCGCGGTGCTTAATATCTACCACGACCTCTTTGATTTTACATACACAATGGGCTCAGATTCATCTTTGGACGCGGAGTCTCCCTCACATGTCCCCACCAGTGCATCATCATCACCTCCCGCTACTGAAGATTCAGATCAAGCCAAGATGGCCGCTACTTCCCAATTTGCTACTGAGCACATGCTCACCGAGGAGAAGAAGGCTCGCGCTGAGAACACGAGATCGGAGGCCAAAAGGCTTGCCCAAGCCCGCAAGCGCCGCAACAAACCCCAGCTGACTGCCAAGGAACGTGCTACCAAGGCCAAGGAGCTTGACGAATTGCTCCGGAAGAGCTCCATCTTTGGTGATATCCTCACTCAGAAGACCAAGGCTCTCGGACGAGTCGGGAGGGACTTTGACAACCAGGCTCTGGCTGATGCCGGTGTCGACCTAAAGAAACAACCACAAATCTTGACTGGTGGTACAATGCGTGACTACCAGCTTGAAGGGCTGACCTGGATGTATGAGATTATGTTACAGGGCATGAGTGGTATCTTGGCTGATGAGATGGGTCTCGGTATGTACCCGAAGGCCCGGTATAAATGGCACCGAGCTTACCCTTGCCAGGCAAGACAATACAGACCATTTCACTCGTAGCACTGCTTCGAGAGCAGGAGTCCTACTACGGACCTCATTTGGTTATCGCCCCCCTCAGTACTCTGTCAAACTGGCAGGACGAGTTTGCAAAGTGGACGCCAACCATCCCGTTCGTGCTTTACCACGGCAAACCGGAGGAAAGACAGGCGCTTTTCAAGAGCCAAATCTTCAAGCATTACAAAAGTCCTACTGCGTTGAAAGGCTTCCCCGTCGTGTGCACTAGCTACGAGATGATCCTAAGAGATCATGCGGCTTTGTCAAAGATTGAATGGGCTTGCATCATAGTCGTAAGTCGTTGGTTCGGGTATGGGTAACGATATCGACTGATTCGTGATTAGGATGAAGGACACAGGTTGAAGAATGCAGATGCAAAGTTGTTCAGGGAACTGCAACAATTCAAATCTGCTTCTCGTTTCCTCATCACGGGCACTCCGTTACAGAACAACCTAAAGGAATTATGGTCGCTACTTCACTTCCTTATGCCCGAGACATTCATGGATTGGGAAGCTTTTGAGATATGGTTCGACTTCACCGACCTTCAAGACGAGGAGGGCACACAGCAATTTATCGGCGATCAATCCAATCAAGAACTAGTGAAGAAGATACACAAGATTCTCCAACCACTCCTCCTTCGACGCATCAAAGCTGATGTCGCCAACTATCTGCCCAAGAAGCGGGAATACGTGCTGTATGCGCCAATGACCAAGGAGCAGACAGATCTATACAATGTCATCAGTGATAAGGGCACTGATACTCGGTCGTATCTGGAGAATAAGGTGGTGGAACGGCTAACCGGCACCACAAATACACCGCTTCATTCGACGAGGGCGAGTAGTCAAACTTCTCGTGCCGGTAGTACTGCTGTGTCAGAGGCTGCTTCACCTGCACCAAGTGATGTCTCCTCTACTGTCCCCCAAAAAGGTCGTGGTCGACCCCGGAAGAATATGACTAATGGTGCGACCAACGGAGCTGGTAGTAAGAGGAAGGTAGCTCCTACAGTGGAATCGCCGCAGTTCAAGAGTAACAAGTCAAGCCGACAATCCACGCCTGCTAGCATACGACGAGGCCGTGGTAGACCGAAGAAGAACGTTACCGCTTATAACGTTTCGGAAGAATCAGATGACGACAAGCTTGACGATGACGAGTTTGAGGCAAAGCTTGTGGCAGAGATGGAAGCTGCTCAGGGCGATGATAGCGACGAGTATCCCCAAGACGAAGATGAGGCAGTACGTGTTGCCACGTTAGAGCTTGCGAGTAAGTCACCATGGATGCTAGACTCATCGAACACAGACAACTAACTGCTCAGAAATGCAAATCAAGGAAAAGAAGCTCGGCAACTCTCTCATGCAATTGCGGCTTGTCTGTAACAGTCCTCACAACTTCTATAATCCTTGGACATTCGACGAAAACTTGGAAGTGGATGAAAGTATCGTGACTTCCTCCGGCAAAATGCTTTTGCTCGATCGTTTATTGCCCGAGCTTTTCAGGCATGGACACAAGGTCTTGATATTTTCACAATTCAAGATGCAACTCGATATCCTACATGATTACTGTGCTGACTTACGGGGGTGGAACGTGTGCCGAATCGACGGTAGTGTGGCACAGGCAGAACGACGCGAGCAGATCAAGAGCTTCAACGAAGATCCAGACTTTAAAATCTTCTTGTTGTCGACTAGAGCGGGTGGCCAGGGTATCAATCTTGCTGCCGCCGATACTGTTATCTTGTTCGATAGTGATTGGAACCCTCAGCAAGATTTACAAGCGCAGGACCGTGCTCATCGAATTGGTCAAACTCGCCCTGTTGTAGTTTACCGCTTGGCTACGAAAGGTACGGTCGAGGAGGAACTACTCCTCAGTGCGGACGCTAAGAGGCGTCTGGAAAAACTCGTCATCAAGAAGGGTGGGTTCAAATCCATGGGACAGAAGCTTGATGACCAACATGAAGAGCTTGACAAGGAGACCCTTCTAGCATTATTGCTCAAGGATGGCGAAGTATACCAACATTCTGGCAGTGATCGAATCTTTAGTGATGAGGACTTGGATGTGCTTCTTGATAGGAGCGATGAGGCGTACGCTCGTGCCGCTACGGGCGCTGGTAATGCTGCTGGTTTCCAGGTTGTTGACACAGCGGCGGACGGCATCACTCAGGTCAAGGCGGCATAGGTTATATAACATATGTTTCCTGATGCCGTGGGTTAGGTTTTGTCTGTGCATGATAATGTATTTGGCCTTATGTAAAAGAGTGTAGAGTATTTGGGAGACTACGAGCGCGACTTTGGTCGGACCAATATGGTTAAGTATAATATTCTGTACAAGTTCAAATTTGAAGTGTGTAGCACTCAATCTCACAAAGTGCTCTTATATATCAGTTGTTTATAAGCAATTGCTGCACAATGCATATTTGCGACCTGTTTAGTCAAGATCATACGGTGGGTAGATGTCTTCCGCCGCCCTACTGTGTTAAAATGCCAAGTGTTCTTTGTTGTACAATCCCGAACCGCTTCTCTAACAGTCTCACCAGGAAACAAAGACCGAGGGAGGGGGGCAATAAAGAAATAGAATTTAGGCGAGGGGTCGAGTAGCATTGTGCGCCAATAGATACGCATACGAGCCAACAAAAGCTGGGGACCGATTGCGGCCACGAGGGACAGAAAGGAAATTCCAAAATGCTCAAGGATGGTAATTATATGTTTGCATTCGAGGGTCCAATTACAGAGCTGGGAGCCTACACGATCCATTCTTCGGGTTCGATCTTGCATATTCAGGGATATACATGCCATTCAGCATGCATCTCCCACGCCTATTTACTGACGTTGGTAGCAGGAGAAACCAACTCAGTCGACTGCGCCACATAGTGATTGAGGAAACCTGGTTCCTGCGTCCGCTTTTTCTCTGGGCTGTGGTCGCCCGTCTAGTCTGCGAAGCATACTGGCGGTATGAAGGGGTCTTTCCTCCTTTTGTGCGTCCCACAGAAGATCGGGTAGTGGTCACCGCTGCCAACGTCGAGAAATGGAGACACCTGATCGAATCGCATGGGAGCAGCCCTCGACACCCGAGGTTTCGAATAACCGTAGATGGCGAACGGGTTTCAATGAAATTGGTTAGTCCACTTGTATCTGATGTGGTATGGAAGCAACTGGGTATAGAGGGGAACGAAGATCTGCTGGGGATTGGGGGCATGTGGATGTACGTATTGTCTGCTGAGCAATGAGGATATGATGTATGCGAAAGGAGGAAAAAGGGACGAAAGGGGCGCTGCAACTCCAAGAGCTCGACGTCGGGCATACAGAACGTTTGGCTTTCGCGTCGACAGACTTTCATGTTAGATGATAAAAGTACGATGATGTCAAGGTGCAAAGAGTCTCATTCCAGTCGTGGCGCTAATCAAAGCCCATATCCTCATCATCTTCGCCTTCTCCTTCACTGTCGCCGCCTCTCTCCTCTTCCTCCCGTCTGGTAGCCTCAATACTTGCGCCGATCTTCCGCACTCCGTCCACCACACCCTGGACAAAGCCCCGGCTCTCGGCCAGCTCCATAGCCCCCACACCTCTGAGGCCAACCACGCCGCCACCGCCCTCCAGCTGAGTGGTACTGCCTCTCAGTTTCGCAGCCCGCACCTCCTGCAAGTCCCTCAGCAACGTCCTGGCCTCGGCAGCATTGGGTATATCATCGCTCGCGTGCGCCAGCAGGGTCTCGGCCAGCTCCAGCCAGTGATACGGCAGATAGCCCGACGGTGCATCGGCCGTGCAAGAGGGCAGAAATGGCGGCGACAGGACCAGATCCCCGGGCTTCGGCTCCGCATACGACCTTGCCATGCCCCAGCCGTCGGACCGCATCACGGGCGGCGGCGGTGGAGAGAAGGCCTCGGGGTCCACGTGGGTCTCATGATTAATGATCTCCGCCAGCGAAGAGGTATGCAGCCATGCTGGGGCGACGATGTTTGCGCGTTTTTGCTTCTTGAGCAACAGGGCTAGCCATAGTGGCAGTTGTGCTCTGTGTGGCGGCCGCAGTGCCGGTGTTGCGCCCTGTGGTGGGATGCCGTTAGTGGGTGCAGGTGGGATGGCGGGGCTGCTGGGGAGTTTACGCTCAGGAGGTGAATGGATTCGAGTCTCTGGCGCGGCACGATTGTGACAAGTTCCATTTCACAAAGGAAGGCGACCTCCGTGGGCACCAGGCCAGGGGGTAAGGGAAGAGCCATCTTCAGTCCTCAATTGGTGAATCTGCTGGCTTCTGAATGAGAAACGCCAGGAGACGCGACTCGACACGCGCCGTCCGAAAGTGGGATGAATCGAGTGCGGCAGATCAAATCGTGGCTGTGCAGATACGACTTAGTCTAACCTAACCTTAGGTCAGTTGAGGGTCCATAGGGAATCGTTTTTCGCCAGATAGGGTATAGTGGGTTTGCCGCTTTCAGTTCGTACTCAGAGGCAACTGGCAATCAGCCGCCGCCGGAGGTTATAGAATATTCACATATGCATAGCCATGCAAATTTTCTTGATTTTACTGCTTATTGTAGCCCATTCGTAGGTTGGACAGTTAAGGCGTCTCGGCTTAAATAGGACCATGATCGGAGAAGTTGGATTTATGCGCGGCACCATTCCGCGACTTTAAATCCTAGGTTAGAGTATAAGGAGAACAAGCATGCCACCCTTTAAAAAAAATACACTATTTAGAGCCTAAGAACTTTATTGTGTGGATTTACGGCACCTCGTCACCTTCTAAGGACGATTATCTCTTCTCTATCCACCACGTTTAAATCGAGCCTAGGACAGGAGGGGATAGCAGGGGGTACTCTTAGCCACCTAGCATTTCAATAATGATAATAACAATAATAAATTTTACCAGAATAACGATGGCCCAATTTCTTTGAGGCGCCAGAAAGCTTTCCCCGAGGCTCCCATAGACCCTCAAGGTGCCGATCTGTGGTTCTAGATTGACTTGCAACTCTCTATTAACATTCATGATAATTATACGCTTTACTGGATTTGGGAATGGCCGGCTATCCCTAGTAGGACGGCCCCTCAAGGCCGTATGGAGGTTGATACGAGTTGTATGGACGTTTGAATCCTGTCGGGCATTCGAGATGGGATGATCTCATTTGATAAAGGCCAGGACTTTGTACTGCACGTCTCGAACATATGGTTCCTCATTTGGGAAATTGCTTGTCGTTTCGTCAATACAAAAGAACTGCTAACCATACACGTCTTCTAGCAGGTGTCGGTGCTGGTGCCATACATGCATTCGCTAGTGGTATGCTTAGCGATATGTATATTTTGATGTTTTGTTTTAGTATTAAGGTTTCTGCCAACTAAAATAACCTTAACGCTGGCGTATCTGGCGTCGATGGGGCATGACAACTGCTTCCGTATAGTGTCACTTGAAACAGAACCCCCCCCCCAATCCTGGTCACTTGGATAACGCGTAGATAGCTGTACTCATGTCCGGTTCTAGATCAACCCTAGCCTATTTTAAACGTAGGTCATCTTTTACGACCCCCCCTTCATCAGGTCTGTGAACTTTCGTCAATTTTGACTCGAATTTTGAATGGAAATAATTCCATCTTAGCAAATGCTAAGCGTTCGGAAGAAGGTCAAAGTGAATATACGAAACAATAAGTACATTGGAAACTTAGAATGTGTTTCCCCAGTGACAGATTTCTTCTTAGCTATTGAATACCTATACGCCTGAAGATCTTGTCGCGCCTCTTATGATCTCCCTCATTTCTCTGAGCTTTCCTCTTATCTCGAAGAGCGGTCTGGTAGGCCCCTGGGTTCCCTGGGGGTTGGCGTGCTACCACCAGCGCTTGCGAAGTCGCAGGTGGTGGTTTACTCGCTAGCAACCGCGGCTTGCCTCGGTGTACCGAACTCTCGACGACCACCTGCACATTGTCGTAGTTGTCCCCTGTGGAGTTCCCAGCCTTCATAAGAGCAGGCGAGATCATGAGAGTTGCGTGAGCGTCAGCCTCATCGAACTTGCTGTTCGCCTCCTTCATCGAGACGCTCTGGAAGGGGATGTCGTAGCGATTGCGTCTGTCAGTAACCCCGGGGTACTCGCAGAACCACCATGCTCTTTGTTGGCAAAGATCGGCGTCAAATTGGATGGCTTCCCCAACGAGATTGGCCATATGCTTGCGTAGACCGGTATCCCAATTGTTGAGCAGGTACTTGAGGTCTTTCTCGATATGCCCCACAAGTTCCTGTGCGTATCCTGAGACCTCGGTAGGGTCGGCATACATTGAAAAAAGAGTGGCGGTTTGGCTTCTCCAGAGGTGAAAATGGCCGTCCTGCCGATGACCGTGAGAAATACTGTCGGCTAGGCACGAGGTCAGCTTTCAGTACATAAGTAGGCAAGCGATGCCAACTCGATGATCCAACTTACTCAAAGCTTTGAGTTGGTCAAAACATTTCCCAGACCAGCACGCCCAGCTGGAGCAATTTCTTGACGCAAACACATTGTTTGCTAGATGGTCCCAGATTACTGCTTGGACCAAGTCTACAAAGTCGCTTTTAGATCGCAAGAAGACGGTGTATGTCGGCGTGATCTTCTTAAGAATGGCGAATCTATTGTCCTGCTGGTCTGGGTACGATGAGAGTACCACTATGTTGCTGCTGACGAGTTGGCGCATTGTCCAGCACAACTGTCGCCATCTCCCGGTGATGTCGCTATCTGGCAGAAGACCAATACCGGGTATTGTCTGCCTTCCTGCAGGGACAGCTCTCTCTGAGACCTTATGTTGAAGCCATCCGTTCGCCTCTTCTAGCTCGAGTATCCGCGACTCATAATATGCTTCCATTTGCTTCATACTTGTGATGGTAGATTTACTCTCCTGGTTTTGAAATTTCAGGTCCTCAATCTCCTCCCCAAGGCGGTCAACTACTGTCTTCTCAAAAATTTTCAAGGCTTTTCCTTGGTTGCGAAAGTTGGATTCCCGGTCACTGAACGTGCCACGCACGTCCTCAGCGATGGTAATAGTCGTGTCATGTTCCCTGCTGTTAGCCGAGATTATCGAAGTTTGATGAATAGTCGTAGACCCAGTATTAGACTGGTGGTAATGTTGACCGGGTAGGTAGCCCTTTGAAAACAACTCCTCTGTGACTATGATAGAGCCTTTTCTCGGGTTGGATCCGAGATCTTGTCCGTCTATGCCCATCGGCCCAAGTATATCGGGTCCAGTCAGGATCTCGGCCACTGCCTTGACGGCGTAGCTTGAATCAGTACGAGCCGAAACAATAGGCATCACCTGACAATTCGTGAAATCTTGAAGTCTAGCTTGGTCCTTCGATCGAATATTTGGATATGGTGTGTCATGGCTGTATGCTTTTGACTGGTTGTTGAAATCTCTTCTATCAAGCACGGGATCTGTCAAAACCCTTGATATGGATAGCTTATTCGCTTCTCCCGCTGCTGATCCTGCAGCGCTGGCAGATTGAGGATTCAAATCGTCCTCTGGGGTCATCTGGAGCGGATCTAGGTCTTCAGGGTTCACCACAGCATCCGATACCGAGTTCTCACTGCTGTGAGTTTTGTCGCCGCCATTCGTTTTATTCAAGCCTCTCAAAGGCTTGATGAGATTTCTCATCCTGAAAGAGTGTTTTGAATGTTTTGAGTCTACGATGTCAGGGCGTGGGCCCTCGACGGCACTATGCCGGCGTCTTGACACCAGCTTCGTCTGACCATCCATAGCCCTGGTACTTATGGCAGTAGATGAGTCTATGATTAAGGGGTTGAGATACTGCATTCCAAGATACTGCATTCTGCAGACAAACTGTGGAATAAAGGTCTGAGAAAGTAAAGAGAGGAGTTTACTCCAAGTTCGGTGGTAAGGCTACCTCGTCTCTTGTATGATCACTTCGCCGCCCGGGACGAGGGGAGCGGAGAAGTGGTGGCGCAGGCCAGACTGTCGGTCTTCACAAACGCACCCAGTGTCATCACATACTTCGCACATGATGACAGCATTTTCGACTTACAGTGAGCATACACTTTCGCTAAGTCTGGTGGAATAAACTGAAATTGATCACATGTGTCTCGTCTCTTTCTATCTAGTTTCATCCTGACTTAGTTACCCGTTGCAGCCAAAAAGTCAAAGTAAATTACTACATACCACCAAATACTACAAATTTGACGATGGTCAAAGTGATACTGAGGACGGAAGCAAATACGGATACGCTAGTTACCAATATCTCCTTGCGTTTCTCCCGGTCAAGGCGGTATTTCATCTCCATTCCAACTCTGGAACCCATACGTTTCCTAGACTTCTCAAGGTCTTTGATGAGACCTTCCACATCCTTTTTCTCCGTCTCCAGTTGCTTGATTCTTACTGCGTCATTTTCATCTCCAGCTGCGGCCAACTTCACCACGATCTTTTCCAGATGTTCTTGGTATTCCCTGATGTCTGCATCAAGTCGCTCGCTAATGCCCAGCCCGGCTTTCGTCTCGCTGATTATCTTGTCGTCATCCACCAGCTCGCGTTGGATGTCAAGAATCACCGGACGCCGGTGCTGAGCAAGCTGCAATATCAATGACTCAGCTGCTTCCTTGGAGCCGTCGAATTGCGCAATCACCGACCCTTTCCTCTGCAATGGTTCCCAATAGTCGTCGATCAATTCCTGCTCCCTCCGCAAGTAGTCCCCGAGCTCGTCATCACGTACCTTGTTCCAGAAAGTTGTCACAAGCATTACATTAGAGAGAGCCTCGTCACCACAGAGCGACCGGAAGACCTCCAAATACTTCCTCGCAGACCCTTTCATTCTGTTATCTTGGATTCTATGCAGGTAGATCACCCCTCTGAGTGGAATATTTGCCGCATACTGCGCAGCGAGATATTCGGTGACCTCAGCAAGGACTTCAGAATCAGGGCGGTGGCTTCAAAATCGATCAATGAAGGTCTTTTGGGTCGGTGGCAACGTACCTGTCATTAAACCCAGGGGTGTCAACAACGGTGACAGAATTTTGATCCTCCTCATCCAAATAGACCTGAACGGCTTGAGGACCGCTTTGCACTTGAACTTTGCATCAGTTACTGGACAATCAATTTGCCATGCTCACCTACCAGACTTGAGCCTGTGACCAATCTCGACGGAATCGGGCTTGAGAGCATTGATGAAAGTGCTTTTGCCGACTCCTGTCTCCCCCATCACCAGTATCATACCGGCGTCACTCTCCATGTTATACAGTTGAGGGATGCGCGTGCCACTAGGGATTATACACCTAATATAATATGTTGTTTGACTGTCGAGAAATGCCAAATAAGTTGAGGACCAACGCGATATTTCATCTAGTCTAGAGCCAGACGTCGTAAGGCTACCACAGTGCGTCTCGAAATTTACTTTCCATCGCTGTCATCTTTTTTGAGGTGGCCTCGCTAAGGTCTGGGCCGGCCGATACTAAGCATGATCATCTTGATATAGCCACAAGATTCCTCTCAGCTCGTCGTTGGTCCAAGTTCCTTGGCAGAATTGCTCAATATCACCTGCAGGCTCGCACGCAACGAAGTTTGATACTGCAGCAACTGCACCTTCTCTGCGTCTGGATTGCACCAGCATCCATGTTGCCCGAGTTTTCATTGGCAGATGGCTATTTCGCAATCAATAGTGTCAGCATCCCCTTGATGAGGCGTTCTGTGAGGCGCTCGCCGAGCCCCTCACGGCTTATAATTTGACGCTAGCTGAACAACGACTTCGAAGCTCCTTCACATGCAAACACATCATGGTAAGAATGAAAGGGGTGCCCAAAAATAGTTGGTCTTAAAGTGAGATGATCAATGCGATACGAAGTGAGAATTCAAAGACCGCAGAATGAAACTAAATGGAGACTTTGGCAGGGATATGTAGGAGGGATCAAGAGCTAAGTGAGTAGGTAGAGAAACGGAAAACGGAGACCATTGCGATCAGGCTGAAGATGGTCCTCAAAGTGGCTTAAGCCACTCAAATTCAGGAATTTACTAGTCATGGTATAGTTTCTATCCCAGCGAGAGGGGTGGTCTCGCCAGGGTCTTCCAGGATCCCCAAAACGCCTCGGAGGGCTACGATCATTTTCACTGCTTGACTTATGAAAGCCTCGTTCCCGAAGCGCGATTGAGTCTCCTTAACCTGCCTTAGAGGGTCTACTTGATATTTGCTCCACAATCGCTGGGGAGCTCATATAGAGAGAGAGAAAGTGTGTGTGTGAAGAAGTGACTCTTCAGACTTTTGAAAATGTCTAATGATCTCGGGCTTTTAATGCAGAAAGTTTCTTCCTCGAGCCTTATCGGCATTGCAGAGCTCCCGGGTTCCCCAGCACCACGAATGCCCTCTGGCGGTACTTTGACGAGCTTGCCATTCAGGGCCAGCTACCCAAGAGTATCTCCGCTACCATCAAAGCCTCCAGAGAGATTCATCGCTATAGGAATTGACTTCGGGACTACGTAGGTCGCTTGAAGTTACTTTGAATATTACGCGTCTAACCCTCGCTAGGTTCTCTGGCGTATCGTGGGCTTACTCTGAAGATCCCGATCTCATTCACGAAGTCAGTCACTGGCCATGTGCCGAATCGCAAGTCAAGGACGAGATACAAGTACCAACGCAGTACGACTTGGCAACGAATCAGTTTGGATACCTGGTCTCGCGGGACGCCTTGCCCGTCAAGTGGTTCAAGTTGCTACTCCTCGAGGACAAGGACGTCAAAGATGATTTGAAGGGCGCGGAATACCTACAAGATGCCACAAAACAGCTGTCAGAGCGGTCTATGGATGTAGTTGAGCTTATCGCAGACTACCTGAAGAAGATTTGGGAACATGCCCTCACGGAAATCAAGACTCAGGTCGACATTGAAGTTCTACCCTTCCGCGTCGCTATCACGATACCTGCTATATGGCCACAGTACGCGCGTGAGAAGATGAAACAAGCGGCGCAACGGGCCGGCATCCTGGCGTTCAGACCAATCGGCAAAACCAAGCTTGATCTAGTAGAAGAGCCAGAGGCTGCCGCTCTGGCTACTCTGCTCGAAAGAAAAAAGTACCCCGAGATAGGCGTAAGTCTACATGATTCCCTTTACTAAACCACTATATTCGATTGAGCTGATAAAAACATAGGCTGGTGAGGTTTTTATCGTATGCGACTGTGGTGGAGGTACAGTAGTGAGTTCACCCATATCATACCAACCCCCAAAGAACATGAGTGACAATGGCTGACACGTTGTAAGGATATCATCAGCTATAAAGTGAACTCGATTGAGCCTTTCCGTCTCGGAGAAGCTGCCAAAGGTGATGGTAAGTTTCGTCCAACGCGTCCAGATTTTGCCACTGGTTGTTGACATGCACCTAGGAAAACTGTGCGGAGCCTTCCTAATTGACGATGCCTTTGAGACGTGGATGCAATACAAATCGGGGCTCAAGTTTGACCAGTGCCGGTCACCCAAGCACGATTTCAGAATTTTTGTCAACGATGAGTGGGAGTACACCATGAAGCGCGCCTTCTCGGGCAGTGAAGCAACAGAGGTGCTCACACTTAGGCCACCAGCAAGAGCGTTCTCAAAAGTAAAGAGATGGCGAGGTGCGAATGACAGTTACTCGCTGAAGAGGTAGGTTCCACCCTGTTTGCCTTCTACTAGGCACTATCGGCTTACTATCGATTTCAGAGAGACAATCCGACAATTCTACAATAAGACTCTGAACGGGATTCGACAGCTTATCAGTGATCAAAAGAAAGAAATCATGAGGCAGTATGGTAAAGAGCCGAAAGTAAGTTTCCAGTGGATCATACTCCAGCCTGCCATGCCTAACATTCACGAAGAAAATTCTCCTTGTTGGAGGTTTAGGCTCTTCGAGATATATCTACAATAGGCTACAAGCAGAGCACCAAAATGTATTGCAACCGAATCGAGCGTGAGTATATTAATAACCGTCATCCTGCGTGTGGTCGCTGACAAGTGTTATAGATGGTCGGTAGTTGCTCGTGGTGCCGTTATAGCAGTACTCCGCAACACCTTCTCAAGCAAAGAGTTCGCAAACTCCACAGACGCCAGAGTTAAACAAACCCTTTATCGAATGCCCGAGATATCTGCCAGGGTATCGCGGTACAACTACGGTGTGGAGCATGGAGTGCCTGTTCACAGTGCCAGTCCGCCTGTGGATACCTCCGCCGACAAAGTGACGATTGACCCCGACGGAACTCGGATAGTCTGGCGAATGAAATGGTATCTCAGACAAGTATGTTTACCATGATTCATGCCACTACATTCGTCTATAACTGACACCTTTGGCTCTAGGGTGACACGGTCGACAACAAGGATCCTGTGACGTGCGGCTTCTATCAATATATCAAAGATGCATCCACCAAGAAGACAACGTTCAAGATCCTGACGAGCAACGCAGCTCAAGCTCCAGTCCGTAAAGATCACACAGTGAAGCAGTTGTGTGCCATTGACTGCGAGTTTGATATACCGTGGGAGAACATGAATGTCGTCGCAGGCGTCCGCCGATTCGACGACCTCAATCTTACAATGAGGTACCAAGGAGAGCCAAAGTGGAGCTTAAAAGTTGGTAAGAACACGGTAGAGCAAGACGTCAATGTCCAGTATATGGGATCTTCTATTTAGACGCTCACTGTCCGGAGAATTCAGGAATGGCAATGGGCAGGGCTTAAATGAGGGCATTTGAGACTGTATAATCTTACTTTTTATTGTTACATGAAACTGTAGTTCCCGTTAGAGGGTAGTTAGAGATACAAAATATCATTCTCGACTGGTCGACAATTGAATCTTTCTCGAAACCCAGAATATATCTATGAGCAACTGTCCGCGAAGCCTCACCCATCCAGTAACTAATCATAAGAGCAGAATGGGCCATTTGTAATGTCTATTAATACAGCCAATTATCGTCCAAAGTCTGACATAACTAACTCGTAATTATGACATTGGCAGTGAGCTCAAGCCTGTCGGAGGTTTGTCGGTCTAGGTGAAAAGACCATCAGGACCTGCAATCAGAAAAACATGTCAGGTCTGTGGATCAGGATCCAACTTGAAGATGAAGATTAATCGTGATTCATATTGTCTTATCGCAGAGAGCTAGGTAGCCTAACTGTGGCAACGAATATATACCCTGAGATTACCATCGTTCTATTGACGGTGGGCCCACTATTTTTGAATGTCACACTAACCTCGACTTCCAATTTATAATATTATATACAAAATAATGAGTAGTTTGCAAATGGGCGGGCAATTAAAACAGTGAGCACGCACTATGGCTTGGGAAACCTTGAGCTACGTGAGCTACGTGAGCTACGTTAACAACGGATCCATGCGATAATAAAATGTTATATGTTCTTAATAAGAGAATCTTGTTAAGTTACCGAGTCGTTCAAATAAATTTCAGTTAACGCCACGTCGAATAATATGAGTTAGATATTAATAAATATAATATTTTAAATAAATTTTGAATTTTATTATCAGTATTATTCACTGCTGTTGTAGAATGGCTTCTCCATTCAACTCTTTCCGTACGGGGTGGGCGACAAATAGATCTATATTCAGCGCTGTCGTGCGAAAGGAAGAAGGGATTCTTCCCCTCGTACGTGGTCTATAGATAGGGGTCTGGGGTTCACCCGTACGGCTGCTGGCTGCCGACAGCCACATCGTGGCTGTAGTGGCTTACTGCCAGCATGCCGGTGACTACCTATACTACGTAGTCAACCGTCGTACGAGACCGCGAATAATATATTCCAACAACAGGACTTAATGATGTACTACACAGCATCATGTGTTGGATGGTTATCAGAAGCAGCAAGCATTCACAGTCACATGTTCTAATTAAGCCAATTATTTGTTTTAAACTATTTGAACGGCCTTGCAAAGACAAGATTAAAGATCATAGTACAAATAGTAGCAATAGCCTACTAATTATGGGAGTCATCATTCATAATTGCTATTTCCAACTATATTATTATATTTATTTCATTTTCCCAGTTTGGCGGCCCCTTATGTGAAGATACGAGCGCTACCCAGAGAGGCGGGGGAGTTGAATCGGAGGCCAATATCGAGTGCGGCAATGGCCTTGATTTCCTCCTCTGTAAGATCGAAGGTGGTAGATTCGAGGTTCTGCTTGAGTCTGTCTACGCTGTTGGACTTGGGGATGACAATAATGTTTCGCTGTGTGCACCATCTGAGGAGAACCTGACCTGGGCTGACATTGTGCTTCTCGGCGGCAGCCTTGACGGGGTCGGTCTCGAACAAGGGCTTGATCTCCTTGGCCTGAGCGTTGTTCAACTCGATGAACGAAGCAGGGCCAAAGGTAGAGTAGCCAGTGACGGCAATGTTGTTCTCCTGAGCCATGTGGATGAGCTCGGGCTGAGTGAGATAGGGGTGGTGCTCGATCTGAAGGACGGCCGGGGGGATCTTGGCATACGAGAGAAGATCGTAGATCAACTGGGTGTGGAAGTTGGAGATGCCGATGGACTTGAAGATACCCTTAGGGTTCTCCGGGGTCTTGACGAGCTCCTCCAGAGCAGACCAGGTCTCAGAGATGGGGACCTTGGCCAACTTAGTGGGCTTGGTCTGCTCCTTGTCGGACCAGAAGCACGGGTATCGGATCTCCTCAAAGGGAATGAACTCGAGCGCGATGGGGAAGTGGATCAGGAAAAGATCGAGGTACTCAAGGCCCCAAGCCTCGAGCTCGAGCTTGGCCTGCTGGTGGGCATGCTCGCGCTTGTGGTAGTTGTTCCAGAGCTTGCTGGTGATGAAGAGATCTTCACGCTTGACCAATCCCTCGTCAATGGCACGGCGGACACCCTTACCGGCCTCGGCGCTGTTAGTGTAGTCCCAAGCACCATCGAAGTGACGGTATCCTAGCTTGATGGCGTTGTAAACCGTGTCGGCGCAGCTCTCGTTGGGAACCTTCCAGATGCCGAAGCCGACAAGCGGCATTTCCTTTTACATGTGAGCTCTTTATTGCCGATATGCTTCTGGGAGTTTGTAACTTACATGGCCGGAGGAGAGCTTGATTGAGGGAACCATTTTGACGTCGGGTTCTATGTCGATTGTACAATGATGGTATAGTGAAGGGAGGAAGTGAATAGATTCGATATCTGAGAAAGCAGAAGAAGAAGAAAAAATGTTGGAGTAATGGACAAGTAAATATTTCCCACCAACAACAAGTCGCGCCCCGCGTTCATTTCACGAGCTATTACTTTCTATGCCCCTCATGACGTTTGACTCCATGGCCCACTATAGACCCTCCTTTGGCTGGTTATAGCGATCAAACCCCGCAGCTAACTGGTGCGCTTAATTTGAGTTCTATGGATAACGTACCTGATCTGGCGTTTTGCGCCTGGCACGTTTGCACCTCTTATATGGTTCAATTTTACCTTGCGACGTGAAAACTTGGTGCACACCTCGACTGGCATGATGAAAATAACTCTGAGCTGTTGCGATCACTCATGTTGTGCTGCTCAGATTGATGCTTAGTGACAGGAATCTTCTCATTGTCGGGACTGGCTAGATTAGGTAGTCTGTACCGCTCAACACCCCCCTCTTTTCTGGGGACTTTGCTGCGGGGGTTAGCCTTTCCCAAAGGTCTATCTTCGGTTGGACCTTCACAACAGAGTCTCATGAAGGGTATTTCGGGTAGAGGATGAACAGTACAGTATTTTGATCAATTTCGGCCTTTCCAACAGTCATATTTATTCACCATTAGCGTCCGCAATATCGTCTCACGTTCGTCTTTGCCTGTCAACTTGCTCCCGAATGGGCAAGAAATCAGTCCTTGTGTTTCAAGGTTTTGCGCATCGATTTCCTCCGCACAAGAAGCCATTAGACCCATCAAGGTTGTACTCTTTTATAAGCGCTCCTCTGAGAGTGGCTTACTTCCCTCTGAGGTGACAACAAAGAGTTACGAGCTAGTTAGACTAGTTGTCAGGCGAGAGACCCAATTGCGCGTCGCGTCGACATTGTATCGCTATGCCGAGCAATGAAAGGCTAAGGCACACTTATGACTAACATTAACAATAGATTCAAGTAAGCGGCGCAGTCCTGGCAATCCTAACATCTTCTCGATGGTTCGTATCCAATACAAGTACGGACGCCCATCTCCAGACCAAGTCTTACTCCAGAAACAGCTCTGTAACATTTATGATCTCGCCCTATGGATGGTCTACTTCGCTTATCGCCGATATGAATGAGTTCATTGCTTGGCGACCTTGCGTGATATCGCAAAGGGTAGGCCACGATTCAGCCTTCGGCACCCGCGCCGTCTAAGCGATGTTTGCAATCTATTCAAGACTGTTCACCTAAGAAGATCTGTCCACGCACATCTTCCGCAATTCTTGGGACGAAGCCATTTTCATGGCAATGTCACCTCAAACGCCTGAAGCCTGGTAAATTGTGTGCTTGGCCATTTAAAAGGTCACCCCTTGAATAACGGTTTCCCATAGGAGTTCCCATGCGGCTCAGTGATACCCAGCGCAGCCGTACATATGCTGCAAACAAATCATTAAAAAGACATCCTCCGTTTCCTGACTGAGCGGTGTTGTTGGCTCCGAGAACCAAGCATTGCGGCTATTCGGATGAACCTTGGGCATGATCGAAATGGTTTATAAAGGTGCTTTAAACTTGCGAATATGTCGCCCCTCTTGAGTGCTTGATGTTGGTGCAGTATGCTCATAGACCGTCGCTTCCAATCGCTTCACCAAGATGCATCCTTCTACCTTGCTCACTTTGTGCGCTGCTGCCACAGTATTAGCTGCACCTCAATGGTCTCGGCCTTTCTCGACAAATAGTAAGAATGGTAACCCGTTCCAGGGCAAGAAGCTCTTCGCAAACCCGACTTGGGCAGCCAAGCTTGAGCAGACCCACGATGCCTTCGTGGCTCAGGGCGATGAAGTGAATGCTAGCAAAGTCCGTGCTATTCAGGACATTGGAACCTTTGTCTGGATCACCGACCGAGCAGGCTTGTCAAACATTGACTCAGCGATCACTTCTGCACGGGCGGCGAAGCGGTCCACCGGGGTTGACCAGATTGTTGGCCTCGTTCTATACAACCTGCCAGACCGTGACTGCAGCGCTGGTGAGAGTGCGGGCGAGCTGAGCAGTGCCAAGAACGGCCTAGAGATCTACAAGAATGAGTTCATCAAGCCATATGCCAAGAAAGTATCCGCCGCGAAGGATCTCACCTTTGCCATCGTGCTGGAGCCCGACTCTCTCGGAAACCTGGTCACGAACATGGGTGTTGAGTTCTGCGCAAATGCCGCGGATACGTACAAGGAGGGCATTGCATATGCCATTTCGAGCTTACAGTACAGCAACGTTCATCTCTACATTGATGCTGCTCATGGTGGCTGGCTTGGTTGGGACGGCAACCTGGAACCTTGTAAGCTAAGCATCTTGCACTTTTACGGAGTCATGCACATCTCTAATGTCAGTAATAGCTGCCAAGCTCTTCGCAGAAGTAGTGCAGAAATCCGGAAACAGCACAAAGATCCGCGGTTTCTCAACTAACGTATCCAACTACAACCCCTTCAACGCAAACCCCAGAGAGAATTTCACTGAGTGGAGTAACTCGTGGGACGAGAGTCACTATGCCTCCTCTCTTGCACCCCATCTCGAAGCCAATGGCCTACCCTCCCGCTTCATCATTGACCAGGGCCGCGTAGCGCAGTACGGTGCCAGGTCGGAATGGGGTGATTGGTGCAACGTAGCTCCAGCTGGCTTTGGTGCTAAGCCGGGCACACCTACGAACAACACGCTGGTGGACAGTCTGGTATGGGTCAAGCCCGGTGGGGAGAGTGATGGTCAATGTGGTCTGGAGGGGGCCCCCCGAGCTGGAGCCTGGTTTGATGAGTATGTTCAGATTTTGGTAAAGAATGCGGATCCTTCTGTCCTATCTAAATAGGCAGAAGCATCAATGCCCATTTCCGAACCTTGCCAGAATTAAACAAAGCTGCGGAATAGAAGTCGCCGTAATCAACCGTTTTCAGAGTTAGGCAATATACAATTTCATTTGTTCACTTGACAGAACTCTCGACGTGCTTGAGACATTCATTAACTCATGCCCAGAATATCGGATGGGTCAATGAGGCAACCAGCATGAGAATACGCGAGCGCGAGCAAGTATTCTTATTCTGGGAAGCTAGCTTGATATTTCTGGAGGTCTAAGTTGTTCCGGCGGCAAATCATTCCCCCAGCGACATGACACATACTTATATAGTCTGGATGTTTTTGACATGGGCTACATACGCGGTAGGAAAGTTGATGTTGCCGGTGGGGAGCCGAACAATTTCCATTTGGATCTATCGTAGTGCTGGTAGTCATCATCAGGTGCCAACCATCGGACGTCTGGCACTTTTGATTCGCTCTGAACTTGTATGCACGTTGTAACATCAAGGTACACAGTCTAGTCTACACTTCCGACAGTTATTTTGAACCCGGATTCGCTGAAGACAAGCCTGGGCCGCCCATCAAGATTTCCTGGCAGTCAGCGCAACCCATGCTTTCGATTTGCAAGTTGCGCGGCACTCCAAACTCGGTAGGCTTTAGCCGGCCACCTCGAATTTATTTCCTAAGATAAACAAGTCTTCTGGAATTAGGCTTATTAGGCTCAGGCCAGGTGATTGAGAATCAACAATTCGGTGCAAACTGTCACTCCGCAACTAAGACTCAAATCTCGTGTATAATTAAAGCAGGATCATACACCTGGGGTTCTCCGAAGGTCCGTTCTGCTGATTGTCGTTAATTGGCTGGGAGTGAGCGCGACGACGATGAACCTCGAGTTGGCCCTGAGGAGCAGCGAAAACTGACCGTCGCGTTATGACTCCATCTCAATCAAACAGGTACATATCAGTGTGGTTGGTCATATAACTACCAACTCGAAGCGCACCGACGTGTTTTACGGGGATCCGGGTCGTACGAACAGAAGTAATCTCCTATATTGGTCCCCAACCAGAGTGCCGCAATGGACTACACTGATTTGAACCGTGCAAATGTAAGGGTGTTGGCAAAGTATATCGCGACTCGAGACCCCATAGTTGTACCAATCTCTACGGTAAAGGGTGTTAGTGGAGAATCGGTTTAAAACATGAAGAGCCTAATTCTACCAGCTGATCAGAGTTGACCGTGGGTCAGATCCTTTCAAGGAACTTGGAGTCATATTACAGATACTCGTTACAACATGAAGATGGGTCATGATCGTTTTGAGCTACTAAGCTCTGAAGAAATTGACAGTATCGAATCAGTGTTTCGCTACCAGATTGAGAATTTTGGAGAGCCAGGTAAAAGGAAGCTAAAAGATTTTGTTCAAACATCCTGGAACTGTCCATCTGAGATCCTGGGACTTGTGCCCATAATGAGAACGTTCGATTCACGTCGAATATTATTCATGACAAGAGAAGGCGACAGGAATGGGGTCCCATGGATGTGCAACTGAACGGCCATATTTACCACTTGCCCAGAAGTCATGCACCATTTGTATTAAGAAGCACCCCTCAACAAGGCGTTCTCCATGATAACCGATTGATTGGAGACTACTATCTCCACGGTGCTATGGATGGGGAGAAATGGGTGCAGACGAAACAAGGGCCGACATGTGGCAATGTTTCTGCTCCGTTTTGTACAGAGTATTCAGGTCTTCTTTTCTATGTTCTTGTAAACAATCTATATTCTTTTGGGGACTGATGAGCATCATCTAAGTCTCTGTTACTGCATTTATACTCGATCACAAGCCGTCGAAAGTCAGATTTGTCTTGCGGTTGATGGAGCAAATCCTCCAGCAGAGGCTTCTTGTGGGTGTAGTAAATTCTCCACCGTCGCTTCCTGAATTACTTAATTCTTACAACCACCTGTACTGATGGGCCCTTCATTCATCAAACGGTCACTTGTCACATCAGCCTGAGGCTATTCTTGTTGGGACCATTATTGGGCCTTGCAATCTTTGGTGCAGCTAAGACGAACCCCAAATCATGGCGATGACTGAAAGTCAACATATTTAAAGACATATTTCCAACATACCTGAGAGCATCGTAATGGGAAGGAGGAACGAACTATGGATTGGAGATGGATATGGAGGCGGAGATAACGAATAATCGGGATTTGCCACTACATTTTATGGGAAAACTAAACACTGAAGACGGATGCGGAGGACTTATGGTGCCTGACTCATGTTTAACTAGACATCTGGCCAGTATTGAGGAACTTGAAAACTCAATGAATCAAGTCATGAATAACCCAGATCAATGTTGGCGAGTTGACGATAATCTGTCTATTATGTTTTTCACTTGAATCTTTCATTCTCAGAGACGCATGCTAGAGCTTTCACAATTTCCTCAAGGGTTCGGACGAGGAAACTTGTACACAACAAACAGACAATATCGTGGAATAATGTGAACCGTGTTATGGGACACACTGCATGATTCAGTTGGGTCAGATGGCCAACTTTTTGAGGTGAAATAAAAGGCTCGTAAAATTAAGATAGATAGAGCCGGGGGATGGGTTGAACGATATTATAATCAAAATAAAAACCTGCTGGTCAATTCTAAATCAAAGTTTGAGCATCAATAGATGAACCATGTACGTATTCGATGTGGGTATATCAATTCACTGGTTGGTAGCATCTAGACCTATAAATACGTGGTAAGGGTAGTTCTTCAAGCCTTCTAGCCAGACAGGTTTTGTGGAACAACCAATCTCTGTTTCATCATGCCTAACTCTGAGCTCTTAGCCCAAGTTCCATCGGCTTTCTGACGGTAGCACATCAGCTTCCCCTCATCACCAACACTACCCAAGATCTGGCCATCATCATCAAACCCAACTCTCCACACAGGTGAGCGGTGGCTCTCCAACTTCGAGAGCTCACGATAGGTATGGTCGATCTGTCCAGGTTGACCATTAATAAGTCGTTCACCATGGCTACCCGACTTGTCGATTTCAGCTCTTATGCCTGAATGCGCTTGTGGTTGACCTCTAGTATGTTTGTTCTGTGCTGAAGATGAAGGTTGATACTCCGTCCTGTCCTTGCCTGTGATGTCTGCCACGGACCATGACTTGCCGTCATTCTTATTGTATGGCGTGTCGATCCGGAAAACTCTGACGAATCCATCTTGGCAAGCCGTGGCAATCATGTCGTAGCCTCTGAAGTTGCCAGGCGCCCATGCAACATCACGGACCAGACCCCTATGTCCAGTTATCTCGACAGCCTGGTAGAACTCTCTGGCTCGGGTAGCAGCACCAAACGAACTAGAAATGGTGTCTCTCGAACGGAAGATCTTGACTGTGTTCAATCCTGCAACAACGAGACTCAAAGCATCTGTGGGTACACCAGCTCTCAGGGCCTTGTAGCACGGTTCTGGGTTGGGATCAAAGCGAACCTGAAAGCATGTCTCCTCACCACGGTTAGGCTTGGCGAGAGCCTGAAAGTCGTCAATCTCCGAGTAGTCTGCCAAATTCTCAGGCTCTTCACCCTCGTGAACTGAGAGTTTTCCATCTGCACAAAGAAAGGCGAAGTAGGTGTATCTGGTCTCTTCGTTGTGCTTCATCGAGAAGGAGCGGTAAGGAGACTTGTTTGATCTAGTCTCATGGGCTGCCTTAGGATTGTTGCTCTTGGTGCTGAATTTACGGCCAGGTGCAGCCGTGTCGTCTTCTGCCCACATCTTGAAGCGACCCTCTATACCAAGAGACGCGACAATGTTGGGGTAGACAGTAGGTGGTAGCCATTGGAGCTACGAGTCGTCAGCCTTGGAGTCCGACGACGCGCCATAGACGCGTACATGTCTTCATTTTTCTAGTAAACACACTCACCTCGAGAATCTCCCCTGGATGAGCTCCCCAAAGGTCAGACAATGTCCAGATTCCATCCTTACGGCGGTTAAAGATTCGGATTTGACCATCCACCGAACCGGTAGCACAGCGATCGCCATATGCGTTGAAGGCAATTGCTTGGATAAGGTCGTTGGACTTGTGGGCAATGAGGTCGAACGTAGTGTTGTCATCCGTCAAAGACGGCACATCATCAAGATCGGGAGGCATGATCAAAGCTCAAATCGTCATCTTCGGCGATTTATCTAGCGTTGCTTTCATGCATGCATTAAGTGTAGGCGTTGAACGATGTGCGTATCTCTCTCGATGTCAAGGTGGGACGGTACTGGATCCATGATGTTTCTTATTGCATAGCGGGGTTGGTGGTAACTGTTAGCGCCTTCCAACGCTGGAATGCGCCCGTTCCCCTGCTGCGACTACCCCCTAGAGATTCTTCATAATATGTAGGTACAAGTAGGTGAGTGCTCTAGACTAGAGAAGTGACCTCCACGTCCATTGTCGTGTATCTTCTCCTGAATACACCCCGAGTTTGCATGTCTGGTATTATCCCTGTCGAATTCATTCATCCACGGGCTTTAAAGGGCATGCAGTGTATTCATCGCATAAGACAACGTCAAGGTGTTCCAGCTCCGTCAGTGTTCACGTCCTCAACATACCATAACTAGGCATACCGGAACCGCTATGGGAATTATGTTTGAAATACATGTCGGATATTTACTATCATGACCAAACCATCTCTTCTGGCGAAGCTGCTTGTAGTAGATTATCAGTAAGAGCTCGCTGTACACTTGGGGCCAACTCACCAGACAAGTGCTTCGTGCTCAAATTATATGTATCGGAACATATTGTTTTTGACGCTGCGCTTCATCGCAACTGGCTGTCCATCCTCGTACTCGACGCCCGCCTCTCCGCCATCTCCAGCCAGGCCAGCCAGCTTCAGCTTCACTTCCTCATCTAGTTCTGCCATAGTTTTGCGACCTGAAGGCTTGGCTTGTTTCGACTCTTCTGTAGCAGATGCGTTGTCCTTCTGCGAGATCTGTTCCTTGGCTTGTGTTTCCTGTGACGGTTCAGGCTTGCCGCTTGCGAAACCCCGTCTCAGAGCTGCCGCACTGACTACAGGCCTTTGTGGCAGACTCTGTAAGCATTGTTTGGATGCTGCACGAATCATTCCGAAGATATTTTTTTGGTTGTAAAGGGACAGATTTCAAGGTGGCTTGGCATAACTGTACCACAGTAGTTCTGTTGGTTCAATAGCTGAACTAGATTGCCCAAAACGCTGTGCTAATTATGACGTCAGGCACACCCTAGTAACTTCTTGCCACTCGCAGCAAGACAATTCAATTACGGTTTTAACGAAGAAAATGTAATAGAGATTATGTCGAAGATATGGTCAATATCAGAGCATATAATTAACGACGTAGTTACGTGCGATATGAACCGAGACAAAATATAAAGTCGATCTCGGCCAATCAGACAGCCAGCCTATTTACAAGGATACTGCGTCTCTTGTTTGGCTGTTCCGATAATCTGGTATCTCACGCCCTCTTATCATTCATATACGTCATCCTTCTTCGTAGAACACTGCACTCAAATAATTTCATCCTGTTCATGTACAGTAATGGGTCAACCACCGATCAAAGACTTCGACGCTGCAAGTCGTCAGAGACGAAGTCCTCCTAAGACAATCTGGAAAATAGCAAACAGAGGAAGCTATGCGATAAAGATGTGAGTTCATTCCTAAAAATAGGTCCACATTAGATGGTCTAATGTGGACATGTCAAAAATGCTCTACTAGTGGCCACGGAAATATACGGTAAAATGCCTAAATTCTGGGAGAGGTTCGTTATACACTGTACTACGCTGTCACCTATTACAAGTCAAGAGCTTGTGCTCTGGATTCGCTGGTGTTCTTTTAAAAAAATATAAAAAAGTTTGATTTCTAGAATAGTGAGATCGCAAAACTTCCGTCTGCGTTAGAGATACTATAGTCCCTACAAGACAAGGCTCGAAGTCCAGCATGGAAGGGATAGATGTCCCACTCGGCATATGACGCAGTCATTTGAAGCTGTCTGTCATCTTATTTTTCTTCCTAGGGTACTCTAAGAGACGAAGGTGTTGTGGTTCAAAGAGTGGCCATGCTCCTTTCTTTATTTACGGTCTTCTTGGAAACAATGAACTACTATAGTCCAGTGAATTCGACGTTCTGTTAGCTGAGGCAATTCCGGGACGTTGACAGCTGAGAGCAATGAGTTACGGTTGTGAAGTATCTATAATATAGGACATGCTGCGCATCCCTACGACAGAAATCACAACTTTGTTTTCTTTAAGACGGTTGCCGCCACACTCCTAGTGCGATCGATAGCCACATAATGCCAAATTATGGATGAAACACCTTCGTTGGCCTGAGCTCTATTTCATCTTTCCAAACACGGAACAGCCTCTATCATCATCGTTGGCGTCCCATTTCACGGGTCATGAACCCACCCACCCCATTATCTTACGCAACAAGAGCAATGCCATGTATACTGGCACCAGTATTCGCGCTTTACTGATTCGAATCACCGGGAGATCTTTATAAAGGCGATGACCTCCTGCCGAATGTACTAGACTTTTGGACTTGCATTCTGGAGTTCTAGGATGGTAGGTAGACTGTGGATTAAAGCCGTGACGAGACACTGACGATATTCAGACACTCCTTCTGGTGGGGAGATTCCGGATCGGAGATTGAGCATTAAAGAGATACAGTGTTAATCGTAATAGCACACCAAGGTTCTCGGGTGGTCTGACCAGAAGATCAACGATGAGTTCGGGCTGAAGGCGAGAACCGGACCAAATATTACCGTTGATACTCCTGTATAATCCCAGCTCAGCTAAACTGTTCAGTCTACTCGCATGGGTATGTTAACCTGGAGGACAGAAATAAAACGAAAAAATTTGAGCATGCCTAACTATACAGTTTGTGGCCATATACGAAGGCCATTGGTGATTGCAAGCGTTTCTGGATGGTGAAGCTTGTTCCATAGTCAACCTGGCCAAGTTTCTTAATAATTTCGCACACTCCTTTGGAGGCGGTACTAGTCTAGTACATATCAGGATACAAGGGCTAAGATTAAAACTGGAAGAAAGGTCAACTCACTCGTGTGAAAGATCATCATGATGTATCGCTATTTATTTCTCAAAGAGGCAAGATTAACTTTTGCGATATAGAAGATACAGGTCTAAGGGGTTATTTCATTTGTGCCAGATGCACGAAACAACTCATCTTTATAGCCAACTATTGCTCAAGGATGAAGCAAAACCAGGCAATAGGACACGATAGCCCATGTTGAGTGATATGGAATAATCTGGTCACCGGGCGGGATGATGGTAAGAGCAGGCAGGATAACAGGGAATACCAAACAGTATGTTAAGGGGTAGACAATGACGTATGCAACAAGGCCGTGTATGGGTAAAATCTGCATTGTGAGAAAGAAGGCACACAAAGTGATTGATCCCTCTATTGTGACCGTCAGTAAGATTATGTCAACCACTTGTTTTCTTGTCTTCGGGCCCTACTCAGCCTCTTCTAGGGATACCGAATCTGAGCATTTATACAGTGCCAATTCTGGGAGCCACCCTTTGAGATATTTGGAACATGTTGAGACACACGCATACATGTAAACTTTCATAGCGGTGCAAGTAGGACGAAACATTGCCAGCCAAGAAGACTTTGATGCAGGGAATCTCAAAATAATTGGCTTTCGGGTGCAAGAGACAATTGGGTCATGCTCAATGAATCTCGTCATATCAAGTCTATCTATTCTTTATACCTGATCCCGTCGCGCCATTCAGGAAATCTTCATGTATCCGCATTACGTACGCATCATAAAGCATCATAAACCAGTCTCCCGTCTAGTAGATAATTTACTTCTCCTCAGTCTCAGGCTGAGGCGCAGGGGCATCGGCCATCGGCTCGTCTTTAGCGGGCTCTTCTGAGGCCTTCTTTGACTCTGTCTCGGTGCGCTTGGCGGCAGCCTCAGCATCGAGCTTGGATTGCACTGCCTGACGTTCCGACTCGACCTTGTCGAAGTACCGTTGGCTGATGGGGCCAACCATAGCACGGATCTCGTCCATCTTGGCAATGTATACAGCCTTGCTGGCATCCTCGCCGTCCTCGTATAGCCAGTCCTAGAATGAGGTTAGTCCCCGCGGTGATATCAAGTTTCCATGATTTGAGTTCTTACCTCGCTTTCCGTCAACTTGGATCGGATCTTGTCCTTCTCATCATCGCTGGCGAGGTCGGCGAACTGGTCGTCAATCTTGTTGCGCATGTCGTAGATGTAGGCCTCGAGCTCGTTCTTCTTCTCCTCTGTGTCGGCAACAAGCTTGTCCTCCATGACCATGGCGTTCTCCTTCTCGGCGGCAGCGTTCTTGGCAGCCTCATCGAGACCAGGAGTACCAGCAACAATGGGCAGGTCACCCTTGCGCACCTGCTTCTTGACCTTTCGGGTCTTGGGCTTGTCATCCTTCTTGTCGTCAGTCTCCATGGCATCGCCATCCTTCTCGTCCTTGATCTCCTCCTCAACCTCCTGGTCCTCGACGTAGTAACCACTCTCGACGTTCAGGATACCGTGGATGTTGACACGCGCCTTAAGCTTGCAGATCATGAACTCGGTCTTGGGATCGGCCTTTACACCCTTGACGGAGAAACGACCAATGAATGGGGAAGTCTTGCCGGGTAGATCCTCGGGCTTAGCATACCTAGCCTCAAGGTCGAAAGCCTGCTTGCGGTAGAAGGTCAAAATCTTAGTAGAAGGCAAGACATTGCCCTTGTTGAAAACAGTGAGGCTGGTATCCTCGTCGGGAATATCGGCATCCTTCTCCCAGGAGAACTCAATTGGGTAGGTGCAGATATCTTGGACGGCAAAGTCGCGGACCTTGAAGACAGGCGAGAGGATGGCACAGCTGAAGGCGCAACCTCTGGCGATGGCTTCATCCTGGTTGAGGGTGAAGGAGAGCTGCTTTCCGAAAAAGTCTTGGATTCTCTCCTTGAGGGCGGGGACACGTGTGCAGCCACCAACCAGCTCTATGAAGTCAATGTCGTCCTTGCTCAACTTGGCTTCGGCCAGAGCCTGCTCAAGAGGGCCAGTGGCCCGGTTGATGACGGGCTCAACGAGCGCCTCAAACTCCTGTCGCGTGACCATGGCGGAGACATCGACATCGTTCATGAGCGACTCGATATTCAGAGGTGCTTGTTGGTTGGCAGACAAGATCTTCTTGAGCTTCTCGGCGGCAGCGTCGACACGGACCATGGCCTTGGGGTTGGACTTGATGTCGATCTTGTACTTGGCCAGGAACTCCTTGTGGAAGTGGTTAACGAGGGCGAGGTTGAAGTCACGGCCGCCAAGGTGTCTATCGCAGGCAGTCGACTTGACGACAAGCTCACCCTTCTTGAACTCGACGATGGAGCAGGTGTAGTTGCTGTGGCCGATATCAATGAATGCGACACGGCGAGGCTTCTCCTCGGGGCCGGGCAGGTCCAGCTTGGTGATACCGTAGCCGAGGGCGGCAGCAGTTGTGTCGTTGATGAGACGCAGAGGCCTGAGGCCAGCGATCTCGGCGGCGTCGAGGAGAGCTCTACGCTGGATGTCGGTGAACCAGGCGGGTACGCTCATGACGAGGTCGTTGACAGGCAGCCTCAGCTCTGCGGAGGCGGTCTGCTTGATCTTGCTGAGGTACATGGCGACCAACTCGGTTGCGCTGAACTTCCTCTTCTCGCCCAGGTATGAAACCTCGGCGCCGACCTGGCCGTTGACGTCGACGAGGGGTGCTGAGACATATTGCTGCTCGATCTGAACATCGGGGTCGCTGAGACTCCGACCTGCTAAACGCTTGAGAGAGCCGACCGTGTTCTTGAGGTTGGAGATCTCCTGGGTCTTTGCGGGCTCACCCAGGTATCGGCTCTTGGGGCTGAATCCTACGAGCGAACTGGAGGGCAGGACCGGTAGTTAGTACGTTTGCATTTGCGTGTGCGTTTGCGCCTCGAGCGGACTATCCACAAGATGGAGGGGTAGATAGACAGAGGGAAGTGCGGGTTATCAGAGTGGGAAGAACTTACGGGGTTGCTCGGTTGGAGACTTCATTGGTGATCTGAGACGCGTATCAGCTACTGGCGACTGGAGGGCGCATACTCGATGCGGAACGGAACCTTGGATTGTACTCACAACATCAACACCCCGGTTTCTCGCAACAGCGATGACCGTGTTGAGGGTACCGAAATCGACACCGACGACACTCATGTTTGCTTTTTCTTCGGAATTACTGTATCAAGTCGAATGGGGAGAAGGTGACTTTTCGCGAAGGAAGGGCGTATGGTCTTTTTTGGTGTTTAGTATGGTATGGTATGTTATGCTTTCGTTGGAGTATGCAGAAAAAAAAAAGCTGCTGCCCGAGGGAAGAGTTGTGTCAATCAAAAGGTGGGTAGGGGTGATGAGGCTGCCCGCCAAACGCCAACACAACTTTCTCTTCTCGTCGTCCCCCTCCTATACGTCCACGCCCCCACCATCGCTAGCCGCAACCGTACGTGCCTGAACCATCCAGAAGTTTCGAATAGCCATCAGTGAGTCAGTGAGCGAGCGAGTGAGTGAGTGATCACCGTTGGGAAACCTCGCAACGCTCGCAGCATGCAAACATCCTTGGAATGCAGATACCAACTAGCTTACCTGATCTTGTTTTTATCTTTGGGCTTATTGATTTGTTGATTCATTTGTCGAATAGAACTGCGCATACATGTACCCAATGTCATACTTGACCTAGCAACGCGCATCCCTTCTCACACTGCTATTACTACTACTACTCCTACTACTACTCCTACTACTACTCCTGCTACTACCGTAGCCATTTATAACAGTTCCCCCCGCTATATTATACATCATCCAAGAGTCGAATTTGTAATTTGGCCCGAATCCATGCCTTCACATCTCCATAAGTTCGTCATAATAATGGACCTCCCATCGAAAGTGGTCCGTGAGCACTGGCTCCATGTACTCCAGGAGTATGCTAATTGACCCTGCTTGTCGCCAATCATAGACCCCACCAATTTCTGACCGCCCCGCGTTTATATTTTCTCTCTGGGTTGGCATTAACGATGCATAACTTGCGCCAGTGGCTAGATTGAAAATTCGATTCGAGGCCACCTGAACTGACTAGTCATGGCCCGATGTTCCGGCAAGCATGCAGTTTTTGGCCAGCTAAGCCTTACATGGTGTTGTTATCTTGAGTTGCGATGCTCTATACATGGTCTAATCGAGTATGTGTTTCTTATCTGCCCACGACGGCTCCACACCGCGGCATACACTTTCGTAGTCTTTATACTTCTGCTGGTCGGTAGACAAATCCGGAGTGGTCCAAAACATGGTCCAGTTCATATCCCTGATCTTCATTGTGCCCCGCGACCGCTCGAAGTACCACTTGTTGACTGGATTGTCCTTTCTGCTTCTCCAGCATACGCCGTCTGGGAAACAATTGCGCACCATGGCATTGAAGACGATGTCCGCCACGCCCCCGGCACCCTGACTCTTCCGTAGCACCGCAAACTTATCAAGGTACGGGATCATTCTCGCTGGATCTACCGTCTCAGGTCCGTCACTGCCAAATGGACTTTCCCACGTCAAAATAGCTCCTCCTTCATATTCACCAGCAATAATGATGCCAGCGAGTTTGTTTTCTACTCTCTTGAGATAATGTTCAACATCCAATTCTCGACCAAAAGAATCATTTATAAGATGCACCAAGCGGCCAAGGTCAATGCAAGGGTCTGTCAGTCTCAGGCCTGGTTGACCCGGCTGAGGTGGTTTCCAAGGGGACACTCGTGGATCTGGGAAGATAGTCAGAGGCATGCCGCGCTTTGCTAGTGTTGTCAGAGAGCCAACCCGGGTGGGCCCTCCGGATGGCGAAGAGACTGAACGAATGCGACCTGAAGGCAACGATGATGACTGAACAGGTCTGTCGGTCAAAAGATTGTGGATCAACGGGTTTTGTTTTCGTCTGGTTCCGACCATCGCCCACGTAAGGTCGTCTTCTTCCTGCGATCTGTTGTTTGCAGCCTCCTGTGGGGTTGTCACTACTGCTGACGATGTCGGTGGCAGAAGAGACAACGCCTTTCTCGCCAATTCGACATTTTTCAAGTGGTAATAGCTGTCTGGCTTAATGCCCGACAGGCTATCTATCGAATCGGCCAAGTACTGAGTCACCTGTTCATATTCTTGCTCCAAATTCAAGAACATGTACCGTCCAGTAGACTGGTTTAGGGCAGGAATACCTCCAACAGAATCTATAATGATCAATCTGTGGACCTCAGCCAGTTTGAGCAACTGGGTGATTTGCGCGTCTTCCTGTGGTTGGCCAACAAATTGCAGCCCTGATAGTTGCCGGGCAAGTGCAATAATCGCATCATTTGAATCGACCGATCGGAAAGAGCACAAGTCTTCAGTATATCCAATGGACGGAATAATCGGAATGATATCGCTTTGGAGAGTATCCACAAGGTCCTTGGAATGTCCAACAAAGAGATCATCTGAAGTGAAAGGCGAAGTATCTTTGCCAGCTGAGTCCCCAATAGTGATCGGCGACTGGATGATGCGAGCACCTGGCTCATCATATTTGTCGATCGCTGTTGCAATACGGGTGGCTTGGATATTGGTCTGTCGCCGTCGTTCAGCCTCATCTTCGGCAGGTAAGTCGCAGTCAACAACGACTATACTGGTTAGTCCAAGCTTTCTAAGCTGAACTAGAGTCCGTCCCACGCCTAGTAACGTATCGTTGCCGATTTCCTGGGGAGCTCTGATTTTAACCAGAGCCACAAATACTGGCTGTGGTACCGCATGGGACGTATCTGTAACGGCTTTCAAAGCGTCTGATGCTCCGGTGGAACTTCTTTCGGCGCCATTCGTGTGTTGTTCAAATCCAGTGGCACCCTTCCTTTGGAGTAGAGGCACAAACTTGTTCATATAAGCTCGGGCATCCCGCTTAGTCACGGAAGTTTCCAAAACAGAAAGAATGAAGTCCTAATAAAGTCAACTCTACGTGCAAGCCTAGTAAGCAAGACAGTCACATACCCTATCTTGGATCTTCTGCTCCTTTCGCGCCTCTGAGATGGATGCATAGGGCGATCTGGATGCTATTGTCGTGACCCGACCGCTATTTTGGGCCGCTGCTGGTAGCGGCGATGGAATTTTTGAGCCATTGCTTATCTGAGTGGCAATTGATCGTTGAGAATCCCTTTTCAAGGAAGCCTGCTTGAGTTTTAGAAACAGAAGTTGTTTTGCGCTGTGGCGCATCAGAATTATAAAAATTGCTGGATAATCACGAGGTTTCGTGTCCCAATAGTATGAGAGGCAGCCCAACTCACATGGATTGTACAACTAGCCTTCCTGAAGGCGGTCGTGCGCGAATTCATGTCTCTACGCTCATTTTGCGAGGCCTCGCAAGGTCACTCACTGTAATATTCTGTTCTTTCAAGAAGTCAACATCACAAGAATATTTCTAGAATCGATTGACACTCTTTCGTTTATTCGTCAAATTGAACTCTCCCAACGTTGTGACATTCTCGTGAGTCAATCAGCGATAAGACCCGATAGAGCCCTCGACGTCTAACCGGTATCGGTCAAGTCTAGCGGGTGTTAGCGGGGGCGGTGACATCAAATTCTTTCTGGAGCACATGCCAACACGTGCAAACGCCAGTCAATTCAAGTCAATTCAGGCACAATATTTGCATCGGTCCCGCTGATAAAAGCACTGAGCGCATTCATGATCATTGCAACCCGACAATAGCCATTCCTAGCTCCGCGCCTAAGGAGTCTGTTGCGACTTAGACTAGTAAGGAGCTATCAAAGTCGTTGATTGTAATGGCGATACCGAGTTCTGGTGTTTCACGGCTTTTACACATTCGATGCGATTACAGGTGGCTGGAGTGTCAAATTATGGGTGATGCTATCTTGACATCACGTATACGTGAAGACAAATCAAATTTCTCAATCCAACACCGGGTCCACTTTACTACACTCTTATAAGTTTCTAGAAGAAAATCACAACACTGAGCCGGGTTCGTGATTATACGCTGTCAACGGGGAAACATATTGGCAATCGCTCGAATGGTACGCACAGAAGCATATGTTATGAACACTAGAACTGGTAGCAACTATATCCACTAGTGGGAGATGAGATATTCTGGTATTTATGAGGTCCGGTCGGAAACGCCGTGACTTTCGCGGAAATTGAACAGGACAATATGGGATAATTTGGAATTCCACATTTGTGACTGTAGAAGTTGGAGTTTATGTTATGCGGAGACGTTTGTGTGTGAGAGTAACACTTACGACACAGTGCAGAACAGTGATCTACTGCATCGAGTGCGGATGACAGCCATTAACTGCTGCAGCGAAGGACGAAACACCGCTTTGCGTGATGGTCTGTATATTGTGGTGATAGTCAAAAGTAACTGCTCTCGAAACCCGCCGGCGGAATATTATCGGGCATGTCTGCTCTTCCATGAGTACGGCCCACACCAGTGACGGCCACATCCGTATGTATCTATCCCGTTTCAATGCCACCTGAGTAGAACTTGGTCTGTGGAACGTGTATCCTCAACAAGCTCGTACCGTATCGTAGTCATCTCAACTCTCACCCCTCTTCCAGTCCACCTGCAAATGTCAATGCCATTAGGCCGCACTATTTGACTTCATTATGCCTAAATGTCGTGGTAAAGACATTACAGAAGCCACAATTGAGCAACTCCAGAAATGGCTTACGGATGGCGCATTTTCAGCTCGCGACCTCACCAGCTGCTACTTATCTCGTATTGAGAAACTCAACAAGCGCTTGTGGTCAGTATATTGGACCGCGCACTCAGGAAAGAGCTTTAGAGATAACGGGCGCCACTAGTGCCGTGATCGAAGTCAATCCCGATGCCCTGACAATCGCAGAGGAGCGCGACAGAGAGCGCGCAAATGGTCAATATCAGGGTATCCTTCATGGTATTCCATTTCTAGTCAAAGACGTACGTTTTATGTCCAATGAGTTTTAGTGATGTCTCAAATGGATCCTGAACTTACTGTTTATGACTATAGAATATCGCCACGAAAGACAAAATGCAGACGACAGCAGGCTCGAGCAGTACGTTGCTGGTATCACTGATGTGTATACCCTGATACTCATACTTGATATAGTGTTAATCGGCACCGAGGTACCTGCAGATGCCCATGTGGTTTACCTTCTGAGAAAAAAAGGAGCTGTACTGCTAGGTCATACAAATATGTCCGAGTGGGCTTCTATGCGGTCTACTTACTAGTAAGTTTGCTGTGGCTCGGTCAGTTTTGAAGTAAACCTGTTAACAATGTCAGTGCCGAGGGTTATTCAAGCCGCGGAGGGCAAAGCAGAAATCCTTATAACCTAGCAGAACATGCCGGCGGATCAAGCTCAGGCTCGGCAATATCGGTAGCCACGAATATGTGTGCGTTCAGCCTTGGCACAGAAACTGATTTAAGCGCAAGTAATACTTCAGCCTTGAACCTACAATCTTCACTAGACTAACCGGTGCAGGTTATCCTCCCTGCGGATCGTTGTGGTGTCGTCGGGATCAAGCCGACGCCAGGGTTGACCTCATGTGAGGGTGTAATACCGGAATCTCATAACCTTGACACGGTCGGCACGTTTGGACGAACAGTCGCAGATGCTGCTATTGCTTTGGACGGTATATATCAAGGCAGCAAGTCATTTGCCTTACATCTTGCTGATATAGAAGCTCTGAAGGGCGCCAGATTCGGAACTCCATGGCTAAGGATATGGAAGAAAGCGGCCTCAGATGAAACAAGTAGGATACAATACGATGCCTTGCAGGGTTTGTTACAGAGGGTCAAGGATGCAGGGGCCGAGATTCATCCAGTCAACCTTCCCAGTATAAAAGAGGTTGTTCCTCAAAATGGTAGTTGGGATTGGTATACACAAACATGCCTTGCATTCAATGGCTTTCAACACTAACAGCCGTCAGGGATTATCCGTCGTCCAGAGGTCACCCAGAACGATCAGAGTTCACCGTGGTGAAGGTAGATTTTTACAATGATCTTAAGAAGTACCTTTCGAATTTGATCACAAATCCGAACAATATCAGGGGCCTTGAAGACGTTATTGCGTACAACATCAATCACACAGAACGAGAAGGAGGCGTTGCCGGAACACATCCAGCATGGCCCACTGGCCAGGACAGCTTCGACAAAAGCTTTAGGTCTGCGGGAATCGAGGACAACATATACCACTCAGCTCTTGAGTATATTCGACGGAAGACTCGGGAAGAGGGGTTTGATAAAGCGCTTTTCGTCAATGGTAAAGAGCTCGATGGCCTACTAGTTCCAGTGCAAGCAGATGGTGGTGTCGCATTACAGTTGGCGGCCCAAGCTGGTGAGTAGTTCGGTTAATTGCATTCGAAAAGACATGGTTCGACATGGCCTCATTCTTTTCTAGGATATCCTGTGATCACGATTCCCGTGGGAGTTGATGAAAATGGTAGGTCATTTATCATCTTGCAGATCTGCAGCAGTAGACTGAGCAACTTAGGTGTTCCATTTGGTCTCGCAATAATGCACAAGGCTTCAAGGGAAGACCAGTTGATCAGATTTAGTTCTGCTATTGAGCATCTTGTTAACAAGCGGCCATCCCCGACGTTCCTGAACCCGGATGCCGATGGCTATCTATACATTGGGGCGGGTCCTAAAGAGGATACTTTATAGACATAGATGTCTGGAATACATGTCACGACGTGCTTACAATATTGGAATTTACTAAAGCCATTGAAAGACGAGGTTTATCGTCATCCATCGCCTTGAAAATAAGACGCATCCAGTCTGCACATCCCTTCTTATTCCATTGATAACATCTACGCTGTTTGATCTTACTGTGCATTATTCATTATTACAATATTGAGATCTTGTTGGCAAGAGTCCTGTACCACCAGGACCTCCGTGGCAACTACGTGAATGGTCGAGAAAGCGAACGTTTGTTATGTGCCCACAGTGTCTGAGTAGTATGGTAGTAGGGAGGCTGGTGATCAATATCGCAATAATCCTCTTGAGATTGCATCTCACATTGTTTGTGTTCCGATGACATCTGCTTCAAATGCCAATGCTAAATGATCTAGTAGATAGTTCGAAGAGACATTCTCAACAGGTGCATTCATTGTGAGAAACATGCAAGTCATAAACCCGTAAACCACTGGATGTTTGAGACGCGATAACCTAATAAGCACGGAACTGGCTACTCAACTCTGATTAGTCCAGCAAGAAGGTACGTACCTTTGCAGTAGTACTATTCACCGTAATTAGTTGCAGTGACCCTCACAAAAGAAGATCAGCCAACCAGCTCAAGAATTGCGGGGCTTTTGATTGTGATTCAGATAAGGCTGCAAAACATGTCCGAAAAAGAGCTAGTGGATTTATCTTCTCGCACAATCAGTAGCCTTTCCACCTTATGGTATAAATACGTGATCCTCTCCCCGTCCATGACAACTTTCTTTTTCTTTTCTTTTGGTATACTTACCTTCCGGGAAGATGGCGAGCTCAAGCATTCGTCGTCTTACCGTGCTGACAACTGCATAGCACAGCGCGGCTTGTCGCGCGGTCTTCTACTCCTTTGGGGTCGTAGTCCGGGGAATTTTTGATTTTACCTTTGGTTTTTCGTTATGAACGATAGCTTCGCGCGTCGTCATAAGGAAGAATTTTATTTCCTCTACTAGTATCTTCTCACCGTGAATTGCTGACAAATTTTTTCTTCTTGTCTCAGCTATCTGCCAAGTTATGACGGGGACTACGTGATGGTATCTTCTGATAGCAGCAGTAACTGATGAAAGATGAACGTCGTAAATTGAGCAACTTCGAAGTTTTAACTGGGGACAGAAAATAAACCTAAGTAGGCCAATTGCATTAAGCATGTTCTTTCTCACGGACGCGTTTGGGTACTATGCTTGGAGCATTTCAGAGCCGTAATCACCTGCTTGGCCTGCTCGATTTCAAATGAGAACAATGTTCACGTGAATGGTTCTGGTGATACAGCAACAACAGCTGGCACAGCAGGATTCCACCTACGTGTGAAAGGTTCTCGTTCTGCCAAATACGAGTACAAATCGTGTTCATCAGTATCCAGCTAAGGAACAGCTATCCGAGCTACCCTTGCTGACGGAGCTGCTTCGAACAGCAACGCGCTATGCGTCAAATACGCGTACGGAATGACACAGCTCTTCAGCAGCTCAATTATTGAGCTTGGGATGTAGTGAGGTGGACTGCCTTACCAGTATTTACCTAACGAGTCAAGGATGTCGTTTACAGAGACAAAAGAGTTCAAGTCATAGTTTCGTATTGCATCTAATATATCAGCTAAAAAGTAATGTCAATTCTCATAGCTATCTAAATGTGAGTGACACTTCAGAAAACACGAATGGGGGAGCATGAGAGACAGCACAGATTACAATGTCACCCGATGTAGCATGTAAGGATAGTGTGTGACCCAGATGTGATTTTGCCCAAGATATTGACCATACATATTCATTAGCCTTGGTCGTTGTCTAGATAGCCGTGACGTAGAGAACCTCCAGAATGCAAGAGAAATCACAACAGAAGATAGACAATTTCGAACGACCTTACAGGCTGTGCACCGACCGATTCTACGTAGTCGATTTTGTCATCTCAAGTGCGGCTCCTAGATTCCTGGTTTCAAGGGGTAACCTCGTCCAGGAATTATCATAGATCACACCTTACTTACCATATGGTCGAACTTCTGTAGATGGTCTGATAGCATCTGTCTAGTATAAGAATAACATAGCGGGTAGTATAAGGTGAGAAACGCTATAAGAACTCATTGTTGCGATAAAGATATACTGTGTGTTTTGTCGCCTAGGCATGGTAAGGTGCCAGGTTGTTCGAACCCTTGCGTCTCACTACCATCCTAGCACCCAAGTGTCGAAACCAGAGAACAATCCTGAGCGGGCTTTTCGAAATCTAACCAATTCCGGACTGGATTACCTTATCACCCGGCTCCCAGCCAAACCTCCGGGATCTTGGACGAGACAACTTTGGCACTGTGTCGGCTGGTCACTCCCGTGGCACACGTTAGCCACTCATGTTGCCGTTGCTTCCGCGTCATAACTGCCCTCTTTACACTCGCACCCAAACTTGTATCTGTAGTCACCCTACATTGAGACACCATCAACAGCAAACGCTCCCTTCGTACCTACTGGCAGTATCTAATCTGTTGTCGGGGTCTGGGAACTACATTACAGACTCACAAAATTTCGCATCATCGTCCCCCCTCCCTTGCGCCATCGCTTCCGGCTTCCCTCATCTGCAATCGCTGAACAAGAACATTCATCAACACCAAAATTGTAGCAGACCGCCACCTCTTGTTCGCCTTGCACAATCACGCATTTCTGCATTTCTGCCTGGAATGAACGATAGGTGCGGAATGGCCTGAGGCAACTAACTAACTAGCTACATACATAACCTTTGACAGCCATTTGTAAGATGAAGTCAGCCCGCAGGACGCATGGGACAGCGGACTGGGATGAGACAACAAGTTGCGCAGTTGTCGCAGCTCGGCCGCCGTAATCTAACACGAAACCGGACTAGCTCGTTTAGACTTCGCCTCGCAATTGGTTGATCCAGGCCAATCTCATTACAGCAACCGGCAGACGCTTTCGCTTGGGCTTGGGCTTGGCCTTTGGCTTGCGGTCGCTGCCTAGTCTCTGCATTTCGCACTTTGCTCTTTCCCTCCTCTTTCCATCCCTTCTCCGCCTTGGTGAGCCCCTGGGTGCGGGTGCCAATTGGTTAGCCCTTTGGTTAGCCCTTAACCAGGCAGCTGTTATCGACTCCGGTGGCATGTGGGATGGTACGATGGGATCCGGTTCTCGTCAACCTGTCACTTGCACTCAAAAAGTCAAGCTTTGCTGGTAATAGCCCCCGAGATAACAGCTGTCGACGGTGCCCTTTCATTCTTAAAGGACCATCCATACTTTTGCAGTGAGCTGGTCGGCCTTCGTGTCTGCTGGCTGCAGACGCTAGATTATAGGTGAGCGCAAGGTGAGAGTTTCATGTTTGCCGTTGGCGTCTCGATCAACAAGTTCCTTTATGTTCTAGCACCAAAAGAGGCTACAGCAGCAGCACCAGCAGCAAGCACCAGCCCAAGCAAGCCCAGCCCAGCCCACCTCATGCGCGTCGGCATCCAAGGTCCAAGACAAGAATGGGCATTTTGGTATGAACGGGAAGCGAAAACAGCAAGAACAGAGAGATGTACGCGCTGCTGAGTAGCGACACAATCCCGCAAGCACCTCTTTGCTAGTACACACGTCCCGGCCCAGAGCTTTTCGTTTCGCGCATCTTCGCACAGGCGATGCGCGCTGATGTTGGTGCTGAAGCCGGTGCTACTAGGCGTTTTTCCTTCTCTGTCGTATCCCCCCATCCCACTGCCAATCTGAACGCTGCAGCACTTTGGCAGAGTGATCGAACTGCCTGGTCTGCAGCAGTGCCAGTGTGCTGTGCTCCGCACCATGTCTCCTCTGTCCCCCAGGCTGTCTCGCCATTGGGCGCAAGCCTTTTCGCTTTCCCTCCTTCAAACCTTCTCCTCAATCCCGTCTCTCACACTCATTCTGTCTGTCGTCTCTCTGTCGATTCTCTTTCCCATCCCACCCATTCTCCAATCTCTCCAGTACTCGACCCGCACGCGACGATAATTCTGCGACGAGGCATACTTTTCGATCCTCCTGCCATTAGTCCACTGCTCAACTGTAAACTACTCATTTCCCACCAAACTCTATCACTGTCCAGAAGGCGCAACCTGAAGTCAAACCCGCCCTTTCACCACGATCCGCGACTCCGAGACCAGGTTCTCTCTTAGGCCTGTTCTACTCTCTGCGACGATTCGAGTCGTTCCTCACGCCCATAATTACATTCTAGCGATCTCGTCTGGCTAGTTATACTGGCTGGATATTGCAAGTCCCCTTGTCTTCTCAGCGTGTCCTTTGTCGCTGGCTTGTGGTGCTTGTTCTCGACCCCGAGTCCCGTGAAGACGAATTGTCACCGTCCTGCATTTGACGCCGGCGCCGACCGCCACGATATCGCTCAACCGCCATTAGTCAAGCGCGCCGACGAACCAGCGACCTCATCGAATGATCGACACCGAAAGCACTCGCTGTTCTGCTTCTGGATATCGGCACCGTCCCTCGCGTAGGAAGGGCTTCGTCATGCCACCCCAACAACGACGGTAAACATCTTCAGCACCAATTCCTTAGGACACCGAATCACCCTGTGCGGTGTCCTGTTAGATTATGACAGAGAAGCTTCATTCTCTATCGACACTCATAGTGCCTCCGAGTCAGACGCCCGTTCTCAGTCCCCAGTCAACGCCCGCCTTGTTGCATCATGTATCCAGCAAGGTCGAGACGGTTGAAGAAGAACCTTACACCATCAAGTGTATATGCAACTTCGCTGACGATGACGGGAGCACTATCTACTGCGAGCCTTGCGACACGTGGCAGCATATCGAATGCTATTACCCCAATAATACACAGGACGCATATCGTGAGGACTTCAACCATTCCTGCGTCGACTGCAAACCGCGACCTGTCGACCGTCATGGTGCTATTGAGCGGCAAAGGTTACGACGAGTCAAACTTCACACAACCGAGGACCTGGCCGAGAGGAAAACCAAACGACCGCCATCCAAGAATCATAGGAAGAAGTCGAAACCAAATGAACTACAGATAAATGGCCACAGTGGTTCTGACACAAACACAAAGCCATCCAGTGAGCATCACGGCCACAAAAAATCCAAGAGCATGCATAGGCCAAGCCAGTCGAATGGGTCAACAGCAAAGCGCAGTCCTTCCTATGTCCAAAAGACTGGAAATTCCCATGCCCACCCCCCAAGCCCTGCCAACACCCCTCCCGACGTGCCTGCCGATGGCGAGATACACAATTACTCGGATAGCTTTCTGTCGCTTTACAGTGATGATCGCGAAATTGAGATTGTCGAAACCAACTCATTTGCCAGTCTCGAGATCTCCAACGCCATGTCGGTTTGGCTTAGGGACCACGAAAAGCTACGGCATGATTGTGGATGTGATTTCAAGGATGTCTTTCAACCACTTCCGACAAATATCGATTCGACCAAGCGAACGCCCGTCGTCTCTCACAAGAAACAAATGTCCACGCCTGACACAGTGTTACATTGGCAATACCTCACCACCCCATACTCTATTGAGAAGGACACGCCCATCGTAGAGCTCAATGGCCAGCTCGGGTACCAGAAGGACTACTGTAGCGACGAAAAGAACCAGTGGGACCTGCTTAGTTCACCATTGCCCTTTGTCTTCTTCCACCCCGAACTCCCGCTATACATTGACACGAGGACAGAGGGCTCGCTTGCCCGCTACGTGCGGAGAAGTTGCAGACCCAACGCTACCTTGGAAACATACCTCTCCGCTGGCTCCGAATACCACTTTTGGCTCGTGAGCGACCGACTTATTGCACCAAATGAGCAATTAACCATTCGCTGGGACTTTCGTCTTGCAAAAGATGAGCGCGGGAGACGGACGCTGCAACTCCTCGGCCTGGGCGACGAAGATACGGGGCAGCCTGACTACGACCCCAATCAAGTGGAAGACTACCAAGGAATCCACACCTGGGTCTTCCAGATACTTTCAGAGCATGGTGGCTGTGCTTGCGACCTGGGCCAAGATTGTGCTTTCGCTCGATTCTACAGAAAATACATCGATCGGTCACATTCGAAACAAGGTAGCAAAAAACGGTCGCGCAAATCTAAAACAAACGCTGTCTCCCCCACAACTACAAATAGTCGTGCCGCCAGTGAGGGTCATGGCGACGACGGACCAGAAAATGATTCAAGCTCGTCACGTAGTAAACCACCTAGCCGAGACATGACGCCAGCACGACAGGGGTCATTCGATCAGTTAGGGATACTCACCGAGCCTACCGACAGAGACAAACGCAAAGTACAAATGGTCGAAGATTCTTTCCGCCGGATGGAGCAGCAGCAACCTCCACGAAAGAAGAAGCGCACCTCAGACGGCGCCAACTCGGCCACCTCCAGGTCAAACAGAAATTCCTCGGGCCACCTTTCAGGTCAAACAAACGGAGTAAGTGAGCGTCGGTACGTTGATGCGAGTACCAACAGAAGTATGTCGGGGTCCCCGCATAGCGTCAACACATTCAAGCATTCCACACCTAGGCATGGTTCCATACCGATGCCTTCTCGCCATTCGTCCGAAGGCCCCCGACCCGAATACTGCGATGCGGCTGCACAAACAGATCCTGTCGATGGGGAGTGGTTCAGTCCCACACGTCAGGCACCCAAAGTCAAAAGGCGTGTTGTTTCCCTGTCGAAGCGCTTGTTAGAGAACCGCTATCGCTTACGAGCCGACTTGGATGAGCGTCGCCGGTCTTCTGCGGAGTCCCCCACTTCTGTCACCTCTGCTCTAGTCAAAATGGACATTGATTCGCCCCAAGATTCCGGCAGTCGGCTCTTATCGCCCGTGGCCAGCAGAGAACCGGCCGGAATTGACCGCGCAGGCGATGCCGTTATGGTTGATGTCGCACCGGCCTCCCCCGAGGATACGAGAGATGTATCGCCTATGGATGTGTCTTCGGCTTCTGCGAAGCTTAAATCACCAGATTTGCGAGTTCAACTGCCACCTGTCCCTGCTTTCAATAGCAATACGACCACGGCCTCACCTGCTTCGACACCAATGTCTGCGACAGGCACTATCACGCAGTCACCGTTCTCATCCAGCAACCTTCCGAGTCCTTTCGGGTCAGGGCCCCACATTATGAATGGTGTGGCAGTGGCTCCGAGCCCCGTGAAGAAGAAGCTTAGTCTCAGCGATTACAAGAGCAGGATGAGCAAGAAGCCAACAGGGGTAGCCCTCAAAGCGCCCTCTGCAATCACAGAAGAGGGAAAATCACCTACTCCTACAGATGTGCACATGCTGGATTCACCGATCACGGAAAGAACTGTTGACCCCTGAAGTTTATTGGTCTCACGAATCTTTCCGATTCATTGCATCGAAATTTTCTTTGTACCATATAGAGATGGAAAGCTACCGACATGTGTGAGAAGGTTGTGCGACTACGAGCAGCATCTTTGGTCTATTCCATCTCCAATCAACGCCTCTCTCTTTCATGAAGATGGTTGGAACGTATAAAACGTGACAGGAAGTTTGACTGGTGTCATGGCAGCGTTCATTTGTTTCTGCGCTTGGCGTTGGGGTTCTATTTGATACATGGTCAGCCCATGGTGGCTGGGGAGTCGATCACGACTGGTGTTTCAATGGGAGAGGTTTTTTTTTTTTTTTTTTTTCCTTCAAAACTCTGCACGGATTTTATACGGACGTTATCACTATTACCCGGCTTCATGATTTCAATAGTCACGCAGACTTTGCTTGGCCTAGCATGGTTTAAGAGCTTTCTGAGTTTTGATGAAGAAGATGCAGAAAGTAGGTGTCAAAAAGTCCCACTCAAAACGAAGGCGTGTGTGCCGTTATAGTGTACTATTAGTGATGGAATGAGTTGGGAATCAGGCTTCACGCCAGGAAGGCCACCAGCACCTTGATGCTGCGGAGGCAGTTGAGCCTGGGAAATGAGATGTCAAGTGAACATTACAATATTATTTGGTCGACAAGAAAATCACATGTGCATGATTAAATGGACATTCCTTACTGTGAACATCGGTACCTGCTATATATGGGTGTGCAGGTTTGAATGGGCGGACTCTCCTTTCCGTCTTGTCTCTCGGTTTCATGGTCTACTACATACTTACACAAGGCAAAAGCTCGTGGTACAATGAGTTGTACAATTACTTTTCATGATTGCTGCTTTAGACTCTGATTCTCCTATGAGCTTCTGCAACTATGGTCTCTATTTAGTTCCCTAATATTCTACCACTCCATGTACATATGAGCCCTAACCGGCCTGTTCATGATATGGCTGGGGGAAAAAAAAAAAAAGGAATGCCTAGTCCATAGTTTTCCCGCTACATGCCCAAACAGGCGTGTATGCCCTTGCTTGTATTTACATTAGAGCATCGTTCCCTCTAGGATTTCCCAGGCAGGAGGCATGTGCACATCGGAAGAGAAAAGGAACGCAAAATCACAAAGGAAGTAGGGATATCTAAACTCCACTTCCCATGCCGAGATTGTCCTCTCTAAAAACCAGCAGGGCGAGCCGATGCCGCACAAACAGGCCGAACAAGCCTACGGCTATTTGCATGGCCGTGATCTCCCAGGCGAGCCAGTCTTCCCTGAGCGGACCGCGCCACACGAGCCACAGGTTCAGGATGGTGAAGTTGGTCGTCTCAAGGATCTTGCCCGTCTCCTTGTCTTCTGTGACTCTCAATAGGCGCAGCTTCCCGAGGATGCGGATGGCGGTGGCGACCAGCGGCTTTGGCTGTTTCTTGAAGTCCTCCTCCCAGCGCGTGACGGACGGCTCGAGCAGCCCCGTGCGCGCGTTGAAGTGCGGCAGGCGGTGGCGCGGACACGGTACCAGACCGGAGAGCTGCGGGACCGAGTAGCAGAAGTTGAAGACCTGGGGGATCATGAGCAGGAGTAGCGTCTTGGAGAAGTGACCCAAGATGGAGACGACGACGAAGACCATGCCGGCAAAGTAACAATATGTGTCACCAACGAACACGCGGGCTGGGTACTTGTTATGCCAGAGCAGGGCAAGAGATACGCCGATGAACGGCAGCAGGAAGTAGAGCGAGAATAGATGCGAGTCGGTCGCAGGGTGCGGGTAGGGTGTGACGAGGTACAGGATGTCATTGAACGCTAGCAGCGATGCGATTACAATGGATTGCAAGACCTCGATGCCATTGATACCGGCGAGAATGTTGATGCTGTTCGGGCTGAAGATGCAGAAGGCAGCCATGTAAGCGTAGTAGAGGAAGCCAAGGTCGAGCAGCTCGCGGCCGGCGTAGGGTTGGAGGATGGTAGGGAGTACGATGGAGGTGACGCCGAAGTCGACAAAGTAGATAACGAGGAGGGGAATGGAGGCGAAGGCCGGAATGAAGAACTTATGGCGCCAGCGGATATCGAAGAGGTCGTCGCCAATGCCGAGGATGGAGATGGACTGCAGTGAAATGATTGCAGATAGGAAGGATGCTAACTGTTTTTCGCCTTTAACACGTGGTTCGGTTCTAGGCAAATATTGTCCATGGTTTGAAACATAGCATAGTACAGAATATAAGACTGTTGCAACGTACCTTGCTGTGAGGAAACTTGTGCAGCAACCGTCCCTGCTGAACATAGTCGACATTCATAACGACATCTCGATTCCCACCACCACTCGTAGCGACGACAATGTCCTTGTAGAAGGGGAAAGGAATGAACACCATGATGATGATCAGATAGACCACGGCACATATGGCGCCCATGCACTCGGGCAGCTCCTGCTTGTTGTTCACCTTTGACTTGTCGCGGCCCTTCAGCCCTGCCTTGATGAACGTGGGACCAAGCCATCGTATCATTGCGAAGCTGGCAGAGAATGCCAGACCGCTGAGAGCGAGGTTCGCTACCAGGGGTTCGCCATCGTCTCGTTGGACTGCGTTGGCGAGGATGGTCGCGCAGACGAGGGACAGGGCAGCTAAGCTCAAGGTTTCGGCGCGGGTAAGCTCTGTCGTCTGCTTAGGGGTGGCCAACGACATTGTTGTGGATGATGGTGTCTCGTCGCATGGCAGGTCCAAAGATTCAAGAATCGGCGACCAGCAACTTCGTTATAGGGGGGGGCCGGGGGGTAACTGCGCAGCAGTTTGTGTAAAGGAATGGCCGCAAATCGCTGTTCTGTTGAGAGCTGTTGTTGACTGCGTGGCCTCAATGACGACGACGACGGCGACGACGCAATCCAAGGCTTAGGCTCCGGCTAAGACTTACAGTAGTTACTTTACTCGGTACCTTACCTGCTTACCTTATCTTACAGAACGTCTCACGTCAAGAATAAGGTGGAATTTCAAACATCGCCAAGGCTCAAGCTAGTCCTAAATTAAATAGCCGGTGAACCCTCTGAGCCCTGTACAAGTAACGCGCAATACTCCACACATACAGCTCAGCTGCGATATGTGCATAGTGCGGATCCGTACTATCCATATTCTTCCTACCGAGGGAGATGGAGCTAAGCAGCGCCACGTGTACTAACACTAGCGTTGAGTTAAGGGGATTTCCATCTCAAGGTCAACGGTTCCAGTAAACTTTCAATATGTCCATCACGACAGCAGAACTCCATTGTGCACATTCACAAAGCCAGGTCTACCCAAGATTCGTTTCTACCAGTCAGGTGAAGCGTCGCTACGAGGAACAACCCTAGGCATCCTTAAACTTGCCTTGTTGCTAATTCTTCCAATGTGATCAGCCATGCCCTGACGCTTGACTATCGGTGGTAACAAAGACATGTGATGGACGCTAAAGTTGGTGCACATCTACATACTTATTGATTACACTGGCGAAAATAAAACTGAGTGCAACGCCTACGCAGGTATCCTGTCCTACTTTACCCCATGCTGTACCCACTGGCTTTCTTCTGTTGTGCCTTCAGTGGCATGCTACAGTAGTGCTTCTGTGCACCAAACACGCCAGGTCATTTGGGCTGACGTTATACCAACGGCTGGGTCTCGCCGTCCTGGACTGTGTGCTAAGAGTTGTCCCGCCTCAGTTGGTTGCTGACCCCGATGGCACCTTCTACGCGACCTTTGTTCTTGCTCACCATCCTGACCTGACATGGTATGCTAAATGGAACAACGCTTCAAGACTTCGAAGGTCACATTCCTCCTTCCCAACTAGTTGAGCCGGTATCAAAACTTTCCAACACTCAATACCCTGCAACCAGACAGGTGTTTGGTGACCGTAGGAATGTCTATAATCTTGATACTCCAACTCAACATCGCCCTGCGTTCCAAGAGCCGCACTAAGTACTCATGGACCTCGGAACCGGAACGGCTCGCACCCCTACCTATAGCCCCCAATAAGCGCCCCTGTGGGATCGACAAGACCAGCCTTAGCTCCACTGTCATCCCCGGATAATGGTGCAGAGACGCGGTCAGCAAGCTTCAGGCAGTAGCCTGCCCCCCATTACTTCGGCATTAATCAGCGTCCTCTGAGGGTGTCATGAAGCCGCTGAGGTCAGATTAATCCAGCGGCCCAGCCAAGCCTTAAATAGCCAACAAGTTTGCTCGGCCTTTAGTTGCCAAAATCGCCTTGGCCTGCCCTTTTTTCGATATACTTGTACTGTATCTATTGCCGTGGCCTCACGCTTCTACTTCTCTATGTATTTACTGCACTGATATTATCCTCTAATGTTGTACCACCACTGACATGTCTTCTCAAGAGAAAGACGTGAAAGTTGGGCAGAGTTCTTCAGAGCTAGCTTTGTCCGTGGACCGCTCTTCGTTTGAAACTGTAGCAGATCGGACACCACACCGACAAGAGCCAAGTTTAGACAATGATGGTAAGGATGACGTCGAAAGGGGAACAGAAAGTGGAAGAGTACATAACGATATGGCCTTATCTCAAGCCAGCCCAATCGGCGCGGAGGTGTGTAACTGCTTGTCGTACTATCAGTTTCATTTCGCGATCACTGATCATTTTTTCAGAATGACACTCAAGCCTCTCGTGTTAGTATCGCAAGCCACAGAAGCAAAGCATCACAAGCGATGAGCAAGGTCATGAGCAAATCTAGCAAGAGCAAGAAGGAGCACCTGGTTCCCACGGAACTACCGTTATCAGATATTGAGAGTGGGGTCGTAGGTTGGGACAGCCAAGACGATCCTACCATGCCGCTGAACTTCACGAGAACCAGGAAGCTACTTATAGTTTGGCTATTGTCTATCATAACACTGATGGCACCCCTTTCCTCCTCCATCATCGCCCCCGCTATCAGTATCTACAGCGAGGAGTTCGGAAATACCAATTCTACACTTGCCGCGATGCCAGTCAGTATCTTTTTGCTTGGGTTTGCCGTCGGTCCACTGTACTTGGCACCGATGTGCGAGATACATGGACGTGCAATCGTCTTGACCTGCTCGAATATCTTCTTTTGCGCCTGGCAGATAGGTTGCGCCCTCGCTCCGAACCTGAACTCCCTAATAGTCTTTCGGTTCCTTGCCGGTATCGGCGGCTCGGCCGCCTTGACGCTGGGCGGCGGTGTGATCGCGGACCTCTTTCCCGTTGAGGAACGTGGCTTTGCTCTCTCAATTTGGACAATCGGGCCAACACTAGGCCCATCGCTTGCGCCGCTCATCGGTGCTTTCATTGCCGGAAGTATCGGTTGGAGATGGTCCGTCTGGATCATCTTCATTCCGGCGACTTTAACGACTGTCATCATGGCCTTCCTCTTCCCGGAAACTAACCATCGTGTGCTTATAGACCGCAAAGTACGAAGGTTGCAGAAGGAGCTCAACCGTCCCGAACTACACTCCTGCTACGAAAGTGAGGAGTTGCGAAAACTGACCAGAACCGCCATCTTGAAGCTCGGTCTACTTCGTCCACTGAAGATGCTCTTCCTCAGTCCAATCATCGCCACGATTAGCTTATATATATCATTCGTGTACGGATGTATTTACCTCATGTACAATACCGTACCAACCGTCTTCCAAGGTGTCTATGGATGGTCCACCGGTGTCTCGGGGCTGGCTTTCATAGCCCTCGGTCTAGGGTATACGGCTGGCCTTGCTCTTTTCTCAATCTTCAGCGACCGCCAGGTCGTCCACCTGACGAAGAAGAACAACGACGTCTACGAACCAGAGATGCGCCTGCCTACCATGGTGTACTTCGCTTTCGTCTGCCCCATCACGTTCTTTTGGTACGGCTGGGCCGCGCAGACACATGCTCACTGGGCCGCGTCTGTGATAGGACTGTTTCCTCTTGGTGTGGGTATCTTCGGCATTTGGCTGCCCGCGCAAGCGTATCTCATTGACGCGTATCCTCAGTATGCGGCGAGTGGGATTGCGGCATTCACGGTGCTGAGAAGCATCACTGCCGCGTTCTTGCCCCTCGCTGGTCCGAGTCTCTTTGGAACACTGGGACTGGGGTGGGGAAATAGTCTGTTGGGGTTTATCTGCGTCGCTATGGTACCTGTACCAGTTCTCATTCATAGATATGGCGGGTACGTGAGGAAGAGATGGCCTCTTAATCTGTAATTATTGAAGCATGAGGTGTCATCAGGGCGTGAGTCGGACCCGGGAGTATCGAATCGCAACAAAATATATATATAACTTCGTCTAGCACAAGATTGATTTATGGGGTAATACTATGCGCATCAATCGAAAGTTTAATGGAGCTCAAAGTAACTATTCTAGTCTAATCAGCTAGTATATCTGATACTTATAGGACTGTACATACAAAGGTATTCTTAGGCAAGGTTTAAGACCATGGCCGCGGGTTCTGAGCTTATTCTATCGCAGTGCATTCTAGAGTCTGAAGGAGCGAACATCGCACGGAGGCCTTTTCCGACAGATCAACATAGTTGTAACCCGAGACCATTACTCAGTTGGTTGTTTGCTCAGTCGCTGGAGCATACTGATCGATCATGGCCCCAGAACTCCATGAAACGTCATTTCCGTCCCATGTAAATCTGCGAAATATCCCCCGGTAAAATATCTAACCCCCTAACCTTAGGAATTTGAGGTCTACATATTTACCACCCTTCGTAAGCACCATATCTGTTCACTTTCATTCATGTAAAACAACATTCTATGATGAAAGATGGACATGATGCTAATTTGACGTGGAACACACTCTCGGAAGACGATTTATTTTCTTCGTTCAGAAGATCAATAATAGTAAGAACGCAGATCGTAATCAGCCTGTGGGTATTGCAGCTGAACTTCTTCCAGATGGATTTACAATCTCATAGTCACTTTCTGAACTACCGGAAGTAACATTTTGCACAAGCTGGCTGCTCCGAGTTAAAGACCAGTGGTATCATGACGGGATACGCAGAAGTGTCTTTACATATTGGTGTTATTGATCTATCTAATCATCAAGTTCAGCGGGAAAGAACCTCCTATTCGTACCTTTACTTTAGACGCTTATTTCGTTAAGGTTGCCCCAAGTGTAGCCATGCTTTGAGATGATAGTGCTGCAATTGCCATTGCTGTAGTTACTCCAAGATTACCGATTTTCACGCCCGTAGATCCATACTGATACATCCAACCAGCATCCCAGCTTCCATCCTCACGTTGCAAGTCAAGCAAAGCGCGGCGGTCATTCTCACATGCGACTCCCATGTGGGTGCACGTGATGACACGCATAGCCAAGTCCAATGCGCTGCCACCCAAGTTGAGGCGTTCACGTACTCTCAACTTCAACAGTGGACCCAGCGTCATCTGGAGATGAGGATCGTTTGATGACCGCAGCAGGCGTCCGATGAAGCCTAGACAGCAGTCTGGTGACGGGTAGTATCGGGTTCCCTGCATATACGATCGATTCAGGAGCACCGAGTGCACGTATTGGAGTGTGCGCTCGAGCTCATGGCCACGATTATAAGTGTAAAAGCAAGCGAGTATGTTCGTGCTGACAATAGGATCAATCCGGGTTCTATTACGATCAAAATAAGTCTGTTGAGCTGTTTAGCGAAAGAGTTCCTGCTGCTGTCACTCTGGTCGTGTCGGCGACCTGATGCCTTACCTGGAATGTGCCATCGTCGTTGACATATTCGGCCATTGTGTCGAGTACTGCTGTGACTGTTTTGGTTGATGACGGCCGAAGGACTGATAGAGCGAGGGACGTGGTGTCAAGGTCATCAGGAAAATACCCCCCTGGAACAAGTGATGGTTCATCTGGCAGTACGTCCTCATCAGTCACTTCGATTTCGATATGATCCAATACGTGGGGAAAGGTTCTCACCGACGAAAAAGTTCCAAGTCTTTTTGGACCCCCATTCCAGGTCGATGATGGATCTAACAGCGTGAAGTCAATAATGGTTTTCCGTACAACACTCATCTGTACAGTTCACGAGATGCCGACTTACCGATCTTGCAAAGAATCCATAATCAGCAGTTTCGCGAAATTGTCGGCAAAGACGATCCCACTGTTCGTGAACGAGTTAAGATGCTTCACATTCTGAAACAAATACCTCCAGCCCTCGCTGGCTGGACTATCGAACATGTCGCGCAAAGTGTGAATTGTCGATGGCCCAAAAACGAGTCCTCGAATGCCCAATGCTTTTGCTGCCTGTATATTCTCGTTTTTGTCGTCAATGAAGACGACCTGATGACCAGCTAAGCCAATATGGTCCAGAACGTGGCGGTAGAACCCTAGCTCTGGCTTTCGCATACCTGCCGCTGCCGAAGTGAACACCTGGTCAAACAGCGGCCAATCCATTTTTGCTGCGAGTTCCTCGAAGTCTTCTTTGCCAACGTTCGACATGGCATACACTTGGACCGTGGGATCATCCTTCAATTCGCGAAGGAACGAAACGATGGTGTGGTCAGACTCCAGAGACTGGCGGGCTTGGGCAAATGCCTCGGCGATTTCAGACGCTGGAATGGAGAATTGTCGAGCACTTAGCTCGTAACAAGCATCCCGAGTCATCTCACCACGCTCATAGCCATGCCAGACAGGGGTAGAGAGAATGTCTCTCAACTTCCTAGCTGGAATAGTCGTCGTTGTATTGGCAGACCATTTGAAAAGGACATCGCCAAGGTCGAAAATGACACCTCGAGGGGGTGCTTGCAGATATGCCATTTTGCTTTTATTCACACTTACACGTTCTTGCTTGATTTTATGTCTCGCAAGGAGGGGACGGTGACCTATTTATGCAACCCAGGTTCTTTTAGCTTCGCTTGGAAGTCTTTGGAGAAACAAGATGAAGACCGGTGGTGGTTTCTACTATTACCCTGAAAAATGCAACGGCCAGTCGATCATTTCCGTCCTTCACATAGGCCAATGACCTGACCTGACAAGGGCGTGTGGATGAAAACCGGCCATGTATTTTTTCATCATGCTTCAAGCTCTGTACAACTGCAGTTATTGGCACAACTAGTCTAATCCAAGATAGGAGATTGTTCATGTATGTATCCGAAGATACAACATTCGAAGCTCAATGTTTTCATCTCTTCGGTAAGTCGGTTCTGTGCTACATCAGAATTAAAGTTGAGGGCATACAGCCCAAATTGGCTAGGTTCGGCTCCTCTCACATGCTCTTGCCTGGACATGCATACATAGTACAGCAGAAACTTCCCGGGGTGTACCCCCGCTGCAGAGTCGGTTAAAAATTGCATACAGAGCAGATACTACTATATCACGCCTTGCTACGCAGTGTGCCTAACGAACAAGCCGGGTTTGATTTGAATCATATTGTTACGATATTTACGAAGTACATAGTAGTCTTCCTCGATGCTCTGACTGTCTTTAGAATGCTAGACGTCGAGGCTGTGTACTGCATTATCTAAGCGAGTATGCGGTCCGTCCAACTCCGCAATGACAAAACTGATCCACACCTATCCATGTCCTCGGTACTCCACAAGATAGAATGACACCCTATTGGATGTGCATCCGGTCACCTTCCGTACTTCAGGACCAGGTTCATATACCACTAGGCCTTTATAAGACCCTTGCGAAAGCTGTTTTCACTTTCGGAACCTCTTTCGGGGAGCTCCTTGCATACTTCTCCCCGTCGCCGTAACCCTCTCCCTCCCACGTACTTGTGAACCTCTCTCATTGTCCTGTGACGCCTCCCCATTCAAAATGAAATACAACCAAGTCTCGTCTCATCTTGGCTGAACCTTCATGTCAAAAGCTATGTATTTTCTGGCCACGGTATTTGGTCTCCTTTTTCACGTCTTTGCACCCGCAGACGGGATGCTTCGGTTCCCCTGACCTCGTCTCTGATTCGAGTGTGCCCTTTCGTTGTGACCAAATTGATCTACAATATCCACTTCCACCCATTGGCATATTACCTAGGTCCGGTTTACCTCGTTGCCTCGGACATTCCACTAGCTGTTCTCTCACTTCTTGGTCCGAGCTAATCCTCGCTCAAAGCGGCACACAGCAAATAAGGCGAGAGTGTGCACATTGCTCCTGGGACACTCTCGTATATCGAGCCGCAAGCATGGATTAACATTTATGGAGACCAAGAGGGTTGGCGGAGGAAGGGTAAACTTCTTCAAAGATCCACTCTTCAACAATGAAATAATGCTTAGCAAGGAGACCATCACGCTCACGAGCGAAAAGGAGGCGATCCCCAATCGGCGCTCACTTTACAGCACTTTCTCGCATCGCTCGCTTCTCAAACAGGAGCAGATGATACAGAGGCTCATCAGACGACTCATGGCACAAATTGAGAAGCTCAGCGCCAACGGATGTCTCGTCGATGTGCGAATGGTTCACATTTCCTATGTCCGGTATCAACAGCGACTTTGGCTTTAGCGAGGACATGGGCTACGTGGAAAACGGCGTCTATCACGACTGGGTCAGGTTTGTCAGTGACTTCTTCAATGCCGCGACACTGTTGCACAAATGCCACAAACTTTGGCCGCTGAATCCCTTGTTGGCTCTCTGCATTTCGCCTTCAAGGTGTAAGACGCACATGAGCCATAATGAGGCTTCTTTAAAACGCGTCTGGAACCGCATAGCCATGGCCACGGACTGCCATGATTTCATGCATCATTTCTTGGAGCAGGCGGGAAAAAAGAAATCGTCTTCGTACGAAGACAATAGAGGCGCAAGCGACAGTCGTCCTTCTAGCTGGCAGCGAGCCTTCGTCGGTAGCGGAGACTGCGGCCGTTCACCATATCTTGGCGAATCTGCATATCCACAAAGAGTTACAGGAAGAGATTCAGAGCACCTTTACTGGCGTTCAAATCATCAAGTTGCAAGATGTGATGAGCGAGCTCCTGTACCTGGACGCAGTGGTGCAGGAGACGTTGCGTATTAATGCGCCGTTTGCCAAAGGCTTCACTCGCTGGTTGTCCAACAATAGAAACAGGAACGGGGCATGACCTGTGTGGCACACATCCGGCACAGAATAAGTACAAATTTTGACATCATTGTTCAATCTCGGATGCTTTAAAGAAGCTTTTTATCATCGGACATGTTCACGAATACAAAGTTACTTTTAGACAGTCGTTCTAATGAACCACTACTGCTCTAATATTTGATCATACAACTTCCACGATCCCTCGAATTTCATGCCGGATCGATGGATGAGTGATGTTACCTACTCTTGCGACAGGAGAGACGTTATACAGCCGTTCTCAGTGAAGTCACGGAACTGTCCCGGTAAGCAGGAAGTCAGATATCATATTCCTCGGCCGCTTGATCACAATAATTGACATGTCTTGATGAAGATTTACACTTTACCACATCAAAATGACGCTCGCACATCAGCTGTGGGGCCTCGATATGAGGATGGGCGAGGGTACTCAGAACTGGGCAGTTGGCCAACGAATATACAATGGTTGAATCCAGCCTAGGCTTCCTGTTCTGTAGGGGTATCTGCTTGGGAATCGTATTTTATAGTATCACTCGGGTGAGCAAAGAGTACGGCAGGGTTGCAATCACAGCGAGGCAGCTCAAAAGGACTGCATATGACCTCTTGGCAGGAGGCCCCGTGGTGTAACATCTGTCATATCTATACCAATCGTTGTTCTAGAGTACAGTCGAGAGCTATTCGGCCCCGAAGGAATCTCAACCTAGGCAGCTCTGAGGCATCTTTTTCTAACAAGACCGCGCCTAAAGCACAACTAAGGTATCTGCATTGTAGTTCTTTCAACCTGCAACGGGGAAAATATTGCCATTTCCCCACAATGCCCGTGTCCTATTGGCGAATCACGAAATTCAGGACCCAAAACATGCAGACCAGCCCTGTCACCATCCCAGTTTGTGTTACAGTACCCTTCCTCCAAGAGCATGCAATGTACTATGATCCATGGTTCGTGTCGTGGAGACCAGAATTCCTCATTGGATGACAACAAAAGCACATGCATCCCTGCTGCTCCTTGCATTAAGCACGTTTCCATCCATGCAACTAGCCTAAGAGACGTCATTGGATCGCTTCGGAACCGCTGCATACGTAACATGGCCGCTGTCTCTCTAGCTCTTACACACATGGAAGATCACCAGTAGGTTTTCAAGTCATAGGATGTAGCGTGCGCGCGCGCGCGCGCACACACACACACACACACACGCACACATAGGGAGAGAGAGAAACTATCGTCTGCACACTGGAACTCTAATCAGGCATGCACCTAGAAATGCGAAACTTCGGAGTTAAAGGAGACAGATATCTTCAATAACGCGTTGAACGTGATGGACGATCATTCAACTGTTTCTGATCCGCTTCGCTCACACCATGGGCAACGCTTTTACCAGTTATCTTTCGTTCCAGCCGCGCCTCTCACGGAGAGAAACCGTCCTGACCAAACAGGATGAGTGAGTGGAATCGTACTCCCTTGTCCTTCCACGTCTCTGACACGTGCATTCGGCTATCGCAGATATTCCTCGTGATGGATGGCTATGATGGTGTGGGCTTTGAACTATGCAAAATTCTCTATGACCACAACATGACTATTTTCATCGCAGGCCGCTCTGCATCCAATGCCCGAATGTGACGTAGAAAGGTCAATCTGCACCCATGTTATGATAACCTGTCAAGTCATGATAATTCCGTATAGTACTACTCGGTTTTCCGTTGAACCTATAATTAGTAAAGCAAAAGGATTGGCGGGAGACAAGTCGCTATCGACCTAGCTTTTGAATAGTCTCTCTAGCATGTTCTTCACACACACAAATTTCTGGTAAGACGCTCTTATACATATCAAAAGTCAAATGGTCTTATGAATGATATCCACGCCATTGTGTTGGCCCATAACGCTGTCCACTAAATCCGCATTCGGGCTCATCCCAGACTTGTGAAGCACGTTGAGCTCTTTGAAGAACTTGGGAGCAAGGATGACCGTGTCGCCCTGTAACGTTTGGATTATATAGTTCACATTTTTGGACTTTGGGTGATAGAGAACGACCAGCAGAACGCCTCGTACGGCGTCGGCTACCATATTAGCGTACCTGTTTGTATTGACGTATCACATATTCGTGTCCATGTTTATGCCATTTCCATCGAGTCGACCACGTGCAAAAGGCTGAAAGGGCCTGAGTTCGCATCCACCCTCGGCAGATTTATCTTAGTCATAACAGCCTGGCCAATTGCGACACTTATCAGTAGCCTTTTTCAGTCTATGATAACAGTTGTAGGCCATATTCTGACAGTGATTAGAAGGATTGCAGAATGGGCCTAGACTAGTCGATAGATCGTGAAGGCTGTGTGTGTGTAGATTCAGCCTCGGGTTGAGCGATATTGACAAAAGTTGGGCCGGGCTTACGCCATACAAACCTGAACATTGATCAGTCCAAGTGTGAAAGACCATCAGATTTCATGATATGACTATTGATTTCATATTTGAGTAATGTACCAATTTATCATTTTTCGAGGTTATTACATACTTTATTAGTGGAAAACTACTCAAAATCAGTTGGACCACTCTGTAAAATTCTGTATGCGCAACTTGGCAGAGGCACGACGCTTCCGCAGTTTGGCCATTGACGTTGATATTTAAAAGCCGTCCTTCAGACCTTGTAGCTTGAGCCCGTAACTTAGTACACTCTCAGAAGTTCTTTATCTGAAACAAAATCATTCTCGCCTTGGAATCTTCTATACTGGCTGCCTGAAATGCTTGGCCAGCTCTTCCTTGTCCAACCTTTCTCGTTCCTTCACATGTGATCTGATCCATGACATGGACGACAGCATCCAAATTCGGCCCTCTCTAATGAATGAGATTATACAGCAGGACGAAACGTCCTTGGTATTTACGCTCAGGTTTTGGGTCACCCCGCACAGATTGCTGTTTTCTTATGAGGTCATGCTCCAGCCATAAGGTGTAGCAGGAAATGGATGTCAAGACTGAGTCAATGCTTGTTTCGAAGTTAGTATACAATTGTTCTCCTTGAATGAATTCATCCTGGTGACGGTCGGCCTCAAAAAACTCCTGGACGTTACGGCCCGCGACGGCTTCAAAATTTGATTAAATCTTTTCTTCGAGATTACAAAGTGTCTGAAAGGTCTCTTTAACATTTTCTCTAATCGCCACCTTTCCTGGACTCCTCGAGCGCCTAGATTATAGCTATGTTTTAGCCAACGTGGCCGAAGCATAATCAGCTCCCTGGAGGTCTTCTCAGAAAGAGTGTGTATTTGTTCCTCTAGTTCTCGAAAGACCTCGATAATATCCTTCGACCTGCCCAATTGACATGTTGCCGTTGCGTATTGAAGGATCGACCTTCTCAACTAATCTGCGGTGTATCTCTTCGAGTCGCCGATGTACGTTCACACACAGAACTATGAGCTCAATCTCAGCGACTGAAGAGGGCGCCGGCTCCGAGCATTCCAGATATTTCTCTAGAATTTCAATATGGTATCCTAGAGCGTTAGTATCACCTGCAGACTCGTTACAATTGACCCTGTAATTAGATCCTGTTCAGTGCTGTTACATACGTAATTGCTTGGCCGATGAAGGCGGCAAGCCTGACAGTTGTACCAATACCTTCTGCCATCTTCAGATTTTGACATTGACTGTTGGGTATTGAAAGATATAAAAAGGTAAAAAAAGAATTGAAGCTTTTTTGAAGCGGGAATGAAAGCATCTGAAGCAAATTCCTTTTTTTTTTTCTTTGGAGCCGTCGAAATAGCCCGCCTCTCGCGCGGCGCAGCCAGCGCACAAGATGCTTGCCCACTCGTCGGACATGCATACTAGGCTGACTCAAAGGGAACATAACTTGATGACCACAATTTCCGGCCGGTCCTTTCACATCGGGCTTTCATGAACCAACTCGCATTACTAGCCCAATCCCATGGAGACATTTCAAGTGCCGAGAAAAGAAAATAGAAGTATGAGTGCTTGAATTATCACGGTAAAGCATACAATCGTCCCCTAACAAGGTGAACACATCCCCCCTCCCTATCATTCAAGATAATCTCGAGTCCTCCAATGCCCTATTAAGGTTCAACTGTACGTTCTTCCCATCCTGATCAGGCAGTCAGGCTCCGCCACCTCCCTCCCTTTATTAACCTTTTTTTGCTTTAGAAACAAACGACCGGCTGTCTTTCCCCACGTTTTCTTAACCCACTTCCTGATCTTGGACTTTCTCAGATATTTTCCATCAGCCTTGCTCAAAGCGCCGGAGATGTGAACATCCATGTGCGTATCTGTAGGCGTGACGTCATCGTCTTCCCAAGTGCATTGTATAACAGCCCCATCAACAGTTGCACAACTCCATCCCTCAGCTCTCGCTCTCACCTTGACTAACTTCTCACCAGTGAAAGTCCGTCCAATCATAGTGGCAGATGATTTTCTACTCGAGCTACCCTGGCTACTCCTGTCCGCATCGCTTGCTGTTGTACTTCCCTCATCGAAGACATTTGGACCAGCATTTGCAGTGGCCAGTTCATCTTGTAGACTCGTGCTGGTGTTCCTGATATGGGGACCGGCAGCATCCGTAACTGAGGTAGAGCGCATTTCGGATGTGCGCTCTCGGGGACCGCTGTAATAATACTCGTGCAAACCAGACAAGTTGAACTCGCCCTGCCGGATACTCAATTTACCATCATCTGGTGGGGATAGGCACTCCTCGGATCGAATCCCTTCAGATGGGTAGTCGGAAGATGCGGCAGGGCTTCGTGTATCATCTTTGACAACCGGTGAGGTAAATGGTGTTGTATCGAAGTGAACGAATCCCATGTCTGGCAGCGGGATTTTGTATGACTTATGGGCGACTGGAGTCGCCTGAGACTGGAATTCAGAAGACGGTGAGGCAAGTTCTTGAACTTCCGATACATGATGAACGTCATTGTATCTGTCTGGTCGGTAGGGGTTTTCGGTGTTTGGTTTGATGTTCTCAACGTGGCGGAACTCTGGGACGAGGTCATCTCTTGAGGGCGTCGTGTACAGGCTAATATACTCTGAAATCTCGGACGAAGTGCCACGCTTGCGATTCGCCCTATTCTCCTAGTTTGCTAAGGCGGAAACAACGTTTGCTCGTCGATGTGAGAGTACTTGGCCGAAATGGACGGTTGAAGACCTCCCAGGTCTACTGCCTGGAGTTGTGATACGTGGAAGGAGAGCCCTGGTAGGCAGTGAGAGTCCGTAGAAAGACATGCTAGACGATAGTACGTATGCACAGAACTGAGCAAACGTGCGGTAATCAAAACGTATAACTAATGACCTAGTCCATGAGATGATGTTTTGGTGTTGTTGAGGCACAAGGCTCTTTAGGTAGCATGCTAGATATAGCAATAGATCGTGACTTCCACAAACGTATGTTGGGTGTCGTTTCAGTGCCAAACACGCTTGCCATTCCCTTGAATCAGACAAGTCTCGAAGCCACAATGGTCGCCACTTCTGCTCAATATCACCTCAGCCTTGGTTCGACATCAAGCTTGCTGGTCGGTTGAGACAGCAATGGACTTTGTGACATGTATTCCATATACCGGCAGCAGCTGAGAAATTACCCAAGTCGACTTGGCGACACGGCGTTTCGAATGATGCAGTATAGTTGACTAATCAACTAAATGGATGGACGATTAGTGTAATCAGCTATAGACAGCATACTGTAGAAATGATTCTGCCGCGTTGCAATCACGCAACAGTTGGGACAGTTCACCACTACACGGCAGAAATGGTAGAAATTTAACCATTTGTCTGAATTTTCCAGCTGACCTGGGGAGCAACCTAATCTTAGTAGCACGCCAGTTCGCCTTGGGGAGCAGCCTTCTTTGTCGGAATGCTCTAACCAATGTGCTTAGGTAACTCGGCTTTTGCTAGGATCAAGTCGCTACTCGAATCACCAGGTGGACATCCTTGGACCCTGTGACTAGCTGCTAGGCAACTACGAGAATCTAACAACCTTAACCGCTTTGGCAAATTTAATTCCATGTCCTGTATGCTGGCTTCTCGTGGCAACCACCAAGCTGCATCGACCAATGCCATCATAATAAGTGTCTATATTGCTGGATTCCACATTGGCCAGCCTCGAATCATCCATTTATGCCTGCCGAACCCCTTTCCAGCCAGCCCCTGCTCCGAACAGAATGCGTTATCATGTAAACGCCGAAATTCAGAATCTGCTGACGTGACGCTATGTCAGATAGGTGAGAGGAAGAAGTCATTGAGTGTACAGCCATCAGAGGTACTCGCAGTCCTTCGTCGTTGGTAGACTTATGCAAGATAACCTAGATCATCGCCCTCCAGACGTTCAAGGTATTCCTTGTCAAGCAGAATCTCAATGCATTTCTTGATATCTGCTACCTTGGGGACGAATCTGGACTTGATTTGGTTGATCGTCTCGCTGACCAGCTGGTTGTGCTTCATCTGCTTGCGAGCCTTCATGATACGAACAATAGCGGACTACATTAACGGTTAGTGCGACAGGTACAAATGAGCGAAAGGAAGGAAAATGTACCTGTAAGACGAGCTTGCGGTCTTCCTCGATTGTCTTGTTCGTCTCGGCCTCTTCTTGCTTTTGCTCCGTCTTCGTACCGACGTTGAGATTCACACGAATCTTCTTGCTCTTGAAATCATAATTAAGATAGAAGGTGTGGTCAGGACCAGGCTTAGAACCAGCGGGCTTCTGGTTAAGAACTTTGGCCTTGCACAAGATGCCGAGTGCACCATCCAGCGCCTCCGGGGTTAAAGCAGTGATGGAAGCGATGTCCTCATACGAGTGCTCGTCCTTTTCGTTGAACATGAGTAAGATAGCCATTTGATAAACACTGACTTGGAATGTGAAAGGTGTTTTTGAGCTTTTGCAGTAGCCCGTGCGGACCTCGCCCTTGCAGAGTTGCCACAACCACGTCAATTTACGTCCATCATGCTTCTGCTTGTAGTATGCGCCGAAACGGTCAAGGTCAGCTTGGATCTCAGCTGGTGGGTTAAACTGTGTGTTAGGCGGTGTCAGGGGCCAGAAGCTCGTTCCTAGTATGGAATAAGTCGAGTCAAGTGGCTTTGATACGCTCTCGTCCTTCTTGACGTGTTCCTTGTAGCCATTGTTCAGATCCTTAGAGATCTGCATGTCCTGGAACATGCGCTGGAGCTTATTGGTGTACTCGAAACCACAGGCCTCCTTGAGCTTGCTGATCATACTCGTCTCGGCATCATCGGAAGATGAGTTGCTGTGTACCAGACGTCGTGCCAGCATCCGCGAGTAGAACTTCTGGAATACGTCCTTATCCTCAATATATTTGAAGACAGTCATGATCTGCGTCAAGGTGGCGTCGAGCTCTGCCTCCTCGATTCCGGTTGCGCTCTTCTTCAGCAGTGTGTCGGTGTACTTGGCGAGCAGCTCTGGAGACTTGTTTGAGCCAGCCTTGCAAATGTCATTGCGGTTGACGAATTCCCTGCAGGCGTTGTCCAATGATCTAGTGAATTCGGGTTCGTCATTGAAAGCGCGCTTGACCAAGCCTTGGTATTGTGTGTGGACGCTCAGCAGCGCATCGACATAGACCTTTGGCTCGAGCTTGTCGGCGTCAGAGGCCACCTTGGCGACAGCGGCGAGACCAGCATTTCGCACGTGAGTCTCGAACTTTTGTCTCAGTGGCTCCAAACCTCCGGCTATCCTGTTCAGCAGGTTGAACATACGCGCCATATCGTCTTCCCGATCGTTGTCCAGCAAGATCTGAAACTCGTCTCTGAGAATGGTCTGGTGCTCTTCAATGAGCGCCTCGTTACAGGTCGCCCGCAGTTTGCTGGTAATGTCGGAGTGCAGATACATACGAACACGCTCCTCTTCCTCGTTCAAGCGAGTCTCGGCCTTCTTCATGTACTCAACCACGCTGTTTTCGGCGATGAACTGTTTTGACTCGGCTTGGTAGAATTGTTTAGTCGCATCGATGAAGGGCTTCTCAAAGTGAAATCTGTAGACGTCAAGGGTCGACTTGGTGGCATCGTGTTCGTCAAGGCCCAGCGACACAAAGGAATCAACAATAGACTTGATCTGGCCATGCTCGATGGTCTCGCCGTTTCTCTGCTTCGTGACCAGCTTCAAGACAGCATCCATGACCTTCTTGGATACCTTCTCAAACAGCTGAGTACGCCATTGCATTAAATGTAGGGTGTAGACGTCGTACGTGTCCTTTTTGCCCTCGTCCATTTCGCGCTTGACCCAGTGGCGGTTCAGGTATCTGAAGAGATGATGGATGTACTTGGCAGCGGTGGTGTACCGGTCCCATTCCTTGATGTAGAAGGCCAGCAGTGCTTCGTCGGTATGTGCTATCGACTGCTCGAGCAGTTCTGCGAGGTGGTTGTTAAGATACTCCATCAACTTCTTGTAAAGATCTTCGCCGAGCAAGTGTGCTGCATGGTTAATGAGTTCGTTAGCATACCAAAGCCATCAGATATTACAGGGCGCGTATTACCTCCCCTGTGAGCTTGACTACCGCCGGATGTGCTCATCCCGACGGCCTTCTGAGAAGTACAAAAGTTGTGCACAGCACTGCAGTTGATTAGCATGCAGGTTATGGTATAGGTTTCAAACCGGTTGCTTACGTGTATATGCCCATGTACTGTGACGGAGATTAGCAACATGGTCAGGGCCACAATTTAGAGAAACGAGAAGACATACCGTAGCCAAGTCCATGCCATCTTGTAAGTTAATCATGATCTTGGAGATACCAGCCTGGAGATAGTCCCATCTGGACTTGGTCAGCTACGGCGTGGTCGCGGAATGCGACGGATGGGCGGCGAGAGGATGACATACGTTGCTCCAATATCCTCCTTGTTGGGAGCAGGTGGCATAACCACCGACTGGCGAGCTGCAGCGGCCGCCATGTTGTCGTCGGACCAAGCTCCGAGAGGAAGCGCTGGGTGTCGACTCGGTGGCGGTGGTGATGGCGGTGGTGGCCGAGATGCTCCTCGGGCCTGGGTTGGGGGCTGTCTGTGACTGCTTCGAATTCTTGGGAGACGCTATCTCGCAAGGACCGGGCCAGTGTTATATTGAACTAGCAGAGGCCGGTGTGTTAGTATGTTTGTGCAATGAGTGTGATGCGAATGGAGAGATGCGGGTCGGAGGAAGCTTGAGTATCTACAAGATCACCGACTGCGATATGGTGTTGGTGCGAAGGATGATTGTGGTTCAAGAATGACGCGCTTGGGCTTGGGCTCGGGCTTCTGCTTCGGCGCAGGGAAGTTAAAACTGGATCCGATTCACTGAATGGGGATCATTTTTCAAGTCAAGTCAAGGCAAAAGTGCAGTGTACAAATAACTTATGTACTTAACACAACGGAGTTGGTAGCAGTGGGACCCTTTCAGTGAGTGATGCGATGCCTTAGGGAGCTTCTTAGCCTCAGGAACTCAGGAAACACCCCGCGATTCCCTGGAACGAGCTGGAGTCGTGGAAGACAAGGCGTGGAAGTGGCGATGACGATGACGGATGCGAAATAAACAAAAGGCGCGCAGAACACTCACGGTTGGCAGATGGTCTCCCTTGCAGAATCGAAAAGGCGAAATCTCTTTTGGGAGTGCTATCTTGTCAGACGAAGAAGGAAGACTCGCCAGCCTGACAGGAAATCTTCTCGGCATGGGCAGGTTGTTACAGTACGGAGGGGCGGGCACAGACCATATACACACAGTAGTAATTAACTCCAGTAGCTCCAGTGCAGTAGCTCCAATAACTCCAGGCTTCAATGTTCCCTTCCCCCTGCTCCACTACAATTCCATTGGTTGCCTTGGACATAGTTTGGCTGGTCTTTCAAGTCGCGACTTGTGTACTCGTCGTGTGATCCGTCCCAGGTGTGTTTATCTGAAATATCCCGACTTTGCCTAGTATTTGCAGAGTAACAGTCCTGCTGCTTGGTTCGAACCGAGCGTGACAGATGCTTCAGAGGAACACTACTGCATTCTGCAACCTTATGTGTATCCAGCAGAATTAGGAATGGCTCGGCAGACAGCTGCTAGTCGACCGTGCATACACCTCGACATTTCTAGAGTTCTCAGAATCGCACTATATTGCGCCGTGATGGGGAGATCAACGAGGAGATACTGGTCGCAGGTTGGTGAATGCCACCATAGCGTAGACAAATAAAGCTCGTGGGCGGCACCGAGGATCACAGGCCACCGAGATTGAGATATATAAGCTGTGAGACAAATGCTAAATCCACTATATTTCGGAGACGTCGAGTACAATGAACCGCCTTAACTATTACGTTCTTTCCCGACGCGCTTAGATTTCGGCTTTGATTTAAATTCATAGCCTGGCCTTCGGCGGCTTGAATGCCGGAGTAACTAGCGGATCGTACACTGTGTGTCCAAGATTGTCCTTCGGCACCGGCGTGACATGACTGCCCAGATTCCTTGTGTCGACCAAGCTCGGATTCAGCTGGTCAACGCTTGTACAACCAATCAGGCGCATATTCATCTCCATCTCATCTTTGAGTAGTTGCAGAGCTCGGTCGACGCCCTCTTGCCCGTATGCCGACATGGCGTAAAGGAACGGCCGTCCGATACCAACACCTTTGGCACCAAGGCACAAAGCCTTGATGATATCGGTGGCGCGCCGGACACCACCATCAATGTATATCTCAATCTTGTTGTCGAGGCCCAGTTCCCTAAGAACCGGGGTGGTTTCAGCGAGTACCTCAATAGCAGAGCGCGCAAAGTCGAGCTGGCGACCTCCGTGGTTAGATAGCACTACGCCTTGCGCACCAACCTCGATAGCTTTGAGGACATCCTCCACGCGCTGGACACCCTTCAAGATGATCGGCATCTTTGTGATAGACTTGAACCACGCGATGTCTTTCCACGAAAGACTAGGGTCGATGAAAGATGAAATCGCTCTTGCTGCACCCTGCGAGTTATCCGTTGCCTGACCCGACTGGACATTGGTTCCTGCGTCCTCGAACTTGGATCGCATATCCTTTTCCCTCCTCCCGAGTTGAGGCGCATCGACTGTGATGAACAGTCCCTTGCATCCCCGCTTCTCAGCATGCTCAACAATGCGCTGAGTGATCTTTCGGTCCGAGTTGACGTAAAGCTGCATCCATTGTACTTGGTCTGCTTCAGCGGCATCCATAATCTCGTCGAATGAACATGACGCCAGAGTCGGGATCATCTGGATTACGTTGGCCTTCTTGGCTGCCCTTGTCAACACTACTTCACCCTCAGGATGGCCAAGCTTGCCCAGTGCTGTCGCCGTTATGTATAGTGGGATATCGACCTTGGTACCCAGCATGGTCGTCGAGAAATCGACTTCCTTAACGTCAACTAGGACCTTGGGCCGGAACCATATCCTATGGAATGCCTCGTGATTCTCCCTCAACGTCTGCCAGAGAGTCAGCCTTCACAGTTGCTAGATCGACAAGGAAATCACTCACAATCTCGTCGTCGGCAGCACTTGAATAATATCCCCAAGCGCCCTTCTTCATGGTGTTCTTAGCCACGGACTCAAAGTCTAGCAAATTGTAACATTGCTCTAGCGCAGGCTTGTCCTTGATCCTCTGTTGTCGATCCTCCTCTGCGGGATCGTGAGCCTTCTCAACCGAGGCTACAGTGTTCATGTCTACGGCGCCCATATGTTTCGACTTATCGAGGTACTTGTCCAGAGTGTCCGGAGGATGGATGGGTTCGTATTCCTCTGTCGCATCTTTACCCTGTGCAGTCAAAACCGGGTCAATCATCCTGAATGGCACAAATGTTATTGATACGATTGTGATTGCGACTTACGGCATACTTCAATATGATCTTTGGTCCACCGGGGTGTTCTACAGTATCGTTTAGCCACGCCTGCTATCTTCGTACTGAAGACAACGACCATACCTGGGAGGAATTCTGTCACATCATAGGCTTTTCCATGCACAATAACCCAGCAAGACTCCTTGGTGTTGTGCTTCGCAACCTCAACTCCAGAAAGCCCTTTCGACGCCATCGCGAATGACGTTGCTTCAAACCCCAGCGGAGCTTGTCTTCAACTGGCGCGAGTGGATGTTTCGCGTACTTTGTTATTCACAGCAATTGGCTCCGAATAGTGAAGCGAAATCAACGAGAAGGAAAACTGAAAAACAGTCGCGAGGATTAGCCACCTTGGAAACTATTTACGAACGATAGTTTTTAGTCTAATCCAGAATCTCTTGTCCGCATCCTCTTTCGACACAGTAAATGGCCGATCACCGCCTGAAGTGTGGGGGAAGTTTGGGGTTCTAGTGGAGATGGTTCGGGATCTCGGTGGGAAGGAGCGCGCATTGTGGGTTTCTTAAATGAATCACCATCTGAATATTTCTATACTGTGAGTAGCTATTGGCTGAACGTCATCGGGTGCTGTGCTTATACAGGTGCAAACTATGATCGCCTGGCACTATTTTTCACTAAAATAGGTGCCCTTTTCGGCTTTTCCATCGGCTTTACAAAACTAGCATGGCTGCATGGACAAAAGGAGGATATCCATCTATCAGCTGTATCGCTTTGGTGTAAAACATGCCTGAGTGTGAATATTCCGTATATTAGGCACAGTAGTATAAGCAGGCCAGACAGGTACCTGGCCCTGTCCGTGTTCTGAGCTACGATGGTAGTGGATCAATAAATGACTACGTCTTCGTCCAATTATAGAACCTTGCCAGTTTCACCGTCCCTGTCGCCTGAGATTCAGTTGAGTATTGAGTTTCCAAAAGATCGGCTGCAAGTTATCTCGGCTACAGTTCCGGCTCATCTACAACGAACAAGGCTTCTCACTCGGTTGTTCCGATACCGAGTATAAGAATACGTTCTCAGCTATCCGACCTGCCAGATGGTCGTGTCAGTCATCGAGCACCAATCGACCTAATAGACTTTGACTACACAGTAGAACCACAAGCTCGACGTGCCGGGCCAAAGGTACTCAGCATGCTACGTAGTTAAATGGATTCAGGTGGTGGATAGCTGCACCAGCGGCCTCAACCCCGCAATCCCCCCAGATTTGCTTACGCATACATGCTCGATGCATCACGAATCCCTCTTTTCCGCCCGTTTCGCAGCTTACACCAAGGTAGTCGATCAACATTTCTGAACGCCAAGCGCAGACCGCTCACACTGCAATCCTTTCACCATCTTTGCAATTCAAATCTCAAACATGCCTTCTGGTCATGCCAAGGCCGCCGTCGACGGCACTGTCATCGCAGATGCAGCCTCGTATGAGGTGGTCGAAAACAACATCTACTTCCCACCATCTGCCATCAAGACGGAGTACTTTAGCAAAACCGATCATACCACGCACTGTCCATGGAAAGGAGACGCGAGCTATTATACCATCAAGATCGGAGGTAAGTTGCGAAGTCTCCTACAATACCCGACGCTCGTATAGACCATGGGAGGAGGGTGGGCTGAAAACTCAATCTTTTCTTTGCCTCCAGCTCCATCCTCGGGTAATACAGTTGAGTGCCACGATGGATTTGCCTTTCATGTCGGAAATACCCAGTGCGAATGATACCGTTGGCTCACAAGTCCATACGATAATCCACAAATTCGTTAGACTCGCCACTGATTACGCCTGTCAAACAGACAAGAATCTCGAGAACGCTGCATGGTACTACCCTGACACGTTTGAGAAGGCGAACCACATCAAGGGATATGTTGCCTTCTGTGGGTTTATTTGTGCCGCATTTTTCTCTCATCAATACGACTAACCGTCTTGCAGACAAGAACAAGGTAAACATCACCACTGAATAGGAAGAGCTCTAGAACCGTCGAAAACAGCCCAAGCTGTGATGAGATAGCAAAAGTTCAGCTCCTTAGCATAACACGGGATGTTTTAACTCCTTCTAGTACGTTAATGAGACAAACGATACAGAATTATTTGATAATCGTGCAAGTACCATGTCTCTTACCTGACTGAACGGCTCAAGTTCTACTACCAACAATCCAACGTTATGAATGAATGATACAATCAACATCCTGAAGTTCTTGGTCACTCGACAACATGTATGAAAAAGGAATGTGGTCATCAATAAAATTTTTACTGGTTTGAGACCATGGGTATCTATATCCAACCAGACCTCTTAGGGCCGAACCGCTCGCAACTACATTACACCTCTTATATATAAACACAGATATCGCATCTTGAACACACCGATCTGAAAACCACTGGCCTAGAGAGTTTGCTCAGGCTTGCCGTCGAAAACGCCGCCAGCATTGTCGGAGTGAGGCGATTTGGGAAGGGGTTGGTCCTCGCCGCAAAGCTCCTCAAGAGTCTTGCGCTTAGTCTCGGGAATACAAAAGGTAGTGAAGACACCGAGCAGCATGAACAAGGCGTATATCTCGAGAACGTGGTCCATCCAGGGGGCGGCGTTATCCTTAGTGGCGCCCCTGGTGCGCAGGGTAGCAATAGCACCCTGGCCAATGATAGAGCCGATCTTGCCGGAGGCGGCAGAGATGCCGTGAGAGGTGGAACGGTAGCGTGTGGGGAACACCTCGCCAGGAACGATGAATGTAGTGGTGTTAGGTCCGAAGTTGAAGAAGAACTGGGCCAGAACGTAGATCGCAAGCAAGCCGTTCTGGGAGTGTGCCGTGATGTAGTTGTAGCCGAAACCCATTACACAGAATAGGATCGTAAGAATGATGAAACCCATGAGCTGGATAGTCTTACGACCAAGAGTGTCGATCGTCGCAACGGAGACCCAGTAGCCAGGCACCGCGCCAGCTAGGACAATTATTAGGTTACCGACAGCAGTGTTATAGAGGTATGCGTAGGCGCTAGTGGCACCCTTCGTAGAGAACCCGATAACGTTAAGGATAACGGTGTTGTTGAGCGAGAGACCATAATCTGAATAAAATGTGAGTTACTAATGTTATGTAGGGATATTCAGAACATAGATACTTACAAGCAACATCCAACATGAACCAAGAACCGGCAGTACCGAGTAGGAGAAGACCGTTCTTGGGCTTGGCGTAGTGGCGACAGAAGTCACCGAAACTTGCCTTAGGAATTTGCATTTGAGACTCAGCGGCAGCACGAGCCTGGATTCTGGCGACCTCATCGGGGTGACCCTCGTGCTTGCCGGACATGTATGCCTTGACATCATCCGAGGCCTTCTCAATATCCCGACTGACATCAAAAGTGTATCGCTAAACACTGTCAGGAAAATAGGTTAAAGATTAAACGGGGAAGGCCCACTTACAGGAGTCTCAGGAATGGTCAGACGATAGTACAAGGCGATACAGGCGGGAACGGCACCGAAACCGATCAGAGTTCTCCACATCTTATCAACGGCAACGGCGCAGTAGTCATTGCAAGTCGTCACACCCTGTGACTGCAGCAGGGCCTCCTTGAAGCCGAGGGTGACAAACAGCATGATCATAGCACAGACGAGCTGGCCAATACCCTGCATGGCGAAGACGGCAGCCATCATAGCGCCGCGCCACTTGGTGGTCGCGAACTCGGAAGTGATAATACTTGACAATGGGTAGTCACCACCAATACCCACGCCCATCAGAACACGCCAGAAGATGATAAGACCGACGATGTTGACCGAGGGCGAGCCAGAGGCGAGAGCCTGTCCAAAGGTTGCGAAGATGATGATGATCAACTCAATACCGTACATCTTCTTACGGCCAAATCTATCCGCGAGGTGACCGAAGAGAAGTTGACCGATGACTGTACCGGCGGATGTAGCAAGCTTGATAGCACTGTCGGATTGGGTAGGCAGGGAACCGGTGCTGGGGTAATATACTATGCCAAGCATAGTGGTCAAAAGAGAAACGGCAAAGATATCGTAAGAGTCGGTGAAAAATCCCACACCAGCAACGACAACCGCGCTATGATGCAGTTAGGTCTCTGATATCATCGATAAGAGGGCGCAAAAGGACATACCGAACATGATACCAGCCGAACGGGGCCTTGTCAATCTCGGCGAGAGCGAGACGGCGTCGCTCGTTGGGGTCTTGAACATGAACGAAGTCGTTGTGGAAGTTGTGATAGGCAGCATTGCCTCCAGAGGTCTTCGCGACAGGGGCTGCGGGCTGCTCTTCTGAAGACATGGTTCTGCTTCGGTTATTATACTAACTTCGGTATGGAAGGGAGTATCCGAAGAGGATGCGGTGTTGGTTTCGTTTGGCAGGTTTGATCAAGAACGAAAAAAGAACGAAAGACGAAGCAAATTATTAGTTTGCCAAGACGGAACGGTCAAGCACATGGAACGAAAGAAGCTTTGCCAATGTCGAGCGGGAGATGCCCTCTTTAAGACAGGACGAAGAGGGTAGCATTAGTTCTACCCGCAAAGACACATTAGACATAGCATTAATTTTCCGGAAGCACTAGGCGACGGGCGTGCGGCGTATTGCATTGGGTCAGCTCACGCTTCAATACTAAGTGGAACTCATATCAGTGAAGGAGGGTTGTTCCAATGGGTAGTCCCTTCAATGTCAGTGAATCCATAAGGCCGAGCCTGTCTGCGAATCGGTGGGACGCGTGCACTCATGAGACTTGTCTCCAGATATTAATAAGGGATCCACTGATCGGTCACCATATCGGGTTCGATGCCTGATTGGGAGTTTTCCCAACGCCTCTTCTTACCGAACAGCAGTTGCGGATCGCATGCTTTGCTGGTTTCCATGAAACATGCAGGCCACATCTCTACATGGGAAGCTGTTAAGTCGCTCACTCCCAGCTCATCAGGTACATGTTTCATGCAACATCATGATACAACGGTTTTCTTTGCTCGGTGAAACAATATTCAGGGCCAAAAACGTGCTGCAGCTATGATCCGCCGCGCAGTACGACCCAAACAGTTGGGTCTGGAACACGCTACTTATTGCCCACGAGCTTCACTGGGCCATGACACGTGTGAGATCCAACAGTTACTCCATCCAGACGGTTTGAATGTCAAATTTTTGTCTTAGTGTAGAGTTGTTTGCAAAAGGCTATGTATCTGTCTCTTGTCCAGGCTGTCATAAGTTGATATACTCAGTTGAGCCAATCAGAGACGAGAACCGATAAACGTGGGCTTGAAATAAGCTCTTCATTCGTTCTGAATCCCGCAATACGCCAGGCTATCTCAAGTTAGCATATCCCGGGCAAATAATTAGTGCAAACTAACCCTGCCTTTAAAACTTGAGACGGATATCTCGAAATCCTCACCGAGCGAGCGAGGACTGGAGGCAGTGCGTCAGTCGGCCAATTCGAATCTAGGAGTGTTGGATGCGAAAACTGGAAGAGGATATACAAACTGCCCTGTTATCTTGTAACACCTCAAATATTGGAACACGATAGCGAGTTGAGATGAATTTCGATATAAGAGATACAATGCAAGGTTAGTCGCGTGATGGCTATGCAACCTTCCGGGTACATCGTCAGAGGCGTTAGCCAAGCGTTTACCAAGCCGGGTATGCACATTTTGTGCGACTTGGCAAATGCTTGGTCACGACTTTGGACTTCGAAGGCGGACGGACTCGACAGCCATAAAAAAAATCAATACATTTCAGAAAAAGACTTAGGTCCGAAAAGCCAGCTACTTTCGAAGATGCTGTCAAGTCACTATAGAATGGATCAGCCAATCATACCAGAGCATGCCGACACGCGCTCGACCCCCCAGCAACGAGAAAGTGTTGTCCCACACCGGGCCCACCAGCCAGGACCACGTAAGTAATAGCTTGCTGGCGCCACAGCTGAGATTCGACAACGACACGCAAACTCTTTACAATTATTACGAAATCGGGCCGAACTAGACAGTCGGGTATTGTGCAGCTCGGCTATTTTGGGCAACATTTTTATTTTTTATTTTTTATTTATTTAAACCTTTGGATGTTGTAGCTATGAATTAGTGTGTAGTTGAAGGACGTTGGCAAGGAGTTGACATTCCAAGAGAAGTTGGTCAGAGGACCTATATAAACAACTCCCTTCCGAGGCTTGTATCGTGAAGAATTCGTCAACTCATTGAACAGGCCCAGATCAACGCGAGTGTGCAGGCAGCGGGAATAAACTCTAGTCTAGTGAGGAGTTTCACTTTCGTTCAGCAGGCCAGAGCTGCCTCTTAGAGCCGTCCGAGCTTATTGAACATGCTCTCCCAAATGGTTCATAATAGACCCGCAGAACCAAGCCGCTGGCATCCTAAGAGGCACAGCTACACCCAGATCCAGTAGAATATGTGGGTGTTTAGCGATCATAGAGTTGATAGTGGTTCAATCACATATTTGGTGTGAGAAATCCTTATACCTCGACGATTTCGTCGTCGTCATTGTCATCATCGTCGTTCGCTTCCAGGGTATCTTTTGCCGCCTCCCGGCCAAGCTCCTCCACTCGCGCATTGTCGTTTGTGTCATCCTCATCGCCTTTCAGAAAATTGACAAGTCGCTCGCAAGCGTCCCTTACATCAGCATCGTTGACCTTCGAATGGGTCTCTCTGACAATTGGGTAAACATTGATCTCCCGTAGACGATCACGACCTGACCTGGTGGTACACAGTAACAACAACGTTTCCACATGAGTCTGAATAATATTTGGATCGGAGTCGCGTTGCTTATCCGGCGGCAGCAATTGCAGTTCAGGCAGCATGGCCATGGATTCCTCGAGATCATATTCCTCGCTTCCGATGATCGGCAGAATGATATAAGGCAGCATGTTGATGTCATCATCAGACATGAAAGCTGGATGAGAAGGAATGTCGAAAGCGACGTTCTTGATAGTCGAGGCGACTCCCTTTCGTCGAACATCAGACTTGTGTTCGGTGAATACTATCAACTTGGTGATAGGTATGACTTCATCGTAGTCTTGCTTCTGGAGGAAGTGATGACGTATCGCATCATGTTTCGTCAAATCGGCGAATAAGTATGACAGATGGTCAAAGTCGGCAGCCTTGTTGTAAGTGCCCTCGGCTCCCTTCACAAAGAGGTCAAGCAGTTGATTCAGTACGCGATCATCCGAACCAAGCTCTTTTGGGGCAGGTTGCCTCTTATCGAGTATCGATTTGAATCCATCCCATTTGGCGAGGTTTGCCAAGAGCATGGACAACAGGTTGGCATTGGGCTCAGAGGGGCTCTATATCGCATCAGCATTCATCTGCTAGGGCATGCGTCTGCGCAATTGTGTCACTCACAATTATGAACCCGAGAACAGTGTCTAGGAACTTGTCGTCGGCAGCTAAAGACTCAAGCACTTGGCGATCCGCTGAGAGGTTGACAAGTATTGTTATGACATGCTCGGCGATTTTCTATCATGCTGGCTTAGAGTCGAATGAAAATGAGACGGTGTCAATTATGAGGTCTTACGGGATGGTCTTTCACCAAAAGCTTCAGGTTCTTGACTGGTTGTAGGTTGTCGACTTTGAAGATGCTTGGGTCGGCAGTTGAGTAAGGGAGTAAATGCTCCGTAGCCAAAAGCCTGATCTGTGGATTTGGATTGGCAATAAAGCCAACAAGCTGGATGGAAATTAATTTACATGAGCAAGAGATAGCCCCTCAGGGTATGGCGTACCTCTTCGAGTTCTGTGGGCATCTTGGTATGCTCGTTTGAGAGAAAGAGAGAGAGAGAGAGAGAGAGCCCAGCTTCCTTGCTGTGCTGTGCTATAGCCAAGCAGTTGTCATAAAATATTTTACCTGTCGTACATGGCGGGGCAATCGCGGTTTTGATGGAGGGGTCAAACTGCACTGCATGCACATACACGGCTGCGTCACAGCCTGTCAGCGGCGCTAAGATAAAGATAAGATAAAGATAAGCATGGGCAAAGTCCAGTCTTGTCTTTTGGCGGCACATTTCCCAAAGAATCGACCCCTCAAGATTCTTATCGGAGCACACCACGCCCACGCACGGTACCTACCTAAGTAACCTCCTGTACTTGATTTTTCCCTAGTCTAGCGGAATAAATAAATTTTGGAACCCACCGTTCGTTCACCCGCCATAACAGTTCAGTTCAATTCAAGCAAATCAGCAATCCCACCCAGCCTTTGTCGCATCGGCAGCCTGCACACCAATTTGCACGGCCACGACTAATTCAAGACTGGACGTCATATCGAGATATTGCAGCACAAGACACAGGCTCACGCAAATCGAATACGACAGCATGCCCAAAGCTACAACCCCGAACCGGGGACAAAATCGCCATAATCCTCTGGCCGACGACTACCTCGTCACGGCAATTCCGAAGAACAAAGCACCGAAGAAGAAATCATCGAGAAAAGGAGAAGACGGAGAGGCCTATGTTGACGCCAAAGCCTCGGAGCAGATTTTGAAGCTTGGCCGTCAGCTGGCAGAGGAGGATGCGCAAGTCACAGCACCACCTGAATCCAATGCATTCGGTTTCGAGTCCAGATTTCCCCAAGAACAAACCGAACCATTTGGGCACGACGACGAAGTCGAAGCTGAAGCGTGGGGTGACGAGGAAGAGGAGGTCGAGGAGCTGCATATCGAGCCTGAGGACCTCGAGACCTTTAACAAGTTTCTCGGCGCTGACGAAGTTCCCGGTTTGGCCGGACACGACTTCTTTTCTGCCGGCGCCAGTTCACAAGAGAGCTTCGTTCCCGGCGGCGACAGGAGCCTTGCTGATATCATCCTGAGCAAGATCGCCGCTCATGAGGCAGGTGTGCAGAGGGCTCCAGCCGGTCCCGTTGATGACGAAGACCTCGAACTCCCTCCCAAGGTTATTGAGGTATACACCAAGATCGGATTGATGTTGTCGCGGTACAAGTCCGGAAAACTTCCCAAACCTTGTACGTATAGGAAACAACCGGCGTCGTCGAACCCCCTCTGTCCCTCGAGGAAGTACTCGTCCTGGTCGATGGTCTTCTTAGCCTGCATCTCTGTCAAGAAGTGAGATAGTGGTCTCACTCAAACCAGCACCCCGAAGTATACCCTTACAATCGTGAAAAATAGACTAACTGGGACATCTTATCAACGCAGTCAAGATCTTGCCTACGATACCACAATGGGAGCAAATTATTGGCATAACTAAGCCATGGGACTGGTCACCAAACGCTGTATTCGAAGCGACACGCATATTCGTATCCTCAACACCGCAAGTTGTCCAAAGGTTCCTCGAGTTAGTAGTACTCGAGAAAGTGAAGGAGGACATTTATGAGAATAAGAAATTAAACGTACACTTATTCAATGCTTTAAAGAAGTAAGTGTGTCACGCCGAGGAGATGTCCAGAAAAAGAAAAAGAAAAGAAAAAGTTCTGGTGTACACGACATTGTTGCGCCGTGTAGCACAGCAGTTCCTACAGGAGACCAGTGCTAGTCATGGGCAAAAATCATGACGATGTCCCGCTTTTCAACGAGTAAGAGATGAAGCTAATATATTTTGTGCTATCAGGAGTCTCTACAAACCAGCTTCGTTCTTCAAGGGATTCCTCTTCCCTCTCGTGGCTTCGTAAGTCGTGGTTTTTGTACTTGCTTCTGCTCTGTGCTGACTGATTGAACAGAGGGAGTTGCACTCTTCTTGAGGCAAGAATTGTCTCTGCGGTCCTTGTCCGGGTCCATATACCTGTTCTACACAGCGCGGCCGCTATCAAAGGAGTAAGTTCCATGTTACCCCCGGAATGCCGCCAAACAACATCCAAGAAGTAATCGCTAACCCCAGATGTTGTAGCTGTGCGATATCGCGGCAGAAGAGGCCTCTGCTGGCACTGAAGGCGGTGGAGCCACGAACATATTCATCAAGGCGTTGCGTAAGTCTAAAAAATCATTTTCTTCCCTTCCCAGTATTTCTATGGAGCATAAATTGCCTATAGAAGCACTTGACCGCCATATGACTGTATTAAGCCCCACCCCCAAAGACCTCACAAAAACGCTTTGAAGAAGCATTTACTGACGCCCAACTCTTTAGTGGAAAAGAGATATGCACTGCCCTTCCAAGTTGTTGATGGTTTGGTCGTAAGTCTTCCAGTCTAAGCTAATTTCAACATTGTACTTATCAACATCACCAGTTTCATTTTCTGCGTATGAGGAGTATGGATCCTGCTGCTGCACAACGTAGTGACGTGATGGACATGGGTGGGGAACGCGCCGCAACACAATCGAAGCTTCCGGTACTCTACCACCAGTGCCTACTGATGTTCGCTGAACGATGTACGTATAGGAACAACCTGCGTCCAAGTTCCTTTGTCATTCGAGAAAATGCTAGTCGATGACCTATCTCGGACCTTTCGGGAAGTGAGACTAGTGGTCTTGAACAGGACATAGGTCTCTAAGAATATTCCCCATTAACAAGAGAATTATTGCTGACTGGGATGTTTTCTCAATATAGACCGCAACGAAATTACGGAAGATCAGCGCGAGGCTCTTCTCGACCTCCTGCTAACTCATGGGCATCCTAAAATTGCACCCGAGATCAGACGGGAGCTTCTAGCTGGACGAGGCAGAGGTGTTGCTCTGGAGCAGCAAGAGGTGGCGTTGGACAATGACGACACAATGATGGTTATAGACTGATTGGAGAGCCACAAGTGGCAGCAGTGACGGCTTCCTCGAGTGATACCAAATGACAATGACTTAGGAGTACGGCGTTGATAGATCTAGGGCTTACCGGTGCATCTTCGAGGGAAACCAAAATGGGAATTGGATCACATCAGGCTACGTGCCGGCGGAATATTCAGACTGATTTGACCATGTCGTTTGTGAACCAGAACCCGTATTGCTTTACCGGGGGAGCCGCTCTAGTTCGACTTGACTATGCCTATGATCTCGACTTACGTTGGTCCGAGATCAAGGAACTACTTCCTTTCAGTCGAGCGATTGTGATACTCCATCAAAACGATAGAGTGTTAGTAACATTTCTTCATATCACAAGGAATATTTGAACTGCCCTTCATGCAGACTGTCTTTCGGTATACCGTGGTTCATATGCCGACATCTCGAAGGAAGTTATCAAACTTCGTTGAGGTAGAAAGGGAAACGTAGGCAAAATTGCAAAATACAATAGTATACAACGAATCTATTGCAGCACTGTCCTAATTCCTTAGAGATAGTGGGTCGATTCGAATGGAAAGCGTGTCGGCGATGGGTTTTTTTTCTTCTTCTTTTTTCTTTTTTGGCTACCTAGTGACTCAAAAGTGACATAGAACTCAAGCCATGCCGCAATACTCTGCTCTGGATTACTCTACGTTAACCAGGGCTTGAGCTCCTCCTCCGTCCAGTCCCACAGCCTTGTCGCCAGTTGCTCATCCAGACACCAGTCTGTGTACCCCTGAGTTAGCTTACTGACTGGCTCATATAGCTCTCCCTGCTTCGCCTGCTCCTTAGGCACGCCAACAGTCCATACCTGATTCCAATGCCCTTGTTCATCGTCGAGAAACCTGTTTATATTCCCCAGATACACGATCGTCTTATCCAGAAGCCCGAGACTCGACACCAGTCCCGTATTGCTAGGGCCCGGATCGGCTACTAGTGTAAGGATCTCTGGGTACCGGCGGGCGAGTTCACGGCCATATACCAGGTTGGCCAGCTTGCTCTGGGCATATCGTTGCCACTTGCTGAGGACCCAGTACGCCTAAGTTGTCCTGAGATGGTCAAAAACAATCACACGCCCCCGCAGCGCCAGCACGAAGGCCAGACTAGAGACGAGTATGATACGCGCCTCGCCGTGCTCCTCAGCCGTTTTGTGCAGCAGGCCAAGCAGCTTGCGGATCAGTAGGGCGTGCGCAACGTAGTTGATACCAAAGTGTAGCTCATATCCGTCCTTGGTAAGACCAAGCGGAAGCGCCATGACGCCAGCGTTAGCCATGAGCATGTTGAGGCAAGATTTCTTGGCAGAGATCAACTCTGCGGCCTCCTTGACGGACGCGAGATCAGCGTGATCACAGCGTATCCAGAACACTTCGGTTCCCGTATCCGTGGACCTTATGTCCGCGATGACGTGTTGCGCTCTGAATTCATTCCGCCCCGTGATGTAGATTTTGGCCGGGTTTCGACTCGCCAACATCCTAGCTGTAGCGGCACCAAGTCCGCTTGTGCCTAGTATACAAGAAGCGGAAGTCTTTTGCCACGAAAGAAAATGCTATTCGGTGTGAAAGATCACAAATGCATGCCTACCACCGGTAATTAGGATGACCTTGCCCGTGAGCTCAGGCACGTCCCGCTTGAGATCGAAGTCCAACTTGACCATCTTGCGCCTTATTTTCGGGGTCTTGGGCTAGTTTGGTTGCAGAGAAAAGTTATGATTAGATAGATTGTAGTCCTCTATGGACAGCAAACCACACCAAGTTACGAATGTCGCCGATCAGCCGGGCTTTGTTGGAACGTGACTATGGGGATACTGGGCGAGTTTGGACTGTGCCGCTTTGGCAAGTGGGTAAGTAAGCACTCACCGCTTCGTCTACTCAGCCTGTGAAGTTGGCCTTGGTTTTCATGGGGTCGAAGATGTACGGGTATCTGGATAGGATCACGTCGCTGCCGTCGTTGTTTGCCACAGGCTCTGGCTGGCGAACATGGTCCCCGGCACAAGGAAACTGTAGTTTGGTCGCTTTCACGCATATGCTCCAATGTTCAGCTCTGCGCAAGCCAGATCGTTAGTCTTAACCCAAATAATAGTCGTCAACATTATAACTCCTTGCAGAATTATTTATTCTGTTAATTAGTGATGCTCAGTGTACTTTTAAGCTTGTTGTAGGAATAGTCGGAGACGCTGATTTCGGATATCTGTACTTGTACGGAATCGTGAAGATATCTGAATGGTGGCAAAGGGGCCATTGGCTTGTGCTCGGCATAATAAGGTGTGTTGCGCTGGTGAGCGCGGCGGCGACTGTCGCAAGCGATGCCATGCCAGGTACTAGACAGGAAGTGTACGCATTCTCCTTGACGAATCTTAGGCTGCGCGGGAGGAGCACTTGCTCTTCTTCAGCCCGAAATATCCAGAAACTCACTCAGGTGTGAGCGAGCTGGCAGGAGGCTGGTCCCCAAGTGCGCAGTCGAGGCCTGCCATGAGCTGACTCTCTATTCTCTATTCTCTAGTCTCTAGCCAAACATTATCACAGAATAGAGCAGACACACCTGGTTTATACTTTTTATTACTTCTTTTCTTCTTATTCTTTTTCTTCAATTAGTTTTTATAGTGCTGGACCAAGGGACCTGGGAGCCAATTTAGACAGGTAAGCCGGTGCTTCTCAGTTTATTCAAGACAGAGTGTATCGGATGCCGGGTTATTCAAGAGCTGTGGTTGCTTATGTTTGATTTCCAACGCGTTAGCGTTTATGCTTGTGTACTTATTGGCACGGTGAACGCACGAGTTTGGTATTCACAACATATTCATACTTGATTAATACTGCCGTTCTGCTCACTCATTCAAATCATCAAGCGCCAAATGAGGAACGTATAATGCTGTATTATCATTCTACTCGACTCAAATTGATCCATTCATGTCCGGCATGTTGCCTGAACAGAACTGAGCATGGGCTCCATGCCAATTCATGAGCTACCTGATCTACCGAATCAATGCGCTGTCCTATCCCTGGGGGTATTAGGCTTGAAAGAAGAAACCCTACATCAATCGCTTCCAGTTTGGACCACGACTGCATCTTGAGTCGCACCAAGGAGATAATTTGTGTCGAAGGACGAGCATCGGACTCTGAATCGAAGAACGGGAATCGTATCCCGGGCCGAAGAACGAGCATGCCGGTGGCAAACCTCTTCCTTGATAGCAATACATCACTCGTCGTCTGCTGTTTTCGTCTTTCTCTTCTTCTTTTTCCGTTCTGTGCCCTCTTCAGGTGCAATAAACTGGTTCTCGCGGTCCCTCTTCTTCTCCTCTTTCTTGACTTTTTGAGCCTCCATGCGCTCCTCGGCAGCAATTCTTTTCTTTGCTTCCTTTCCAACATGATATTCACCAGCCTCGATCTGCAGATCCACCTTGCTCTTCTCTTGGGCAGGCGGGAAAGGCGTGTAGTTCTTCTTGGTCTTGTCGGTGACCTTATGCGGTACATGACGCTTGCTGAGATTGCGTGCCCTGTAGTTGGGCAAGAACCTGTCCCAACTTTCGTTTGCCAGAGTTGGGTCCTTCATTAATTCTTGCTTTACCATGAGTTCCTTGACTTTGTACTAGTTGTAGAGATGGAACGTTAGCCTTGCATCCTGCTCATTGATGACAAGATTCCTTCAATGGCAACCTTTCTGAGGCTACTTACGATAGGATGTATGTTATCCATACAGTCTTCCACTACACGCCGCACCTCCTTAAGTCCTTTATATGGGCCCATGACCGAGACGGTACCACCGTGGACAAGTATATACGTTGATGTGAGAAGCTCAAGCGCTTTCAGAGTTGTGCCGTTGGGACCAAGAATGCGCTGTCGCCTCTTGACGAACTTCTCGTTATTTCGTACTAAATTCCGAATTTTGATGATATCGCAGGCGACCCCGTCTTCGAGGATGCGCACGGCTTGCGGGGCAGGGACAGACCGAGCTAGGAGTCTAATGAGGTCGCGAGCGTTGAGAATTGCGGCTGGATCATAGCTGGCGTTAAAGAAAGTGTCAGCCCTTGCTGTCACTTGTTGACATACGGCAGACTGTGTCCACTCAAGCACCAGGAGGGCTCCAAGCACCACGTATTTGGACGACTTACGTTTTCCTGGTAGTTTTGACCGTCATCATACCCTCCACCAAATCCAAAGTACACGCAATGCCGCATTTCTCGAGAGATTTGGTGATCAGTGGCCACGCTTCTCTAAGGTAGACCTCTCTGTACTGCTGGGTGTTAGCTTCACGCCTTTGCAAGCTGTGCGACAATCGGGGGATTGGGAATCTTTGGTCAGAGTGTGAATAAGTTTGTCCGCAGTATATACTCGGCAGTCGAACATTTGATAAAAGTACTCATCATGCAAAGTGCTCCTTGGTGGATGTCATTTGTGTGTACTGACCTTGGGAAAGAGAAGACTGAAAGATGACTCCTCGACGAAATGGCCACCAGTGTTGTCTTCGGGCTTGAATTGATCAATTTTCCACTTGTCGATATCCGGCGTATCCCAGGGTTTGTCCTGTAAGCTGCATTAGAATCTGTCTCCGAAGTGCGTCTCGTACGATTGTGTTTATGTACCTTGTTGTATATGGACGGCATGGTGGCGGTCGGTGGCTAACAGAGTCGTGAGGCTGGAAACTTTTGATTGAGTGAAGTTCGTGATGTTTGCTAGTTAGGGGACGTTGGAACGATGATTTGAACTTTTTGGTGGGGACTCTACTAGTGACGCTGATAAGCTGCGCCACTGTACTCTATCGCCGCCACAATCACTATATTTGCACATGCGCCACTCATTTCTTCCAGTTGTCTAGACTAGGCTTAAAAACTGCATGACCTGCCCAGTTCGCAATCAACTTGATGCTTTGGAACAGTAACCTCAAAGATCGACTGGACGTTGATGGCATTGTATTAGAGAAATACGAGTGTATAATAAAATGCAGGATATGGCGTAGGTGGGGGGCCCATAGGATGACGTCGCATAGTACATTCGGAGAATCGACTCCTGAAATATAGAAGACTGGTTGTTCTTCACAGTCGTTATATTGTCCCACCGGTGGACACTGCAGGAAAGAAAGCAGCCATTCTACGCTTGAATTCACCGACACCCGGTAAATCATTCTTAGGGTGATCCGAGATTGAGAAACGAGTAAGGTTGGGCATATCCCGTCAGCCGATCGTACCATCGTCTACTTGCCCAATATTTCTTCTTTCGCTTCAGATCCCATCGTCATATTCGCAAGTTTTGCGTTTCCAGCCTACAAATTCGCACGTCAAAATAGATTGATGCAAATAAATGTACGGATACTTGCTGCCTCGTGTGCTCGTTGCCCCTTAAAAGGGTAGCCAGCGAGCTGACGCAGAGGCTAGCATCGGGACTGCGGATCCGTGCATACACAGTATGTACTTAAGCAATAGGTAACTTTACAACCCGAATCCACCCCATTCCGTCACATGCGGCCTCGAACTTTTTCAGCGGCAGTTTCACAAGCAAGCCCTGGGTTTCCATTACTAAGAATATGTGCTTCTTCGAGGAGCTCGATCTGGAAAGTAGTCGAACGATGTGATGCATGGAACGAAGGATCATCCGAACCCAATGCCATTCTGTTACTTGAGAAAGTCGGATATGGTTACCCTTTCTTGACATCGGTGAGAGCCGCCGCATCGCTCAGCTGGCTTGGCCCAGGACCGGGGAAGGTTGACAAAGCGTTCCGTCCAGTGATAGATCCCAGCTGGAAATCTTATCCATGGGGTTCTTCTCGGGGATATCAAGCATAACACAATGGGCTTGCTGGGCCTGCTGGGTTCCTTATCCGTCATCTCATCTCGCGCCGAACCGACAAGCCAATGCCCTGATCTGGATTAGCAAGGGTAGCCGCAGCCTTTATCTTAGTGCAAAGCCTCCCTTGCCAAGTCAAAATTTAAGGTAAACTGCAGCTTGGCTTTCTAAAATAAAGTATGTAAAATATTGTCAAGAATGACAGGCATCCGTGGCTCCTACTCGCTGTCCAAACTCGAATAAGGGGTGCTGCTGACGGTTGAACTGTCCTTCCCCCTTCTACACTAGAACTTCAATCTTGACTTGAATCTTGGCCCATCTTTAAGCTTGTTATATCGTGTTTCTTCTTCATGCTTTTGTAATCGGTTTAAGGCTCTTGAAAAGTTCATCTCCATTTTCATGATCACTCGTTTCGACTCGATATTGCTTGCAGTTTTCGGCGATCCCATAGGCGTCAGCACCGGCAGTCCTCCATTCAAAAGGCACGCGCACCTGCGGATAGAAAGATCATTCGGGCGTTTTGCTGGTTCGACGTTTGCATCACCTTGATCGAGTCTCGGGCTATCCTCGAGACATACACATCAATCACGGCGTCTTTATTAGCTGCAGCACGGGCGGACCTGTACAGTTTGTCATCGATTGCGCCCATCGCACCTATACCAACACGTATATATTCGTCTATTCTGCCTCCTATCAGGCTAGCAGCCATGGAGGACGGCAAGGAGGCCGTCGCTGCACCGCTTCCAACCCTTGAGCCGATTTCGCGACCGAGTTCGACTGCCACTACCGCATCAGAGGCGATAGCCCAGCTTCCGAGTATTCAAGCACTCGCTACAGGAGGCACAGCGACGAGCTCACCGCAGACAAGGTTAGTACACTGGATTGTCTCAATTTTGGACCCCGTTTCTTTCAGCACTACTCGGCGCGTTGCATCAAAGATAAGGCACAGGAACTACCAGGCGACCGGTGTGAATGAAGGGTGAGCGTCCTAGAGAGACACAATAATTGGACGGTGATCAATGACGGGATTAAAGACGTGCGCAATGGAGGCTTGGCTCAAGGTCCAAACCCCCTCGTCGGTTTCATGTGATTGGGCTGTCAAACATCCATATTTGCCTTGGTTGTTCAGTCTCGTTGGTCGTTGAGGTGTTTGTTAAGGTGCTTCCAGAAGGATTGCGGCAGTTGTCAATTTTAGCCTCAGGAACATGGCAAGAACTTTTGGCGACCCCACCTTCACCTATTTCACACAACAGAAGTCCGGCGCGCATCACAACATGAATCAGCGAATGTCGGCGAGCAGCACATCAAGAAGCATGCTCTCAACTTGTCAAAGAATTCAGCTAACGTGTTTGGTTCAGGCTTCCTAACGCATCAACACTGGCTTCAGGACAAATCTTGGCAACTTCAGCTATGGCAGCACAACACTCTCCTCACGCGACCGTGCCTGCAGCAACGGGTGGTTTGGTAAGTCTTTTTTCTTGATAATCACCCTCAATACCCCCCTCCCCAATCACATCGCATCGCATCTTATCGGCACTGAAGTCGTGGTATCTTATCCAGATAGCATCTCTATCAGAAGGCGCGTTTTATCGAGATGATAACAACGGCCGTGTTTTTCGTGGGGTAGCAGCTTGGCAGAAGAGACCCTGCAAGCCTACCAACCAACATGCCTCATCAATAGCGTGGCTTTCAACCTACAGTCGGGTCCCAAGTGGGTATCGCTGCAGAGCAGAGGCAGAGCCACCGAATTCTTTTATGTACTCAAGACTTTGGATCAGAGGTTTGTCCAAGAGAATACATTTCGTAAGACTATCTGTGAGCCGACAAGTCCTGGAACGAGGACTGCCTTATCGCCTGGCCAGGATGGTTGTAAACCATTCTCATGATTGGTTGAAAATTTCCACATGGCGGGACCCACCTCAAAGAAGATAAGCAGTGGAGTTGGACGTGGGTCTCAGATGATTTGGATCTGATTGATTGAGCGGAAAAGCGACGAGCGCGAAAAAGCAGCCCATCAACCTGCCGACATTTGACATTTGAAATTTCTTATCAGCCCCCGATTCCTGATAACGCGCTGCCCATCAATCAATCCAATCTATCACCAAGTCCCCCCTAAGCGTCTTTATCAGATACGAGATCCATATCGGATCGTATCGTTTGTCGCCGTCGTCGTTTCTCTCACCCATATATGATATTTTGACACTCCGATTCTCCTACCTGCTCCTTTCGCAATGGCTACATTACCACCAACGCCCACTCCTACCATGGCGACTAACCACGAGTCTACACAGCCGGTATGCCAGAACTGCCAGACCAGCACCACGCCCCTATGGCGTCGCGACGAGATGGGATCTGTTCTCTGCAACGCCTGTGGTCTCTTCCTCAAGCTGCATGGCCGCGCTCGGCCCATCTCGCTCAAGACCGATGTCATCAAGAGCCGCAATCGCGTCAAGACCGTGCGGCCGGATATGCAGATGAAGAAGAAGGTGAGCACGCTGAAATCCCGTCGCGAGCTGTCGCGTACTAACACGCATCTTTAGCAAAACCTTCCTGCTTCCGCTATGGACCCCAACGGCCTCGGCATGCACGTACAAGACGCTGCGACCGCCGCAGCCCTCGCCGCTGTTCGACGAACATCGCAACATAAAGTTAATGGCCACGACGAGTCTCCGCTTTCGCGCACTGGCACTCCCTCCATGTACGATCCTAGTCTGATGTACACCAACGGTGTCGACGGCCACCACTACCAGTCACCCGCCCTACCGCAATACCCCATGCCCGATGGTACTTCCAATGGGCACGACCCTGCTGCCAACGGCGAGGCGCATCCCGACATCACCGAGACTCGCGAACAACTAGTCGCCGCCAACTCCAGTCTCAAGACGCGGGTCAGCGAGCTCGAAGTCATCAATGAACTCTATCGCGGCCGCCTGACTCAGCTTGAAACAGATTCGCAGAATGCGGACAACTTCCGTCACCAAGCAGAGGAAGCCCTCAAGGCCGAAGCCCATGAGCGTCAGATACGCGAGGATATCCAGCGAAAGCAGGAGGACACTCAGCGACAGCTTGAGGACAGCCACCGAAGGGAAAACAGCCTCAAGCGCAGACTTGATGATATTGAGCAGGAGCTCAAGGATGCGGACGACAAGATCAAGCAACTGGAAGAGACTGAGTCGGATCGCCCAGCCAAGAAGCCCCGCATCGAAGAGGAGCCGAAGAAAGAAGAGTCCGAAGCCGCACCGACGCCACAGTCACCCTCCTAGTGGGCGGAAACTGGTTTGCTACACGATCTTGGCTTGTAGTCGTAAAGAGAGCGAGCACGAAGAAGCTCTATCCCTACCAAACGCAAAGACCCTCATCAATACTTGACTTCGACTTACAAATCTATCATCAACTTGTCTTTTATCGCGAGCGGCGGGCCTCTGTAACATTATTGGAACGAATCTCTTTGCTTAATTATACACTGCTTCCGTCATGTTTTGGAATCACCAAGGTTCCCCGACGGCGGAAGGCTCTCTAATACTGGGTGTGGTTGCCACACCATCTGGTAGTGGTTGTTTTCGACAGCGATGGACAAAAGTTTTACAGGCGAAAAAAAGGACTTGGATCCGGTTTTCCAGATTTGACTCCCATGATACGATCACGACAACTGGTAGATAAAGGGTTTGGCTTGCCATAGTCGTTTGGCGTTGGCATCTCATATAAACATATTGCAGGCAAGGGAGTTTGAGGATGTCGCGATCTTTGCCCAGGTAATGTACCGCAGGCAAGCGGTCAATAAAAGTTGCTTTTGCATTTCTTCGCATTTCCTCGCATTTCCTCCCGGACTTGTATCCCATAATCAATGTGAATGCTGCAGTGCGCTGGATGAGCATCATGCAAACTGAGGCCCCAGTCTCGTAATCATGTCATCCATCGCCTTACTTGTCGTCCGCGCGGCGCAAGTGCACATCGTGTAAGCACTCTCGTTAGACGCGTGGGAAATGGGGCCCACCGTGCTCGCCTATTCTTCCTGGTCCTTCACTTCCCGCTTGCGGTTGGGTTGGGTTCTCAACACCACGGTCTGTCCGCCACGCAGCAATCTGAACATCAAAGACAGCGGCCAGCCGAGACATTGCTCTACACCGTAAATCCTCCCAGTTTACAATCCACGAGCCTGTCGCCGAGATGCGTGTGGCTGGCTCGAGATGCCGCCTGGGTTGCCATTGTCGTTGCCCACCGTGCCGCTGTATACCCCCTGATGATCATATAAATCTACTTGGTGATGAAAGACCACGGGCAGCATGTAGTATGTGCGTCACTTGATAATACCATGAATCTGAGGTGCTGAAACACATTTCTTCCGCAAATTGAAAGTTTCCTCGAGGAATTTCCGGCAGTGCAACAGTTCGCTTTGTATATCCTCGCTGGGATGGGCTGTGGGAAGAAGAAAGTGACAAGCGAGGAGCCCGAAGAACAGCAGCTCCAACATCGTCTTATTTGCGGTAGGCGTCTGGGATGACTTTCAATACTATCTTCGAAACATCCCAGAGCATCATGTATAGCATGAATTACTACCGATCAAAGCCGCGGTTTTGTACTATACCTGGTCGTCGACAAACTTCAAAAGTAACATAAAACTGTCGCTCAGACAAATGTTCCGCGAATACGACCCAAACGCAAAGTCCGCACATAGTGTATGAACAATAAGTATAGCTTGAATGCAACGTGGAATGACTAACGCGTAGCACAATCTGCTCAGGACTACGAAAAGCCTGCATGTAAAAGTCTTCATCCTTGCTTGGTCGAGCGAGCTCAAATCTCAGACAGTCAGCTTGGAGCTTAAATACAGGCACCCCAACACCTTGAGCACCGATTTGATATGCCAACTATCCTTTTATCATCATACCTATAGGTAAATCTGGGTGTCGACACATCAATAATACGTGCAAGCTGGTTGTCCGGGAGCGAGAGCCGTGCGATAGAATGTACGTCTCTTGTATTAGAAGAGATTGGCCTGTTGTGTACTTGTACAGAATGCGTTCTCATTTTCAAAGTAGGGACAGAGCTCAAGCCAAATAATCAAGATGTTCATGACACCCTGAAAACCTACACTACTGTCAAGCTACAAAAAGCTCGGCCGTTACTTCAACATACGACAACCGCCACCTTGAATGAATCACGACTTCGGACACGTAGATTCAAAATGTTATTTATATACAGCGCTCTGAAGAAATCTCACTAATGGTATCGCTACATCAGTTGATACTTGAATGCTAGGACTAATGACAAGACATTTTCGGCTCCATGACGTCTGTTGTGAGCAACTAGCCGGGCCCAAGGCTTGCCCTGGGTATTGTCCAGCCGCCGAAAGTAGACAAACTGATGGATAAGTTGAGTGTCACAATGTATCTTAACGGCAGAACTCCCTTCTGTTGACATGATGTTAGTTTATAGTGCGCAGGTTACAGTGAGTTTACTTTCAACAGAGACCTGGCTAAATATACCCACCACACAATGGCCTCTTACCATGTAGTGAATTTCTTAAAAACTTATGAAAGCAACCACTTTAAAATTTTTTTTCTAATATATTCAAGTATCCTGCAGTAAGACTCGGCTATACGCGGAACCGACAAGACTTGTTATATATAAAACGCAACAGATTATTGCTGGGGATTAAGAAAGGGCAATGCTTTGGATGTGCAGTTGATGGGCGAGCGCAGCCCCGCTCTATTGAATCATGAGTCTTTGCAAACCAACTAGTCTCACATCAAATCGGTGAGATGGCCGAGTTGGTTATGGCGCCAGGTTAAGGTCAACCTTAACACCTACTTCCTGGTACGGAAACGTGCGTGGGTTCAAGTCCCACTCTCATCACTTCCCCAAGATCAAATCTTGGACCAATCTTTTTTGATCCATGTGCGGATCCATAGTTGACGCCTTCGACTATTTCCCTTCCTATATTTGCTTGCGCACGGTCTTTGTTCCTTTTACGACACTATATAGACTGGGCCACTTGCAATTTCAGATATTCTTTGTTGCATTGAACGCCTTCCATGCCGTCACATCAATCAACTATTGTTGGCGCTCTTTTCATTGCTGTTTCTTTAGATTTTTTGATGGCCCGCCATGGTCTGCTTCATTGGTTACTGAGTTTGGCTCAGCCTGGGGCTTACCCAGCTCCTCGGTACCTGATTACCCCCGGGTGGTGGCTTATAAACTCTAACTATAACAAACAACCCCGGCTACCTATCAACCACTGTTGGTTCTTCACATGCGTTTGCTGAAATCTAGACAAAGCAAACTACGCATAGCCTTTTGTTGGTCCAGGTCTGGCACTGGAGCATGGGCTAAATAGCTGAAGGAGTAACTTCTCTAGTTGATATTGGACAAATGTGCCTTAACTCATGGACCAGGATCGTGATTCGAGACATCAAAATGTCCCAACATGCGCACTCACTCCACTTTGCTTACGCCGCCAGGTGTGCTGAGCTACCAACAGCGAGTTTGCCGCATGGCAAACGGACCAACAAACAATGTTTTCGCAGCTACTTTTATACTTCCGTAGTATTTATCCTGTGCCAATGAGAAAGATGGCCCCGGTGTTACAATGTAGTCAGCGCTTAGATAAAACAAGAACAAATGCCAGCATACATTTGCTGATCACTGCATTAATGTTACGTTCTGATGTGTTATGCCACAGACTCTTATGCTTCACATCACGGATGTTTCTATGCTCTGGTAGCAAGACCAACGGCGATGGGTTTGAGGTCAACTCAGGCACCCATCTCCCACGCGATTAATACTGAGGTGCAAAGCAGCGTCCATAGCAACCGTGACTACCAGTTTCTCTTGGGACGCTAAGGGTTTCCATCTCTTCACACCATTCGGTCTAATCTAAGGCTACATCTCTATACGCTACATCTGATCAACTGTGTCTTCCCCATTTGCTTGTCCATGCAGAAGAACTGTCTGAGCTCTTGCACTCCGGATGCTGCCTCTGGAACTCACGGCCCAGCAATGCCACACGCTCAGTCTAACAGCGTGTGTTTCGAGACAGTCCAGATCGAAGACGCTAAAGATGAGCCTTTCCAACCGAGCGTACGGCTGAAGCTTGCCTTTATGGCGCTGATGGTACTTACCTTCATGGTCGCGGTAAACTGTGCGGCACTTGCAGTTGCATTACCTGTAGGTCTGGCATCACGTTAGTGAGACTTTGAAGTGTTTCTGCTGACCATTTCATCAGATAGTCGCAGTGGAGTTGAACGGAACAGCCTTTGAAGCCTTTTGGGCAGGCACGAGTTTTCTATTGACAGAAGCTATCTTCATGGCGCCACTGGGCAGGCTGTCAGACACCATGGGTCGCGTGCCCGTGCTTAACCTCAGCACAGCACTATTTCTTGTTGGGACGATTGTGTCGAGTGTGTCGAACAACTTTGCTACTCTGATCATTGGCCGTGCTGTGACGGGGGCCGGAGGCGGAGGTGTGGTTGTGTCTCTGGAAATAGTGGTTACAGACCTTGTTCCGCTTTCAATCCGCGGGAATTACTTCTCGGTCATTTCAGTGCTTTGGGTGCTTGGCGACGTTATTGGGCCAATACTGGGAGGTGTGCTGGCATCCCGGGCATCATGGGTAGGGCGACTAATCCTTTGCTGAAAAAAAAAAAAAACACTTGCTAACAAGGGAATCGTAGCGATGGATATTCTGGATCAACATTCCCATTGCTATTGCTGGGCTGATTTCGACTAACCTGTTTATACGATTACAGAATATTCCTGGAACATTCTACGACAAAGCCAAACGGGTCGACTGGTGTGGCATGGCCATCTCCATCACTGCAGTCACGAGCCTCCTGGTGGGGGTCACCTGGGGAGGTGTCGTACACGCGTGGGATTCTTTTGCGACTATATTGCCCATTGTTATGGGATTTCTCGGAATTTTCATGTTTGCTGCCTTCGAGAAGTACATGGCATCAGTGCCTATGATACGTTTCGATTTGCTCGGCAGCTACAACATTCTTTACGCCCTATTCGCCGCCTTCTTCCATAGCATCATGGCCTTCGGACTTATCTACGTGCTACCGCTCTACTTTGAGGCCGTCCAACGCTTTTCTCCGATTCATGCTGCACTGGCGGTAATACCTTACGGGATAACATTGGCTCCTTTCTCAGCTGTTGCTGGTGTCATTATCAGTAAGACGGGACATATCAACTGGGTCATCCGCATTGGATATGCCATCACTATCTCGGGAGCTGGCCTCTTGGTTTTGCTGGGCTCGGCGACGAAAATCTGGAAATGGGTACTTATACTGGCCTGGATAGGTGTCGGATTGGGCCTACTCTACAATGCCCTGGTGTTGCTAGCACAGGCGGCGCTCGAAGAACAACATGCAGCTTTCGCAGTCACCATACTCAACTTCTTCCGGCATCTTGGGCAGGCGGTCGGTGTAGCTATCGTGGGCGTGGTCTTCCAAAACCGGATGAAAGGCACACTGCTCGAAAATTCCCAGACGGCACCCTTTGCGGACACGTTCTCAAAGGATACCGCCGCTCTCATCCAGGAGCTTTCGGGAATGGAAGATGGTGAGTTCAAGGACGGAATAGTCGGTGCTTATGCCGCTGCTTTGAAAACGATATGGATGGTCATGTGTGCCTTCTGCGTACTACCTTTTCTAGGCTCCTTCTTTCTACAGATGGCAGATCTCAACAGACGTCATGAGACTAGCCAAGGTTTGAGAGACAATAAAGAAAAGAGCGAAAGACAGACAGGGCGTTAGCATCTAGAGACCGGAATTGGGAAAGTGACCTTCGTACTCGACGGTGACATTAGTGATTCCTCAATCAGGCCGCCTGGGTCAAGTTCGCATCTCGATGGAGTTTGGGTAATTCTGCTTGGCAGGAAAGGCGGACTTTGGATATAGACATGTAACGTACCACAAAGAATTCGTCGGTTTTGTCGCACGAGTATTGGTATATAACGACTCCGTGTCATTTTTATTATTGTGCGACTGCACAAAAACCTGTGACCACAATTTAAATCCATGCCTCTCTTGATAATATTCCGAATTGATACTGAACACCTCCTGATGGATAGGTCTGAGCTACTGACATTTGCCTGTGCTTACGTCAATGGTATAGCTAGATGGATCCCTCTTGTTCTCTATCACGCTTCTTGGTTATTCTGCTGCTAATTTCCATATTATCTCGCGTTATTTCAAAGGCCTGTCTCTATGTTACGCCCGTGTATCTCATGTCATAGTAGCGATGTTTTTACTGGGAGTGTGTTGTGGAGTGTCATAATCTGCGTGCAGAAGCACGAAGCCATTAGCCGACCGTACTCATCTAATACTCTGATTAATCCCGATCGGATTCATTTCTATCAGGGGTGCGCCGAAGATGACCGTACTTTTCTCCTACAAACTAGATATTTTCGGATTTGAGCTATCTTGATACGTCTTACAAATACGATTCAAAGGACATAACTCGTTTCGACAGTATATCCCAGCATGAGCAGACTGGAAGGGGGTTTGGTGAAAGGGAATGCAGAACGGGAAGAGAAAGAAACAGGCAATCATCAGAAAGAATTGGGTATAAAGATAGATGGTAATAGGACCAGTCCACATCAGTTGATTACTCGCACACTTGAGGTCTATATACCCTTTGATAGTAAAAAGTCGACTCTCATTCCAATTGAAAGGTTTTCGCTAATTCAGCGACCAAAGCATCACATGCTGCCCACATGCGCAAAACTGCCCTGCTTGAGCGACCGAATCCAGAGAGCTGGCATTTCCATAGTTTTCCCTTTCATCGCAGCTCTCTCTACGTCCCACCAAAGATCCAAGCTCTAGTTGGTTCTCTCACCTGCCAAGACCATCCATCATCATCTTGCCCGTAGTACTGGAGAGATGGCATGATTATCGCATGCCTGACTTCTTGGTCGGTACGAATCCGGCAGGGATGCCTTCTGATACTTGGTATTGTGACCGCGAAATGGTGGAATTTGAGTGGGACGGTGATGAGTTCTTGTTTGCGAAGTTGACATGAGGCTTTTCAGAGGTGAAGATCTCTCTGACTTCTTTGATTGGGGGCATTTTGGAGGCCGTCGACAAGGGATTTCTTGAGACTTCGTGAGAGTAATGATCACCTTCTTTGGATAGGGACATTTGCTATGATGTTTGATGTCGGATACAAGCCATATTTTAAACAAGCACGAATGGGCTACGATACTTATAGCCGTAGACAAGGGAGGGCAGTTTTCAGCTTTGCCATGGCCATTTCAAAGCCGCATTAAGACAACGCAGTACCAGAGTGTCCGTCAATTGTAACACATGACATTTGATGCTATGCTCATTAGAAAGGCATCGTAATGGACTAACTGAGGTTGCCAGCGTGGGATGGTGGCTACGCAAGAGGCCAACGCAAGCATGGCTGCCAACCAGGAAAGAGAATCGCGGTGAGAAGATTGCAGAACACGATCATAGCCTGATCTTCCTTTGGAAGAGCTCCTTTTGGGGGTTTCGGAGTTCGGACAACACGCAATTTGCAGCGTGTTGAGTATAGTTGAGGTGATGGGTACTGTTAGGTATGATCACAAGGTGGATTGTATGGCACGGCATGGCATGAGTGGACCCCTGAAAATAGGCACCCGCTTTCAGGGGACAAGCTTGGGCTTGGGGAAGCATTTCCAGTGGGCGCGACGGCCGCTAAACTCTCGGCTAACAGCACCACTCAGATGACGTTGAAGTTTGAGCCCTCCCCTACGCCTTTCCATTTAGCACTGCTCTGTACCCGTTCCAAATCCAATCGCAATTCCCATCCCACGAGCCTCTCACAAGGCAGCAACATAAAAGTAGCATCGCGACCCATGCGTCACTGTACGAATGCACACATAGCAAGAGCGCAACTGCTGACGCGGACAGACTCGTCCCCAGCAGTGTACGGAACAGCGTATCGCAGATAAGCCGTCCACAACAAACTCCGAGTCATCGTTCCCCCCGACCGTCCTCGGCGACCATCGCGAACATGGCGGAATCGGTCGACTCGATCGTCAAGGGCGCGCCGGCCCCTCATATGCAGAGTATACTAGACGACAAAGCTCCCGCGCTTGCACCTAGCCCTGTGATTGGGGCAGGCAAGCCCGGCGATCCCTTGAACCACACACCGAGCTCGCCGTCTATGATCTACCTCAACATGCTGATCCTCGAGGCCTCCTTGCGTGCCCAGTTCTTGTCACTGCGTACGCGGAGGCGTAAGCATACCTTCTTCTTGTCCTTGCTCACTGTCTGGACCTCGGGCTTCGGCTACGCCCTGTTCTTTGCGCCGCGCGAGGACGGTGTTGGCCACGGCGGGTCCGTCTACTGGGTCGTCGACATGGCGGAAAAGATCTGCTTCGGCGCCGGTGTCGTGACGGCGTTGCTGATATGGGGAACGGGCATCTGGGAGCGTGGCATTCGCTGGCCGAGAAGATGGTTCGGCATATCAAACCGTGGTCTCCGGGGCTTCAACTGCAAGCTCGTTATCATCAAGAGGAGCTGGTGGGTCGAAACTGTTTCAACCATTGGCTTCTTCTTCACGTACGGCGCCTTCAGCAGCACGTCGGGCCAATATCGATTCGTGGAACCGAGCATTCTGAGAGAAGTGGACAAGGAACTGAATCTCAATCACCAGGATCACCCACAACTACCATTTGTGACTACCGACGAGGAGAAAGGCGGACACGAGGAGGATCTTGCACCGGGAGGAGATTATGTGAAGCTGCTATTGTTACCGAAACCCTTTTCACCCAATTTCCGGGAGAACTGGGAGCTCTATAGAAACGAGTACTGGGACAGAGAGAACGAGCGAAGAGCATTACTACGCAAGAAGCTGAAGCAACGAGACAGACAAGTCGCCAAACAGCAGGGCGCATGGTTCTGGTGGCTCCCAGGACAGCAAAAGGTCGAGGAAAAGCTACACCACGCACCCCACGTGGCGGAAAAGCCTCTCCACCACCGAAGCTCTTCCATCCTCAAGGAACACAAGCGCGTTCGAAGCGGAAGCACTGTTCGCAGAAGTAGTATATCTGCTGGCTCTTCGCGCAGTCCGACGCCACCGATGGAGACGGAGGAGTCCACGACTGCCTCTAGGAGAGGCAGCAATGCGTCGACCTCGTCGGCCAAAAGAGGGAAGAAGCACTTGTCTTCGGGCTCCAAGTCCAAGAGACCAAGAGGTGACTCGAGATCCGTCACTCCGGACTTCTCGTCGCCCCTTGCACAAGAAAGCACAGTTACTTCGGACGCGGCCAGCGAAAGTAGTGGGCGGACGCTCAGGAGGAATGCTTCGAGGTCGAGTACGGCACGAGCGAGTGTTTCGCAGTCATAGAATGGTGGTTTCAATGAGAGTCACGTTCAAAACATTGTCCCAGATAACTACTACAGCAACAGCACACTGTCATGAATTGAACAATCTCAACTTGAAATGTGCTTGCACTGGGAAGTGTAATGCGTGCTTGATACCCACATCAGTGATGTTGAGTTCTACTGTATGTAATAAGGACGTAAGTCGGTCTACCTCTAAGATGTTCCAATCCTGGTCAGGGCACCGTTATGTATTTATTTCCGATCTAGCGGCTGATCACTTGCGGCTCTGCCATGTACCTAACCTAGGTCACCTCATACAGAGTACCCAAGGTCACATGTGTGCGGATCCGTCCACGTTATACAGAGTATTGAGCTAGTTAAGGCAAGTTTAAAGTGGTTGCAGCTACCTCAGCCAAGCAAGCTCTCAAGTATCAACACCCACTAATTAAATAGGTTGGGCGCGTCGCGACTTTGTATTGTCAATTGTTGTACCTCATCCCACATCAGTTCACCGCAAAACAGCATTTGGTTGCTGCGCATATTGTTCTCATAATCCCGTTATTTTCTCATATTCCTCCCCGTGCCAACTCTGACAAACACAAACTACGGTTGGATATTTTTACTCGCCAAGTTTGCACCAAACTCCTACGCACAATTCCATTTCGTCACCAGCTTATGCACCTCCAGCTCGTGGGCCACGGTAGTTGCGGTAGTCATCTTGTGTCTCACGGCTTGTAGACATCATCCACTGGCCGCATCGGCTATTCAACATATCTGCGACATCCAACATTGTACTCTTCTTCGAGACGTCCATCTCCTCAGTACAAGATAATCATGAACGGGGACCACCAGGCCCGCGGCGGTGCGATCCCCGCTGCGCCCTACACAGCTCGCCCGCCTAGTCCACCTGCAATCATGATTCCGGCACCCACCTTCCTCAAAGCCAACGAGCCCATCGTGTGCGTTCCCAGCTTCGCTAACATCGACCCACTGTTTCTCACCGCACCCGAACTCGAGATCATCACCCAGAACCGCCCCCAGGAGGCTTACGACTCGGTCAACAATTGGCAGTATGAGGATCGCCGAACCGCCCAGGAAATCCTCGACTTCTTGTGGCTGGGCCCTTCGAGTGTCGCCCGCGACAAGGAATTCCTGCAAAAGAATGGCTTCACCATGCTCCTAGCTGCCCGCGACGCCCGCATGGCCCAGGCCCGGCTCATGGGCGTTGACCGTGTCGCAAGAGAGCTAGGCCTCCATGCGGAGACGCTCGACGTGGAAGACCACCAGGATCTCATCCGGTCCCTGCCGGAGGCTGTGCGCAAGATCAACAACCACATGCTCGACGTCTACCGCAGTCAAGCCCTTGGCAACCAGACCGAACAGCCCCTGGGAGAAGGTGCCATGGTCATCGACAAGACCAAGTTCCGGAGAGGCAAGGTCCTTATCTTCTGCGAGACCGGCAACGACCGCTCGGCCGCTGTGGTCAATGCCTACCTGATGTCTGTCTTCGGCATGAACATGATCCAGGCCTGCCAGTTCATCCAGTTCCGCCGCTTCTGCGTCAGTCTCGACGAGGATATGAAGTACCTGCTCATGACGTACGAAGGCCTTCTCCAAGCTCAGAAGACGGTCAATAGGTACAAGCTTCAGAACGGTCAGTTGCCGACACCTGCGTCGACTGTGTCGCCTACCACACCCACCACCGGGCTTGGTGCGGCCCTGCCCGTCTTTGAGACCAAGCCGAAACGAGGTATCGAGGAGACCTACGAGGAGGTTGACGATGATGACATGGACGGTGTCATGGACGAGTTCCAGCTGGACCGCGAGAGATACCAAGACCGACCTGCCTTTGTACCATTTGTGGACCGCCCCTAGCCGGCAAGCCACGACGATGTGCAAACACATCGTTTTCTGATGAATTGACGACTTGGTTGCGGCACATTTTCTTTCATCGTTGTATCATCGATATCATCAGCATGGCATGGACAGGAGTTCAGCGGCAGGAGTACAGATTCGGTCACTGTGGTCAGGGGCACGACGCATGACAAGCAACGCATTTCTTTTTGGCAAGTAGAAGAGTCTTCTACATTTGATGGTTTATAGATCCTGGGAAAAGTGTTCTTGAATTTTGCGCAGGCGTTTTCAGAAAGGGATAGGATCATTTGGCTTGAGCGAGCACCAGAGGCGGAATGCATATCTGTCACGCTTGTCCGCGGCTTGCATTCTGGGGGCACTAGAGCATGTTGATAGGCTTGTCAACGCCCTTTTATGGTCTCTTTGTCAGGCATGCATTAGAACCACTGAGAGCTCCTCATGGCGTCTTGTTTGGCTAAGGGGAAGAAGTAATGTCAGTTTGACTTGTGGCAATTTTTGGCCTCTCAAGTCCACATTACCGCCGTCTAGGTATGATTTCTCACTTGTGCATGCACCCCCACCCAGCGAGGACCTCAAAACTGCAGTCAGGTCGGACATGAGAAAACCCAGTTGCGAAGCCTCGGAGACGACGACAGAAAACCATGACTCGGCTGATCACGTAACAAGACCGTTGCTAGAAACTTTTGGCTGTTTTGGAGCCATCGGTTTAGAGGACAAGTAAGTGACAAGTCATCAAGTGCGCGCACAGCGACCAGGCCGCTCATGTTCAGTGACCTCGTAGTGGCATCCGCGAAAGGATTTCGACGCACAAAGGGACCGGCATGATAAGCCGGGGTTCTAGCTATAACCACGGTCGCGAAATCGACGGGGTCTTACGTACGCATGCGGACCAGGCGGCCCGGGACGCACAAGACCTTCCTCCGCGCTCAGACAGCTAACGCCGTGGTGTTGCGTGCCTGCCGGCCTGCCGTTTCTAGCACTCCTCACTGGCAAGGAGAGAAGAACTTCTGTGGTACAGTACGTGATACATCTGGACCTGTCCATTGAGCAGACTCGCATATGCATGGTTCGAGTTGATGATTGGACAGCTCCAAGCTCCAAGTCCCGAAGGGTTATGCGTCTCTAAGCTGCATGCGCATTTTCAATTTCAGGGTTCGTCAAACCTTTCATAGTGACCAATCAAAGTGTGGGGGGCTTGATCGTGATTTCTGCCGTCATGGTTCAGAAGTAGCCCGTGTGAAGGGAGAACTGAGTCGTTGGTGAAGCAGTATTCTATGTACACTATTGCTCTGCCGGAGACTACGCCTCGAACGCCATGCTTCTATGCACCATTTACAAAGTCCAAGAAGAATCCCATATCATAGAACACAATATGTCCAGATCCGCCTGTGCGCTCGGCCTCTTCGCCAGAGGACAAGACTTTACCCGTGGCTCTTTTTCTTGAGCCCCAAGAACCCTCGCTTCTTCTTCTCCTTCTCCGGAACCGCAGGGCTCGAGCTTGGCCCCGGGCTCGGCCGAGCAAGACCGCCATTTGCGGGAGGGGGCGTGTTCGTCCCACCCAAGCTCATCTGGCCCATTGCTTGCGTTGGTGGCTGTGGCGCGCCGCCAACTCTAGGTCCGCCGGGCAGTCCTCCCGCTGGCGGTACCCGTCTTTGATTTGGCAACCCACCAGAACCAACCATTCCTGGTGGTGGTGGTGGCGCTGCAACCTGCGGAGGAGGCGCGGGGCGCTCGTAGATATGTGCAGGCGCACGTCTCGCAGGACGATCCATAGGTAGATCGAGACGCCGTTTGTCCACGCTCAGATCACCCACCTGCCTCACGAAAAGTTGTGGCGTGGTCATATGGCTTGTGGCGAGGAATATGTCACGATTCAGCGCGTTACCTACTTCGTAGCAGGTCCTAGATTCCGAAAACGTAGCACCACCAGCCATGAAGATAATGATACGCTGTCGGTTCTCTGGCACGCGACGGCCCGTACCTGCCCAGCTTGGCTTTGCAGCTCGCAGAGAGCCCTGCCCAATAATGGCGTCTTCGTTGGGGTCGATTGGCGGCTTGACGTATGGAAACTGTGTCTGGTCGAGGGCACCTCTACAAAGATGCTCTAAAAGGGGTTTTAGAACTGGCTGGAACCTGGAGAGCGCATACTCTTCGTTGGGAATTGCGTTCTTTACATCAATGGGGAAGATAGGAGTCGTGTCTCGTTTCGGGTCCTTCAAGCCTCGCGTCGTTCTTGCGCCGAGGATTTCGAGGTTTTGTATGATTTCACCATCCTGAGATGGCAAAGCCGCATGAGCAAGAAGTCGCTGGATATCCTCCAATATAACACCGTCGCGGTACATGATGTAGATGATGATGAGACGAAGTCGATCCGATTGTGAAATCGCATCGTCATCAAGAAGCTGGGCGACGGCTTCCAGAACGTTTTTCGGTTTTCGGAAATCCTCATCCAGCCCTGTCGCCATGGTTTGTTCCGAAGACGCAATATCTGGTAGCTTGTGATGCTGGAACATGTTCATGCACTCTTGAGCCATGGTGAGATGTAGTGAATATGTCTCTTTCATCTCCTGAAATTGCGGCAGACCAGCCAGCATGTCTTTGATAGCATTGAGACTTGTCGTATCGCCGTCCGTGTTGGTAAAGTGGGGATTCTGGTCCAGGAATTTCTGGAAGTCGCCCATGAGCTTGTCGATGGTATCCTTCATATGGCGATGCCGATTCTCGACCCAGACCTTGTCTTTGTCACTGAGCTCCATGTCTTTTTCTTCGGCATCCGGAGAGTTCTCATTGACCGTCATATGGAACGTCGTCTTTCCAGAGTCTTGGATGGGCAGTAGGTCATGTGCCATGGCCTGATAAGTGAATTCATGAACCAGTGGAGCCATCAGATCCATTGACCTGTCCGTGACCAGCAAGACACCCTGTGGCCTCGACGTTTGTGGCGGGAATCCCTGGTTCCACCTAAGATACTCGTCTAGTTCCTCCGAGACAAATCTTGCCAAGTGGGAGCTCAGAACGCTGGCCTCGTGTAATGGTGCTTTGGGTCGATAATATCTGACTTTAGGAAATTCGCCGAGGGCCACGCAGAGGCCGGTAATCTGTGCTGCCATGTGAGCAATTGCAGAGGGACCCTCACACGAGAAGGGGGTTCCGTTACCTTTTGAGCCAGCTCCCGCATGTGCTTAGCGACCAAGCCATTGCATGCTGGGTGGTATAGAACAGGGAAGCTCCAGGGATCCCTGAACGTGATGACGTGAGACTCTCGAGGGAAGAAGTCAATGGACAGGGTTTCGAAGCCGCCAATCGAGGACCTCGCGGCAGGTGAGGCATCGATGCGTCTTCTGAGCTGGGGTTCGAGGACCGCGGTCCACAGCAGAAAGCTTTTCTTGTACCGGCGCGCTTCGATATCGGCGACTATGCATTCCACGACATATTCTTGGGGGGAGACGAAATAAATGGCGTCCATTGTGGGGTTCTTCTCCCTCCGGTCCTCGATCTTCTCGATATCTGTTTGTCTCGTCTTAGCGCCGCGAAAGACACTGGTTTGTTTGAAGCCTTTGGTGCCATACTTGCGATGTTCTGGTTAAGGATGTCATCTTCTTTGACGACATTGTCGAGGATCTTCTTGGACTCGTCGTCTACCACGAGCACTTTCCACTACAACGACGGAGGGAGTCAGTCAGTATGGCGGCTCCCGATGTGTAGCTCCCCGCCGGTGCAACTCACGTCTCCCTGAGTTATGCGCTTGATGGTATCTATGATGACTGTTTGCAAACAGAAGAGCATGGTCAGCCACAATGCTTTGGGGATCTAGTGTGATCTTGGCCCAATGGAAGCTCTCTTGGATGGGACGGCTCTTACTCTCATGCTGCTCATGAATGATGGATACACCCATCTTGGCACTGGGGCCGCCTTGGCAGTGAGATGCGACGTCCGCTTCTCAAGTTGTGTTCGAAGTCCGGTGTGCGGCATGCGGTCTGCCTCCTCGTTGCGCGCAGGACACGGGAGGTCTCTTTCGAGGACTGGTGGTGATGTCAAGGAGCTCGAGCTGTTCAATTGGGCAGGCTGGGCTGGGCGGGTAGAGCTGGTGTCGGTGTAAGTAAGTCCTGACGGCACGCTGTCGCGAATGCCTGACGATAGGGTTGAGCACCAGGAACAGAGCTCAGCTCAGATCAAAGGTTGGCAAGCTGGCGTGGTTCCCAAAGGTGCTGCTACTTGCAGACTGGACTTGGATTGGGTGCGTGAAAGACAAAAGACAGTCAGTGACGTTTCAAAGGATAGCCTCAAGCATGGCGGCTCGGGTTGGCGTTGGCGGGGTTTCAGTTGGAAGAGTGCCGCAATGCAATTCGCAGCCCCTCCACTTTTTAGGGGGAAGGGGGGGCTTCTTATTTTATCTTACGGGATACCGGAGTGCTGTAACTGCTGTAACTGCTGTAAACTCCCAGTGTGGTCAAGGCTAAGACTAAGGCTTTGGCTTTGGCTTTGGCTGGGTGGGGGGGCTTTGGGGCTTTGGGGCTTTGCACTTTGACCTTCGGACAGGGGTTCAAGCTTGAGATGATGCACAAAGAATGCAAGCGGCAACCAGGATCAATCGTCGTGGGTGATGCGGCTGAAGCTGACGAGTATGCTGTCTGTACGTAGGTGAACTTCCAGAAACGTACACCTTAAATGTAGATTCAGGGCAGCTTTCCGCACAAAATCCTGCTGTCATTTTAATATGCTGTTCATCCACGAGAATGAAGACACGGTTTAAACAACCATTCGAACCCCCTTTTGAAGACATGTTAAATCCATTTGCCACGATGCGCCGCTATATTTGATACTTGAAAGGCCCACCGCCGCGCATCCATTATGATTGAAGTTGGGCCGACGACTTATCATGTAGTCAAGCCCCAGCTAGGTTAGACTAAGCTAACCTTAGCTAGCTACTGTAGCTACAACTCATCAGCTCCTCTGTGTGTGTCAAACGAGCAGCTTAATGCGCAACCCCTTGTCCCGTATGCGATTATTTGATATGAGAAAAGAAAAATGCTCCCTTGTTAATTTGAGCAGTCATCCTCCCCAGACGAACAGGCTCCATGGTCAAGATTAATATTGCAAACCCTCATAGTACGGTCGTTGAAATCGAGTGTAATCTACAGGCTTTCCCGCCCCCGTCTTCGAATATTCATGCCGCAGGGTATCACAAACCATATTCCGGAACTCCTATTATAATGCACACGATCGCTACGCGCCGAGTCTGTGCATAACTTAACCGCCGCCCAAGTACTTCTCCACGTCTACGTTTCCGTAAAACTGCCGGTGGAGTTTCTCTCTTCGCTTCTTGTCTTCTGCAGCCATCTTGCGGACCTTCCCTGCGTCGAGCTTCTGCGGTTTTTCCTTCCTGTAGACCTCAAGATTCTTTGGTACCTCGACCCCAACGCCGAGCTTACCGCGCTTCTCCCTGGCCTTGATTGGGTGCTGCAAGCCTTGCTGCGCAGATCCAAGGCCCTTTCTCGAATCAGGGTCCCAGCCCTGTGACTGCAACACCGAGAGACCCATGCGGGAACGGTCCAGAGCGGAGGGTGGATGGGAATGGGGGAGACATACTTGATGTGCAAGTGTAGCTTCGTGCCGTCTGGCGTGTGGTTTTGCTGAAGTGCCTACACCCTCGTCGCCTATCGGCAACTCGCAAACTTCACATATCCGAGGGGGCACAGAGTGTGACGTTGTGGCCTCCGATTCCTCGGTCTGGGAAAAGACGATGCCGAGATATAGATCTGCAGCCGACGGTGATGAGGCAGGCTTTTCGCTGGCTGTGGTCAAACCGGCTGCCTGTGCCGGCAGAAACGCGATAGGCTTGCGGTACAGGCCTGCTCCAAAGGTCCGCTGAGAATGCAGCGGCGATTCTTCGTCTTCGTCTTCGTCTTCGTCTTCTTCATTATATCTGTGTCCAGACGCCATGACTGAAAAATGAAAGCGAGGCAGGCCTGAGCGAAAGTACCCGGCCAAGATCTAGAAGTCGGAGATAACGTCGCGGGGCGGCAGTAAACGGCAGTCCTGCAGTGGCAGAAGAGGGAAGAGCCGCCACCTATAGATAAACCCAGCGCTAAAGCTTATTAATTATGGGCCCCTGTCAAAGTCCTTGGATCGCTGCGCCTCGCCTTTGCGCTGAGGGAGTTCCCCCGGGACACCAATTGGAAATCCAAACCAATTTTAGCCTGCTAGCTGACGACAGATACGCCGCCTGCACCAGCACTTTCCAGGGGAAGGGAATATTGTCCGACTTTAACGAGCCAAGGTTACAGTAGTCTGACGTGAACTCGTAGTAGGTAGCTTCTCGAGTCGGCCATGTGGGAATAAAACAACTGGTCTTCTTCCCGTCTTTACATCAACTTCTTCTTCTTCACTAGTCGCCGTCGCCGTCGCCATAATGCCTCTCCCCTTCCTCGAGAGCGTACTCTTCGATGGCCTCCCGGAATGGATGCCCGACCTCCGATACATATTCGCCGCCGTCGTCGTTGTGGGAACGCTCTACGCAATCAAGACCTACTGCGGCGGCATGCTCAACCAGGCCGAGAGGGACATGCACGGAAGGGTCATCATGATTACAGGAGGAACGTCGGGAATAGGCGCAGAGACCGCCCGGGGACTGGCGGAACGGGGAGCACAGATCGTTCTCCTCACACGGCTGCCGCCTTCCAATCCCTTTCTGGCCGACTTCGTTGGCCAGATGCGAGACAAGACGGGCAACGAGATGATCTACGCCGAGCAGGTCGACCTGACTTCCCTGCACAGCATTCGAAAGTTTGCCACCAAATGGGTTGACAATGTGCCCCCGAGGCGCTTGGATATGATAATACTGTGCGCCGCGACACTTACACCACCGGGGTCCAAGAGGATGCAGACTGAGGAAGGCATCGAGGAGACCTGGATGGTCAATTACTTGGCGAATTTCCACTTGATCAGCATACTGAACCCGGCCATCAAAGCCCAGCCTTTCGATCGCGATGTCCGTGTCATCATTCCCACCTGTTCGGCTTATATCTCGGCACCACCTTTGTCGGTAGACCTGGACGAGAAAAGCTGGACGCCCAGCAGAGCATACGCGAGGAGCAAGCTGGCTTTGATGTCGTTCGGTCAAGCATACCAGAAGCACTTGGATTCGTATAAGCGTCCCGACCAGTTGCCTATGACTGCCAGGGTTCTCTTCGTCGATCCTGGCCTAGCACGTACTCCTGGCATGCGACGCTGGCTTACCCGGGGCTCTATCTGGGGCTTGTTTCTATACGTGGCGGGCTATTTTGTACCCTGGCTCTTCCTCAAGAGTGCCGAAATGGGTGCTCAAACGGTCCTCTATGCCGCTCTGGAACAAAGTCTTGTGCGCGGCCCCGGCGGTAAATTTTTGAAAGAGTGCATAGAGGTCGATTTCGCAAGAGTGGATGTCAAGGATGAGAAGGTTGCTGAAGAGCTATGGAAAGCAAGCGACAAGTTGATCGAGAAGACGGAAAGGGAGTCGGCTGCTCTACGTGCCCTCGAGAAAAAGAACGAGGAGTTGAAGGAAAAGGAAAGACAAGATGCTGAGAAGGCAAATGACATTGGGGCTCTAGTCGACACAATCAAGAAGGGCAAAGAGGCCGAGAAGGCCAAGTCAAGGAGAAAGAGCAAGAAAGCGACATGAGGTAGCCCATGGACTATTAGGGAAAGTACGTCTAGGTAGCTTGCGTTACGGCGCGCCGCTTCATTTGGCTGTCGAAACGGGCTTCTGCAAATGCGATCTTGCGTGGCGGCAATGATTTGCTGCAGCCGAGCGACCCCAGAAAGTCCTGCGCAATGTCACGACGAGCAGAGTGTTGTCTCACTGACAATCGGGATCCCAGCCGAGGCTTTGCTCCACAGAGAGACGCCATTTACAACCCGACAATGTCACGCGGGTGGCATTTCCTGTTTAGGAATTGTAATTGTCTACCGCAGTTGACTATAGACACGGGGCTACGAACGAACTCACTATAATATCTGTAGTTCCAGAACAAACATGTGACTAGAGCATCCGATCGCGAATAGAAAAAGAGTCTATCGTTATCATAATCCCGGCAATCCATATGGGGGACGTGAAGGTGACGTTGAAGACGGCTCGCAATCATTTGTGGGGTGTCGAGCTTCCCCCAGCTTTTAGCTTTCGCAGCAGCTCTCGGAGCAGTGTCGGAAAACGACGTCAACATTTTTGTACATAATCATAGATATTCCTCTCAACCAAAACACTGATAAGATTCGATACCAACCTGGGTAGAGCCAAACCTTTCTATGAAACCGGTGCAAACCTCGAAACCAAGAACACGGTACCAGCTTACCATCGCAACCCGGTCAAATCATCAGCGACCACAGAAACAATGTCGCATCCAATCAGAGTGGCGCCGCCTCCGATCCAGTCGCTGCAGCCCTCGATGCCGGTCATGAAGGGACTCCAGGCCGCCTCAGAGACGGCCGCGGCAGTGGCGGCGGCAAAACACAACCCGGCGGTGCTACACCCGGTGTTCTTCGCCGAGAACCTGCAAAGAGCACCCTTGGTGGTGGATGCGGCGCTGGCGAGCCCCGTCGCCTTGGGCTATGGCTATCCCAAGGGTGGGCCGAGGTTATAGTCGTCATGGTCCGTCGTCGTCGTCTTGGGGAAGGAAAGATGCACGATATATATGTGTGTGTGTGTGTGAAACCGTGCAAGACTTTTTTTTTCTTTTTCTTTTTTTCGACAGGGTTTCAGCATTAGGCTACCTTGGAGATCGCTGTCATCGCTGTATATGGCTCCCTACAATGTTCAAATTGGGAGTCGTAAGCGGCGGTAGGAGCTGCGCATAAATTTTGGTGCAGGCGAATCGAAGGATTGAATAGTTTTGCATTGACTAAGAGGTTTGGCTAAAACAAATGTACACCCAGATAATACATGTATACCATTTCAAAACGCCAGTGCCGGTGTATCGTATTCGAGAAAAGAAAGTGCCTTGTAGGGAGGGGTTCGCGGAAAGAAACAGGCGTTGCCCGAGTCCCACGGCTCCCACGTAGTGTACGCGTTTTCCTCCTCATGAGAAGGTGTTCTTGACGGCGATGACGATGGCCAAGATGATCAGCACCAGCACAAATGATAGCATGGCCATCAGCTTGACGTTCTTCCACCACATCTGCCTCTTCAGCCCCCGACTCCTGACCCTGAACTCGCGAGCGCTCCCGCCCAGCCGGTCCGTCTTGTCGACCAACAAGTCGATCCTCTCGCCCCTCTCCAGCAAGCCCTCGATGTTCTTGGTCATGATGCCCCTCACATCGTCCATCTCCTTCTGCACGTTGGTGATGGCGTCCTGCTGGCCACCCGAGGTGGTGCCGTAGTCCACCATGAGCTTCTTCAGCTCGGCGTTGAAGGAGCCTGCGCCATAGTTGGGCATGTCGGAGAAGTGGCTGTCAGCGTAGTCGCCGAGGAAGCGCTTGCGGATCTCGAACAGGAAGCCGAAGGAGATGCGGCGGCCGAGGGAGGAGTCGGCGATGACGAGGAAGGTCAGGCCACCGGCGGAGGGGTTGTCGGGGTGCGACGAGGGCGCTTCCGATATGTAGTGGATGTGGTAGGAACCGTGGGTGAAGGTCATCTTCTGTGGAGTGTCATGGGTGATCTTGGGGAGAACGAGGGAAGAGAGCGACGAGGTCTGGCTCGAGGCGCTGGTTGTGCATTCTGAGAGGATGGTGGTGTTGTGGGCTATGCAGGCGCTGTGAGGTCTGGTCAACATTCTACTGTATTGCGTTGTGTTGTATTGCATTCTATTCTAGAGGTTGGCATACTAGTACAGCGGCGTCTTGGGTGCCGAAGAGGACGCCATCTTGGTTGTTGTTGCTATCGCGCAATCTGCCGGTGGCGTTCTCGCGGTCTCTTGATATTAAATAGTTGCGCGGTGTGTACTGTAGATGATGAAGTTGAGGTGCAAGGCAGTATAGGTGTATTTAATTTAGTAACCTAACCTCGGGTTGAATGATATGGGCCTACAAGTACGGTAGCTATGTACTGTACTGTACGATAAATGGATCTGAAGGCCTGGCGGTGGACGTTCCCACCTCGAAGTGAGTGGGTGAGTTGGGGGGTGTCATTACCATTAAATAAATGCTCTGCAGGATGACGCTGCCATGGACCGGGGGGACGATGGAAGGAGAAGAAGCGCTGAGCCTGACCCCTGCAAACCTGCAAACTTGCCGCTGGTGATCCGTCAATTTGGCCAAAATGCACAGCACTCCTCCGTTCGGGGTGACTAAACCTAACTAACCCAAGCATGTATGCAACATTTTTTATTTTGTTTAGCTTTATCTTACATGATGGATAGACGCATCGCGCTAGAAACAAAAACGTAAACATGGCATGGCATGGCATGGACAGAGAGATGTGTATGTAGATAGATAGCTGGACTCGCGGGCTCGATAAGAAAAGAAAAGAAGAAGGAGAAAAAAAAATCTACCCCCCGTTGTCGCCTGTGATGCTCAAGTCATTGAATTGGACTGTGCTAAACCCCATTTGACGCTTCGAGAACGAACGTACAGTTAGTCCACGCCCCCAGTGAATCTAAGTTGGAACTTCAATGCAGCCCTCTTATGACATTGATTGTGCTTCTACCTCTACTTCTGCTTCTACTCCTACTCCTACTTATACCTGTAGATGAGGGAGGCCATCCTATCATGAGTTCTTGTTCTTTGACCAGCGGCCATGCTATCCTTTTCCAGAGCTGCACGGGCTAATAAGAGCTTTGCATCTCGAGCTTGTCGCAACAATGCATTTTCTACTACCGCCACCATCCTACGCGTACGTAGACCAGACCCTATCGTCTTCTACATGTCCTGATCTGGATATCCATTCATCTTGATAGACATTTGTTCTGATTGACCTTGTTTAGAACCCAGACCGGTCGCAACGGAATCCGAAAGACTATTTCAAGGAGAAACAGGCCAGCAGGATAAAACAGCAATACAAACAAGATGAGAGAGTCAAAGGACACGCCGATAACCGTGGTGTACGCGGCGGCGATGCCAACAAGAAGGCCCAGCGGACGTACGAGATCTTTCGCAAGTTAGCGATGACAAGAGTCGACAATTTCATAGCCACCACCGGAAGTTGGCAAGAGAAGAAAGCCGAATACCAGTCCTTTGGCATAGACAGTATCCTCGACTACGATCGCGAGGCCGGACTGTTCAAGACCGCCGTCGACAAGTCCTGCGAGTTGGCGAGCACACAGAACGCCATAAGTCGAGCCGACAACCCCCTCTTCTGGAGCCTGCGAAACGCCTTCGTACAGGGAGACATCAAGGCCCTGTCCAACGAAATCAAGTACGCCTTCTACAACTTCTTGATGCGCGCTCGCTTCTCCAAGAACATCACCGCGACCCACAAGAATATTGCCGACTTTCGCTACCCCTACGAGTGGTTCCCAGCAACAAGAGCTCTCCAGCGCACCATACATATGCATGTTGGCCCTACCAACTCCGGAAAGACATACAACGCCCTGAAAGCACTGGAAAATGCAAAGTCGGGCGTATATGCCGGCCCTCTGCGCCTGCTTGCCCACGAGGTTTACTCGCGCTTTACCGCCAAGGGCAAAAACTGCGCCTTGATTACGGGAGAAGAAATGCGCATTCCAGACGTCGATAACTATTTCCGGAGCTGTACCGTGGAGATGACTCCCTTAAATTTTCAAATGGACGTCGCCGTCATCGACGAGATTCAGATGATCGGAGATGAAGAGCGAGGTTGGGCGTGGACTCAAGCCGTTCTTGGTGTTCAGGCCAAAGAGGTCCACCTGTGCGGCGAGGAGCGTGCCGTCGAGCTGATCCGTGACCTCTGTCGGCTCACGGGCGACAAGGTAGAAATTCATCGCTACGAACGACTTAGCCCCTTGGAGGCTATGGACAAGAGTCTCGGAAGCTTGAAGCAACTTGAAAAGGGAGATGCTGTCGTGTCATTCTCGAGAGTCGGCATTCACGCCCTTAAAACTCAAATCGAGAAGGCCACTGGAAAGCGCTGTGCCATCGTTTATGGTGGCCTCCCTCCCGAGACGCGAGCACAGCAAGCTGCGTTGTTCAATGATCCCAACAATGATTACGACTTCTTGGCCGCAAGTGATGCCATCGGCATGGGGTTGAACCTCGAAATCAAGCGCATTGTATTCGAGGCGACGCATAAGCGGAACAAGTTTGGATATGCGAAATTGTCCGTATCAGATATCAAGCAAATTGGTGGTCGTGCCGGCCGTTACAGGACAGCACAACAGGCAGTCAATGCGGGCGTTGAGGGTGACAAGAAGATCGGCGGGCCTCCACCAGCGCCCAAAGGCCAGATCGGTCTGGTGACTGCAATGGAGGACGAAGACCTTGATAATATTCAACGGGCCTTCACTAAAGAACCTCAGCAGATCAAGTCGGCAGGTATTCAAGTGCCGCCGTCTGTTCTTGAACGATTTTCCACCTATTTTCCTCCAAATACGCCCTTCAGCTACATTATCCTGCGAATCTATGACATTGCGAGGATAACCTCCCGGTTTCATATGTGCAATCTAGGCGAGATCGTTGAAGTTGCCGACCTGATCCAGGAATTCCCAATGTCTGTCTATGACCGCTGCGTTTTCCTGAACGCTCCCGTGTTCCTGAGGGAAAGCAATGGGCCCAGGATAGTCAAGGCTTTCGCCAAGTGCGTCTCTGATATGGGAGGTGGTTACCTTCTGGACATCCCGGAAATCGAGCTCGGGCTTCTAGATACCACCAAGGATACGTATGTTCTAGGTGCCAACGAATATCTTCGCAAGCTGGAGGCCCTTCACAAAACCATAACTCTGTACCTGTGGCTTAGCTACCGATACTCGGGCGTCTTCCGTAGCCAGAGCCTTGCATTCCACGTCAAGGAAATGGTCGAGACTAAGATCAACCAGCATCTGGGTGAGATGGCTGTGTCCGAGAAAAGTCGAAGGGCCATGAACGCCAAAATCCGAAAGCAGACTCGCGAGCAAGAGCGTAAGAAGAAGACCATTCTTGGTGAGGACGGCAGAGAATCCGATCAGGACTCTGACCGACCCGGACACGAAGGTCCGGGCGAGTGGAACGAAGAGGGACATGAAGAACCCCTTTTCCAAGATCCCGCCGAGGTTCAAGTGTCCACCAAAACCAACGAGAAGACGACTGTATAAAATCCACTTTATGTTGCATGGACGGAGTTCAAGGTTATGTACCATATTTATTGCGACGTACTGCTTAAGGTATAGCGATGTAGATTATGTGTATAGGTATATACTGATATCTAACACCATCAACGATAACTCAAAGAAATGCCCCTTTTTGCATCAGATTTGACGTTTTCTTTTTGTTGATAATGTCGTACAGCCCTTTCATGGCCTTTCCTTCCCGCTAAGTTATTGCTCATTCGTCAATGTAATGTTGCTAGCTGGAGCCAGGGCTCTTCATAGCTCCTGCCTCGTATGAGATATGTCAACAGGTCCTTGCTCGAAGAGTATGTAAGTAGGTGCCGACCTGGGTTGAGACCGTCGAGGCCCGTGACAATCAGGAACACAATACGTCATGACGTCTCTACTACCTGAACCCGAGATCTGGTGAGTCTTTCATGCCCTGTGCGGGCTTCGCCGGGCTTGCGAACAACATTGCGAATCAGTTCTCCACAGCGTACCTATATTGATTCATCTATTATAAATACATAATTTTGCCCCCCACAGACGTCTTCAGCAATCATTTCTAGCTCTATCAACTTTATTCCTTACCCTTCTAGGCAATTAGCCCCGCCATGGCGTGGCGAGAAAAGGACGACTACAGTCCGAAGACAGTACCAACAGAGGACGTGCGACCAGGCACTCGATAGCAACGTCCTTCGGTTGCGCGCACCGCTTCTTCGTATGATGGACCGACAAGCCGAATAGCTTCGCTTAACCCTCTCGCCCATAGTCCATCCCCATCGAAGCCTTCTCCGTCCGCCAGGGAGGTGCAATATGATTTCAACAGTAGTGCACCGGTCACGCCTAGAGCTGTGATCGACCCTCCTCGTCTGGCAAAGGAGGGTTTCGAATGGGTCTGGTTCCCCGAAGGATACTGGGCGGAGAGGGAGCGTGTTGACTTCATCTCAAACGCAAAGTTCAACCTCAAATGGCGCAATAGATCTCAGAAGTCGAGCTCAGGACAAACAGAAAAAAGCGGCAGCGGTGACCGTTTCAGTCCCACAGACAATTTGCACCATCTGAATCCAAAGGACCCGATTAGTCGAGCGGCAATGCTGGGAAGCAATGCTCCACTGCCAAGTCCATTTCTGAGCGAAGCCGATCATGTACTCTCCTTGCAACGACCGAGTTTGGAAAGAGGTACGAGCGAAGAATCGAAGTTTACTGACAGTCCGTGGGTACTCAGCAGAGCGGCCATGTATGCTGGCAAGGTGATCACAAGTAGCCCTTTGTCTTTGACCCACGAATCACCACTGTATAGATCCTCAAACGAGACGACACGACCCGCCACGGTTAATCGGGCAACTTCTATCCAGCCAACAGAGAACTTAGTCAAGAAGAGCCCTATGCCATCCCCTTTCCAAACCATGAAATCCATCATGGGCCTAAAACCTAAAACCAAAGAGGTACGTTGCCCACAATGCGATCCTAAACAAGTTTTATCAGTTGTTCCGAAATCGGCAGGCACTGAAGATAGTAGCACAAATTGAAGCGCCATCCCACAAACACCAGCAATTATACGGCCTCGACGATAGCAGGTGCCACTTCACAACTTGAAAATCACAGTCACGGTGGAATCACACGAGTTCCGTCCTTGCTGCGCGACCGTGACGACGCTGGGAGCCCTTCGAATGGCCACAAGTCGCGTCAACGCAAGCTCTTTGGGCTTGCACCATGGCAGCGCAGATTCTCGAAAGAGTCGGTCGAGAGCGTCTCCAGTTCGATTCGAGAGATGATTCGTGGGCACACGCCGAATTCGTCTCCAGCCTCGGACTTCCTGACAATTAAAAGTTGCAGACCTGATGATCGCGACGAGATGTATCCAGGAAACGTGAGTAGTCTGAGAAGATTTGAGCCACATCGGAGATAATATTGTTTCGTAACTCACATCTTCCTATAAAGGAAGCAAGACGTATCAGGACACCTCCTCTTCGGACTCCTTTCAGGGAAGCGGGTGTTGCCTACTCGTTCTTCACGGAAACTATACCTCCCGATGCCAACAATCGTGCTCCCGTACCTCCTAGAGCCGTGGAGCCTCCTAAATTGAAAACGGCGGAGGAAGTTACCGGATCTCTCCACCAACAGAAGCTAAAACCTCGTGAGTGGTGGGAAGTACCTGCGGCTACGCTTCGCTGGGAGCGTATGGGTCGGAAGCCATTCGAGTTTAATCTACCAGAGCATCTGCCGACGAGCCCCATGTGTCCGGCAAATAAGAAATACAAGAGCGGCGGTACGGAAGTCTGCGTGTATCACGGTCGCAGAAAGAGGAGCAGCCAACTGGAGACCAGTGATGGTGAGGATTCTTTACCGAGGTCGAGACGCTGACATCTAGTGGACGCGCGAGCCATGAGCACCGGAGATTTGACAGATTGATGAAGAAGACTGTCGTTCAGGAATGAAGCTCTTGTCGGAATTTGTTTAGAGATGCCCCCGAACGCAGTAGCTTATTGTTGAATTCTTTGAAACAAGGTATCTTGCATGGATGAAGAATGAGTATAAACCAAAGCAAAGGAGTTGCGTCCCATGGCATTTATCATAGTCCAAAGGCGACAGAGGCCTCATTCACTGCGCGTTTCTAATAACCAGGTATGAAGTTGCCGCAGTGTACAGGGGTCATAAACTTCGTAGGATTGCATTAATGAAATGTACAGGGTTGTAATGCTATGCTTCTATCGTCTTGCCAGTTCCAGTAAATGCTGATGATAATAACCAAAGCGACTAGCTACTCTTTCGTCCTGCCAATGCAACGTTATTATATGATGCCAAAGTCTCGTAGCTGGATTTTCTCATAGATCGAGCGTCGTCCATCTTGGGCCTTGACTCAGATGACTCGACGGTGCTCTTCTTCCGTGCCTTGGATTGAGGAAGCTTCATGGTGGAGGTGGTGGCCCTTACATCGTCTCTCTTCTCCTGGTCCGCAGCGGATGGCTTGGCAGGTCGCTCCCGCGGGGTCGATGCCTCTACTTCCGGGCGGGACTCGGCTCTCGACTCAGGCCGCTCATGGGTGTACTGGTTGTCCGGCTCCTCGGCCTCGTCCTCGTCCGGCTCGCCGACGACCGAGGGCTCGATCTTGGGCGCCTTCTCGCTGTCCCTCTTTGAGCGGTAGTCGGACAGGGCCTTTTTCAGGATGTTGCGCATGACCGCCTTGTTGACGCTCCGTCGCAGGCGATCAAAGTACCGCACCACGGTTCCAACCACAATGACCTGCGAGTCGTGGTCGACCTCGATGATGTCTGCATAGTTGGCGCGCGAGTCGTCCTTGACCCGGAACTTGCCCTTGTTCAGCTCGATGCCGACGGGCGGGAAATGCAGGGTGTTGCGCTCCTCCAGCTTCTCACGCCACTGGTCCGGGCAGTCGTCGTCAAAGATGAATCCTTGCTGGCTGGAGTCTATACCAGGTTTTGCAAATTTGTGCCTGCTGCCGACTGATATAGGGCTTTGACGAGTCAATCATTTTGTGTCAGAACCCCCAAGTTATCCAAGTACTCACATGCACACCGCATGATGGGGGAATGTGTCGCTATGTCTCAGAACGATGAAGCGAACATATCCGAGGCATTTCCATTCCCACTCGAACTCATTAGAGTCCGCCCAGAGGAACTCAAACACGTCTCCGACCTGGAGGCCCTCCGCGGTCCCTATTTCGTACCCTTTCCTAGCTGGAAAAAAAAAATGCAACCGTTAGCTATTCTGCTGGGAGTCTGTATGTGGTGTGGGGGAATTCCCCGATGGGACGCACCGAGCGGGTGATCGGCACTCAAATCTTGGGTTGATTTAGATGATCCGGAGGCATCATCGTCCCTGAATCCAGAGTCGGCTGTTCTGATGGTATTGCTAGGCGGCATTGGTTGACTCTAAGGGCGAGGAGGAAGAGAAACGGGAGGTATCGTTAGCTGGCAGAAACCGACTGGAGAGCTTTATGTTTGGCGTGCCACCACACGGACGGGCAAAGCGATTGCGGTGGTTTCATCAAATCAATCGACGGCCTCTGTCGAGCATTTCCCCCGACCGCCCAGCGCCATGTGTCAAGTTGCAGGAGCTGCAACCTGTGAGGTAGTGCTGCCCAACTCCACCGATCCACCGCGATGCAGTCAGTTCGCGATGCGATACGCTGATTTCGCCGTCCCGCGGCATCCTCCACCAATGCACTGTGAAGCCTCAGGGTCCACACCGCAACCGATCTCTGTGTTGTCACCGGCCGGCCACTCGCTTCACCGCTAATCTCAAATTGTCAGCTGGGGCCCGTCCCAGCGACCAAAGAGACGACTCCTGGCTAAGCCTTCAAAAGTGATGCAATAGAACCCCATCATGCTATTTCAGAGCCCAGCTGCCCTCGTGACAGCTCTTCGATCTCAGGGAGTCATGTAAGTTCGTAGTACTGCAGATAAGGCTCATGTGTTCGTCGGCGAAGAACCGTGGAGACTGACCCGACCTGCCACTTGCGACCAGCTGCCTACATCCAGAAACCTTGCATTCGGCCTACCCCTAGTGCCTGCAGTAGACTCCCCACTGCTCCTGTCTTACTCATGACGACGCTACATCCACGAACCTCACGTCACTGAATAAGACCCTGAGCTTCCCTGTACCATTGTTTCATGGTTAGTACTGAGATGAGAGCGGCTTTAACACGGTGGATCTCTGACCGTGGCCTTTTCTCATCAATTGACGCCAGCTGTGTGCCTGACCGCCACTCGGAAACTGTAGAATTCCTGTTAGACCGTGTGTTGACCGATTCACTGGATTATAATGAGGCTGTCCTTTGCCCATGGCTTGGGGCAAGACAAACTCACATTGTCCGCTCCCAACTGTTCACATGCCTTCCTGGCACGTGTTGGGCATAGGACTTCCCCTCAACCCTCTGCCCAAGAGTCTCCCAACAATTGCAATCGAGGATGACATTGTAAGACCCCTTTGGATCGAGTGCGGAAACTTATGGAACGAGGTAGGATGATATGGGCAATTCAGGCTATGATGGTGATGAGTAAGTAGTAAGTGGAGCATACAATAATTCGTTCACGAGAGGTCACCGTCGGATCTGACCGGCTGCAATTGATACCATAGAATAACCTCGAAATTTACTAGATTCGGTGTACCTTTTGAATCACCGAAATATAATATAAGGTAAGATAAATCATCGCAGTGAGACTAGTGAATGCTCGAATTTACCCGACTTGATGAAATCTAATATCGATAATATCCCATATTATCGATCTTCAGATTCTAATTAGTATGAAGATCTAGTAAAACCTTCGACTGTTCCATAGATACGTGCCGGGGTCAACATGGGGACTTGTTGCGACTTGGTCGATTTGTGACTTGGCATTTATCTGATGTGATCTACATGTCTTTCGACACTCAGGGGAGAACGTTCCGTGAGGTTGGCCCAGCAGGCACATCAGTAGGCGATAAAGAGTAACTCATGAGGCAACTGGCACCTCCGGGCTTGGACAATAACGTATAACAGGTAGACCAATGGCATCGTTTGGCCAGAAAGTAAGACAGGGAGCCGTTGGCACGTTCCCGAACCGAAAAATAAATCCAGTACAGCGCAGACATACATGTTAGAACCACTCGAATAAAGACCCGTCGCGTGGCTTTGACTCTTTGGAGCATCTATTCGTGACTCGACGAGCATGTACCATGCGCAGGACTACACGTGGTTCGGATCTCTCACTAGACTAGAGCATATCTGATCCGACTGCCTATACACGAGATGTGTCATGCTGCGCAGGCACTTATGCGGTGATGACGAGCTCCGACTCTGCCAATACATGAACAGCATGATGGCCCTGACACTTATGGATGGGGGCCGCTGTCTCCGGTACTGGATGATATTTCATCATTTCTCAAGCACAACGAGCGCTGCGTCGCCGGATTACTTCTTCTCGGAAAAAGAGAACTTATAGGCTGCACAAATCTTTTGGTAATTATAACCATTGAGGTAATGGGAATAATCCTGGATAGATGTGGGTTCGTTGTGGTGTTTTGTGAGTGGAAGACTTCCTCCTGAATTGGCCAGATGGCAAAATTGAAAGATAGTTGGACATATCCCGTCCTCTAATATTATAGATTCTTCTCTCGAGATAATCGGTTACTTATAAATACAAAGGCGACATCGCAGCATATAAAATAATGGGACAACACACAGTATCTATCAGAAACGGCTGTTCTGATCAGGTCATAACAGTTTATCCTCCCGTATCGCGTAACTATTCCGCCACTTGTTATCATTAAGATACTTTTATACAATAGCTTGCTACACAGCTGCGGATCAATTCGGAAAACCATAAAGCATGTGCCTTACGTCCTATACCTAGAGAGGGCCTACTTAAACAAAGTGACAATAACTAACCGGTTGCCTCTTCCGGGGGGTTTCAAGCAGAATTGATAGAAAGGCGTGTCGTGACATTTTCAAATACGGAACAAGGAAAAGTGTGACAAAGCCTCCAGGTAGATTTGCGGGCCGTACATGTAAGTCCAGGTTTCGCCCTTGGAAAGACCTCCCAAACGGTATTTGCGATCTTGTTTTCTACATGATTAGCCGTAACCAAACTTCTCCATCCGGAAGAAGAAAAAGAAGACAAAACTGTGCTCGGAATTTCGGCGCTTCGATCTGTCCATGACACGCCACGCTCTTTGGCGGACGGGGGTCACCACGAGCCCCGATGTCTTTACCTGGCTCTTGAGGTCGCTTCTGCTAGCCTTGATCCTGCTGAACATGGTGGTCCTTCTCTCTGAGGGGCGTAGGTTCAAAGCTGTGAGTAATCTTCCTCTGATATCTTCTATACTCTGCAGCACCTCTCTGGATGCGTTGGGAGACAGCTTTCAGGACTCGCTTGTGTACTTTGCTTAGTATGACAAAAGTGGTGAAACGCTGACTTGGAGGTTACAGTGGGCCGTAAGTAATAGTTACAGCCGTGCGGCTTTCGTCGACGCCTCCGACTGGGACTATATTGATATTCCCGTACCACGGGTAGAATTCAGCTGGGAATGGGTCCGGGGGTTGTTTAGGACGTGAGGAAACCTGACTTATGTTTTTTCTTTCTTCTTTTTTTGGCTTACGCGGTGGTTGGAGGACACTAGTACTAATATAATAGAATACCTAGCTTGATATGACACACAAAAGTTCTCGGTTCGTGTCACAAGTTGCTACGTCTACCAAGTGAGGATCGCCACCTATTTCACTACATCGTTTCCAGTAACTATTCATTAAGAAACCGTGATATATCTATTTTCTTGTAGTTATTTGTCTCGTCCACAGGGGCTTGCTAAGAGCAAGCCACTGTATTTACCATAATATCGGCCAAAGACCCGTTGCACCGGAGGAGACGAGGAAAACAACGACCAATATTACAATGGAAAGTACCCATGTTCAAAATCCTCGATGGTGTATAATCATGTATCAGTAACCCTCACGAATGTTTTGTGTTAACAGTGGAAGCTCACTAGCCCGTGGAATTTTCTACGCATAGTTTAAATGGCATGCACACAGCATTAAGACCTATATATCGTAGGCGTGTCTCATCGAGATAGTCATATTGATAATTGTATCATGCTATCATATGAAGATAATATATATTTATTGTGACTAACCTTTCTGGCTGACTCTACATATGGATATGACGCCTAGTGAGACCTTACACATGCGCAAGATCTATTAGCTCGACCGTTTTGCGTATCTCAACACGGGCTTCTCGACCAAGATTTTGCCCACTACGGTACCGAGTCTCGCGATTCAGGATATGATGGAAGAAATCATCTATACCTGAATTGCGCTATGGTTAAATTTCTGAAGCCACAGTGCAACAATCAAGTCAATGGCACTGCGCAAAAAGACGGTTCCAACAATGAGGGGTATCATTTCATGCATTCAATAGTTCTTGACAACGACCCGTCAAGGAGATGTCGAGCAGAGGTATAATCTGCAACTTAAGCGCCTTCCGAGAGCTAATCTCTATCAAAACACTGCTAGCTGATGTGCATACCGCTAGACACGAGCGAAACGGAGCGCTCGATTACATTGATACAATACAGACGACCTACTTATCGATCCAGCCAAGGCCGGGGACCTGACGTCTTTGTTATCGTCGCCATAACGCTCTCAAAAAAACGAGGCTCCTTGGTCCCTCGCCTCCTGAAAATGATTGGACGCGTTCCCCTTTGTTTCTGGTATTTCATGGTCGTTATCCTGCTTCTTCGTCCTCTCTGACGCATCGCGCTCACTGCCCGACACTGGTGTGTGATTTCTGATACTGTGATACAGATTCAACTCCTCAACAGTTCTTTGACTGTGACATCCGGGATTGTCCGATCGAATCTCCTAGTTTCGGCGGAAGTTGGCTGCACCGGGAGGAGGCATACCTCGCCCGTCAAACCCAAAAGCAAGAGCTTCGGGTCCACCAGGGAAGCCGCCCATGCCAGGTGGAGGGATAAATCCATGGGGAGGGGGACCGCCAGGACCGCCAAAAAGCCCCGGCGGAGGAGCCATGTTGCGCATGGCATCGGGCGGGAACGCTCCCATGGGAGGGAAGCCGGGCGGAAACATGCCGGGGATGGGTACGTTGCGAGGGTTACCGGCGAGTCCTGGTGGCGGTATCATAGGTCTTCCTGGACCAGGTGGGCCTTGTTGTCCGCCGCCCTGCAGCCAATTGGGTTGGAGTTGATCTAAGCCGACTGGACCAGGCCGCTGCAGAATCTGTGTAGGTTGCTGTCTTCGGTTGTCCTGCTCGTGACGAATCTGGGGCTCTTCAAAAAAGCCTGGAGGTCCTTGAGGACGACCTTGCTGGTGTGGTCCGCCGCGCTCGCGCACAAAGTCTGGTTCCCGATCTGGTGTCTGCGGTATTTGCGCCGGTCTAGAAGGTTGAGGCATCCTAAGAGGAGGCTGCTCGGCTCTCTGTGGTTCGGGCACGTTTCTGCTGCTTTGCATTAAACTAATCAAGAACTCGGCGTTGTTGCGCGCCTGGGTTTGATCACGGCCAGGCACCTGGCTAGCCAGTGGTTGTCGCTGGGCGATGAGATGGTGTAGTTGTGCCTCTGCTCCCATGGGCCCTTGTGGCAAATAGTTAGATGGCTGCTGTCTGTGCCCGTAGCTTTCTTGGGGAAGAGGGCCTCTACTTGGTGGCCCTTCACGTTGTTCGAGACCAAAAGGTGGATACGGACCGGGCGACGCGATCGAGCTCTGAGGATTCCGTTCCTGACTACTTGGTATCGGGAAGCCGCCAGATGGAGGACTGTCGGACGTAATGTGCTGCTTCTTGAGCTTGAGTAGAATATTCTCGAAGGCGGCCCTGTCATCTGTACCGCCGAGATTGCCAGAAGGAATACTTTGTGCGGCATGGATAGGTGCGCCTGCACCGCCGAAGAAGAGCAAGGGATTGGGCTCCTGTGTCGGTGGGGCTGCTGCCGCCGGCGTCGAGGGTTCCGTCTGTCGCCCCTGCTGCGATGCGAAGAAACTGCCAAATCTCGACCCGCCTTTAGGCTTGGGGGCTGGGGCCTCTTTCGGAAGCTCGAGTGGGTGCTCCGTGTCTGCTCCTGGAGTCGGTGCATATTTGGCAAAGAACTGGTCAGGGCCCATCTCGACGGCCGGGGCCGACTTGACCTTGGCTGCCTCGGTCTCGAACACCGAGTCGCGCGCAGCGGTGTTGATGCCAGCGACGGGGCCTGGCTCGGCAAGGGGGCCGCCCTTCTTCATGGCTTCCATAAACTTTTGCAGATCCTGGATGCTATGAGCCTGGGTCTTCTCCTCGGCTGGCTCCTCAAACCATTCAGGGTCGCGTTCCTGTCGCTGGTCTCTGTCCCATCTGCCGACATTGCGATCTCGGCGCCTGTCGTCCCGTGGTTGGTCTTCCGGCGGTGCTGCTCTCTCCCTCCAGCTCTTGGCTCTGTCGAACCTTTCGCGGGCAGGGGGGGCCGGCTGCTCGCTATCATCGTTGTTTCCACGATTCCAGGTGGATTGGTCGGTCCTGGTCCTAGGTAGCCCGTTGCGACGAGGCCGCTCGGCGTCGTCATCCTCCTTCTCCCGGGCAAACTCGCCAAAGTTGCTGCGTTTGGGTCGCTCAGTAGTGTCGTCTTGGTTATCACGTGCTCGGCGCTCGCCATTGAATCGCTCGTTCCGATCGACTCCCATGCGGCCATTGAAACGCTCAGCGCCCTCGGTGCCAAAGCTCTTGCGGGGCTTGACGGCGGTCCAGCCATCGCTATCCTGATCGCCGTCGGCGCGACGTCGGAAACCGGTTCGGCCATCGCCAGCCCTGTCCCCTCGTTCGCGGTCGTTTTCGCCCTCGCCGTTCCGGCGGTAAGAGCCAAATGTCTTGTCATTATCAAACGGCTTGGCGCCTCGAGTCAAGGTTGATGACGAGAAGGTAGTTCGAGGTGGGCCGAGAATGATGCCGTCAGTGTCTGGGATTTTGCAGTCAGCATTGGGGGACAGGTTGAGAAGCTGAATGCTTGTTCGGCTGCTCACTTGTATTGTTCCGTGAGGCATGCCGGTCCACGCCTGGCCGCCGGTTGGTCTGATCAACTAGAGAGCTATCGCCATTTCTGGCTCTGTCGGTTGCAGTCTTGCCAGCTGGCTGATTGTTGCGGAAAGTATCGGGGGGCGGTCTAGATAGAATGTCAATTACTGTGTATGTATGTATAGATAGATGGTGGGCGGCGAGGTTTGCCTTGGAATAGAGAGGTTCGACTCTGGACAATGGACACTGGACTTACCCCATCCACTCCTCAGCAGGAGGCAAAGCGTTCGGCCTGACACATAGCGGCGACTGGCCCAAGTGTATTAGGTCTTGCGATGTATACCTTAATGCCATAGCATATACACAGAATGTTGGTCCGTGTATCAAAGTGATTCACTGTGTGGCATCCGATACGGGCGAGTCAATTGGTAGCTGTTGTCTCGGGGTGGGACGATCGAGGAGCGAGTACGTTCGATTGGATTTGGTGCTGAGGTGATTGTGGTCGTGTCGTTTGTGTGTGTGCGTGCGTGCGTGCGTGCGTGCGGGGTGTGTAGAAGGCAAGGAAGAGAGTAGAGCCGCAGGTTGCAGGATTGGAGATGATCAGGCGAAATATCGGGGAGGAGATCGTAGTACAACACAGCAGTAACCTAACCTTGGCTATGTCCAAAGGGGCCCAATGGACAGAGAGCACGGTATGTGGTTGACCAAAGGCGCGTGGGTAGCTTGGTGGGTAGTGTGGATATATGTTTGGTGGTTGTGGTTGTTCTCGTGGTTGTGCTTGTTTTTGTCCCAACTTTTGGCGATGCTCGCTGATTCGTCTTGTGTTGTGTTTTGTGTGTTGTGCGGGATGGCGAGCTGGTCAGGATATGACGGCAGCGTCGAGAATGGAGAAACGGGCACAGTGTTTTGGGCGTGTCTTGTTTTGGGGCCTCACTTTGATTTGGTTTTGGTTTTGGTTTTCGTTTTTGGTGCGGGTGTCTTGATGTTGAAAGTTGCTCAAAGTTGTGTTGGGAGCGATGGCAGGTAGCTCCGTTCAGTACTTAAAACTGCACTTTGCGTTGCTTTACTCTACTTCACTTGTACTAGTCTAGCAACGAAGTTGTGGCCGATGTTGGCGAGTCGAGAAAAGTTGTCATGGACACTTTCACGGCAGTCAGCTTGTTCGCAATGAATGCCATTGAATGCCAATGCTAATGCAGCGCCCGACGTCAAGGTCAGAAACCAATGGGTTCTTGCCTGGAGGCATACTGCGGTCATGGGGCTTCCTAACCGGCCCACCACCCACCATCCCCTACCCCCTAACGTTAACCCCCGAACGTCAACCCCCTGCTAACCAAAACACTATTGCAGAGCTGCCCTTTCGTCACAACATGCGCACAGGGCAGCTCTCCAGCTCGCCACGACCACAATGCACCTTATGAGCTGAGTCTTGAACCTTTTCATCCAGCTCATGGTCCGCTGTCCATGATGCCGCCGTGCAGCTATGATCAATCTTGTAGTCAGCTGGAAAAGTGAGATGTGTCTGTTCTTACTCTCTTGTTGTAGGCGAACCGACCCTGTTCCGGTATCAACACTCAACGCTGTTGCGATACCGATGCTGTCATCGCCCTGTCGTCACGCCACTTCACATCACGAGGTCGTGCATCGTGTCTCATTCACCCATGTCATATGGTTCACTTGCTAACATACATGTGGATAAACTGAGACTTTCGAAGCGCAGCATATTCTTTCTTGTTCCAAATCTTGACACGAGCACGCAAGATCGAGTCAACCAGTTCTCGAGACCTGCGCGACTGCTTTGTGACGCCCTACTGAATCCCTTGCCAAAATCAAGTAACAGTGACCATACTAATAATATCCACAACGCCAAATCAACATACAATAATGAGTGTTTTCACATGTCAAGCTCATCTCTGTGCCCGTACCCTTGATCATGCCTGCGTATCTTCATAACAATTGACGAGCCTTGCCACCTGGGGGCCATCGGGGGTGCCGCCCGAAATACAACGCAACAAACCGGGAAGCTACCGTGTCGAGGTTTACGTAGCCCTGTTACGGGCCTCGTTTCTCAATTCATAGGACTCTTCGGATTCAAGACGCCTCATCCGGGCAAAGTCAAGCGCTCGAGGTGTAGTCTAAATCTCACCACAAAGATTCGAGAGTTGTGGTATATGATTCCTCGTCTCCACAATCTACCGTTTCTAGTCGTGGCTCTGCACCTTGTGATCACCCTTAAGGGCCTCGGCATAAGTCGGGGGAGCAGGCTCGTGCTCGTTGCCGTTACTGCTTCCAGCCTGTGCTGCAGTTGACGATGAAGCATTGCCGCCCTGGCTCGACGTGCCGTAGTCCATGCCATTCTGGTGCTGTAGTCTCGGTTGGTGCTGGGCCTTGTGTACTTGCTGTTGATGTTGCTGCCGGCCGTCAGGTTGGATGATGATCACATGGTGTTGGCCGCGTTCGGGATCAGACACGCGCTGATACTGGTAGTCGTCAGGCACCTTGGCGATGATGTACCAAGCGTGAAGAAGACCAGGAATCTAAAGTTGTAGATCAGTAAGGAAGCCCCCAGGAGACTCCTTCGTGGCTGGTTGTGCGACGGGCCACTTACGTATGCAAGCATGCAAAGAAGGATGTTGATGAAGCCATCGGCGGAACACACGCCGCATTTGATCCACACTGTTGCCAAGTTAGCGACTGGTAGAGAGGTGGCTCTACACCTTTGCCCTGTGCGCCACGCCGCGCTGCGTTGTGTAGAGCATTTGGTGTCGTGCCCCTTGGTCATGTAGGCAGCCGAGTGGTCACGAGCGGCGTAGGGTTGAGAGACTCACCGGGTAGTGGAGGGAATATAATGGCCAGAAGACCGAGGAAGATGTCCGAGCTGCACATAGTGGTCTGCCAATGCTGTCGTGTGTCGCAGGGTACGGTGGCTTTTTGTTTTGTTTTGTTGGAGGTGAGGGTATGTGAAAATAAGATGGTGCCGTTATTGGATGGCAAGTCGAAAGTTGCTGCAGGAGTATGACCTTCATCAGCCAAGGTCGGACTTCGGAATCGTATGTAGGCTGGAAGACGCGGATAGCTTACTTACTTGCCAGGAACTGGGAGGCAACGACGGCATAGTGGCTCAGATGCCCCCCCTGCAGCTGCGCATCTCCGAGCCTGCAAAAGTGCCCTGTGCGGGGCCAGCCTGGCTGCCTGGGGCCTGGGGCATGGAGGCTGTAGGCTGGAGGATGGCCTGGCCGCCTGGCAGACCTGGAGAATAGCCTGCTCGCTTGCCGCTCATAGGTCTGCATTCGCGGGGTTCCCTGTCCTACCTTGCGTCAATATGGCCCCAACCTTAACGTGTTCCCGGATAGATCGAACCCTGATCAAACATGATGAAATGGGACGACGACCGGGGGTCAGCAAAACTCTATCATCGTTGCTACGATGACGAGACTCTTCATAGATGAATCTATGTTGACACAATTCCTTGTTTTCGTGATGGACTACGTGAGATAATGTATGTGTAGCAATCTCAGATACCGTATCCATCCTGCAATATCATGATGCACGGAAATCCTTGGTCAGTGCTCGAAAGCAATGTAGGTGAGACTTGGGATTAATATCACGGCAATTTAGTACTCGGACCTGTGGAATTGCAGGTCTAGTCAAAGACTTACGGCTGTTTGCGCCACCTTCACAATATCATTAAACGAACGAACAAAGATCTCGAACGTGGTCCGTCGGGAAATACTGTAGCAGATGCAGGTGCTTGAGAATGTGCACGCACCATGTCTGTCATTACCGCGGGATTCCAATTCTTGTATGGATTAACTAACTACAAGTGTCAGCTGTACGGACCCGTACGCACTCTGTACTTTGTCAGCATGGCATAGCAGTCTTTTTGCTTCTTCTGGCCATTTTGGAAATATCACAGCGGCGTATGGCATACGGCATGCGGCATACGGCATACATGCTCCGTTCAAGACGCTACAGATCCACACGGTAGGCAGCTGCAGTTAGGTCGGCAAACGCCCCCACCGCGGAAGCCGCGTCGTCTGGATTGGACCGGTTGGTAAATAATACGTACATGCACATGCTGGAATTATTTTCTGGACTTCAACGGTCCCTACTGGTGCTTTTCTGCCACTTCATTGCGACAACGCACTTCATAACCCCCCACAACCTCCTGCGACAGGGTCAAGATGGATGACTTCGAGGAGCTCGAGCTTCTATCGCTCGTGTCCAAAGTTACGTCCGAGCTGCAGAACCATTTGGGCATCTCAGAAAAAGTCTTGGCCGAGTTCATCATCGCCCAACGACTGGAATGCAAGACTATCGACGAGTTTAAGCAGAAGTTGGCCGGCATGGGAGGTGCGAAATGGCCCGATAGTTTGTTCGACAGTGTAGACCGACTGGTCCGGACCATGCACCCCAAGTTCAAAGCGAGCACAAACGGATCACACGGCGTGAGCGCAGATGAGCCCTCCCACCGATCAAAACAGGAGAAACAGAGCCTGTTCAGTGGTCTCGCCATACCGGACAGGCAACCTCCCGCGGACGAGCAAGGCGACGCTCTCGACGATGCGCTTGCACAGCTGGAGGATCTGGCCCCCAAGGCGTCAAACCCACGAACGGAGCTACCATCCAGGAAACGAAGCAGAAGTCCCGGAGACGAAGACTCGCGACACCGACGGAAAGAGCGTCGCAGATCGCGCGAACGAAGAGACAGAGAACAAGACGATGGTCATGACCACGACCGATCGCGCAGGAAGCATAGAAGTAGGAGAGACGATCGCGACCGTGGCCGCACAGATGATGACGACGTGTTCAAGCGGCGTCCTGAGCCAGAGGTAGACGATGCGCCTGTCTTGTACAAGGTATATGACGGCCACGTAACTGGTCTCAAGGACTTCGGCGCATTCGTGAACCTTCACGGCGTTAAAGGGAAAGTCGATGGCATGGTACATATCTCGAATCTGGTCCAGGGGCAACGAGTGAACCATCCTTCCGACCTTCTCACCAGGGGCCAGGATGTCAAGGTCAAGGTTGTCAAGATCGAAGCGAACCGCGTAGGCTTATCTATGAAGGACGTCGACCAGGAATCTGGCCAGGATCTTGTGCCCCAGGCACGCATCACATCTGGTGCAAATATGGAGAGTCTTGGCGGCGGCCGAAACGGCTATTCCGATGATAACACTGCCGCCCTCGCCGAGTACGCCGCGCAACCTCGTCGCCAGAAGAAACGGATGACATCGCCTGAGAGATGGGAGATCCGGCAATTGATAGCGTCCGGTGTCGCCAAAGCCTCGGATTATCCTGACCTGGAAGAGGATTACAATGCAACCTTGCAGGGAGAGAACGGGATGGAGCTAGAGGAGGAGGTTGATATTGAAGTCCGTGAGGAGGAACCCCCTTTCCTCGTTGGTCAGACAAAGCAGTCTCTCGAGCTCTCGCCTATCAGAGTTGTGAAAGCCCCTGATGGCTCTTTGAATCGAGCAGCCATGTCGGGAACAGGTTTAGCTAAGGAGCGGAAAGAGCTACGGAGACAAGAGCAGGAAGCTGCAACTGCCGCAGTAGAAGCCGAAACCAAGTCGGACCTGGCATCGACGTGGAACGACCCAATGGCCAATCCAGAGTCGAGACAGTTTGCTAACGATTTGAGAAATGCCAGACTCAACTCTGCCAAGGCACCTGAGGCGACACCAGAATGGAAACAATCTGTGATGCGCAACAATGAGTCCAAAGGCAGGCGGACGAATATGAGCATCAAAGAGCAAAGAGAGTCTCTCCCTGTTTATGCATTCCGGAGCCAACTCATCAAAGCCGTCAAGGAGAATCAGTTCCTTGTGGTTGTAGGCGAGACAGGCTCAGGCAAAACTACGCAGCTCACGCAATATCTTGCTGAAGCAGGTTTCACGAACGACGGCATGCTTGGCTGTACGCAACCCCGCCGTGTCGCTGCAATCTCCGTCGCAAAGCGTGTTTCTGAAGAGGTTGGTTGCGAACTAGGACAGGAAGTCGGTTATACTGTCCGTTTCGACGACCAGACAAGCTCGGCTACCAAGATCAAGTACATGACCGACGGCATGCTTCAGCGTGAGATTTTGATGGACCCAAACTTGGAGCGCTATTCCGTCATCATGCTGGATGAGGCTCACGAAAGAACAATCGCAACTGATATCTTATTTGCGCTGCTCAAAAAGACTTGCAAGCACCGACCTGATCTCAAAGTTATCGTTACCTCGGCCACTTTGGATGCCGACAAGTTCTCGTCCTACTTCAACGAGTGTCCAATCTTCACAATTCCGGGTCGTACGTTCCCAGTAGAAATTTTATACTCGAGAGAACCGGAATCGGACTACCTGGATGCCTCGCTTCAAACAGTCCTGCAGATTCATCTGATGGAGCCACCAGGTGACATTTTGCTTTTTTTGACTGGTCAGGAGGAGATTGATACAAGTTGTGAGATCTTGTATGAGCGCATGAAAGCTTTGGGGCCCAACGTTCCGAACCTCAACATCTTACCAGTCTATTCTGCATTGCCTAGCGAGCAACAGAGTCGAATTTTTGAACCAGCTCCACCTGGTGAGCGGAAGGTCGTTATCGCAACCAACATTGCCGAAACATCCATCACAATTGACCACATTTACTATGTCATCGATCCGGGATTCGTCAAGCAAAATGCTTATGATCCAAAGCTCGGGATGGATGCCTTGGTGGTTACCCCTATTTCTCAAGCGCAAGCCAACCAGAGAGCTGGTCGAGCTGGACGAACAGGTCCGGGAAAGTGCTTCCGACTGTACACTGAAGCCGCATACCAGTCTGAGATGTTACCGACGACTGTGCCTGAAATCCAGCGACAAAACTTATCCAACACTATTTTGATGTTGAAAGCAATGGGTATCAACGATCTGTTGAACTTCGATTTCATGGACCCCCCGCCAACCAATACTATGCTTACGGCATTGGAAGAACTCTATGCACTGTCGGCCCTTGATGACGAAGGTCTCTTGACCCGTCTTGGTCGTAAAATGGCAGATTTCCCAATGGACCCAGCGCTATCCAAAGTCCTCATAGCTGCCGTCGACTTGGACTGCTCCGAAGAAGTGCTTAGCATCATTGCCATGCTCAATGTCACGACCGTCTTCCACCGGCCGAAAGAAAAGCAGCAGCAGGCGGACCAGAAGAAAGCCAAGTTCCACGACCCGGCCGGTGATCATCTGACTTTGCTCAACGTGTATAATGCTTGGAAGAACTCGGGCTTCTCAAACCCTTGGTGCTTCGAGAACTTCATCCAGGCTAGGGCAATGCGCCATGCTCTCGAGGTTCGTAAACAAATCGTGCAGATCATGGGTCGCCATCGTCATCAACTCAGTTCCTGTGGTCGTGACACGACCAAGGTGCGCCGAGCGCTTTGTGCAGGATTCTTCAGGAACTCGGCCAGAAAGGATCCCCAAGAAGGATATAAGACGCTCATCGAGGGTACTCCGGTCTACCTTCATCCATCATCTGCCTTATTTGGCAAGCAAGCCGAGTGGGTCATTTATCACACGCTTGTCATGACCAGCAAAGAGTACATGACGCAAACCACGACTATTGAGCCTAAGTGGCTGGTAGAGGCGGCACCGACGTTCTTCAAGGTCGCACCTACCGATCGCCTGAGCAAGAGGAAGAAGGCCGAACGGATCCAACCACTGTACAACAAGTTTGCTGGCGAAGACGATTGGAGACTCAGTGCCCAAAGAAAAGGAGGCAGAGGTGGCGGCGGCGGTGGCACTTGGGGATAAGTGGAATGTATTTTAGTGTTTTGCATTTGCGGCGCCCAATCTAGCGATACAAGAATTCACGAAAGTTGCGTATATCTGAACACCAACTGTTGTAACTGCAACACCCCACCTGGTCCAACTTTACCTTACTGGCTTTTTATTGGAATTCACCTACCACCTTTGGTGGTTTCGAGACTATTCCGCATTATGCTAGTGAAAGCCTGTTCGCAATTAATCGAACTCTGAACGTAACTATTCTCGTAACTTGATCTCCTATTCATAAAAGACAAAACACGACCATCGACTGGCCATGTGGGCAGGGGTATAGGAATATCTACAAAGGAAGCGCTGGGTAGTACTAAGACATAACGGCAAAGAAAATATGGGCAACAAGAAACTGTGTCTGGGGGGGTGTGTTCATCCATCGTATGCCTCTGATATCGGAGTCGAGGTCAAAACATGTGCAAGGAAAAGGGGGTATCCGTGTCATTTTCCAGTCCAATTCCGGCTCCCAAATATCCAAACGCCGTTTCCCAAGTCCCAATCATTTTACTCAATATCGGCGTCGAACCCGGCAAGGTCAAATCTGTGTGACCGAGGCACGTCCCTGCCCTTGCCCTTGCCACCATCGCTGCGCGGCCGGATTGTGGAGCTGCCACTCGCGCCACTCAGGCGCTTCCTCATCATCTCCTCCTTCCGCAACCTCATGGCGGTGGTGAGATCGACTTTCTCAAGTTCCTTTTCTTCTTCTATGACTTGTTCGCTGCTGGCGTATCTGTATGGGCGGTATGACTGCTGCTTGGGATGTCTGCTCATCGGGATGTCGAAGCTCATTTCGTCGTCGCTGTCGTCCTCTTGCAGCATGTGTAGCGGATCTTCTGCCTCACTGGAGTCAGAGTCCCCAAAATGGTACGCTGGCTTGTGGTGTCGTGGCGCGTGAGGCTGGGTATCTTGCTTGGACGCGGCAAGCAAGGCCCTGTATTTTTCCATCAAGAAATCATCCTGGTCGTGAACTTCCTTTGCCCTAAACGGTCTTTGAGGGGCGAATCTTGGTGGGGATGCAGGAACGTAACGTGGAGCGCCACTATCAATCGACCCATTGAGACCTGGCAGGCCAAAACCACTAAAGGCAAACCCGAGATCCTTGAAGAGCAGGTGCTCTTCCCCTTCGCCACGTGGATTCCGTGGTGACGCAGAATCATCGTCCGATGAGAGATTGCCGTCAGGGTTGAATGTTGTTGATGGCTGTGCTTTATGCGAATGCTTCGGTGGCGACGGCATTGACCAGATCGACGCCGGAGGCTGGAGACGATTATCTCGTGAGGAGGTTCGGTGGGATATGGCACTCAGAGAGTCATGACTGAAATTAGCTTTCCTGGGGAATGGTGACAGATCAATGGACGTGTTGGCGGTGTGTCGCGACTGTGGACGGAACGGATTTGAACTCAGACTTGTTGCAGACGTCGAGTCTATGGACCAATGGCGCATGCTGCTCGTACGATCCGGGATTTCATCAGGACCGACCCGCGTGAGAGGGCTTCGCGTGCGTGGAATATCATCTACTGCAAGTCGACTGCGACCCAGTGAACGCTTGGACTTCTTTGGCGACGTCGTGCTGAATGCAATCATCTGAAATTCCGCTGTGGGCGATACATCTTCGCTACCCACTGTACTCCCACGATTCCGCCCAGGCTTGTGCGTCTCGAACGTCGGGCTTCGAGGCTTGATACGGTATGTGTCGTTGTCGGATACGGGCTGCAAATTTTGCAGGCTTAGACGCTTAGAAAGAGCGTGACTGGTATGAGATCCCGAAGCATGCGTCATGGTCCTTCGTCTTTCGGCTTTTGTTTCCTTGGATACTGGGTCCTGGCTTGGTACATAGGCATTGCTGAAGTCGTTGTCATGTACGCTCTCAGCTGTACCTGATACTGTTTTGACCTTAGCTTTCAGAGCTGCCGGAAATTCGGCCCTTTCATCTGCCTCGAGTTTCCTGCGCGATGAAGTCATGTAAGAAGGTAAAGATTTTCGCCACTCTGATTTCTTTGCAGCTGAAGCGAGTACACCATCATCGTCAGCCTTCTCAATACGTATTCTGCCCTTCTTTTCGACTTCTGTCGTCCGATGACTCGATCTTGGCCTTACAGCTGCTGTGTCTGACGTCAACGACTTTGATCGTAAACTTGACCCTAAAGAATGCCGCTTCTTGGATTTGCGGTCGGATTCGTTATTTGGCTCCTCTGGAGCTGTCGGAACATAAGAAGATGGTCTGCTATTGGCGCTCGCTGCGGCATAAAAGACGCGAGCATCTACTGAACGCAGGTTCAAGCCGTTCTCGCCGATGTTTCTATCTGCGACATCTTCGCCATAATCGCGAGCTCCCGTAGCTTGGATCCGCTGACGGAAATCTGTGGGGTTTATTCCCGCCTGGGCATCGAGAAGATCGACATACGCTGTAGCGGAGCCAGACCGACTACTATGAATTGATGTTGACCTCTCCCGAGCGAATAGAGGTAGAGGCTTGTCAAGAGCTGACGGGGCATCTGGTAGCCTGAACGGCGGGCGTGGTTTAGACTGCCGGGTGATCGGCTGAGGCTTCTTGTCCGGGAGTCTATATGGTGGCCTTGTTTTCGCAAAAGGCATAGAAGGTAGGGCAGGAATGGGATGTGCTTTCCAAGATCCCGATCTGCGACGATTTGCCCACGTCTGCCTATCCTCGGATGGCGCGGTACGTGGCCGGTCGATCTTCTCTACCCTACCTAACGATACAGTGGAGGCCGAGGAATGGGCACCAAATGATATGTTCGCAGCGTTCTTGAACTTTGGATGTGTCTTCTGTAGAGTTTCGATAATGTTGGGGCCATTGCCTGCTACCGGCGCATTTCCTAGGTCAAGTCAATTGATACAGTCCTGTTACATTGCTGGGACACAACTATACCTCGGGTGGGAGGCTGTGACGCCACAGTTGCCTTGTATGGTTGTGCTTTGAGGGTGTCGAGCCCTCCATCTACAGGTGCCGGCTGGTGTTTTCGAGAGAAGAATCCTAGTAAGCCCATCTTCATGCCCTGCTGATACCGTGGCCATGCGCACGCAGTCTTGAAGATTGAGTCCAATCGGTGAATTTGCGACGTCCCAATAGCTGGCTAATTATGGCGGGGATTCGACAAGGGCAGACTGATCGTTCAGCTGCTTGACGCCATACGATCGCGGGCGGCGCAGACTCACAGAGCCTGTCGACGGAGTAAAGTCCAACTCCGGATACGAGACCAATACACAGAGGCTGGCTTCCTATGAGACAAGTCTCGAGATTGCTCTGAAAAGACGAGAATAAGGACGAAAAGTACGACAAGGGAGGCGACGGAACTTTGTTTGGAAGTTTCTCAGACTGATCGGCTGGCTGGAGTGCGTAACATTTAGTATTGGCCGGCGCACCGAACTAGACATAGAGGTTACATGATCCTGGTACCTTGCGTCCCTGGCTGCATGGCCATGCGCCATGGACCCCTCCTCTGCGAGCTATCCGATTTCCTAGGCCGATTTCCAGGTTGCGTCTCCCTCCCCCTGCTTGCGATACATATTCACACGGGAATCTGCACGGTGTGACCAAGCGTGGGCATGTCGCGTTCGAGGGGGCAGGTTTAAGCCTTTGGAGAAACGGGGTAGACAAAGTATGTTTTGGTCGCCTTCAGGTCAACGAGCCCGGGCTACTTGAGCGTTTGAACTCGAGAGACACTAAGTTAACCTAGTAAGCTCTGACTCGGATGAAGAGCGTTGTGCCTTGCACGCTTGGACTGTAGGGAAATCAACGCGGGCGCCTCATTGGCAACGTATCCGTCTACTCTAGACCAACTAGTCTAAGTGGAAAGTGATAGGAGACATCGAATAGTGGAGAAATATCAGGGGATCAGGAGATCAGGGGATCTCCTTTCTATGTATTAACGCAACCTAGTAAGTGGCCCGCGGTCTTCTTCGCTCGTCCAGTTGCAAAGGAAGGTTTGCATGCCAGTACTCTGTACCGCAAGAGAAAATGCAATCCAAGACTTGAACAAATCCCTCGAAGCTTGTTCACAGAAGAAAATGTTGCCGAAGATCATGATAACAAGGGCATAGCGCCAAGATCTGTCAAAAAGAAGCAATTTAATATTCTCGAAGACGCAGCCATTTTAAATGGAACGGAGAGGATCCGAATCGGGGACACCATGTCGTTGAGCTATACCGCTTCAAGTACAGATTCGACAGTATTAGGGATCGTTTTCCTTTCCATCTCTACAACAGCTTAACCCTAGCATATTGCTTGACAACCCTGTCTTCCATATCTCCAATCTGTTCACTCGAATACCACCTCTCTCATGTTGCTGGGAATAGACGCGGGAGCCATGGAAGCCACTTTTCGAGAATTGTGCGTCTCGGAACAAAAACCATGGTAAAAAGACAAAATAAAAATAAAAGTAAATCCATTTTATTTTCGTGAAGAGCTCTTTCGTGAAATGATCCAGGCAGCACACTAATGACGAGTCTAAATCGCTACCAAACTTCTGGGAGCTAGCTCGAGGAGTACATAATAGTACTTGGCGTTGGAGATTGCTTAATGGCGCGCTCGCACTTCATCTGGTCTAGTCTAGATCGACCGTAGTCCAGTCTGGAGCTGTGGTAGATAGCCGAGTCCTAGTGATGATCTGTCGGGCCAAAATACACGGAAGAAGCTTGAAGATGTCGAAATATTGTGTTCACCATTACAACATAGTTTGCATGCGCGCGGCAAGTATTGACGTCCACAAACGTTGGTGTCGACTCTGGGGGACAATCTGTGCTCTGCAGTCTTCAGCCTCACAGTAAGAAAAGGTGACGTGTGTGTGTGTGAGGGCTGCGGCCGGAGTTAGGAAAGCAATGTAGCTGCGATTTCCCTTGCCCTTGCATGCAGGGCTCGAACGTGTTTGTTTGCATCGAAGAAACATGCTCCTCGGCCAGTGGATGGATGGAAAGATACTTGCCCCAGGTACTACTGGGGCAGTGGCCTGAGCATACTCATCAAAGTGCATGATTCGAGATAGTGCCATGAAATGACAGCCTATGGTGTGCAAACGTGATTTGCAACAACTACGTGGAAATAACGGCGATACTACTAGAAAACTGTGCAAATGTCTCGAATGGTGTGCAACGAATTCAGCTCGAGTCAAAGGTCCACGAAATGTTGACCAAGAAACGTTTGCAACGTGAACCCCAGAAGGTCCACGTAGGAAATTATAGCACGAAACATTTTAGCTTTCCAAGATTTAGTTTAGTCTGGTACCGTAGATCACTCGGCCATCAACCGTGGAATTCCCCGATGTTAACAATTGTATGTATACATTTTATCACCGACCTTCCAAATTTCGAAATTCCGTATCAGTAGTTTGACATTCAATAGTACGCAAACGATTTGTGAAATCGACACTCTTTGATAGACGCGGCTTGACGCCGAAGCAAATTTCGGATGGCGTGAATAGTGTCAGACGTTGATTGGACGCCAAACAATCACTGCACTGGCGGTTCTAAACGCACAGCAAGTAGCCAGCCGCGTCATGGCAACACGAGCTATCACAGCATCTGACCACGACATCAGCTACAAATCGCTTGCATTTTGCCACCACTTAATAACGATACGCCGTATACAGGTTGCTGTAGGGTATTGCTGCCAACTCGAACCAGCCGTCAAAGCTTTGCCATGCAGACCAGGTTAGCTCTTGCTTGGCTTCACCTGAAAAGGTCCAGCTTTGCTACGCTTCCGCTATGACGGCGGGATGTGAACACCCACCGCCAGATAAAGCTTGCCGCTTTTGGGTTGGGAATCGGATGATTGATGAGATTAGGGTCCTCATAATGGGCCGCGAGACCTGAATAAGTAATTAGTGCTATGCGGGTCTGGGATGCAGGACATACACGCTCCCAGTGAGGGAGGGTCCGCGGTGTCGTTTGGTTTGGACGACCTCAAGCATCTCTTCTCGTGGGAGCCACTACCATGAAGAGAATGCGACAATCCCAAAGTCATCCGAGTTAGTGCCTCAAAATCGTGACTTCTCCGATCTTGATATTTAAATAAATAATATTTACGTCGCGATTTCCTATATAACCACTTACACTGTCACAGCCGTCCGACAATTGACATTGCCGGTCGTACCTGATAAAATGGCCGAATATTGGCTTGAGATTTCTGCAATAAAATTTGCCAATTCTACTATCGAAGTGGAAAGAACAGTAATTGTGTAGGTTGTCCTGGTATTGGAGTACCATAGGTCGTCATCATTCATAAATCACCATTGCTACGAAGGCGCCCTTGAGATTCGCCCTCCAATAAGTGCCGCCGCGTAAAACTCCCTTCATCATATTGAGTGCATCCCTTACCTAGTATCCTTCCCATATCCCATCCGCTATATGCCTATACAAACCCGCAGCAATATCCCAAAATTTAGACTGTGGAACGCAAATCCAAGGATTACCAAATCCGGAGAGTCGCCGAAAGACACACAGGCAACAATGCCAGCACCGGCAACATCCGCCCCGGTCTCGACGCCTTGCGACTGGGAGGGTGATCCCTTGGAGCCTGAGCTGGACGATCTAGCATATCAGCATGCCCCAAGAGATCCAGTTCGACCTGGAGATCACTGTGATTGGAATGATGACTCTGTGGTGCCGGAGCTCGATGACCTCGCATATCAGCATGTACCCAAGCCGAAACCTTCAGTCCCTGAGATCAAGGCGCCAGCATCCACCCCCTTCGAGCCGCCAGCTGCGTTGGAGGGTTAGTTAGATCATGACACTCACCCCACATATCTAATGAAGCTGACCCTCATTAGAAGCAGTGCCTATGACTGTGCCCGATTTTCCTGTGGTGGTCTCTCCTGAATCAGTGCCAACACAGGAGCCGGAAGACCACCACCTGGCGCCTCTCATTGATTCACACCCACCGCCTGTTCAGCCAACAACGCCGCCTCCACAACTCAAAGCCATACATCCTGTACCTGAAGTGCTTTCCAGGAATCAACTAGAGAAACAGCTTAAGGAGGCGAAGCGTAAGGCCAGAGAATTGAAGAAGAGAGCCAAGAAAGAGCTCAGAGAAAAGCACAGGGCTGAGCGAAGGACCGAACGCAAGATTCGGCACGAACAAAAACAAAAGGCTCGTGAGAAGAGAAGGCGAGAAAGGCAGAATTCCAGGGGCGATGGTCCTGTAGTGGTCACTTCTGCAGCGGCACCACTTCAAGAAGTCGAGGCGGGCCCTTCGCAACCACCACCTCGACCAAGAGATGAGTCCACTGAGGAAGCCGAATCGAAGTTCCCAAGTGGCTGGCAAGGCTTACCTACTCTCAATGACCTGAAAATTGGGTTCCGAAACTTATTACCTAAGCATGCTTCCGTCTCGGAAACCAAAGGGGGCTCGATGGCTGAGGACCAACTTTGTGAGACTCATCAATTGCGAAAAGACGTCCAGGACTTGAACAAGCGCTTGAACGAGGACCTGAAGGAAAATCGGCATCATAGCAATCAAGGTAAGCTAAGCTATACTAGTCGCCAAAGATGAGAACGAGAAGCATCATCGTCACTAGAATGCTGTAGCTGACTAGGAGAGTCAAGGTACTGATGGCGCTGCGGATCCACGTCATATTTCTGACGATGGCCGATCTGCACCTGGTTATTCGAAAAAGATGTCAGTTCTCAATCTTGAAAACACCGCCACTTTTACTTACTAGATCAAAGCACACCCAGTAGCAAAATTTCCAAGACCTCTACTCAGGACCAAGTAGCCCAACAGGATGTTCATCCCGACTTGACGACACGCACTTGTGAATGTTGCCATGCTGGTAACGTGTAAGATAATCAAATGAATGCCCGAGGGGTTTTAATCTCTATTTTTTAACAGCTGTCAGCATACTGACTAGCTTGTCACAGACGTCGCAGCAAATCACCTCTGATTGACCATGACAATCGATCTAATAGCATAATGATCGATGTCAAGAAGGGACAGCCTGGCAGACTGAAGCGCGCAAGCTGTCTTTGTAGCGTCATGCCACCAGTGCCTTCAGAGTAAAACCCGCCAACTTTGGGCGGATTACCCAAGGGTCTAGAACTGTGATGGTCTTCTCATAACCCACACCAGCGAAAGTCCTTGATATTTTGTTCACCACAGATTGTCGAACTAATGTCTTGGACTAAGTAGGAAATTATAGTCTGGTGCTAGTCAATCAGGACAGTATGAGGTTTCAATGACAACGCGGGCTCATTAAACACATCGCTACCCATATTTCGTTGTGATGCGTGTGTGATACGAGCCATGTATCACTCTATTTTCATGTGCAAGCCATCGAAAGTATGCCAGAAGAATAGTGTAGTCTACAAGCATTCTTGAGGGCCCAAAACCAAGCAGCAAGTGAAACCTCTAATTTAATTAAACTAAACCTTACCTCTCTACCAATGCTTCTCAAGTGATGAGCGCAGCGGCATTTCAGAGCAAACCATATATACAGAACCTTACACCAGCGTGTAACTTCGAACATCTACTGGTGCGAATGTGACCGCCCACCTGATCCTACATTGTTCCCCTGGAGTTCCATTTGTAATGGTTACCAGAGCCTAGTGACTCTCGCAGTTATTCCCCTCTTATATCTGTCAAGCCCTCTAACCTTAGTAAGTAGTTATACCTCCCGTGAACTTTTGTGCCTCACAATGCTGAAATACGCCCTCCTCCCCCATGCGGAACTTGTTGATTATGGATGATTAGAGTTGTGATTATGAAGGAGTTTGTCAAGAGGTTCGTTAGCTTCTCCATTTTATAAAACCTCACTATTCGTACAATCCCACATCGGTTAATCGATATTATACACAAACGACGTGTAACAAGTGGAGCCAAGTCGCAACGTCAGAAAGCCTCATCTTCTTGTGCGTTGTCTTTTTGCGCAGGTAAGTTTTCATGACTTTCGCATTGAATGGTCCCATCCGTAACAGGACCAACTCAAAACAGAGATAGATATGCTACCTGAAGTGCATATCCAAATCCACTCATACATTCAGTTCAGTTTAAACTTCGGGCTGCCCCTTCCTCTTTCTTTCCGCCTACTCGCAGCATCCTTTCTACAAAGGACCATCCTCCTTATCCAATTAGGCAGGTCCTCTGGGTCTCCCCCTTCCGTCGGCCGCGAAGCTTGGATATTCATCGCTGGGAACGCCCGAGCTTTCCATGATCGAGAGCCTAGTGTCGTTCGCTGCAGGAGCCTGCGACGATATGCTTGTTTTCCCGTCCCGGCTATGGGCTTGTGCGATTCCTCGCGCTCAGGTCCTGTGGTTTCGGCGACGCCTGGGCGCTTTGCTCTCATCACTACCAGTTCTTTGAAGCTCACGTGAATTAGGGCCGGGCTTCTGTTTGAGAGGCTCCTCTACTTTGCGCGTATCGAGCTTCTTGCCGCCTACGGATTTCTCGAGATCTCGCAGCAATCTCCTCTGCGTGAGGTCCCAGCTAGGAACACGACCTTGTTCGATCGAGGGCACATCGTGGTTCTCAGGCTCGGCGCTTTGCGTGTAGACCTGAGGCCGTGCGGTGAGGCGAGGTTGCTTCACAGACTTTGAGAAGTCTCGCAGTTCCCAGCCGTTCGTGGTTTTGCTCTCTACGAACGATATATCCATTGCTCTCGCTAGCTCATATGCCCAACTCACCGCAAAGCCATAGTTGTCCATACCCAGTGGCGCGAATGATACGTTGGTTTCATACGTACGCGTGTACCACTGCGAGCCCTTGGTCACCGCGTCCCCAAGGTCACCTACTGGCTTCAAGGCCACGAATCGTCTGTTGTGGATGCTTTCCAGGGGCGCGAGTTCGTGTACCGATGCAAGTTCACCAGCGACAGTTGTGGCCACTTCATCACCAGAGTCCTGCGCAACCGCATCCTCTTGTTGGATATGCTTGGCGGACACAGTTTCCTGTGGCTCTGCTATGTTGATGGTGACGCCATAAGTAGACGCGCCGTCCTTGGTTCCGGGCCAGATCGCTGCGATTTGAGCCCCGGAGCTAACTATCAAGGACGTGAAGTCCCTCCCCACGGACGTAGCTATCCCGAACTCTCGTCTGAGCATGGCGCTGGTCGTGTGTGCGAGCAACGCAACGAGCTCTTGTCCAACTGGTGCGCTACCTGTCGCTCCTAGGGTATGCATATCTATGACTGGCCACAGTACCAGACGACCAGGTCCATGGTACGGGGCATGAGGTCAAGCAGCGGCTCCAACAAATCTGGTTTATACGTATGGTCGAAGGGATCTCCCGGAACAGCCGCAGTGGCTTGTGGCTGATCCCCCTCATCCCCGCTCGACACGTGGAAGTTGGAGACAGGCGCTGGGTAATCCTCCGAGCGTGGCCATATGAGCCTGATGGACTCGAGCGCGGCTGCGGTGGACTTCCTGGTCCTGATGCTCGTGTTCTCTATGAAGTAGGCTGGAGCGGAGGTGAAGGAAAGGACAGTAGGTGGCGGACAGGCAAGGCATGCCTTGCCGCCACGAGAACGGCGCAACTTGGGTCTTCCATGTCGGATCTGCGACCTGAGCAATCTGTCGACACGTTTGACTAGGTCGAAAGGCGGGTAATGGGGTGCTGAATCAGGAATATGAATGTGCCTGAGCCGGTACAATCGATTGGCCATGCTGCTGCGGAAGACTATACAATCCAATCCCGACAGTTGCCTTTTTGCTCTGGCGAGTCCATGTTGACGACATGTAAATGTGGGGCCGCGGTTGGGCTTTAACGTCACTGACTTGATCCCTATAAATAGTCTAGAGTCAGGGGTACTGTATGTACTGACGAAGCGGATCCTGCTGCTAGTACCCGTATTATGAACAAAGCTCACAGTCAAGGTGCTTCGTACATGTCTGCTGCTGGACAGCAGCTAACGGCATTGAGGATATTCTTTCATTTGCATCTCCTGCAGATCCTACGCATGAGTCTCGCGTGTTTGCTCGCAAATCACTCTACTGTAGAATGAGTGAGGTCAGTCCATGTCATACAAATGGGTATCCGATGCTTGCAATAATTCAATCAAGTGAGCCCGCCAACGCCACGCAGCTAAAACGCATATCGGCGCCTTCGCGCTCCAAGAACTTCAGCGGTCCCCAAAGCAGTGCTTTCTCCGAGAGCACATCCTCATCCTCGTCCAGCTTGCCTCTCGCGATGGGGCCCTTCCTCCTGCCATCCAACTCCCACAGTGTGCCGTCGTCCGTCTTGACAAAGCAGACATAGTGTAGGTCGACATCATCTTGTGCATCGGGAGCAGCGGTGTCGCCTTGACTGGCAGCCTCCTGGTGAGCAGTCGCGAGAGAGGAGCTTCCCTCCACAAGCCTTGAGCGCTCGGCGGGGCCAAGCGGGATGGCGTCCTTGACCAGCTTTTCGAGATCGGAACCGGACTCTGTTCAATTCGTCCGCACGTCAGCAATCCATATCACAGCACAGCATAGCATAGCATAGGGCCACGACAGGCGCTCCATGGCCGCACTTACCGATATATCCTCGAGCCGGACCGTTGCTGACGGCGTGGAGCAGCCCCATCATGCCGCAAGCATTCCTTATGGTCTGCTTGAACCACACTACGGGCTCGTCAGGGCCCTTGCCAGTGTAGTTGGGCAGCGGGGCGTCTTCGGCCATGCGCTGAGATTCGTAGACTGCCGAGACAGGAAACACCATGAGCAGCGCGAGCGCGGGACGTGGGATGAAAGCCAGCAGCTCCGGCTCGGAGATGGAGTAGACGTCGTGCACCTGCAGTGCCTGGCTCAGTCCCAACTTATGGAGAAGGGTCGTCATGAGTTCGGGGTTGGCTTCAAGTGGAATGAAAGCTGGCGAACTGCCCGCTGGGGGGTCGGGGTGTGTCTGTGTTGCCGCCATGACTTGTGAATGCGCCAGGACTGTTGGAAATGAGTGATATATATGGCCACCGAGGACGAGACGAAAAGAGAGGCTGTATGCAGAGAATCCAAAACTGTCGCAAAGCAAAGTAAAGTGTTTGGGTGAGGGATGCAGACCCGATCCCCGATCCTGCCCCTCCATCACAGCAGCTTGGGTTAGGCCTGCTAACTTATGACGCAGCGCGGCTCGCTGAGGTCCAACCCCGCGACCGCGACCGCGCCTTCATGGTGGGGTGTATACACCTGCATAAGTTCTGACCTGCTGAGCGCTGGATACCAAAATACATAGTTATCATAAACTTTGAGCCAAAACGAGTAAAGCAGCACAAGATTTAACGAAAATGAGTTTGCACTGGAATCACTTTCTAGTCCAATGACTTTTAAGCATACTTTACATTTCATCAATGGGCCTTCACTGTACATTTAGACTTGACCTTTGGGCATTCCTGTATGCGCGCTACTTGCAATCGTTCTGTCAAAAGTCCTCAGAATTGGAACTACTTAACCTTAGTCTAGTAGCCATTACCCATGGGAAAGTGCTACAGGTTGAGCGTGAGCAGATGTCATAATGTTGTATCAAAATGTAAGTATGTTACAACAAGTTGGCAGAACATGCATTCTCGTATTTGGACATGTAAAGTTAGCGACATAGCGGTTTACCCACATCGTCGTGTAAGTTCGTTGAAACTGGGGTCTATTCCTCTCGCAACTGTCCTTTCCATGAAGACATTGACTGTTCGGCGACCGCACGCGCAATTCTTGGCGTAGCGGCTACTAATGGAGCTCATATCATGATGAAGCGTACCGACAATCATCGTGACGCATGTGTGGTTTGAATCTCATGGGTGCCGTATGGTCTGGCTATGTTGACAAGTTCGTCCTCTCCTGTGTCTGAAAAACATTCCCGGCCTCTATAGACCTTGAAGAGGATGGCATCAGGACAAAATTGTAACAAAACATTGCATAGTGACGCTGTGAAGCCATGTCGACATGGGTATTGCAGGTCAAGTCGAATTCCTGGCGTCGAGGAGGTCGTACTTGGACGTCACCTTATTACATGCAGTAAACTCCCTCATTGGGCGTTCATGGATGTCTTCAGTCGGGCGAGGCTGATTCAAGCAAGAACAATCATGCTCCATGCATACCAAGGTCTGAGGTGCTAGTTGCTTGTCATGAAACATCAGTAAGCCAGACATAGTGCTCACAATGATACGCGACTGAAGACTGTTAACAATGTACTTGTAATTCTGAAGTGCCAATCCAGCTTAATTGAGCCCTAAAAAACATGAGCGCATATTATAATCTTCTTCTTCTTCTCTAAGTATGCAGGTGAACCCTGTTCCATACCAAGTACCTGTGCCTCTAAAGGTACAATATATTCCTGACACCATGCTCTTTCCCAAGCTCCCGTATGAGCCTCTATAAAACAAAACATAACACTAAACACGCCACCAATAATTACACAGCCTTTATGATCTTGGCTCGCCTTCTCATCAATTCTGCCCCCGCTCCCTGAGAGTGTGTGACCTCGTCTCCTCCAACTCCTTGCGCATGACCTCATTGAAATCGTCTGGATTATCTAGGTAGAGATGATGGCCGGCTTTCTGGATGATGACCACTTTCGCAGAGCCGTTCTCTCTCCTTTTCTCTTCTTCTGTAGCATCACGTAGCGCCTGAGCCTTAACCTGCTTGAGCTTCTCCTCTGAGGCCAGGCCGCCGGCAACATCCATCCAGTCGTTCTCGCCGTACATGAAGACAATAGGGTATCCGGTCTCCTTCACTGCCGGCTCAGAATCGGTGGCAGGTGTGATGACCTGGCGACCGACGTTTTGGATCCGGTTGATGACCGGTCTGCGAGCGAAGGCACCAGGTGCGAGGAGGTAGGGCAGCACGTATTCGCCGCTGCCCCTTTGACGGAATAAGCTGTAGGCATATTCGTGCAAAGTCTTTGCTTCTTCCGACGGCAGGTGGTTGAAGCGACGGGTTGTCCAGCCCGAGACAAACCTGGGACCAAAGGGACCTGTCAGACGCACGATACTAAACGGTGACACATTGGCGTCCCAGAGCCAGACAAGCCAGCCGGGATACGGTCGCTTCTTCGGTTGGTTAGCACCGGCCTTTTCTGTTTTGCTCTTTGCACCCGAGAGTTTGTTGTTGTCTGTGTGCATGGTAGTCTCTTGCTGGTCTTGGGTGAACTCGTCCTGAAACGATGACTCAGGTGGCTCTGGCATGTCGGCATTTACGGCATATGGGTCCTCTGGAATACCAACAGGAGACGCCAGAATGAGCTTGTTGAGACGACCTGGGTACTTCAGAGCATACGAAACGGCCAGGTAGCCGCCTAGCGAGTGGCCGAGAAGAGTGAACTTCTCGAGCTTCCGGATCTTCCGCCATTCCTCGAGCGCATCGACAAACCAGCTTTCGGCTTCCGTGATCTTGCCCTCTGGGTCTTTGGCGTGTATCTTGAAAGGCGGTCGCTCCGAGTTGCCCATACCTAGCATGTCGAGTGCGTACAGCTTCCAGCCCTTGTTCCGCGTCAGGTTTTCAAAATTCTTGTAGTAAAAACCGAGGCCTGCTCCATAGCCATGTAGCATAACCAGATTGTCGTCTACCTCTTCACCCACTCTTTCAACCGAGAACTCGTTCAGGCCTCGGTTCTTACCGGACAGTTTGACCATCTGCGACCTCCACACTCTGGGCCCATAAGGATCAATGTCGGAAGACGTTGTTGTGGCTCCAGGGTGGTCGGCGGAGGGCACGTCTGCTAGCGGCGCGGTAGACCGGGCCACAGCTTCTTTAAGGTATGGAATATGTGCAATAACATTCCGTTCTGCTGCTGACGGTGTCACGCTTGTCCACTGCAAGCAGGTTAGTATGCCGCATTCCAGATTGTCGTGTTGCAATGTTTGCGAACCCATTGATATACGGCATCCTTGTAGCCGAGAGGAAAGAAAGGTGCCATCCTATTGGCGCGCTGCGGTGGTTGTTCTGAATCCGACGGCGATTGTTCTGTGGCTGCTCTTCTGCGAGCCAGCATGGACTGACCGCCAGTGGGTGCGGCCGAGGCGACGGCTTCGGTGGACATGTTAGCTGTCTGGGAGCTCGATGACGTGTCCGTTTGTATTTTGTGGACTGCTGAGACGAGTTTCCTCGACTGGACTACGGCGGACGTGGAAGGAGTTTTGATCATACCGAAGGGAGTGGGTGGCAAGTAGGCGGCGGGCAGCCTACTTATTGACAAAGCCACATACAACGCGGGTATGGAGGATCAAAGTAAACGTAAATGTAAGCAAAGCTTTGTGGACACCGCAAGATCCTTGTGATATGTCCGATGCCCGATCAGTACCAAGTACTGTGGTACAGATGAGTACTATGAGAGGGTAGAGCAGGCCGGAAATGGACAGAAAAGGCAAAAGTCCTGCGTGCTGTAGGTAGGCGCATGCGAACGCGCTCGCTTTCGCATTGGACCGTTGTCTACTTCAAGTGTAGTGCATCATCGACGTGGAACGTTGGGGTCAAGTTACGGGACCCGCGGACTTAAGGCCTCCCGGAGTTTTGTTACACCCGTAATAATCCGTAGTCGGGCCTTGCATCTACCCGCATCAATGGATTGTGGGAAAGCTCCCGGAATCTTGTCATGAACGATCCACAGTACGCAGTCAAGTGGCGCATGTACATGTTCACATGCGCTGGTGGCAGTTGAAACTTCGCTAGATTCTGGATAACGAATGACACAACCACGAAAATATCGCACGCCTGTAACCGCAAGGTCATACTTGACTGGGTCTATCGATATAGCTTGATTCCCAAGGCTCCTCTACTCGATCTTATGAATAAGTACACATGCCCCATCCGCGCTTCTGCCTGTTAAGCACCTTCATCGTCCCGCAGTTTTGAGAAAAACCTGGACAGGCGGTATATTGGGATTGGCCTAGTCTAGCAGCTACTATATCTCATCTGCTAGTGCGCCAATTCTTGTGTCCACCCACCTGCTAGAGTAACTACCGCACAAAAAGAAAATGTTGCAATCGGTTCGAACTAGATAGCAGTAGCATGCTTGCTAGTCTCGCTCTCCTCGATATCCTCTGGCTTGCAGTCACAGCCGAATGTCCTCTTGTACTCGTCGACATGCATATCCTTGAGAAGGTTCATACACCGATTTGCTGCCGCAATCTTCGCATAGCGTCCACTGGCCGACATGGCGTGGGCACGCACAGCACCATGTATCATGACGACACCGACGACCTGGGTCTCGGTTATGGAGCCTTCGGCCGGCATCTCACTGGCCATGACGCGCCAGTTGGCACAGCTGTAGGTGAGATGCAACATATTGCTCAGGAACGTCACGGGATGCTTGTTGGCGAATGTGTCGTAGAGATGCATGTCCTCGAAGTACGGCTTGATGTAAGCGTCAAAGAACTTCTGCACTCGGCCGTAGTCGTACTTTGAGTCGACAAAGATGGCACCGATGCAGGCCTCGACAACATCCGGGAGGCACTTTGGTGGCTCTATGACGGTGGTCCAGAAGCTGCGCGAGTAGCATGACCGCGAGAGATTTGCGAGCTCGGCCTCTTGCTCTGCTTCCTCGCGGGCCCTCGTAATTGCATCTACGTAGGTGGCGACTTGTTGAGGCATGTTGGCCGTCATGGACATCATGTGTCGGTGCAGGTCCAGGCACACACATAGACATCCTAGGAATTGGTTTGATACCATAGCCATCTTGTGCTCAGTGAGCCACTGCGGATCTGCGCCGGGGAAGCGATGGAAGAGATAGTCGACGCAGACCATATCCAGCAGAGCATCGCCAAGGAATTCGAGGCGCTGGTAACTTGGGATATGTTCGTACATGAACGTATATGACGAGTGAATGAAAGCGCAACGAAGCAAGCGTGGGTACTTGAACTTGTATCCCAGCTTTGATTCAATCTTCTTAGCAAGATCGATGTGGACTGCAGTAGGCTCAGCAGACTGCCATTCGGGAATCTTAAAGGCCGAATAGAAAGCATCGTAAGTCTTCATTGTATGATATTTGTTCTCCAGCCTGCAGTTGGCGAAAATCGTCACGGCTTTCACAGCCATGTCTAAGCTGTTATTCTTCTCCAAGCCGGTAAGGTAAGCTGCACCGATAAGTGCCTCACAGACATCTGCAATAGACTTATCGCCGAGCACATGGATACTTCTGCCAGCTCCTTTCTTGCCCTTCAGTTGCTCTAAGCCGTCTGGATACCAGACCCGGCGATTAAACGACTTTGATCGTATCGATTCTTCAAGCTTGAGCTCTAAAGCATTGTTGAACAGGTTCTTATTACAAATAAGTACCATGCGATCAACATGATGATGGAACTCGTTGCCCTCTGGAGCTCTAGTATAGAGTGCAATCGAGGTACTCATTTTCAGGAAGGCATCACCTAAGAACTCGAGACGCTCATAGTTGTTGCCCATGCCGTTTTGGAAGTTGACTTGTTCAGCTGTGTGCTCGTCCGTATTATCGCTGTCCTTGGTCATGGCCTCAAGAGCTAAGTCAGGCCGTATGTCAAGGCCCAGTCCGTGGACGGCTTCCAGAACGATTAGGTTAGATTCCAAACGATAGATGATGGCGGGTAGATTGTAAGCCATGGCCACCACGTCAACTGGTAACTGAGGAATAAATCAGAAAAGGTTCACGGACAATGTGGTTAGTAGACGACTTACAGCAGATATTTTGAGGGTTGCGAAACATATGTAGCAGTGATTGCTCTCATTGTCGGACTTTTCAAACCCATCCAAAAGATTGCGACGAAGTGGAATATATTCGGCCTCGACAACTAGAAGGTCGTCGCGTACCTCAATTCGCGACCTCGACTTTGACCATAGGCTGACACTGTAATTCCAGATGTCTTTGGGGCTCTCGCGACGCGGTCGCGAATTTCCTATACCTTTAACATTGGGAAGCTGAGGATCGGTAGACTTCAGGTCTTCCCGTGGCCGGATGGTATAGAATTTACGTGAACCATCGTGCGGATCAGTTATGTATTTGTTCTCGAAGAACGACGGGGGCTGACCCTCCCAGTCCAAGTCGCCAACAGATTGAAGCATAGTGAGACACTCCCAGTCGATCATGGCAGAAATACCCTCATAGTAAGTGAAGGGGAAAGCATGGTCTTTGTTCAATGGAGCTAGGTAGTAAGGCAATCTCTCTGGCTCGGACTTGTATTCTTTGCTGAATACGTCCTTGAAGACCCGCAGAGTGAAGGTTGTCAGACCCTCCACTTGTGCTGGTGATACCGGAACCTCCACAGGTACAGGGAAGCAATCGACTATAGAAGACATATGATTCCTGAAGAAAATCGGGAACTTTGCCACATGGGGCAAAGGACTTCGAGTGAGCATAGCAAGTGGGCGTGAGGGTCTATCCAATGTCTCAGGGTCCTCGAGCTTCAGGATGGTGACATAAAGTCTGCTGTAATGTCCGCGAGCGTTCCAGATACTCGGCTTCACTCTCATGCTGTACTCGGCTCGCTTCTTCGAGCTTAACGCCAACTGCGCATTGCGCATCGCTGGAAGATGTTTCTTGCGAGCTGACTGTAGATATTCGTCAAGTTCATCAGCTTTTCTTAGTTTGAGACACATTTCATAAGCAGCAGAGCACTTGGCAACCTGCTTTGAGCTGGCACGACGACCGATGGCAGTCTTGACTGGCGAGTTGTCCGGCATAATAACTTCGCACTGAAACTCTTTGCTGACGCTCTTCACGATATAGTCAGCTTTCAGGCTAACATCCGCGTACTCTGCCAGAGATTCAACATATGTCGCAAGCACCACAAGACTCGATTCGTATGTTAACTTGGCTCCAGTACTCGGAACCTTATACACTCGCTTTGTCTTCTCCTTGCGCAGGAAGAAATGCATGTTAAAATCGTTGCCTTTGAGCAGGCGGTCTTCGGGCAGTGCCAGGCAGAAGTTGCGTAGGACCTCCTCCTTCTCTTGACTCTCAAATACTCTCTGGACATGTTCCGCGTTACCCATTTCAATCATGTGGAAGTACTTAGAATTTTTCATACGTGCGCGTCCTTTTGACTGTATATACTGGATCATGGTGTGGTAGAGATCGAATCTTATCACCATGTTGCAATCTGGAATATCGAGGCCTTCTTCGCCAATGGTTGTAGTGATGAGTATATTCAGGTCGCCGGTATGAAACTGTTGGATGGCACACTGCTGCTCGTGATTGGACATGGCCTGCGCTGCGCCGAGTTCTCCTATTCCAGAGCCTACCTATCGAAGGGTTAGTATGTTCACACTTGATCGCTCATAGATGCACTGACCAGAGTTCCTGCTGAGAAGCCGTAGGACTTTAGGGCTGATTGGCAGAACAGATCAGCCAGTATGACTGCTGTAAGTCGCTGCTCAACGAAGATAATGCACTTGTCGAAAGCCGGGATGAAGTGCTCTTTAAGTGTTTTCAGTAGTGCCTGAACCTTTGGAGACAAATGACTACCAGACTCCTCAACCTCAGTGAACTGATGCTCTTGCAGTACCTCGTTCGCATCTTCAATAAGTGAGGTTTGGGTATCAATTGTCGAAATGAGAATTTCGGATCGAGTTTTCATCAGAGTCATTTCCGTCTTGGCTCTCGCCTTCGCCAGCTCGTTCGGCGTCAGAGAGATTTGCCAAACCCTATCAGCACACCAGCGGCCAAGGTCTCTTGTGCATGCCCTGGTATATACCAATAGCTTTCGGAAGATGATATTACGACCCAAAAGATTGTTTAATTTCTGCCACAAAGGTGTCTCAATATTTTCACCAGGAAGCCAGTACTCAATAAGTTGATCCAGTGCGGCTCCATCTTTGCTTGAAACGGTCCTCATGAGCGCAGGATCATCGACTGTGGCAATTTCGGCATGCAGGAGTCCTTCTAGCTGAGCCGCACCTATGGCGAGATCAGTCTTAGCATCGACAGGTGAGGCCGTCATTCCAAGAATACGCGGTCGCCTCAGGTCGGAACTTTTTAGGTCGACGTAGAAGTCTTTGATGATCCTTGCATAAGGATGATTCTTCTTTGCATGATGTGCCTCGTCGAAGATTATGAGGTTGATTTGTTCCATACGGAAGTATCCATGAGAGAGGCACTGTCGTAGGATATCGGCCGTACAGACGACAACGTTATTCTCGTCAAACTGCTGCTTCCAGAATGATTGGTTGGCTGCTGGCCCAACCATGTCTCCATGGAATTTGGCAACATCATGGGCAAGATTGGCCTTCAATACTTTCCATTGCTGATGTACCAAAGAGATCTTGTCGACCAAAAAGAAGGCGATACGACGCTCGAGGTTCTTCTCCTTATTGGCTCGGTCAATCAGTTCCTGATCAATTACCCAACGTAACAAAAGAGCTGCAATAAGGGTCTTGCCAGTCCCTGTAGGCAATACAACGATCAGATTCTTCTCCTTGGCCCTTTCGAAAAGCTCAACTTGATATTCTCGAGGGCTGGATATGATCATTTTATCAGCAGGATGGCGGCTGGAGAGGATTCGTTCCACATCGGCGTCATCCCATGTAAAAGCCTTCCGCCCCCCAGGTGTGAGTCTAAGACTTCTTTCGTTCATTCGCTTCTGTTCCTGGCGAATCCAATGTGCGAGCTCATCATTGTCTGCAACTCGCCTGGCTGCGACCTTGTGAGTCTTGTTCTCTCCATCATCTCGAGGAAAAGCTTCACTGTCATGGTCAGAATCAAGCGCGTCCTCAAGCTTGGAAGCCGCATCTTCAGTCTTTGACTGATCGATGATTTCGGTAATCATGTCAGGTCGTGAAGATGTGAGCGAGTCCTCGCGAGACTCTCTTGAGGCTTTGTTATGGCTGAGCCAAAGTGTCGGCAATTGTTATCACTGAAAATGTGTGATATGTGGTAGTATTGTTGGCATTGAGTGATATCGCTGAATGGCAGAAATTTGATGGTCTTGGTTCAGGAAAGAGCTCAAGTAGAAACAGGATACAGGTTTCCAAGATGGAAACCGGGCACGCTTTCCTGCAGCGATGGTGAAATACTGAAATTGAAGGGCTTTTCCACAAGCATCGGCGATTGATTATTCGAGTTACTGTGGAATAAGCTATGAAGTATTTGACCATCCGGACGGGATATCACAAATATCAAGTACCTGACAGGGCGAGAATTACAAAGTGAACTTAATATCGGATTTGAATGAACCAGTGCCCACTTGTTGTCCAATAGATTACAAGCTCTGCCATGTAACAAACGCGGCGTGTTGCATCATCCAAAGCAAACACGAGTTTGCACGCCACGTCTACTTGATAGTCAGCTTTCGATTTTGCCAACAACCTACGTTACAGTTTTGTAAAGAAGAAGACAATCTGAGGGGTTATGATGTGGGATGTGGGAACGGAAATGCAGGTCATCAAGTCCATATCATCAAGACACCACCCAGTTTATGCTGCCAAAATAGCTGTCACAACTATTAGGTACCATGGTGTATGACGGCCCAAAAGTCCCTGCCCGATCCATGTGCTCCAAAACAATACGAGCGAATAGCTAGTGCTGTAAGCACGGGACATGGAACAGAACATCGGGTTGAATATCAGCAGATGATTGCGATGATTCATGTGGACATCCAAAAGGCAGGAACAAAGATAGCTTCATTCGAAGTGACTAGATATAGCCAAGAGATACGGGGTCTGTGCTTCCTGCAGGGACTCTTAGCGTACGGGCCCCAAGGCGAAGAAGGTCCAGAGCCCGAAAGCCTGAAGCCACATGAGCAGACAGCTCTAAGCTTAGTTAGCACTTTAGGTTGGGATCCGCTAATGTTAGGCAATGGAGGGGCAGTATTACAGCTTTTCATATGCTGTCGCATTGCCCCTCCTCGAGACAGGGTCACACTGGAATTACGCATGTGAACAGACAGAACAATTCTCGCCACAGACGAGGAACGTCTCTTTCATAAGTACTTCCGCAAAAAAGAGAAGAAAAAAAGAAAAGAAAAGGGAAAATCCAACAAGCATGGCAGAACCCAGGACATTAAAGACCGTCTTCCAGGGCGCCGAGAAACGGCAGGCCGCGCTGCAGGGCGCCTACGAGGCGAACTCGCCCACGTACAAGGAGGACCTGGAATTCGCGCTCAAGTCCTACGAGGAGTGCCGGGAGCTGATCGACAGCGTGTCGCTGTTCAGCGACAACGAGAGCCTGGAGGACATCAACACGGCGGACCTGCCCTACCTGCTCGTCAACTGCCGCACGGCGGACCTGCTGCAGAAGATCTCCGTCACCTCGCCCGTGGAGCGCAAGGAGGCCCTCAGGGTCACCCGCGACGCCTACGAGCGCTTCCTCTTCCTCCTGGACACGTACTCGATCCTGAGCTCGTCCGACGCGAAGCTCTTCGAGTCGTACATCGAGGACCCGGCCGCGTTCTCGACCATCCCCACCAGGGACCCCGGCGCGCGACGCAACGCCAAGATGGCCAACTTCAAGGAGGAGCAGGAGCTCAAGAAGAGGCTGCAGTACATGCGCAGCTCGCCGCGGTACCTGGAGGACGGGGGAGACGAAGAGGCCGTGAGGGAGCTCTACCTGGCGGAGCTCGCGCTGTGTACGCGGCAGGCCTTCCAGGGGCTCGAGCACCTCAACCTCGAGATGGAGATGCTGAACCTCGCGCCCACGCCGTTGATACCGTTCCGCACCACGGTGGAGGAAGACGAGAGGCGGCGCCGGTCGCCCGAGGGGACCGACCATTCGGAGCGCCTGGACCAGCCGCTGCGGAGGTTGCAGTCGGCCTTCAACGGCCCCGTTCTGAGCAGAACTGGCAAGCCGCTACGGCCCTTTACGCTCACCAACGAGCGCCAAGACATTCAAAAGGGGGTGTTCCGACCGGGTCACAATTTGCCGACCATGAGCATCGACGAGTATCTGGAGGAGGAGCGGCGGCGCGGCGGCATGATCGAGGGAGGTGGCGAGGCGAGTGGGCGCCCCAAGACCCCGGATGAGGATAACTACGAGAAGGGCGATGCGGAAACGATGAAGGCCCGCGAGTGGGACGAGTTTACGGAAGCAAACCCGAAGGGCGCTGGAAATACCTTGAACAGAGGTTAACGACATCACGACAGCGAAGAACGTACCAGTGCGGTACAATGTAATGTGTAATACTATGGACTCGCCCATCAGCAGAACCAAAGACAACAGGGAATATGAAAGACTGCAATTTCGTACTTTTGTTGAGATTGAGCTGTTTTATGGGATCTGGTGGGACCCTTTATGCTTCTATGTTATACAGGTTGGCGCTATGCTTTATACAGATCCTTCACTATGTACAGGTGGTTTGCGAGGATCATGTTCTTCGTAGGAAGAATATAGCAATGGTGCTCGCTATGGCGGCCCCCGCTGCCGTGCCTTCCAGGACTAATAGTGATACATCGCGCATTCGTATCGAAACCTCCTTCTCGCTCGTTAGGTCGGCCCATGTGTCTTTCCACCACGCCGTACTTGTGAGGACTTCTTGCCATGTTGACGACGGCTTGCCCTCTGCGGCGGCCGGGATGTCTTCCGCGATTACAGACACCTCGGTCGGTACCTCGCTCTTCACCTCGCCAGAATTTTTCTCCACCGCCGAGCCCATATTCTCTGCCGGTATCGCTTCTGCTACCGCTGCCGCTTGAGCAGATTCGTCCGGCACGGTAGCCGCGGCCGGGGAACCGTTTGCCGTTTGGCTCTGACCGAAGAACGCCCCCAGGACCTCGATCCTCTCGGCCTTCTCCTTCAGCCTCTCGCGCTCTAGCGCCTCCTGCACCTTCTCCTCGAAGCCCTTGACGAGCCTGGCCCGCCGCCACGGCTCCGCGCCGAACTGGAACATGAAGAAGAGCAGGATGTTGACGCCCATCAGGCCCCAAGTGCCCCAGGTGCTCATGCGCCGGATCTTGTCGCTCCAGATCTGCTCCTCGTGGTACCTCGCCAGGATTCCCGCGCTGAGCTCGCGGCTGAGCCGCTCCGCCTCGCGCTCCGCCTCCTCGAGTTCGGACGCGTGCCGGGCGACCGCGGCCTCGAGCTCGTAGTCGGTTCGGTAGAGGGCGGTGAACCGCTCAAAGTCGGCGGGGGTCCAGGATTTCTGGCGCGCAAGCAGGGTCGTGACTTCGCGCTGGCTCGAGGATCGCTCCGAGACGGAGACCTTGTAGGCGTTGCGGGACGAGTGCAGGTTCTCCTGGGCTTGCGTCAGGGCGGATTCGAGGTTGGAGATCTGGTTTTTAAGTGTCTCGATGCCAGAGTATCCGGTTAGGTCGTTGATGCGCTGTGATGCTTGGAAGAGCTGTGTCTGCATGCGATCCATGAAAGACGAGAAGGCGGCTGAGATCTCAGACCGCTGGGACTCGGAGTGCGATGGGAGTGAGGACGGGTCGGCAGTGGCATCTTGAGGATTGGAATCGGCAGGAGAGGGTTTCGTTGAGGTTTCGGGCGTTGAATCTGGTGGTGGGAGGTTTATCGTAGGCCCAGATTCGCTCCGGGAGGTTGATGATGTCGGTTCGGCTGGCCTCTCCTCGACCGGCCGCAAGTGATCAAAGTTTGGATGTTGATCAAGCTTCTCTTCGGGTCTCAGATGATCGAAATTCGGAGGTTCGGACGGTGGCTTGGCCGAGTAGAATCTGAGCTGCCGCCCAACGTAGACACTGCAGCTCGGGCATACTGGGGACTTTGCAGCTGAAGCCCGGAAAGCAGCGGCAGCAAGCCTCCTGGGGCTGGCCGAGGCCGTGTCATTGAAGCATTGCCCCCTGAGTAATCTTGAGCTCGCTCCTAGGATAGGCCGTAATATCCCAGAAGGTGGCATGGTGATTCCACTTGGAGCGGCGTCAATGGCAACGAGGGACGGGAATGGAATTGTTCTGCTATAAACTTGTGGCCGGGCGTCACCGTGCCGGGACTCGACAGTGACGGCCGAAGCGACGGGGCTTGAGAGCCTCACCGCTTGTCCTTGTAAGTCTAGTGCCGCCAAAGGGGGAAAAAGGATCCCTGGAACTGACCACGGGCAGAATTATATGCAGATCATCCTTCCCGCTTTGGAGGGGCAAAAAAGCACCGCAAAAGCACGGCAGAGCAGAGCAAAGCAAAGCGATGCCGCACCAAGGGCCGATTGTGGTGGGTTGATTGACTCTTGTCTTGCAGCTTTTGTGCCATGCAGCCATCCTCGTTGCGAGCATTTCTTGTCGCATATTGGACCCTTAATTATTTTGGGGCCGTGGCTGCGCGTCTGAAAATATATGTCGCAACCTCCGTCCCGGTGCCTCTTCTTGTTGACATGACATTAGTTGCATTTCTTCGCATAGACAAAACATACTGTAGAACTAGACTTTGTCCCTCAGGTGACGTCATTCCATAGAGTGCTACAGTGGTTAGAGAGAGCAAAAAGCTGAATTCTGCAACCAGGCATTCTCAAGTAACGGCCTTTGTCGCGTATCTATTTCTATTCATCCCCCAATCCCAGGAAAATACAGCGACACACGGCACAAGATGGGCTCCGTACCACCTACTTCGTCCTCGCTTCCGGCGCTTGCGACCAACCCCAAGGCCATCTTCTTCACCGACTTCGATGGCACCATCACGCTGCAGGACTCCAACGACTACATGACGGACAACCTGGGCTTCGGTGTCGAGCTGCGCCGCAAGGGCAACCACGACGTGCTCGAGGACCGCAAGACGTTCCGGGACTCCTTCCAGGAGATGCTAGACAGCGTCAAGACGCCCTTTGATGAGTGCATCAAGATCCTCTTGGCCAACATCCAGCTCGACCCCAAGTTCAAGGAGTTCTACAGCTGGTGCCGCGCCAACAACATCCCCGTCGTCGTCCTGAGCGGCGGCATGCAGCCCGTTATCCGCGCGCTGCTGGCCCATCTGGTCGGCGAGGAGGATGTCAAGGGCATGCAAATCGTGAGCAATGACGTCGCACCGAGGCCCGGCAAGAAGAGCATCAATGAGGAGGGCGGTTGGACGATTGTGTACCATGACGAGAGGTAAGTCCGTGCCCGCCAGAGTCCCATTGGGACATGTGGGGATGATATAACTAATTAATGGGCACGTTCAAGTGGTTTCGGACATGATAAGTCTCTAGAGATTCGACCTTATGCTGCACTCGAGAAGCGCCCCGTCATGTTCTACGCCGGTGACGGCGTCTCTGACTTGTCAGCGGCAAAGGAGACCGATCTGCTCTTTGCCAAGGCTGGTCGAGGTATGTATCTCGTGCCGAGTCCAACCAATTTGCCTATTGCTGATCACGTGTAGACCTTGTCCAGTACTGCATCAGAGAGAATGTGCCATACACAGAATTCCACGACTTTGGCGATATCCATAAGATCGTGAAGCGCGTTGTGGATGGTGAAATAACTGTTCAGGAGGCTGCCGTTAACCAAAAGGTTGTGGAGAAGCCTGTAGAAAAGGCTTGAAGCGCCGGGTCGTGGTTGCTTTTTTGTCCATGAACTAGACGATTATAGATGTGATAGATGAGAGCAATGCTGCCCGTATTCACTACAGGGTGGCCTTGAACAATTAGACTCGATGGGCCATGTATTGGCCCAGCTTGGGATCTCTTATTTTTTATATATATCTTGATTCCCTAAATCCCTAAATTCGATACCCGCGTCTCTCATGCATGAATCAAGGTCGCCCAGAAATGCGGCTGCCAACCGCCACTTTTATGCTATAGTACATAGGCCATCCAGTCCTCAACCTCGTTCTCATCAGGGGGACGAGGAAGGCAGCTTATAGGGAACCAGAATTCTTAACTATGGCCTTCCAACGCAGCTTCGACTTGCTACCTAGCACATCTGCTTGGATGCCACCCACTTGCGCCTGTCTTGACTTTGATGGACCTGCCCCTCATCAGGGAAGGTTTGACGCAACATGATCATATCGACGTCGGAGCCCTATCTCTCGACCATCCTTTACTGCGCATGTTGCTCTCAATGACCCTCCAGATTTGATCGACAACCTCACGATCTCGCCATCGGCTCTGATCGACGGCGGCAGCACTTGGATTGATATCCTTCCATCGTTCGACGCCGACAGCGGTAACTCTGTGACCCCAGGACTGTACCGTCTCTGGAAGCTTGTCAGACCGCCAGCCCACGTAGACACCAGGGATGCGCTTGAAGAGATCGTTGGGATTGTTCCATTGGTAGCTCTTAAACTGCCATTGCTGGCCGGTGGTGAAGACGGCCACAACGCGATTCCAGTACTCGGGCTTGAACCTCTCGGGGCTCTCGACAAGGATGAAACGAAAGGGTCTGTTGGGGTCGATGCCGGGTAGTGTGCGGTTGATGTGCAGCATGGTAGAGCCTTCGGCAGAGGCCAAGGGCGAATCAGCCGGCACAAATCTACCGCCTTCGAGGAAGGACTTGGCGTTGGTCATGCGCAGAAGGGACGAGGCAGAGGGCGATAGTAGAATTATGGGGTCGGGGCGTCTCTGCTTCTGGTTGTGTGTGAGAGGTTGAACGCTAGACACGTGGGTGGGAAAAGACTGCGAGGGCTTCTTGGACATGAAGGGAGCTGCTAGTTTTCGGACATGAGAAAAGTCCTGCGATGGACATGCTTGTTAGTATATGATTCGAAGCTTTGAAGGGCATGCTGGGGGGTAGGAGCTCACTGTAGGCTTGATCCCACGCAGACAGCTATTTCGGTCTCCCATCTTGCGCTCACTGTTGTAGATGATGGCCAGTCGCGGATCTAGAGAGCCCTTGCCAGACTTGCCCAGGGTGCCACCGATTGCTGGGGCAGCGGCTCCTTTCGAGGCCAATGCGGCGGCGGCATTGGAGGCTGCGCCATCTCTGTCGCCAGCCAAAGGCTTGATGTATTCACTCTCCTCACTGGACCCCTCGAGCCAGGCAATCAGCTCGACCCGTTCGAAGTATGCTGGTTTGTGGACCTTGCCGTCGACTAGTTCGTCGTCGAGTTGCGACACGGCGGCATTGTATTCTGGGATGGGAACCTCGCGCTTCAACCATAAGAAATAGATGCTGCGTAGGTCGACAGGCGTGTCGTTTGCGACGAAGCGCGTAGGTGTCGTTATGGGCAGTGATATGCGCGATGGTGTGGTGAATGTGAGATGTGTCGCCTTGGAGAGCTCTACCTCTGGGGCTGAGGCATCGTCGGACGCGGTCGGGATGATCTGGCTGTTGGACGCAATTGACTGCCGAAGAAGCAGTAGAGGGTCGAGATCTGATGTCGCCATGATTGTATTGCGTTGTGTAGTTCCTGTTTGATTCCAAAGACAAGAGACAAGCCAATGTGAGTCCCGCCGTCAAATTACCTCCGCAGCTCGCAAGTCCAGTATTTCTCTTGGGTAATGAAGGATGAAGGAATCGAATCAACGTTGGAATGAAGTTGTCCAGCCTCGCCTCGCGGCCAAGGTAGGCCCAAAATTTTGGAGCTTCAGGCGGCTGAGAGCGTGCAGCTAACTAACTAGTCAGTCTAACCTACCAAATAGTTAAGTAACCTTATGGCCCTTCTGGGTGCCGCATCGGGGGGTGAGCCACGCTGCTTCAAGCCTAAGCTTAGGCAAGGGTCCTACCTGAGCTTAAGCCTAGGTTATACTTCTCAATGTATATATGTATGTATGTGTATATTAATTGAAATTATTAACATGCAATCTGTCGCATCAGTATCGCTATCGTCTTCAAGCAAGGAACTGACACATGATGGTTAAAATGGAGATTCGGGACATTAGCATCTGAAGCGGCTGGACTAGAACCAGGTAGCACTTACACGGCTCTGCAATGCACCCAGTAATTAGTTATTACTAACCATCCCGAGAAGCATGAATGAGTGTTGAAATATTGACCGGAAGAAATCTCATGAAAAGAAATAAAAGGTTTGTCTAGCTGCCCGTTGTGCTTTTTGTCTCGTCAAACCAAGCCGACGTAGCGCCAACAGGCATTACGTATTGCCATACTATGCATAGTTATCATGTATAACAGCCTACAACACACTTTTGTCACTAGCAAGACGTTCAACTTTCTTGAACAAGCCTACTGTGACGGAGTTGAATTGGGGAGCCAGCTGTCGGGTGATGTGATCCCAGTAATCGGACAGTCATCATCAACTTGATCGACGGTGAAAATTAAAGCGAAGGACATCACTCTCTGGCCTGTCACACTTTTTCACTAACACTCACTTACTATGGATTCAGAGTACCGAAAACTATATCTTAATCACGAAATCGCAGACATTGGAGATTCGCACCGAGTCAGTGAGTGGTCGCTGAATGTTGGTATCGTTCTTCAGGTTGTCGGGATATGTAACTGGCTAGGCGTAGAATAGGCTGGTTGAAATGGGAATCATCTTTCTGCAATGCTGTGTTGACTGGCATCACTAGTGCTGCCGGAAGGTCGCTGTCGTTCGAGTTGACACGACCCGCTCAAAAGTTCGAGGCAATACAGCCCGCTTCAAAGGTGATACTTCCTGCTCATCGGTTGGTACGCCCACTTTACTATGTAGTACTTACGCCCGGGTTGGTAACTAACAGGTGCTGGTTGTGTTCGGGTTAAACAAGTATTCTAAGCGGTTAAGTGTCCGTAGCGGTGCACCATCTGGCCACGGGGAAACATCATCTTCTTACTTCAATCGCGATGCTAACAGCGTTTCCAGGTGTGTTTGCAGCCTCGAAAAGATCTGAAGAAATCATGGGTGAGATATAGCGACTTGAGCTGGCAGCTTTCCACGTTGAGCTCCTCTGCATCGTGACCGGAGCTTTGGTGACCAAGGGCCAGACTCATTCCGATGATTGGAAGCAGAGGATTACACCGCTCGTGTTGTCTCTAAGATAATCAATGGTAGGAGTGGCAAGTTCTGATATGGTGCTAGTGCAGGGGCCGTTAAGTTCAGCACGTCATATCTGCCTCCTTTCCTCATCGTACGTCAATGGTTTCAATTGTCTTAATGTATAAGCCTTTTAATATGGTTCCGAGCTTACTTCTCCCCAGGATAGTGGGGTGCGGATCAAGACCTATGATGATGAGAAAGATGGTGTCAAAAGCGTGCCATGTGAGCACTTAGTCAGGACTTGCAAAGAGTACCAGCTTAAGCCGCTTTCCCCTTGACGGGCAATATACTAATATCACCCCTTCTTGTGTAGGCAGATCCTTGAAGCCAAGCGAAAACTACAGCGCACACTTGGACAGTACTTCGTACTGCCAGAGCGGGAAAGATGTAACATGGCTTGGTTCATGTCCAATATGGAACAGGATATGGACCGGCTCGAAGCTAGCGCAGCTGATAGGGCAGTATTCTTCTTTCAGTTATATTAAAGGTACAACGCCTCCCCTCTGACTGACTAATAGCATCAATGAGGACACTCGGAAAGCCCCGTTCTGGATTCTGTCGTACCTTCTTTTCACCCCAGGCCTGATGGAGAGTATTCGAACAGAGACGAAGCCTACCATATGTGAGAGGGGCTTTGGCATGACTCATCTCGTTGACGATAAGTCTTGCCCACAAATTTTCCAGCGTCTGGAAGGAAACAATTCGCTTCACAGCCCTCGCTTCTTCGGTGTGTTCAACATTAATAAGACACAATCAGAGGTGGGGTCGCTGTATTATTGTCTATTAAAAGATGCCTCGGATGCCTCCAAGGGAAGGATTCAAGAAGCTTTCACCTTCCCCGTTGAGAAGGTTCTAAAATCTTCTCTTCCACGTTTCTGCTTTTGGCAAAAAGATACGCTTAATCCTATAATTCATCTGACCTTTCCCAGATCGTCGTACCGCTTCGAGGCTCCAGATTACCTCACCAGGGGGTATATATCGCGCAGCCAGCACCGTCATCCATCGTCGGCTTTGGGCTCCCCAATTTAGCATACAATGACCACCACGCAGTATTTCCTATGTGTCGTATAGAAAACGGTGGATGTCCGTGCCGACATCAGGAGGGGGGTGGGCTTTCCGCGTCAAAGAACCCGTCCTCCGCTTGTACTCCCAGATTGCTTTTTCCCTCTTCCTCTTTAACTTCTTCCGACTTTGCTTGCGTCACGTCCTGGTGAATTATGTTCCATAGGCCCTCGGGGCATCAAATCCCGACTCACGCTTGTCATTGTCTTTGTCCTTAGCCGTAGCCTTACCATTATCCTCATACTCGTCCTATTCGAAATCGGCAGTGTAAGAGAAGCCTCTGAATTCTTCTTGCATGGCTTGCGACAGCACTGGTCCTTATTAGCAAAATCGTCTCTTAATATGAGGCAAATAAACACCTACCGGACTGGACTGGGGTCAGCACGGGAGTCACGCTAGTGAATTCCGAGTCGAAGTTGCTGGTATCCGTCGCGTTCTTGATCTGCGGCAGGAAAGGCGGCGCAACACGCTTGTGGTAGATGTCATCCCAGTTGGTGTTGCGGAAGAATGGCTGATTCATGATCTCCTGGGCGTCCGTGGGCCCACTACCAAGTCGTTGATCTGGTTCGCGTGTCAACAGCTTTTGGAGTATCGATACAGAATCCCGAGGCATATGGATAGGATACAACGGTTCGTCTGCAAGAATAGCGTCATAAATTTCATCTTCATCCTCTCCTCTGAACGGGGATTGTTGGAGAAGCATCTGGTAGATCAAAACACCAAATGCCCACCAGTCAACAGCCCGCCCATACTTCTTGTCCAGCAAGATCTGGAACACTATTAGCAAATATCTGATAGCAACGACAACTGACATACTTCTGGTGCCATGAACTCTGGTGTTCCGCAAAACGTGCCAGTGGTAGAACCAAACCACATGTCTTCTTTGCACAAACCGTAATCTGCAATCTTGATATGACCGTCAAGAGTCAATAGGATGTTGTCAAGCTTGAGATCTCGATATATAACACCGTTCTCATGAAAGTACTTCAGTGCGAGGCAAACTTCGGCAGCATAGAATCTTCAAAAGGTCAGCAGAGCATATAGGGTATGTGATACAGAGTCAACTTACTGGGCGCGCTTAGTTCCAAATGAACCACGTTGGATGTGCAACATCAGGTCACCACCACTGACATACTCCATAACGAAATACACTCTTGTCTCCGTTTGGAAGCAGGCATGCAAGTTGGTCAAGAAAGGATGTCGTTCCCGGTTGGCAACAAGGAAGACTCGCTTTTCCGATCTGATGGATTCCACTTCGTCGTTTTCAATAATGAATTCCTTTTTCAACACCTTGATGGCATACAACCGCCTTGATTTCTTCGTCTCAGCTAACATAACTTTGCCAAAATTACCTTTACCAAGTACGGCCAAGAAATTGAAATGGTCCAGGCCGATACGCTGCCCGGTTCCAGGATCGGTGGCAAGCGGCAGCGGAGGCTTGCCCGCCCCAGGAGCTGGGGATGGCACTGCTTCAGGCTGAGGTTTAGGGGTGGGAGCGCTTGGTTGGTAGATCTGTTGCTGTGATTGCGGAGGAGGAGATTGTTGCTGCTGCACTGGCCGACTCTGTGGTTGTACTGGGGGCTGGCTCGGGTAGCTGTTGACATTCGCATACGCAGCTGGGTTGTACTTTGGCTGTTGAGACGTGCCATAACCCGCACTGGGAGCATATGGATCCTCCTGGGCATCCATTCCACCATACCCACCAGGACGGCCCGAACCGTAGTCGGGCATGGAGTTTTGACGCCCAGCTTGAGGTGCTATAGCACCACTCATTGCGGCCGTGGCGGCCGCCGCTGCCACAGTCGAAGCTTGGGAGGACGTGCGATCCGGGTGGACTGGCCTTGTTGGGGACGTCTGGCTGGCGTACATAGCCTTCGCAGCGTTTTGAGCTTCCTGGGAAGCAATGCTTGGTTGGTATGAATCGTGCCTAGGCATAACGCTCGGGCCGTAAGGTGAAGTCGGACCTTCAGACCCCATCGATGCGGTCTTGCCCTGCCGAAGAGTTCTGTCACTCATGGAAGTGCCCTTCTGAGCCCGTTGCTTCTGTGTCCGCATGCCTTCCAAGATCTGGTTGGCAACTGCCATACTCATTCCACAGAAATCAGGCACAAGATGCACACACTGGGCGTGGGCTGTGAGACTACATTCTGTCGCATTTGTTAGTATGTTCGTCTACGTAAGAAGTTTGTTTTCATATCTTACCAGAACACTTCTTGCAATTCTTCTTGCCAAACGGCAGCACGTAACCACAGTGGCAGCACCAATTCGCCGTGAAGTTGGAGTATGCCTGGAATCTGTGAGGGATGCGGTGGTTAATCTTTTCCTCCTCTGGATCAGTTTCTGCGTTAGATTTACTGATACACTTCGTAACCACGCTGGTATAACACTTCGTGTGGCATGTGTACTTGCAGTCTTCGCACTGCATACCAGCTGAATACTTGAGGAAGTCTCCGCATAGCGCGCAGCGCATAATGTTGTAGAACTGGTGCTGAACGAACTTGTGACCATACATCTCGTGCACTTCTTCTTTGCGCTGACGAACCGCACCCTTTCGGCCCAGGCCCAAATCGACCGGCCGGCGATCTTTGTTCATCTTGTTGAAGTTGATTTGAAGATGAATCTGGCCAGTGGGCTCCAGGGTGAACCAAGCATCAATAGGCTGGTTAGCAGCCGACGGCGCCGCCTGAGCGCCAAATTGCTGCGACTGTTGAGGATTCTGAGGACTTTGAATGCCAGGAGAGCCAGGTGGAGGGCTGAACTGCGGTCCTTGGGTGCCCATGGGGAACTGGCCCGGAGCCGCTCCTGAATTGCCAACCCTATCGGCTGAAACCCATCCAGAGCTGTTGACCTCGGCTTCGATTCTCTTACGACGCATCTCCTCGACAATATCAGATATCCGTACCCAGAGCATGGCGATGGGAAGGGCATGTTCGCCTGGCTTGTCATAGACGGTCAGTTCGATTTCGTTTGCTTCCCTGACATCGATGTTGTGGTATTCATCCTGCCATCTATCATTACGTGCAGCCTTGGTTCTGGCCACAATGACGTCCTCCGCCTTGACGGCGACGAATGTTTCTGGTCCTCTACTAAATCGACCTGTACTAGCATGATCCACGTCTTTGACCTGTATCACCCTGAACGAAAGCTGGCCAGTAAGCGGTTTGCGAAGATTGGGCATGTTAATACTATCATCTGTAGGAAGTTAGCGAACGAGCTGCCCCACCTAACGGATCGGGATGAACTGTACCATCTTGGGAGTCGGCTGACTCCATATCGTCAATATGAAGCTCCTCGTATCTCTTGAGTGCCTGTTTCAAGAGCTGGATCTTCTGCTTGCTCTCGATACGTTTGGCCGCCGCGTCTGCCTTGCTTTTACGGTCGCCGTCCATGCCGTATAATTGTACCATCTTCTCAATACCCTTGAGATACTGTTCTTCAACATTGAGCTTGAACTGGATCTGTGACAACATGAGCTGGATCCTTGGACCAAGGTGAGGTGTGTCGTATTTGATAAGATCTAGCACAGTCAAGACATGTCAGCGAAAGACGTCTAGAAGAACGAGAAGACGACAAGACATCGATGGAAAGGACCATTTACCTAGCTTTGTGTAGTTTGGTCTCGCTTTCGGGACGCCTTGGCCGGGGCCTGGGGCGGTAAAAGGAGCGCGCGGGGGCATGATATCGCCATGAGCGCCGATATTGCTGTAACCACCTGAGCCATATGAGCCCCGATCGCCTGCTCCATGGCCACCGCTCGCGTCTTTGGGTGGAGGTGTGGGCGGACCTTCAGCATCGCCACGCAGATCAGAGCTCTTGGGACGGACGGAATTGACAGCTGTTGAGCCAGAGCTTAGGCTCATGCTGTCGACGCCTTGACCCAGATGCCTCATCTGGAGGTCTCTCAATTTCTCCTCGAAGAACTGTAGGTTCCTGCGGCCTTCGCGCATCTGACTGTCAAGTCTCGAGCGGACATCGTCGTTGTTCGTCTGCTGTCGCATAGCATTGGCGGCATTGATGAGTGCCTTCTCTCGCTCGATCTTTTTGTAGATGTTCATCATGGCGTCATCCCCGGAACTCATGATGGGCTAATGGTGGCGCGTCGTCACGCGCGGGACCAAGCTATGAGTTGGGATGAGTGGTGATGGTGGGTGTGGATGTGGATTGCAGGCAGTTGCAATGTTTGGAAGGGCGTGTGCGTGTGCGTGGTGGCGCGGGCGGGGAGAATTGAGGGGGGGGGTTTTTTGTTGTTGTTGTAGTATCCGTAGTTTTGGGCAAAAACACAGTACAGCGAGTGCTGTGAGTACAGTATGCGATCGCTGCTGTCTCAAGAAGCTACTCGCCAGGGGGAAGGGGGAAGGAAATAATAATAATAAAAACCCAGAGCCAAAGAAAGGACAATACCCGTCCGACCCGACGCAAGGCTTGTGAGAATGTACATAAATTCAATGGAAATGAATGTTTGATCTTCCCTCTGCTTCCCTACAGCCGTCGAGAGTGACTTAACCTAACCTAGTAGCTTGAATGCAGCAGTGCAGGCTCAGCAAGCTGCCAATCGAAGGCGCAAGGGCAAGCTGGAGCTTCGGGTCTTTGCGTCTTTGGACCTTTGGGTGAGGGGAGACAGACGTACGTCAGTGACGGACGAGAATGGCGGGGTTTTGTGTTTCGCAATGCGGGAAGTCCCTCCCCAAACGTTGCCCAAAAGCCCCCCATACATAAATAAACAAGCTGAAAGCTACAATACACGCAGCAAAGCTCGAGCTTCTTTCCAGCGTCGTCGGGTGTCTGTGCAAACCCAGGTCTAAGTTAAGTTAAGTACTTACTTTAGCCTTTGGTGCCTTCTAAGTTCTGCGGGAAGATTGCCTTTGTGGGGGTGGTTAACTTTGGTAGGGCGCAATACGGGAGGACGCCAAGCCCTGCTATCAATCGGATGGAGCCAGGGACAGGGTCGGGTGGCATCAAGAAGAAAGAGACGATATATAATAAATACCAGTAAACGTAAAAATAAAAATAAAATTGTAAAACCGGTCGCAAAGGAACTGCTGTAATGACAAGTGTAGATTGTTTGTAGATTTATTCATCTCAGGGGTCACTTCAGTGGCTTCTACTCAGAAGGACCGATATACAAGTTATGATCCTAGAGTCCTACTGTAGCACTGTGCCTAAGTACTCCGTACCTGGAAGTACAGTAGGACTTTCCTCGACGCATGACGGCGATACATTAGTTTGTGCACTCAGCCATTGCTACACTAACATCGAAGTACTCATGTTGTAGGTCTATAAAGTTCTCGTGCAGGCCAGCGCAAGGCAATTCTCATCCGACAAAATTCGGGTATACATAGATGGTCATACGGTAGACGTGTGCGTTACTGGTGCGCTTGTATTCGAAGAGCTTGTGGACAATGTTGCAGGTGATTGCACTCCGTATAAGGGTATAAGGCGGAGGCCCCCTCGAATAGACAAGTACCTGCCATTGTGCACCCCGGGTTTAAGAATCGGTTCCTCACGTACACAGTAGGTAATTTGTAAGCGTTGTTGAGAGCTGTTTGTAACACAGCAGTCCTGCTCCTCTGTCAACTTGCATCAAATGTTGACGGTCGGTTGCCTCAGCGAAGCCCCACCATTCCTTGAAGCGTAAAGATCGAAGAATCAGGTTTGTGCCGGGCAGCAAAGTCATCAACTGTATGAATTTCATGGCTGATCAATTCAGTACAACATCTGAACCCTCACCCCGAAAGAACCCGAACATGTACATGAACCCGAGAAGTGATAAGAATATGATCAGGTAGCTCGAGGAAATAGCCGATTAAAGCTAAACACTTTTGAAAAATCTCAAGACTTTATGCGCTCCGTAAGCTAAGTGTCAATGTCATCTATTCAGAGAAATGTTCACGGTCCATCACCGATGGGGTCTACCGGCGTGATCGATTTTGGCAATGGTTGCTAAGTTATACCTTTCGACGCGGTTAGTTGAGAATTGAAATTGAAAAATCACGAGTCCAAGCGATTTGGCCGAGTGCTAGTCTACCTGGGATGCCTGCAGGCGTTCCACGCGTTAATTGTCACAACTTTGCCGTACCTATTGTAAGTAAGCGCGTCGCGCTTCGAGGCTGCTAACCTAGGGGCTTGAGCTACTCCATTATGACCCAAGCAGTTATCTATTTACTTCCGGACCGTGGGTGGAACGCAACAAAACAAGGCAAAACAAAACAAACCAGAATTCAACAGAGCCCAGCCACAAGTATACTCCCGCCATGACAACGCATACGTCTTGAGATATCGATTTGCAGGGAACCTGGATCATACCATCCAATGGCCACTCAAGGGGGTTCTGCTCGCCGCAAGAGAGCACGCACCCAGCACGATGACGAGCTGGTTTCATCCACGCCCGACACCGATACCCTCTCTTCAGCTAAGAAAAGACGTCTGAATGGGGGTGCCGTGCCATCGACGGCTGCGCCCAAGGGGATTGGTGGTACTATCGCATCGGCTATTGGGAGTGTCTTCGGATATGGTCGACGCAACCATGCTAAAACCACAGCTGCTGGAAAACAACAAAATGGCACATCAAAATCAGCTTACGACGATAGTCCAGACTCGAGCGACGAAACAAAGAATGAATCAACCCTCAACAATTCCATGCGACCTGCTGTATCATATACAAAACTCAATCAAAAGTCAATGAAATCTCTAAAACAGCCTTCCAAGGATCTATACGATGTCCCTAGTTCTGGCGACGAGCTCGAGTTCTCTACACCCATGGGCGACAAGTCCAGCACACCGCTCAAGTCAAGGCAGCTAAATGCTTCGGTCAAAAAGACCACTGGGAAAGCACGATCAAACCGCACCCAAGGTGAAGCGGATAAGACTAGGGAGGGAGAGTCCACGGCCACTCCCTCCCGGACCAGAGGTCAACAGGCGATGTCAACAACTGGCGATGGTGCTATTGGTAAAAGACTCCAGTCAGCTAGAAGACCTGCAGTGAAGGCACTTGCGACACGACAAATTAACCCAACGCAAAAGTCGCCAATTAAACAACCGCCTCCAACGCCAAAAGGCATCCTCACCCCAAGGCACAAGCGGCCTGGTCGCCCGCGAAAGAGTGTAGCTTTCAATGGCGATGACAATAAACCAGCAGAGGTCTACTTCGAGGATTTACCAAAGGAGCCTAAGCAGGCTTTGCCAAAGAAGCAGGCTGAAAAACGGCAGATTCAAGACGATGCAGCCTCTGAGGATGAGGAAGAGGCCGAAGATGATGACGAGGTCTGCGTGGTTTGCTCCAAGCCAGATTCGAGGCCTGGGAATGAGATCATTTTCTGTGATAATTGCGATAAAGCTTTTCACCAGAAATGTTACAAAGTCCTGGAAATACCTGAAGAGGATTGGTTTTGCAGAGACTGTCTGCAAGAAGATATAATACCAGAAATTTCCCACCATACAACACAAGCCACAGGTCCTCCCTTAGCTATTCCTGACATCCCTAATTTTGAGCAACATCTTCAGAACATGCAGAGAGCTCTTATTGACCGCTGCTCGGGCAACCGCCCGCTCAAGCTGAAGGGGCAAGGTGAAGCCTATGAAAAAACCTACCAGCTGGTAGAACAGACAGTGATGGCTGGCGAAGGAAATTCTTTGATGGTTATAGGGGCTCGCGGATGTGGGAAGACTCTCCTAGTCGAGACCGCTGTGTCAGAGCTGAGCCGAGAGAGCCCAGATGCATTTCACGTTGTTCGACTAAACGGTTTCATCCATACCGACGACAAGCTAGCCCTGAAGGAGATATGGCGGCAACTGGGCAAAGAGATGGAGGTTGAGGACGATTTGGTGAATAAGGTAAGTTATGACATGTTTATTTGGACTGGCCGAGTCGTCTAACATATACAGACCAATAACTATGCCGACACATTAGCTTCTCTTCTAGCTTTGCTTTCCCATCCCTCAGAGATCACAGGTGCTGAGGAGGGTATCACCTCTAAATCTGTTATCTTCGTGATCGATGAGTTCGACCTTTTCGCTACACACGCTCGTCAAACTCTGCTATATAATTTGTTTGACATCGCTCAGGCAAGAAAGGCGCCAATCGCCGTGCTTGGCCTGACTACACGAGTCGATGTAGTAGAAAGTCTGGAGAAGAGAGTCAAGAGTCGCTTCAGCCACCGATACGTACATTTAACATTACCCAAGAGTTTGCCGGCATTTTGGGATATCTGCAGGCAAGGCTTACAAGTTGACGAAGAGGACTTGGAGTCCAACGGACTTGATGCCTGTCTGGGAGGCCGTGATGCGTTTCTGAAGTATTGGAACGATAAGATTGAAACTCTCCACAAGTTGCAATCATTCCAGGACCATCTTGAGTACAACTTTTATACTACCAAGTCGGTCAGCGCATTCCTCGCTACGTGTGTGCTACCATTAGCAGCGTTATCAACATCATCTCTGAATTTAAAGATTCCATCGTCTTCGTCCCGACTGGCTGCAGTGCAACCGCCCGATTCGAAACTTCACCTTCTTGCAGCCTTATCAGATCTGGATTTGTCGTTACTGATTGCAGCTGCTCGTCTTGACATCGTTGCGCATACTGACACGGTCAATTTTGCAATGGCTTATGACGAGTACAGCTCGCAGATGGGGAAACAAAGAGTTCAGTCCGCAAGTTCTGGCGTACTAGCGCTTGGTGCTGGGGGAAGAGTATGGGGACGCGCAGTTGCGAGCATGGCTTGGGAAAGATTGGTTTCTCTGGGTCTATTAATCCCAGCTGGCATCGGCGGAAAGAGCAACGCGGCTCATGGCGGACTAGATGGGAAGATGTGGAAACTCGATGTTTCTTTAGAGGAGATACCTACGTCCGTCGAGTTGCCCGGTTTCCTTGTGAAATGGTGTACGCAGATTTAGAAGGAGATATATGCTACTCGAGCTGGATTCACGAATCCACCGAAGCTACCCATCAGGGTATGTATGTATACCTCTCCAGTGTTATGCACGTGGAAGCTATCAAATATACTGTACAATCAAATGGAACGAGCGACCACCAATTCCGCGCGTTTGCCAGCATCCGAACATTCTGCCAGGGAACATACGGGGCCGGGTCTTGTGTGCGCTATCAGCCAGTTCAGTATTAAGATGCTGCGACCGATATCATTGCCCATCTGGCATGCACTGTTACTATTTTCATCCTAACGCTAACAAGCGTGCCAACCACACCACTGGATCTGGACTTGCACCAACTTCGTGGCCCCCTGTAATCTTTAGTGGACGGTACTGCAATGCACCGAACAATGCCGCTGCAAGTGAGGAACGTAAAACACTGCACCACCCCTGGCATCAAAGTCCTGCCTCGAAACCTGAATGGTCAATAGCCACAGGGATCAATTGCACACTTCTCATAAAACATGTCCATAAGTCTGAATCCTTAAACTTGTTCTCCTGCATTTGTTGATCTTGAACTCGACAAAATCAAAATTAAAATAAAATCGAGGATTATCAAGCGTGACGATAATTACTTGCAAGCAAAGTTCATGACTCCACACACCATCGTAGTGCAACGCCTATTTAGTGGAAGTGTGCTTACAACTTTACGAAGCGATCTCTATGATTAATTACTTCATTTGGATCTCAGCCTATTCTTCAGCACAACCTCGCTGACAATCTAATTCCCGATCACAGCAACTGCACAAACTCCGGGAGTCGCAATCGTAATTCCACTTTTGACAAGTCTACTTGTTACAGTCCTATCGCACCGTTTGGCACCGTTTGGCACCGAGCCGTTGGGTGGGTAAGCTGCTTACTGTTGTCTCATAAGGTTCATCTGACAAGCACAATTACGACACTAAATCGCCAGTGACGACTTTCGACTTCCCTTGTCCCAACAACGCGCAAAACTGAGTCTCTTTCGGTACCCTGTATTGTGATCCTCAAACAGCACACCTACCATGTGAAAGGATTTTGGAACCTCATCCTTTTCATCATGTCTAAACGGACGACATTCACCACTATTTCACCCCTGCCCTCTGGTATAAGCCGGCAAGTCGTGCTTGATTTCCTCCACAACCATGAAGCAATGATCGACCTGAACCCTCTAGTCGTCGAGCGGCATCCTTTACCAACACCGCCTGTGCACTGCCCCGAAGACGAGCGCCAATGCACATGGTGGAGCATGACAGACAAGATTTCCTATATGCCAGGAGTCAAGTCGGATCTGACTTACACAGCGGCATTTCAGGACTTGAAGGATGGGATCCGCACACACTGTTACGCGCCCATGGGCACGCATATCCGTGAGCGCTGGAGCCTCGGTGGCACTTTGCCTGGGGAGCCAAAACAGCCCATGGAGTTGGGCCTCGGCGCGCCCAGTCAAGGGCTTTATATCCGCGAAGATGTGGAGGTGAGATGCAATTTCCTCATGGCAGGCTTTGTAAAAAAGACCATTCTGAAGGCGCATGGAGTGCTGTGTGAGCGGCTGGTCAATAGCGCCAAGGCTTTATGCCCAGTCACCACATCGCCGCCCCTCAGTCCGAGTAGTACTGTTTTCCTTGATGCGTATTCGGCGAGCAGTGGGCCGAGGTCAAGCTCAATGCATAATGAGCAAGGGAGCTTTTTTGACAACACCTCGAAGCCGGCGACGCAAAGCAGGAGATGTTCACCTCCAAGTCAGGCATATCAACACTACAACAATCAACATAACCGCCAGCAAGCAAATGGAAATCTACAGCCGTTTTATAGTGATCATAGGGCGGCGGCAAGTGAGACGGGATTAGTCCCGGACCCTCTGCTCACAGGACGAACTTCGGAACAGTTTGCGAACCAATCACGGTATGATAGCGTACGAAATTTTACAGGCCAGGGATGGCAAACGCAACACAAACCATACGTTCACGATCCATACAATCCATATACACAACAGCAGCTACCACAAATACCGCCAATAAGTCAGTTCGGGTACGGACAACCAGTAACGCAACGGGACAGAGACGGCAGATGGCAAATCAATACTCAAAACGCTCCAATAGCAGAGCTGAGTGGGAGTGAAACACATATTGCGGAGTTGCAGTAATTACGTCGGTATCCCGCAGTGGTGCTGCTGAACCTTGATCTCACGAAAGCATAGCGGAAAGGTGTCACCCATGAATGGCAATAGACATACTATAGCGTACAGCCTCCGTAAATCGTGGACGTTTACTTCTAGCCTAATAAATGCCTTACATGGGGTGTGACATTGCGGGAAAAGGACGTTCGAGACTAATCGATGAGCCACACAAAGGCATGCATATGAGGCCTTGAAGGGCAGTAGCACAAAAATATTACAATATATCATCGCGAGAAATCACTTGTGTATTTAGTGAATGTAACTACGTTGAGGAGGAATTCGAGCTTACCTCGTCTTACGAAAGAAAATGCTCTACGCTGAACTCAACTCACGATGTCCGATGAGCCCAACCTAGCAACTTATATATTAGATGAAAACTTGAACTCATACATTTCACCAACCTCGCTTTAACCAGCTTACGAAGAGATCTGGCTCAAGTCTTGCCCCTTACAATCACGAATCTTGCCACTGTCGACAACCTACAATCTTGCCTATAACCTTATTCTCTGGAACCTACCTACAAATATTGCGTCAGTTCATCTTCAACATGCTCAGCAGGGACATTTCGTACGTGACACTTGAGACATAAATGTGTATCAACAGGCAAGCGGAGCGTAATCGCTAAGGGGGAGCCCCCATTCACCTTCACATGCGTATTCGATAGACCTAATGTTTCACCTCATGTCTCGTTTCTCACACATGTATCTGCCCAAGTGGTGCATACCAAGATTTACGGTGGCCATAGTCGATTTCCTAATGCACTCCAATTGATATAAGATAGGATAATCTCGAGAGGCACTAAGCTTGTAGGTGATTCATATGGAACCCGGTATTGTGATAGGCCATAGCTTGCTTGCCGTCGCCTGAAGTCATAACACGACCACCACTAGTTCGCAGATTATTTCCGTATTATCCAGGATTGTGTCACGGAGCTTCCTTATGACAGTTTGTACGTAGTCATGGCTTCATATCAAACTTTGTCATCTTGTATCAAAATATTGAATAACAGGCCATGGCATTTAGATGAAAGACTTGCAGACTCTCATGTCTGTCATGGCAAGCTCCTGATAATAACAGCACCCACAGCGACGATGTCAATTTCTGGCTCTCAACATGAAATACTCTCCATAGTGCCAGTCATCGAAGCTACAAACATACCACACCAAATAATAACGGTCGTGCATGAGGGCGAGTTTTGTGTCCTACGATCATGACTCACTTACAACAGTTCAAGCTGTTATTTGTGACTCGATAGAACTCAATATTCCGTTGAATCTAATATCTTTAGAATAGCGCATATAGATGCCGTCCCTGATTACCGGCAGGAAGACGCACTCCGCTCAGTCATGAACTGCATGAACTCATTGCTCTTACACCCAGCACGCCATGCTGTAGAAGGACACAAACAAGCGAGCATTCCTCGGCCGTAAGCAAAGATGCCTGCCCCGACCGCTGTGAAGTGCACACCCTCAACCTTATTCAGCTAGAGCCTATCCTCCAGATAGGTCTTGTCAGACATCTCTGCCCTACCAGGGGTACCTGAGTCATTACTTGCCAAGTTTAATATCACAAAGGCTTTTACAGGAAGCTCCTCGCCGTGGGCTTGCTTGAAATCAGATTAAGTTCATAAGGCTTGTGGCTGCATAAGCGTTCAGCTCCGGATCCGCCGAAACGTTAGGATTCGACGGGGATCCGAGGCGTCGCGTCTCGAGGTTGTGAATCGACGAATTAGTATTAGAGCGAATGTTCTTCAGATAAATGCTCCAATTTGTCCTGTTTTCTCTTGTCTGTTTTGGTTCCAAGAGGGTCTGGCCTGTTTTGACATTTATTTGGTGGAAGGGATAGGAGTGTATATTTAGGTTGGCTTATCACATTTAACATCTCGCCCGGAATTGGAGGTGAATAGCCAAGCGGTATGCAAGATTACATAAAAGCGCGAAACTTCATCGATGTAGAACCTGCAGCAAAGGCATAGCAGTCGGCCGCTCCCGCCACTATAGTGCGTAGATTAAGGCATCTAGACCGTCGGCGAAGAGACTGCAAGCTTGTTGGAGTAGTTCTGATGATACAGACCAGCGGCGGTAGAGAGTCTGGCCTCGTAGGGCGGAGTGACGACGTTTCAGCGCCCGCACACACTCCCTCGCATTCCAGGATGCAAGACCTTTGGACGAACTCCGGAATATTATTTGGGGTGGGTGCCCGGTCATTAATGAAACCTTCTTACACAGGGCTTGGACTTTTCTATTGGCCGGTGGCATTTGGGATGAATGTTGAGAAGTTGAAGACGCACGCAGGCCAAAGGCCACCCCGGTGCCATGGTAGCGGGATCCAGCACTGGGAGATACCGGTGAAACTTTATTGGTAGAGGTGCACATGCTGGTAGTTGGAAGTGAACAAAGTATCACGACTTCCATCGAATAGCCGATGCCTCAGTCCTAAAGAACAATACTGAACACGTCGAAGTGACTTCGGTACGTTTCGCGCGCAAAGTGCAATCCAGATTATGAACGCTTGGCTGACGAGGTCGTAAGGGGTCTGGTAAAGCTTCCATGATGATTTCAGCACAAGTTTTGTGCAAGCATTACTAGTGGAGGAAGATCGTAGCCGTTGCTGGTATTCTCTGCAACATGCAATGTATACATATGTTTGCCATACACAGACCGGCAATTGGTGTCAACATATCGGATGCAACAGGTTTCACAAATGTAGACACATGATAAGTCGGTGCGGCACGCGTACTCGCCTTATTAAATGAAAAATAACACCTTCGTACAGAGACAAAACGTTTGCACAACGCGAGATCGGAGATGATTGATCATGCAGATGAACTGCTAGATGCGGCAGTAACGATTGAAGACTTGTCGGTTATCGACATCAAATAGCTACACAAGGACACAGTCGGATGCGCTCGGCACCAACAGGGCGCCTACATCGATCAATGGTAGTAGACAAGACAGCCACACGAAAAAATAAAAATAAAACGCAAATTGCTAGTCTGTAACGAAGGCGACGTTTGCCCCTCACTATATCGATTGGACTATCACTGATAGTGTGCTTGGTCCAATGCTTCGCTTGGGTACCATCGCAACGCTATAACAGCCAGCCGAGGCTTTATCTACGGAAAACAGCGGTTAGATTCCCTAAACCGTCTGCCCGTCTGGTGAAGGTAACAATATTCTGTGTTAGAGTCCAGCTCGAGGTAACTGATGCGGTTTTAGCAAACAACGGCTCGTCGAGCCGTCCTTTCACTAGTTTTTTGTGCTTGGGGGGCGGACTCCAGACAGTTTCGGGGGATTTAGCAGGGCAAATGAAACTCGTGGTGTTCCCGAGGGGCTCCATAGCCACGTGGGAAATTTGCCAGAGCCGCTCGACCCCCGGTTTGGTCGCAAAATGACGATGTGTCACTGTCATGATGGGACAAAGACATCGGGTTCATCCATGTCAGACTCGAGTCAGTCACACATTGTGTTGTCTCCCTAGAAGAAACTAACTGGTCACTATTCTGTTGGCGAATCCTTGTGCCGACCGCCTAGTCGTCTTATCTTATGGGATACGGAGTATAGAGGCGGTGAAAGATGGATGACCCAAACGATAGTACCAAGTAATGAGAAGCATGAGCTGCAGCACGCCACAAATGGAGCTGCCCATAATTCGAAACAAGCTGCCCAGTGGTCTAGACGCCTTTCTGAAGACTTCGTACAACAATCTCACTAGCCCACCGCGGAATCATGCGATTAAAGTACAATGCCTGAATGGTGGCATAAACACGGATTCATGACCAAGCTGGTGTCTTCTCAATTCCGCACCGTCCTTGACCGCGACTTTCACCGAAGGCCATGCAGATGGATGCCACAAAGTCTTTTGCTTTTATATTTTAATTATATTCTATTTAAGTCCATCCTCCAGGTGCATAAAGATGGTCGTACAAGTTTAGTTGGTCGTGAAAAGTCTACACTCTATCAAAATCACTTCCAGATATATCCTGGTTAGGGCAAGCGTTTGCAGGATATTTACAGCGCAGCATACGTCGTACATATGTAGTATACATATCTTTGATGATGAAATGCGTCATTTGGCGTCAATTCCGTTGCCAGAAACCTTGTGTTATTTCCTAATCCGTACTGCTCGCGAACAGTGCTGCTGGATACACGAGCCCAGGCATTCGGTAGTCGCTACAAGAAATGCCACTCACCTTCGCATTGACTCACGACACTAGTGAAAATTGTATGTTATTTTGCAAAGTCTAGGTACATGTGGGAAAAGAAAGGGCAGTAGCCCGGACGTAGCTCCTTTCTAGAAAACTTCTCTCATCCTAAACGAGGAAATGACTAAGTGCATCGCAAGGAGATCCCGGGTGGATTGGAAGCCTGTATCATGATGTGTTCTTATGTACACATCTACGAATCGGACTAGAGTTTCCATTTCAACATTCGGGGTTCGAAGGACTCTTCTAGAAGGTGACAAGGGCCACCGGAATTACCGTAATGGAAAATGGACGTGAGCAGCCTCGCATTGACGAAACACTTAATCTTTCTCGGGTTGAACCATGAGTATGAGACGGGCAACTCCCAAGAAGCTGGGTGGAAAGTCACGAATAATATGATCGTACGACCACTGCGGAGGTGTTGAATGGGTATAATGAATTTTCCTTAATCCCACGTGCTTCGCGTGCAGGTGTGGCCAAAAGTACGTACTTGGTACGACGCGAAGGACTTGCCCTTGCCCCTTAGAGAAAAGTCCCGCTGTGAATGTTACCCGATGCCTGTTTCCATCTAACACTGTGGAGGGGTGGCTGAGGGGGCATGAATGATAAGCCTGACCACATATGTTGGTGAAACTCTAATGCTGACGGACTGCTGATCAACGTCGGCAGTGAATGTGTCTATCACTCACAGAGAACAGAGGAATAAGTCAGTAATCTTCAGGTTCGGTGAGGGTATTAATAATGCACAAATAGCTGATACCCTGCCGGTGTGGTGGCGCTACCAGGGCAAGTGTTTTGGGTCTTTCTGTGGCAGATATTGCCGGCTGCGGCCTAGGCGGCATAGCATGGCATGACTGTGTATGAGTTGCTTTCCGACCGCCTGGATCAGCTTTAATGGCATCGGTGAGTGACCGTACCACGGATATGGTACGTGAGTGATTGTTTCTTTCTGAACGAGGTTTTACTAGGTTAGGGTTTGTTGGTCTTCCTTTCGTTTTCAGTTTACAGCATTTGTCCTTTAGGTTGTGACTATAACATGGGTGGCAGGTTGAAGTAATACCTTGTTATCATTATGGACAGGGAGGTAGTTTCCACAAACATTCAAATTGTTGGCCCTGAGAAACCCGCGCCGTTTGCCAATTCTCTTGGACGATCAGCCCTTTAGCTGAGATTGTGGCTGTTCTAACCACGTGGCAGCCTTCGAACATGGGTACAGTCTCATGCTAAGATGGTTCCGCAATCCAAGGATTGTCGGGATAGTGCCCAACGAACTTTAAGGTGAGGTACGCACAGAACTGCTTCTGGTACCATTTAGCTTGGGCGGCATACTTAAAACAGTAACCCATTCATGCTGAATCGTAGAGAGCCAATCAACAGCAGCGGTGGTTTCGTTACCATACTATTTAGACAATTATCACAAGGCAAAGCTATGATAATGTCTCTTAACCAAGGCGTAATTCTATAAATGTTCAACAGAAACACATCTAGGTTAAATGTGATATCCCTTCCGTGCATCAAGATGACTGGTGAGAAAGTGATGAGAGCATGCCAAAGGGGGCAAAAGGTACCCTGCATTTCACCCACGTGTGCAGAGAAAA